TTACGGGGTTGCGAATTATTATGGGATTGCGAATTATTACGGGGTTACGAATTATTACGGGGGGTTGCGAATTATTACGGGGTTGCGAATTATTACGAGGATGCGAATTATTACGCTAGATATAGACTATTCTATAATAGGATGGGAATTATTACGCTAGATATAGACTATTCTATAATAGGACGGGAATTATTACGCTAGATATAGACTATTCTATAATAGGACGGGAATTATTACGCTATACTAGACTATTCTATATTAGGGTAGGAATTATTACGGTCTTGGTAATAGTAGAGACTTATATAAGTATCCTCTATTAAAAGGTACTAGAATACGTATACTTCGGAGACTTTTCCTATACGTATATAATAAGATATGAAAAAAAGGAAAGTACTTTTGGAATCAGTAAGAGAAGGGCTTTCTAGTAGTACGATAAAATAAAAATTATTATATAGAAAAAGGTCTAAACCTAAGCGGTGAATGACTACTAGACGGTTGCGGGAGGAACTTTTGTTCGTCGATTTGACCAGGGAACTGCGTTTCCCATTACCCCCATCCGGTTACGTAGATGTTCCTTGATATATGCTACGACCTTTGGTGTCGCAATAGGCACTGCATTCGGAAAGTGCTTCATGAGGGTCGGTTCACCGAACCAGTGGTCGCCATGGCCGTGCGTGATATAGATCTTGACCAGTTTCTTCGTCGGTATTCGTTCCTTGATCCAGGCCACCAAGCTCTCTGTTTGGCTGGTAGTGATCGGCGTGTCGACCAAGACGGCCTCTTCAGATCCATGGATCAGCGTACAAGATATCGGTGACCACACTCCGCCCTGCTGTCCATTGGGTTTCGCCCAGGGAATGGGAGGCGCCACGTACAGATCTGCGCGCAGGGTAGTTGCCATTCTTATTGTTGGATCAACAGGAGTGTGTTAATTATTGGGTTTGACGAGAAGAGTTGCGTTCTGGTCAAGAATGTTTGTTGGTTGAATACGTTTGGAAAGGGATTTGCCCCACACAGCGACGGCTCGGCTGTAATGCTCTGGCAGTGAAGATGAGTAAACATCCTTACTCCGAGAGCCGACTCGGCCATTTGACTCGGTTAGATCTATAGGCTAAGCGGCCACCCGGGCACCGTATATTTCGTAAATGTCCTGTCATGTTCTCGTCGAGTTTTGGAAAGCTTGCAATGTGCAACTTCGCCATGGGATGAATAAACTATCATTAGTTCTACAACAGAGGGGAGCATAGGGCGGCATCACTCTCCCCTTCCCAACGGGTTAAGCCACGAGCAGATTACACTTATCTTGGCCTGCAGCTCGAAGTGAATGCGGTGAGCGACCAGGCTGACCATCAGCTGGTGTTTGTGGATACAATCATTCAAGATCGATAAGCCAGTAGCGAGGTGAAGAGACAGAGATAGATGTAGTGATGGGCCTATCGAGACAAGGAAGCACTTTATCTGATAGGAAGTGAATCGCCTTAGTCAGTTGATGATGAAGTCATTCAGCGATCCAGCAGCCTAGAGCCGCTATGCGCGAAACTGCTAACTATACTGTTTATAATATGAATTCTAAGACGAAGGAAAAGAGAGGTTACGCTCGGTTGCGTGGTTAGCAACCGAGGCTTACCAAGCCTTCGTCATAATCTCGTGCTGGTCACGTGTCGACATCACGTGGTGTAGTGGCGACACGTGATGGGAAGTTGGCATGTCAATCCGTGTCAGATCGGACCATTTCCCAACGACCTTTTGCAAAGAATCCTCCGAATCTACAAAAAGAACTGAAAGGGCATAAAGATGGCCAGTTGGAGACACAACATCGCTTAGATGGCTCCCTATTCGATACTTATATACACACCCATACCCATCAAAAAGATAGACTCGCAGCGGTAGCTCTAATGAATGAGAAACGATTGCCGCCGACTGGGGAGCCGAAGCCTCAACGAAGTGCGTGTGAGAGATGTCGGAGTCATAAATTGAAATGCATCCGCACACCGTCTAATGGGTATCATGATCGATGTGATAGATGCGCCAAAGCAGGTTTACGGTGTCAGACATTCCCATCTTTACCTCCGGGAAGACCCCGACTAAACACTGATCACGGCCGACCATCTTCACGGCGATCACATCAAAAACGGAAGGCTGCTCACGCCCACAATCTTCCTTATCTGGGATCGCAAGAGGAAGCTTCGAGCCATCTGCGGCGACAAGTAGGTGCTTCTAGTCATCCGGCATTCCAAACTGAAGCTTTCACTACGGACGAGGCGACCTCGCAAACATCCGCCAGATCAGATGTTCCAAGATATGCCACGGGCACTATCCAGTCTGCAACCATTTCAAGCTATGATGCGGCCGATCTTAATGATGATTACAACGTGGCCTTCGATGACTTTATGACCTTTCCTGGCCTCGACGGATGGTCTGACCTCGGCCAATTCACCCAGCTTCTCGGAGCCGATCTACCTATGACAGCGCAAGGTGACAAAAGATATCACTACCTTGAAAAGCTCACATATCTGAACGCCGAGCTCCTGAAATATACCGCCGATATCGACAACACAGTGGCTTCCAGTGCTCAATCGTCGCGCCAGATAGCGTCAGTCGGACAGATGCTGCGCTTCGTCCAAAGTTTTCTCGAGGTAGTAAAGTACTACTTGATAACCTTCCCGATCAAAAGCGCCCCACGCTTAGCAAAGCAGTCGAATCCGGATGTTGATGATACCTCCGAGCCTGAATTCGGGTCTAGGGAGGAAGAGCTAGGCATTCGCATAGACATTCCTGAAGCAGGTGGAAATAACGAGTCGTCCACACCTCAAGCAATGGACTCGAATGAGGGGCGCTCTGGCATAGACTACCCGACGGCTCTCGCATTAAGTACTGGTTATGTCTCGTTAGTCAGGTTGTATCGTGTTTGGCTACAAGCTATGGTGGCAAGGTTGGACAAAGCCGCATATCGGGTACGAGAGTATGCCGCTACGAAGCATTCGGCTGCAACTGGTGACGAGGATACCAGGGATCGTTCTGGGAACCATGTCGCCTATTCTCAGCTATTCAGCGATATCCCCAACGTGTTGCCCGATGTGTACCTGGACGGCTTTGACCTGGGCGACTACCGGTCTCTCCAGATCTCGGTCTTTATGCAAGTCAGTGTGGATATGCTCTGGCGTGTCGAGCGAGGAGTCGCAGCACTGGTTACGACTGATTCAACCGGATCCAACACTCCCAGCGGGACTCTGCCACTGCTTCAGGCGATGTTACAACAGGAGGCTAGAACTACCAACTCCAGACCTGCTCCGCCCCAGGAGAATAGGAGGGCTGTGCCTGAGGAGATCGGGTTACAGTCGCTTAAGGTGCTTATGCGCAGGATCCGAAAAAGTTTTCGGAGTAATGTTTGTCTGCAACTCGAAGAGGGCAGCCGATCCTCCGAACTTGGGAACATGACTTGGTGAAACCCAAGTGTGCAGGTTGTTTAGGCGTTCTAAGGGGGGCTACTTTTGAACTAAAAATTCTCTCCCGCATGATGAGAATGATATTTCCACCGAATCCATATTGCTCGGAGCTTATTTGCTCCGTCTCCTTCGACTAACAATGCCCCGAAGCTCCTCAAGGCTATTTATGTGAAGACGAGAGCCCGCAAGGGAGAAAGAAGCTCGGTTCTGACATCTCCAGTGTTCTGACATTGTCGAACCGGCAAGCACCCTCTCACAGCCTCTCCCCTACTTTTCGACGAGCCAGAAGCTCACAATGGGCTTCAACGATGTTGACACTGGCACTTCAGATGCTCCTGCTCCTGCTCCTGCTCCCACTGCAGCTCGGCTATCACAATCACACACGTCTTCAGAACTAGGTAACAAAGAGGAGGCAATGGCATCTACTAATGAAAATGTTGGCGTGGCATCAGGTCAGATTTCAGAAAACGGACAACACCCATCTTTCCAACCAGACGCTCGATTTTGGGCCATCATGGCTACACTCTGCGTTGTCGGTCTTCTTGCAGCCTTTGAGAATACCGTGGTGGCGATTGCTCTGCCCATCATATCCGAAGAACTCAGCCTGGGAGAAAACTACATCTGGGTCACCAACATCTTTTTCCTGACAAGGTGAGCGAGCGGCCTCACTGACATACTGAACACTTTAAGACGCATGCTGACATCAAAGCTTGTGTGATACAGTGCCGCCGTACAACCGCTGTTTGGTCAGCTGGCCAACATCTTTGGTCGTCGATGGCTGACCATGGCCATCGTGGCGGTTTTTGTTTTTGGGAGCGGTTTGTGCGGCGGAGCGACCAACAGAGCAACCATCATTGTAGGACGGGCGATCCAAGGCGTAGGCAGCGGCGGGATCAGTATGATTATCGATGTCATCGTCTCTGATTTGGTCCCGTTACGTGAGCGTGGCAACTACATTGCCATTGTGTTGTCCGTCTACTTTGTCGGCATGTGCATCGGACCTCTGGTGGGAGGGGTCATTGTCGACCGTACTACATGGAGATGGGTATGTAAACAGTCTGTTTGGGCTTTACTGGTCCATCTCTGTCGCGAGAAGCTGACCAAAACCGCGTTTTCAGGTCTTTTACCTCAATCTCCCCATTGGCGGGGTCGCCATGGTCATGATCTTTGTTTTCCTTCAAGTCAAGTACGACAAGGAGATGTCGTTGCTACAAAGACTAAAACGCATCGACTACGGCGGCAATTTGTTGCTGATTGGCTCCACCGTTTCGGTGCTGTACGCCCTGACGTACGGTGGCGCCAAGTACGAGTGGTCTCACTGGAGTATTGTCCTTACATTGGTTTCTGGTTTGTTGGGTTTGGTCTTGTTCATGGGCTACGAAACCACCTCGTGGGCCACGGAGCCCGTCGTCCCCCCGCGACTCTTTGCGACCCGGACCTCGGCCATTGTGTTTGCCGTAACCTTTCTCAACTCGGCCAACCTCTACTGGGTTTTGTTCTTTTTGCCCGTCTACTTCCAGGCTGTGTTGCTGGCTTCACCCACGAGGAGCGGCGTGTACCTGATTCCGGTTATAGTCATTGCCGTCCCCACGGCCGTCGTTGCCGTTCTCCTCTTGGCAAAATTCGGCAGGTATAAGCCTCTCCACTTGTTGGGCTTCGCCTTATCCACGCTCGGGTTGGGTCTGATGACGCTCCTCGACGAGCACAGCAGCACCGCCGAGTGGGTGGTGATTTCAATGGTTGCCGGCGGTGGGGGTGGTTTCGTGCTCAACACGCTGCTTCCCGCGGCACAGGCGGGCCTCCCAGAAAGCGACCAGGCCGCGACCACGGCAGCCTGGTCCTTCACCCGCTCCTTCGGGTCGATCTGGGGCGTGGCCATCCCCGCCGTCATCTTCAATAACCGCTTCAACGAATTGGCCTGGCGACTCACCGACCCGACACTACGAAATCAATTGGTGCACGGCAGGGCGTATCAATATGCCTCGAGTCATTTTGTCAAGTCTTTCAGTAGTCCCATCCGCGAAGCACTCATCAAGACGTACGCACTGGCGCTGAAACGGGTGTGGGAGGTTGCTATCGTCATTGCCGGAGTTGCCTTCCTCCTGACAATGTTCGAAAAGGAGATCAAGCTTCGAACAGAGCTGGAAACCGCGTACGGCATGGAAGAGCGCAAAAAACGGGAATCGCACGTTTGAATTTTGTTTCTACATTGTTTTTCTCGTTGGCTTCTCGTCGCGAAAAGTCTGGAAGTTTCCTTTCAAAGTCCAAACAATCTCAAAGCTTCGAAGACGGCTTCAACAAATCCGAAGCGCCACTCAGGGCTTGTACAGCGTGTTTCATCATTTACTTGACAATTTCAGCGGCGGTTTGATGGGGGATGTTTACCAGTGCTGATACTACACCCATCGGTCTGCTGTGAAAAATCTTCATGCAGGATCAGACCCGTTCTGGCAGTCGGCCAAGATGACTGTCAATTGAGCTGCGTACGCCGCCGGGGCGCCACTCGTGGTTGGTGCGCTGAACAGCGATGAAAATATGGGAATTGGATTTACATGGCAGGAGGGTGCGATTCCTGATGACATTGTTGGCAACATTATCAATGGGGCGAGAACGTATCTGAATCCTCAGTCCAACTTTGAAGGGTGGAAGAAGACGATGATAGCTTGTCCATTTCGGCCGGTGCTAGGTCTAGCTGCAAGAAGAGCCTCTAGACAAACGGCTGGCATTCCTCAGTCCGATCTTGCACAAATGCGAGGAAAGTGGCCCACTCAAATGGACCAACCTTGAAAAGAAGTCGCATCCCGCGGTTGAGCCCAACAGCATTGCGAGTAGCCTTTCGGAAGGAGCAGGCGTCCTTATTGCCAGCCTTCATAAGATAGTGGTCACTGAAAATTGCGGCCATATACGCCGATATAATCACTTCCTAGAAACCGAACATTGGCTACCTTATGGAGGTCATGACCTAATACGATAAGCCTAGAGAGGACCTACAGCATTGCACAATGGTAAAAGCATTCGGGCAGATCCTGGGAGACTAGATAGCTTATAAAGTTCCGAGCGCCCACATCTGTTCTGCCTTGCCAACATCTTTGAGTACCGTCTAGACACTCTAGGGGTTAGTGTCCAACCACGGAAGGCTCGATGCAGATATCAAGGTAGGTAGATTTATGCGTACAGGAAGAGCCATCCTCTATTTTCCCTAGGACTAACTATTATGACACCATGGCGGGTCCAGGCTATAAGTAGAAGCCTCAGGGACTAGTTATTATTACGGTAGTAGATACTATAGAGCAGGACATGAGGCGAGAGTGGAAGGTAACTAGCCGAGTATAAAATCTGATCCTAGTATGAAGTCAGAAATATATAATCCACTTTGTCAATAACAGCTATCATGATATATCCAGAAAAGTGAGCGCTGCAGCTGTCATTGCATCGCCTCCGGTTTGAAGTGTTGGATGGATTGCTGGAGCAAACTGCGCGCTATGATTGATAGGGACTTTATCCAGTTGACTTTTGGACAGCAAAGAATTCCAGAGCTCTCTATCTGTCCCGCCGAATAGCCAGAAACAATACGGCTTTCCAATTGAAGATGCAAGAATGCTAAAGTCTTCGCTAGCTAGACTGCTCTTGGGTGCGACAAAGAACTCAGGTCCAAAAAGATCCCTAAATGTCTGCTGCAACTTGCTCTCGGTGGCGTGGGCATTGTCGGTGACAGGGACGCTCATGTGATGTTCGATCGACGGTGGTTTCTCACAAAAGCCTGCGTCGCACTCGCTCTCGATAACCTTGCGAATATGCTCCAGAACAGTAGATCGAACCTCATCAGAAAGAGTGCGGACGTTGATAGTAAAAAAGGCATGATCGCAGATAACATTCTCAGCCTCGCCAGCATGGATTGCTCCAACTGTGATAACGGCAACTTCGTCAGGAGGAACCACGCGACTTACAATAGTCTGAAGGCGGACGACAATATGACTGGCAATAACAATCGGATCTATGCATCGATGCGGCATACTACCGTGCCCCCCTCGACCATAGATAGTGACCTTCATACTGTCGGACGAACTCATGATAGCACCGCTTTTGGAGGTAACCATTCCCGCTGGAATAGGAGCAACGTGCTGACCTAGCACAATATCCGGGATTGGGCAATTGTGTCGAGCACTGTCAAACAGGCCATCCTCGACCATTCCTCGAGCTCCATCTCCCGCCTCTTCAGCCGGTTGAAAGAGGAAGACGATAGTCCCGGTCCAAGACTTGCGCATCTTCAGGAGTGTCTCAGCTGCGATCAACAAACACACAACATGAACATCGTGTCCACAGGCTATGGACAATCATTAGCTGCCCGGCGTCCAGGTTAGGACTAGTGCTTGAGCTTCCTTACCGTGCATGACTGGAGTTTCCTTTCCGCTGCTGTCAATCTGTGTTCGAACACTCGCATATTCAAGGTTGGTCTTCTCAGCCACGGGAAGAGCATCGAAGTCTGCGCGCAGTAAAACAGTTGACCCTGGCCCATTTCGCAAGATTGCGACTAATCCGTGGCCTCCGATCCCTGTCCGAATTTCAAAATTGGCGCTCAATGCCTTCAATTGTCGAACGATCAATGATGCCGTTTCAGCTTCTTGATGAGACAACTCGGGGTGTTTGTGTATGTACTTATACAAGGTCTCATAGCCCGCCATATCTGGTCGCGCATCTTCAATGAGAGATTTCTGTGTAGGCATATTGTAGCTGAACTGATTTCTCAGGTTATCTGGGAGACGACGCCGAAATTGGTGACTAAGGAAAGATTGGCGACTTCCCAAGAATATTATTAGGTGTACTGATGGCATTAAATGGTCGACTTTGGGGAGAGCTTTCAACCTGTTACCCTTTTCAGCTGCCAAGCTGAATCAAGGAGGCAAGGAGGCTAGGGAACCATATCTTCTTCATTTGAGCTGGCTCGATCCGACAGCTTCCGGTCTGGGCAGGCCTTTTCTTAGCAATTCCTGGAGTGGCATCTCAGGCTATGTCCAACTAGCGGGTTAGTGGGCTCCACCAACCCCGGACTTCAAAATCCGGCGTATGATATGCAGATTTAAGCGAAGCTAGCGTTGCTTCCGAAAGCTGGCGCCGGGATAAAGAGTCCGTGGTCCATGCCCCTGCATGTGCTTCGCCAGCTACACAATTAGGTTTCCATGTCTGCAGTAGGTTTAATCACGTAAATGGCCTCGCTTACTACCAGTCTAGGCGCGTCTGAGCTTTAGGAAGGAAGCTTCAATAGTGGTGGACACGGTCATCTAGATGCACATGCCAAGATCATGGGCTCTCATGGGTCGAGTTCACCAGCCTGTCTCTGTTACCAGTGCACCGACATACAACCCAATAACGGGTACTGTTACTTCAAATTGCCCAAGCCTCATTCGATAATACAGAACACAAGATCCGCGGTATGCATCAAAAAGGTAAGTGCTGTGGCTGCCAGTTACATGGCTCAGTCGCTCTGGCGGCTTGTCACCTCCGGAAGGATCTGGAAACTGAGGATCTGGACCCTCGGCTCTACAATCAACCTCAAACATATAAAGCTTGGGTGATAAACATAGGCCGGACTTGTTAGCCAGCCTGTGCGAAGCCTGCAACTGGGACTTGCATAGACAGGGCAAAGATGGCGGACGGTATTCCATTTCCGAAGGGGCTGCCTTTCCTAGGCAACATTTTCGATATTGATGCAGAATTTCCTATGCAAAGCCTTATGAGCTTGGCCAACAGATATGGTAAGCCTGATATCACTTCTGTTGTGGTGCAACCACACTAGGGCTCATCGCCGTCTTTTACAGGAGAGATATTCAAGCTTAGATTGGGGGGAAATGAGCGGGTCTTCATTTGCCAGCATGGACTTTTCGACGAGCTTATGGACGAAAAGCGTTTCGAAAAGGCAGTTACAGGAGCTCTCGTCCATATTCGAGGAGCTGTTCATGATGGTCTATTCACTGCTCTGCCAGGAGAACACAATTGGGAGGTTGCGCATCGAGCATTGATGCCAGCATTTGGACCCTTGCCCATCCATGGAATGTTTGACGGTGCGTACCTATCAAGTTTTTGCTCATCACACAATGGACACAATTTTGAGACTCTAGACACAGAAATGTATGACATCGCCAGCCAGTTGGTTCTTAAATGGGAACGTTATGGCCCTAATCATGACATCCATGTCACCGATGACTTTACTCGCTTGACCCTGGATTCGATAGCTTTGTGAGTGAGCAGATGTGACTCAAATTGCCAACTGACAGATCTAGGTGTGCTATGGGGACTCGATTCAACTCGTTCTACACGGAAGAAATGCACCCTTTCGTCCATGCAATGGTTGGTATGTTGGTTGGGGCAGGCGAGCGTGCACGGCGGCCGCCCCTACCCTCGTACTTTTATCAAGCTGCAGATCGAAAATTCCAAGAAGATGTCAACTTGATGGTCAAAGTTGCCACGGACCTCGTCAAGCAGCGCCGCGAAAACCCTACGGAAAAGAAAGACCTACTAAATGCAATGCTGTACAACAAAGATCCAAAGACTGGCGAGCATCTGAGCGACGAAAGTATCGTGAACAACATGATCACATTCCTTATTGCTGGTAAGTTTCAGCCTTGGTTGGCTTGTGCATTCAAGCTGAAGGGATACAAAGGGCACGAAACTACTTCTGGGCTTCTCTCTTTCGTTTTCTACGAGCTCCTCAAAAACCCAGAGGCATATCAACGTGCTCAAAAGGAGGTCGACACTGTGGTTGGTGACGAGCCTGTCACGATTCAGCACCTCTCGAGATTAGAATATCTCAACGCAATCCTCCGAGAGACACTGCGCCTTCATCCACCAGCTCCGGCGTTTACGGTCAAAGCGAAACAAGATGAGGTCATTGGCGGCAAATACCATGTCACAAAGGACATGGCGCTTGTCTCATTTTTGATGGCAATCCATCAAGATCCAGCTGTTTATGGCGAGGATGCGCAGCAATTCCGACCGGAGAGGATGATGAATGAGCCTTTCAGCAAGCTCCCTCCGAACGCCTGGAAGGTATGTGTCTGCTCCCATGTGAGCAACTACCGGAACTAACTTCCAATGTAGCCATTCGGAAACGGCTCCCGTGCATGCATTGGTCGACCCTTTGCATGGCAGGAGGCGCTGCTAGCCTTGGCCATGCTTCTTCAAACCTTTGAGTTTAGCATGTCAGATCCAGCCTATCAGCTTATAATTCAGTCTACTTTGACCATCAAACCCAAAGGCTTTTATATGAGGGCGAAGGCTCGACATCCTGACGTTGAATCTCGCTTTCGTGGGCCATCATCATCTTCTACCATGCCCCCAACGACATCAACACAACAATCTGCACCATCATCAGGCCCCGAGCCGACCCTTCCAATTTTGTACATCTACTATGGCTCCAATACCGGGACATGTGAAGCCATGGCACACTCTTTGGCATCTTCAGCCTCCTCTCATGGCTTCCAGGCCAAGGTTGACATACTGGATAAGGCAACGGATGCTCTGCCCAAACAGGGCCCAATGGTGGTTATCACATCGAGTTACGAAGGAGAGCCACCAGACAATGCTGCCCATTTTGTCTCCTGGTTGAAGGGTTTACAAGGGACTGAAGCGAGTGGAGTCAAGTATGCTGTTTTTGGATGCGGAAATCGTAAGCATTTCCCTTGAGGATCGCGTGTGATTGGACGCTTACAATGTACCAGGAGACTGGCAACATACTTATCACAAGATTCCAAGGCTTGTCGATGCAACTCTGGCAGAGAGAGGTGCGGAGCGTTTAGTCCCCATAGGAGTTGCTGATGCCAATGATGCCAACATCTTCGACCGCTATGATATCTGGAAAGACGAAAAATTGTGGCCGGCTCTTGCGGAGACGTTCCACACCAAACAAGGAAATCAGGGCACGCCTCTAAAGACAGGGTTAGAAGTCCAGGTCTCCACGGATACAAGGGCAAGCTACCTACGGCAAAATCTCAAGCAAGCACTAGTGCGCTCAGGGACTCCTTTGACACCTCCTGGTGCACCCGAGAAGCGACACCTGGAGATTGAGCTTCCCTCTGGAATGACCTATCGGGCAGGCGACTATCTGGCCATTCTTCCATTCAACCCGGTTGCAAACGTACGGAGAGCCATGGCAAGGTTCTGTCTCCCCTGGGATGCTATTATCACCATCAGTCCAGGTGAACACACCACACTTCCTGTGGGCAAACCTATTCCATTGTTTCAAGTCTTCTCTGCATTGGTCGAGTTGTCACAACCCGCAACTTCGAAGCAATTGAGGCACGTGGCGGCAACAATCCGAGAACCAGACATAAGAGATAGCCTCGAAAAGCTTGCAGGAGAGGATTTCGATGCAGAGATCATCAAGAAGAATAGGTCCCTCCTCGACATCTTGGTCCAATATCCGACCGCACAGTTCTCGCTTGGTCAGTTCCTTCAAGAGCTGCCTCTCCTGCGAGTTCGACAGTACAGTATCTCCTCGTCTCCGCTCAATGATCCATCAAATTGTACGATTACCTATTCGGTTATTGATGCCCCAAGCAGAAGCGGAAAGCCGGAAGAGGGTCATTTCTTGGGAGTCTGTACTAATTACCTACGTTCGCGGCAGCCTGGAGACTGGATCCATGTTGCAGTGCGACCTAGTCACCAGGGCTTCCATCTTCCCTTGGCCGATGACTTCCCAATCTTGATGATATGTGCCGGGACCGGACTTGCACCTTTCCGAGCGTTTGTTCAGGAGCGAGCGATTAAGATCGGCTCCGGAGGAAAGTTGGGGCCAGCGTTGCTGTTTTATGGCTGCGGCTCCCCGGACCGTGACGATCTTTACAAGGATGAGTTTGCAGAATGGCAAGCACAAGGGGCAGTCGAAGTCCGACATGCTTATTCTCGATCGCCGGAGCAGAGCCTCGGCTGTCGTCATGTACAGGACAGGATCTGGCACGACCGGAGTGATGTGAAAGAGCTCTTTCTGCAGAAGGCCCGGATTTACATGTGCGGCTCCAGTGCCTTGGGGACGGAGATCAATAAGGTGTTCAGCAAGATCTACATGGATGTTCAAGGAGTCTCTCAAGACGAAGCAGATGCATGGGTTGCCCACTTGAAAGGCGTCAGGTATTGGGCAGACGTATTTGCTTAGCCTGTGTGCTCCAAATATGAGAGACTCAGTTCAAGACAATGAAGACTTGAGAATATTACATTGTTCCAAGTTGGTATTGCGTATGGCGCCCCTATCACCGCCTCCCCTGCTGTTCATGACGACCGCTAGAAGAATGATACCTATAATTCATTTTGGAATAGGGACTATGGGCTGTATGTAGGTGGTGGGGTCTCAGGAGCCAAGTCGTCATTGCCATCATAGTCTTCAACAATAGCTTGAAAGGAATCCCCCCCATAACTCCGTGTTCCGCTGGTATACAACTGATAGTCTTGCCACTGAATCCCGGCTAGGTGGCAACCTTGTTCATCATCTTCCTCCAAGCCTTCACTCAGGCGCATCTCAAGCTGTCTTCCAGACTCTGGTACAACTCGAATAGGGACGTCCCGCAGAGCAAACCTGTGCTTCTTCCATTGGTGCTTTATGCAAAAGAATACATCAAGGCTGTGGGATCGAGCAATATTGTAAGTTGAGAAATCAGCAGCCAGCAGTTCAGCCGGAACAGACAGGTCTGTCGTATCGCATAGGTTGACAGTTGAGGCCAGAGTATTTGTCTCCTTCTGAGATGCTGATGACTTCACTGATATAGGCACTTTGCAACACCCTTTCCGAGTAAAAATGCGTTTGACTGACGAGTCCGTGTGCGATCCTGCTCGCACTTGCATGCGCTGCACCAGTGAGATCTTGAAGGAACTCACCGCGAGGTCTCCATATTCTCCCACTCTAGACGGCCCCAACTCTTGGGTCGATGTAGTACGGTCCATTGTACAGGAGACCGGGACGGATAGTGCTTGCTGTGCTTTGATTTCGAGCTTCTTCGGCAACAAGACTGAAAAGCAAAGTTTTGCCTCGGATCGACGGTGTCCACCATCTCTGGGAAAAATCGAAAGCAGGCGGCGAACCGGCCCGCGTGAAGCGTCTGCAAGGTCGCAGAGCATTGTATAGCGCTGAATGGTGTATGGCCAGTCATTCCCAGGATCTCTGCAGGAACCCATATCGAGGCTCTGAACAGTTATCGACCGAGTTGCTTGCATTTTCTCGCACTTGCTCTTTGAGCCATTGGTAGCGGGAGACCGATGCAGGATTGCTGCTTCAAGGCCATATTGTACAGTACAAACAAATTTGCCAGTCCTTCTCATACTCGGGGGCAGAGGATGGGCAACTAGTGCCATATCACCTTTCCATGGTTCCTGTGGATAGAATGAGTCTCTCGATCCTGGCGGCACGGCTCGAGGAGCTGCAAACAGTGGAATTCGAAAAGCGAAGGGCCAGTCGTAGGTCCCCTTACGTTGTACACATTCACCACTGTGTAGATTCAAATGCCGACTGAAGAGGTAACTCTGAGAAGTATAATCTGTTCTGGATCCCACCAGATCACCATAGTATTGGTTTAGAAAGACTTTGGCAAGGCCTTTGAAGTTGACAGTCAGGGATTCAACGACCCAGTCTTCGTAAGCTGTGAACCTGATAACGCCCGGAACCAGAGATCCAGGTGTGAATGGTTGTTCTTCATCATAAGAGACGTTGATTGAAAGGGCCATAGAAGAATCAATGTGATCCAACAGCTTCGACTGCGGGTAATGTAGAGTATACTTCTGCTGCAGAGCGTATATCAAGGTCAGGGGCAGACATCGGGCTGAGGCTGAAATGGTTCATATCTTACACTGTGATATCAAAGAATCAGTCAGGGCCTCTGTTGAGGTAGGGTGGTTTTGAGCAAGTCTACCCCTCGTGCCTACATTACTTCCCAAAGGCTCAAAAAGCACCTGGCCGATGGCTGACGGTGGAAATAGCATCACTTACTGCGCTCTGTCTACTAGTTCTGTGCTGGCATAACAGCACCGGAGTTCCAGCCTGCTTCTTCCGCCCGGCTCCACCGGAGGATGTCGGTCTGGTTGCCTTGGATGCAGTCTTGGAATACTGTTCAATAGGGAGTAGGAGGTTACGTTTATGACATCGCTAGAAAGACGGTCAATCTCCTAGGTGCTATCCATAGAATGGCTCCTTTCCGAAGTCCAGGGAGACCCGAAGTATGAATCCTCCTGTTAGTACTCTCTCGTCCAGAGTGTAATGCAGCAGCCTGTACCGGTTGCCGGCTCTTCCGGCCAGGCCGCCTAGTCACAGTTTCCACTACCTTACCACCTAAAGCCTGCTTGAAAAGAAACACACATGACAAGCTGAGAAAGTACTAATCGGCACTTCGAAAGCTAACATCCTTTACAAAAGTGATATCACCAACGTGCAGGGTTTTATATTGAAAAAACGTGAACAATTGAGATCATTTCATGGGTTACCGCTCCTTGACCGTTCCATCCGGACGACCCGGGTGGACTATTATGTTCCCAAGTAGAAAGCACTGGCATTCTAGTAACTCTATTCAACTATATGCCCAAATATGATGCAAACTTAGTGGGCTTCTTTGACAATACTTTTGAGTATATAGGTATAAAATCTTGGTTCCTTGACTATAGAGACGGAAGGCTTAACATGAGTAGCGTACAGCTCATACACAATATACTAGGAGCCGGTGCGAGCTCCAATCCAAGCTAAAAACATAATGCAGCTATCAAATGGAGACGAAAAAAGACAACCCATCCAGAGAAGAGCATACGGTATTCTTCGATGGTTCAAGGTTCACAGAGACTACCGAGCCAGTCTGCCACCTATTATATCCAGATTCACCGGCTACCGAGCACCAGAGGCTGAGCCTCCATATGAGCCTTTGCCGTTTCCCCCTTTCACCTGGTTAACGAAAATCCCCCTTCGACTCGAAGTATGGATTCTTGGCTGGATCGGCGCTTTCGGTGGCATCCTCCTCATCGAAGCAATCATGTCGACCAGTACAGCTTTCCGCGACGTTTATCACACACCCACTATCATTACGTCTTTTGGTGCGTCGGCAGTTCTTCTCTTTGGAGTAATCGAGTCCCCAGTGGCGCAACCGCGCAATTTTGTCCTTGGTCATTTCATCTCGGCCCTTGTTGGGACCGCCATCACTCGGTTATGGGTGTTGAATGGAAGCTACCAGGGGTGGCTTGACAATACTGAGTTTCACCCATCGACCTTCATCAATGGAGGACTTTCGATGGCTACCTCCCTACTTGCTATGCTCATCACGGGCACCGCTCACCCTCCGTAAGTCGCTTCTTGCACGAAATCTTGACAATACTAAATCTTGGACAGCGCTGGTGCCACTGGTCTCAATGCTGCGGTCCAAACGCAAGTGGTGACATTATCATGGAGATATTTACCCACCATTCTGGCCTCGTCACTTATCATGCTTGGGTGGGCTTTGATTATCAACAACCTTGGACGACGTCGATATCCACTCTACTGGTGGGCCCCTGGGGCAACATTTGTCTGCATTGAGGAGAACCCGGAGCTACAAAAGGCAGAAGAAGGTGAGGTTGAACGCGAGGAGATGGAAGAGGGTGAGCTGGAGCGAGAGAGTACGGCTGCCAGCGAAAGACTGTCTGAGGATAGTAGGGAGGCTGGTGAAAGATCACGTCGACTGTCTTCAAGAGTGCTGGACCCTGAAAGAATCCAGACCGGGCCATCATCTTTGCAAAGTGCTATTGATTCTTTTCCAGGGGAGTTTTCGAACCGGCGGCTGAGTTCGAGTCGAGAGCGCTGTCAATCAGACTAGATATTACTCGCAGGAGAAAGGCTTGAGTGGAGTAGCCTACACGATTTATAAGAGTATTTGCACAAGTCAGAATAAGGTAAATAGGTTATTGACTTCAAGGACTGTTCCAAGCACAGAAGTATCAGGAGCGTAGATACATTAACCCATAAGGTGAACACAAATTAACAGCAGCGGTGGTAAGATCGATAGTTGCAAACCGGGATAACACAAGTGAATTTATCTACATAAGAGGACTGGTTGTGCTCAAATATTTTGGCATCCCGAATCTATCGAAGGTATGTATCGCCTATCTTCTACCGACGGCTGGCAAAGCTAGTTGAACCTGCCATCACCATTGACCCTAATCATCAACCACATCTGACAGCCAAAAGCGAGCGAGGTTGTCAAGACGCTTTGTATAAAGCAGCAGCACTCTTTCAAAATACTCATGACCATCTTATTTTGTACTCTCTGGAGTGGTCTTTTGACAGCAGCCACAGCATATAACAATCGGGACGAATAGAGTGTTCTTTGTCACTCCCCCATTCCCTCACTATACGCTTCGCGAGGCTAAAACATCAGGTAGCTTCCTTAGAGCTTGTGGCATGTTCTCGGTCAGTGGAGAGCCGCCTCAGCTCATGCGACTGCCTTCTCATCTCTTGCGTAAGCTCCCTGGCAAGCTCGAGGTTTTCTTCCAAAGTGTGGTGGCGGACGAGAATATCCTCGTTTTCTTCATCGTCACCATCGACATCCTCGCCACGGGAATTGCGTCGAAGATTTTCTTCCAGAGTGTGATGACGATAGAGACCGGAGTCGTGGCGATTCTCGATCGGAGGGGGCGCTGACACCTCACTTAAATTCCCAAGGGGGTCGGATTGACGCCGCTGTTTGGATGTGTGAGGGCGGCGATGCCGTCTAAATAGAGCACAGAGTCTTTCCCACATAGTTAAATTTGCTTTTCGTAAGTACTAACGCCTGGAATCTGCGGGAAAAACCGTCTGAAGCTGATCTTTGCCTTCCTTTATCACGATGAGTGGCACTTAGGTTGGTTTATTTTCCCAGGCACCGAGACGCCAGGAAACCTTGACACATTATTATGCACACCACACTACGGCTCCGTGCGGGCCGGATGGCTCGCTGACAAAGATAAGTCCACTGCGCTTAGATATCAGCGCCCATAACACCATATGCTTCTACATCCTCTGCTGATTGTTCGTTCCTTGCCCTGCTTCTCGTCACCAATTTGGACAGTTTTGGTCGGCATGAGTATGCCACAATCAGAAACTTATACTCGCAAGGTGGTTGGCACTGTCGGCTCCTTGGAGTATCGCTTGTATCTGGAGAGAAATGGATCACCTATTTCAATCTGGCATGACATCCCATTGTACTGTGATGATGATAAAAAGATTTTGAATATGGTTGTAGAGATCCCACGATGGTCAAACGCGAAGTTAGAGGTACGTGGCATTGAATAGTGTGGCTGGCAAGATGTCAGCGCTTGCACTTATCGACTATTCGCCGACATTCATGAGGGAAGATTTCCAGAAACGAAGCCTTCAACCCGATAAAGCAGGATGTCAAGAACTACAGCCCCCGATTCGTAGCGAATCTCTTCCCTTATAAAGGCTACATCTGGAACTATGGTGCTTTCCCAGGAGTAAGTTTATGATTGTCCAGTCTCTGTGTTACTCGGCCGAATCACTAATGCCTCCAGACATGGGAAGACCCCTCTTATGTGCACCCAGACACGAGGCACCCTGGTGACAATGATCCTCTGGATGCCTTGGAGATTGGTGAACGGGTTGCGTATACTGGTCAGATAAAACAAGTCAAGGTTCTTGGAGTGATGGCTCTCCTTGACGGCGGTGCAACAGACTGGAAAATTATAGTTATCGATATCAATGACCCATGCGCGAGCCAAATGAGCGACATCAGTGACGTACAACAGCATTTTCCAGGGCTTTTGGAGGCAACACGAGACTGGTTCAAGCTCTACAAAGTTCCCGACGGGAAAGAACCAAACAAAATCGCCTTGAACGAAGAGTTTGGAGATAAGCAGTGAGTCTTACTATGCACACGATATGGGGTCTTCATACCACCTCCTTCTCTTGTACCCGAAATCAGTCATGCTTCTTTCACTGACATAACAGTAGTTATGCAATGTCAATAGTCGAAGAATGTCGACATGCATGGGAAAAACTGATTGATGGCCAGGCGTCTGCAGGTGCCATAAGTGTTGTCAGGGGAAAGAAAAGTAATAGATTCTTGAATTTCAACAACTCTGCAGATGAAAATGGGCTTCAATCGACGGGACAGGACTTGGACAAGTGGTTCTTCCTCAAGAGATAGCTTATGGGTGCATGAAAGCTACACAGCCTGAGACAATTGATCCATATCAGTGCCGACCACCGGAATAGGCATATCGGAACGACTCTCCGGCGTAAGAGTAGTCTACTTTCTTTGCCGCCAGTTCCTCCTCGATATCCATAAGCCGGTTGTACTTAGCCACTCTCTCGCCACGGCAGGGTGCACCAGCCTTTAGATGGCCACAGCCAATCCCGACGGAAAGGTCAGCGATGAAGTCGTCCGTTGTTTCTCCAGAGCGGTGGGACACAAAAACTGACCAACCAAGTTCGTACGCCCGGGCTGCCGCGGCAATAGCTTCGCTCACTGTTCCAATTTGGTTTACCTTCAAGAGTAGAGAGTCACATGCGTCAGCTTCCGCGGCCTTCTCTATGCGTTTGATGTTAGTCGCCAGGAGATCATCGCCGACCAACTCCACATTATGGTCTTTAGAAACAGCATGAAAAGCCTTCCATGATTCCCAGTCGTCTTGCGCAAAAGGATCTTCCAACAAGACGATTGGGTACTTCTCGACCAGCTCCCGGTACAAATCCGACAATTCTGTACTGGTGAGTTTTCTGGGCTTGTCGGACTTGAAACCCAAGTCGTAGCATTTATCGCCAAAGAATTCCGATGAGGCCGGATCAATACCTATTTTTATCTTTCTCTCATGTCCTGCGGCTTTGATGGAGGCCATTATGAGATCCAACGCTTCAGAAGGTTGAGTTATGGGCGGCGCGAAACCCCCTTCGTCGCCAATGCCCGTGGCTACTTTGCCAAACTTCTCGATAATCATTGATTTCAACGCCTGATACACCTCGCTCGCCCATTGGATGCCCTGAGTGATAGAGGCAGCACCTGTCGGTGCGATCATAAACTCTTGAAATGCCATTGTATTCCCTGAGTGGACACCGCCATTGAGCACATTGAAGAAAGGGACCGGCATGATGTACTGCTGGGTAGAAGGTCGAACCTCGCTGGCCAGAAAGTCATACAGCGGAATTTTCTAGGCAACGACTCGTTAGTACCAGTTCATGCTAAGGTACTTGAAACCTTGTTGACTTACCTTCGCAGCTGCACATGCCCTGGCACAAGCCATGCTGACACCCAGAATAGCATTCGCACCCAGTTTACTCTTGTCTGGGGAGCCATCTAGGTTGATCAGAAAGGTATCAATCTCTTTCAAGCCAGCTTCTAGGTCATATTTCCTGCCCAGAAGCGCGGGACCGATGATCTCTTGCACGTTCTTTACGGCTTGCTGGACTCCAGCTCCGCCGTACGCATCACTCCCATCGCGCAGCTCGATCGCTTCATAATCCCCTTTGGATGCGCCCGAAGGTACGATTGCGCGGAATCTCCCGTTGCTGGCTTCAACTTCGACTTGTACCGTGGGCTTGCCGCGAGAGTCAAGGCGCTGAGACGCTTTCACAGCTGTTAAGAACGTCGGCATCTTTGATAAAATGAACAGAAGTGTCAGTGCCAGAAATGCAGATTCCCAACCTTCTTTAGTGGTCTCGTTTATATCTAAGAGCCTCGGAACTTCGGATGCCTATTATTATCTCACTCATTGCACATGAGCAATCTTTATCCTCTTGTTGAGTGGGAAGGACTAGACCAGCATTTCAAGCGGCAATCACGGTGCGGCCGGGATGGTGGTCTGACTTTGGCATTCCCCACCGACTTACTCAGGGGACAATTGGATCTTAGGAAGGGGCCGTGACATGGGATCGACAGGCTTTTGGGCCCCTTATCCCGGACAGTGGCCGGAAGACACTACCATCAGCCTATAGCAAGCGGTAATCTGCTCCAAATTGTTCCTATTCGAACTATTTGTATCATGTAGCAAATCCATGTGTAGCCAAAAGCCCAAAACACGCTTTCTGCTCTTTATCCGTGATTATGCTAGCTAGGTTTTATGTGGCCGAATGATGCAGGAAGGGATTATACACTGCATTCACGAATTGTGCCGACCCTGCCATGGCATGATGTGCGTTAGCTTGGATTACTTGCGGAAGGTGAGCTACGTATAGAAGGAAAGAAAAATAACCGAGAGACAGTGATCTCACTCCAACTGAAACACCTTTGTTGCTGTTATGGAGGGTCACTTACACATTACCGGCTCTGAGACCTCATAAGGCATTGTCTGAAACATAAGGTTGAAAGACTCTTGGCTTGGGTCAACAGAGTCAAACTGTGACGGCATCGTAGCATGGAAGAGATCACTGGATGGTAGTATATCTGTTATAGTGTCGGCTCCATTCTCGGCTGCAGGGGTGGCCCCAACTCCAAGACAGTTCATTGTCCTCCCTAAGATGAGCAAGGGAAGGTGTGTCAGAGCAAGATTCTGGAGCAAAACCAAGAGTAAACGGGAGGGTAGCCACAGGATTGAATTCAGAGATATGGATGGCTCGCTGCCTCGAGAAAAAGGCCACGGCAGAGAGCGGGAGCACAGTTGCTTGCTGTGGGATGGATGTTTAGACTTACCTTGGGACAGCGTTCTTGTTTTCTTGAGCCTTTTCATCATGTCGCTCGCCAGCCTTGCTGCATTTGAATTAGAGCTAAGGGCTTGACAGACCTTGAGGCAAACTTCGGCATCTTCATCCACAGCAGCCCAGTCTATGTCTTTGAAGGCTTCCTTGTCCAAATCCAGATCCACGCAAATGCTTGCAACAAGAAGGATTGAACTGGCACAAATAAGACATGATATCATCTGCCACCAAGGAAAGCCATAAACCAGACTCTTCTTGTCGTCCAGGTTATGGAGTAGCTTCGCAGTGTGTTGTGCAGCAACAACACACTTTCTTTTCGACATTGAGATGCGACCGCATTCTGCTCGATAAAACGCCATAGGGTCGGGACATGATCCAAATATTTTGGCGGGTGATAATAGGGGCCGGTGAATCAGCGCTTGCAGGTTGTAGAATTTTACTGCAAGCATATTTCGCTGGAATTAATGTTAGCGGAAAGAAACTTCGACTTGCATATGGGGCGACACACCTGTCTTTTATAAATGATGGACTTTTCAAAAGTATGAGACAGGTCGAACCTCAGGTGTCGCGGCAAGTTGAACCGCCATTGTGACAAGTCGACGTCTAGACGATCGATGTGTGACAAGATCAAAGCGGCATCCCCTGCTCTTCTTGGTCCGTAAAGACTCCCGAAGACTCTGCCAATTATTTCTGAAAACTTTATCATTGCAATAAAGTAGTCCCCTACCCAATCTGTCCCTTGAACATCATGCTGACCTCTTTGATTCGACAAGTCGACGTCCGACTGTCGAGACGGTAGTTTAACATCAAAATCTTCCTCGCTGATGGCGGGTGGACGTCCCAATTGCAATGCCAGGAGGCGATCCAGCACATATATGGAATACCAAACTCGACGACACATTTCTGGTGGCGCCAGAGCATTTTCGCCACCCGCGCGATGATCTTCTTCAACGTGGAGACCGATGCTTTGGGCAATTCTGACGGCCAGGCCCAGCGTTGTCCAACATCGATCGGTCTGGCAAGTGGCCAGAAGATAAAAGCATTGAGCAAGCAGAGCGCAAATATGGTCCACTGTATGCTTAGAGCTGTAGTTCTGTGCAATAGCGACCGCGCGATCGAAATGACGGTGATGCTGATAAGACATCTGAGGATTGGAAGCTTCACTTTCGGCCTCGGCAATCCTCACATAACAGGAACCGATGGCGAAAATGGTTACTAAGAAGAAATCAGTGTAGTTCAATCGAGGGCCATCCAGAGGTTCAAAGAAATTGCATATTTGAGGGATTTGAGATACTGCCAGATTGTTTCAGTGGGCAGCCGGGACGCGTAATTTATTCAGGAAGGCCGTAGGATAAGTGTCATCGGGAAAATACTTTTCTGAGAGTCTCAGTATTTCATCTCAGACATGCACTTACGCAACAAAGATAGCCATGGGCCGCGGAAACCCTCCAGTGAATCCGATTGCCAAAATGATTCGTATGTTCGCCTGAAATCCGGTTCAGAGATGAAGGGATAGGCGATGTGAATTGTAGAGAAGTATATATCGACAAAACTGTCCGCACTCCCCTTGGGCGGTAGCGACCCTTGGTTCTGGTCCAAGAGTTGCTGATGAGCACCTTCTTGTTCATAACTATCAACTCGCGCCTCTGAATCGTCCTCTTGCTGGCCTGACTGGGTTTGCTGGGAACAGGCCGATTGCATGGCATGGAAGAAGCGAATGTCACTCGCCTCGCCCAGGTACCGACCAAAGGTCGCTGGGTGGCGATCATTGGCAACAGCCTGCCCCGGCGACGGTTCGACACTTGCAGCATCATTTCCAAGATGCTTTGTAAAATAGTCTGGAAGTTGAATTGATGCAAGCCGCAAGTCGACAGTTTTGCAATCATCCTGAGAGAGGTTTTTGCGGAGGTCCTTCAGCAAGCTGTCGTAAACGGCAATAGCGTCTCTTAATTTTTGGCCCTCAGTCTCCAGAGAGAGCCAATTCAGATTCGCACCATTGCCGTCGGAGGCACACTTTCGAATGCTACCCTCACTCCAGCGACACGAATAACCATAGCCCGCGCAGCGTCCGCACGTCGGTTGGTTTCCATCGCACTTTCAGGGCAAAACATATCAGCTCCACCCTACATTTAGATTGACAAACAGCGTTCTCCAGGATGAGGCATATTGCTTACCTTAGCTTTCAGACTGCGGCAACTGTCGCAAGCATGTGCAACACGGCGTCGCTTCAGAGACGGAACTGTAGCCATGGGCTGGATACTACCCTGGCCGGAAGAATGGATGCGGCGGAATCCTTCACATATATGATTATGCCCCGCTCGCGGGGTTGTTTGTCGGCTGTGCCGTCCGTGCCGTCCGATCCGGCCGGAGATGCAATATCTTAATCTCTCACCAAAAGCACTCGTGAGGTAAGGCAAATCACCAGACAGACGTGGCTGGGGCGGGATGACTGAAACCATTCATTCCTGGCACCGGTGCCTGGTGGCAGGTTATGCGTGAGCATTAAATCTCCACGGTGAAATCGTTCCCGGTTGAGAGAGCTTTTTCTGCGTGCGGGAAGCCCAAATTAGCTGTCATGTGTGACTGTCCCACTGCGATGGTACGGACGTCTAGGTCTGGGCTTGTACCTTGCAAGGCTGTTTCGCCTGCGGAGATCTTGGTCGTTCACTTTACACCGTGAGAGACATGCTCTGGGTCATGGTTAGATGGGAATCTCCTTGGCCCCTGATAAGAATATCTGCAATAACCTGTGACAGCGTCTGTGGCACGCTTCAAGTGCTTCGATAGTTCCCCTATCCATCTGTCTGTTCCTATGTTTGACAGATAACGGTCTGAAGCCCTTCTGTCCACAGTAGACTACCAATGATGAGTACCAAAAGGCCTAGTCCTGCGACCAGAGTCAAAGTCCCATAAAGGTACGCATGTATTCTCTCCAACGTCTGCAGTTCTCCAACCCAAGTGCTGACGGTGGTGGCACAGCCGCAGTACCCTTCAATGATCCCCTCCAGAATTTGGCAAGACAATAACCCTCTCGTCCCGGAATGTTGCAGGTCATAGCTCATACCCAAGATAGCGGTGCCAAAGATATTCGCGGTAAATGTCCCAGCAGGGAATACCCAAAACCGGCCGTTCAAGTGTCTTGAAACGTAGAAGCGAAAAAGACAGCCGACTGGTGCGAAGATTAGGGAAAACAATACTCGACCTCTCCAATCGTCTCGAGGGGGCCATGTCGCAAGAAACACAGCAGCTAACCAGCAACACGGCCCGAGGAAAACCATCAGGGGATCGAGAACAGTTCGAATCCACCGAAACGGGAGGATCGGCATGATTTTCTCTGTGGCAAGAGCGGCATGCGCGCCCACTTTCAGCGCCCCAATAGATCCTGCAACATGGATTATGAGGACGGCGGCCACAGCCTCGAAATCGTAGCCGCGGTGTCTGGAGTGTCCCTGCGGGAGTTTTGGTTCAACTAGCTCGTCACTCAATGCCAAGAAGGCGTCGCGCATGAAGGTCGAAAAGGATGTGAATGATCCACAAAATCCGGTCGCAAGTCCAATGTAAAGCGGTATGGTTGCCTTGGCCTTGCGATGTCTTTTGATAGCCTCAGCTGCAAGGTGGGTGTCATGTGGATTGTCTTGCAAGTGTTTGAATGACCATTCCTCTGTATACTTGCCCCATTCTTCCCTGAAAAGACGACGGTCTTCAACCAAAAAGCCAAAGATAAAGGAGCCAGCAACGTTTGCCCATAGCACGGCCGTAAGAACAGGGGCTCTGGGGTACTGAGTTATTGCTTCCAAACCAAGTCGAGCTAAGGTACCCAGGATAGAAAAGAAAATCAGGTGGGCGACGATAAAAATTTCGGTGGTGGATGGCAGGAAAAACATCCTTTGCTGCAGGGGCATCTCTTTCTCCTGACTTCCATCAGCACCTTCTGTGACATGCTGGACGTCGCTGATGCTACTCCTGCTGTGGGAACTCTGAGATTGGGGACTCCTGCTGCAACGGCGCTGTGAGGGTACTGTAGCATACGCAGGGATCGATGTGCGTTCAGAATTTGTTCTATTCTGCGACTCCTGTAGCTGTGTCCTTGTAATCCGTGCTTGATGCTCCTCGTTCTCCAGACTAATACTTTTGCGGTGAGTAGGCTCTGACTCCACAGGAGGTGGCATAGCCAATTCTGACAGTTCTGCGTTCTCATCGTACAGCTCATCTGTGCACGTTGGTACATCATCGCAACAGCTGGATTGAATCCGATGTCCCATGGCACCCTTTTCAAGGTCTGAAGTTGCTTCATGTTCTCGCAGAGGGGACATACTTGCTCGATTAAGGCAGTCTGGATAAGAACTTAAGGAATGGCCATAGTGCAGGAACACGGGTACAAAGAAAGGACAAAGGTTTTTCAGAGCAGCTGTCTCAGCTTGACTTGATGGCCATGGCACGGAGACCGCCCCAGATCCGAGCTTCTTTGATAAGATGACGGGCAACTAAGACGGCCTTGGTCCAGCTTTCCTCTTCGCCCGAGGTGTGTGGCCCGGCTCGAACTCTTGTCTTTTGTCATCCGCAGCAGGAATGAAAATGTGGTCTCGTATCGAGCAAGCACACGACAGTCCATGCGCGCAGTTTTCTTCACAAGGTACAGTACAGATCTCACTCTGATCGGACCCTCCGATCCTTTGCTGCCGCAACGATTCTGGGAGGCTGATCCACACCCCGGCCCGGGCGGCAGCAACGGCAAGACCGCTCTTTTCTGGCTTGTAGATTTGCAGTAATTCTGGGGTTTGCTCGCACCGGGCAGCTCGGAAGATTCCGTACTATGACGAAGCTAATAAATGGGCGTGCGAACGGGAGCACCTTCCTGGAGCTGATTCCAGTTACTCGCCTGCTAAAACCAGGTACCTAAGGTACACGAGATGACCTGCAGTTCAGAACACTGCATCTTAAATTGCCAGCCTAAGTGCCCACAAATAAACTCATCAAGCTCGACTTGGCGTATGCGAACATTTGGTTTCGAGACGTACCAACTTCCTCCTTATCGGCAATTTGAGCCGCACCCGTTGGGCACTCCTAACCGACAAAAGCAGGAAGAGGCAATAAAGATATCGGCCTCCGCAGCGGCCAAAGTGAGCATTTGCTTTATAATCACTGCCTCAGCATGACGACCAAGACGAATCAAACATTCGTGGTAGCCATGTAGCGCCCATACATTCTTTGGATGTTGATGGGCCCTTGTCAGGTTTTCCACCAGCCCGAGGTCTTCCGCATAAGCCAGTGCGGGCTGTTCCACCATGCCTTGCTCCAGAGACAAGGCCCCGTAGGCGTGTCTTGCAAGTACCATCCAACCCCAAGGTTCTGTATACATCAGCGCGTCCTCATGAACAATGGCTTGCCGCAGAGACTCAAAAGCCACCTCGTAGTTCTGCCGCCTGTATTCGATTTCGCCATCCAGCATAGCGTTTGCCACTTTGAGAACATCGACAATGCGGTTGGGAAAGTCGAGCCGGCTCTCGGGAACACGCAACGCTGCTTTCCGGAAGAGTTCGCGCTGGAGATCCGCATTCTTGAGGTCATTCGTCGAGGCATACGCGATCCCTTTTCCGTAGTACATCATCACGGTTGTGACACAGTAAAGATCCTTGTCCTCGGGAATCTGCAGCTGCTTCAACTCCTCCCAAAAGCCAAACCTGACGAGGACATGCACACGCACTGCGAGGAGGAATTCGAGCCAGTCCGCCATAGGAGGAGACTCGAGCCGCAGCATCTCTTCTGTGATGGTTGCCTCCATGCGATCCACTGATTCCAAGGCCACCTTGGACTGACCGGCAAGCATGGCTGCATATATCAGCGAATGATAATCGTGAAGCCGATAGAAGCTGTAAAAGTTGACGCCACCATACCGATGGAAGTATTTGTCGTCAGCAACAGTAGCCTCATAGTTGGACGTCATCGACCGCCGGTATTCTCCCACGAGTACATCGATATGGGTGGCCATATGAGCCATATGACCAGCATCCGGGACGAGTTCGCGGATAATGTCGCAAGCTGTTGAGCAACTTCGGGTGTGTTCGACCTCTCCATAAGGTGAATGTACAGATGGGGAACCCCCGGGTGGCCTTTGACATCAGGTTGTGCCAGCCCATGCTCGAGGACAGCTCTGACCTCAAAAACTGGCGAGGATGGTATTGCCTTGCCTGTATGGATATCAAACATTTGCCTCGGCTTCCAGTTCATAAGCGCATCGCCAAAGAGCGCAATCACGTCCAAATCCTTCTCGCCGAACCGCTGGTAGACGTCCCTCATTTCATCGGCGTATGACTTGTTTGGCGGCGTGAAATCCTCGAGGACAGTTGTCATAGAGTAGCGTTTCTGGAGCGCTTTTATCAAAGCCTTCTCAACCGGAGTGGCCGACTGTGACTTCTCCAGGGCTAGCTTGGCGACATCGTGACACTTCGGGACTGTTCTTTCCAAATCTTTCTTGTCAAACATAGCCCAAGACTTATTATAATTGGGTCCTGCTGCATATGCAAACCCCCAATACGCCATTGCACAGTCAGGGTCGTGAGCAAGCGCCTGCGCCAAACAATAGCAGGCTTCCTCATGATTGAAGGCGTAAGTCCAGGTCAAACCACGGTCAAACCACGGTCAAACCACACCTGCGCCTCTGGGCTATTTGTGCTGATCGTCCTGTGGTAGGTGCCGACATCAAAGTATGGATCTTTGAAGGATCGCTTCGGGGGAATGTCCATTGTGAACGGCATAGTTATCTTTGCGATGAGCGAAGCACTTCCAGGCTAGGGTTCAATCGCTTGTATTGAGCAGGCTGTAGCGGGTATGTGCAAGATCGACAGTCCTGAAGAGATGCGTTCTATCGCCTCGCTCTACACCTGCAAGATAAATACCTGGTGATGGGTCGCGGGGTCATATATCACCACAGGGGCGTCGTGAGTACCTGTGGTACGTTTGGCGGTAGATCGTCTGCCGATATCCAATCAAAGGTCGTACTCGTAAGTGATCCCAGATCGGGGAATCGGGGACCTCGGAGAGAAAATCTGGCTGCGCGGAGACATAAATCTGTCTCGCTTGTGGGGTTAACTCGCTTCTTGGGATCTGGGGTAATAATGATACTGTTCCTTGTCAGATTAGAGGGCGTAGATCATGTCATACAGTTAGTTGCTCTTCCAAAGGACGGCAAATTGGTACTACATATCGAAGCCTGGCAGTGGACAAGTTCCAAGTGCCTGATGATGTGATGTAGAGTGTCCCTGTTAGCATTGTTACTCTGCCCAAGTAGATTGTATATAACATCATTGGCACCTGTCTACGGTATGTGAGTTGAAATAGTTATATTTATTTCAACTCCCACATCTAAATGTTTCAACCATTTGATTGTGAGCGATCCCTGCAAAACTGTCACACTCGCAAAGTCAAGCCTTTACGCGTTTAGTGAGCCTCTCCGACTACGCCAAACCTCCCCTGACTTTATGGTCCAAAAGACGAGAGCAGCCGTGATAGTGACAAAAGTTGCGGAAACAGTTGACGTCCAACCCACTACAATCGAATGGATCAGTGGCAGACAAACAGCTGTGCCAATGCCTGCAATTACGAACCTCATCATGTAGTGCGCAGCTGGAAGAGAATATCAGCTGAAGCTTTAGCAAGTTCCCGAAAAGCACTGACCGGAAGCCCTGCCGCTGCGATGCTGCATAACATCCAGAATGTACGCGTTGAGGCCGACAAATGATGCGGTTTGTGCAATCACTTGGAAGAACATAGATATCACTAGGACTGGGACTCCGCCGATTCTCCTATCTACCATCCACCCATATAAAATCATGGACCCTGGCAGAAGCCCTCCTAGGAAAAAGAGGCAGCTTCGCAGTCGGTCCTCGGGTCGTCGGTATCCACGCTTTTTCATCCAATGCCGGACTTGGTAGTCTGCCCAACGACCTCCTATTTGAAGCCCAATGATATAGCCAGTCCCCGGAGCGAGGAACAACAACCCCGACTGCAACGGAGTTGTAAGGTTCAGTCGCTGGTTCAGCACATAACGTACAGGCGTTAAAGTCGAGTACATATTCCATACAAGTGCGGATGAAGCCAGAATCTTTGTTCGCTCGTGAGATGGAAGAATGATACAAAAGGGAAGACATCTGCGGCATAAAGACAACGTACCACAAAGAACATGTTAGGGTCTGCAAAAACTTTGACCGTTATAGCCGGATTCATCCACTGCCAGGTCTGGCGAGCCGCTCTCCTGATACCCTGGCCAGTCAATTCTGCCGTCCGAGTGCTGTGAATAGTTTCTCGAAGAAGGAAATAAGTTGTTGGGACTGCTGCTCCACTCAAGCCAGCCTGCACCCAGAAAATGACTCTCCAAGATGTGTAGGTGATGATAGCACCACCTACAACAGGTCCCAAAGCGTAGCCACTCATTGACCCGGCTAGAAACCACCCAAGAGCAGTTCCACGTTCCGTCTGCCAACAAGTCAGCATTGCGAAGGGTCATAGGCCTTCAAGCGTACCGGGTGGTCTATGTCAGTGATGCAGCTTGATCCCAAGATCAATAGCGCTACTCCCTGAGCTGCAGTGAGTGCACGACATACAAAAAATGAAACAATATTGGGTGACAAGGCAGTGCCAAGTGAGAATGCACAAGAAGAGAGTGATACTGCACAAGTATGCCTGCATCATCATGAGCAATTATACTTCAAGCTTCCAATGGAATTTTCAAACCTTTCTGCGTCCAAGAATATCTGCAAAAGGCCCCCATAAACAAGCAAACACCCCCATGAAAACGAGATAGAGAGCATTGCTGATGCTCACGGCGTTGGCAGTTGTCTTGAAATCGAGTACAATCTCGGGAACGGCCGCCAGTACTCCGGTGGTTGATGTTATCCCTAGCCAGGCACAAGTGGCGAGAAGAACTATGATGAATCGTTTCTGTAAAGGACTGAACTTTGTATACACGGGGACAAAGGCTGCATTGGATTCAATCTCTAGGACCGTGGCCTGCACAGGTGTTTCACAATGTTCATCCGTCTCGCGCGTCCTCTTGTGGGGTTCCTGCATGGCCAGGACAGTCATAGCGGAAGACATAGTACTGGGTTAGCCAGATAAAAGGCTCCAGCGTCGCCAAAGGGAGATACAAGGAAGAAAGGCCACTAGTACCATCTAGTGATCAGGTATAAAAGTAGCTATCCGCTTGGCATCAGCATCTACTTAAAGGTAGCCAAATTGCCCGGTAGATCGAACCGCGGTTTCAATATCAACAACAGTCAGTACCCACACCATGAGGGGCTCGTCGGCTACAGACTCGGACTGTCACATGGAATTCTGAAGCTGCTTTCGTACACTAAAGTAAGGCTACTTGTATGATATATAACAACTCCCGAATTTGCGAACGCTTGCTAGGATTTCAGCAAGCGGCTGGGCGAGGTATCTTGTCATTTTTCACCAGATCGACCATCCTTCTTGTTGTTTCTGTCTGAGAAAAAGTAGTCCTAAACAGGCTGAGGCAGCAATATACATAAGGCCGGAAAACAGCTGGGAGCCCAGATAATTTCCCGGTGCGCCCGTCATGCGCAAGGCGATCGGCTCAGAAAAGGTCGAAGGCAAAACGATACAACCACACCACGTTCATTCCAGACGGCACTTTTTCCAATCCTATAACCTCCGCCACAAGCGGCGCGATAGTAGCCCAAAAGTTCCCTGCCACAATACCTTCGGTAAGAGCGAAGAAAATCAACAGTCCGTAGCTCTTTGCTGTAATCTAGACAGCTAAGCAGATAACGCCAGCCAAAAAGGTTGCAACGCCAGCCATTTTGATGCGACTAATGTTATCACTGAAGTATCCGATTAGAGGCCGCCCAATTGCCTGTCCCAGATTGAATAGACCGGAGACGAATGAAGCTTGAGATGAATGAAGGCCAATGCTGATACCGTAGGCGGCCAAGCTGGAGATCAGGATAAAAGCCAAATATGGTGAAGCCGCTGAACCCTATCAAAAGAGCAAATTCAATGTTTTTGAACAGAGACAGTTCTACTGCAGCTTTGGCAAAGCTGACTTTTGTCAGCCGACGCCGATCTCTGATCAAGAGCACGCAAGATATGTTGACCGTGAAAGTAGTGATACCGAGTATCCTAAAGGCCTAGGTAAGACTAAGGTTTCGAATCAATGCTTCGGCCACCAAAGAATACACCAGGCCCCCCAGCCCGGCTCCAAAAACAGCAATACCACTGGCGAGAGACCGCTTTTTCGTGAACCACTGTGGGTCAATAGCCGTTGTAGGAATGAACATCATCCCCAGACCCATGCCGAACAGGACACCTTGAGTGGGGAAGAGATGCCAGATGGATGTTGCTAGGCTTGCTAGGAGTAGGCTGGCCGTCTCAAGAACGACTCCCACGAACATAGTCTTCCGAATATCATACCGCTGTGTGGCTACAGTGGCGATAGGAGACACCAGGAGCGTCATTGTGAGGCTGAGAGAGCCGATAAAGGCATATCCGAGCCGAGATGGTAGGCACTGTAAGTTTGCGGAGAAAACTTTCTCCGGCATACTCACCATCAACTCCCACTATTAGTACTAGTAGTACTGACCCAGCGTATGTCGGGTAAAAGCGGCGTCGTCGGGGCACCAGCAGCTTTACCATTTCTGAGCTGCCACTGTTGAATGTTTATATGTTTGACGGACAGCTTCTGGATTCTTACGCCAACCGTTGCGCGCGGTCGTTGTCGGGGTCGCGGCCAAAAAGGCAAAATGACAGTTTCCGTTGAAAACCGCGAAGCCGCGTTCCCGATCCCAGTGGTGGATATCTCGCAATATTTGGAGGACCCAAGGTCTTCCGAGGCGGACCGCGTTGTAGAAATTATCAGACACGCTTGTGAGACAAGCGGCATTTTCGAAGTTACAGGCCATGGCATCCCTATAGAACTGCAGGACCGAGTGTTTGAGGCAACAAAAGCAGTGTTCAACCTTCCAGCAGACGAGAAGCTCAAATTGAGCGGCAAACCTGGCCGGGGCTACGAAGTGTATGGGAATGAGGTACGAGAAGCAGATACAAGGCCTGACGTGAGAGAAGTAAGCTTTCCCCTAGCTCGCCTGGGTGCGGGCATCGTCTCGAGTCCCAGCGTCGGCGTTGCTGACAGCTCCATGTAGGGTTATTTCGTCGGCCGTCAGCTCCCTGGAATGAACAATCAATTCAGGCCATTCGGGGAGCCCAACATCTGGCCAGACCCCAAAATCCTTCCCGAGACAAAGTTTAGACAACCCATGCTTGAATATCTCGATGCCGTGACCGATCTCTCGTTCCACTTGATGCAGATTCTTGCCAGGGGCCTTCCGCAACTTGATACTAGGGTCATTGCCGAGTTCTGTCGAGATCCGATCGCAGCAATCAGGCCCCTCCGGTATCCATCTCAGCCAAAGGATTCTGCTGTCGTCGGTACTGGTGCGCACACGGACTTTGGAGCGATCACCTTGTTGCTCCAGGATGGGAATTCCGGTCTCCAGGCTTTTGATCCATCTCAGAACGCCTGGGTTGAAGTGCCTTCTCGGAGGGATGGCCTTGTCGTCAATGTCGGTGACATGTTGCAGACCTGGACGAATGGGGCGTACAAGAGCAACACTCACCGTGTCATCAATACCAGCGGAAGCGACAGATACTCTGTTCCCTTCTTCCTTGATGGCAATTCAGACTGTGTTTTAAGACCTCTTGATGGCTCTTCTGATGGAGATGCCTGCACCGTGGAAGAGCATATGCTCAAAATGTACGCGGTCACATACAAATAAGAGATGCTGCATTTGACATAACTGAACCAATAGACTTTGCGTGCTCCTCGCCGCCGTTCGTAGGCAGAATTTAATGCCGGACTTGTCACGTTAGGGCCGCCGCACTCAAACGAACCAAACGATGCTTAAACCAAAGCTCAACCTCACTGACCAGAATCTTCACCAATTGAATATGTCAGCAGTAGCGTCACATCATGACAAGAGCGCTGTGTCCCAATCCCGCAGCTCAAGTTGGGAAAATTGAAAGTGAGACTCGGGGTGAATTCTTGCTGGAATGCAACCGTGCAGTGAATGGTTGCGTCAACAATTCGAGTTGCGGTCCGAGTCGGTATTCGGCAAAGCATTGTTCCGTCGTCGTCATCGTCATCGTCGCGTCGCGTCCAAAGTTCAAACCACGATCGAAGCTTGTCTGAACTTCACGTTCTTTATATACCCACCACAGTAGATAGTATGGCAGTGAACAGCATCTTGATGTTATGCCAGGATGCGTGCACCATGTCACCAACAAACCGACTGCGTCTCCCCTCGCACTACAATGGCTGGCAGTTCCTGATTATTGCTCTGCATGGCACCAGATCGACATCCTCTTTTGTCAGAGCCTTCGAGTCGACGATGACCATAACTGGCTTCTTACATCGGTGCCAGTAATGTGTGAAATCTTGTCGAGGTGTGGCTCACACAGCAGCGTTCATGTGTGCTCGCTTACCAGCCGCTCCCGATGTGGCGGCGCAAACTCAATGGAGTCCCAAGCATTGCGCAAGATCGATCCAAATCTCCAGGCTGCACCTGATTTTAATGTCACCGTCGCCCCTTTTCGCTCGCTGAAGCCTGGATGGCCCCCTGCAGTGGTGAAAACATGTTGGAGAAACTCGCATAGCCATTCATATTTGCTGGATGAGGTGTGGAAAGAGCGGCCAAGAAGCCAGAGCGCTTTTCAAGTTGTCCATCACCGCCTGGATAGTTTCCTATCAACCCGTACTTGTACCGCAGAAGATGATCATGTTGGGCTTCTGATTATCAGGAAGCTTGGAATTGGCTGTCTTGGCTGACGGGTTTCATTTCGCATTTCATCGTCGGTCGGATCACGACTCTCGAGTTGAAGGCTGTTGATTCTGCGGCCCTCCGGAATTCCATCCATCTGGACCTGTCTGCCTGCCTGCCATTTTTGAAGTGATTGCAACTGTGTGTGGCTGTGATGTCTTGGAAACTTGCTGAACTGAGGTGGCGTCAAGATGTAGGATTGCAACAAAGTTCATGGGAAAGGGGTGCAGGACCACAGAAGGGCAAACAGTCGATGACGACGAAGGACCAGGACGTTGAGACACAAAGGCATGAAGAAGACTGCAGTCGGCACAGGCCTTGTTTTACGTCGTTCGGATATGGATCGTCTGCGTATTCCACTTATGGTTTTATGTGCACACCGCCACAGCCGAAAGCCAAAGTAATCCTGCCGGCACAGAACCTGTCAGTATTATCGCCAGGAACGTCAACCTCTTCAACAGCTCCGCTTCTAGGCTTTCGGCGTCATAGCACAGAGTTGTTCAACTCATCAACTTCCAACCCGTCACCAACGAATTTAGATTCTCAAACTGTTGTCACAGCATCCGGTGTCTAGGGGACATTGAAACTATCGGCTTCCAGTTCCCAATCTGCTCTTTCAATAGCGCAGGCGCCTGCGCGTCCAGCAACCTTTGCCGATCTCACCAGCTTTGTGCATCGACGCCAGTACTTTTTCTACGACACATCACATACACAAGGCTGCGACAGCCTGGCACCAGACTATTGCCCCTCTTGGACAGCGAAATCATCTCCGGTCAAAGGACCTGAGGAACTAGACCCTTTGTGCCTTTCGCCGCCTTCAGGTGAGTTTGGTGAGCCTGCTGTCCGCTGTTGTTGTCACTAACATTAAGTAGGTTCTGCTTCTTCCACCTGCCACATCAAGAACATCTTTCAGTCTCTGTCTCACCAGACTGTCCCTGTGGACACCGATTCCCCTTCGAGAAGAGGTCAAACACCCTATCCGCGCAAAAGACAGGGACCAAATAACACAACACAAATTGGGCAAGACCCAGACCTGAGTGTCGACCTTGCTACTTCTGAAAATCGGGCTGACGGCTTCCTTCCACGAAACAGCCGACAAACAACGACCGGAGCCCCAGCTAAATATCAACAGAGAAGACGCCACTCTCTTTCAAGCATTCAAGTCACTTCGATTAGCTCAAAATATCGCTCTGGATCGTTGTCTGCGAGCAAATCAAAGATGGATGAAGAAAAGGCAGGGCCATCACGACCTAGGCAGACGTCGCGTACATTGTACCCGGATCTGCATTCAGCACATGCACAAATTCTGGGCCGGCGGACCATGAGCGTCTCCCTCGCAACTCCTAGTCGAGGTGAAACACGCTTCCCTCTGAGTCCTGCGAGCTCTGCAGGTGAGGATGAAATCGGGTCTTTGGTGGCTGGGCATGATGACATCCCACTTCAGGACATGTCTTGCCACCGAGTGAATTCAGCGCATGGACTTCTGCAAGAAGCAGACCATCATCAGGAGTCCAGCGCTATCTTTGAGACGTCCGATATTGCCAATGATTCTGGACATTCTGGACAGTCCGAGGATAGACTCTCTGCTACACTCGACGATATCGTTTCCCAATATGCCGTCGCACCTACTGGTGACTTGAGTGTACCTTCCACTGTGTCAGATAATGCCAGTCAAAGCTCCCATGACTCAGGGCTCCATCGACCCAATCACACAACCGAAGACGACTATGCTTACCATGGCAATCCAGGAACATTCCCTGGCCGAAACGCTCGTGATGCTTACACCGATAGCTTGTTGTGTCTAAAATCGCAGGCGAGTCTCACTCAGTCTCTGGGTGATGTTGAAGACCTTGAAAGGCAGGATGAAGAATGGGAGACATCGCCCGAGAGCAGCCCAAGTGGATTGTTGACTCCTTCCAGACTCCGGTCCCATATTCCACAGAGAGACACGCTAGCCACTGCAGAGTCCACCTTTGCTGACAAAAGCCCTGCAACACCTTGGGATCCTCTCACATCGCGAAAACAGCGCACCCGCCAAACCGATCTTCCTACCGACAGAGTCCCTCAGTTACTGGACCAAGAACCATATCCACTTTCACATGATCAAACACATCATACTCGCGTGCTTCGAGAACAACAAAAGGCGTCGCGGAACATGTCCAAACAAGGATCAACCAGATTGATGATGAGCCGCACTGCCCGTGCTACTCACGGTCTTGAGCAGTGCCAGCAGCCTCGCCCAGTGCAGTCTCTGTCCAGCCCGAACCCTTCGGCGACAGCCTCTTCTGCCCAGCTCACCTTTCAACGACCTTCAGGAGTTGCATCGAGCTCTTTGTTCCCTCGAGATACAGCAAGTGCTCTTGCTTCCAGCTCCTTGTTTCCTCCAGCCTTGGGCATTCTTCCAGATTTCGAACGGAGCACTCATGAGAATCGCCTCTCGATTTCAGCTTTACCGAGCACTTCAGCTGAAGCAGTCCAACGTATCTTTGATGGGCCTTTCAGCGCCGCCGCCTCCTCCACCTCTTTTTTGATCCCGACGGCAAGCAATCACTGCCCAACTTTCCCGCTAACTGCGGAGCGGCTCGGCGTGCCCCGGGTGCCCGAAAGCCTCCGGCTGCGGGTGCCCGGGGGGTGGTTGGAGAAGGCGTGGTGTTCTGTCCACGACAGAACCGAGTTCAGTCATGCCGCCCTGGTCAACGGCGCCGCTGGCGTCAAGGCTCGCTCCGTCGACATCCAGCGCCAGGCTGGAAAGGTGCTGTTGGTGGTCTGCATGGCCACATTCGTGGTCGGTGGGTTCGTGTTGGCCCATGACATGGGCAAAGGGGGCGCCTTGTCCAGTGGGGCAATGGCGGAGTTGACGAGGTGGCTCTCGGGGCGGGAGGACGGTGTTGTCGCCCAAGTCCACCCAGTGGACGCTCAACTGGCCCGAGCAGTTGAGCGGGTGGGCTTGTTGGTGGTTGTGGTTGGGTTGCTGGCGTGTGTTGGTGTTTTGGTCTGGGCCGCCGCCACCATGTGAGTGGCACAGGGCGCCGGGCGGTTGCCCTGAAGACAGTTTGTACGCGTTGGTAGTCAATCCATTTCTAACTAGAATTTCCGCTTCTTGCTTGCAGAGTGCATCCCGGATACTACGAGAGGCCAAGCGGATGATGCTGATACACGCTTCGATATCAAGAATTGAAGTGAATCGGTATGCGTAGTAGGCCTCAGAGCAATAAATTGTAGAAGTAGCAGAGTTGTTATTCGGGCGACATCAACATAGTGGTACCACGCAAAAGTAGGTAATATACAATCAAACATTACGATTGGTGTCACTCCTCATCGGCTACATAGCCCAAAGCTTGACCAACCTTGACCTTCTGGTTTCTCTCGATAAGCCACTTGAAGCCGCCTGCCACTTCTTCTCTCCCATCGCCGTTGGCAGAAATCTTCTTTCTATGACCGGCAGGAGCCTCAAACACGAGGACAATACTAGAACCAAGTTTGAAGCCTCCCATCTCTTCGCCTCTCCTGAGCGCATGTCCACCCAAGATTTTGCTCGCGTTTTCGTAGGTAGCTTCACTATAGCCGGCATAAGGCTCGCCCCTCGCTGCAGCTGCGGCAGCTTGACGGTCAGCTTCAGTGTCTGTCGTCAGAGAGTTTGTGCGAAGTTCCTTGTCAAAGTTGATCACAATAGAGCCGACATTGGTTGCACCGACCGGGGTCATGCTGAAGAAGCCATACTTCCATCGGCCTAGGAGCACCACCCGTTCATTGAGGGTAAAAAGTCCTGGTAGCATGCGCTGTACGTAAGGTGAAACAGAGTACAATTCGCCGGCAAAATGTCGACGTGCACTGCAGACCCAGCTGACAGGAGAATGGAAGCGATGATAGTCTCCGGGAGCCAGGTATACCACACAATAGTAAAGCTTTTTGTCTGTGGTAGGAGAAGAGAAAGGCGACCACCAAGGCTGCGTTGATGCGAGATCTGCAGATACTGCCGCTTCGGATGCGGGTTTGGATTTTGTAGATGCGTCCTGTGTTTGGGAATGGGGAGAATGTTCCGAGCCAGCCAACAAGTCCGGCAAAGTATACGAAATCCCGTTGACATTGGCGAATTCTTCCTCGGCTGACACTGATTTGGCTTCTGGGTCATCTGACGCACGCGTCATCTTTTCCTTGGAAGAGCCGAAGATATTTGAAGGAGCTTGGGGATTTGGCGAGGTAGGGGCGATTTTCCCCAGAAGGGCGTCCACGCTGTAGGTCATGCCTTTGACCTGTTCAACTTCGCCATTCTCTATGGTCCCAAACTGCAACACTGTTGCATCGGCCGGAGACACAACGGCGTTGGGATTTGGATCGATTGGCCGAATGCCGGGTTTCAGCTCACGATAGAAAAAGGAAGCGAGGTTGGGGTAGGCGTGAAGGTCGGGCTCGCCAATCTCGCTGAAGTTGACGCCAAAGATCCAACCGTACAGCTTGAACCCCGGAACACGAAGATAATATGGTATTGTCAGCTCATTGAAGCGTCCCCATAACCTGGAGATGGCCTTCAACGGCAATGTGGACATTATTTGCACCTGCCAACCACCGCCGCTGGGATAGATCCTTTGTCGTTTTGGTGGCCGGCCTCCATCCGTCTCAGAAGAACCCTCCTGTGCACCACCTTCTCTTGCGCGGATGCGCATAAACTGTAGCAAGCCCAGGAACCCGATTCCCAGACCAATGGGGATTGGCTTCCATTCGATCTTTGTCTCCCTCCATGCTTTCCCTAGTCGCGCCGCAAAGCTTTCTTTCTGATCTCCTCTCTGTGCTTTCCATCTGCGCTGAGTAGTTCGGAAGTTCCTCCTCTGCTGCAACAAGATGCGGCCATATGAGGTGCGACAAGCCGTAGACTGGAAAGGGTATGCTTCCAGGAGGACGAACGATCGCCGGTAAAGACAGGTTCGGCCGACGCTGGTGGCAGCCATATTTCAAGCCGGGTGGCCCTTGGCCCGGGATACCATGCAAAGATGCTCCCTGGAACCTGGCGACGAGCAGATGCAAAATCAAACACCAGCAGCTAGGGGAGGCAAGAGCATATACCTCAGATACAAGCTCTACAACTACCTTATGGAGTGGGTGTTTTCACACGAACACCAGTTGGAGCCCGAGTCGCCGGTGACGAAAGACCCTCTGCCCATCCAGTTGGTGATTGGCTGTGATGCTCCCCGGCGCGGCAGCAACTGAACTGCGCCAGTCACTTTGGTCGCGGTTCCCTCTGACGCTCACTGGCATGTCTCGCTACTCTGGCTACAACTTGAATAGGTACCTACTTTATGTCACTCTGTCTCTGTCTAGTTGACGCGATCAGTTCTTCTGTACCATATACCCTTGATACTACTACTTACTGTGCTCCTTCAGCCTTCCAATCCCCCAAGTCATGCTCCCGGCTACACACAGCCTCGTTTCAGCATGAGTGAAACCAACGACAATCAAGCCTCCCCGTCCAGCCATCCACCTCCCGAACCCTCCTCTTTGCGGCCTAATCATGTCTATCTGCGAGTCATATACTTGGTTACGGGGAATCCTAGGCCGCCGCATAACTTAGGTCAGGTTAATTTGGACACGACAGTCTCGGCGCTGAAGGACAGGATTCAAAACGACCTACCAGAGCACCCGGCTCCTTCTGAGCAGCGCCTGATCTACCAGGGGAGGCCTCTTTTGCGGAACGAGTCGACCTTGAAAGAAGTTCTCAGACTAGATGTAGGTCAAAGAATTGCTGGCCCATGTGTGATCTGGCTAACAAGTCTGAAAGTCCGGCGCTGCCGTTGGTCCTCTACCATACACAATTCACATCGTGATTCATCCCCGTCAAGATGCAGCTTCAACAGCAAATGCGCCCGACACGGCCAACCCTCCTGTCGCACCTCCGCGGCACCTGGATCGTTTGAACCCGATCAGAGCGGTAGAGGCTTCTGCAGCAAGGCTTCAAGAGTCGCTCGCTCGGATACAGCAGCAAATCGAGGTGAACAGAGCAGATTTGGCGAATGTGCAACAGAGAATTGGTTTTCAGCATCCCCATACTGCGAACGGCCAACCTACCCCTGCTGCTCCTGCATTAAACGCCCAAGCCGCGTTTGCTGTACCATTGCCTCTCCTTTTCACCGCTGGGCAAGCCTTGGGGCAGCCACATGCCGTTCATCCCAATAACCTCCAAGGACAAGGTCAAGCTGTGCCATCAAGGTTGAGAAGTCCTGGAATGGCCCCTCCTCTTCAGCCACAACTTGTCTTCCCACCCCAACCACCACAATTCACCATGGGGACGAGGACGCAGCCAACTGGTCCAACGTCCCAGGCGTCTCAATCAGGTCATACACCCGACCAAGCGCAAACACAGCCGACCAACCCTGCGGCTCCCAACCCTCAAGCTACCTCGGCACCTCAAGTACCACTTCCCCAATTCCAAACTCATCATCAAATCTTCACCGGCCAGCCTATCCCGGGGCAGTTGGTGGCGCCAATCCTTCCAGCTCATTTCCAAGCACACTTTGCCCGACATCCACTCGGAGTCAATACGAATCCTAGTGCAATGGCATGGATTGTATCCTCTCCTGCGGGCCCGGAAGGGCTGCTGTTTGCTCCCGGCCACGGTTTCTTCACCACATCGCCCCAACACGTCCCTGACCCGTCCCCGGAGCGGAATGTCTCAACGATAAACCACCCCCCTGCCCGATCAGCGCCGCTCCCACAAGAAGGGAATGGAGCATTGAACAACAATGCACGAAGAGCCCACCCCAGAAGAGGTCGGAGACGTGATGTACCAGCCTTGCCACAAGCTCGGCGTATCGAAGTGGACAATGACCTGTTTGGCTTTTTGATCCAGAGAGGCTGGCTGTTTCTGCGCCTCTACCTTCTCATGTTTGTCTTCTCTGAACCAGGGAGTTGGCGGCGGTGGCTGTTAATTGTAGTTGCGGCCATTGTTTGTCTTCAGCCCAGGAATGGCCCGTTGGCGCGTGCAATGACCGCAGCCCGACTCCATCTTGACAACCTGATCTTTCCACCAGTTGCACAGCCCCGGCCTGCGCAGGCAAATCAGCAACCGCTGAACCAGCCTCATGCCGACGCCACTGGAGATGGGCCAGTCGACAGAAGTGGCCAGCGACCGGTTAATGTCCGTGGAGCTGTCCAGATGACCCCCGAAGAAGCTGCCGCACGACTCATTCGCCAACATCAAGATGGCGTTCGCGGTTCATGGAGGGATACGCTCTATCGCATCGAGCAAAGCACCGCGCTGTTTCTGGCAAGCCTGGTACCAGGAGTCGGAGAACGATATGTTCGTGCAAGAGAAGAGGCGAGACGAGCAACTGAGCGGCTAGAGCAAGAGAGATTACGTGCTCAGGAGGAAGAGGCTGCACGTACACAGGAGGCCGCAAATAGCGGCGAGAACCAACCTGATGGCGCTATACAAGAGGCTGCAGATTCTCAGCATGGAGATGCGAAAGCACAGGGGCCCGTTGAGCAGAGCACATCAACCTCGGTAGAAGCCCATGAGGATGGCTCAAGCTCAGCAGGTTTGCGCAACAGGGAGCGCTGACAGTTTCTGCTCTTAAGACGGGTACTACATCAACCCGCGTATTTCTGCTTGCGATAGGGCTGTCCGGGCGCGATCAATGCAACTGCGCTGATGACTAAACAGCACTGACAATATTCAAAATCAAAGGACAACCAGGTCGGCTTCTTGTTCTCGAGGCGCGACCATGGAACGCCGCCTAATTTATTCACCCCATAACATGGAAGCCTGAAGCTTCTGCTTTTAATCTTAATGGATCTGACTCCCTTCTACCCGTATTCTTCTGGCAGGGCGTAAAACATGTTCCGGGGCCCTGGCTTGTTGAACCGGACACTTGCTTTGACTCTAGGGGGAAGACCCGCCTGCTGCGTGGACGAGACAAACAGCCCTGAGAAGCCTGTGGTTCGGCGTATAACATCATGGGTGTATACGCCCACATGCCGTGTGCGCCGCAGCGTAGAAGGATGCTGTGTGCTTGAATCCTGGGATCTAGGACCATGAAAGCTGACCAGCAAGGCTACCGCTTCCAATGCCTCGTCTTCGCCTGACATGGTCCTTCCCATTGCCGCGAAGAGGATGATTATTCTCCCATTCCTCGTCTGCTCTGAAGGCGTCCACAGCAAGATCCAAATTATAGTCACTTCCCTTCAGATAGAGCGTCGCAACGCTGTAATCGGGGCATTTTGTGAGCACCATCCACCGACGCAACTTGATCTTGCGCTCCTCTTCCTCCGGGTCTGGAGGCTCTGACAAGGGCGGCCCCGTATAGTGGGACTTGGGGATTAGGATCCACTTGCGGGCCGCGAGGAGTTGATCCGAGTATAGGTTGTTGTGCTGGCGAAGAATCGGTAGAGGGACCTTATACGCCAGGGACAGCGACTGTAACGAGTCATCTCCGCCGATAAAGTGTACTGTATCTTCTGTATCCCGCGGCGGCTGCGCCGTAGTAGTAACCTGTTCAGCCGTTGGGTTTCGTCCCAACATTATCGCATCATTGTACGAAGGCGGTGGCGGCGACGCAGCCCTGCCCGGGAAAGGTGTCTTGGTATATGAAGGAGGAAGTCTGAGACCTTCTTTCGGTAAAGCTGAAGGCCCAGACGATATCTGGCAGAAGGGACAGTATGATTGGAACCGCGGGTTTTTATATTGACATGTGGCGCAGATCTCACGCGAACAACACTCGAGCCGCCGGTTGTAGAGGAGTGGCTTTTCGCTTTCTGGGTCGTAGGGCACTTTGACGTCGGTCAGTAGGGTAGCACATGTGCAGCACGAGTCGAAGGTCGACATTGTGATGGGAGTGTTGGACGATGTTGTGGTATCTTCTGGAGATTGTACAGGGCATGAGACACAAGTCCAAAGTCGAGTCGATATCGCGTGAAATATGTTTATAATCCATGACATCATTCAAGATTCTTTTAATTATATCCAACTCAACTTCAACGGGACAACTTGAATGCAATCGATCACTATAATGTACATTGACAACACAATTCCAGGAACCTGGCTACAATTCATATTGTAGTAATAGTTGTCTACCTACCTAATGCAAGGATACATTTGCACCTATCTTATGCAGTGGTCTCATCATCATCATGTCCATTACGCACCATTCTGGCGAACCACATGTTTGACCGGCATCCTGTAGCGCACCCTTCCGCAGCTCTCGGCCGGCAGTCGTTCCAGAGTGACACCTCTCGCCGAGTCTAGGTATCGGTTATCCCCTGGTGGCAGGATGAAGACAACCTCCTTCCAAGCCGGGACATAGACATTGTCAGGGCGCGGAATCAAGTCGACAGTCACCTTTTCTTCCGTGGCGCTGTAGGATACCGTGAACGACGAGATGTCAGGACGAAGGGCAAGGCCATCATCTTCATACCACGTGGTTTCAAACGACCGTCCATGAGAACTGCCTTTCGGCGGGAAGATTTCGATACCTCGATAGTCGTCCTCGGGGATTGACTTGCACTTGGGATTTCTGTCGCCTGGCATTCGGGTCTGGACATTTTTGCCTACGGGGATCGCGCCTCCGATTTTGGCGAGGATCGGAATGCTCTCGTTCCACTTCGACTCGATGTTGACCCATTGACCTGCGGCGAAATACTGATGTGGCTTGTTCACATTGAAGTAGCCATAATCAAACCCGTTCTGAGGATCAGCCCTGGGGAGATAAACTTGGGCCGTATCCACACCGGGCTGATACACACCGCCGATCAACAGGGTGTCGCCAAACCAGTATTGTTCTTCGCCAGCTTTGAGCCGCTTCGTCCAGACTTCGGGATCAGACTCGTATCCCCAGCCGACCCATCGTTGGGGTGGGGATGCAGTCAGATGACTTTCCAGACCGAGTGAGTAGATGTACGGCATTATTTCGTACCGCCTCTTGATTGCGCTGCGGACCAGGGGAGTGATTTCAGGGTACATCCAAGGCTCGATAACCTCGCCACATTGGTTGTCCTGAGGTGAGGTTTTGAAGCAGTTGATTGCGAAACGCGTCTGGTAACATCCGAGCTGGATCCAACGAAGGAGCAGCTCAGGGGATGGCTGGGGACCCTCGAAGCCTCCGATGTCATGTCCATAGCAGTGCATCAAGCTGACGCCGGCATTGAGAGACAGCGCGTTGGCTGCTTTCATGCTGTCCCAACTTGTGACGTTGTCACCGCTCCAGGAGCTACAAGCCCACCGCAAAGTTCCAATACTGGCGCTCCTCGTCAAGACGAACGGTCGTACATCAGGCTCCACGCGCAGGAGGCCTTCGTATGATGCCTTCGCCATCAACTCGGTCTGCATGGCTCGCCCCCAGAGGCCGATTTTGTTCTCACCCTTGCACCTCGCTGCAGGAACAGCATCCAGTGCTATTTGCCAGTTATCGTTGGGCAGAGTGTATTCGTTATTGTCATTCCACATGGCATCAATGCCTTGTTCCTTCAATTTCTCCACCCCACGAGCCCACCATTGATAGGCATCCGCCGACGTGAAGTCAATATGGGCGCCAGTACCACTTTCACCACCACCTGCACTCCAGAGACGCATCTCGGCGGTGCTCTGAGTCTTGGGATCGGTGAACAGCCCCTTGCTGTCCTCCAGGTATTTATAGTCTGGATGAGAGGCGAGAAGGAACGGCTTGATGTTGGTAAGAAGCCGGATGCCCAGTGAGTGATATTTCTCAATCCATTCTTCCGGCTGAGGAAACCGATGTCGATTCCAGGTAAAGACATTCCTGACTTTTGGTTCAGTCTCGGCGATGGAATAGCCTGACGACATCTGATGAGCGGAGCAAGGAATGTCATGTTCCTTCAGCTTGTCGGCAAAGTCAAGCAACTGCTTGTATGCTGGAGGATCGTCTCCCATGGTGTATTTGTACCCACCGGATAGGTATTCGAACGCCCATCGCGGAGCCAGCAGCGGAAAGCCAGCTAGTTCTGCGTAGCTTCGCACCACTTCTTTCAGGGTGCGTCCGACGATGAGGTACTCCTCCAATCCGCCATAGTCTTGTCTGTAGACCTTGAAATGGCCCCAGAGACCGTCAATCTCAGAGCCTACTGCCCACGAACCCCGACTATGGCTAGTGGAAACAATGGCTACGCAGCCTTTCGGGGTGGCTTTGATCAGCAGCGGCATGTGTTTGTACAGTGGATCCGTGTTGTACGCATCGTAGCCAAAGCAATCGGTTGCCGAGATCTGGAAGTGTCTTGCGGTCAGGTCCATTGGGGCTGTCTTCTCCCCAAGACCGACGTGCAGAGCATTGCGGTCGTGGGTACAGTAGTGAGCAATGCCCTCGCCGTCCAACACGTATGACCGATATGAAAGGTCAGAATGAAGGACTTCCGCAGAATCAGTCCATTTCAGCATTACCACCGGCGTGTTCTCCCATTTTACGGAGGCTGTAATCTCTCCCAGATCGAGGGTGCGATCTGTGCCTTTCGACCCAAGAACTGCCGGCTTTACCTGCCCCAGCCGCGTTTCGGGTTGCGGGATTGAGGGATAAGGCGGCAGAGGGTGGGTGGAAGAAAAGAAAGTGGTTCGGAAGACATTCGGCCTGATGGCTTCAAACGCAAATTGAACTTCCGTGTCCTGGTCGGTGGATTGAAGGCAGACTGCGGCACCGCTCGTCGATTTGGCATCGACTTCGCGGTACGACTTGGGCAGGCTCTCTAACTGACGCATCTTGCAACTTCAAGTCAGTCTAAGCACTCGAGAGCAGTTTGTGAAGACGGAAGACGACACTGCCGCCATCTTCAAGAGCAGTTTGGCCCCCTATATCACGAGGAGGCCTGTCGACAAAGCACGGGCACTTCGGCCGAACAACAGGATAGACGTGGAGCATCGGGCTCCCCCATGCTGCCACCAAACTCCAGTATCTGGCACCGTGTCTGGGGCAAAACGGGGCAAACGCCAATTAGGAGAGAATTCATGGTGGAGGAGAGAAGAAGAGCATCACACCAAAGACCGCAGTTCGGCTGCAAAGTGCGATGGTGGCTCGAACCTGCAAATGGAACCAATCACCACCATCGCCTCTTCGCATTTCGCTGCCGAAGTCCGACAACATCAGTCCATTCGAACTCCATCCCCACGTCGTCGCGTCCCCGGGTCGTTGCACGCAAACAGGGGCCCCCAGAGCCCGGCACAATTTCCTGGAGAAAGTATGGATGGGCTACCAGGTATACTGCTACCAAATGGCCGAGTCAAGTCCAGCCAGTCCAGGATTTCCACATCAGTTCGGTCGATGGTCCCGACCTGAGTCGCTTGTGCTGGTCGGCTGACTGGAAAAGGTATTTATCAGGGAGCATCTCCTGCTTCACACCTCCACACCCTGTCTGGAATTGTCTTTTTCCTGCTCCCCCCGCTCTAGCATACTGAGAGCTGTGGTGAAAGCGTTTTGTCTGAATTTCTGGGGGAAGAGTCTGTCCACCATCTGTCATTATGGATTCCTCTCCATACAAAGAACCTATTGACCATATCGAAACCAAGCATGAGCATGCCGAAGCCGAAGCTGATGCGAAAGCTGACAAGGCCAACGAGATCCTCAAGAATGAGTCGTCGGGTCAACGCATTGTCCTGACCCCAGAGAACAATGCCCGGGTTCTGAGAAAAATCGACCTATACATCTTGCCTGTCATCTTGGGAATTTATCTTCTCCAGGCACTCGACAAAGCAACCCTGTCCTACGCCTCGGTGTTTGGTCTGGTTGAAGATGTGCATCTTGTCGGCCACCAATATTCATGGCTTGGTGCGATTGTGTACTTGGCCCAGCTGGTGGCACAGCCTTTCATCGCATACTTGCTCGTGAAGTTACCCCTTGGCAAGTTCGTGGCCGCGATTGTCTTGCTTTGGGGGATTTCTCTTTCGGCAATGGTAGCGGCGCACAATTTTGCTGGTCTGCTGGTTGCCCGTCTCTTTCTGGGACTGTTTGAAGCAGGAGTTGGTAAGTGACTGCCCCCTGCCCTGTCCCTTGACAAGGCCTAGCGTTGACCTTTCCGGATGATAGCACCCGCCTTCATCGCTTTGAGCCAGATGTGGTGGCGTCGACGCGAACAGCCCGTCAGAATCGCAGTGTGGTACGCCTCGAACGGCATCTGCAACGTTTTCGGCTCCCTCCTTACCTATGGCATCGGACACATCCATTCAAGCGTTTTGAAATCCTACCAGGTACATTTGTTCCTTACCAATAAGTATGCCGCCGGTTCGAGCTAACCAACTGCAGATCATCTTTCTCTTCTTCGGGTTGATCACCGTCGCCTATTCCGCTCTCGTCTTGTTCGTCTTGCCCGATTCTCCTGTGACTGCACGGTTCCTGAAGGGTGAAGACAAACTTGTGGCCATTGAGAGGTGAGGCAGCCGCTACCAACGGAAACTAGATCAAAACTGACCGAGGGAAGGCTGAGGGCGAACAACCAAGGCGTCGATGGCAACCGATGGGATTGGGGACACGTGAAAGAGGCGGCGCTTGACCTCAAGACCTGGATGTGGGCAGCAATGATGTTTGCTATATCGTAAGGATTATACTCTCAAGGGCTCAGAGTCGTACTGACTGACCGATTGGCAGAGTACCCAGTGGTGGGATCTCAACTTTTGGTCCGCTGATTGTGAAGAACTTTGGGTTTGACAAATTCCAAACCATCCTTCTCAACATGCCCTTTGGGGCTGTTCAGCTCATTTCCACCATGGGAGGAGCATGGGCTGCCACCAAGTTGAAGATGAAGTCTCCGGTCCTGGCTTTTCTCAGCTTGCCGCCTATTGCTGGCTGCGTCACTTTGCTCTATCTTCCAAGAGATGCTTCGGCCAGGGCTCCCCTGTTGATCGCGTATTATATTGTGAGTGATTTGCTCGGTAATCTTCGCTTGCTCTTGCTGACCTCTTGCCAGATATCTGTGTACCCGGGCATCAGTGAGTGTTCAGGCCTAAACCTGCAGGAAACATAATTAACTGAAACAGCACCTTTGATCTACTCATGGAGCGCCGCGAACACGGCCGGAGAGACGAAGAAAAAGGTATGTCATGCCGGTCACCCCACGCGAACCCAGTTAAATTATGTGAAGGTCACCACGGGCGCCTTGTTCGTCGCTCAGTGTGCAGGAAACGTGCTCGGGCCAAACTTATACACAACAGGAGAAGCACCTCTCTATCATCGGGGGCTGATGTCGAAGTAAGTATACATGTCGTGTGAGTGGACGGGTATGCTAACATTGCCATGCAGTCTTGCCTTGTTCGTTGGGTTGATTGGCCTCTATGGTGTGACCGTGGTTTATCTCATCATGCTGAATAGGAGACATGGGAAGACTCGAGTCAGCATGGGGAAGAAGGCAGTGTTGGTGGATCAGTCAATGGAGCGAGTGAAGCATGCCACCGCGGACGATGAAGCACAGGACGTTCCTATCGGCGAACATGCATTCACTGACCGGACGGACTTTCAGAACGAAGATTTCATCTTTGTATACTGATGGAACACAGGCCACACCAGTAATGGTCTTGAGACTCGAGGAGATAAGGCAGTATACTATTTCAAACTATATCCAATTACTATTAGGTGACTCCTGGTGAATCAGGTCGCCTAGAAGTGCTTAAGCAGAACCCCTGTACCCCCACACTCGCCCCCGCGACGCCCGAAAAATAGTGGACTGTCTTAGTTAAGTTTGGGGGTTTACGCTCCCTATTATTACTAGTTGCTTGGGCTCTCCAGGCACTTCAAGCTCCCCGCGAGACAAAACTCGGGATGCAGGCCCCGAACTGCACATTTATTTCTCCACATTTTCTTTTTGTTTGTTTAATGTCTCTCGTTTTATATCCACCTGTGATACCTATCTTCAACTAATGTGATCCTGTTTTTTTCTTTGTCATGTGCGGTTCTCCTTTATTTTCGACTTCAAGTTTGGATGAACCAAAGTAGCCAGCAGCACTGATGAGAGCCATTGGCCTGTCATGGACGAGGCGCCAGCCGGTTCCCCCAGCGGCTTGACCAAGAGAAGAATCCCTGTACGCAATTTGTTTCTCTAACACGTTACGTTCCCCATTGACTGGGACTTAGAAAGCTTGCGGCTCCTGTCGTGCATCCAAGGTCAAGTGTGACGGTCAAAGGCCCTGTTCAAGGTATGTTTGATTTTGATTCACACTTTCGGAGGAACTGCCTAAACGCCACGGGAATAGATGCCGCAGCCTAAAGAAACAATGCGTTTTCGTTCAAAGACCGCCGGATCCCACTGGACAGTACGTTTTCGAGCCGGAGTCCTGCTATTGGAAACCAGCTTTGCTCATCATGTTCCAGAAGGATAGAGGCGCTCGAACGAGAGCTGCAAACTCTCAAGGGTCGGCTCAGTGCACAGGAGGGCCGCACGTACGCGACTTCTCTTGAGCCGGCCGTTACAGACTCCAGCACGTCCCCTTTCGGGCCGTCACGCCAGCCTCCCTCTTCTGCTCCGAACCAGGAACAGCCGGGTCCAGATGTATCCCGAATGAGAGATGAGAGGTTACAGCTCAGCTCTCAGATTAGCCCTGTGCCAAACTTTGCCGACAAAGGACTGATTACTATGGAACAAGCCGAGCTATTTTTCAACGCCTTTTTCCAGGGATGCGATCGATATGTTCCCATTTTCGACCCTTCACACGACACGTTTCATTCTGTCAAAGCCAGGAGTGCCCTTCTGTTTGACGCAATCGTCACCATTGGCTGCGGTGTTCTCACCGATGCCGATTCTCAGATTTGCCATCTCTTGCATTTCCAATTGAAGAAGATGCTCAATCTTGTTGTTGTTACGCCCGAGTATGCTTCTTTGGAAACAGTCCAGGCGTTGTTGGTAATTGCCTGCTATTCATCTGAACGGTCGCTGTTGCTAGCTTTTGCTACAAGAATGGCTCTCGACCTTGGTCTTCCAGAAGCGTATGAGGAGCTGACCAAGAGGCTCGTCACTCGAGGACAGTCAAATCAACAGGCCGATGCCACGGGAGATGCAGTTCTAATGCGGCGCACCCGGGCCTGGTTTCAGCTTATCGTCTTGGAACAAATACTGCGAGTCGATGCAGGAACTCTGCGGAGCTTCCGAGTCAAGGGAGACGCTCGCCGCTGTCGGATTCTACTTGACAAGTCATTTTCCACGGTGCTTGATCTTCGATTGCTGTCACAAGTGGAACTCAACGCTCTTCGAGCTCGAATGCACGATTCGATCTCGTCTGCTCGGGATTTCGAGGACGAAAACGTTCTGAACACGGTTCGGGATGCTCAGATCGACTTAGAGGTTTGGTATAGCGATTGGCACAATATAATGTGCCGGTCGCCGAATGCAGAGACTCCCGTACTACTCCTGAATTTGAAGGTGCAGAAATACTGGTCACAAGCAGTGGTCCTATGCCGAGCAGTGCGTGCGTTGGGGAATGAGAACATTGCCGCCATGTCTATGCCCCAGCGGGAAATCTTGCTCATGGCCAAAGATGCACTCGGCAAGCATCTTCGGGTCATCCTGGATGAGCCACAACATTACCTTGCCCACTTCCGCTTCGCCATGGATTTCGTGTGGGCCAAATGCGCGTTTTGCTTTCTACTTCTCTTGAAACTCGTGCGCTTCTTCGCCGAAGATGACGACTCTGCAAAGGCTCAGCTGCTGGAAGATGGCTACCGGCTTCTCCGGGAATTGAACAAAGCTGGTGGGGGATCTCCGGGAGGAGGTGGGCGAAGTCATGCCAGTAAGATGTACCTCCAGGTGCTCCAGCAGAGTATCCAGAAGTACGGACGTGCGCTCCGCAGCGATCAAGGTCAGCAAATACCCGGAGACGAGCCAGCCAACATTGTCCAGAGTCCGGAGTCTCCGATGAACTTTTTCTGGACACCTGCGAACAACGCCGGTCAGAATGAACTCGAATCTTGGGTGCCTGAGCAGTTCGTGTTCGAATGGGATTTCCCAGGCCTCACGCTTTTCTCCGCCCCTTCTGTCGGAGACGACTTCTTCGAAGAATTCTTCAACGATCATTATTATGGCGGGGAGTCTCCCTTTCTGGGCATGCCAGGCTAGCGCGTCAAGGAGTGCCTGGAAAGAAACTCCCCTCGCTCAAAAGACGCGGACGGATTGTCCGTATCGGATGAACAGTCTGAACACTGAACTGAATCAGGCCCCCAGCCAAGCCTCCCTCCGCCAGGACCGGAAATAAGGATTTCCAATCAGAGGCCTTGGCATAAGCGGCATCATGTTGGTCCGCTTCGCTTACAACGTTGTACTCGTCGCTGAGGCACATATATAGGAAGGTCCCGGCCTGACTGCCCCCTCGACAAATCCATGGCGGGGCATATCTCACCATGGCCAACTTCACAGGAACAGTCCTCATTACTGGGGGCACCAGTGGCCTTGGATACTATGCCGCGACCGAGATCGCAAGGCAACGTCCACAATACCGCATTATTGTCGCATCACGGAAAGACCCAGACAACAGTGCTGCGAAGATCAACCAAAAGCTAAAGCAGGACAATGTGGTCTTCATGCCACTGGATCTCGGCCACTTGGATAACGTTCGGTCCTTCGTCCAATCATTGGGAGAACAGAATATCCCACCGATCTCCGGACTTGTGCTGAACGCCGGACTGCAATATCCTGACGCAGTCAAGTACACCACAGATGGGATCGAGGCGACATTTGGCATCAACCACCTCGGGCATGCGCTCCTGTTCTATCTCCTGCAACCATACCTGGCCCATGAAGCTCGTACCGTCGTGACCGCCAGCGGGACGCATGATCCAGCTCAGAAGAGCGGACTTCCCGACGCAAAATATACCTCTGGCGAAGAACTGGCCCATCCTACAGCAGCGACGATCGATAATTCCGGTCGTCAACGCTATTCCACAAGTAAACTGTGCAACATCATGTGGACATATGCTCTGCATCGGAGACTGACTCGGCTGGCGGGCAAAAAGTGGACGGTTGTCGCTTTTGATCCCGGCCTCATGCCAGGCACAGGCCTTGCGAGGGATGCGGGACCCCTGCTGCGTTTTGTGTGGAACAATGTGTTGCCGTCACTTGTGCCGCTCCTCCGGCTCTTGATTTCCGCAAATGTCCATCGTCCAGAGGAGTCAGGCGCCTCACTGGCTTGGGTCCTATTGGACGAAGCAGAGCAGTCAAACAGCGGCGTTTATTATGAAGGCAGACAGCAGATCAAATCCAGCGTTGACAGCTACGACGAGTCGAAGCAGGAGGAACTCTGGTCCTGGACTGTCAACTTTCTGGCAGCCGATGACAAGGAGAAGCGTGATTTCCAAGTCGCTTCCTGAGGGCGCATGGGCGTGCTCAGTTCATTCGGGCTCGGGCTGTAATGAGGTAACTTGAAGCGACAGGCAAGATACACATCCTTTAAACTTGATGGCAAGTCATTCATTTAGTGGCCTACGGCCCAGTCCAACCCAGGAACCCGCCATCCGCGCTATGGTGAGGCAGTTGCCGGTCCTCTGTTCATTCGTCTCATAGTTGCAGCAAAAATAAAAGTGTAAGCTGTCGTCAACGTTATAGTCTTGCATCAGCATCCTCCCAGTCGGGGTCTATCTCCCGCTGTCGTGCCCAGAGTCGCCTGACTTCGTCACGCTGCGCCTCGTCTTCAGCTTCTTGCCCTTCCTTTTCCTTTCTGACTTTGAGTCTCAACCGCCCTTGAGATCCCCGCCCGTTGAAGTCCAAAGTCCATTCCAGGGGCAGTTTTCCATTACGCCCGCCATCTGGAGCATCTTCAGCATCGGGACTGAGCCAACTATAGCCTGCTTTCAGTATGACATTTGCAAAAATGGTGAAGTAGCCCCAGCCAAGACGGCGTATTTCGTATGGCGGATATTGGACAATAACGCGTGGATTACGGAACGTTGGATGCTATTTACGAGTTGTTAGTGGCGTGAGCATCGCATGGCAGTAAGAGTCAGGACTAACCAGGAATATCTGCACCTCTTCAATCAGGTCTGTTCTCGAGGGCCGAACAAAGAACTTCCAGTGGTGCCTGTTGTTGGATTCACCTTCTGTCCTGACCAACGAATGCTCGTTTCCAATGTACACCGTTAGCGTCTCGATACTCGATCCAAAGTCATCTTCCTCCTCCAGTTTGCTTTCTGTCTCCCGCGCTGAATATGACACTGGATACAGACCCTCTAGGGCGGACTGTCTGTCCGGGTCTAGAGAAGCCGTGGTAAGAGTTCGGCACATAGGACATCTCGTCTCAATCTCGTTAGGCAACAGAACAACAGCCTCATCGTCCAGACCAACGGTCGCCATTTGAGAAGTGATTGAGACATCGGCCCAATGAGCCATGCAAGACTCGCAGAGCGTGTGATTGCACCGTGTCCGAACCGGACGGTAGAGCAGAAGGTGGCAAATGGGGCACAAGTCGTCCAGGTCAATATCTTCATTATGGGCAGCGTCAGGAACGCCCCTCCGTGCATTTTGATCCTGGTGTGGCAGCTCAGGCTCAGATATTTTCCTCTTCATGATGACCGTGGACAAAGGCAGGCTACGGGCAGGAAATGCAACGATGTTGAGAACGGCCGTTGGTCCACTTTACCGGACTGTAAACTGATATCACTCCTGCTGATGTAATCCAGGTAGAAGTCTTAATCTCATCTAATCTGATCTTTTAATCTAATCTAATCAGCTTCCGAGTGGACTGATCATGGCTGCGGAAGCGTCGGGAGATTAAAAAAGCTGAGCCCTGAACTGACACGCCACGCCACGATCCCTTTCGCGGTCCAAAGTTGAATGGCGGACGCCTAGACGTGCCTGTGCCTGGGGATCCATCCATCAATCCCGAACGTTGCATGACCGTTACTATTCGCATTTTCCAGGGAGGCAAAAGACCTCACCCGTGAGATTACAGCGCAATCCATACACCTTTTCTTCTCTCCAATGCCCCTTTAGCCGATCCGAAGTCCTTTTTTCTCGCTTTTCTCATTTCTCACTCCCAGTCATTCCTTTGAGCAAACCTCCAACTGCCGCCTGTCGTCCCCTCGGTGACTCTCCTCTTCTCCGGTCTCAATACTTCCTCTATCAAATTGTCCGATAAACTCGATAACGAAGATGCCTGGCCGAACGCTCCCTACGATCACCCGCGCAGAGGTGGAGGCGCACAACACCAAGAAGTCCTGCTACGTGACGATCGGAGAACGCGTGTTCGACGTGACGGACTTTGTCGACGATCACCCGGGCGGCGGTGATCTGATCCTTCAATATGCAGGCAAGGACGTCAAACAAATCATGGAGGATGAGGTTTCACACTTCCACTCGGATGCAGCATACGAGATCCTGGAGGAAAGCCTGGTGGGATTCGTGCCGACCGACGCGGTGCTAAAAGCGGCCGTCAAGTCCTCGCATCCTGATCAAGTTGTGCCGCTTCCGGCCACGAAGGAGGGCAACGAACAACTTGAAGCGGCGGGTGTCGAGACAGCCGAGTTACCCACACGACCAGTGTTCCAATCGACGGGAATGTCGTCGGAGGAGGATCTTTCAAAAGACACGGACCCCGATGCGGATTGGAAAACGCACAAGTTTTTGGATCTGAACAGGCCGCTGTTCCCGCAGATGCTGTTTGGCAAATTCTCAAAGGAGTTCTATCTGGAACAGGTGCATCGACCAAGACACTACCGGGGCGGTGATTCGGCTCCTCTGTTTGGCAACTTCATGGAGCCTCTGAGCAAGACGGCATGGTACGTCGTGCCGGCTCTGTGGCTCCCGCCCGTCATCTACGGATCGTACCTTGGAATCAGCCATTTGCCCGGCTTGCAAGGCCCTGCGTACTGGTGTTTGGGTCTCTTTCTGTGGACGCTCGTCGAGTATCTATTGCACCGATTCCTCTTCCACGTCGACTACTATCTGCCCGACCACTCGGTCTTTTTGACCCTGCACTTCCTGTTGCACGGTATTCATCACTATCTCCCCATGGACAAGTACCGGCTCGTCATGCCGCCTGCCCTGTTTCTGATCCTGGCCACGCCCTTCTACCATCTTGCACATTTCGTCTTCAGCTACAACTGGTACGCCGCCATCACCGTCTTTTCTGGTGGCATCTTCGGCTACATCTGTTACGATTGCACTCACTACTGGCTGCATCACCATCAACTGCCCAGCTACATCCGCGATCTGAAGAAGTACCACCTGGCCCACCACTATCAGAACTTCGAACTCGGGTAAGTCTTGTCGAACAATGTGTTTACCAAGACAATAATTTGATTAACTGGCTGCTAGGTTTGGTGTCACCTCCAAGTTCTGGGACCTCATCTGGGGAACCGAGTTGAAGTATGTGAAGCCCGTCAAGACATCGTGAGCACGATGCCGATGCCACAGGTTGGGAAACAAATTGCCCTGCTGTTCAAATGCACGGAAAACGGTGTCGTACCCTGTTTGGACTTAAGCCGCGACGGAGTGAAGTGAAGCGAAGCGAAGCGTTGTCAGAAAACTGTACTGCGGTTGGAGTAGTCGGAGTAGGCGGTCAAGGCTTTGGTGCTGGTCAGGGTGGTTTTCTTTCTTCTTGTGGATACGAATTGATGCTGGGTTGTTACTGTATCCTACAATAATAGTAATAATTGTTCCCTTCTCTACCAATCTCTGTGGTGATGAGTTTCAAGGGAGCTGCAACCTACGATGGATGTCCATGGATATGCGTGTACCTGCGGCTACACTGGAGAGATATGTGAATCATAAGTGAGCAGCTGCGCTTCCCAGTAAAGGTCAAGGCAGAGAATGTGGTGTAGATCGGGTCATTGTCATGCATGCCATTCCTATATACAAAGGCCGGGCCATTGGTATGCAAAGAAGGAGAAGAGGAAACCATTCCACTGAAGTAGAATGCAAGGGCAAGGCTATGAGGCCGAAGTTGAATGTACCAAAAACAAAACTATCATCCGCTGATATCTGGCCCTCGTCATGATCTCAGCGTCGAAGAAGGGTCATATGCTACCATATCTTTTTTGCCACCCATAAAATTCATCTTGCTCTCAAGGGAACACCGGGCCCCAGCAGATCGATCCTGCTTAGCCAGATGGTATGCTTTGCTGATGCTATGCTGTGTTGTACAATCTCAAGAGGACGCTGTTGCCGTAGCCATCGCATTACTTGAGCTGAGGGTCCAGCCGAGCCAGACGAAAGGATTGCGCGCTCGTAGGCGGAAGGCGGAGTGGTCTGTGGAAACGCTTGAGTTCTCTTCTTCTGGTTCAGCAGCACGCGGAAGGACAGGCGCAACTGTGGGAGCTGGTGCAGAGTCTGTAATAAAAATCAAAGTCAGCGAATTGGGTTCAGATGATGGTGCGACGAGATTCGAAGATAGGGCAGAGGTGGGGATAGCAGAGGGGACAGGGTTAAGAGAGGGCCTAGTCGTCTCAAAGTCCAAGGGAGGAAAGGGCTTGTGGGTTGGCGTGGCGACACCCTGGGTGTACATGGTCATGACTGAGCCGGACGCGGACACGCCAGCATCAGTCACAGACAATACCGATGCAGGCCCACCACTCGTGACTGTCGTGGTCAAGGACAGAGGCATTGCGGATTTGCTGCAAGGTCGGCCATGACCATAGCCACGACCACCATAGCTCCCACCGTTGCCATTTCTAGGCCCGGCAGTACCATTGTGATGATTGCTGCAATCACATCTGTGCTTCCAAGCAGTGCCACGGAAGACCGAGTGCGGTTCGCCAGGAGCAAACGAGGCATTGGCTCTCGGTCCAGTTGTAAGAGACACAGTGGGCGAGACAAGTATCGAAGAGGAAGACTCAGACTCACCATCACGTTTTGTGTACCTAGTGTTGTACACAGTTTGAAAGACCGTTTCGGTGATGGACTCGTATTCGGTAAAGGTGGCGACTGCTGCATCTGCGTTGGGTGCAGAAGTCACTTGAGGGCCTAAATCAACGCCGAGACTGTTCAGCACGCTGATAACCGAGGACAAGGAGCTTGCTAGATTAGACTCACCAGCATCGTTTCCTCCACGGCCAATTCCAGTGCCACCACGGCCGCTACGGCCCTGGCCAGAGCTACCGGTCTGTTGGGAAGATTGGGCGCCGGTCGCTGACGCAGAAGCCTGAGCAGCAGTTGTTGACACACCGATAGGAATGACGGTGAACGATTGAGTCTCGGCACCCGGGCCTGCCGTGGAGCCAGTATGGACTGTCAAGAATGCAGGGATCCCTGTTTCGCTGGAGGTGGCAGCGACAACACTAGCTTCGCTGGCGCCGCCGGGAACTGGACCGGTAGCAGAAGCAGAGAAAGGTATGGTAGATCCTGTAGGGGCTGTTAGTGGTGGTGTTGCATTACCAGGCTTGGAAAGGGAGGCCGAAGCTGGGACTCCGGCAAAGGGAATTGACTGACCTGTGACAGCAGTCGGATTTGCAATGTCGGAAAATTCGTCAGCAACCGCAGCGTTGTCCACAGCTTGTCCTTGAGCAAAAGCGGCTTGGGCTTTGGAAACAGTACCAACACCGTCATCGCTCACAATGTCAATATCCATGCAAGTGGTGTAGATTTCTTGCTTGCCATTTGGAAAGCCAGGAGTGCCTGGCATTGTCGGCCAATCCCACACCCAGTAGAGTGTATATGGTTTTCCAGTAGGAGCATCGGCCGGGAGCTGAATGTCTTGTTGGCACCAGAGATCATTTCCCATGACACTATTGAAAGCATGCTTGAACTGCTGTTGACGTTGCTGCGAAATTTGACCTCCATTGACCTGATAACATTGGCCATCGTCAAAATTTCGAGTGGACAGGAGAACGCCACGACCGTCGCCGCCGGTACCTTCGGGGTTCCAGACGCGGTGGATGGCGAGAAAAGAATCGTCCGGACTAGGTTGAGTGGTGCCATACACGTACACAGTGCCGCGGTTTTTCGGTTTGCCCGGTTGGTTGTCTGGCAAAGTAACGTGGCCATTTTCTTGAAATCTCAAAGCAACGGCTGATCCAGGAGCTGCCTGCAGCCGAGGACTGCCGTCGGTTTGAGTCTGAGAGGTCTGGGTGGACTTGCACATCAGGTCGGTAGGTTCGATCTGGTTGATGGGACGGCCATCGGGTGGAATGAGGTTTACCATGGCAGGATCACTGAAGCCAGGAGTGCCACGCAGGACATTCCCACGGGCAAAACCCGGTTGACCGACCAAAGTACCGTTCGGCGCAATGACCATCAACTGTTCAACCCAGGTATGGGCAGAGGCGAAAGGGGCCGTTGTAGCGAGCAACCCAAAGAGGGCGCTATGCAGCAGGGCCTTGGTGGAAGGCATGGCGTAAGATCTAGACGAAGCTGGCTGTCTGATGCTTTTGCTTGAGAGAGTCGTTTCGCGCAGCGAGTAACAACAGGTTCTTGTTCGGCCAGGAACAGAAGTTTGGGACTTGAGGAGGAGTTTGGACCTGCGACAAAGTGATCGATCTGGTGGTGTAAGGATCGGAGGAGTTGCTGAGCACTCTTCAAATTGGGATCGTAGGCAGTTTGTGGCTGAACGAGTGAGGGAGTAAAACGAACGGCACTGCCGTAGCAAAGGAGTGAAAGAACAAACAAAGATTGTGGTGTTTAAAGGAGTGACTGAGTTGGCATTGATTGTTTAGAACAAAGGTGTAGACAATGCTTGCGCAAGCATTGTTCCTTGTGTTGGCTGAAGAACAATGCTAAATGCAGTCGGGCGATAACCGAGACTTCACTTGAGGTCGGCGGCCGCCTGGCGGGTAGTGGGCAATGAAGCAGATGTGCAGGAACAGACGATCCAGGACCATTCAAGTGGAACTCGCATTATGGATATGTGATTTTTCGATCGACATCTAAGCGCAAGGAGTAGGACGCGCCGTTTCGGAGTTCAAAGCTTGATCCATGTAGATGGACCCCCTTTCCTGAGGGGCGGTTCGTGGGATAGACGTCCAGCCTGCCATCGGCGGAATAGAAGGACCAGTTGATGCAGTAATGGTGTACATGGTGGATCACGATCTATTACTTTGGAGTTCAGGACAGCCAATACACGCTCAGGGTCGCTCAAGAAGACCATGCAGCGCCCAGGGTTTGGATTTAGATCGGCCGTGTTTCACAGCCTCGACCTTCGCGTGGCGTGCCGGGGAGAAAGTTTGGACTTCGTTGGTGCCGGGTACACGGCCGATCTAAGACAGAAGAAAGGAAGATTCGCACAAACGAGACCACATTGTCAGTATGTTTCCTGCAAGGCTGCACCTATAGATATCGTCTCACTGGGATTGTTCTCCTGCATCGTTGCAGGAAACGCCGTCGTGTACCCCCATAAAGTCAGGTTGAACATTCACCGGGGCGGCAATCGAGAAGCTCTCTCTCTTTTGCCCGCGCCGCCGCAATCGAGCAGTTTGACGGGAGCGAGAAGACACTCGGCCTGTGCCCCTTCATCTCCAGACTGGGTCACGCGATGCCATCAGTGCTTTTTTTGAAGGATAGGGAGGCAGAAGAACCAGGGTACGTAGGGGGCTGGAGTTGACTGGATTTGACGGACGAAGTCACTTCAAACATTAGCCTGCGTTTCAAATCCAGATTAGCGCCGTGCTAAAGTCGCTGGTGCGTGCCTCTCAGCCAATCATGGCCTCTCAGGCTGCCCATCCTTCATCTGCACAACTTGACCTCCTCGGGGCGACGACGGGTCACCCGCGTTCGCCGCCGACTTCATGTTGTTCGTTCTTCAGTTCGCAAGTGCTTCGATACGAGGACATTTCTTCTTTGGTCCAACGTACTCGAGCCTCGTTGCGCGCGTGGTGAGGGGGCAAAACGTGCGTTACCTCTATCCCACTACGAATAGTTAGGGAACTGCCGAGATGTCGGTGCTGGCTCGACCCAGATGATGGAACTGGCAACTAGGTTAGTGTGACACTCGCCGCCTGGCATGGACCGCCCCAAATGCGCTCTTAAGGGCAAGCCTGAAGGGTCCAAGCTTGCGCAAGCCCAGTGGAAGTCCACTGCCTGGTGACGTAGGGATCCTTAGGCAATTCCCATGGTGATACCGCAACATGATAAGGCAGCAGGGGCAGTCATGAACCGACGCTGATGGAAACCATTATCACTGGAACGAAGTGAATTAATTGAGTTGAAGATTCACCGGGTGATTCCGAATTCCGCACCAAGTCCAATTCGATTAGAGCCCACTGAAATGTGAGAAATATAGCACATCCAATTTTCGTACCCTTCAAAAGAATCCCTTGCAAGACCCTGCCGCATTCCGAAGCTCCAAACTCTGGACATCATATGACTTTCCATATGTTAGCGCTTAAACCCACTCTCCTCCCGTAGCCAAGTTTCAAAATCAAGCATGTCTTTGTTCAATTGGCGACAGTAGAAGATATCGCAGCCATAACCCTGGTCAGCAAACCATTGGAACATTTTCGCCATTTCAGGAATCATCTTCTTCAGGAGAGTGGCCATGAAGTTGTATGATCGAGGCATGGGGCGACCCAACACTGTCCAAAAGATCTCGTTGGCTCTGGCTTGGGTGAGCTCGTCGCCAGCGATGCTGATGGCTTTGTTGTGGTATTCTTCCTTTTCCGACGCCGCAAAGGCCTGTGCAGCAAAGATACCAATATCCTTGCTAGCCACCATTTGAAGAGGTTTGTCCCCCAGGGACGCCCACATCGTCGCAAATATTCTTCCCGGCAAATTGGGAGTCAGGTTGTCCATGAAAGCCACCGGTCTTAGCATCGTGTATGACATGCCCGTGCCTCTCGCTTTCTCTCTGAGGTGCTTTTCGACATTGTACTGGAATGAGTTAGTGATATGGACGGGGAACAGAAAAGGTCAGGCATGCCTTGGAAACAAAGTGCGGAATATCTGTAGCATACACATCGGATTGATCAGGACCGCCTCGATCGACAGACGTGTAGACGAAATGTTTGACGTCGTGCGCCACAGCAGCATCCACCAGACCGTTTCCTTGCGTTACTTCCGCGTCCTCCACCTCTTTCTTGAAGGATGGGATAGTGACGCAAAACACTCCCCAGACAGCACCAATTCCGCCCGCTTTCTTAAAGATTGACTCTGGATCATTGAGACTGCCCTCGATGATGGTGACCTTGGGATTGGAGGCAAGCGACCTTGCAGAGGCAGACGTAGATTTGCGGGTCACGGCTAGGATTTGATAATCAAAGGGAGGCGGATGATCAAGAAGGGCGCGGACGACAGCACCACCTTGTTTGCCGGTCGCACCAGTGACAAGGATGTTTCGAGTGGTCATGGCGGCCTGCACGTGGTAAGGGCTCCCAGATACCTAGGAAGTTATTCCAAGCTATTGATATAGAAAATCAATCAGCGCGCATTGACAAGATAAGTCAAAGGACCTCGTACCTGTAGTCAAAGCAACATCCGGCGCAGGCCGCCGCGTTTGTTGACGTCACCTGTCCAAGATGCGGCACAGTTTGAGGTTCAAGTTCAAAGCTGCGCCGGATTATTCTTCCAGACGTCGAGTAGATGTGTGTCCTTCAGGTTCATCTAGAAGTCGACGAGCTGGCTCATCATGCTGTTCATGTACAATGGTTCATGTCGGAGCAGTGCAAGGCAGGAAAGTGTCAGATACTAGTAACCGCTGCCGTGCGACGCGCTTCGGAACACACCGTCCGCCTGCAGCCGAGACGTGTTTCAGCCTGGCGATCTTCGTAGCCTGATACTATGAAGGCTGCCCATCCCCATCGCTGACTACTATTATTACTAGATAAGTATAGAAACACAATGTTTCAAATCGACATCAGAAAGCACGTGTCGTCGATTGCTGGAATGGCGCTGAGGGTATCACGTGCATGCCACACAGGCCAATCCGTTGGCATTAATGGCATTCAGTCGATATTGCAGGTTCTGCTCATGAAGTAATGACCACCTTCACAGGCACTCTGCCTTCGTCTTCTCCGTCTTTCGCCTGGTTCGCCGCGAGTCTGAACGCTTTCTCTCCATCCGCCAGGGCCACGTGGTGTGTAACAAGATCTCGGGCCACGCCCTCCAACTGTCCACTGGCGAACAGTGCGATAGCGGCAGGGTAACAGTTGGCGTATCTAAAGACACCAATAATGTCAACTTCTCTCAGTGCCGCCGCGCCCAATGGCAGAGTTTGTGTCGGGGTACCCATGCCAACAAGCACCAACTTTCCACCTGCCGTAGCTGCAAAGATGCCCGTCTGAACGCAAGACGGAACGCCCGTGCATTCAAATACTCGGTCAAAGCCAGACTCCAGTCCAGCAGACTTGCCGATGTCGCTGGCCAAATCTTGTGCGCCAGCCAAAGTCTCCTCAATCGTGGGCGCTGGTGCTTTACGGGGTATCAGAAAAGTCTTCAGTTTGAATCTTCCGCCCGCCAGGCCAGCAGCAATCTTCAATCTTGGGGCGTCAATGTCGGCAATTGTGATTTGTGACACTCCAGCTACAGCCAGCGCAGCTGCCGTCAGCATTCCCACGGCTCCTGCTCCAAGAACCAGAGCAGTGGAGCCAATCAAGGGCACGCCTGCACCCGAACCCGCGCTCTGACTTCGGTTGATCCCGTGTAGTGAAACGGCCAAGGGCTCAACGAGGGCACCCTCTTCGAAGGTGACGTTTTCTGGGAGGAGGTGGCACATGCTAGCCGGCTGCGAGATGACCGTCTGTAGGGTGCCGTCGGCGTGGGGAAAGGTCTTTGCTGAGGATCGAAAGGACAACTTGGGACATAAATTGTACCGGCCGGTGGTGCATAATGTACATGACCGACAAGGAATGCCGACTTCCAAGGCTACTCGATCTCCAACCTTGAGACTTGATGATGGAAGAGAGCCATTGGTGGTTCCATTCTGCGTCTCGGCCACAGCAGTGACCACACCAGATGCTTCGTGTCCGAGGACAAGGGGCGCTTGTATGACAAAGGCACCATTCCGCCCGTGGTGGTAGTAATGCAAGTCTGATCCGCAAAGTCCAGTGGCCTTGATTGCTACTTCGACCTCGCCTGGACGAAGTGTAGGTTGTGGCCTCGTTTCCTGTGAACATGGTGTCAATACTTGTACGTCCTGCCATGCCGTTGTCTGGTGCGCAGGTCCCTTACCAATCTCAGGTCTTTTGCGCCATGTAGCACAAGGGCTCGTACACTGTCTGAACGAGCCATTTTGTCGGTGAACTGGAAATCCAGACTTGCAAAATTGTTATTGTTCTTTCAATCAGTCGTATATATCATGTCACTCGGATCCAATTACAGCCCATGCACAACAACGAGACCGGCGGGTTTCAAGGCGAGCATTCACTCCAGCACATGCAGCCGTTTCTTGGGGAAAAACTGAATATCTCGAGATGGATTGGCCCCGCGCATATATGAGTGGTTTTCTCCGACTTTGCGGGTGAAAGAGACCCTGGCCGGTACGATTGCCCGATGTGATAGTGTCTGTATGCAGCAATTTTCGGCGAGGCTCCATTAAACGACTCATTTTTATTGGCTGTTGCTCGTGGGGGCTCAGTGGTGGGAGACAGTGGGGGTTAGAATCAGCCAATTGCGCGTCGGGCAAATAGTGGTTCGAGGGCAACGCGCCCAGGTCGGCATTTGGGGGGCGCGGCACGTGCGGGGTGTCGGCCCTCAAACGCCGAAGCATCAACAAGTGCAGCAGTTCCCATTATTGAGTTCGGACAAACTCCCTGCGAACTCGATAGGTGCCAGCGCTGGAGGAAAAAAAGTCATTACACGTGCCTGACTGCGGATATCGTTCCATAGCTCCTCCACCGGACTGTCCTCGATCCTCCCAAACAACAGCATCGTCCCGCCATAATGTCCAAACCAACAGTTCTATTGATCGGGGACCTGACCCATACCAACAAAGAGTGGGAGGCATTCAGCTCAAAATATGAGCTGAAAGAATTCCGCAAGGGCACGCGAGAGCAGTTCCTGGCCAACTGCAAATCGGGCGAATACGACGGTGTTGTTGCCTTGTATCGTTCCAATACGTCGACCTCCCAGACAGGACCTTTTGACCAAGAGCTGGTGGCTGCGCTTCCCAAATCTTTGAGATACATTTGTCACAACGGAGCGGGCTATGACAATATCGATGTGGACGCATGCACAAACAAAGGCCTCCGGGTCTCCAGCACTCCGATTGCGGTCGACGATGCAACGGCTGATGTTGGTATTTTCCTGCTGTTAGGCGCCCTCCGACAAGCGTGGATACCTTTGACGGCGATCAAAGCGGGCAAATGGAAAGGCAACACGCCTCTTGGACATGATCCCAAGGGCAAGACTCTTGGGATTTTGGGTATGGGTGGTATCGGCAGGGTAAGACGACAACGACCATCCGCGGCTGACAATCGTCTACTAACACTCTCTAGGCAATGGCGAAGCGTGCGCGAGCCTTCGGAATGAAGATTGCCTACCATAACAGATCCAGGCTGTCGCCGGAGTTGGAGGACGGTGCAACATATCTCAGCTTTGAGGAATTGCTCGCTCAGTCCGATGTCCTCAGCCTCAACCTCGCCCTCAATGCTAAGACTCGTCACATCATATCCGCTCGAGAGATTGCCAAGATGAAGGATGGCGTGGTCATTGTCAATACGGCTCGAGGTGCCTTGATCAACGAGAAAGATCTCGTTGCAGCGCTAGAGAGTGGAAAAGTATCGTCGGTGGGACTGGATGTTTTTGAGGAAGAACCAAAAGTCGAGGAGGGACTCTTGAAGAATGACCGAGCGTTCATTGTGCCGCATATTGGCACGAACACTTATGAAACACAAAGAGAGATGGAGCTGTTGGTGCTGCACAATCTAGAGAGCGCAGTTGACAAGGGCAAGCTGTTGACCCCGATACCGGAACAAAAGGACAAGCTGAGTGGGCATTTATGAGGCGGGAGATAGACCACAAAAGCGATATAAATGTCAATCATGAAATCTTTCCGGTTATAGATTCAGACATGAAAAGAGCTGGCGTACAACTACATTCTTGTAGCCGTAGAGATGGTTCAGGTTGGGTGGTGGGCGGCTCCCATTATTGGAGGCGGATCTTATCAACAAACCTCGGCACATGTGCTTCCATTGCGCAACTACTACAGTAAGTTAGTAGTAGTACACAAACACAAGAGGTCACAGTACAACGTCTCTTGAACTCAGCCTGGTTGTTGCGTCAGTGCACATGCCATCATCCTTCTCGTGACCACACTCTGTATCTATATTGCCAGCACCATTTCTTCTCTCTGTTCTCCTCTGCGCTACCAATGGAGGCTCCTAGTGTATAGCACTCTTCGAGTCGCCTTTCGTCTTGAGTCGGTGGTTCCATGATGCGCCGTTATCTTGCCAGATGATTTCCCCAGAAATCGGCTTCATTTTCCGCCGCCAGCATGCCAGTTCAATCAAGAGAGGACCCGTTGCTCGTCCTCTACAACCACTACCTGAACCTGCTTCGGTCTCGCATCCGGCGGACACCTAGAGAACTCAAAATCGCGGCTACGGCAGCCTTGGTCATCTCAATATTATCCACAAGTTATGGCGGCTACATATGGTGGCTGGACAGGTCGAAAGAGAAGGCACAAGGCCGCACGTTGGTCCGCAAGAACAGTGGTCTGAGAGGCAAAGATGGGGAGCGCATCATATACGTGCCCAAGGGAGATACAACCTCCAAGGTCATCATCCATCCCATCCGGCCGACGACGTTCGATGCGCATCGCCGCCTGTTCCTCGCTCCGCCGAGGGTCACTCGAATGGGCAGCGGTGCTTCCACGCCGGCATATGGACCGCCTCCGCAGACGAAGCCCGGCCTCAATCTGGCCTTTCTGCACCAGTTCTTGAGTCTGCTGAATATCATGATACCGCGCTTCCGAAGCAAAGAGACGGCGTTGCTCCTAAGCCACGCCGTGTTTCTCGTCCTCAGAACATACTTGTCTCTGGTCGTTGCAAGATTAGACGGTGCTATTGTTCGAGATTTGGTTGCGGGTCAGGGCAAATCCTTCATGTTGGGCATTCTCCGCTGGCTGTCGGTTGGCACGCTTGCCTCCTACACCAACGCCATGATCAAATTCCTCCAATCCAAAATCTCCATTGCATTCCGAACAAGGCTTACCAGATATATCCACGACTTATACCTCAATTCAAACCTCAACTATTACAAACTGGCCAACCTAGATGGCGGAGTCGGACAAGGAGCCGATCAATTCATCACGCAGGATCTCACACTTTTCTGTACATCCGCAGCCTCATTGTACTCGTCGTTGGGCAAACCCCTGGTTGACATATTCGTCTTCAATTATCAGCTATATCGATCTCTCGGCCCACTCGCCTTGACCGGCCTGCTGACCAATTACTTCGCCACTGCCACGCTCCTTCGCAGACTCTCTCCGCCGTTTGGCAAACTGAAGGCTGTCGAAGCGAAAAAGGAAGGCGACTTCCGCGGTCTCCACGCCCGACTGATCGCCAACGCCGAAGAGGTTGCCTTCTATGGCGGCGCCGATGTGGAAAAGGTATATCTGAACACAGCTTTCAAAGAGTTGCGCACCTGGATGGAGGGCATTTACAATGTCAAAGTTCGATATAACATGCTTGAAGATTTTGTGCTCAAGTACTCTTGGTCAGCGTTCGGATACATTATCACTTCGATACCTGTATATCTTCCCGCCTGGGCAGGCATGACTAGCATGTTCGAAAGTGGCGCCAGCACAGGGCCAGAATTGTCGGAATCGCTACGGGAAAGATCGCACATGAAAGACTTTATCACGAACAAAAGACTGATGCTGTCCTTGGCAGACGCCGGCGGCCGCATGATGTACAGCATCAAAGACCTCTCCGAACTCGCCGGGTACACTTCACGAGTCTACCAGCTCATCTCCACCCTGCATCGCGTGCACGCCAATGCCTATGCATCATCACACCGACGGAGCCCAGGTCGAATCGAACTGTATTCACTGGCAGATGTCCAAGGCACCACTTACCTGGGATTCGACGGCGTGCGCCTGGAGGATGTGCCCATTGTCGCGCCGGCACTGTGGCCGTACGGAGGAGACGAGCTAATCGAGTCTCTTTCCTTCGTCGTGCATAGCGGTGAACATCTGCTGATCTCTGGGCCCAATGGCGCCGGCAAATCGTCCATCGCTCGGATCGTTGCGGGTCTGTGGCCCGTCTATCGCGGCCTGGTCTCACGGCCACGCAATAACGGACAAGACGGCATCATGTTCCTCCCGCAGCGGCCCTACCTGAGCGTAGGGACGTTGCGCGACCAGGTCATCTACCCGCACACGGAAATGGACATGCGCGACAACGGCCGGCGGGACAGCGAACTGCAGCAGATTCTGGAAGATGCCAAACTGGGCCATCTCCTCGCGCGTGAAGGCGGCTGGGATACGCGCAAGGAATGGAAGGATGTGCTGTCCGGCGGAGAGAAGCAGCGCATGGCCATTGCACGCCTCTTATACCATGAACCGAAATACGCCTTTCTCGACGAAGGCACGTCTGCCGTTTCCTCGGATGTCGAAGGCTTGTTGTACGAACGGTGCAAGGAGCGAGGAATCACGCTCATCACCATCTCCACGCGCGCCAGTCTCCGCAAGTATCACACGTTCAATCTCCTGCTGGGTTTGGGTGAGGAAGGGTACGATTGGGAGTTGGTGCGGATAGGGACGGAGCAGGAGAAACAGGGCCTTGAAAAGGAGATTGGAGAGTTGAAGGAGCGCCTTGCCCAGGTGGCTGAATGGGAGAGGCGTAAGAAGGAGATTGAGGAGGAACTGGGTCACGTTTTGGTTGTTGATGATGATCAGCAGGCCGAACTGGAGAAGCCCGGATACATTCATGACTCGGAGCAGCAGGGCATTGAGGAGAATGAACATGAACACGGCGGTAGTTCTTGATGATACCGTACTCACCTACAAGCATCTCCGGTGTTGAAGAAGACTTATTTTTATATGTGCATAATTCTCACGTATACCACTAAGCTGCACATATGATTTTCTTCTCAAGGTCGTGAGTCTGCGCACAGGAACGAACGAGTAGCATAATTGTCATGAACATGCACTTTTAATCACTTGTTGGGAAGCATCGAACATGCCAGTGGTGGCTGTTGTGCACGAGTATCCCTTTCAGACAAAAGTATTCCTCGGTACACTATTTTATTGGGTTCAATATTTTCTGAAGCAACTTGAACCTCACCATCACCATCATTGAATGCAATTCCTGTAACTTAGCAAATACTGTAGCATTTCCAAGGAGCCGATAACACTGTGCCCACCCAGTTATCAGGGCCAGCCCGATGATACAGTACTAATACAATTCCCACTTCACTTCTCTCTCTCCCCCTGCGTCTGTGTGTCTTTTCCCTGCCCTGGAACGAGACGACTTTGAACCCATCGCACTTACGGCACTACGACTAGTCCAACCTACAATTTACACAGGATGCCGACCGAAGAGTTCACGACCGAGTGCGGAAACCATGTTCGACAGAACATGAGGTCCTACAATATCGGACTCGGACTCGGACTCGGAGTCAGCACTAGAGTTGCTGTCGCTATCGCTGTTCGAGTTGTTGGTGACCACTGCGTATGCATCGCCTGAATGCTCGATGCGTCGTGTTGGCAGGGAAATCATCGATCGTGGTCTTCGTAGAGGGTGACTCTGACCACCAGTCACGTATCCTCGAAATACGCGCGGATGATGGGCAGGCTGAGGTTCACGTTCACGTTGCACAGCCTTGTTTCCGGTAGGCTTGTTAACCATGACCCATTCTTTGTCATTGTCATTCACATCAAGCACAGCTGTTTCTGATTTGCGAATCGGAGCAGGAATGTTGATGAGTCAGGGCGGCGACGAAGGTTTGGTCAACGTTACCATTTCCGCAACTTGAACTGCTGGGACACTCTCATCAAAAGACGAACGCGGGGAGATGACCGTGTATTGGTTGTCAGAGTCGCTGTCTAGGCTTGATTCGTCTGCAGAGACCAAGGATGTAATCACCGCTGAATCGCTCTGCGACCGACTTCTCTGGGTCACGTTTGGTGTGGCGAACTCGGAGGAGAATAAAAGGGGTGAAGTTGGGACACTTACATAGCTTTCGGTTTCTATTTCACCGTCAGACTCATCCTTTTCCTCAAGTTCGGCAGGGAGCACAGTGACGGGTTCTCGTTCAATGTAAAAGCATCGTCCGTGTCGTTTCGAAGCCATCTCATTGGAATCATTTCGCGTCTCCGCTGCCACTGTTGAATCCGATGGTGTCAATGTCATGGTCTTGGTTGAGCTTGGAATAGCCTCGGCCTCGGCTTCTGAAGGTACTGGTTTCAAAGTCACCTTGAGGGGGGAGCTGTCGATGTCAGCAAATTGAATGTGCTCACTTACCATTTGATTTTGCTTCTCAGAAGAGAGATCTTCGGTTTCTGCAGGAGTATTGTCTTCTTCGGCCACAGTGCCATTCGAAGATGTAGTGGAGGACGCTGTCGGCTAGGTGCGAAAGTTGGATTTAGCTTTGACAGCCAAGCGGCGGACGAGTGAGGTTGTCGACTGTTTCACTGACTTTATTGTGCTCATACCGACCGACTTGTCCGAAGTGGGATGCGAGGCAAGAGGCGCTGGATATATGCCAAGTCCTTGAAGGCCCTGAGTTAGCAGTGCGGCAGGCTTCGAGGATATTACCAAAGCTTTGCTCTGACTTTCCTGTGTATCCGGGTTGCTAGTCTTCGTCATGTCAACCGCCGCATTCAGTGTTCCAGGCATAAAGTATGCAGGATATGTCTCGCGCAACATCAACAGGTTCTGGATGGCTCGCTCGGGACCGTAGGTCGTATGAATAGCGGCCAGCGCCCGACGTTGTTTGCGGCTGGTAGATCGTCCTCGCTCGTGCTCATGATCGTTATTTTCGGTCTCGGCATCGCTAGCGAAGCACTCGAGAGCCTTTTGGATTCTAATAGCTTCTGTGATGCCGTTTTTGGCCTGCTTCTTCAGCTTGTACTTCAAGAAATCTTTCGGCTCAGGGTCTTTCATGCTAACAGGATACGTACCTCCTAGACTGACCGGTTTTGCAGTATTGCCCAGCATGCGCTGGGTACGCACAGTCTCTCCAATTTCCATGATATGATCGACAGACGCTCTTTGTCGAGTCAAGTCCTCGTCGACTTTGATGTGTCCTGTCAACGGCGTGATGCGGGAGTAAAGGCTTCGAAACGGGGTCGAGAGTGGTGCAGCAGGGTCGCGGGCGCAGCCCTGGCGATGCAAGTTGTCTAGCAAAACGGTGCGCGCGATGATGAGATTGGCCGAAGGATCTTGAAAGTCTGGGAAGGGTTCGACGACATCGACATCGACATCATCGGGAGACGACGGCTTCGGAGGTGTGTAGCGCGATCTGGGTGCTGGCCAGGTAATGTAAGCCGACTCGAGAAAGGGGACATAGAAGCGTGGCTGTTCGCCGAGCGACGAACTACGAGACGGAATGCTGATGGGCGGCGCTGCCGGCCCAATTTGCTGGACTGCCATCGTAGAAGACCACACGGCGAACCCTTGCCCCTGGTCGTTGCTGCACAACGTCCGGCGTTGTGTCAGCGCACCGTGACTGGGAAGACAAAACAAAAAGGCAAAAAGGCAAACCTGAGACACAACACACCAGGGAACCCTACCGAGGACAAGTTGTAAAGGGGGCTCGGTGCAAGAAGAAGCATTCGAAGTCGTCAACAAACCTGAGACAATTATACCGAAGATCCTGGATGGCAGTCAACAAAGCAGGCCACAGGGCAATGTCACTCACAATTAACCAATGGCAGTGGTCAAGGGCAGCGAGGCAGGCCTTTGTTCCCTTTGTCGACTGTGGACAAAGAAGACCACAAACCAAAGGAAGAGAAAGTGAACTCAAACATTTTATTGTTCTAATCTACATCCTGGAGCTCTTTGTCTGTAAAGACCACGGAGAGTTCTGTGCTCGGTCTCGTGCCCTCGCCTCGAATGGAGCGGGATAGCTATGGTAAAAATGCGCTGCCGAGCACAACTGCCGTTGATCTGTATCGGCTTCAGATGCTGGGAGTGTCAGCTTGAAGCGGCAGCGGCGTGGCAGACCTTGGTTGTTCTCCAGCCCCAGACTAAACTTTTTTTTTGAGTCAAGGCCATAAGCAAATGAATCCATAAACGCCGTAAGCAAAGAAAACCATGAACGCAAGGGGTATCATCAAGTCCTGTGCAATTGGCCACCTGAAACTCCATGAGCATAAGCTCGGATTCACAACTCTGCCAGATCTCGGAGGGTAATCATGTGTCCTCGGAGTATGATCCGCAAGCAGTTTGATTTGCCATCTCCCAGCGCGTTTACATGCTGTTGAGACCGAAGAGATAGCCAAGCTCTCGGACGCTGAGTCTAGCAACGTCGCGACCAGCTGACTCGCTCAGTGCAGTTTCAACGAGGTGGCGCTTCTTCTCCTGGAGGGCTAAGATTCGATCCTCAACGGTGAATCCTGGCCCGTCCTCGACGGTGCTCGGCTGTATAGTGACTTTGCTTCCTGGCCCTGCTTTGTTTGCACTCGGCTGATCGTCCTCGGAACCATGCTCACTGATCAAGACTCGATGGACTGTAACTTCGCGGGTCTGACCAATTCGGTAACAACGGTCGGCTGCTTGATATTCGACAAACGGGTTCCAGAAGGGGTCCATCATCAACACATGGTTCGCCGCCGTAAGATTGAGGCCCGCATTGCCAGCCCTGAGACTAACAAGGATGACATTGCAGTTGGGGTTCTCGGTGAACTCAAGGACGGCGTTATTACGATCTTTGGTTGTCATAGATCCATCATACCGGACGTAGTGGCGGAAATCTGGGTGGTTCGCAAGCGGGACTTCGATCAAATCAAGAAATGAGGTGAAGTTAGAAAATATGATGCTCTGCTCGTTCTCGCCTCGACTCTTGATCTGTTCGAGAAGTGCAACGGTCTTTGTGATCTTTGCCGAAGGCTCGAAATTTTTGCGCAATCGTCGGAGATACTTGCGTTTGGCAGCTTTGTTTTGCAGGCCTTCTTTGCGAAGCTGTGCTAGCGTCTTGAATGCATCTCTGGACTTGAAGTTGTCTTGCGAGTCGGATTCTTTCTTCTCCTTTCGAGATTTGATGATTTGCTTCTTGTCCTCAGCCTCTGTGAAATCGTCAGGAACGATGAAGCCGCCCAGATCACCGCCTTCATCGGAATCGTCAGACTCGGACTCGGATCCGGTGTCGTCATCATCATCCATCCCTGCCTTTGTTTCTTTCGGCGCACGATCCGGGCGATGAACACGAAGAAAACTAACCACATCGGTGATTTTGTTCGCATCGATGGAAGCTCTGCAGTGAGGACAGTTGGGGCGGGCTTCATTTTCATTGTTCGCCTGCTCGACCAAGCGACTCAGGCAATCGCTGCATAATGCATGGCCACAAGGGAACAAGGCGGGGTTTTCGTCCACGTCCATACAGATGGGACATTCGAAAGCATCCAGATCCTTCAAGCGGTTGACGACTTCCTTGTTCAACTGCGCAGCATTCTCGAGGAGAGTGTCGGTATCCAAACTGCCTGCCCCTTGCAGAAAGTCTTTGCTCTGCACCACCAGAGCGGGATGGCAACACGCTTGTCGGAGCCGCAACAACAGGACAAGCGTGTGGGCATAGTTCTTGCCTATGCCACCTCCTCCAGCCTTGATGTATTTGTTGAACTGGATCTGCGCTCTATTCTCGAGGGCCTTGTAGAAAGTTAGCTCGTCCTCGGAGAAAGTCACCCTCTCCTCAATGGTGGTTTTGGAGGGAAGCTGGAGGATAGGTTGGCCATTTATCGTGGAGCTCTTGTTACGTCGCAGCAATATCGCTCGGAGTAGCGCTTGTAACGCTTGCATAGCCTTGGCCTTGCCGCCGTAGTAGTCGCGGGTTTTCTTCAGTGGTTGACAGATGTCTCTGTTGAAAAGATTCCATTCATTGTAAGGTCGGATCCGGCAGAACTTGACAAGACTGTACATTTCTTCAACCGAGTTCTGCATCGGCGTGCCAGTGAGAGCCCAGCGGTAGTCGGTCTGGATGCGGCAAGCAGCAATGGCACATTTCGCCTTCCTATTTTTAATCCACTGCGCTTCGTCGAGAATGACGCGGTGAAAGTGAGAGCGCTCGCCAAGGACGGGACACTCTTCGGCAAGTGTCGGTCGTGCATTCTCGAAGAGTTTCGCTTTCTCTTCCCAGGCGATTTGGCGCTTCAGCTCAGTAGTCAACAGACCATACGTCGTGAGGACGACATCGTATGCCTTTAATGCTGACCAAGTTGTCCGCCTGCTCTCTCCGTGAAGGACGAAGACATTGAGGCGATGTGCTCGATCAACCATCTTCTCCAACTCTTTCTTCCACTGATGCATGAGTGCGACTGGGGCGACCACGAGAGTGGGGCGGCGTTTGCCATCAGCTGGTGGTCGAGCTAGCATGAGCGCGATGCTTTGAATCGTCTTGCCCAATCCCATATCATCAGCAAGGATGCCGCCCTTGTTGGTGCCTTCCTCCATTTTTTTCATCCAGGTTAAGCCGTAGAGTTGGTGGGGCATCATGGTCACCGTGATCCCATCCGGCTGCACGGCAACCTCATTCGCAGTAAACTCCTCGTCCGGTCTTATGTGCTTGATCAGGTGCTGGACTTCCTGCTTGGTTTGGGCCGGGTCTACCAAATATTGGTGGAAGCTCAACCCCGTCGGAATGGAGTTATTGAACGTGACTGAGGATGTCGAGCCTGGCGTGGCACTGGAAGCAACATAGGAAGGTGAGTTGTACACCAAAGTTCCTCCAACGCTAGAGTAAGCTTGCGTCCCTGGAAAGCTGCCGGGCATATTAGTCGATATCGAATAAGGACGCGGCGGACGTGGCTCAAATCCATCCACTGGGGGAACAGGTTGGCTAGGTCTTGAGTTGGAAGCAGATGAGTTCGGGGTCACTTGAGTGCTGGAGCCGGGACGAGACGGAGATCTGGTGGATGCTGCGCCGGGGCGACTCAAAGTTGACACTGGCTTGAGTCTGATAGGAGTGCTGGGGGGCAGCGGCCGATTCATGGACGTGGACGTGGACTGACTCTGTTGGCTTGAAGGATTTGGTACGCCAGAGCGACGGTTCATGCTGCCATCACTCTTGAAGAATGCTTGCGTACGATCAGGGGGAGAACCAGCTGCGGGAGTAGATGTGGAACGATTACTCGTGTCCGCTTCCTGAGACAGCATTTGGGCGAGCCTGGCATCTGCCTTTTCTTGCTTCCTCCGCTGTTCGTGTTTCCTCCAAGCTTCTTGATTCCGAGCTGCCTCTTCTTTGGATAAGTCGAATAATGAGGTTATGGAGGGATCGTCGAAATCAAGACTGTCAAGACTGCCCGTAGAATCAGCTGGGGAGGATGCAGTAGTCATAGATGAGCTTGGTGTGGTTCGTCGAGATTTTGCCGGCGGCCCCGACCGATCGTCACGTAAGGTACGGCCATCTCTTTGTCGCTTGCGGGTAGCCAGGTCGTAGCTTGGGGGAGGCATGCCATGATCATTGCTGCCATCAAGTCCCATGTATAAACTTCCTCCTGAGCTTGTGTCTTCATGCGCCGGCTGCAGGGCATAAAGACGCTTCCTCAGTTCCGCGAGGTTGTTTCGTACCACATTCTTGGAATCTTCCGTATCAGATTGACCGTCCTCCAGGTCGTTCAGACTTTCAAGAAGGCCTATGTTAAAAGCGATATCATCTTGAACGTCTTCAATCTCGGCGATGCGAGCAGGATCCATGTCGTCGGCCATCTGGAGGCGAGAGCGGCTGGCGGGAATAGAACAGTCACGGACACGCCCTCAGGCAGACGCGGCGCAGCCTGAATGACTGCGCCTGACTGTACCACCTTGCGCACCTTGAAAGGAAGAACACAGACTGAACTTTTGAGAGCCAATGTTGATCAGTACCCAGGTACTAGTAGTGGGATATGGAAGTGCCCAGTGTCAGGGATGATTGTTTAGGTTGTGGGATGAGAGGCGCGAAGAGGCTGAAGTGGGAGGTGGCAATGACGCGAAGGAAAATCTGGGGTCGGAAATTATTATTAGCGCGCCACTAACTACAACATTGTAGTCGCAGCCTCACCCTCACTACTGGCAGCTAAAGTGAGAGTGAAGGTTCAGTGAGATCCCTCTTGGAGAATAGGTAGGTAGGTAGGTACACAGGCGCCTACTACCTGGTACGGGGTAGATATAGACACCAGATACAGGCAGGTATACTGGCCAGAACAATAAATAGGTTTGGTTCTATAGAACATTTGCTATCTACAACACTGTACTATGCCAGGACCCCTTTGTCCCTACTAGTATCAGGAAGAAAAGGCAAATGGCTGCGGGGGTAACTCCTTGAGGATAGCTGGCCTTCGGACGTTGGGAGAAGAATGTGTTTGCTGCATGTTACGCTACTCCTACCTCTATGTTCAAGGTTCGCATTCATTGTCGGCCTCAGCTGCACCTTGACGGTGAACAAGGATCAACTGCAGGTAAACAGGCAACGGTAGGGATAGGTACGGGTACCTTTTATCCATGAACCTCCTGTGGAGGTGGCTGTATAGTCTGCATGATGCTAGCAGGGCCTCACTGCATGAGCAAAGGCAGGGGACATTATTGCCTGGTATACAGCCTTCAAGTTCTCCACCGAGGGCTCCTTAGGCGACTAGTAGTGCCTAAGCAATAATTACCTAGGTAAGGTAATGGTGCCTGAAAATTAGCCTAAGCACTGGCACGCCGGGAGCCCGACGGACCAGGAGCAAATACTAAGTAGTATTGCACTGCAGCGCTACAAGTAAACTTCCATCACTGTCGCAATCAGCCGTCATATCTCGCTGCCAGTGTTACTATAGTAGTGTTTCCCATCGCATCACGTCCTCCTCCACACGGTCAGTCCAGTCCCTTTCAGTTGGCATTAGCCTGATCTCCTCCTACTCGGTGGACTTCTTCTCCACGACCAGATGATCTGCTCGGTGGGCTTCTTCTCCTCCATGACCATCGCATCAACGCCCGACCCAACTCAATGGCCGACACAAGTGCTACGCCGGCCAAGCGCATTTCCAGAGCATGTACTTTCTGTCGCGCTCGCAAAAGCCGATGTGATCTGTGAGCCTGTCCCATGTTTTCCAGTTGCACGCGTGTTCCAATGGCGGCGACAGTGACGGCGATGGCCAACTTGAAGTTTGGGCGCTCGCCGTGTGCTTGAAGTTTGCCGCCTACCACGGGCACTGCAGTGTCGCAGGTTCTTCCCAACTCCTCCCTAGCCCCCCGCTGCCCCCAGACTTTTCCCCCCAGCTCCCCCGGGGAGTCCCCTGCCGCCGGTTACTGTCCATGTGGATGTACTCGAGGCGATAGCCGTCCTCGTCGGCATCCTGTCCTTCCACCAAACTGTGCCTCGGGCTCTGTTTTATTGACTATTACTGCAGCGAAGCCTCAAGCGGCAAGCCTCCGTGTGGACGCTGCAAAAAGGACGGTCGCGAATGCGTCTTAGCGACCTCCAACCGTGGCGGGAGTCGCATCAGGAAAAAGAACCTGTCCACTTCCAATATCTCGACGCTCACCAACCCTCGCCCGTTAACAACGGTCCACCGCTACAATGGTAACCGCCAGGCAACGCCTCGGACTGGCCTACAGCCACCGGCGCATGACGGCAATTCCGTCACTTCCACTGCAGGGAGTCTTCCAAGTGAAACACCCCTCGTCAACGTCGTGGACGATGATGACTCGGCGTCTACGGTCGACAGTACAATAGGGAACACCATACCCAGAAACCCATCCGATGCGTGGCAGTTGTTGAAAGATGTTGCAAGCCGAGAAGCAGATCATCTACAGGCCGCGCAAGGCGGTGGTGGCCACACCCATCTTTCCCATGAGGCTGTTCCAAGTGGTGGCAGAGGCGAGCCAAGAGATTCTGTCAACGGCATCCATGCTGGCATCTCAAGTTATCGACTGGTACGAGAAGGTTACCTAACGCCCGACGTGATCCAGATGCTCGTCAGACGCTACGCCGAGCATTATCACCCCTACCTGCCGTTGGTGCCACGAAAATACTTCGATCCAGCTCAATTGGACTTGTTCGCCATCAACGACAAACACCTTCTGACCGCCGTGCTCACCATATCTTCCAAGGACCTCGTTGAGCAGCCCAATGTTCACATGTGTTGTTCCCGATACATGCATGATCTGATCTCAGGGATTGCCGCTGGCCATGACTGCGATGTGGAGGCCGTGGAGGCTTTATTGCTGCTGGCTGAGTGGGAACCGCAGGGACTGCGTAACCGGATCGAAGCGGTAGGAAGAGGCGAGGAAGACCGGTCAGCCTGGATGCACGTCGGAATCGCTCTCCGCACGGGTTACTTTTTGGGCCTGGATCGGACTGCTTTTCGCCAGGAGTCGGCTGAAGAGGCGAGAATCGACGGGCGCAAACGACTGGCTTGGGCCAATTGTTATGTGTTCGACCGCCTGATTTCTGTGAGAATTGGCAAGGCGTTCTGGTCTCGTGGGCCGGGGCCCATGACCGGCTTGTCATCTCAGGACTTCCCTTCTCTGCAGCCCTTCAGTCCTGGGGACGAGGACTACGCCAAAATCATGCAAGCCACACTGGATTTGACCCAGCTCTACTCTAACGTCCATGATGTGCTCTATTCGGGCATGCGGACGAGCGGGCAGATGATGCTTATGGGGGATTATGTCAAGTACGTGGACGACTTCCGAATGGCCATCGCACGCTGGAACACCACATGGGGAAAGCTGGAGTGCTCGCCCCATATCAAGGTCACGCTGCAAATGTCGTATGAATATCTGTGCCTCTACACCAATGCTTTTGTCTTCCAGGCAGCAATATCTCAGGCTGTCGCCATCAAGCCTAAAAGCGATGCACACTCAGTCCGGGATCACTTGCGCAGCGTGTTCAGCAATGTGGGCGCCATGCCGGATGCACGCTTCATCTGGGCCAGCGTTGCTGCAGCCAAGGCATACCTCACCCTGTTAAGCACTCAGATCGATCCCAGCAGATACCTGCGGTATCTGCCGTTGCGATATTATCTCTACTGCATCTACTCTGCGGTTTTTCTGTACAAAGCTCGATCGTTTGGAGTCATGACCGACATGGAAGAACGACAAGTGCGCCAACTGGTCGCGCAGGCCATGGAGGTGATGAAGAGGGCATCTGTGTCGGCGCAGGACCCGGGCTCGCGGTATGCCCGGTTACTAGAACTGTTATGGATGAAACCTCCCAAGGGCACTTCTCATGGCCAGCCTCAGATGCAGTCACCCGCGGCATCGGATACTCAGCTGTCGTCGACAGGCAGCGTGCGCGTGGACGCTCAGGGCTACATGCAGTACAGTCCGGCCAACGATTTCTCGTGGCTCGATCTTGAGGCGGTGGGTGACTATGTCTCGGGGGATCAAATGCCGGGGAGCGGAATCAATCTTCTTCCGCCCATGGGTCACGGTGGGTATGAAGCGACATCTTCGTTCATGCCGCAAACACAGGGAATGCCTTGGCCGCAGCAGAACAGTGGCCTAAACTGGAATATTGACGGATCAACCAGTCTGTTTTTCTAGATATGTTCGACGGTGTGGACATGATGCCATGAAGCAACACTCAGCCAGTCGGTAAATGAAGGTCAAAGACCGAATCGGCGCTCCGCATTATTCGGATTGATTGCCGAACGACTGTGGGAACTACAGTACCTCTGTGCCTCTGTGCCTATCATTTACGGGGCATTTCATCCCCCCGCACTGGCATGGTACTCGATCCCGCGGGGGTCAACAACTTGAACCAGCAACGCTGTGGCCCGAGCCGACCAAGTTGTCTCTTCGCCAGTCACCCCTCGACGGCAGACGAGTGCTCGGCCAATATTTAACAGTTACAAGTTCGACGACCGACACATCTACAGTCACATTTGAGGCGTTGAGATCTCACGAACGCCATTCTACCATGTCTGTCGATAACGAGGTCCGTGGCCGGTTGGCCTTGATCACCGGGGCTTCTGGAGGGTCAGTCACATTGAATCATCCTTGAGCAATCCGCTAACTCGAACAGCATCGGTGCCGGCTGCGCTCGAGACCTCTATAACCAAGGTTGCCACTTGGCCCTTACCTATTCCAAGAACAAGGCGAGCATTGATTCTCTCGTGGCCGACCTTCAAGCCTCCCCCTCCGCGTCCGACCAGAAAATATCTATTCACCAGGTCGACATGGCCTCCACTGAACAGATGGAAAGATTATTCGAAGCGATCAAGGCGCAACACGGCCACGGGCCAGATATTCTGGTAGCCAACGCTGGACATGGAAAGAGGATACCACAGATACAGGACATTCCGTACGACGAGTGGGACTATACCATTCAGGTCAATCTGCGAGCACCGTTTGTCCTGGCTAAGCTGGCAGTACCTCACATGGTAGAACAAAAATGGGGACGGATTATCATGATGGGGAGCATAGCAGGCTACGGGGGAGGTATCAACGGTGCCCACTACGCGGCCTCAAAGGCCGGTCTCATGGGCATGGTCAAGAATCTCGCGCAGAAGTTGGCCAAAGATGGAATCACCGTCAACGACGTCGCACCAGCGATGATAGGAGAGACAGGCATGATCCCGGACGCAAAGTTCCTCGAAGGCACCCCGGGAGATGTCAAGAATATTCCGGTGGGCCGATTAGGGACGCCGCAAGAAGTTGCCAACGTGGTCACGATGATATGCAAAACAGGGTATCTGACCGGACAGAGTATCTTGCTGTCAGGAGGATTGAAATAGATTTCAAATGGAAAAGTGCCAAACCTGGATGCCCGAACAATTACTCTACTGTAGCACAGTGTAGTAGTGAATCAATGGGCTTTCTAGGGCGTCGTGGGGGGATGAGGTCAATCGACTCGGGCTGCGCCGATGGTCGGCGACGATTTTGTCGGGGCGAAGGAGCGTCAATCGCAGTGGCACCTCGCATCCAACCTGAGGTGCACGAGAGCAACTGGATTGATGAGCCTGAGTCACACCTCTTTTGTATACCAGACCTCTTATTTCTACTGTTAATCCCTTGGGACACCTTGATATCCGCTCGAACAGTGCGTCACGCCTGTGCCTGTGTAGGAAACAATGTTCTGAGCGCTGCAGATACTGGCACAGCCAGGCTGTCATCCTGACCGCCACCGTCACCGTCACCGCCCGTCTACCTGATTCACACAGCACTTCACTACCTTGGGTTGTAATTCATCTTCACCATGGACGTTGGCACTGGTCCCTCGTCCGAACACTTCATGGAGCTCACACAGAATCCCCACCATCGAACCGCCTCGAGCGAGCCATACCAACATGTGCCCAACCCGAACCTCCTGCATGGCGAAGCAATGACTTCTGCTGTGCACGGCGAAGACGCGCTCTCTCGCCATCGAACCGGTTCGACCTTTGACACGGAAAGTCAAGCGCCGCTGCGATACTCGTCTGCCGATCCGCTCGACCTCACGCGGCGTCTGAAGTCGAGGACCGAGCTGGATCGCATCACCGCGAACACAGCCCGCAAGCGCAATGCGATATGCAACCCTATGGTCATTGCAGGCCAGGCGTCACAATCCAAGGTCACGAATTTCTACGAGACTCAGAACGATCAGATCCAGAGGTTTTTGAAGCCGGTGGATGAACATGTGCGAGAAGCAAGGGATACACAATCGGCCACGCAACTGCGGTACCAGATCGCCGTGTACGGCAGCTTCGTGGCCAATATCGTGCTGGCGGCGCTGCAAGTCTACGGGGCGGTTGCGTCGGGCTCGCTTTCGCTGTTTACCACCATGGCCGACGCCATCTTCGACCCATTGTCCAACGTCACACTGATCGCGTCCAACAAGGCCGTGCAGAGGGTCGACGCCAGGAAATTCCCCGCGGGTAGGGCTCGCATCGAGACCGCGGGCAACATTGTGTTCTGTTTCCTCATGACGGCGGTCAGTTTCATCCTGATTGCCTTTTCCATCCAGGAGCTGGCCAAGGGCCACGAGGGCGACACCAAGAGTTTCCACCTGCCGTCCGTCATTGCGGTCACGGTGGCCTTTTGCACGAAACTCGGCTTGTTTCTATACTGCTGGGCCCTGCGCAACCAGTACTCCCAAGTGCGCATCTTGTGGGAAGACCACCGGAACGACCTGTTCATCAACGGCTTTGGTGTACTTACCTCCGTGGGTGGCAGCAAACTGCGCTGGTGGATCGATCCTGCGGGAGCCATCGTGTTGTCCGTTCTCATCTCCATTCTGTGGCTGCACACCGCATCCTCCGAGTTCCAGTTGCTGATCGGCATCACCGCCGACACCGAAATGCAGCAACTCATCACGTACGTGAGCATGACTCACAGCGAACACATCAAGCAACTTGACACGGTGCGCGCCTGGCACTCGGGTCCCCGTCTGGTCGTCGAGGTCGACGTGGTCATGGATCCCCTCGAAAGTCTAAGGGTCTGCCATGACGTCGCCGAGGACTTGCAGATGAAGCTCGAGAGTCTGCCGGACGTCGAGCGAGCTTATGTCCACATTGATTACAACGGCCATCATCCTCCGGAGCATTTCTTGAAGAAGGAAATATGATGCAGGACGGGCAGTATAGATTTTATTTTTGGTCGTGACATTCCAGATACGACACTGTCCTTCTCGGTGGTCGCCGACTTGTTGCAAGGGATCTCGATGCTGAGTCCCAGCAGCTTGACCCATCATTCACCCCTTTTGAGTGCTGACAACCTGGCGATAGACGCTATCACCACTGCATATGATAGCTGTTGCAGACGGCCCTCTATCGCGTCACCAGGCACTGACGCTGTCGGATCGAGCTAGGGACACGATGAGGTGAGCTTGACTCTGCTTAGTACGGCATTGCAGACGATGCCAACCATGTGACGGTGCATAGAGGAAGCTTTTTCTTTGAAGGTCGACCTGCCAGACCGAAGAGGGGCCAGTTCCTAATATTACTGCTACACATCCAACGAAAGAAGTGCTCTGATATCGCATTACTCATTTCAATTCGTGCGCTGCTGGACACAGTTGTAGCAGACATCTACCTTCCTGTCTCTCTTAAGAAATCATCAACCATTGCCTCCACGTCTTGCGATGCTCCCGGAGTTCACCGCCCCCTTCGTTGTGGTCTGGTCTTGCAGCGTAGGGTCACTCTCCCGAATTGTGGTCATGACATCGTTGCATAATCTCAATATCTGCCTCCATCGTTGGACGCACATCCTGTGCCTCAGGGCGGCCTGGGACGTTTTCACCTCGGGTATACTAGGACCACCTAGGTTCTGCACCTCCAGCACTGCATCTTCGTCTCCGAACCGTTGCAGCAACTCTGTGCTTGACTTGTCGCCTGTTACCTGAAAGTCACCCTTCTCGGTGACGATGGAAAGCAGCCCCAGCAAACTGTTCTCTGCCATCTCTACAGTAGCCCGTATCCAAGCGATCTGCTTTCGTTTCGCCCGCTGACTTGGGGTTCCCACGTCATTTGTCACTGTATTTACCTCATCAGTCGTCCGAATACTCCCATTCGAACCTCTTTTTCGCTTTCTAGTTCCGGTCTTCGTTTCGTTTCGGTCTCCAGTTCCTGCAAGTTCCAAGGCAAACCGTTCATCCGCTACTGCAGGATCATAGTTGCCCTCGATAAAGCGGAGCCACTGACTGGTCGTCAGAACATCCAACCAGCTCACCGCCTCAGTCCTCCAACATAACCCATCACTCTTAACCCAGTAGTCACCCAAGTATCCGGCGTTCTTCAGCGTCTTCCGCTGTTCAGCAGTTAGGGAAGCCAGTACGATCTCGTCCAGCTGTACGCCATCGTCGGCATTGTCGTCCATGACGAACCCATACTCGGTCCACAGGACATCGTTGTTATGCACTCCGTAACCCAGCAGAATCTCTTCACCGGCACTTAGGGGTTGCAGTGTAGAGACCTCATACCCCTTCCGATCGTACGTTGTGCGACATGATGGGTCGTCCGAGTGATTGAACAGGTCCATTCCCGGACACATTGCCATGGCCTCGTTGCTGTCTTTGGGCGGCGACTGGCCGGGGCGCAAGTAGTAGAAACATCGACTATTCACATTACACCACATGTGGACGAATCTCGAGTGCAGTGGGTCGTGGGGTGAGAGTAGAGCTGGTGCGAGGGTCGGAAAGGTCTGCGCGATGATCTGGAGATGAGATTGAAATTTGCGCTTTTGAATGTCGAGAAGTTTGGTTGTGGTCACTGCGGCCGCCGTCGTCTTCTCGCAATGCTCCTTGGCCGCTTTGCCCTGCTGCTGATGTAGCCATAGCCACGACCCAGTCAATGATGGCGGCAGCGGCAAGAATTTATCGACAGAGTCTGTCTCTCGCTGCAGCCCGCCCGTAGCGCTCGACGAGGACGTTGAGATTCCATTCTCCCCCAGCCTCGTGGCCGTGGCCATGGTCATCGGCTGCTCCAGTGCTTCCGGCCACAGCAACGGCATCGTACCCGTGAAATCAGTCAACTTCGGCCACGTCGCCATCCACCGCGCATACTCGTCCCGCTTTGTCTCAGACAGCCCAAAGGCCAAGTACGCGGCCAATAGTGCGTGGACGGGAATACCCTTGCGTGCTTCCTTGCTCACAAAGCTCGGGGGCACTGAAGACGTGCTGAACAGCGCCGCGGTCGGGACTTGCATGATCCGCTCGCCTGCCTTTAGAGGTTTGGTCGCATACACGCCTAGTCCTCTGCCAGGAATGCGTCGGATCGCGATTTTGGGGGATATCCAGATTTCGTGCTCGGTGCAGTACTGCAGAAGATTGGATATGATGGTGTCCTTGTCCTCCGAGTCGGACGAGGCGGGCGGGACAGGGACGTTCAAGTTGTCCATGCTGTGTATCGATAATGTGACTGGGAGTCGAGAAAGACTTCAGGGCAGACGACTCTGTCTGAGGAGGCAGCGTCCTTGTACGATCACTGGCAGTCCACTATTCGACCATATGTAGCCTGCTTGCTATGCGGTCTTCTTCTGAGAGGTGTGCAACATTCGCAACCGCCATCATCCATTGTTATCAGTCCGAGGCATTGCCCCTGCGATCTTATGATGGTATCCTGAAGTAACGAGAAGACGGGGCTTTCTTCGTGCGCATTGTCTCTCAGCACATTTACATGTGTACCAGAACACTGGGCTTTAATACTTGCTCCATCTACCGTCAAATTGTCTGCCTGGACGGCCTTTGCCCGCCGGCTGATTGCTGGGTCTCAGGTTCCTTTCTCAGACGACGTCGAATTTCATCACGGCTCAACAGCTTATGCTCCACAATACAAATATGGCGGAACATATAGAGGCGATATGCGATTTGAGTTCGTCTCATACTCGCCCGAACGCTACTGTTGTCTCCTCCTTCAAATCGAGAGCAATGACCATCCTCTCTCGTGGCTCTACAAAGGCTTGCGACCTGGTGGCCTCCTAGTCCAGGTCTGCCGGAAAATTGGCTAGATCGTGGTCCATATCCCTTCTCGCATGGCATGTCCCTCGGCTCATAGGAATGCTCATGCAACCATTCGTCCGCTACAGATGTAGCGGAAGGGAGACGCTGAATCGATCCAGAAGAGTCTATCACAGATTTCGCTAAAAAGAAAAGGCCACGCTTTTGGGTTGTTCCGCGCGTGAAGCACCACCCTTCCGACAGTGCTTGGACTCCGATGCATGACTTCCAAGGTTGCCCGACTTGTCTGCTGATTTCTAACAGATTCTTGCTAGACACGCGTTGCTGAGATCTAGATGCAATGACGCATACCTGAATCGACGACCCCATTCGATTGAGGAAAACTTATTTCAACAATGCCCAGCCTCAAGATTTATTACATTGTTCCACTTCCACATGAGACCTGCTTCTTCAGCGCTGATTTGAGGTCCATGGTCAGCTCTGTCATACCACCGCAAGCACTGATGGCGGAGCAGGAATGGCTGGGGAAGATGGACCCTTACTGTCCCAGCCTCGCGACACTTCAAGGCAGTCGCTTGAGAGGTCCGAGCGTCAACCTCGAACTTTTGGGGACTCGAGTGAACGGCCCTTCCGACGGCGCAGTCCGCCATTATCGTCTTCAGAGGATAACCGAGGCATATGAACAAATAGTAAGTTGTATAGTATATACTCCGACGATCATTGTCCGATATATGCCTGGATTGTTGCAAACTATCATTTTGAGACGTTGCTGAAAGGCCCGACGCCCCGGTCCGCTCGGACCAACCGCGGTCTATCAAGAGTCGACGCTCGGGCCAAGTCCGCTATGCAGCCACTATCACCTTTATCAGACGTGGCTCTGATCATAGACCTCCATGAGGCCCGTTATACAAAGCATTGACCGCGACTAAACTCAACAAATCAGCCTCCACCGTCATGAGGACACTCCAGGTCGCGACCTGGAGCAATCGCGTCATGTGTGCGACGACGGGTGTCCCGATTGTCCAATGGCAGACTACATTGATGACCTCGGTGAGCGAAAAAGGTGGACAGGACGAGGAGGAAACCGGTAAATCGGTCATTGGAGACCTTGGGCGATTCTCTGAGTTCAGGGGTAACATCTGACCGGAAGTATACTTATATGGCCCCCTTGCCTCGACCACGAGGAGTGAGAATTCTCGGGTTTGTTCTGGACCGCGACAGAGTGCATCAATCATCCTTCCCTGATGTGACAAGTACGTATAACTCGGCCTACTCACCTAGAGCCTTGTCCACGCAACCTACCGTACTCTCGCCCGACAACTCAGACAACCCAAGAGCCGGCCAGCACCTCAAGAGACCCAACCCCTTTGGCAAAATGCTGAACTTGGCTTGGCGGATCCTCGCCATCCTAGCGTGTCTATATGGCATTGCTGAATGTGCCCGGATCAGCAAAGAAGTCATGGAAGACCATGTCGACCCGACCATTTGCCTCGAGTCTCAATTCAAGGCGTCGTTCGATCAGAAGCGGCCCTGGCAAGCCATAATACTCGGTGAATGGCATCATACGCACAAGGATGCCGGTGAAGGTCCCCTAGCGGTAATGGCAGAGCTCGTCAAAACAATTACAAAGGTCCTTGACACCATCACCAAGCGCCAGTTCCTTAAGAGCGGCTCCGCGCACCGCTTGAAGAAATATTCTCACTGGACCGCCTCGAGGACTCAGATCCATCCGGCAATTGCCTGATCTGGACAGACAATCGATTCAGCAGTCATGGCTCACTAAACCATCAAATCCACAAGCTTATTTGAAGCCCTGGAGGCGGAGCGAGTCATATGATCATAGAGCCGCAAGTCGGTTCGAAATACGCCTGAGCAAGTCTCAGAGCCCGTCCGCAAGTCGGTCAACCACAATCGTTATGCACAGTTTCCTTTACCTGTCTGCAACGCGAGCATTTGGCATCGAGTCCTAGTGTTCGGGGTCCATCAACATTCGCGGGGCCCTTCTTCACCACGCAGCGCCGGTCGCCTCCCCACTGTACTGGCCCGATCACGGTTATCTTGGACGCTCGGATGATTTTCCCGTGTGCCGCTATCGGGTTTATACCAGTACCAGCATACTCAGCCTTGATAGCATTTATGCGCAATTTCAGCAATATCTGCTTTCCCACTGCGATTACAGATTCGTGCGGCGGCCTACCCCTTTGGAGATCCATGACCGAAGCCATGGCCGAAGCATGAAAACAAAACAAAAATGAAAAGACAAGGTCGACTGACCGCATTGCCCAGCCCGAGATGTTCCCGGCGTGCGACCATCACCTCAGCTACATAATGTCCCGGCGGCAATTACCACCAAGCCAGTTGTCCAAGCGACTAGGCTTCCTCCTGGTTCCGTATCGTCCTTTACGGGCTGTGTACCCGAGCCGGCATTTTCAATTTCAGCCGACCTTGGAGACCACGAAACAAAGAACCGGCGAAAACAATTTCCCATAACCAACCGACTTATGGCATCGCGTTCCACTATGCCAGGTCGGACTAGAGGTTTGGGACATCCTCGACAGAAGTGAGCCCCAGGCGGGCCTTCTCTTGGGTAACAGCAGCTTAACTGCACAAACGAACCACTTCCAACGGCCATGTACGGCTTGACCATGAACTACGGCATTACAATAGTCTCTGTATTAGTGCTGGATCAAAAGACAGATTCACAACGCGGACAGCCTTGAAGCGGTTTACCCAAAAAAAAAAAAGAATATGATATCAGTCACAGCAGGCCAGGCAGGACCGGTCTCTTGGTTCTTAGTCCTTCTCTCGGAGCAATTAACCTTCCAAAGATGAGCGCAGGCTCTCGTCGAAAAGAAGGGTAACGCTCAGAGCATGCATGCACTTGACGTTTTGCCTTTGAAGATAGGATTGGCAAGTACCATCCGTCTCAGCCCTGCTGGCGGCCCTATCAAAAGCAAGCGTTATCCCAACAACGCTGCATGCATCCGGCATCCGGAAACGTGGCCCTGGAGCTGGCCTCCTATTATCCAACTGCCACAGGCAGCTCGGACATAAACATCTCCAACCATGCTGGCACGGGAGGAAGTAACAGCCTGAGCGGTGTTCCATGGAGCTGGCCTAGAGCTAGCTTCTAACGATCGCGTCACGTCAGGGAGACATCAGCAGCAAAAGAACAGCTATGCTCTGGAAGTGAAGCTAGCATCATACCACAAGAAACAAGATTTTCCCTACAACAGTGACCTTGACTACGCCCTCGAAACCTGGTGTTTCGACGGCAATGGCACAGGGTTGCGAAAACAAGCCACGGCCAACCACTTCATGCCCTGGTGGCATTGTGGGATGGTCAACAACTTGAAACAAGCCCACCCAAACTCGGTAGCTGGACTTTCGAGCCTGGAGTCGAAGACGGGGCTACCACAATGCTGAATTCGATGCCCTGGCGGCAGAGACAGTGAAGATCATTCGGGAGCCGGCCTCCCGAGCTACAGTAACGTGCGCAAGTCGCACATACCGCACCCCCTCGGCCACATTACGCCCCGGTGGCAGGAAAGCGTTTGAGAGCGGATGCATACCACGACTATCTATCTCTTTCCGGAGCTGGACTCTGCAATCAACGTCGAAATCATATCATGTTGGTAGGCATTTGCCTGAGCGGACTGAAAGCCCGGGCGGCTTCTCAGAGAGCGCAACAACAACGACAAACAACATCATACATCAAATGAGCAGGAGCAGGACTCCTATTCCCTCCGTCCAAGGCATCTCGTACCGTCAGCGACCATTCGGCTAGCTGGACTGCCATCACTGACTGGCCAATGTTGCCGCATACACTCGCTAAAGGATGTACTGGTTTTCATCCTGCACAAGGAAAGCCCCAGAGAAGAGAGCAGGCCTCCTTACAAAGATATAAACCTCCCCTGCGCAGTTCAGTTCCAGCTTGGACTGGCAATGCCGGAATGACTGCTAGTAAGTCGTGCTGGTCACGCAAAACATACGTCCGCCACACAATCGTTACGTTACACACTCGTTTGTCTCAGTGGGTAGACAGGAAGAGAATGTGGGGGAGGCATGCACCTCGATCCCCCATGATGGTTTTGCAATGCGAAGGAGTCAGGTTCGCGCGCACACACGTCGCTGGATCGACGTACTGTATCGTGCCTTCTTCAAGCATGGCATAGCATTCAGCAACACCACCATGCAACCCAACACCGACGCTCGCTAGGATGAAAAGGAAGGAAGTGAGGAGTCACTCGGCGCAGGCCGCCACGATGACGGACCTCTTCTGGCTTCTTCTCTTGCAACCAAGTTATCCGCTCCGTCTCCGTTTTTCGCTCCATCCTATTCCCGCGATTTTCAAGTTGTCGTCAACTTTTCTTGGTTTTCGTACCTATCCATCCATCTATCCATCTATCTAGCGTTGTTCAACACTGAAGTCAGGTCTCAGGTAGTCCATCAGTGTCGAATATATATACAAGATTTCAAAAATTAAAACAGCGAGTTTGGTTCTCTGTCGAATTGGTATCGCACCCTATATGTTGTGGTCGTCCTAGTCCTATACCCAATGTACAAAGTACAGTAGCTAGGTAAATCAACAAAATCAACAAGAGAACAAAATAGATATACCCTAGGAAACCCTATAAATCCTAATAATTCCCAATAGCACCTCCATCCATAAATGTTGAACAAGTACTGTACGCTAAAACGTAACGTCGCTTTTTCTCACGAAAGAAACCAGAACCCCAAGTCAAGTCAATAACCCGCGTATATACCCAAAACCCGGAAGCTGAGCAAACACAAACATTTCGTTTTCCGAAATTTTGTCCAAAAGAAAGAAAAACTCAACTCCAACTCCAACTCTCGAGTATTATTGTTGTTGTAAGACAGTAAATCAATCATCCCATCGTCCATCACCAACATCCACCACGACAGGAACCCACTCCTGCCCCGGATACGCCGTGGCAGACATACAAATCTCCTCTTCGGAATCGGATTCATATCCTGAGCCAGGTAATTCGGCCACGACGCCTCCGGCGGTGACGTCGCGAACATGATCACGCGCATTTCCACGACCGTGTTGATCGTTTTCTTCAGCTTCGAGTTGTGCTTTGAGTTCTTCGGAGAGTGAGACTTGACGACCGTCGTGACCTTGGGGGAGACTGGGGCTGATATTACCATCGTCACCACCGCCGCCTTTACTACCACCACTGCCGATGGCAGCAGTAGGCGTAGCACCGACGCCGGCGCCGACAGCATCACGTTGTGCAACGCCAGAAACTTGAACTCCACCATGACCGGCTGAGGCTCTAGACAGTCGAGACTCTTCCTCTTCCTCATTCCCCCTCTCCCTCCCCGGAGTTTCCGTTTCAGTGTGGGTTACCTGCGCATGGAATGGTGCACCGCGCCTGTCCGCCACATTATCATCAGACGGATGACCCTCCTCGAATCCAACATTTCGGTCTCGATCTGGGTTTTGGAGAGGTGGTTGTACTTGGTCGTCCAGAGTGACTGAAGTTTCAACTCCTCCACGATTCACAGCGCCCTCTTCGTGATTCCTTCCGCTCTCCAAGACCTCACTGTGTTTGTGTCTTTCACCTGCATGGTTGTCAATGTCGGCGTCATCATTGTCATTATCCAATCCCGGAACATTGATTGCAAACGGTCGTTCCTGATCATCTTCGGCGCGCGGAATGCCTCCGACAGGACTGATTTTCATGGAACTGAACGTGCCCAATTTTTCCACGTGTGGAGATGCAGAACCAGGAGACGCTTGCCGGACTCGTCCGGCAGTGACATTCAGATCTTCATCGGACGAAGTTTTCCTACCAAGACGAGGCGAGCGTGATCGTTTGTGGAGATTGAGAACGTAGGCTCTCTGGTCATTTTGGACCGGCGGTTTCTGTTGACGTGGACCATAGGGTTCAAGTTGTTGATGATATGCTGCGGCTACCGGTGTGCTGCTGTGTGGCGCTGCGCCAACACCGATACTATCATTATTGTCGTTGGCAGTAATCGCAGATGTAGCCATTGGCATGGTGCCAGTGGGCACACTGGGACTCAACGATCCCGAAGTGTATGATGGGACAGCACGTCCGGGATCAGCCCCGGCTGAGAAGCTAGAACCGGTGGGATAGACCTGGGCAGGAGCCGTGGCGGGCAGGACGTAACCAGTTCCACCATTGTTGCTGAGTGTACCTCTACCTCCACCACCGCCGCCGCCAGTGTCAATACGGAGATCAGCAGGACGGCTGTTTCCATCGCTGGGATCGGCATGTGGAGATGGAGTCGACGCGTATGGTCTTGTTGCTGGTTGTCTCAGTCCTTGCACATGGCGATGTTGAGGAGCGTCAACTGAAGGGTATGGATAACTGATTGGCCGTGTTGTCTGCTGATGATATGGAGAAGCCATATTTGGCGACTCTGTCTGCGGGCGTTGAACATTGCGACGAGGATATTGTCTCCATCTGGGGTCCTGTCCCGGATCTACCACACCAGAACTCGGACGTGGATACGGCCCATATCCGCTGTCATACTGCTCGTAAGCTGCTTCTTGAGATGATGGATGGTACGTCAGTGGAGACATAACCGGTCGAGAGGATAGCTGCTGTCCCTGTTCGCGCTGGGCAGTATTACTATCCATGATTGATGAATGTTCAGTTGCGGACGTCGCCTCCATTTTCGAATGGCTACTAGTCTTGAACAGTCTGTTTCCGAGCCCCGAGAACCTCTTCTTCTTCGCTGTCTCTGGTGTCGGCGTCCGCAAAAGTTCCCTGGACTGTCGCTTGTTGGAACGAGACGGATCCTGAGACAGTGACTGCAGGTTTGCAGGTGGCAGTTGACCGGTCTGATCCTGATACAGACTGCTCTGCTGCGATGAGATACTGTCATGGCGGCTATTCCGACGGAATAGACTATTGCGTTTCTCTTTGTGATGACCGCTACCACTTTGGTCGGGGCCGACATCCTTCTGTAACCTTGACCGCCCCGAGCTGCTAGAACCGAACAATGCGCCGAAAAATCCTTTCTTTGGACGTTTGGTTGCAGGAGATGATGTGACCGGTGGTTGAGATTGAGGTGGAGGTTGGGATTGAGGTTGATGTTGATGTTGAGCCGGTACCGGAGGTGGACCCATTGACTGACGCTGGGGAGGTGGATATACTAATGATTGCCGTTGCTGGGCTGAATCGCTCATTGACTGCGGACGAGGGACACTCATGGACTGTCGTCCAGCCGGTTGGACCTGCTCTTGATGCAGGGCTTTGGGCTTGAGGTCGTATTGATATTGAAAATCACGATTGTCGGGGTGGCCTGTGGCTACAGCTGTATCTTCCGGGATCTGGTAAGATTGGGACATACGCTGCTCGTCTGGCCCGTAGGAGGTGCTGAACGGTCTCGTGGGCCGTGGTGACTGCCCAGTGCGATGTTGAGCTCGTAGAGCACTCGGTAAAGGCTCTCCACTCGCCAGCACTTGTGTCTGACTGCGAGCAGACTTTGGTGTCGAAATGTGCTTGGGCGATCGGTATTCCTGGACATACGGTCCCGGTATGCGATATCCTTCCTCCGCGGCCGATCTTGATCCCATTTGCGATAAGCCCTCCTCGACCTGCTGGTCTTGCCTCTGATAATGCATACGCTCCACTCCATCCTGGGGGCGCCTTGCACTGGGAAGGGGGTTCTGCATTCTGTCACCAGGCGGTTGCACAAGCTCTCCTGACCTGAGAGGAGGTTGATTTGTAACGGCCGGGTCAGCCCCAAAAGGTCGAGAATATGACCTGGACTGTCTGTGTGCAAGGATATTTGATTGACCTTGGGCATCACCCGCGTCGATCCTGGAAGCTTCCTTGCTCAAGGACTGATTGCTAAACGTACGGGTAGCAGGGCTCAATTGCGCAGTTTCCCTGCTTAGATCCCCTTCAGCCGGGGAGAATCCATGGGTCTGGCCAATCCCTTCTGGTCCTGCAAACGAGAAAGGCCGCGTCCGGTCAGTCTCGGGCACTTGTTCTTGCTGTGTATGGTTCTGAGCGTCCTTCTCAAGGCTCCCACGAGGCGCGGTCGTCTCAACGTGCATTCCCACTTCTTCTGGAGTAATGTATGGTTCATCTATGCCAGGTGGCGGCGGCAGCTGTTCGAGCGAAGGTCGAGTATCCTGACCAACGACGATTGCGGTTGATGGTTCGGAGCCTGCCACATTAGATGACTCCAAGCCTTGATGTGACATTGTCGCTTCTTCATTCTGATCCGTTTCGGAAACGCCCGGGGATGGATCTGCTGGGGATATACTCCGTGTCGTATGTAATCCAGCAGCATTCTCTGGGACCGGTCCAATACTGGAAACGTCCGAGACTATTGAATGCGGTCGATCATGTTGCACACGTAGATCTCCGTCACTAGATACAATGTCCAACCTCGAGCCGTCTGGACGTGCGTTCGCCTGGCTGGCAGCACCAGATGATTGTTCTCCAGTAGGCTCCTGATGCACAGCGGCCTTCTGTATTTGGAAGAGCGTAGGTTTCAGTTCTGCTTGTGAACTCCCGTGGTCTCGTTGATGCGGCTCTGTGGGAGAATATACAGTCGTGGGTCCGGTCAGTTGACTGATAGAGCGGCTTAACACCCCAGCATTCTCAGGCCGTTCGCTATCAAGGGCTGAAACTGTTGGACTGGATGGTCCTGCTGGCGGCACCACCGTGACCGGCGGCTCTTCGCTGAGCTTCCTTTCCGTGGACTGTCCTAGGGACGGAACCCTATCTGTTGCTTGGTTGATTGAGATCTGCGACGAGGCTTCTCCCTCCGTTTGGAGTAGACCCTGCCTTTCGCTGGTCTGTGAGCGCAGAAGCTCAGGCCTCGAAAACCAATCAGCAGTTGATGAGATCGGAGAGATGGTCAATGGAATTCGCGGGGGTTCTTCACGGAATGTGGCACTTCGCGCTTGAGACATCGGAGGAGGGTCTTCTTCGCGTGTTCTTTCGGGTTCGGGACCAGTCGACTTTCGTCGGCCCTAAAGCAAACAAACGTCAACGAACACCCGGCCAAATCGAGTAGACATAAGAAAAAATGATTTTGTTCCATTCATTACTACATGACATTGATGATAGAAAGGGAGCTGGTGACTGGCTACCAGGACCAGATGCTTGACACCGTTGAAAAGCCAAAACAGCCCACGGTAGCCGGCATTTGATTTCGGTCAAGCGTAACGAATGCCATCATCCACGGCGACTCAAAGGGAAAAGATCAATGCACTACCTTTTCGCCCGAACTTGCTTGTCGCATCTTCTCCTTTCCTTTGGCAAAGAGGCCCTTGGCCGCAATTCCCGCCTTCCCACCAAACCTGCCCGCCGCTAACATCAGCTTCTTCCCATCTTCTTGCATATGTCTGGTTCCAGTTGATTCTGTGAATATGCGCCGCGGGGAGGGCTTGTGTGAGGCAACGGATTCTGCAATCTCCGGAGGAAGCCGCCCATTCATGGCAAACAGCTCCGAATGCTCGGCACTCTTCAGCGAAAGCAACCATTCTTCCAACTGTCCATCCGGGAGCGCAAGAACGCGGCGAGTTTCATCAAAGGCTTGTATTCGTTCTTGGGGAGTGGCGAGACTCATCGTGGCACGGAAAGACAACGGTTCAGGCTGCAACGGCTTCGGCGGCGGCTGAGGTTCTTGAATATCGTGCTTTGTCCCTGATGAGAACCGCTCCGTAGATAATACTAGCTGGTCTTGGATATCGGAATCGAAATCCACACTTTGACGTGCAAAATCCACGCTTTGACGTACATTAATGTCTGGATCATTAGTATCAACGGGTCTGGAGTCCGGCTGACTTGTGGCCCTAATGGTGTGAGGTGGGCTTGCGTTAGGTGGGCTGGTGGGAGGCGGTGTGGTTCGTTTCGGCGTCGATATAGGAGGCTCGGGTTCGATTTGGGTCTCCCAGGAAAACCTCTGCTGTAGGAATGGCCTGCCATCCTTGCCCACCGGAGGTTCATCAAATGAACGCGTTGCAGGAGCAGATGCAGCCAGGGCGCCCTCGTCGCGAGGCGTCTTGCTGGGCCCTTGCTGGGGCAAGGCACGATTTTCGGAAGAAACCATGGTGGATTCCGTTGCTTGAGCTCCAATGCTAGGTGCTCCGCCAATTATTGCCGCCAATTCGGAGTTGAAGGAACTTTCTTGTCGAGGCACATCGCGCGTTTCTGACGATAATGGTGAGGCAGAGCTTCTTGGATCAGCAAAGCTCGGGGCCTCATCCGCGTTGGTCACCTCCATTTGTGCAGGCTGTGAGTCGTTTGCACCTGTCAGGTCAGATAACCGCGGTGTCAAGCTCTTTTCAATTTCAAGCTCCAGTCTCTCATTGTCGTTCTCTGATGGTGACCCTTGCTGGACGGTCACCTCGGGAATCGGCGGCCTCGACACCGTAGCACTTAACCTTGCCGTCCGTAGGGGAGCGGGAAAGTAAGAATCAGCGTGAGAGCCAGCTGCATCGGTATCTTGTTGGCCTCCATCATCCGATGGCACGGGTGATACATCGAGAGGGGTATTCTTGGCCTCGGACGGATAGGTCGGACTCGATCGGCCAGCAGGTTCAGTTGTCTCTGCACTCGGTGGCCCCTGAGTCTGCTCTTGTGTTTGGTCCCTCACACTCACCCTGTCCACGTCTTCTCTGCTCGAATTGCTCGAGGCATCCCATTCATTTTCACTTGAATCTTCAGATGCTTCACCGGATGCGTCGGGCTCCGGAATGGGGCGGTGGCCAGTAAGTGACTCAGCCAGAGCGCTGCCAGCTGAAGCAGCCGCAGCAAACGCTTTGTGGGTAACGCTATCTGGTTCAGCACCTCCATGATTCTCTGGCGCCTTTGCAGTTGGTATACTCTCCGTACTCTCCACATGCGTGGGCGCAAACGGTGGCCTATGCTGGATTTGAGACAAGTCGGATGAGGATTGAAGAGGAGTGCTTGTCGAGCCTTGAGCCGAGCTTTCAGCGACAGAAGTGAATGACTGCCAGCCTCCAGGAATAGCTGGCCGAAAACTTTCCAGTCGCGGCTGGGCGGGAGGACGACCTTGGTCTGGTGAACTTCCTTGAAAATTACTGGGAGTAGATCTTCCTGACAGCGTCTCCAATTTGCCAGCCAGATCTCGAACGGTGCCCCTTGCTGGCGTTTCGGAGCGTTTGATGGGTGACGGGAGATCCGGCGGTACCTGGCTATTGTTTGGAGCATCCTGTTGATCACTAAACTGTTCCCTCTGCGCTTGCCACTCCTGTTGTATCTCCGGACTGGTTGGTGCAGAAGGCGGACTGCTTTCCAGGTTTTGATTGGGCTCTCGGGAGTCTGCACCAGGAGTTGGGGGTAACGGTTTTTCCGCAGCAGCCTCCAAAAGAGCCCTCTCTCGAGCTGGACTCTGTTCGGTCCGTTCTTGTTCTTGCTCAAACCCCACATCACCACGCTGTGGCTGGGGAGCAGCAGGCAGTTCTATACTCAGAGGCCTCTTTGCAGGGCTGTTGTCCGGACTTGGGGGCGTCGCTTCACGGCGGTACCCACTACGAATTGTGGGGGGCTGAGATAATTCATCTTGGTCATATTGTGCCTCCCTAGGTCTAAGTGTCGCGGTTGAGTTAGGGCGGGAATTTGTTGGCAGTGACTCTTCAGGGATCGTTGGGTGCGTGGGCTCATAGTCGGACACTGTCGAACTGTGTTCCTGTTTGCGCGTAATGATGGGACTGATGTCTGCTGTTGAAGCGCTGTTTGATCTGTCGACAGTGGCGGAGGGTGAAACAGGAGAATAGGAGTCCTGATTTTGGCTCTCATCAAATGCTTGTTGAACCATTGACCTATAACCAAAGGATTGCTGATGTTGCAAGCCATGATTATTGGGCTCGAGATCCGCCTCCTGACTGGTGGGCAATTCTGGCTCGGTCGACGACTGCACTCCGCTCTGGAACTCTGGCGTAGATGCGCCAAAATCCATGCCGAATCCGGATACCCTGCCAATTGCAGGGAGCGCAAAAGTCGGTCGGACGGGTGATGTCCTATCATGATCCGCTTCCGGTATGTTTTCGCTGAGTGAGACATTCCGCGAGACGGATGATGCCGAAACTGGATCTGGGCGATCGGTGTAAACGGAAGAAGCAGTAGTTCCGTGTCTAGAAACACTTGCCCCACCGTCCCCAGCGCCATCACCGGGTTCTCGGTTCATCCGAGATTCAGATTCGAGGGCTTGCGAGGCTTGGACAATATTGTCGAAACCGTACTCGCTCTTGCGCTCTGGAACAGGATCAAGAGTGGGTTTCAGCCGTCGTGCTGAATCGGAGTCTTCGAATGGTTGAGACGCGGCGGTCGTTACGTCTCGGTGGTCAGAAGAGGTCGAGCGTGCGCCAGCCGAGCCGGCTCTGGAGCGACCAATGATGGAATCGAGGCTCGGGCGGGAAGACTCTTGCGACTTGCGCACTTTCTCCATTTCTTCTGGCATCCGTTTGTAGATGTCCGAAGGGCGAACAAACACCGGTACAGGCTTATCATCATTGTTGCTTGATTCCGGGAATTGAGCTGGATTTGCGGGCTCCACGTCCTGAGTGAAGGCCATCTGTGGCGGCAGCTGCTGACTCAAACTTGCTTTGCGAGGGGGAAACTGTCTCACCGACGCGCTAGACCCACGACTGTCTGGCCGCATAGGACTATCATGCCGCTGGTAGATGTCTCCGGGGGGTGGACGATTGCTTGAGCCGGATCTTCTCTGTTGAGGGAAGCCCCCAGGGGCGGAAAATGGAGCATCATACTGGGGATATTGTCTCCCTCTTGAGCCAGGTCGAAAGTTTCCCGGAGACATCGGCCCTTGCGGCTGTGTATTGAGGCGCAGAGGCGGCTGGCCTCTATGACCAGGGGAGGATAGCTCATCGTCATGCTGAGGTTCGGGAAACGGCGATCGTTGAGTGGTAGGATATGCGGAATCGAAACCTGCCGAAAACGCTCTGCGATCGTCTCCGTGGTCGAAAGAAGCCCTTCCACCTATGCGAGAAGGGGACGGGTTGGTCACACTTCGGTTGGAACGATGGAAACCCGGATGTGGAGCAGCCCATTGTGAATGACCTCCGACATCTGCAGGAACAGGTGGTTGCTCTTCGTATTCATCCTCATCGCCCCAATCGTCACCATCGTAACTGATCTGGTTGGCCTCTCTCCATTTCTTGGTGACGGAGCGGCCAACATTGGTCTTGAAATTGGAAAAAGAATTGGGCGTCGCCATCGGTAAGGGTGGCTATCGCCCCGTCGACTGTATGGGAGATATTACCAGAAAGCCAAAAGGTTGAAATCAATCACAATGGTTGCTGGTACATCGCGCAGATCGTTCGAGCAACACCGAAGCACCGTAGGCGGAGTGTTGCACGTCCCAAACTCTTGCCCTTGCAAACAGTAAGAGGAGGTCAACTGTCTCAAAGACAGCCCAGAAGGCGACAACTCCTTCGAGATTTAACGGAGGATGAGGAAGATGCGCGATCGTGAAGCGAGGGGTGAAGGAGGTCTGAAAGCGTGGCCGCGTATGCGCACCCAGTGATGAGTGTCACTGGCAGTGATGGGCGGAGCGCAGGCTGTTCAACTTCAAGTTCAAGTTGCGTGCCTGTTGGTGCTCACAACAAGGAAACGCGGCCAGGAATTGGAGAATGGACAGAACTGAATGGGGACACGGAGCACGGAGGACGGAGTGCGCTATCTGTCTGCTTGCGCCACTGAAGTCATACAATTGTACAGTGTACAATGTACCTGGTACAGCCGAGTGCCAGTGCTGCGCCACGACTGAAAGTGTGGCGCACAATGCCAGTGTGGCTGGACTGTGGCTTTCGTTACCACTACTGTAGAAAGTCAAGTCCAGAGTCGGCGCCGCCTGCTGCAACCATGGTACTCTACCACTCTACAGCGACGTCTCAGGCTCGCCAGAATTCCTTGCCTGTCTCCGTATATACCCTCAGCAATTACAATAGATTTCTTTACGATAATCAGCACAACCTGCCTGTTTCTGAGCTGATCCTTTGGGAGTTGTCATTGTGTGCGCCTTTTCGTTCCGACTGCGCGCCAGGATGGTCATTCTGCCACCTTCACCTTAATTCTCGCTCTCGCCGGATCACAACCCACCTGCGCCAGCTTGAAACAAGAACCTGACCGTGGCCGGTCCCAGTCGGTAGTCCAGCATGGTTTCTACTACGATACAAGATCGGACAAATGAATTCCGCGCGATCCTCACCCAAGTCCAAAGACGGCAGTCTGCGACAAAAGGAGGCCCCCAACGACAGTCCCTCTTGACGGATGCACAGAAGCGAGAAGCCAATGGCAGTCCTGCCGGTCCTACACGAAGTCAAAGGTCGGAGTTCGCTCGCAATGCGGCCCAAATTAGCCGTGGCATCACGGCGACAATGGGAAAGCTGGAAAGACTGGCGCAGCGTATGTATTCGTGGAGCATACCTGTACTGACGGATCATGGCTGACGCAGACACAGTCGCAAAGAGAAAGGCCATTTTTGATGACCGGCCAGTCGAAATCTCCGAACTCACATACGTTATCAAACAGGACCTAGCCAACCTTAACTCTCAGATATCGGCCTTACAACACCTGACGCAATCCCAGCATCCGACCGCATTCCAGCCTCGATCCGCTGACCAGGAAGGGCAACATAATAAGAACGTGGTGCTGATGCTACAAAACAAAGTCACTGATGTGGCTGCCAATTTCAAAGATGTTTTGGAAGTCCGGACCAAGAATATCCAGGCCTCGCGGTCAAGGACGGAGAATTTCGTGTCGTCAGTTTCGGCGCGCTCGCAATCCCATCTCGACGAGTCCAGATCTGAGTCGCCTCTCTACCAGAGTGTGTCCAGCCGTCAAAGAACTCCGCAGGCGTCCGCGAACGATCTATTGACGTTGGAGCCGTCAAGTTCGTCTACCTTGATGAAAGGTGGTGGGGTATCAGATCATCAATTATTATTGATGGAAGAGGCGCAGCCGACAAACACATATATCCAAGAGAGAGGTCAGGCCATTGAGGCCATTGAGCGGACGATAAACGAACTCGGGGGTATTTTTGGTCAGCTTGCAAGCATGGTATCGGAACAAGGAGAGATGCTGCAACGCATCGATGCCAACACCGAAGATGTCGTCGACAATGTCCAGGGCGCACAACGGGAGTTATTGAAGTATTGGAATCGTGTACAAGGGAACCGATGGCTTGTGGCAAAAATGTTTGGCGTGCTCATGGTAAGTTTAAATGGCGCCACGAAGCCATTAAACTCATCGCTAACCGTTCTAGATATTCTTCCTACTTTGGGTATTAATATCGGGCTGAAGCATGACAGAGGGTTTATTCTCTTTTTTTCCAACTGAGCGGATTTTGCACTCAATGTTTATGCGAGGGGTCACGGACATGTATCTTCAGTGCCCCGCCTAATATCCAACAGCGATGAGATGCTGTGGCCTTGACTTGTTTTAAGGGGCATCCACTTGGACCCGTTGAGACTCCTGGTTCAGAAACGCAAAGGACCTTTGAAACACTCTGTTTCTTGTTGTGCGCAGCAGTCAAACCCGACTATAGACAAGAGAGACAACGGCGCGAGCCAGGTTGGCATGTCTTTGGATGGGATCATTCAAGGCCTAGACTTGCTTTATGCAAGAGATGGCCGTTCACAAGAACGAGGAACTGGGACCTACGTTATCATGGCCTCACTGTACAAACAACGGAGCCTTGCCCTACATCTGCTCAGAATTCATTTCATTGGCAGTCTTTTGTGCACGCAGTATTACTATTCATGGGTATCGCTCATGTTGCACTCAACTTTTCCAGTCTCCAAGTTGTTGGTTGTACATGAAGCCGTAAGACTCCTTCGTGGCTGAGGTAGGACAGCGAGACTCGGACGGGCTCATCGCTGAAGCGGGAGGCGGTCGCGCCGGGGGTGAACGAGGGGAGGATAATGTGATCGTGCCCATACTGAAGAGGCCATCTGAGGTGAATCGGTGCGGATAAGGCTGCCAATGCCCATGAACACGCTACACGCCCTGATCAGAATGCTTTTTCCCCAGCCTTGGATCCTGGTAGGCTGCGTACCTGAACGTGGCCCCAGATCCCACCATGTACTTCCCCAGAGTTCGCATCACTCCTGCCTGGCCGGCGCCATATTGGAAGATCGTCACGGTTCCTGGAGAGTGGACCATCAGCTATGATGTGCAATGCTCCTGCCACGAGATAGAACAAACCATAGATGAACCCCATGATTCCTCCCACAGCTGGTAGTTCCATTAGCTTCTATCCCCTCTTATGGTGTCATTGGCTTCCACTGACTTCCGCCCATTAGCATGCCCATTTTCACTGTACCCCGTTAGTACCAGCAGACCACCGGGGGGGTTGCGGAGGTGAGAATACATTTGTCGACCCATGTCGGACCACGCTGCTGCACGGAAGCGGGCATTGGAGGCATGGTGGCAGAGAGATATTTTGTGGCCGGAACAGCAAGGAACGGAAAAGACGGGGGTTTTGAGATCAGGCTCGTATGATGCGAATCAGGTCAATCTAGCCCATAGAACAGTGACGAAAAGTGCAGTAGTGAATGCGCGACAGTGACTGCACAGACGAGCGGCATGAACGGCATTTCTCGCAGCTTCAAGTTGGGCCGGACTCTCATGTTGCGTTGCGTGAAGCATCACGGGACTTCCAGGCACGCCAAGCCCGTCCTGGCTGCTTCTGGAAGGTACGATGTCATAGGTTCCTAGACGTTCCTTCCGCGCAACTTCCGCCGTGGTACAGCAGTACAAGAAGCACCAGCCTGACCACCAACTTCGCTTTCTTCTCTCTCCAGACTCAACAACACACACAATCCGATAATAATTCCTAATCTCTAAAAACCCCTTTTACACATTCCTAAACTATGGCTACAGGTGGGCCGCAGTTTACCGACAGGAGCGCAAAGGCGCTCACAGATGCCGCAAATCTAGCGGAACAATACGCTCATTCCCAGATCCTCCCCGTTCACCTTGCAGTCGCCCTCTTTGATCCCTCTCCAGATGAGTCGAAAGACCAACAGACGACGGCCAATGCCTCACAACAACATGCCTCCGCTCCTCTTTTCCGACAGGTGGTAGAGCGAGCCCATGGTGACACCCAACTTCTAGACAGAGCACTCAAGAAGGCCCTGGTGCGGTTACCGAGTCAAGATCCCCCGCCAGAGCATGTCACCATGTCCCCGGCATTGGCCAAGGTCATCAGATCCGCAACGGAACTGCAAAAAACTCAGAAAGACAGTTTCGTGGCTATCGACCACTTAATTGTCGCCCTCGTTCAAGACCCGAAGATCCAGGAGTGTCTGAAGGAGGCCAATGTTCCAAACACGAAACTCATCGACAACGCAATCCAACAAATCCGCGGAACCAAGCGGGTCGACTCCAAGACGGCTGATACCGAGGAGGAGAATGAGAACCTCAAGAAATTCACCATTGATATGACACAACTAGCCAGAGAAGGCAAGCTCGATCCCGTCATTGGTCGAGAAGAAGAGATCCGACGAGTGATCCGAATCCTGTCGAGGCGGACAAAGAACAACCCTGTCCTGATTGGTGAGCCCGGTGTCGGTAAGACCACAATTATTGAAGGTCTAGCGCAACGGATCATCAACGCCGATGTCCCCGCCAACCTGGCTGCATGCCGACTACTCTCACTTGACGTCGGGTCTCTTGTTGCTGGCAGCAAGTACCGAGGTGAATTCGAGGAGAGAATGAAGGGCGTACTCAAAGAGATCGAACAGTCCAACGAAATGATCGTTCTGTTCGTGGACGAAATCCACCTTCTCATGGGTGCTGGCGCCAGTGGTGAGGGTGGCATGGACGCTGCCAACCTTCTCAAGCCCATGTTGGCCCGTGGTCAACTGCACTGCATTGGTGCCACCACTCTTGGTGAATACCGCAAGTACATTGAGAAGGATGCCGCCTTCGAACGACGATTCCAACAAGTCTTGGTCAAGGAGCCTACGGTGCAGGAGACCATTTCCATTCTTCGTGGTTTGAAGGAACGGTATGAAGTCCACCACGGCGTCACCATCCTCGATGGTGCAATCGTGGCAGCGGCACAACTGGCTGCTCGATACATCACATCCCGACGACTACCTGACTCGGCTGTCGACTTGATTGATGAGGCAGCTGCAGATGTCCGTGTCATCAGAGAATCGCAGCCCGAAATCCTCGACAACCTCGAACGCAAGCTCCGGCAGCTTGAAATTGAAATCCACGCCCTGCAGAGAGAAACCGACCCAGCTTCGGTGGAACGTCTGGAAGCCGCCAAGCGCGAAGCAGCCAATGTCAAGGAAGAGCTGGCGCCACTCAAGGAGCACTACGAACGTGAGAAGGCCAGATCGAGGGAGATCCAAGATCTGAAGATCAAACTCGACCAACTCAAGAACAAGAGAGACGAGGCCGAGCGTTCGCACGATCTCCAGACTGCTTCCGACTTGACATACTACGCCATTCCGGATGTGACGGCCAAGATCAAGCAGCTCGAGAATGCTCGTGCTCAGGAAGAGGCCGAGAACCGTGCCAGACTGGGTTCAATGGGCGAGGCCACACCTACCGACGCAGTTGGTCCCGAACAGATCCAGTCCATTGTGGCCCGGCAAACCGGTATCCCGATCCAGAGACTCCGTGCCTCGGAGAAGGAGAAGATCCTCCACATGGAACAGTACCTGCAGAAGGTGGTTGTCGGCCAGAAGGAAGCTGTCAAGGCGGTCTCGAATGCCATCAGACTGCAACGATCTGGGCTTAGCAATCCCAACCAACCACCCAGCTTCCTGTTCTGTGGGCCTTCCGGTACTGGTAAGACTCTCTTGACGAAGGCGTTGGCGGAGTTCTTGTTCGACGACCCGAAGGCCATGATCAGATTCGATATGTCTGAATACCAAGAACGACATTCGCTATCGAGAATGATCGGTGCTCCTCCAGGCTACGTCGGACATGACGCCGGTGGTCAACTAACCGAGGCCCTCAGACGGCGCCCGTTCTCCATCTTGCTATTCGATGAAGTCGAAAAGGCTGCCAAGGAGGTTCTCACCGTCCTTCTTCAGCTCATGGACGACGGCAGAATCACTGATGGCCAAGGTCGTGTGGTGGATGCCAGAAACTGCATTGTGGTCATGACCAGCAACCTTGGTGCCGAGTTCCTTTCGCGCCAGAACGCACCAGATGGCAAGATCGATCCGACCACCAAGGAGCTGGTGATGAACGCCCTTCGCAACTACTTCCTGCCTGAGTTCTTGAACAGAATCAACTCGATTGTCATCTTCAACCGGTTGACTAGGAGAGAAATCCGGAAGATCGTCGAGCTGAGATTGAACGAGGTCCAGAAGCGGTTGGAGGCCAACGACAAGAAGATCACCATCCACGCTACGGACGAGGTCAAGGATTATCTGGGTGCTGCAGGCTACTCGCCAGCCTATGGTGCTCGTCCTCTCCAGAGACTTATCGAGAAGGAGATCCTTAACCGTCTGGCCGTCCTCATCCTCAGAGGCGCCATCAAGGATGGTGAGACTGCCAATGTGGTCTTGGAGGATGGCAAGGTGGTCGTCCTGCCAAACCACACTGACAGTGAAATGGAAGACGAGGAGATGTGGGATGAAGACGATGCCATGGCAGAAATCGAAGACTCCCGCGAAGGTGGTGGCAACATGGATCTCTACGAGTAAAGGGACCACTCTGATGAATGAAGATGATTGATTAATGAATTAGCAGCGACAATGGCGTTAGGTCGGCTGGATGAGAAATTCCCAGATCAAATAAATGGGTTTGCTGATAGTTTCGTCGACCGGCCTTAGAGCCGGTCAAGAATTGAATGAATTTGAAAAATAATTCGTTGCTTTGTTCCGCAATTTTTGTTTTCCAGTGTTTCTGTGACTGTGGTGATTGTCATGTAAAGCCCTCTAAAGTGGTGAAGACTGGGAGACGGCGGACATATCCAGTAAAGACGCAGCATGGGAGTGGTACCGTAGTATCGTGGGATTACAGACAACTATCACGATCAATAGAGGTGCTGTAACTATGCGACTTGCTCACATTCAATGGGAGGTTACTATGTAGATTTGTCTGTCTTTGATGTTCTCGTGGTGGTAGTAGGTGAGCAAGCCATTTTGCGCGCAATTTGAAGCCTGCCACGCGTACCGCGCATCGTGCGCGTTCGAAGCCAAAAGACGCGTCGCAGTCCAAGTTGAAGGCTGACGTAGTTGTTTATGTTGAGACACTACAACATTGTCGCATCCGGACCATGCCCATCACTTTGGACCAACAATAAACTAATCTTGACATACTTGATCAAACACTGCAGAGAGTGGCCCAGTACACTGGCACTGCAGAAGTTTGAACTGATTCCGCCCCTCTTGAACACACGATCCATATTCCAGTGCCGCCCGACAATGGCGCCCACTGGCACTATCAGCAGTACTGCACCGAAACGGAAAAGACCCTCATTCTCGCCTCCACGACCGGGGAAATCCAAAGCCAAAGCAGACAAGGCAGGCAAGCCTCCTGCTGCCAGCGGCAAAGCGACTGCAGTAAGGAAAGCTCAGAAACCAAAACCACGGCCGCAGTCTCGGCAAAAGCAGGGACAAGGACAGAAACAACAACGGCGCCGCGGGACGGCAGGAACTATGAGATCGATATTGGGAGAAGATGAATCCGAGGAAGAAGAAGACGATGAGGGAAATGATGAGGACGACAGTGACATTGACAAGGCCACACAGGCATCTCGAGGCCGAGGCCACCGCCGGTCAGTGGTAACGGCGGATGAGGAAGACGAGGACGACGAGGACGACGAGGACGACAAGGACAACGAAGACGAAGACGAAGATGAAGATGAAGACGAAGCGGAACAAGCAGATGCAGACGCAACCTCATCGTCCCCCGAACCAGATTTCATCCTGGCCGAGATCACTACGAACAACAAATCAACCACGAGTAATTCGAATTCAATTGTATCGGATCCTTCGAATCCCGTCATCCCTTTACCTCTAATCCACCACATTATGCAAGCGCAATTTACGACACCTGAAAAGACGACCGTTTCGGCGGACGCCCGTGCCTTGTTCGGCATGTATATCGAGATCTTTGTGAAGGAGTGTATTCGACGGTGTGTGGATGAGAAGAAAGATAGGGAGGCCGCTGGGGGCGCTCAAGCTAGCGTGGGCGTGGATAGTGGATGGTTGGAATTGGAGGATTTGGAGCGGGTGGCTACGCAGTTGTGTTTGGATTTCTGAATACGGACGAGAGTCATGATTAAAGTACCTAGGTACGCCGGAGGACGATGGATTACATGGACGGGAGGGAGGTTGCGAAAGGGTCAAACGACGTTCAGGCTTCAACTGGAAAGGAATGACCGTCGGTTTTGCTACATCACTGCGTGTTCTCGATGGAGGCACATGAAGCAGAGGGGCAGTGGTGTATTAAATGACATCTACCCAGGAATCGTCTCCCATGAGATGTGATATGGTTGACTGACAGTCAGTTTTCACAAATGAATATCTCCCACGGGTTACAGTAGAAGCCTCATTTGCAAACCTTGGAAGGTAGCATATCGGTGAGGTAATGGGTGTATTTGTGTGGAAGTCATTCAGAGTCGTGCAAGTTGGGCCGGGCGATTCATAAATCGCGTTGCCCGTGACACTGCTGAACTTGAATTGCCTGGTAGGTCCTGGCCAAGTGCCGCCGCTTCCAGCGCCGTCATTCGGCGCCTCTGTTCTTCTGCCCACACTCAAATTGTCCTTGACTCTATAACTAACAGGTATCGACCAATGCTTCAGGAGCCGATGTTAGCAATGCCTGCGCTCGAGACAGGATGACACGCGCTGGTCGACTTGCATAACCTGCATCGTCAAAGCGACCAGGAGCGGCGACTGGACCGCGATCGCCCAGATGAGCTTCAGATGAGCTGCAACCCCTTCAGCTGCCAGTCCCAGTGTCAGTGTGCTCGTCTACCTTTTACGGAGTCCGAGTCTTGACTGGCTCTCCGCGTTGCCTCCACAAACTGAACTATGGAAACTCTGGACACTTGGGACTTTACCCAGACAGTCGTGGGTCCTCAATTTTGATAGTGTTCGGTGCCATTGGCTACTATCTTGACCGTCGTCCCTTGGGACAAAACGGTGTCCCTTCATGTCCTTCTACGACTCGCTGCCGGAAGACACAAACGAATGGCCCTATCGTAAAACAAGACCAATTCCGGTGTCAAGCGATCGGTTGCATGGGTTCAGGCACATCGTTGATGTCTTCCCGAACCCATGGCTGCGATTGTACTAGGAGTCCTCAGCAAGCCTCCGGCAACATTCCGCTCTATCGAATCATGATGTGAACCTAGGTAAAGTAGCCGTCATTCAAGATCTGACCCTTGTTGGTGACCCTTGTTGGGCGGCGACCAACCACTTCCCAATGTGCCGAAACACAAGTGCCGACAACCTTGTCCGGTCCAACCCCCGACATGCAGTCCTACTCTTTGGGTGGCATCGGTCCGGTTCCCACAGAGTGGTCAGGGCGGTTGATGAGAACTCGAGGCTGACCAGCCTATGAACTCGACTCCATGCGGGGACCCCAGTCAAGCGAAGCGTGGGCCTGAGAGCTGATCCGGGTGGAAATGGGGAAATAAGCTCTCTCAGGGTGCAACGGCTGTTCTGCCCGGCAGGATAAGGGTGTAATAAGCATCTGTCATGCCCATGTATATATCTTATGCATACTGCCCCTTTTTCACCACCCTTGCCCTCTTTTCACCCTGATTTGTCGTACGACAAACCTCACTCTACCATTGCTGTTCGTCTTCGACTGATTGCCCAGCATGGAGATGAACTATGATGAAAAGGTATGTGCACTTTTCGTTCAATATGGTTGTCATTATACTCAAGATTGATTTTCGTAGGAGCTCCATCAAATCGAGGAGGAGCTCCATGTCGAGCTACTGCCAGGGACCGAGTTGATGGCCGATGTTGGATCGCATCATTTCGTCAAGAGCAGCGACAAAAACCATCGTGTCTTGGTTCCCCAGCCCTCAGACGACCCTCATGATCCGCTCAATTGGTCTTTGGGCTGGAAAATCGCCGCAATCACTGCATCCAGTATGGCCAGCTTCACACAAGGCTTCGGTCCACTCTCGTTGGCTCCCATGTTCGGCGATTATATCGAGGCCTTTGACTGCTCGCTCGCGGACGCGGTGCAGTTTACTGGTGTGGCAATTTTGGTTCTTGGTTTCAGCAATTTTATTTGGTAAGAAAACAGAACAATCTCGGATATGGCTCTTCTTGCTTACAAGCATTCAGGATCCCTCTCAGCACCTCATTCGGCAGACGACCCGTATACATTTTCTCTCAATTAATCTGCCTCGGTTCATCAATATGGCGGGCTCGAGCACAAACATATGGCAGTTTCATGGGCGCTTGCGTGTAAGTATTGTCGGATACAGTCGTTGGTGCTAGATGGGCGTGGCTAATGGGTTCTGTTTTCTTCCAGTCTCAACGGCATAGGTGCAGGTCCAGCAGAGACAGTTCAGCCGGCCGTCATCGCCGATATTTTCTTCCTCCACGACCGAGGCAAATGGAACACACTGTACTGGGTGGTGTACATGGGATCGCTCATGGTGGGGCCAATCATTTCCGGGCCTATGTCTTACAATGTCGGTTGGCGGAACTTTTGGTGGTTCAACACGGCACTCATTGCGCTTTCTCTCTTGATGATTATATTCATGTTCCCCGAGACCAAATGGCATCGCGTGCATCCCACCGAACTCCACCACGAGACGGCTGTCACCGAGCAACAAAAGGCGTCTGTCGAAACCAAAGAAGACTCTCGAAGCGGCGACGGCGAAATCTCCGCGCATGGAACGGATGACCCCGTCGAAACCGTCGCACCCAATCCTCTGACTGCTGTCGAAACCGCACAACGAGATCCTTGGCTCGGTCGTGGCAAGCCCAGTCGAGCACAGTGGGGGCTATACACGCCGCATCCACACCCGATCAAGAGCATTCTATTGTCACTTTGGATTCCCTGGAAGCTGTTTTCATTCCCGATTGTCGAGTTTGCCAGTTTTGTCGTCAGCTGGAGTTGCTCGTCGTTTTTGACCTTGAACCTGACGCAGACCCAAGCGTTTGCGGCTCCCCCTTACAACTGGGACAACCAAACGATCGGATTCACCAACTTTGCCATCCTGGTCGGCGCCATGATCGGGTTGGCCACGGCCGGTCCGTTTTCCGACTGGGTGTCTGCTCGCGCGACGGCACGGAACCGGGGGGTGCGAGAACCCGAAATGCGTCTGATTGCCATGATCCCATATGTTGTTATTATGTACTTTGGCAACATCATTGTCAGTGTCGGGTACGAGAACAAGTGGCCCTGGCAGGCGATCGTGATCATCGGGTACACGTGCGCCGGCATCCAAGTCGCCGCTCTGCCGGGGATTGTGTCGACCTACGCCGTGGACAGCTACAAGCCCGTGGCGGGCAGTCTGTTTGTGTCCATCACGGTCAACAAGAATGTGTGGGGATACGGGTTCAGCAAGTTCATTACGGACTGGATCATCGACGACGGGTACATCCCGCCCATCATGACGAACGCGTCGCTGATCTTGATCTGGTGTCTGTTTGGCATTCTTTTCTACTACAAGGGCAAGACGTTCCGGAGGTGGACCAAGAACAGTTCGGTGCACAGCATGTAAAAGGTTGGATGGTACTGTATATACTGTATGCCTTGGATCCTGGCCATCAATATCCTGGCCAGGACATTCTCCAGCTCAGCATAGATGGGCAGAAAGAGGAGGGACAAGTAAGGCGCACATAAAAGTGGAAAGCCATGCAAACACTTGATTGTCCTTCTGTCTCGCTCTCCGTGGCTCTTGACTCGTGCACTGTACAGGATAAGGTATACACACCTGAGCTCCTCTGGAGTTCCCGGGCTGAGAATGCAGAAAGTACCAATGAGTTCCAGGTCCGCAGAAGGCTCTTCTCCGGCCGAGCCTCGCTCGTTCGTCACTCCTCGCACGATGGCCGGCCCGACCTGATTTTGGTTCCCAACATCCCATTCGCGTTGAAATCGGAATTATGCATAGGTCAAGGGATTGGTAAGCCTAACACAAGCACATCTACGTCTCTCTAGGCCTTTGTCATTTTTTGTGTAGTTACAAATACTAAGGTATGACATGTGCATAAGCATGAACAACATCATGATGCCAGTGTCCGTGTCGCACAATGTTTCCAAGTTGCGTGACTTAGTAATCAGGTCCTGGGATACGAAACGCGGTTAGCGCAGCGGGTAATTGGAGCGCAGTGATTGGCTGTTGGTTATTAGGCCCGTTGGATCCAGAAAGCTTACCAACCTTATCTCCGTCGACGACATCTGCTTCAGCCACCTCAGGTCCTACTAGTACCTACGTTTGTTCGATCTGGTCGGTAGCTTTTTGCAAACATCAACACGATCCAGGGTAATTTGCGGGGACTGAGGCTCTTCTTGGCCTCTAAAGTCCGGCTGAACCGAACCGAATCGAATGGATTCTCGCTCCGCTGAGATGCCAGTCCTAGATGTGGGTTGCCAATGTCAAGGCTGAGAGAGAGGTTCCGCCATCCAGTTGAACCAAACATTGTCTCCGCCTCGCTCATTCGGTCGATCGGTCGGTCGGGGCCGAGGGGGCTTGCATTGTGCAGGTTCAATTCAAGTCGGGCTTACGGTGAGCGGAGTAGATCCTTGCAAACGGAAGGTAGGTAGGTATGAGACCAGAGGTATATAAGGACGAGGGACGTCGGCCTCCAATCCCTTGAACGTCTTATCTCGTGTCACAGTCACACTCACAGGCAGCCTTGGTCAACCATCACCATTATCCCTCAGTACACGTGCTATCTACCACTTACCAGTCCTCCAATCTAACCCGGCCTTGGTTTGTCACAAGGAGACATTCTCTCTCTCTCTCTCTTCTGTTCTCTCTCGTCAACAATATCATACCTACACTACACCTCGCTACCTCACCTGAACCATCCAAAATGCCTCGCTATTTCGTGACCGGCGCCTCCGGCTTCATCGGCCAAGCAGTTATCCAAGAATTGATTTCGCACGGTCACTCGGTTCTCGGCCTCGCACGCAGCGACGCATCAGCCTCGATCATCACCAAGCTCGGCGGCCAAGTCCAGCGTGGAAGCCTTGAAGATCATGAGAGCCTCAAAAGTGGAGCGCAAGCCACCGACGGTGTGATCCACCTGGCCTTCATCCACGATTTCGCCCATTTCGACCACTCAGTCGTCGTCGACCAGGCGGCCATCAAGGCTTTGGGGGAAGCACTGGCCGGCACAGGCAAGCCTTTGTCCATTGCATCGGGCACCGCAATTGTCACGGGCGGACCTGGCGAGATGGCTTCCGCGGCCGCCACCGAGAACGACCGACCGGACGTGTCAGACTCGTCAGTGACCGCGCGAGCCCGGTCAGCGGATCTGGTGTATGCGTTGTCGAAGGACAACAATGTTCGTGGCTCCGTCGTCCGCTTGCCTCCGACCGTCCACGGCGAGGGCGACAAGGCATTTGTTCCGGCCCTGATCAATCTGGCGCGCAAAAATGGCTACGTCGGTCACGTCAATGACGGCAGTAATCGGTGGCCGGCTGTTCATCGTCTCGATGCCGCGGCCGTGTTTAGACTCGCTGTTGAAAAGGGATCTCCTGGGGCCACGTACCATGCTGTTGCGGAGGAAGGTGTTCCCATGAAGGAGATAGCGGGATTGATTGGGAAGAAGTTGAATCTCCCGGTCAAGACGCTGACTGTCGCTGAGCTCGGCTCTGCGTTGGGAATGATTGGATATATCGCCGCAAAGGATAATCCTACTTCTAGCGAGAAGACGAGGAGAGAGCTGGGCTGGAAGCCGGAACAGCCGGGCTTGTTGGAGGATATGGAGGCTCATTATTTCTGAGATGAACGAAAGAAATGGCAAGTTGTTGAGAGAGGTCTGACACCACTACTGGTATCAATTGTGCTGTCTGTCACGGACTCGACTCGGCGTGTCTTGCCTCGGCCTCGTTTGTTTTTTTTTTTTTTTTTTTTTTTTTTTTTTTTTTTTTTTTTGACGAGCCAGAGAAAGGGGTAAGATGGAACAAAACTGAGCTTATCCCGTCTTGAGCAGGGAGCATAGGGCAGCTCAACCGGTGAGTGGTGGACAAAGTCACAATGGCATGCTAGTCTTGTGTGTAGGTATATAATTTATATCATTCTACCGTCTACCATCTGTCTACCTTACCCAATCATCCTATCCATCTATGTATCTACGTCTAAAACTCCCTCGTCATATTTCTATACGGGTTATTCTCATCCGCTTCCTCCTCCTCGGCCGATTGAACCGTCCTTATCACCCGACACGGACTTCCCACAGCAACCGAAAAGTCCGGGACATCCTTTGTCACCACGGACCCAGCACCAATCGTACACCCCTGACCGATCGTCACTCCCGGCAGAATAATCGCCTGTCCACCGATCCAGCAATCATCGCCGATTCGGACAGGGAGGCCGAACTCGACGTACTTGCGGCGCGAGAGGATGCTCGTCTCGTGAGTGGCTGTGTAAATGCTGACGCCGGGACCCATTTGGACGCGGTCGCCGATGATGACGAGGCTGGTGTCGAGAATGGTTAAACTGGAGCAGCACCTAGGGTTAGCCACCACTTTCCTTTTCTCGAGGAGTCGTCGTTATCGTTGTTGTTGTCACTACGACTCGTCGTGACGACTCGTCATTTTTGTTGTCACCGTCGACCCCGGCCTCATTGTCGTCGTTATTGTTGCCTGGCGGCAACTACCAACAACAACTGCCAACCACTTACTTGAAATTAAAAAAACAATCCCTCCCAATCACAACATTACATCCATAATCCGGCGTAAAGGGCGCTTCGACGAATGTTCCTTCGCCAACACCGCCCACAATCTCCTTGAGCAACTTTAGACGAGCATCGAAGATTTGGTCGGGTGAGTCGAGTGTTCGTGCCGAGAAACGGTTGTAGTCCTCGCTCACGTTTCGGCAGCGGACTCGTGCGCGGACGAGGTCGGGGTGGTTGGGGTTGTAGCTGCAAAACAGAAAAAAGATTGAGTATTGAACAGTGAATTTGCGCCTAGGGTTGAGGGGGAGAAGGGAGAGTAGGGAGGGAAAAATAGGTCAGGGTCGAACCTACAGCATTCCCGAAATCATTCTTTCAAACTCGTCGCACCAGGGGATGTGGTTGAAGGAGCGGGCGAGTTGGATGAGATCCGGGGATTTCTCGGTGGCTGGCCCCATTGTTGTGAAGATGGGACGGGAACAGATGTGATGTGGTGTGCTGAACTGAGGGATTGGTTGGATCCTGTTGGGTCCTGACTCTGGGACGTATAGCTCGGGCTTTGGGCGCGTTGCGAGATGTATCAATGCTAACGGTAGAGCTGTACCAGCAACAGTTTCGGACTCAGCAGCCGAGAGGTCAAGTTAGGGTCCAACAGGCTCTTTTATTTTATTCCAGGCAGTCGGATTGCTTGTGTCGATCGGTATTTGGCCACGTATGGTTGTTGGACGGACAAATCTGGCTGCTCATGGGATGCAGTGATGGCCTTGAATATATTGTGGACTCAGCGATGGGCGTCGGAACGCATAACTTTCCATTCCGGGAAATATAAACATCGGCTCCATTGCGGAAACTGGCCACAGCCGCAACTTGAACAGCTCCACGCCACGCCATCAGGTAGAAACAAACCCTTTGCTTTTGTATCGAGGCTGATGTAATGTACTGGATTATAGATGAACAGTCTGTGTGCCAACACAATACCTATGCCCGCTCCCGGAGACTTTGTGGATCAGCAATGTGTCTAAAACTGACCTTCCCCCACGAGGTGCTTTCTCCAGTCCATCTCCAGGAATCATAACACTGTCACGCCTCACCAATCCGAGGCCGATGTTATCGCTGGACATGGCTCCCTACTCGAGTCCGCCCTGAGCCGTACCCGGTCTCCAAGAATGGCCGAGCATTGGCTTGGTGTCCACTGTCCACCTCGGTGTATGACAGTACAATGAGCTCGAGGGTTGTTGACCTTTGCTCACTTTCCATCTACCGCCTACAGAGTCCTCCTCCTGCTGTCAAACTCGCTTGTGGCCAGAGGACGCTTGCCTTGAGTTGTGCATCGGCATGTTAATGGTTTGCTGCTTACCTATAGCTTGGTACTTGCGATATGGTAGCACCAGGCAATGACAGACACCAGGCCTCCACGACATATCTATAGTTGTTTCAGCCTCTCTGCCACAGAACACCTACCACGCTAACTTTGGCGGCGATGTTGCAGAGGCAATGCATTTTCTCGGCCTTTGCTTCTTGCTTCCTTCCCTGTGCCGAGCTTGGAGGTTGGAGTTGACCACTCACGACAAACGAGGATCCTAGTGAAGCTGGACTGGTCAAAACCTGGTAAGAAGACTCGCCCGGGCCACTAGCAACCAAGAGTGGCTATCTATGCCCAACGGAAGGAAGGTATACACCATACTAACGAATACTAGTACACTTGCTCGTCTGGACAACGAGACATCAAATCAGTTGGCATGACATGACCACAACACTATCCCAGCCTACCGATCAGATACCTACCTAGGTAGTAATAGTTGGGCATCTGCCTTGCAGGATCCGGATACCATGATTTCCCCATGCCCGCAAGACATGCATTTTACCAACGTACATTCCCGACACGATGGAAATCGGGATTATACTCCAAAGATCAAGGAAGATTCCGCGCCGTGCCGATCCTTTTTTGATCGAACCAGATCGAAAGTCGAGTGACCAGGTTTGACGACCGGGTTTGACAGCCACAGCTACAGCTACGTGGTAAACGCTGCATGTCTACCCAAACCAAGCATACAGCACAACCACTACCACGCCCGGCCATATCTCCCTCTCCACCGTAACCGCCACCGCCACCGCACTACTATACGGAGATACATCTAAATTAAGTTATTAGGTAGTGAAGCGAAGCGAAGCGCAGCTCTTCTCTCCCGCATTCTTTCAGGGCTAGCCTATGACTATATTTGTGAGTATAGGTTCTAACCGAAGGACGGTTTTGGTTTTCGGATATTAGCTTCCTTACCCGTTCAATCGTGCCATGTCACTCGTGGTCTAAACCCTGTGCAGTGCCAGAGTATTCCTGTATCTTGGAGGCCATAACGTACTTCGCTTGTGTGTGTGTGTGTGTGTGTGGGTATGCATGTACATTATTACATGCGCGAGGTCTAAGGACCGAGGTCGAACCTGTAGCGTAAAACACAGGAGAGGACGCGATATATCGCGTGAAACGTACCTAGTTTATGCCTAGGTATGCCACACAGTGACGTGTGTGAAGATATGTGATCTAGGTCCGTGGACCTTTCCGCGGGGCTCGTTGATCACTGTACATGAGCTTCGAGCGCTTAGTTGCCAGTGAGCTGAGCACTGCCCTGCCACTGCATGTCGGGGAGGGTAGGACAGCCATCCGACCCCCTGCCTGGCACCTACCTGTCTGTGGGTGTCTGGATATTTTGGACAGGGCTATGGGCAAGGGAGCAGGAAGGGACCTTGAACCTGCAAGGAAAAGACCTGGTAGGTAGATACAGTAGAGCGCCTGGTCAGTAGGTACACTAGATGATTGTTGCAGCGTACTAGACTAGAAATGCAGCGTAGACTGGACGCTTCACTTTGCAGCAGCTCTCAGGGGGGCCCAGGAGGCAAGGCTAAGGAGGCTACCCGCCTTAACTAGGTAGTTGTCTACAGTACAGTACATGCATACCTAGAGTACTACTGTCGGTCTGGTCCTGCAACCGGATAGGGAAGAAAGGTGATTACCAGCTCAGACTAAGGTATGTACGTAGAGACAGGATCCAGGGCGTCACGTCACGACGTCGTAGACACTTTGGTTTCGGTAGGTAGGACATAGGTTGGTGATTAGTTGAAGACAAGTTTAAGTTACACGTCTCGATCTGTGCTACCCCAGCTGGGCCCCGGCCTCAGAAAGTGTAGTAGTCCTGTATAGCTCTAGTTGTAGTCCATCATCAGTGGTGTGTTCCTTTTCAAAGAGACTACAGTCCTTCTCAGTGCTCGGCTTCAAGTTGTAGACATCCGCAGAGGCGGCATGGCATGGCAGCCTGCAGAGGAATTTGGAACTTCACGGGCACAAACACAATGATGCATACACGTTTGCATTATATATAGACATATACATATATATACCGTACAGTAGATGCCCAGGGACTGTAGCAGACAGAACAGAACAGTACAGTACACAGTACAACAGGTAATATAGTGTCAGTGATATTTTTGATTTGTGCTGCGAGCGCGTACATACACACAATAGTGTACAGTACATATCTGGGATCGAATATCTTTCTTCCCGAGTCTCTGATATATGATATGATATATGCGGGCGAGTAAGTTATGCATGCATTGCATGGCTTCGGCCAAAAAAGAAAACAGACAGAGAAAGAAAACACCCGTCCCCACGGTCATGATCAACGAGCAAAAACGGACAAATAAGTTGGTAGACAGCCGGGTCCCCCATTTCCACTTCACCCCATCTCATATTGCATGCGGGAATTAAGACCCCAACTGAAAAGAAATAATGGTCCAAAGAAAATTTCCCATGCTTTACCAACCATGGTAATGCCTCCCGTGCACTCGAATTTTGTTGTCTTCGGTCCTCCTAAGCAGAGTCCAAAAGGGGTATCATTAGAAGATGATGATGGATGATGCTGGCGCAATGCATTTACTGCATGAACACCGCGACGGCGACGGCGAACAACAGACTGAGAGGAGCCGACAGAGATGTGGCGGCACCAGTGTAGGTTGCGACTGGGCCGGTGGTGGTTGCGGTGGAGTTGCTGAGGGAGCTGCCGGAGCCGCTGCCGGAGCTGGAGCCTGAGCTGGAGCCTGAGCCCGAGCCTGAGCCTGACCCAGAGCCGGAAGAGGTGCCCTTGCCAGAGCCGGAGGTGGAGCCGGATCCGCTGCCGGAGCCAGAACCGCTGGAAGAACCAGAGCCGGAGCCAGAAGAAGAACCAGAGCCAGAACCACTGCCAGAGCCTGAGCCCGAGCCGGAACCGCTGCCGCCTGTGGCACCGCTCTTACCGTTGCCAGGGCAGACCTTGCCGACGTCAGAGGGAACCGAGGGGAACGCGTCAACCCCGTCCAAAATGGCAACAGCCATACCGCCAGACAAATGAGACTGGACGTGGCAATGCAACAACCAAGCACCCGGGGTGTTGACGTAGTATCGGAACACCATCCAGGCGGCACTGCCTTCAGCAGGGGTCGAAGTGTAACCATCGACATAGGGAGGGTTGACCAGGTTGAATTGCAAGCCAGCGGCCTGGGCAGCGGCAACGCTGGTGTAGTTGAAGCTACCGACGCCGGAGCCGATAACAAAGAACTTGTTGGCGTGCTTGTGGATAGGATGAGGCTGGGCGATAGGACCCTCGACCTTCAGGATCAGGTCGACCCAGGTGTTAATTTTGGTCTTCAGAACCAGATCACTGTCGGGAACGTTGGCCGGGTTTTGGAACAACAGAGGAGGCTCCTCGTCATCGCGCGACATGTTGTACGACTGGACACCGGACAAGGTCCAGGCCCACGAGTCGGTCGGGTCCGAGGGCGACTTCATGATGTCCAGGACGAAGGTGGTGGCCACATCGGTGCCAACAGTCTGGGCTGGGTAGGGAGCGGCAGCGGCCTCGTTGAAGGTCGTGATGGCGGTGGTGTTCTGGCCACCGTAGTTCATGACTGCGACACCGCTGGCCTTCTTGCCACCGTTCTTGTAGGACAGGGTACCGAAGCCGGAGATGACCTGGTTGATACCGTCGTTGGCAACGCGGATAGTGTAGTCGCCTGGGGTCTGGTCGAGCTTGACGAAGAACGAAATGCGGTCGCCGTTGGCCAGGACAAATTGATCCACGGTCTGGGGAACAATGTATTGGCCGTTGTATTCGTAGATGTGCAACTTGTGGCTGTCAATCGTCACCTTCAACAGAGCAAAGCCACCAGGGTTGATGAACGACATGGCAGCCCAGCCGTTGGACGCATCCACTTCGTAGGTGTAGTTGGCGCCGGTGACGGGAGTGCACTTGTCGTAAGCCTCAGCGGGCAGAGCGGACAAGGTGCGGTTGTATTTGGTGCCTTGAATCAAGGCGTTGCTGGCCGGAATACAACCCTTGGCGGTCAACGAGGTGCCGTTCAGAATCTTGGGAACTTGCACAGCAGCGTTGGCAGTGAGCTCGGCGATGGACAAGCAGTACACGCTGCCCTTGCCGTTCAAGATGATGGAATCAGTGCAGGCATCGTCAATGTTGGCCGACTGCTCAATATCGAAGAACTCGGAGAAGGTGAATTGAGACCAGTCCGAGGCAAAGACGGTCTCGACATCAGCGGCGGCGGCGGCCAGTTGCTTGAGGTCGTCGTCGCTGCTGCTGATTTGACTCCAGGGCAAGTCGGCATCGTCAGCCGACTGGATCAGGATCGCGCCGTACAAGCCATCCATCATCTGTCCTTTGTAGTGGGCATGGTAGAAGTAGCTGCCTGCCTCTTCGGCCGTCCACTGGTACATGTACGTCGAACCGGGCTGGATCCTGTATTGGGACACGCCGGGAACACCGTCGGCCCAGGGAGTGCCATTCTGGCGGATACCGTGGAAGTGGACGCCGGTCACGGTGTCGAGGTTGTTGATGACGGTGAAGTCAACGCAGTCGCCAACTTTGAGCTTCAAAGGAGGACCCGGCAGCGTGCCGTTGGTCAAGATGACATCGCGCTCAACGCCAATATCCGAATCAGGCTTGCCCCAGGTAACGTCGATGGTGAACGGGACGCATTTGGATGAGGTCGCGCAGACGCTGGAGCTCGAGTTGCTGCTGCCGGCGGCGACTGACGAAACGAGTGTGAGGGCGGCGAATGCCTTGAGCAGGCTTGCGACCGCCATTGTGTGTACTGGTCTTGGATTAATATGTTCTTTCCCTTTGTTCTCCCCAATGTCCAGTAGGTATACTATATGTACGGGGGAGGTTCCCTATCAACAAGAAAAAGAGAGACAAGACAACCAGTGGAACGGCCACTGGGTCTGGATAAGAAGAAAGAAATATATCGGCCCCGGGTAGATGATCAGTCAAAAAGAAGAGAGACGGGTGACTTGAGCCTGACCTGGCCCGGTAGACCTTTATGTCCTGGAGCGCGAACCTGTCAACCCCCATTGGGAAAACAAGCAGCTGCCAGTCAGGGTGGCGTGCCAGATTGCACAGGACCACCAGCCATCCTGGAACGACTAGCTGGGTCAATCGTCCAATGTTCTCAATGGATTCTCTCCCGTCTATGCTCCATCGGGGTAGTGTGAGCCTCCTTTGTCTGTATTGCCCCCAATAGACGCTTCGCTGGTTTCAAAGAATCGGGATCCTGGGCTGGTCCACTGTGGTCAAGTCAGCCTAGTCGATCAACACCCACAGCGGTGCGTCGCATCAGTTGAGGGCCTTGGGTCTGGGAGGAACCAACAGGTTGCTACTAGCCTGGGGCAATGATCTATGCCGGGTCTTAGCTCCTCGTGTGGGACGTCAATTCTTCCAGACTCAACTTTCAATCATTATTCATGCGTCGCGTAAGCGAAGTAGTGTGAGCTCGGGGCTGCAAATCTCGGTCCACCAAATTTGTGACATGTTGGCGGCTTGGTACAGTAGCCATACCCAGCAGGCTTCAACCCCAGAAGCGAGGCTGAATGATTTGGTTACTTGAATCCATCCAAGGGAATGGTGGTCTTGCTGCGGTGCGGTTGACCGGATTTCGCTGTTCCTTTTCCCTGAAAATTCAGGAGGTTGTCTCATAGACGCCCTATACGAAAGCTGCAGCGACGGGGCTGCGGGTCTATGCGCGAGCCAGAATAGAGCCCGAAGCGAGTGTGTGTGGCGCAGTGCAATCAGTCAATCACGAGTGACGGTCTGCCCGTACCCGGTGGCTGACCCCGGCTCCCACATGACAAGCGTTTGATCTCGTTCGTGCCCTGAACCGGCGAATAAGCTACGGTGGAATCTCTTGATGGAGCTTAACATCCACATCACAGGAGAAGCGCAGGTCCATCGTCCACATTAGCGGCTGTCAAGCAAAAAATTAGCATCGCGCGATGGATTCGACGGCTTGCACTTGGCCTGCGCCTGATGCTTCGGCCGTCACAGCCCAGCCATTCTCTTATCCAGGGGCTGGCCTATGGGATACCCAACCACAGCCGATCCGGGAATTAAAGTAAACAAACAATTTGCGGGAGCGTGCCTTGGTGGTCAGATCATCTGGGTGTCTAAGGTCTTGTTTGTGGGGATGATTTCCCTCCAGATTATGAGGTATGAGTCTTGGTTCGGGACTCGCTTTTTGGTTCAATCCTGAACCAGAAGACATGATGACGAGGATGTGGACTGAGTACCCAACCTCCAGGAGTTGATTGAGAGTTGAATCTTTCTGTTCCGCATGATCACGATGGAGCATGGTTGGCCTAAAAATAACCCGGGTTTTGAGACAGCAGGGTGTGTGAGTGGCCAGTGGAGACGGCAGGGACTCGGGTATACCGCCATATATACCCGAACAAGTTGGTGTGGATGGAAACCGGGAATCGCTTCGTACGAGGCAGAGCTGGCTCTGTCTTCGCTTTCGAGTGACGGTAGTTTTCCGTACTTGTCAGCACACTTCGGTAGGGTGAGACAGGATAGCCTGGTTTGCCGTAGCTGCTTGCCACCATTTTGTGTTCGAAAACCGGCGACTGGTCGAGCATCTTACCGTATTTTTCTCAAACCTGAATGGAATTTTCTCCTTTCAGGCTGCCAGTGCCTCCCGTCGCTCCCAGCCCCTGAGTCAAGCTCCACTGCCATGCCGCTATTCCTGATCGGTCGACGAGCAGTCACGTGTCAGGGCGTCTCTTGCCAAGCGCAGCAACCACAGAACAACAAGTACCGTGTACCTACCAACATCAACAAGTCACAACATCGCCTCTCGTCAACAACGAATAACACCACCACTACCACCCGCAGTACTAGTAACAGATGTATCTCTACTTAGGTAAGTGCTTTCGTAAATCAATCTTCACACGGTTGTACGGCGGACGCACCACGCACAAAACCCGCACTCGTGGAGACGACTGGGCCCACCACGTTGGCCGTTGCGTGGCCTATTGAGAGGGCAACGCAAGCCACAATGCATGCCTCCATCGCGCAATCCACAACCCATCAACCACACGTGGGAAATTGGGCCTGTCTCTGCCGGTAGAGATGGCACTGATGGCACTGGTGACTGTACGTACAGCTACAGACTATGATACGAGGTACAGAAACGATAAATGTACGTAGATATGCACATACCAACACCCCATTTATTCCCCCAACCACGCGTTGATCGCACCTGTCTGCCACAGTATGAGGGCTTCTCATGATGTTACGTAGTGGCAGCCGTCAACCACCATGATTATCTCGTTTTTCCTAACTCTATGGTACACAGAGATGAGCAGCGCTATCCCGCCCTATCGGGTGCCATCATCAGATACCTATGCAACAGGAAACAGTAGCTTGTTTTGCTGATAATCACAGTGGCAGGAGAAGCAATGGCCACGCCCAGCCATCCTCCTTTCTGCCTTTCATTCTGACCGGTGCGGCTGTCCGCCGTCAGGCCAAATCATGATCCGCTGCCAGTGACGGGGCATTTCTCCAGATTCCATATCATCATTCTGGAATCGGGATCACTGGATCGCCATCATTGTGATAATTGGTATCAACGGTGGGCAGGAAATGATGCAAATGCTAGCCGTCGCCGCCACTACTGAACGATCACCTCCTACTAACGAATCAACTAAAATAATAATGAAGCGCTTCTGATCTCTCTCCCAGCTTCATCCTTTCCCGGTTTCACAATCAGCCATGGCTGGCCTTGCAATTTCCAAGCCCTCGAATTTCTCCGACAGCAGCCTTTTGCTCCCTGGCCCAAGACACTTGAGCTGTCATACAGTAAGTCTGCCTTCAGCCCTGTGGCCGGAACATTCGACAGCCGGATGGTGGCGTAGTCATCATTTCCCCGGTTTCTGTTTCCAACAAAGCGGTTACAGAACCCTGTACATTGTACTACTGTACACAGTGCGTTTGATGTCCTTCCCCCAATGTCCCGGATAGGTGGGTGAACCTCCCCTCGCCCTTGGTACTGCAACAAGTCAACAATATTGGGAGATGAAGCCACTTCAAGTGCCAACCCAGCCCAGTCAAAACCGTTGCGAGACCCTGTTGGGTTGACCCTATAAGGCGCCCCAATCTATACTGATGATTCCATCACGCACATGTCGAGGCTCAACCGAAGAAGCGAGACGAGGCACTCTATCGGCGACAACTGGGCGGCTGCAAGACGGCAGTGTACCCTTCGAACTGGGTGTGATCATATCGTTGACAGTCAATTTCCCTGCTTCACAAGTTTATAGGTAGGTCGCGACAGCAGCAACAGCAGCAACCCCCTACGATCCCGCCGTACATATACAGTACAGCTTCTTGACCACTTGGCAGGTCGATCACACTGGCCTTGCTCTTCGACCAGTATTGATTTGCTTGACGGTTAAAACAATATCTCATTGCCGCGTCGCTCATGTACCTTGGCACTGGAAGTTGATCGTCTTGTACCAAGTCAGGAGTTCCCTGCTCAGGTGAACCCTCATGGAAGTATGCCATGCCATGTCGTGCCATGCCAGAAAGCCAAAGCCCTCAAGATATCTAAAATTCCCACAATCGGACGACATTTGCCCCCGCCCAGGGTCAGCTGCACAGTTCTTACCTTACACAATCGTCCTGTATTATCATCTCAACCTGTGACAGTACCGCGAGGGTTCTTCTTCGCACCTTGTAGTGTCACTATTTTGTCCGCCCCTCAAGATACTGCCACTGCATCATTGCATTTCATCGCGTTCAACATTACTATTACATTGGAATTTGATGATCCTAGCGGCGTTCTGGAGAATACAACGGCATGGCATGGCATGGCATTGCTACCCTCCTCATCCTCTCATTGTAGATGGTCTTCAATGCCTTGTTGATATGCAATCTAATTTACAAGTTCTTTCTCGCCTGCGTAATCTCAAGGTGTAAAGTACCCGCTAAGAGTCGCTCCAGTAGGAGCATATTGCAGAGAACGCCTTCCTGTTTGTCGACTTTCGCTCCTGTCCAACACCGAGCACGAATTGGTCCAAGGCCCAAGGGCCAGGCAAGCCAGCCCGCCACTAGGTCACATGCTGGGCCTTCTCAACATTGGCGTATCTTTCCATCCTGGCTCTGGCCATTTTCCTCTCCAAGAATATCCCTAGCGCAGCCACGGCCCAGCTTAGAGCCTGCAAAGACAACACCGCAACCATCAACCCGGTGCTGACCTGGCTCTCCATACATAGTCTTGCGAAGCCAGCAGGGACAGGGATGTTAGTTGCCGCCGAGACCGAGATTTGCAGGGACCCCATATCAGACTTGAACTTGTGTGCGCCATTGGAGAACTTGCAGGTCCACGACTGCAGCGACTCCCTTTGACGGTGATGGGATGGATCGGTGAGGAGTATGTCGAAGGGGATGGCGAAAATGCAAAGGATCAATCCTACAATTGCCAACACCATGAACACCACATTGAACAACAGGGTACGAGAGTGAGGCTGGAAAAGAAATCACGAATTAGCTTCAGCACGAGCGACGCCGTCAAATAATGCAAAACTTACCGTTGGGATGAACCAAAACACCAAATACCCAATGTTGATGGCGGTGATTATGCCCGCAGAAGCCAGGATGGCGATCGTAGGCCTAAGGTCAACGTTGCGAGGCCACAGGGAGAGATGGTATTTGCTTTCCAAATGAGTTGCGTTGTACCTGTGTAGGACATGACCTGCACATCCAACAGCAGCCGCGGCAGAGGCGATGGTCAACAGGGCAAGACCTAGCCGTGTCCATCCGAGCCAGCGTGCTCGTTTCAAGTACTCGGACTCTTGTGCCGTGGAGGCCGAGTTACGAGAGTGCAGGGACGAGGTCAAAAGAGGTGACGGGTCGAGCATCAGGGCTGCCGCATCGTAGGATGGCTCGGGCTGTTTCCGTGTGCTGGACCGAGACCGAGATCGAGATCGCACTGCCAGTGGACTAGTGGAGCGGTTCCCGGACGACGACGACACAGGACGTGTAGAAGGAGCGTTGTCCATGACAGAGCTTGAACAGGATAGAAAAGTATAGTAGTACAGCAAAGCAACAATCAGACAAATAAGGCAAATGCGAAACCAGCGCACCAGAACAAGGACTGATAATAGATTGAAACAAGAAATACACTGGCACAGACCTGTTGGACGGCGGCGAGGCCCTCTTATGAAGATGAGCCCATTGACGCTCGGCCAGCGCACACCACTGACCTCCCCCGTTATAGTCGGGGCCGCTACAGCTGCATGGCTCTTGGGGCGCCTACTCAACTGGACGGAGCGCGCAGAGTCGGTGGGATCTTCTGCACGAGCATGGATGGTGCGTGTCAGGAGGAGGCATCGTAAATGTGATGAATGAGTTGGCGGTTAGACGCCTCGCTTGACGTTCCACGACTCTCTATGAGTGGTCGGCACGGAAGATGAACAGACGGGAGCCCGAAGAGACGAGACGCGGATGGACGAAGAGGCAAGGTGGGAAGAGATCAAGGATTGAATAGAAGCTGAAAGTCCAGCGGCTACAGATGCAGTTGCTGCTGCTTGGCTGCGATACGCCCACTGATTGGCTGAGACGGTCACAGTGGGCGCAGTCTCAGCCTTTGAACAGCCGTCGACTTCGTCTATTTACGGCAACGAACACGAGTCAAGCGACGATGAAACGAGCCAGTAACGAGGGAAGTGAAAGACATCCAGTCGTGTTATGATCTTGTCTCTTGATCACAGCATACATAGGTATGCGCAGATTGAAGAGCATAGTCAGCAACCTGGACCAACACCCCATCCTCACATACAACTAATGCGTTTGCCAACTCATTCCCACTCCACCACGGACGACGGAAACTGCGTCGTGCATATCCGTGGCCGTCAAGGGCTCGCCTAAATAGTGCCCTCTAGCACTCAAGCGAGGCAAGGCTTCTCACTTTGTGTTCTCTTGCTCTTCGAGCTGCGGTTCCGCCTGATACCCCTCCTGACACGCCAGTGGTCCATCTTGTTGTGCCTCGACCTGAAATCCTTGTTCGAATGATCCACATCTTGAGATCTGCGGGCAAGGCCATGACCTTGGAGGGAAAAGCTCACCGCACGAGTCATGGCAGAATAGCAGAACCTTGCAAGTCTGCTCCAACAAATGGCTACTCCGACTCACCAGCGGCTTGAGGCTTGCAGCGCTCCTCGCTACGCGGATCCAGCCTGCGCGCGCTACACTTGAACCGGTCACGCTCAGATATGTCTGGCTGCCATTTCAAGAGCAGGTTACCGTCAATATCGTCGAAGTCGTGCTAGACGCTTAATGTGCCTCCACCGTTGGTTTCTTGGTACACATGACTCTTGCGCCATGCACAACATATTGCAGTGTCGGTGCATGAAGTTGTTCGTCTGGTCCCAAAGAGGTATCTTGTTCGAGGGTCCGCAGCCTGGAAACTTCCAACTGTTCAAGCCTACCTATGTAGGTTATGCGTGGGTGTATGTGGCAGTGCGAGTCTCTGGGTGATCACCATGTGTATCCCGCTCGGCGCTGTCCGGGTATGTGCGCGTGCCACCATGCCGATGAAAAGGTTTGCTGCTGCAGAAACCATCTTATACTGGATCAAACGTAGAAGCAACCTTCTCGACGGCTCGGACTTCATCAGGATCGACTCTCTTGCCAGCCACTACTGGGGCCTTCTCCTCAAGATGCTCGCCGTGACGTTCAAGATGTGACCGCGTCCGCTGCTCAATATAACCGCGGCGTTCCTCACGTAGTTCGTCCTTGGCACTGTCGAATGCTGCCCCAGCATTGCGAGAGTTCTGCAAGGCTGCCAATTTTGGTCGGAGTTCGGCTAGCAAGGCCCGAAGCGCAGGCAGCTGAGAGACGGCAAAGTTGGTGTTGATCGTCAGTGGCTGCTGATCTGAGTTCGGAGTGGTCTTAAGGTTCTGTGTCAAGGCACCATTCATCAAGAATGATAGATCCGTGGTATTGGCGTTCCCTTTGCCCTGGCCTACGATTGCCCGCAGCTGCTGGAGTAATGCCTCGTTGCGCGTATGTTCTTCCAGCAATGATCTCGATACAGCCCGCGACGCGGCGAGCTTCCGCCGCAACAGTTGTACGCGTTCTGCCGTAGGCGCATTCTCAGGAGGCGGAAATGTAATGTTCTCGTAGTGGCTCAGGCGCACCCAGTTGACCAGGTCTGCTGGCACGGAGAGGACGTTCCTCAGCACATAAATCTCGAATTTGTCAAAGTTCTTGTCCACCGTGGAATTCAACAGCGTCTCGAGTTTGTGTAAGCCTTCCTCAATCTCTTGTTTTGCATCAGGGTATTCAGGCGCGTCGGTGTCGCCGGACTGGACCGCTTTAAATCCCAGTTTTTCAGGAGGTGTAGACAAAAGCCCGGTCTCCAAACTGCCCACGCCTTGGTACACAAAGTTGTTGACCGAGTTGATGATGTCGTCGATTAGTGACAGAGGAGTATACTGCAGATGTTCCGTCAGGAGCGAGGTCGCGGCCTGCGAGATGTCCGCCATAGCGGTGATGCTTTCAACAGCGACACAGGGACTTCAAGTTATGAATACCATCGGCAATTTTCACTGCGACGACGGCGATGCATTGCGACGCGAGTGTCGGGCAATCCTCCAAGACTGCGAAGTTGCAGGTGAATGCGCCGAGACACTGGCACTGCAATTGTTATTGGGACTCGATCGGGACTAGCGTGGTGACTATGTCTTTTGAAGACGCGGCGCAGGTAATACCTCAGGCTCCGCCACATTTTCGCCGGCAACCTCGCCGTCATCTCGCCATCACTTTGTCAAAAGACAATCCGATTACCACCAACGCTTGACTGACCGAATCATCCAAATTGAACTTGAAAGATGGGAGGTCCAGGCTCCGGCGGGTACAAGAACAAGCCTGGCGACACCGAGACTCATTCGGCATGGGAAATCATTCCGCAGGACCCGGAGGGCACTCAGGTAGCTGACCACCTCAAGACATTGCACCTCCAGGCTGCATGGCGCGCGCAACGGCCTCGTTAACTAACTGCTTTGCTACCCACCACAGAAACTCGCCCAGGTACGATGCAAGTACTGTGGCCGAGAGATGGCCCAGCACACCTCGCGGCAGCGCGTCCACCTGCTGGGATGCCAGAATTATCTTGACGCAATGAAAGAACAAGGCATCGAAAATAGTATCACGCGTCAAGCGGCAGACCCGGCCGCCTTTTTCCGAAGCAGTGACTGGTCGCACCGGTCTGCAGAGGCCAAGATCCCCAAGGTCTTGAAGATGCAGGAACACACGACGGCTGTGCGAATCCAGGCTCTCGCGCTGGCCGAGGCCAACATCTCGTCTGAAAGAATCCAGGAGGTTACGGGTATGGACCCCAAGACTCTGGCTGGCCTCCGAAAACTGGCGCGCGAACGTGGGTATGATCCCAATGTCTCGATGCAGCTGAAGGAAGAATATGTGCTTGATCCGCCCAATACTAGTCGTCCGAGAGGTCGACCCAAGAAGAGAAAGCCCGAGGATGACCTCGATCCCGCTCTGGCCAGTCTTTCCGACACCACGCCTCGACCCGCAACCGCTGATTTCACCCCACGTCGAGATAATCTGCCGCCGGGACAGTGGGATTTCATGGCTGCTGCTACGGGAGCCGGCTATACCATGACTTAGGCAGAGATTGTATTACGTCCCGGTGGCAATTGACCAGAAGGGGATCACTTGATACCTTAGGGACCGGCGTTCTTGTTAGGGGGTTGGCTGGGATCAAGGTGTTTCTGGAAGCTGTCTTGAAACGGACACAGAGGCTTCGGTCAGCTATCATTGCAGAATGCCTTGCGGTGCAGGTTGTGTAATGGTGTTAGTTACAAATAATGCTAGCTCTGGCGTGTTATGCCCCCTTCTTGTGAAGGAAGGTATCTCAGAAGCAAAACAGCAAGTCTAAATTTACCCGAGCCCATTCGAGCCGTAGTGGCGGATTGTAAGCCCATTGTCCTTGTGAGAAAGCTACTGGCATATGATAAACTTTCGAGTGATTACCCCTATGTACCTAGGTATACGGACAGTACCTCCTTATCTCTCAGCCTCGACTCCCGCTGGTCACTAATCGTTGCTTACTAAATCTTTAGTCACACTCTCTGGCAATAAATGAACTTCATGTTGGGCTCCGACGTCTCGGGCAAGGCAAAAGGCTGCTCTGCAGAAGGGCACGAATCCCCAGAACAAAAAGCTGTAAGTGAGTGCCCAGCATCCGAGGCCGAAGACTCCATGGCTTGAAAACCAAGCGGAAACAGGGGGTGCTTCAGAACCACTAAAAGCCACCTCCTCGCGACACATCTCAAACTGTCCCAGCGCTTCGTGACCCGTCCTTGCCGCCCGACCTGCGACACTCAACCAACTTCCAGACCCTTTGCCTTTGCCTTGTTCAAGAATAGCTCTGGACGCGCCAAGTTTCGCTTGCTGCTAGGGTTCTTCGCCTGTCCCGGCTCAGGCAGTCCGAGCGATCTGATACACTTATACGACAAATATCTTCAGCCTCTTCCAGGGGTTTTCGCTTCAGCCAGACCAGGTGACGAGACTCCGGAAGTGCCATGACTCTCAGATCCAGATTCCTTATGATCAAATCTAAACGAACCAAAATGTGATTGCCTAGGACTTGTGGTTTCTACATTCGCCTACTTATGTTCGCGATGAGCCCGCGGTTCCTTCTCAGGTGATATTTCTTTTGCTATCTTCCATCCCATCCTTTTCTAGCACGGGGCCAAAAGAAACCCTAGGTCCCTTACATTTCGTCTCGGGTCTGTTCGCTCCTTCTGCTGCTTGACGCATTGCAGTTCACCTCTTGCGCCGGTCGCTCGTTGTCATTTATATCTTATTGTCATCGTCAATCATCAGTTGAAGTTACACAGAATCAACGAAACAGCATCAGCATAACTTAGTCAACACAGTCATTTTTTCAACGAAAATGTCTTTCAAAACCTTCCTGATCTCCTCGCTTCTCGCGGCCTCCGCTATCGCAACGGATCACTCGTCTTGGGGCAATGGTGGTGGTGGGGGCTGGGGCAGCGGCGGCGGCAATGGGCTCAGTCAGAATAAAGGCTCCGGCTCGGGCTCTGGCTCGTGGGGTGCAGCGGCATCTTGTCCCGCAGGCTGCCAGCCGATCGCCACAGGCACCGGATCAGCACCAGCGTCGACAGCGGCCGGCGAATTAATTGTCCAAGTCGTCTCGGTGGCCGACGCCAACGGATCCCTGAAATACTTCCCCAACCAGATCGAAGCACCAGTCGGGTCGATAGTGCAGTTTCAATTCCATCCCAAGGTATGCGAACACTCCAGATTATCCAGCACAACCACCCTCTTGTGCCGAAAGCCCAGAATCCTCAAGAATACCGAAGATACATATACTGACAAATGACCACAAACAGAACCATACCATCACGGAATCCAGCTTCGCCGAGCCGTGCAAACCCATCGCATCCAATTTGACATCTTCGACCCGTCCTGGCATCAAATCTGGCTTCGTCCCCGTTACTGGCACGGAGGAATTCACGCCTGTATATAACGTGCTGATCAACGACACCAAGCCCATCTGGATCTACTGCGGCCAGACCAACCACTGCCAAAAAGGCATGGCCATGGTGATCAACCAAAACAGCAGTTCGCCGAACACTATCGACAAGTACATTGAGAACGCAGCCAAACTGCCCCAAGTCAGCGCGGCTGCTCCGCCCGCCAGCAGCGCTACTACCGCTGCCGCGGCATCCACTCCAGCCGCAAGCGATAGTGCCACATTTGGTGTCGGAACCGGCGAGACTACTTCGGCTGTCCAGGCTCCTCCTGCCCAGACGGTCGGGTCAGCTTCTACGACTACGTCTGCTGTTGGGCCGGCTACATTCTTGGGCGCGGCTGACTCGCTGGTCCGAGCCGGCAATGCATCGCCGGTGGTCGGCCTGGTGCTCGGCGCATTACTGGCTTTGTGGTAATCAATTCTCTTCTCATTTGCACCGCGGCTTCAGGATTCGCCGGTGATTACAGTATGGACGGAGTTCGGACGCACGAAGATGCTGTGCGCTCACGGAGTGATTCATGTGTATTTTAGGAAAATATATACAAGTAAAATGCGAAAAGATGAAAACATTCGTATCTGCAAGCAGGAGGGATTCCCTGCAACTTAGACATGCCCCACTGCATCTTGACTTCTTCCGCTCTCCTGTGATTTATCGACGAGGTCTCCATCATCGTAACCACGTACTAACTACTATAGTAGTATGCTATTCGTGTAGATAGATACAATGTACTTCCAGATTAAGGCGGCATTAAATTCTTCCCAATCAAGGCAGAAACACACGCTGCCCACTTGCACGGTTTGTGAAACCCTCGACGCACCGCTGCCACCTCTCAATGGCGGTCACTGTAGAGGTGTGATGCGACGGTTTGATAGTTGGCTGATCGATGCTAGTGCAGGCTGTCGGTACGACATGGACTTGCTGATAACTTGAATCACAATTACCGCTCCACAGCGCCAGTTGGTTTGTTCCTAGCTGAACAGACCATGCGGCGTCTTTATCCGTCCATAAGGGCATTTGCCACATGAGGAGGAACATTTTACCATCATGGGCAATACAACAGGGCTCAGAGCAGCTCAAGAGCTTGACGAAGACAACAAGCTATCGGCGGCGGTACAAGGTTGGTCTTGGTGGAACTTTACTTTTGTGGTGGAACTAGGCTGATACGCTTACAGCCACCTTCAAGGCGCATCTGAAGCATTTCGAATATACGGCAGATACCACTGGCAAGACGAGTCCGAGTCCTCAGCGACGTTCTCCGCGTCTTGCTGGTTGGCGCTCGTCGACCCCTTCCAGTCCGGTCAGCAACGTCTCCTCGTCCAGAAAGCGCAGCCGTGTGTCACCGTCCACTACTCCGAAGGCCATCAAAACAGAAGACGAGCAAAAGGATGGACTGTCTGTCACTGAAGGCACCGGCTCCACCGGCTCAGAGGAGACCGAGTCCGTGTCCACACCCAGACTAAAAAAGAGAAGGAGTACCACCAAAGAACGCTCTGCTCGAGACCCGTACAGTCCCGCCAACAAACTGGTGGATAGTCTTCGACCGGGCTTGATCCTGGTCTTCGTCGGCCTCAACCCAGGCTTGATGACAGCCGCAACCGGACATGCCTATGCACATCCCTCAAATCGATTTTGGCAACTAGTCCACGACAGCGGGATCACACCCAAGAAGCACCTTCCCTCGGAAACCCGAGATCTCATGGATCTGTACCAGATTGGAAACACCAACATATGTGAACGGCCCACTCGGAGTGGCGATGGACTGAGCAAGCTAGAGTTGGAGGAAGGCGCTATGATTCTCGACCGCAAGATTGCCAAGTATCGGCCTGAAGCAGTCGCCATTGTCGGCAAAGGGATCTGGGAAGCTATCTGGATGGCTAAGAAGGGGGAGAAGAAATTCAAGGATAATTTCCATTGGGGCTGGCAAGATGAGGAACTGCAGTTAGGTAGGACCATCGACGACGAGGGCGCCGTAGTCTGGGAGGGAGCGAAGACATTCGTTACGACCTCCACCAGCGGATTGGCTGCTACGCTCACGCCGGCTGAAAAGCTGGCAATATGGAAGCCGTTGGGAGAATGGGTGACTGAGAGACGGGAGAGAGTGAAGGATGAAGAATCTAGCAGTGATCAAGTTGGGTAGGGAGCTGTTTGTTCTTTGCTGAACTTGAATCTGATACCGTGACATGTACCCATGACTCTCTCAGCCTTGTGACGGTGCCAAGACTTGAGATATACTCTCAGATCTGGTGTTGACACTCCAAGGTGTCGTCGACTTTCGGCCGTATTAGACCAACAGTAGAATGCGAATATTGCTCCCACCACGCTGTCGCTCACATTCTCTGTGACACTGCAAGGCTCTGATGTTTGATATCACCGCAATCACCATCACTCGCGTCGCGTGAAACATCGCCAAGCCGGGCCAAGAGTGGGTGATGCCTGAAGTTGCCCGCCTGATTGGCCTCGAGGTTCGTGTCGTCGCAGCTGAAGTGAAACGCGCCCAGAAGCGACTCCATTCTTGAAGTCCAAGTGGCTTCTTGTCGTGAGACGAAGCTTTTCAGTCCCTTCAAGTTGGGGATCCTGAATGACATCAACAGATACCCTTTTTTCTTGATCGTAACTGACATCAACTTCGCTTGGTCTAAGGCTCCCTCTACGCTTTGTCTTTGTTTACACTGAACTGCTCCGACATCGTCTTTTTTTCCTCTCAACCCGTTCTGTTATCAAAACTCACCGCCTCCCCCCCACAGCAGGTTCGCAGGCTACTGCAACTGCCACTCTTTGAGTAGGACAGATCAGGCTCATTGACCCGCCAAAATGGCGCTCTCCTCCCAGCAGATCATCCTTCTCTGTGCTATCGGCATCGTCCTGCTGGCAAGACCGGCTCATGCATTCGGCGCAGGCAACATCGGCTCCACCTCCAAGGTCGAGGGCGAGAACTGGCGCCATGGAGACTTGGAAGACACCTTGCTCACCATCGTTGCGTCCCGCGCCATGGGCGGCAAGAAATTCAGCAAACTCGATGTCAAGCGGGTGTGTTGCCTTCCACTACTACTAGTAGCTGTCCATTATTCTTGTTGTGCGTTGCTAATACTAGTATTCACAGGTCTACTTCGGCAACTGGCTTCGCGATTATAGCCAAGCCGTCGATGTTGGCACCGTCAAGTATGTCAGTGCCGAGGCCATTCGTATCCTTCTCTGGGTGTTGGGCTTCATGTCCTTTGGCTACGGCTCTGGCGAGTTTGAAGTGACCACCGAGCGATTGGGATGCTATCGTCCGGAGGAACATATCGAGTAAGTCCGAGATGTCGAGGTGGAAAGAGCATGATTCTAACCCCAATAGCAACCCCAAGGACTACGCAGATAATCAGGATGCTCGACAATACGACCGACGTCTGCGAGGTCCGGTGGATGAACAACGCGAACTGACCATCAACCCGCACACCGGGATGAAGAACTACATTGCCTCGGAAGGCATGGGCATCGACACTTCAGCTGGCTTGGTTCGCAAACTGTTTGGCCGATGCATCCAGCTAGGCCGACAGTACTCTCGCAACAAGAACAAGGATGACCTCTACGAAGCTCTCCGATTGCTCGGAACTGGGTCGCACTGCCTGGAAGACTTTGCCGCTCATTCCAACTATGTCGAGCTGGCACTGATCGAACTTGGTGAGCGTGATGTCTTCCCCCATGTCGGTCGCCGCACTGCCATCCAGCTCCGCGAAGTGCGTCACCCGGTGTACCCAATTGTGACAGGGACGTTTGGCGGCGTCGATTTTCTCCATTCGGTGTGCGGCGAGTTTGACGACAAGGCCACTCAATCGGAAATCGAGGAACTCGAAGGGACCATGCAACAGTTCGCAAATGGCGATCAGGACAAGAGTATCTTGCAGGATCTCCTGAACAAACTCCCTTCTGGCATCTTTGGCGGGAAGGATGAGGCGGGAAAAGCCAACGAGCTCCAACAAAACTCACTCAACCAACAAATGCAAAACACTCGGGTCTCACCAAGAGAACCGGAAGAATGGACTAGGTATATCATGGACGTTCAGAAACAGATTCTCCCCATCATCGAATGGCATGATGAGATTCTGAAGGCGATCACCGAGACGATTGAGAAGATTCCCATCTTGCCTGATCTGATTGAACAGATCCAAGATGAGATCAACAAGTTCGTGTTTTCGCTGTTGGCGCCATTTGTCGTGCCCCTGATCAATCAAGTCAAGACCGAACTCAACACCGGATCCAGCGAAATCATCAACTCCAGCAAGGAACAGCAACACATTGTCTTTAACGACGACAACTCTTCAGATCCTACCCACTCGATGCTGTCCAAAGACCATTTCTCCAATGTCCTCAACGAACCCGCTGGCAAGGTTGCACGAGAGACCGTCAAATGGGTGGTTCCCCAGATCGTTGCCTGCTGGGACGACGAGAGCATCGACGTCAACCGCACTTTGGACCGCATCATCAACGGCGTTCTCCACCACCCTGCCTTGCGCGACTACGGTCAAGATGGTGCCAGCGACGGACGTCGTCTGATGTTTGCCGTGGTGGAAGAATGGTGGCGAGGCAAGAGCGACCGCGAAAAGGACACATTGCGCCGTCAACTCAGCCGCGAAGGCGTGCGCTCCGGTCAGAACCACAAACCTGGCGTCCACGATCATGGACATGGTAGCAACCGTCCTCTCGCCATGGCGAATGTCAACTACAACGGCAACAATTCGGCCGCGGCGGGCATCGGAGGCGACGCTTTGGGTGCCCTCGGTTCGGCACTAGGAGGCGGAGGCGATAATCAAGGCCGCAGACCTTCTCCAGCGGCCGATAAAATTGGTGAAATGGCCGGCGCAGCAGTCGGTGGTGGGGTTCTAGGTTCGCTTGTTGGTGGTCTCGCCAGCGGCATTGGCGGTAACCTTCTGGGCGGCGATATGGACGACAACCAGAACAGCGAGACATACAAACGCAATGACTACGGCCAGGACGGTTCGTACACTCAGACTGTGACGCAGGTGGGCCAGTCGCCTTCCGGAGATCGATATGGTCAAGCTCAATACTCGAGAACTACTGGTCCTAGTAGCGGTCGTCCGCATGAAGAGTACAACCGCTTCGAGCAGACTCAACAGGGCGGGCGTTTGCAGTCGGAATATCATCATGAGGAACGCACCAGTAGCGGACAATTCCATGAGGAAACTCGGTAAGTCTCTGAAGAATTACCCAATAACCAACACGCATACTAACAGAAATAGACGTTATGGTGATAACGACCAAAGTGGCGGTTACGGCCGCCGCCAGGAGCACGAGCCACGTCGCCATCAGCCAAGTGAATCATATGGACAAGATCGACGCGACGAGGACCAATATCCCGGTCACCAAGGTTATGGTGCTCGTCGCCACGACACAGAATCATCCGGCTATGGCGGAGCAGAAGGCTTCGGTCGACCCGAGCGCCGCGAAGAATATGGCCGACGCGATGATGATGGATATGGGTCGACTGGTGCATACGGCCGTCAGCCGGAGCCCACTTATGGGTCGGCTGGTTTCGGTGGAGGCCGACCAGAACCTAGACACGGCCCTGGTGGTTTTGGTGGAGGTCGTGATGAACCTGGCTCTATGCCGGGTATGCCTGGGGGCTTTGGTGAACGAGATGACGGCCCGAGACATGGCCCTGGCGGATTTGGTGGACCAGGACCTCGCGAAGAATCACGCTTCGAGCCGGGCGGCTTCGGCGGCGGCCGAGAAGAACCAAGACACCGCCCTGGTGGATTTGGCGGTGACCGAGAAGAACCTGGATTTGGTCGTGGCGGCTTCGGCGGACCTCGGGAGGAAGCACGTTTCGAGCCCGGTGGGTATGGTGGTGGTCGTGAGGAGCCTGGCTTCGTTCCCGGCGGATTCGGTGGGCCTCAAGATGAACCTGACTTTGGTGGTGGTCGTCGACGAGACTACGGAGAAGAACAGGACGATGGCGGGTATGGGCGCCGTCCTGGAGGCGGTCGCCGTGGTTATGGTGGCAGAGACGAAGACGAGAATGACGGATTTTCTCAAGGCCGACGGTGGTAACGACGAGGACGACGACAAAAGAAACAATTAGAAGACTGAGCTATGTGGCGGTGGTGATTCGTGTCACCGGTTTGGAAGGTGTCTGGGTCCGGGGAGAAGTGGTGCGGTTCAGGGCGTCCAAAAGCATGAGAGTATGGAGATGATGAGATGAAGCGAGACGACTGAGAAGATGTGAGATGAGTTTGATGAATGGTGCATGCTGAGATGAAGACGGTGCTGGGGCACGACGACTAGACGAAGTTGAGCTGATGAAGACGCAGTGACGATGTTGTGACGAAGATAGATTGAGCATGGCAGACGAGGAGAGGAGAGGCGTGGTTGATATTGTTGCTGTTATCGATACCAAGAGAACTTCAAAACAGGGAACCAAGTCCAGTGTGCAACACTGCAGCAGCAACCGTCGTGACTGCAACTCCATATTTGTGTTCCATGTCAGTGATAGAAAGCCGGTATTGTTGATGTTGCCGAAGCACCTTCGGAGTAGTTGTAAAGGGAGGACTCGGACGAGGCTGCAACATAATCTCTGGCAGTAAAGCGGCGAGATCACGTGGCTTTTATATGCGCGGCCCCGGATTCGCGGAGAATGAACCTCGGCTGTCGCTTCGTCTGATGCTGTTTCGTGTCCGTGTTCATCCATTATCAATCATGTCGTCGCCGTCCGAACTTCTCCCTCCAATGCTCTCTATACAATTGATATTCATGGTACCTTAGCTTGCAAGGCTCGGAACTACCTGCACAGCTTCTACCTAGCTATAAACCGGAACATTACACCTCAAATGCTTCGAGTACGAGTCATAGTATGACAGGCGCAGACTCAAGGACCGGCTAAACCGCATCATCCCCAGATCTTGAATTGATCCACGCCTTGAAGAACCGAAGCATACCGTGATCGCAAACAGACCTACCTGTACGGCCCAGTCAGCCCGCCTGCTGCCTTTTTGGCGTTCCTCTCTCGCTCTCTCGCTCTCTCGCATTTTCCTCAGCCCCTCGGAGTCCAGCGGGCATTAAGCCTTTGAGTCTACCACGATGTCGAAACATCCTACCCTGATTAAACCTCCCAAATCCCTACCGCACCACTCACCGATCGAAAACGTCCTCTCTCTCCTACCCCTGGTCGACATCGGACCAGACATATACACCAACGCCCGACCACTATGGCACCCACCGGGAGCACGCGGGATCTACGGAGGCGCAGCAATCGCACAATGTCTATCCGCTGCACAAGCAACGATCCCGCCCGACTTTACCGTCCACAGTATGCACTGCTACTTCGTTTTGGCAGGCAACTCGGAGATACCCGTATTATACCATGTTGAACGAGTGCGTGACGGCCGCAGCTTCATCACCCGAACCGTACAGGCGCGCCAGAGGGGGAAATGCATCTTCACCACCACATTGTCGTTCATGAAAGAAGGCAGCGGCGGCCGCGAGACAGTTCAACACGCCGTACCTATGCCTGCCGACGTCGCGACACGTCCTCCTCCCGACACGGCCGAGTCCAGTCGTTTGGCATGGAGTGCCAACGACACAGGAGAATCACAACCCTTTGAATCCGTCCGCTGCGCCGTGACCCGTCGCGATCCTCCTGCAAGTCGCAAACTGCGTCAATGGATCCGGGCCCGTGGTCGAATTAGTGATTGTCCGCCTAATGTGCGTGAGGAAGAGTTGGTGCGGGGCGAAAGAGCTCATCAACAAGGAAGTAATCACCAGGCTCATCTTTCTGCTTTGGCGTATATGTCCGACTCGTATTTTATTGGGACCGTCGCTCGCGTTCATAATCTTGTTCGATTTACGAATCGCCAGAATATCGAGCGCACACTCGCTTCGTTCAAGGGTTCGGACGAGGAAAAGGATCAGATGAGACGGTATCTCGAGGAGGTGGCGCGTGAAGAGGCCGAAGAAAATAAACAGTTTGAACAGTTGGGTGGAGAAGGGGAGAAGGAAAAGAGTAAGACGCCAGATGACCGTCGCATTGGCATGATGGTATCCCTTGATCATTCTATTTATTTCCACAACCCGCGCGCGTTCCGGGCCGATGAGTGGATGTTGCAGGAGATGGAGAGTCCCTGGGCTGGCGATGGCAGAGGTCTCGTGTTTCAACGTATCTGGAGTAAGGATGGTACTTTGATCGCTACTTGTGTCCAGGAGGGTGTGACTCGCTTGCAGCAGAAGGGGGAGACAAAGTTATAGTTGTAAGTGTGGTGTATATACATGTTACAGTCGTGTCGGCCGAGGTGGATTGGATTCGGGTTGTTTCTGGACTTGATACTAGTATCGCACACCGCGCGCTTCAGTTGAGCTTTTCAGTTGCAGCACGGATTGCATGGATTGTTTCTTGGATCCTGTCAAACAGATAAACCGAACGGGTATCAGCAGTTCAAGACCACAAATAGAGTAATGGTGATTCGCCCTTCCATATGTTGACTGTATGGTCAAAGCCGGTAGAAGTAGCAGCTTGTACCGTAGGTCGCTGCGAGGCTAGGGGTCGGGCAGGTTGATGCAACCTTGAGTTTTGCACACTCAATGATTAACAGATCTTCCCGGAGAACCAGAACACGAATAGAAACAAAAAGGAAACAATGAAACAGCTTGGTTCAGTTTTGATTCAATTCGGGCGGCAGCGTTCAAGTGCACTATTTCCAGCCCATTCATCAAGCCTCAAGGTTAATCCCCTTCCCAAACCTCGCATACAAATGCGCCTTGAGCGTCTTGATCTCATCGCGGATCGTGCTCAGCTCGTCTTCCAACGTCGACACTTCGCCGTCCAATTCGGCCATGGCGGCCGCGAGCAGTTCTTGCGCCTCGGATAGGGGGACGTGCATGAAGGATTCGCCGATTTTGTACCTATATCCCCATGGCAACGAGGTTAGTTTGGATTCGTAGCTTTCGCATCGTGTAGATGGAAAGGGGCTGGCATCTGGGGTTTGGTTTGACGTTGTATGCATAGGTATGCACTGAACTAAGTGCGAGCATCGGGATGGTGGGAGTGGGTGGTGGAGGGGAAGTGGGAAAGGTAAGCGATGGGGATGTGTTTTGTTGACTTACGGAATTAATTCATCTTCGTCGACGGCCAGTTCGAGTTCTGTGGATAGTTCTTCGTAGTCTTCTTTGTCTTTCTGTTGCCAGAAAACGCAGAAGGGCCGTGAGTTAGCTTCGCTTCACTGCGCTTCGTGTTCGTGTTCGACTCAAGCAGACATAAGGTGGACAGGAAACTAGTAATGTGCAATCGCCTTCGCCTTCGCTCATAACTGGGTTCCGCGGAGTTGATTTGATCGCGGGAAATGCTGGTTTTGCTGTTGTCAAACTCACCTGTTTGGCACTCAATTCCTCCTCGAGGAGTTTACTCCGGTTATGCAGCTTGGAAAAGGTGTTGATCTTGTCTTGGTCTTCCTTGGTGACTTCGGCATCGGTGGCTTCTGATTCTTCCTCTTTCGAGAGCTGGGGTTGGAATAATTAGAACATGGTTAACCCACAGATAATGAGCAGGATTGATAGTGGTTTGACTGATGTAGAGAATCATGATATAAATTTTGAGGTTGTTGCATCATAACAAAAACGTGTTTGGTATGGCTGTCAGGTTCAGGTTCACGATGAACTTACCACTCTTCTAGAAAGCATTTTGATGTTGCTGCGACGGCGGGGATAACAGTGTAGATTGTGGGGAGTAACAGACAGCCTCAACGGCCAGAAGTGTCGAAGCCGGTCGGCGGATCGATTGTATAGTAGTGACGGGCGATTTGAGATGGGAGAAACCGTGGACACAAATATTCAGTATTGTAGACGGCGACCTGATACCTATTGGTGGAAGTACGTGACAACAATTGGTGACGGATGGTGGGAATCAGCAGCAGGATGACAACATGAAGGGGACATGTGAAGTGTTTGTGTTCTGGAACTCGAAGCCTGACAAGGCTCCTGTTCAAGTTGGCGGGACGAGGCTGCGGAATCGATAGGTAAAGTTTTGGTGCAGATCACGTGAAAAACTCATCCTGTGCCGCTTTTACTATGTGGAAAAATGCCACCAACCTGAGTTGTACTAGCGTTGAGTACCAAGCTGACGACAGGGTTCGGTCCGCCCCGGAAGCACAGGGCGGCATCATGCCCTGCCCAGATCGGACGAGAGCCAGCAAATGGTCTGTGGGCAGGACAACTTCAAGATCATCATCAAGTCAGTTGTACCATCATTGTTGGCGTCGCTTATGCCCAACTCAGGTTCAGGTTTCCCACGACACCAAAAAGATGGATGATGTGGTGCCCTCTGATTGCTTCGTTTATGCCTATGGTGGCTGGGACAATGTCGGCCCCCAACCACCAGCCTCACCATCGCCACCATCGTCGCCAGCCCAGCCTCGCGCTCGTGTTCCCGTTTTCGTTCTGCAACTAACCCTTTAAGCCTCCGAAATGTGCTTGCTCAATTTCAAATGAACGTGTGCGGCTTAGTTTAGCATCTGTTTTGGCTTTTTTGGCTTTCGCGCATTGATGCACGCACTGTTCACCTGCAAAAGTCCCTAACATCAAGTCCCTAATGAACTTACAGCCCGACGCTCCAATACAGACGGTCAGAAGAGAAACGCCTCAGTATCTACGAACTCAGTCACTACAGTCATCCTTTGCCACCAACGAGTACTTGTCTGATCATGCTTCCGACGCCGCCAGTCAAAAATCCGACGACACCAAAGCAAGCTATGAGACTCCACCGTCGAGGATATCGACACCGATAACAAGAGATCCAGATCCAGTACAACCACAACCTAACCAGGCCGACTCAGAGATGACTCTCCCTACAAGACCAGGTGTCGTGCATCCGGCGCCTCTCAATATTCGACATGACCGCAACGACGGACAAAGCACCGTGCGGATGCTGTCGGATTTGGATGAGATGAGCCCACCGACACCTGAAGTGGACGACACTCCATACATACGATTCGCCATCGAGCAGCTGACGAGAGACGAGGACGTGCTGGGCCGTGGCAGACACAGCACTGCAACGCCGCCTGACGAACAGTCCCCGATACTATTCGGACCAGCAGATCTCGATTCACAACGCAGCCTGAACCTGAACACACCCACCCCCTCCTCTGTCCCTAACACTCCGCCTCAAGCGAGCCCACCGCGGCAACCAAAGATTCAACGCAAACCCGTGGCCGAGGAGGTCATGGTTCCCGTTGATCTCTCCAAAGACCTTCGATCCCGACTCGGCTTTGTACCATTACCACTTCGCCTCCCCTTTCTGGGCCTGTACTTGTTTTTATGCCTCTTAATGATTGCCGCCTTGATGTTCAGTTTGATATTTGCCTCGCGAAATCACGGGCTCTATGACTACGACGGAAACGCGACTCCACGATACTTTGTTTTCCAATACCTTCCGCAACTCATCGGCATCCTCCTCATCATATGGCTGTTTCAAATCGAGGCGGCAGCGTACAGATCTTGGCCATATTTCTGCATGACACCCCGTCATCACGCGCATTCGATATTGCAGAAGATGCGTATTCTGCCGGCAAACTATCTTTTACCAGACCTCGGCTTTTTCAGAAACGGTGAAAAGCTGCTGGGAATGTCTCTTATTATTTTCTGGCTGACCAACTTCACCATTCCAATGCTGAGCTGTCTCTATCAAACGCAATGGATCACTGACGACGGTCCTGCTCGATTCAGATGGACCACTGTTCGAGGCGTTGGGTGGACGCTAGTGGCACTGTACATTCTGCTCGCTATGGCTATCATATACTGCATCGTTTATTTCCGACGCAGCAACTCGAACCTCCTGTGGGACCCGTGTTCATTGGCCGACTTGATCTGCCTGTTTCGACGGTCGAATGTGTGCACGGATTTCGAGCAGATGGAAGTTCCGTTGGGACCAGGAGCCAATGGCCAGAACCAGATTCTACCCCGAAAACTCCGGTTGGGTTTCTGGACGACGACCGAACGGCCGGATGTGTTCCACGCCGTAGGAGAAGAATATGCACCCATCAAACGTCTCTCTATGTCACCAATACAAGTCACCGAGAAGAAGCCCGCCGCAGGCCTCACACATCCCGCCGAAGCACTTGATGTTGACCTCGAGGCGGCTCAACAGCGCCACTCGTACGGATCTGCATTTTCTCGAACCATCCACTCGCCATACGTCCGCTACCGCTGGACACCATGGTACCTGCGCGATTCGGCGGTGCTGGCTTGGATCATCGCGGCGATTCTGTTGCTTATTGCCTTTTTGGTAGTGAGTTTCGTGAACCACGCCGTGGAGAAAGGATTCGACCCACTTCTGACCTCGTTGACCGACCGTGATGGATTCTCTCCGGCCGATTTTCTATACAGCTTTCTTCCATCGTTTCTCGGGACGGTGCTGTTTCTGGCCTGGCAGCCGATTGCCATGTATTTCAGGGCCGTGCAACCGTTCTGCAACCTCTCCCAGCACAGAGGTGCAGACGCCCGTCACTCCTTGTTACTATCCTACCCAGCCCAGGGACCTATCGGAGTGATTGTCCGCTCACTCGCCAACGGCGACTACCGCGTCGCATACGTCAGTTTTGTGTCCGTTCTGGCGGCTTCGATCCCCGTCCTCGCGGGCGGTGTGTTCACTGCCCAGTTCTTTGCTGCTGAAAATAAAGTCAGAATGGTCGCCAGTATGCCCGGGTATATTGCTCTGTGTGTCCTGCTGGCCATCTATGCGCTTTCGTATTTGATGATTTGGCCTACCAGGAAGCGATATCTGCCACACAATATCAATACCATTGCAGGCCTGATGAGCTGGCTGTACGCGAGTCCGCTGTTGGCCGATGGTGCCTTTTCGAACGTCGGGTCCAAGGCTGAACTGGTCGAGAGGTTGAGTGGAGGGAACTCTGGCACCAAGCAAACAGTTACTTTGACTGGCGATGGAGCTGGCAAGGGCAATGGCAATGCTAGTACTCGCCGGCAACGACGACGTTATGGCGTCGGTCGAGGTACTAGTACTCGTACCACCACACCAGCAGCAGTGACAGCACCACGATACGCGTTCGGCATCTACATTGGTCGCGATGGACGCGAACATCTCGGCATCGACCGGCTCCAGCGACCAGGAAGTCGTGAAATGCTGGTCGTCCCTACATCGCAGTGAATTGTGACTGTGACTGACAGCGTGGTCACCGATCACACAACACACCACAGGCAGTCGGAGTGACTGCAATGATTCGGATATATGATGAAATGTTTCTTTCACGGCTTATAAAATCTACCCTATGGACTGAAAAAAGGCGTTCGTGGGGATTTTCAGTGAAGAAAAGATCATCAGCGTCTCTCGTATGCGGCGGCACTTTTGAAGTTTTCGTTTGCGCTTTCGGGCAAACAAACACACGACACGGCATTACATTCGATACCCAACAAGTGTTGATGATACATATATCTAGGTAATGTCGAAGGGACCTATGAGAGTTTAATGTCTTACATGATATGGCATGCAGTGGCATAAGAATATATATATCCTGCATTGGTCACAAGATTTAACTATGATAATCATGATGTTAAGGGGCCGATGGATGTCACATGAATATATACCTAGGTAAATACAGACATTTCCTGGATAAAATGAAGGCTTACTATCCTTTTCTTCTCCATTTGACTAGACATCATCTCTCTCAGATACTTGTTTTACACAAAGATGTTCAATTCAGCTCTGCTGCTGCTGCTGCTTATGCTTCTGCAAACAAAAGACGCTGGAAGGAGGCTATTTGCCAAATCACCGTTGTAAAATCCTCTCCTGCCTTCAAACATTTCGACATTTTCCTTTTCCACAATGACAACAACGATGACGGGTATCAAATATCAAATCCTGACTGAATGGCAAGATACATGCCGAGCCTGAAATATCGGCAGTAAAAAGGGTGACAAATGTAAGTAAAAGTAAATTGAAAGGGCAGATCTTTTCCCGCCCACTGACATGGACGGGGGGGACGGTCTGCCACTCCAACCAAGAAAATCAGCGCCAGGCTCCTCGCTCGAAAAAAGTGAGAAACCAGAAGGGAAAAGAAACGCAAAAAAGAGAGACATGGCGTCCATCACATATTCTCCATAAATCGACCACCGCTTCGTCCACTGCTTCGGCTCACACGACTCCCGTCCTGACTGGCGAGGGTCCTGCCGACTCCGTCTCGGTGCAACGGTCCAGGCATGAGTCCTCCTCCTACTCCTCCACCGCCGCTGGGGAGCGGCGGGGCGTCCTCGTCCAATGTGGGCGGCGGTTGAATAGGCAGACGAATGGAACTCGCAGCAGGACTGAGCGTGACGGGTGTACGAGCTGGACTCGGTCGCATCACCGCAAATCCTTCTGGGCGGCTCGGCGAAGTCAAAGATATTTGACTGGTGTTCTGGCCCAAGACGTCTCGTGACTCGGCAAAATCTCTGGTGTTAGGCGCGTTCATGTTCATCCCAGGCATTGACATGTAACCTCCATCCCCAGGTTTGCCTCCAGTTGTTGCCGTAGTCGGCGAGGGAGGAAATGTCGGGGAATGGCTTCCCCTTCCTCCGTAGAAACCGTCGCCGTCCCGGTAGAAGGATGCACCCGAAAGACCTCTTTCTGGGTTGTGCAATGGATCCGATGGTCCGGCGTGAGCATCCTTCTCAAAAGCACCATAGTTGCCTCCATAAGGATCCCCGCCGCTGCTCAATACCGAAGGAATTTTCCGTCCGGCTATCCGTTGGAATCCTCGTTCCGAGTCTCGAGCGCTGGATTCAGTCGCTCCCGTTGCGGTGGTGGCGAAAGTTTGGTTGCTGTGAGGGCGTAGACGCTTGAGGTTGTTGCTGACTGCAGCAGCAAGAGGCACGATCGAGGATCGCTGGGACATGGCGTACGAGTCGCCGGGAGGACCACTAGGGCCAGTAAGCCCCCTCGCAGCCCGCTGTTCAGGAAGCTGGCCCTGTGCCTTCAATCGTCGACGGTACCAGCGAAGAAGGACAAGCAAAATGGCTAGGAATATTGCCACGCCAGCCACGCCTCCAACCACACCTCCCACCACTTGCTGCTGGGTCGGTGAGAGTCCTGAACCGCCGCCGCCAGACCCAGATCCTGAGTTGGACCCAGAGCCGGAGCCGGCACCGGATGTTTCAGTGGATCCCGCCGATGTGGTCTGCGAGCCTGTTGCGCCAACGCCGCCAGCGGCGGTAAAGTAGTCTGAAGAAATTCCAGTGCTGTCAGCGGTAGTGCTGCCGCTTCCAGATGAAGACGAAGTGGGCAGGAGTTGCCCGAATGTGTAGGTCGCTGATGTCTCGGTGGTCGATGGACTTTCCGTAACATGGACAGTACTCGTCTGGATATTAGACACTATTGCTGTAGATCCCCCGGCAATCACGACGCCGTTGACAAAGGATACTTCGAAGGTGGACGTCGCAGTAACAGTCACAGTATTTTGCTGTAACGTCGTGGTGTCGGAGATTGGAATGGTGCTGTTTGAAGCCGGTGAGAGAGTCGATGTAGTGAGACTCGGATCTGTAGTGGCGCCTGCATCACCAGGTATTGAACTAGTCGTTGGGGCTGTGGTAATCGTCTCCTGGGACTGGTCAGGAGTGGTGGTGGATTCAGAGACACTGGCAGAGGCGGTTACACCTGGAATTGTTAAAGAGCCAACGTCAGGTAGAGAGACCACGGTCCCAGCAGGAACCTCTGTGGCCTTGGAGGTTGAAGTCCCATCATTAACATTGACTTGTACCACGTTGGCTGTGACGGTGGCATCAGGCGCTCTAGGCATAAGGTATATTCCAGCATTTTTTCGTGGGAGAACAGGACGAGGCACACGCTGGTATTCACCATAGATGTTTTTTCGCTGGAAATCTGTTAATGAAATCGTGCGGGTGGCCTTGGGCTTGCCGTCCGAGTCATGGCTCCGGATCCCCAGCTCTGATGTGAAAAGTCCTCCTGTCATTCTGGAACCGGTATCACGGGGGTTTCGTACTTCAGGATTAGAGATCCTCATTCGTTTCGATGGTCTTTCCATAGTCATGGCTCGGCAAGGGAGGGCATATAAAAAGGCTCAGTGTCCGCCAACTTGTCTTCGCGGTGGCGGGTCTGTAGGATGACAGTCAAACTGGGGTTCGCTTGATTCTGCAGCGAGGGTTCTGGCAATCACTATAAGGCCTGTTGTATGGGGCGTTGTAATGAGGACGAAAGCGAGCGTCTTTCAGGTTGTACGTTTTAATGAGCGAAATCGCGAAGTTGGGTGCGTTATCGACCAGAGTTTGCTAACGAGCGTGTGTTGAAAGAACGGCAGCTGGCGAGAAGCTCAGCTAGAGGGTAGAAGGATCGCACGGTTCTTTTGAGAAAGCGTTCAGAATGAGATCCCAGATGCACGAGGCTGTGTAGGAATGGAATTGCCTACCGTCTGGTGGCACTACTGCATTATGCCACTTTCAATTGCTTCTTGGTAGGGTATAGATATCTTGAAAGGTTCCGGAGGCATCGAGCATTGGAGAAGGTTTCGAGCGTCAATCGCGCGACTGTACTTCGAGTTCGTGTCGGGTTGAGTCTAGTAGGTGTACGCAGCTTCGTCTTTCCCTTCAAGCAAACAATGGAGGTATCATTTCGGGCTCAAGGGCGAGAATGACCACGGTCTCTGGCGATGGGTATTAAGGTAGCCGGTGTAAGCGATGACCGACCGCCTTATTAGCTGATTAGGAGGGGAGGACGACGACGACGACGACGACGATGGAATTATGGCGGAGATGGCAGAGAAGGCCTGGTACGGGCGAATGCGACAGACGACAAACGACAGCGAGGTAACGGCAAGGTAACGAGGGTACAGGTTCAGAAAGGTAGGGGGAGAGTTTGAAGCCGAACAAGCACAAGCGGGTGGCCGCAGAGTAAGACAGCGTCAGCGACAGGACGACAACCTTTGACAGGCAGGTGAGCAGCTCTCAATAATGCCACCGACCTGCTGCTACTGGCACCATTGGAACTGGACTGGCGGCTCAGCTTCCACAGGCTGCAGGCTGGATCAGCCACAGAAGCCCACACAATCCCATGGCCCGAATGCTAGTCGCAGTAGCAGTAGCAGTGGACCCGTAAAGACTTCCTCTCGATGCCTGTACGATAAACAATCCAATGTTATAGGCCCCAGGATGCCTAGAAGCCGTCGCTTTGGTGGCTGCCAGGTGGCATCCTAGCACACAATAGTCCGCAGTAAGCCTGATGGAGTCCTTTTAAGGGCCTATTATCCGTGTTATCCACGCCTAAGCCTTCCTGAGCCCTAGCCAGCTCTTGTTCACTCGCAGGCGGGCTCAACGATTGCTACTAGTAGCGGCCTAACAGAATCCCCTGGCCCCTACACCCAGGCCCTACGGCGGGCGAGGTCCCTAAAAGAGCCTCCTAAGCCTCCGGTGTCCAGGAACCAGACCCCCATTAGGTCCCACTGGCAGCGCACCAGCAGCACTAGAGGCGGCTTGGGCCCGTGCCCAGCAATTAAGCGCGGCTGTTCCTGCATTAAGCGACACTTTTAGACACTTTTGCAAGACAGCGGGAGATGAACAAGATGAACAACCGCATCGCGGGGCGAATCAGCGCAGCTGCGGTGGAGGCTCTCGAAATCACTTCATTTTGACTTCTGATCAAATCTCCATCTGCTCGTCTTTTTCTCTGCCGTCTGAGGATCTCCATCATGTCCACTCCTCGAGTCCATTATTTCAGACGCTCGTGTGACTGGGCGGGCGGAAGATGACACTCAAGCCACTGTTGCTTTCATGTACCCAATCGACCCTCGCTGCACCGCTGGCAGCTTGCTACCACTGGTTTGTCTGGACAGCGACTGCGGATGTGGATGGCTGCTGTCTCTGGTTCGTGTTCGAGCAACATCATCCCACTACACAGCTACCCGCAATCATGATCTTGACAGAGCCAGCTCTAGTAGACACGACCTCGTCAATCTTCGTCCTCAGCCAAAAATGTTGGTCGCAAGTCGTTCCGCAGTAATGGCCCACCCATGTGCGAGAAAAATCTGAAGGAAGCGTGGTGGATGTTAGACCAATGGCAAGACTGAGACAATAAATCGCCTTGACCCTGGCCGGGCACGATCGAAGAGAACCAGACCCTTGCGGTTGCAATCTGAAGCAGAATGATAATAGACTCGAAGCCGGGAAGCATATGAAACCTCCAGACGACCCCAGTACCCTGCCCTTCTTTTCGATACTAGTACAACGTCCTGGGATCTGTTTCCCTTCTTCCAGACCACCCATGCTCCTAGTAGAGCGTTGTAGTCCTTTGTTCAGATGAGTGGAGTATAACATTATCATACGTCCAGCTCTCTATCTACTAGTACTGTAGATACCGACTACCTCCCGCAGGGACACGAACATTACCGTCTCCGGAGCAATCCGGCGGATTGGACCAATGCCAATTTTGTGTTTGTATTGAACAAGAGGATCTTTCAATGCTTCACCGGCCATCCAGTAAATGAAGCTCTGCTTGACTCGGTTAGGGTCGAGTGCCACTGTGAAGCGCAATTTGGAGTGCCCTCAGCCATGAGGACGACGCAGACATACCAACAGATGGCGCGTGAGAAGTTAACCTTCTCCAAGGAGATACAGCGTTGCGAGTCCAGCCTCCAGGTCAAACCCAACATCCCGGCAGAGTCAGGATGCAACACCGGACAGTCAGTTTGGCGCATGTACCATACAAGGTAACTATCTGCCCGCGCTACCGCTCCTCGAAGGTGAGCCAAACCTGAATGCAAGTTCAAATGGAGACGGCAATATCGCATCAGGATCGCTGTGTGGAGAGATGTTTTCTTGTTTTCTCCTTTCTGAAAACACCAGAAATGTTCATTCTTGGCATGGAAACTCCGCCGTAACGAGAGTTTATCTTAGGTAGGCACAGCGATCAAGTTTCTATTCCGGCACAATGAATACGAGAGACAAACAATCCCGAAACTGATTGGGTACTGTAAGTCTTGCTCCATTGACTTCATGCTACCGAACTTTACCATCTCTCCTCTGTCGCGCGGAAAGGGATCTTGATCAGACGTGCTCTGGCTACAATGCTGGATGGCGTGTCCCATGGTATTGTCACAACCTCTGCTTCAGCGCGGGCAACATCGTGACTGAATCTTGCGCTTGATGTAGCCGTGTCTAATATGGCTGGTCGACTTGTTACTGTTGGAGTGTCCGCGACCTTGTCGGCGTTGATGGCTTTCGAGGTGTGGAGACTTCATGGTCGACGGCACGTTGACCCGGTGGACAAGCTGGTTACCTCCATGGCAGCCACACTCTCCGCCGTCGTCTTAGTTGTCGACCTTTGGTCCAGTTCGCGGCAAGTTAGCGAGCTGGACCTTCGAGCACCTGGTCCAAACTCCCAAAGCTTCCGCTACGAGCCATTGCAGGAAGGACAAATACGACTTCTTCAGTTTGGTCAACAGGAGGCAGATGACGGGCTCATCCACCTCAACCTCTTCCACGCGAAATTGAGCCATGCACCAGAGTATGTGGCCCTTTCTTACTCCTGGGGGATTGACAAGCAGATGGCTACCGTAGAGATTTTGGTCAACCATCAGCCGTACACTGTCTCGCAACATCTTGCAAACGCTCTTCACAGGATGAAGAAGGAAGGTATCTCCAACATCTGGGTCGATGCAGTCTGCATCAATCAGCGCGACATACTCGAAAAAGGTAAAGAGGTTACAAGGATGTTCGCCATTTACCGTACGGCCGTGATGGTGGTGGTGTGGCTAGGAACAGCCATTGGTCCGGCAGAAGATGCTTGGAGATTTGCAAAAGCGGTTGAACAGCTTCACGGAGCCCCGGAGAAACAGCACGATAGTCGGAAGATCTTCGACGCTGCTCTATGTGGAATGGAGCGGTTTCTGTCGCAGCCATACTGGAGCCGTGTATGGATCATACAAGAGATAGCAGCAGCCAGACGAGCGCGTCTGTTCTGGGGCCCATACACATTCGACCTGCGAGCTTTGGAGACGCTCATGAAGGAGTATAGCGCGTGGTTAGACGCCGAGGTGGCATCGCCTCGGTATGCGCAGACAGTCTTGTCCGTCCGTACGGCATGTCGAGCACAGCGACAGCCCCGGCTATTGGAGATATTGGGCATGACGAGTGGTTCCGAGACCAGTCATTCGAGGGACAAGGTCTACGGGCTTCTAGGTCTGGTTTCTGACGGCAGTATCTTCGTCCGAGAGCCCAATTATTCCGAATATGTCTCGGACAACGCGCTTTGCTTAGAAATGACGGCCGCGCACCTGAATTGGTACAGTTCGGCCGATATCATCTTTTTAAGAAGCACCGTGCCCCATCAGAGCACATTGCCATCATGGTGCCCAGACTATTTCCACTTCGGAATTCATGATTTTGATCAGAATCTGCTGTCTTACGTTTGCTTCAAGGACGCCAATCTGGGATGGGAGAAACGGCGCGCGTTCGGGGCCGCAGCTAGGATGAATGAAATCGTTCCGGACACATTTCAAGTGACCGACGATACGCTCACTTTGAAAGGGAACTTCGTGGGTGTGATATCTGCTCTCGGAAGCATTCTCGGCGAAGGCCCAGAAAACTGTAACTTCGACAATCGCTCCCCCGCGGTCGAGGTCACCGCCACCGAATCCGGGAAAGCGTTTCGTCGACTCCTTCTTCTATGTCACAACCAGACGTTCGGCCATCTCAGTGGCCTGGACTTCCTTGCGCTGATGTACGCTTTACCTACAGCAGTATTCCACAATGTTCAGTGCGACCGCTTAAGAGAGTGGTTCACAAGCCACCGGGATTTCTTCCACAGATTTTGCGGTAGTTTTCAATTGCCGCCTCAGAGCGAGAGTGATGGGACACCTATCAAGTTCCGTGGTGGATCCCAACCCTTCCTTGTCCGCGAAGAGTGGAAAGACTATTTTGGTTTGAACCCTCCGACCGCAAGAGCCTTGCCTCGTCGGGGACGTGAGTATCCCGTGGACTCGATACTCAGGTCCATGGATTGCACTCTTCAGGAAGGTCTACGGCTCATGTGCATTCGAGACCAAACCCTTCTTGGATGGGCACATCGTGATGCGCAACTTGGTGATGCAGTATGGCATATTGAGGGATGTACCTTGCCGGCGATACTGCGGAGGTCCGCTGACTTGTCACAAAAGCGTGGGCACGACGTGTACCGCCTTGTCGGGCATGCTTATGTCGACCCAGTCATGGCCAGCGGACGTTGGATAGCAAAGGAGAACAAGAGCCGCAAGATTCATATATGCTGAGATGGCCCAACTCTGGCATCACGAGGCTCAGCCGGAAAGACCCTTCGTCCCTGAGGTCAGTGCTGAGTCATCCACTTACGGCCCGAGCCTGCCCGGTCTCGGCGCCGAGACAAGCTTCAACTTAAGGTTAGTAGCTTTATGTTGACAGCCACCGACTTCAAACTCTCGTGCACTGGCAGGATACTGTGTCCATCCACCAGGCTGTCGTGAGTTTCCAAGGTTTGTGTGTAACAGCTCAATCTCACACGCACGCTTGTCTGCCGTCTCGGCTGGACACAGACGAGACGAACTTGAAGCTGCCCGTCTCCGGCGGCCGTCTGCTATGCGATCCAATAGATAGGGCTCGCTACCCTGGTGGCACAAACCTTACGACCTCGCTCCATCGCAACATTCCCCACAAAGGCTCGTTCATAACCTTCTTCTCGATCAGCACGTCACCAGTCAAACCTGAAAATTGACCCCATATAAGTGTGTCATGAACCCGACATCCGTGCCTGTCCGACCCAGTCTTATTCTTGGCCACGGCCACAACCACGGCCACGGCCCCCATGCTACGAGTGAGCAAGGTCCGGCCCGACGTCCAGTACCCAGGCTTCTCCCTCGACCAACATGGCCGGCAGCAAGGGCAAAGCCTCTGGGTAAACATGTTGTTATCCCTGGTGCCTGTAGGGTACCTTTGTGCCCTAACAAAAACTGCAAGCTCATGAGTCACCGCTTATATGACCCTAACTCCAGTAGGCGGACTGACAAGGCTGTGTCAACAAGACTGCCCGACAAGGCCAAGGCCACGGAGGACATCTGCCGAGACGGCGTGGATGGCCTTCCGCGGCTCCCCATCGATGACCCGCTCAATCCCGAGCTCCGGGTACTTTTCCATCATTTCTTCGACTCGGTCTTTGATCGACTGGCCGGCATATTTCGAGGCCCACTGCTGGAGCCGGGGTATAAAGACCGAATGCTGGGAATCGCGCTACAGGACAAAGCATACTGTATGGGCCTCATTACTCAAGCTCAAACCGATATGGCAATCTCGACGGGTGTTTTCACCGAGACGCGGGAGTCCTTGGAGCTCTACACCAAGCTGATCAGCATTTTCCGCAATCAACTTGCCGCCAGCACCAGCCGCGGGCCTCCTAACCCGCTCCACATCGAGCTGGCTCTGTTGGTCCTCTGCATTCTGTTGTCGTACAACGTGACGCGCGGAAGGTTCAGTGAACTCAACATGAACTGGGCCGCGATGCGGCAACTGGTCAATTTAAGAGGCGGTGTCCACAACCTGACCGTTGCGCTCGCTTATGTTGTGCACGTGGATCGACTCGGCGCAACCATGCTGGGTTCGCAGCCGACTTATGTCACTCACTCTGCCCGGTTGCATCGATTCAGTCGCCCGCCCTGGGGCACATACAGTCCCGGGTTTGTGCGGCTTGAACAATTCCAGCGCCATCTGATCACTCGTCCTGTCCTCGAGCATTGCTTGAACACGTGTGAACTTTTGGCGCTCTATGAAGCGTTCCACCAGCCAGCGCTCCCAGCTCCAACAACGCAACAGGGCACTAGCACTCGTCCGCCGCCACCTTCGAGCTCAGAATATCTATACTACCTCCGTGACAGGGTAGACGAAGAATTCACACTTTTATATTGCAGCATGCTGAAGCAAAACACGCCGTCGAAATGCGTCTTGATGGCGGTGAGGATCGTCGAATATCCCGTGACCTGGGCCAACTATGTGCCCTCCCTGATCGTGGATTTATGTACCGAATTGTGCACATTACTACGAAAGCAGGATTTGTTTGAGTGTTGGTTTGGTGCGTCCGATCTCCTGGGCTGGATTCTCTTTGTGCTGTTAACCAGTCAATGGCCGTTTGCCGGGCGCGATTGGGCCCTCAACAACCTGCGAGGCATCATCGGTGCCAAATACGGCTCGGCACAGTGGCCCGAAAACTGGTGGGAAGAGGAACTGACCAGCGTCAAATCCTTTGCCTGGTCTGATGCCCGGTTTTTGCCAAAGTTCAGACAGGTCTGTCGAGAACTCCAGACCGGGACCCATCATCAATCGCCTTGGCAGGAACACAAACAAGCCAAAATCGAGCCGGTTGATGAACCATAATCCTAGCAGGAGGGTGCAACAATGCCATATCGCTTCGCATAGAAGTTTGTGTTTAATGGCATGGCCACCGGCTCGGGCCCCACTGCACCGTAAGTATTTTATTAACCTCCACCACAACCCCCTTCTACACTATATCTCCAGAGAGACCGGGGTTATCCATCTCGACACACAGCATAATGGACGCCAGGCCCCATTGGAAACAGACTCAGAGACAGAAATAAAAACAGAAACAGATGGTTATGATGATACTGATTTGATGATGATCATGTCGCTTGGGAAGAAGATGGTCGAGGGCCCTGTTATCGCGAGATTTGTTTTCTCTTTTTTTTTTCAGTCAAGCTGAATTTCAAATTGGATGTACAGGACAGGATGTTTGGAACCTTTTCGCCAAAAAAGCGTGTGTTTTGCTTTTGCTTGCTTCAGTTGGGCAATACTTTTGATTCATTGCCGTGTATCATAAATATTAGCAGTAACGATTTTTGAAAAGTCCACTTAAGTGGTAGTATGGATTCTTCGGAGGTAAATAAATATCCTATTCTGCAAATCAGTACCCACATACCGGTCCACGTACAGTGACACCTACACGTGGGTAATTACTGCAAGGACAGGAGGACCCTACCTAGTATTGGAGATTCAGTTCCTAAAAAAATCACAGCATCCATCTGTGCCCAACATCTATACCTATCGCTCCCATGAAGCTTTTACCCAGGGAGTTTGCCTACTCTGCTAGTAGTAGCAAGGACTAGGACTCGCCACACTGTTGGAGGATCAAGTACAGTATATGTAACATACAGTACTGTAATACGGACTGCCATTGATTATATTCCATAAGTATATAAGGTATATGTACTCCACCCTTCTACTAGTAGCACGTGCTGCATGCTCGACGGGTTTGGCACCGCCCACTGACTGTACCACTGCTCAAGGTTGAAAGTTGTATGTTGTATGTACACGAGGGACTAGGTGAGGTGGCCTATGCATATCGTTTGGCCAGTTCGACAAAATAAACGAAACGATACTCAGGTTCCGCGCCGCACTGCGATCTTATAACGCCGATTCTCCTCTTGCTCTTCCTCGCTAAATGCACCACGGCATGGATGGACAACAACCAGAAAGTGTAATGGACGGACAAACGGATGGATGGCGTAAACTGAATGTGCTATTCTATTTCTTTACGAAACAGACTTCCTCGAGCTTCTTGACCGCCTTGACGCAACGACTCTCGACCTCTCGGGACCAGACATCGGCTGCCCACAGCGACAAAAGCAAACTAATGGCCCAGCCGACCATGATGGCAAAGATCCAGGGTCCATTGGTGGTGTTGATGCCCTCGGTGCCCATGGCCCACCAGATGCGATGGGGGATCATGTACCCGACGGCATGAAGAATGGGACCGTGAACCAGATACAAGCCGAAACTGATTTTGCCAAAGTATTGGGCGAGATCGCTATTCAAAATCCTCCGCCACGTCGAGGTGGCCGGGTCAGAGCGCGCCAGCAGGAACAGCAAGAGACCGGTGCCAATGTTCGGATAGAATTTGTCCTTGCGATCCATCCATTCGGGAATTAACAGGTTGAGCGTCATGTAGCCGGGAGCGTAATCTCGAGAGCCGTCGATCGGGTAGGACAGGAGATAAAATGCGACCAAGAAGCCAAACACTCGTAAAATACGGTCGGAATGCCTCGACAGGTAGGCGCAGATCGTGGTGTTGTTGATGGGAGGACGGGACGAGGACCATGTATATGCATCTGCATCTGGTCTTGTCATCTTTTCGTCCATGGGAGAGCGAGGAGGAGACGGCGGGAGAAGTCGTTCTGGAACCAAAGTCATTTTCTTCTCTTGCTCTCGTTCCGTGAGGAGCAGGTCCAGCTGTGCAACGATCGCTCCCAGAATATAAACCCAGATCTCCCAGTGATTCCAAAGGAAAAACATGACGGTCATGATGCACAGTGCTGCCAATCGGACTTTCCGGTGACACTGCACTGTCGCAATTAGTATTAGATACAAAAATAACGAGCCTCTCATCTCGGCTAGTATGGACCACAAGTGTTGGTCGTGGTAGGGATAGACGGCCCCTTGGGCCATGATGTAGGTCAGATCGAACATTTCGCGCGCCCAGTTGCACAGTTGGAGGTAGTATGATGGGAATATCTCGGGTTTTGGTTCGTTCCAGTCTCCAGGGAAATATCTTTCATGATCAAGCAGGAAGGGGCGGTTGGCCTCGTAAAACCCAAACCATATATAGTGCATCGTGATCAGGGTGACAATCATCGTCGGAAGGTAGAGTCTGAAGGCGCGACGGAACAGCGCTCCGGAAACATTGATCAAAACCTTTTCCCGAGAGGCCTGGTCGTGTTTGTCGATTAACGAGAAGAGGCGCAAGGTCGTTAGATACCCTGCGATACCGAAGAATATGTGTGCTGTAAACCCCGCGTAGAAGTAACGGACGATGGGCAATTCTAAAAAATGCGTGTGTCGGGCGTCGGTGCCCCAAGGCTGGAAGCCAAAGTCACTGAAGACCATGGTGTAGTGAAAGGTAAAGACCTTGACCGACGTGAGGCCTCGTAGACCATTGAGATAGCTTGTCGGGAACTGTTTGGGTTTGGGCGCGGCATCGTCCCATATCTTTGACCGTAACAGCTGCGGTGCGAAACAGTACGCTATCTTCTTGCCTATCCGATAGGCATGGCCAGGACGCATTAGAGTCAGAGCCTTGGAGGCGATTCGGACTGGCGCATCTCGGAGAGAGAGATGGTTGTTTTCGAGAAGGTCGTCATTCGCGTTTGAGAACGACTCTCTCTCCTCCTTTAGCGCAGGTTCCTTCGCAAACCCAGCATCTTCGGATTTCATGGTTAAATCATGACAGGGACGTGACGAAGAATCGCTCAGTTGCACTCAACGCCACCGAACAAAGAAGCCGAGTTCTGACAGACGTTGGCAGGACTGGGAATTGGTTCTTCAAAACAGCGACGCACGCCGAGGGTGTTGAGTAGAGTGTCGAAGTGTCTCAGCACTGGGCCAGCCTCGCGAACGACATCGGATAGTCCACAATTTGGGCTAAGACCAGCAAAAGTAGCAATTGGGAATGGTGACAAAAGTACAATTCTGGGTTATGGGTACCCGGGTATCCAAAGGACAATTAATTGAAAACAGGGAGAGAGTGAGGGAGAGAAGGTTTGGTTACGACGTGAAGTCAACTGGACCAGAAGACGGGGATAATCGGTCACTTCATGCTCGGCCTCTCGTCCGTTATCCTGTCGTGTGCACGACAAATGGAGGACAAGACTGCTACTCACCGTTAGCATGTAAAAGTGGCTCTATTATTGTCCGCCTCCGGTCCCCGTCTTTTGGTCAAATATTTTGGAGTCTTGGGCGTACGTGGCTCTCGTTTCGCTTCCGGGGCAGGAAAAGCGCTAAAACTGCCCAACAGGCGATGTCGGCGATCGTCCCAGATAGCAGCTTTGGCACCAGTAAAGTTTCCGCTGGTGGCCCCTGCGGAAGCTCCTTGACCGCGCATTAGCGACGCTTGGTCCCTGTATAGGGTTTCGTTTGGTATCTGGGCGCCGCATGGAGGCTCTTCGATGTCTCGGTTGGGGACTGACCAGGCCAATCAATCAACGTTTCTCCAAGCTCCCAAGAAATTTTTGCGGCGATTTTCTTGTCACCAAGACACTTGACTTAGGTCCTCATTTTTGGAACCCAGTTTTCTCTGCCTTTGACTGCTCAGGTAGGTGCGGCGATGCATGATGAGTCCCCTCTTGACACACAACAGCCGCACAGGGCCAGCTGGGCAAGAGAGCCCGTTGCATTTGTACCCCTGTTGCTGTACGCACGTGCAAAGTTTGTTGGTGAGAACAGGGTCTCTAGGTCTAACCGTGGCAGATATGCTTCCAGCTTTTGCTGATCTCCTATGTTTGTAACACTGGCATGAGACCTGGTTCCAGGAGACAGTGTCGTGGACACGTAAGGCGTGAACCACTGTCAAGAATGATCTTCCGCGTCTTCCGTCAGCCCTGACCGGTCGCGCCATCGCCATCAGCTTCAGAAGTTGCCGTTCTTCTCGGCCCCTAACGTGGATCCAATCTCGTTGCCGCTTTAGACTCGGACAAGGCTACTAAACCGGCAATCATACACCGCATGGCCACTCGCTACAGGGCACGGGTTCGTTCTGTAGATGTGTATGTTGTCTTGTCGTGGCAGGATTCCCTGATATTGTACCGAGAAGTGCCGTATGTTTTCCCCAAAGATTGATGACCGTATTTCGTTTGTCTATCAGCCTCTGGGCCTTTTGTGCTTGATTGGTTACAAGGGTATAACGCTGTTAGGGACAAACTCCAGGGGCATCTCGGAGGTCGGCTATCCGGGGGTGGAAGTTATGGCCCCGGGATACACGGAGAGGAGAACGGAGGTCCATAGGCAGTATCGTCCCATGTTTGATTCGAGACTCGGCCGTCTGACCGTGGACTGGCTTGCACGGTGGAGGTTTGCGGCTGACAGGACATCCTGCTGCATGTTGCGGAGGGTATCTATGCCGACGAGCTATAAACATCTCCAGCAGACTTGCTAACCTCTGACTGTTCGTAGGCGCTGAGCAAAATGGACTTATGCAATGTGCAAATATCGAAGGGCAATAATGTCAACCGACCGCATGTCTTTCCTTTCCAGTTGCATTGGAAGGGAGAGCTTTGCAAGGGTGCTGTCTGGAGCATAAGAGCATGCCGTCTGCTCTATTAGCAAGAAAGCCCCGTTGATGGTAATTGTTGCCTCCCATCACACAGAGGCAGGAGCGTATCAGCTGATAAGCTGTCATCTGTGATCAGTGCAATTTCCTAAGCATTGAACGCACCTCCACTCAAAAGAGAATTCAGCAAATAAACAGATCCATCTTCTCTGGCCGGCTCTTCTGCTTCTCTTATGACTGACCCATCCACACGAGCGGAGAGCTGTGACTGACCCTTCAACTCCAAAGCCCTTTTCTAATGGCAGGCTGGGTGGCATGGCATTCTGGCATGCCCAACTAAAGCAGACGTTGCAATGCCTCAGTCATCGGATCCCGATACCGAAAGAGCTGGCAAGTCTGTAGCTCAGTCATCGTATGTGCACACTGACGTGTCATCGACGGACATGAACCCGAGCACCCGTTCGCCCTCGTCCCATCTCCCTCATCGTCCTTGGGGTTTGTTCCCATATGCCAGTGTTCAGCGTTTGGAATTCGAAGTCAGAAGTTGTCGGCCGATGCCATACCAAAAGCTCATGACTCTCGAATACTGGAAGTATTTCGGGACAATGACCGGTGAGTTGTCCGCGAAACCAACTCGAGCCGAGGATGAGGAGTGTTGGGACTGTCGGATCCTTCCGGTTAGGAAGAAGTCCGTATTGAGAATTTGGCCCTCAACCTCTATGCTGTTGTATACTTCGTCAGTGGAAGAAGTCAACACTGTGACTGGGGCCCTCGGCTTTTATACTGTTCTAAACTTTGTCAGTCTTTTCAGGCTGTCAGGAATCATGAGACCTTTCATTTCACACTTCGGCCAGAACCAATAATAGGAAGATTCCTCGGAAGAATCCTCTTACCCACATGCTACTCTGGAAGGGATATTCACTTGAGACGACAATCATGCAATGGTCAAAGTCAATTCTCATCACCCAGATTGACCAAAAGCGGGCGTTCGCAGATCAACGCCTTGCTACGGCCACGACACCCACCTAAATGTCTGGTTCTGTCTGGACGAACAGGCATATCCTCGATGTGAGTGGATATTTCTTGCGGAAACCGATATTTGAGAAGAAAGTGGTCGGTAAATGTTTGGTTGAGATGGAAGGATCTGGTAGATCGCGAGATAGTCCCCTGTGCAAGTTTGGGGATCGCCCCATACCATACATACATGTGTCCACAGCTGGCTCAAGTTGATCGTTCTTTAGCCAGCAAGACTAAGAGCCGTGAAGGCCATGATCTGCTTGTAGTACCAGGCGTAGGCAGGTGATCCGGAGTACACTACTACCATCGTGCATGTGTGTAGTTGTATGACATTGTGCCGTATACAATGTACAATGTTGTAGGGACACAATTGATGACTCAGCAGACCGTATATTATCACGTGATATGACTTCATTCTCATCATCACCCCACGTTACATCACATCACGTGAGGCGATCTCTATCGATAAGAAAGTCGTGGAAAATTTTCGAGCAACGAGTGGCCAGAAGCGTCCAATCGCCCACGCGCCCACTTTGGCCGCCCACCGACTCACATCACTAAGTAAGGGACTGCTGGCACCTCAACCAACCAGCCAGCGTCTGCGCCAGCGCCAGCCTCGAAGGAATAGAAAAAAGCAATGCAACATCGAGGCTTGCAAAATGTTTCTTCTTTCCGTCTCTACACCGTCTTCTGCAGGCTTTCAGTCCGCCTTCACAGTGAGCGACTTCTGGAGTTTTGCGCTCGCTAATCGCCATAAAGCTCCAAACAGCCACCAAACACCGTCATCTATACTATATCCATTTTAACTAAGTCTGGCAGCTCGACCGCCGTGTTACCTACGTCACCATGAGCGACTTCAAAGACAACGAGAGTCATGCCATTCGAGCCACCAGCATTGACTATGGTCGAGATCATGATTCGTACGGCCCCTCGACCGGATCAAGCGGGCAAGCACCCTTGCACCACGGAAGCGCCGAGGTCGTCGATACCAGCCCTGATCGAGTGGAAGAAGAAAAGAGGCAGAATTCATGGAGGACGAAATTGGCGTACTTCAAGACACGGGACTTTTGGTTTATCTTGATTCTGGGGCAGATACTGGCTATCTGCATCACGGGGACAAACACATTGACGACTCTGCTGGCCAACGAAGGGACCAACATTCCTGCGTTCCAGACGCTGTTCAATTACGTATTGCTTAATTTGATCTATACGAGCTACACGATCTACAAGTACGGGTTCCGGAAATGGACCCAACTGATCTTACGAGATGGTTGGAAATGTGAGTATAATACTTCAAGACTTGTTTGCTTTGCTAACATTGAGATATACAGATATCATTCTCGCCTTTTTCGATGTCGAAGGAAACTACTTCACCGTCCTGGCATACCGATACACGACGATTCTGTCCGCTCAGCTGATCAACTTCTGGGCCATTGTGGTCGTGGTGGTGATTTCGTTCCTCTTCCTCAAGGTCCGCTACCACTGGGCTCAAGTGTTGGGAATCCTGGTGTGTATTGGTGGTATGGGTCTGTTACTTGCTTCGGATCACATCACAGGTGCCAGCGGTGGCGATGTGTCGTCGGGCAACCAGTTGAAAGGCGACCTTTTTGCTCTTGTCGGGGCCACTTGCTACGGCCTTTCCAACGTGTACGAGGAATGGTTTGTCTCTGGTCGGCCGCTGTATGAAGTCATTGGTCAGTTGGCGTTCTGGGCGATGATCATCAACGGCGCGCAGGCCGGAATCTTCGACCGCCACCAGTTCCGCACCGCCACGTGGAACTCCAAGGTCGGCGGCTACCTGACAGGATATACGCTGATCTTGACGTTGTTTTACACCATGGTCCCAGTCCTGTACCGCTTTGCCAGTGCCGCGTTCCAGAACATTTCGCTCTTGACGGGCAACTTCTGGGGCGTCATTATTGGCATCCGGGTCTTCCACTACCACGTCCACTGGATGTATCCGATTGCGTTCACGCTCATCATGATTGGCCACTTTGTCTATTACTTTGGGAAAGGTGTCATGGGCGAAGCCGCCAAGGCCTGGCTGGGAGAGCATCAGGAGAAGGGCATCGATGGGTTTGGGTCCGCCAAAAGGAGGATCCGGAAGATGCAAGAAAGTGCCGCTGGGCCCGGTGGCAGAGGTATGGAAGGTTCCGAGAGTGCTGGTGTGGTGTGAACCACATTCTCCCACTACTCGGGATCTGAGCGTCGCTCTTTTGTTGGGTCAGATCACCTCCCTCAGGAGGCTGCTTGCCCTCATCTCGCTCGCTTTGCACGATGCGTGTTGAATATATTCGACACCTCGACTTCGCTTTCTTGTTGGACAATACCCACGTAGTATGGTCCAACAACACCTGACGCAACATACAACAGTACCTAGTACCGAGTTCTAACGAAGCAGTCCGAATAGGTAGTTATGGCTTCAAGCTTGATAACATAGTAGGTCTGCCTGCCAACACATAGCAGGTTAGGACTATAGATCAATACAAACCACGATTGTAATACTGTCCTTTTCTGTGGCCATACCTAGTTAATTGATGGAAGACTTGTCTTGAGGGTGTACTAGTATTTCATACAAGCAAGCACCTTGCTTGCCGCAGCTGGTTAACCGGTGATGAGATGGTCCTTCAGTGAAACGGGTAGACAATATCTAGACAGCATCACGCTTGCAGTCAGCTATAGTAAGCAAAAAACCGCCGGTGAGATTGGAGCTGCAAAAGCCGACGGGCTTCGCTCAACCTACTACTATAATTGATTGAACTTCTGATCACGGTGTGGATTACAATATGGAGTGAATGCATGTGTGTCAACACTGGCAACAGTGCTTTTGGTCTTTGGATTTTTGTCTGGCCATTCAACTACCTAACCGAAGGGCAGTTGGGTTTTCAGTACTGTTTTGTCTCCTTGTTTTTGTCTTGTCCACCCCTCCCGTATGAAAGAGTCCATGTGCATAGGTATTGAATTACAGCGCACAGAGAACGTTTGCCGCCATGGCATGTCTTGCTGACTGACTCATAGCGAAAAGCGGAAAAGTGACTGTTCCTCGCCCATCAAACAAAGTCATCCATCACCGGGCCTCCACCTCAACCCAGCTCCTCCCGAGCATTGCGCAATTCGAAAGAGTACCAAATTGTCGTTGGATTGAAGCATCGAGAGTACTAGTACGCCGGATTGAAAAATTGAAAGTCATCGATGACAGAGTGACGGTGCCAGTAGTGGTCGGGTCCAGACTCGGACTCAGAGTCGGGCAAGTAGTTTACTGCTCGGTCTGGAAGTAGTTGAGCAGGACATTGCGCTCCTGGCTCTCCTCGCCCCAGTCCTTAACCACGACGCAGGAGCAGTTGACGACCTTGCGGGCGTTGCCCTCGCGGTCCAAGACACAGAGACCGGCCCATTCGCCCAGCATCTTGCCGTCGGGGACCTTGATCAGGGGGATCTTGTGCTCCGAGCACAGAGCGATGACGAGCTTCTTGTACGCTTCCTCCTCGCAGGCCTCGTTGAGGACACACATGTGTGCCTGGCGGCGGTCGAGGGCTTTGGAGGCTTCGCGCAGGCCACGGGCCAAACCGTCGTGGATGAGGGCGATCTTGAGGACGCCTAAACGGATGACATATTAGAACCAGCCAGGACCAGGGTCGGATGGAAACGGGTAACTGCGACGCGATGTGATGCGACAGAAGGTGCAGTATGTGATTCATGGCATAGTGTGGTATGCTCACCTTTCAAAGCATCAAGGACGGACATGGATCCAGACGCAGCGCCAGTCTCGGCGGAGACTTCGACCTCATCGGCCTGGGCAACGGGGGAAGTGGGCTCTTCTCCGTCCGACTGCAGCAAAAAAGATCGTTAGCATAAGATCGAGCTTTCAATTTGCATCTTCATCTTCGCATCTTTCCCGCTGGCCAGCCTAGTCTTTCGATATCCAACTGCAACACCCTAGACTGAGGAGACAAAACACATATCAACCCTTATCTTGACTCAATTGTCCTCCTTCTCTTTCTCTGCCTCCACAGCCGCGATGTGAAAGCACCCATGAGCTGACAAGGCAATGGCATAGAATGTCCACCATCTCTTCAGGCTACTCTCCCCCAAACCAGACAACCAACAGTAAGACTACGTCGCATCCAAACATACCATTTTGATGGTTCTTCACTTGATAGTGGCAGGTAATGTCGGATGATCCTCAAAGAGTCGGGAGGCGGTAGGGAACGAATATGGTTTTTGGGTGAATGTTGGTTATCCAAACCGTGGGAAAAGCAAAAGAGACAAGGGACGAAATATGTCGCGGCGTCGGTGAAGCGCAGGGACGAATTTCGTCGCCAAGAGTGGAGATTTGTGTGCTGTCTTGGCGTGTTTGTACCAGCAGTGCGATTCAATATGAGTCACGTGCATAATCCTCAGCATGGTCAGCCTTGTCACTGTGTGGGCCAGCGAAGGCGACAGGACTGTCATTTTGAGAAAATGATCACAAAGACTAAGGACTCAACTCTGAACTATGAATGAGACAATTTGCTCCGAGGAGTGTGATTGACATTTTTCCGTCCGCACGCTGATTCATCTCCAGCGCATCTATCATCCTCATCCACACACTGTTGAAAGGGTGCACAGCACGTATAATAAGACATCCTCAGGATCGTAGCATTGTGGTACAAAGGCACTTGACCATCTTCCGCTGATTCTAACAAAGCCTCGCCTTGTGCCAGCTCTTTCGAAGCTCAGATTCTCGGAGAATCATAATTTCATCCACCAAAGCCCTACACCGGTAACTTAAACTCGCAGGACCTCAACGGCCGAAACCGTGGCCATAACCGGCACTAACAGCTGGAGGTACATGAGAGCCGATGCCGTTTGTGAGACGTGGAGAACTGTTGGAGAAAGGAGAAGGAACCCCATTCGTCGAAGGCGATCCTTCTTCCGTGGCAAATTGGACCTGTTGAGGAAGGACTCTTAGAGAGATCGGTTGTCGCCGGAGTCGTAAATTCGCAAGATGAGGATGACGAGGAATCTGATCTTCGAAGTCGGAGAGCTGTGTCAAGTTAGCAATGTAAAGATGCTGATACAATCCCAATCAAACGTACCTTGACCCAGAAAAGTTCCTGCATAGCCATGAACTTGGGTCGCTCTTCCTCCTCTCGATCCTTTGCCTTCTGTAAAGGTGTGTTCCACGAGTCCACCTGATATTCGAACGATAACATCAGACGCGCAACCTGCCACAAACGTTGCCGTTGTTGCAAGGTCACGGGCATGATCTCGAGTGAGGTGTAGTTGCGCAGATTAAGATCCTTCGTCACCAGAAGTCCAGCAACTTGGAAGTTTGGTATCCACAAGTCATCTCGATTCGCTGGGGCAACGTCTGGGTCGAGCTGCTGTGTTCGGACGGTGTACAACGGCAGGAACTTTTTGAGCCATGCCTCACTTCTGACGGTGGGATCGTTGTTGTCAATCATCAAGGCTGTGGTGCTGAGCAAAATGGGCAATGCCTCTCTACGGCGCCGCTCCATTTCAAGCCGCTGCTGACGAAGTTGTTCCTCCTGGCGACGTTGTCGCTCCTCCAACTCTCGTTTGATGCGTGCTTGGCGCTCTTCTTCCTCTTTCCTCTGCGCTGCAGCTTGCTCTTCACTTTTCCGGATGCGTTCACGTTCTTCGGCGAGTCGCTGTTCTTCCGCAGCTATGGCGGCAGCTTTTTCAGCAGCGATCCGCTCCTCCTCTTGTCGCTTTCTTTCCTCCTCTCTCTTTCTGGCTTCTTCAGCCTGCCGAGCCTCCTCTTCCTTTCTTGCTTGTTCTGCTCTGCGAGCATCCTCCTGCCGTCGTGCTTCTTCTGCCTTCCGAGCCTCCTCCTGCCGTCTTGCTTGTTCTGCCTTTCGGGCCTCCACTTCTCTTCGAGCCTGTTCCTCCTTTTGGGCCTCCTCCTGCTTTCGGGCTACAAGCTCGGCTGCAGAAATTCCAACGTCCAGAGGTTCTCGTTTCACAGGATCGTGCTCTTGGTCAAGTATTGGCTGAGGCTCCGCCTGCCCGTCTTTGGTGTTGAACGTCTCAGCAGGTGCGGTTCGGCTGTCGGCGACATCAACATCCATAGCTTCACCAAGCTCGTTGGACTTTGGTGGAGCGGGGTGTAGCCGGTCGGCTTGGTTCGGAGGCTTGTCAGCATCTTGCGCAGAGCCAGGAATTTCAGGTCGGCTGCTTCTTCGTTTGGCAGCGGCGGATACATCGGGACTGCTTTCGACCACTGTCCTACGCTTTTTGACAGTATTTCGACCCACCTCGCCCTCTTCGGTCGCAACCGATTCTGGGGACATGCTCTCTCGCGTTCGTTTCAATGCCGTGGCCGGTCTACCTTCAGCCTTGACAGTGACCTTTGTCTTTTCATCGTCTGTGGATTCCTCAGCAGCAAGGCTCTTGCGTCTGCGATGCTCCTTGCCAGTGACCAGTCTTCGTCGGCGATGGGTATTCTCAGTGTCTAGGTTGGGTGGCAGGGGAAGATCACTCTGACTGCGCTTCTTTGGAGGCGCCTTCCTCGGCGCAGATACAGTTTGATCGTGATCCGATGAAACCGCCACCGAAGAGTCAGCGGTTTCTTTCCTGGCTGCAAGGTGCTTCCGTCGATGCCCTCCATCCGTAGAGGCAACATCACGATCCCTCTCTCGGGTTGATGATTGCGGTGATTTGTTCGGCAGCGATTTATGGGTCAGCGTGGGACTAGATGAGCTGGATTTACGTAGCTTAGTCGCAGTTGGTGAGTGAGAACGACGAGAAGCCTTGGCTCTGGTCTTTTCCGAATCCCTCGTCGCCCGCGGAGATGTCACCTTCCTGGTCTTGCCTCCAGTGTACTTGTCGTAGGCCGCTTTGAGAATTTCATACTCCTTCTGCCACTGTTCACCTTTGCGCTCTGCCGAAATCTCAAAGTAAGTCTTCCCCTTAAGAATCCTCCTCGCTGGATTGAAGCCTGATTGTTCGACCAGGAGCTTGACAACCTCTGGGTGACCTCGACCGATCGCGGCGAGCATGGGCGTATTGTAACCCGGCTTGATGCTCCTGATGGGTTCCGGGTCTGGCTCAGGATCGCCCATACCTAGAAGATACTGCAAGACCTCTTCGTGCCCTGCCTTGGCCGCAGCGATCAGGGACTCGGTTTCGGCCTTTTGTAGGATATTGAGGATATTGGCCACTCCCTGAACGTCACCTTTGGCCGCCAGGCGGGTCAGATTCTCTTGGGTGTTTGCTTGCCATAAAAGATCGTTTCTCGTGGACTCGCTTCGACCAGTTCTTCGGCGGGAGGTGTAGGCAGGCGGGCTTCTAGGTCCCAGGACAGGTGGTGAATCCCGCGGACTTGCGGCAGATGCTGGCTTGGACGACGTCTCGCGAGGAGGGTCGTACGGTTCAACTGGTCCTGATTGGTTGATTTGCTTCTCTTTGGCTTCGGCAAGGAGTCTCCTAATCTCCTCGTAATTCTCGTCATCTTGAGGCACAAGTTCGTACGGTTCATCGCCTTTAGCGTTACCCAACCGCGGATTCGCGCCGTGCTGGAGTAGAAGCCGAACAACTTCAACGTGGCCATTTTCAACAGCATCAATTAGTGGTGTCTCCTTATCAATGTTCCGTGTATTGACTTCACATTTGTTTTCCAACAAGAATTTGACAATGTCGGTGAATCCTTCCAGGGCGGCAATTTGTAGCGGCGTGTTGCCTGCGTTGTCGGCCTGATTCAGATCTTCCGGGCGCTCTGCGAGTTTTATCTTCACTGTTGCCAGGTCATTGTTGTTACAAGCCCGGGACAGGTGAGTCCGTCCGTTCTTGTCGCGCCACTTTCGAGGTCCCGATGGTTGTGCTTTGGCTGGCGACATGGTATCGTGATCTGCCGAAGAATACTTGTGCAGCGCAGGCCTGGACGGTTGGGGCGAATCCGAATCCTCCGAGGACTCTGAAACTGCGCGATGACCAGCAGAGCCGCTTCTCCTGGTATGAATTGCAGGAGGCCGCCCTCGCTTTTTACGCTCGACATCGCCAAGAGTCAGCTGGGTTGACACACCGCGTCTATGCTCCCTCTTCACCTGAGAACGAGGCGAGGCGGATCTTTCATGCGAAGATTGCCGAGGATAGGTGGCGGATCTGGTCTCCCGACGCTCTGCAAAATCGTGATCTCCACCACCGTCGCCGGCATTCTTCGCTCGACGTTTGCTCACTGAAGGAAAACCATCGCTGGGACGGCGTTTTCCTGGAGGCTTATCGGTGCGCGTTCCAGCAGCATCATCAGGTTCCGCTGTTCGATCGTCCCTCTTCTGCCGCTCCGACTTGGGCTTCCGGGATATCATATGACTGGATACATCTGAATCACTATCTGCTGAATGCGTCTGGATACGGGGTGAGGACAAAGGTAATGACAAAGGCGAGCTGCGGCGACTCGAAGGGGAAAAGGCTGTCCCGTCTTGCCCATCGTCACTACCACGTTTGCGTTTTCTTGATCGGTTATCAGCATCAGGTGCCACTGCTCCGGCAGAAGAATCTTCTTCCTTGGGCCGGACCACGGTTGCAGGCTCGGCAACAGACACATTTCCGGCTGTGGCCCTTTGCTTTTCGGGCGACTGAATCAGAGTCTCCGCTTCTGAATCTTCGTCGGCAGCAGCATCGGCATCACCATCATCTCCAACAACAGCAGGCATGGCTTTGTTTTCAGCACTTTCGTCGGCTGCCGTTACAGCAGTCATTGCCTCGTCTTTGGGAGTGGCAGCTGGACTGGCTGGTCCATCAGTGGGAGGAGGAGGCTCGATGGGGTTCTTGTCGATTGTTGTTGCATCTTTAGTCTCGTGAGACTCCCGGGGACCGGCCGGTTCGTTCATTGTTGCGTCCGCCTTTTCCTCATGATGCGGTTGCTCATTACTGTCCGCCGTTTTGAACGAAACTGGAGGGGTGTGGCCTGCGGTGGGGGCTGGGGCTGCAGCGGGCGGCCAGCTGGGTAGAGCGGTGAAGATGTGGCCTTGATTGTGGGTGCGTGATGGATGCTGGGAGCCCGCGGGCGTCTTGGAAGGTTGCACACGATCTGGCGATGGAGGGCGCTGTGGTGTGGAAGTGCGTTGTCGATGGAGATGGCTGCTTGAACGATGGATTTACCACAATCTTTCAGGATAAAGAAGCACAAGCCAGACTGAGAAGAGGCTCAAGATGCAACCAAGTTGCACGATTCCCGTTCAAGTTTGGAGCAGCCAGATCCGGGTCACGTGCAAGGCGCCAGTCCCCTCCCACTTCGATCCGCACAGGCCCCGTTTCAGCCCAGCCTCCTCCTGAATCCTGCCGCCCAGTGCCACAACGCCCACTACGACTAGTATAGCTGCTCAGACCTGGATCCCAGCATGCTATGGCATTTTTATTGATCGATCTACAGCTATTAATTGTCTACTAGTATCCGATCAGCAGCCCAAATTTTAATTTGTCTAAACCCTACTCTTTTCATGCTCGATTCTGTCATCCCACCATTCCACTTTCTTGTCGTTCCATTGCAAGCCACAACTTGAAGTGGACACTGGCAGGACTCGGAGATGCATCTCGCTCCCGCCTCAAGCCTCGTTTCCGGCGGGAGCTAGGAAAATCGAAAATCATCGAGCACTGGCAGCCTCAGAAACCAGAAATGATCCGGATGTGGACTTGCAGTTGAGTACCTACCTAGTAGGAGGTACCTATACCTAGCTTAATGTGCAGTGATCAATGAAGAGACAAGAAAACATCCCATCATGATATCTAAGCCACTGCCCGTGTCACAGATACTCATCTGGACAATCCGAGCATTCTACCTGCTCAGCAGCACCATCATCCTAACCGTACGACTAATTGGGCCCTTGCGAGAACGCTTCCTTGCATACGGTGCTCGCGAGGACAACTTGACCATCAACAAAAATGACACAAACACGACTCCGACTCCCCTAACCTCTAGTACTATCACACAATGTCTAGATTGGGCCGCAAGACTCAAAGTTCCTCATTCATGGTTCAGCCATTTCTATATCGTTTCGGTGGTCTCATCACTATTCTGCCTATCCTTCTACCTCTACCGCTACCCAGTATTCTCCTCTGGGGCAGCAGCAACAACAGATCCAATAATCCCCACTTTCTGCACGATATTGATGCTCATCCAGGGCTGTCGAAGATGGCTCGAATGTCAGGGTGTGTTTGTGTTTCTGACAGCACCACAACAGCAACAAGAGCCACAACCAACCAAAGGTAGTCGGTCGCAATCGAAAATGTGGATAGGCCATTATGCAATCGGCCTTGCTTTTTACGTGGTCACAAACGTCGCCATTTGGGCCGAATACATGGGCGTACATGTTGGTCATGATGTTGACGTTGCACACTGGCAGACTGGACGAGGTCTTCTGACTCCCAGGGTCCTAATCTGCACCTTGTTGTTTCTCTACGCGTCGTACAAACAGCATTACTACCACAGCTATCTGGCCGGTCTGAAAAAGTACACTTTGCCCGTCGGGCCCGCTTTTCGCCTCATCGTGGCGCCGCATTACACGGCCGAATGCGCCATTTATCTGGCCCTGGCGGTGCTGGATGTTGCGCCGCAGACGCAGAAACAAACAGAGATCTCTTCTATCAACTGGACACTCTTTTGTGCCCTGGTTTTTGTCGCCGTCAATCTCGGTGTGACTGCCGATGGCACAAGAACTTGGATGATGTACAAGTTCCCGGAGAAGAAACAGGAAATACAGAGGAGATGGCGGATCCTGCCGGGGATTTGGTAAACTGAATATGCTTTGCTTTTCTACATCTACCTTGATTCTTAATGAATCTATGAACCAAAGCCAACCGAGCTGTGGGTCAACTCAACGCAACGCCAAACCAATTTTTCGTTTCGTCCCTCATAACATAAACGTATCATTCATCCTGCTTCAGTAAGGGGCAATGAATGCTTTACTTTCGGAGCAATGGGCCGCTTTGTCTTAACACGCCCGGATAATGCAATGCGGACAACACATCATCATGACCTCGTGGCAAGACATATCTCACGCCAGCCCGACTGTTCTAGTCCTGGCTTCCGTTCGTTGCCTCGCCATCTTTCTTCGTCTTTTCCTGGTCGGCGTTCGACGACCCCGCCATATCAGTTCCATGTAACGAGTCTTCAGCCTTGGAGCGACCTTTTCCTCTGTCAGACCCGGATCCCTCCTCATCTGCCTCTTTAACTGCAGCCTTGACGACCTCCACAAACTTCTGGCGCTTCTCCTCAACCGCCTTTCGCTTCAATGCCAGCTCGGCCTCTTTTTCTTCTTCTTTTGCCTTTCGGTCTCGATATGTCTCCTCCATCCAACGAGGCAACTCTGCAACCGCCTTGGCAGGATCTTTCTTGTGTATGAGCAAATAGTCTTGCAGATCGGCGGGCGAGAAGTCGTAGTCGGGAATCAAAGCGGCAAATTCTTTGGCAAGAGCGTGAAGTTGGGCGGTGGTCTTTTCTTGCGTATCAGGTTGGACGACTTCCTTGGCCGGCTTGTCCAAAGAGTCAGAGCCTCCAGTGCTGGGCATGGTCACGTACATGCGGAGGAAGATCTCCTCAGCCTGTGCTTTCGAAGCGTTCTTGAACTCAACTCGTACACTGATGCGGCCTGCGCGGACGAGAGCGTCATCCAGATCGTGTGGTCTATTTGAAGTGAGAATCAGCACGTGCGACTCAGGGGCTCCGACTCCATCAATGGCGTTCAAGAGTCCGCTGAGTGTCACACGGCTCTGGCTCGTTGTACCATCGTCATCACTGTCCAAGTCGCCTGTTTCGGCACTCGTGCTGTTTGCGATAGCACCTTCAGGCATGAATCTACCATGCCGACCCGCTCTGCGACGGGTAGTAGGTTTGCCTTTGCGATTGAGACCGGCCGTATCGATGTCTTCCAACAACAAAAGCGAGCGGCCAGGGAGCTGGTTCAAGAGCGAGATCATGTCGGAGTCGGTGAGGTCATGATCCAACAGGGTCATATTGTATACGTCCAGGTTGAAGCGAGATGCGAGGGCCAGGGCGAAGGACGTCTTGCCCACTCCGGGCGGACCATGGAAGAGGTAACCCCGGCGATAGGGAATACCATGGTTGGCGTAGAAGTTCATGGTTGACTCGGCCAGGTACTCTTCCACATCGGCAATGACTTTTTCTTTCTGGCCGGCGTCGAGGATGACGGTGTCGAGGGCACGGCGAGGTTTCGAGGTGAGTCTGGACCAATTCAGGCGACTGCCATAGCCACCGCTGTAAGGACGGCGGATGATGGTCAAGGACCGCTCCTTATCCTTGTTCAGATAGTAGACGTGTTCAATCAGGTCCTTGACGGGTTCGGTGGAGCGGCCAAGACATGACACGTTCATGATCTCGATGCGTTTGTACCGATTGCCGAAGTAGGTATGGCCCTCGCCATACTTGCGGGTGATGTAGAACAGACGCTTCTTGTAGACAAACAGCTGCATGCCCTGGCCCTGCTCATACCGGATCTTGGGATCCTCGGTAGTGCGCCGACCGCCGTCTTCAAAGTCTGGATCATGACGATGCCGACGTCTCGTTTCTTGCGGAGAATTAGAGGTTGCATTCAGCGTCGTGTCCGCCCGTAAGGTCTTGCGCTCTGCGATGTATGAGGTCAAGTAGGCGAAGAGATCCTCCTCCGACGAGACAGTGACGGTGGCGACGATGAGGGAGGAAACCCGATTCCACACCGACTGCAGCCTCGCCAGCGGGCCAAAGTACCAAACTGCCAGGAAAAAGCCTAGAAAGCGGAACAGCTGAGGATGGGTGTCGAGCAGAGGTCGTGCTCCCGGGAAGAAGGTGGTAATGATGTATTCTGGAAGATCGACGAGGCTACTCGCGCCTGAGCCCGCGGCACGGCGCAATCGTTGGACATCCATGGTGATAAAGGATGAGTGAGAGTGGCCGCGGAAAGGAAGAGATACGACTACCTGGTAGACGCTCTGCCGTGTGAACCAGGAGACTAGAGAGACTGCTCAAGTAATATTCAAGTTGTGACTGCACTGGCACTGCAGAGGCTGTTGAAGTTCCACAAACGAGCGGTGCAGTTGTTCAGGTTGCAGTGTTCACTTTGAAGTTGATAACGCAGCGCCCTTCCCGCTTGCCTGTCCAACGTCCAACAAGACGCCTGTTGTTGTTGCACTGTTTGAGGCACTTGTTGCGTTTGTGCTCCAAGAACAAACAGTTCAGCAAGCGAAATGGTCCTGGGATCTGGTGCAGGTGTGGTGGATGGGAAGACCTGCCAGTGCCCTGCACGATCTGATCAGATCGGATCTTACAACCAAAACACTACCTAGTACTTCGTCTATTCGTATTCACTGCAGTCAAGACGGCGGCCTTTATATGGTACAGTACCTAGTACTGTAGTCGTCAGCCTGAGATTCACACTTGACCCATGACCGCTCTGAGGCTGGCGGCCCACTGGTATGTCATCCATGCATGCTTTGCCGCACTTACTGCGGGATGGACGCATCGAGACAGGCAGACACGCTCCTACACAACGAATTACAGGGAGAGCCGCAGGAGGTGTGGATGAATGTCGGGTCGGTGTGGCCGGGGTTTGGTTTGCCTTCTACGGTACCACGACCACTTCAGTGGCAAGCTGCATCCCATGGAAACGCGGCCGGTGCTCAGTCTGAGCTGAGATACTGGTAGTCGAAACATGAACGCCAGTCAAAGTGATGCTCTGCTGCAGTGTTGGTCCATTCAAACAGGGATGTGCATGAGCCAGGGATTTCATCTCTTAGTTTGATACCCACCAGATAATTCTCCAAGTCTCAATACGTTCAACACCAAGGTCCACAGTCAAGTGTCCATGTTTCTCCCGTCTCGCTACCAGAAAAAGGATTGCGGCATCGCGCTCGAGAGCAGTACCTTATGGTGATTCGGTGTCGGAGCTGACAGACTGTGAAGGCCAGCCAAAGGTCAGGGAAGTCCAAGTAGGAAGAGTACTCGCAGCAAGCAATCACACACTGCAGTATGCGGTGTAGGCCAAGTGATCACCGCCCCGATTGTATGCTGCCGGGCTCTTGATACAATACCTAGTAGTGCTGAGTCGTAATATGTCCATTATTGTAGATGTTCGGTATATCTGTGCAGTGCCTCAGGGACAAAAGGCATCGAGACCGACTGCGCAGACAACTGGAGGCTGACGTCATAGTGTTGATTTGTTCTTTGCTCAGCTGCCAGTGCAGTCTCCAGTGCAGTGCCATCTGTGTTCATTATTGTGTCTCTCTACAATGCTTCTCTGCCCTTCGACTTCGGTCTTTGCCTCTACTATTTACAACAACCGGCCACGTCGCAACCACGCTTCCCTCCCTGCCTAGATATCGTTCATGACAATGTCCGGGCGCAGCTGACAGTACATTGAGCCGCCGACATACCACTCCATCGTTGATCTCCATCTTTCCATCCCCAAACATGCCTGCGGTCCAGCGCAACGGGCGCGCAGTCCCTTCAGAAAAACAAGACGAACCTGCTGAAGAACGACTACCCTCGGCAATGACCGTCTCACAAGAAGAGCAAGAAAGGCCATCCCCTTACCTCCTCATCGTCTACCCGATCATCCTCTCACTCGGCTCGCTATGGTCGGTCATCTCTCCCGCGGCATCACCTCCTCCCACGGCACCTCTCGCCGCAGGTGTCACTTCGGACCTCAATCCTCCTCACTTCCACCAGACCAACTACTTTGCGGGGAAGCGCAACCTGATCAACATTTACTTTGTCAAGATGGGCTGGTTCTGGAGCACCCTGGCATTCGTGCTACTTCAGGCCACGACGCGACCGCGCAGTTCGATCGCCCAGAAACATTACATCCAAGCAGGCCTGCGGTATGCGCTGGTCACTCTATCATGGTTCTTGACGACTCAGTGGTGTTTTGGCCCGGCCCTGATCGACCGCAGCTTTACTATCACTGGCGGCCACTGCGAACCGCATCCGTTCAACGAAGCCAGTTTGAAAGACGCGGTCAAGCTGTCACAAATCAATTCCGGCGTGTTGTGTAAGGCGTACGGGGGAAACTGGCATGGCGGCCACGACATTTCAGGACACGTCTTTATGTTGGTTTTGTCTTCGGCCTTCCTGTTGTACGAGTTGTACATTGCCGACCGACATTCCGCTCATCCGCATGTTTCTCCCCAGGCTGCGGCGGCGGTGGCGCACAATATGACCGAGGAGGAACGCAAAGCCGTGGGAGGATGGGAGTCCGAGACGGCTGCCAAGATTCGAATTTGGTCGCGATATTTCGTCTATGCCGTCGTCGCGTTGGATCTGTGGATGCTGATGATGACCGCCATTTGGTTCCACACCTGGCTGGAGAAGCTGAGTGGCCTGTTGATTGCCGGTTCGACCATTTGGGCTGTCTTCTTTCTGGGCGATTTTGTTCCCCAATGGAGACAAATTGTGGGAGGAGTATGATGGAAGCAACAGAGGAATCAGAATGGCATGATTGACGGTAGAGGATAAGCTGATACCTTGTGGATAGAGCTGGAAGAACTGTATAGCAGCACCACGTTAATGCACCTCAATGAGCAAAACAATAAAGATTAGACATGGAATGTCGTAAGGTGACATATTGTACCTCAGGTGAGATCATGCCGAACTTGAAGCCTGTAAGTACCTACCTAGGTAGGTAGGTATCCAGGCAACACTAGATCAATACAAAATACACGGCTTCCTATCCAAAGCCTGTAGGCCAGGTACCAAAGGGAGCGTGTTGCATGTTCACGAGATACTCCCTTTGGTTCCCCTTTGAGGTCATCTTTCAAGGTACTTTTATTTTGCTCTTCCATCGACACCTCTCTTATCGACTCCAGGTCCCATGATATGTATGTTGTACCCCCCAGATCGCCAATTCATACGTTTGAATCAATCTTGAACCAGTAAACGAACGCGTTAAGTAGACCAAGTAAGTAGGTACATGTAGTAACGACATATATAACCACACAGACAGACAAACAGACAAGCAGGCAATCCAATCGCCTACCAACTCTACAGTATGTTGTTTTGTGTTATGTGGCCCGGGGTCCTGACAAAACCCACACCCCGAATTGGCTCCGGAGGGAACGGAAGGGTTCACTGGCAAGTTCGCGCGGCCAAGGGGCCCCCTCGGCCCCCTATTTTATTTCCACTTGTTTATTACTACCGGTGCTTGGGTGCCACTAGTCCTTGGACTTTCCAATTTTAGATTTGCAACGAATCGAGGACGCGATATTTCGAATTCGATCCTTCAACAATTGAAATCCGTACAGTATTGGACATTGTACAGTAACGGTACAGGATTTCAACCACAGCAGAATCGAATCGATTGATTGATTCTCGCGCGTCTTTGTGGTCTCAATCATGCACCGAGCATTATCACTGTCGGCGCTGCTGACACTGGTCCTGGCCACGGTGTTGCCAGTGGCCGCCTACCGACCGGTCCAGTTCGTCAAACACACAGGCGAGTCAGGACGGGCGGACCAAGCATTCAGCATTGTCAACTACTACAACGAAACGACACAGCAATCAGATCTATATGTTCGAATGCAAGCGTTTCGCTATGAATCGTCGGCCAAAGGCTGGGCGGCACTGGGTCTGGGCCCCGAAATGAAAGGTGCCCTCATGTTCATCATCTACGGCGATCCCGCTGCACCGGACGCGTCCATGACCCTGACTGTGCGGACGGCCGATGGCCATCATCCGCCACGACCGCTGGACGAAATGAAGGAATTCTACAGCGGTGAGGTGCCCGATGTCGACGTGGCCACGGCCCATTTCGAGCCGTATACGGGGGAATTCTTCCATCCGGACCTGAAGCAGAAACCGTCCCATTTGGGCGTTGCTGAGTTTGTCGTCCGTGGATATAATCGATGGACGGCCCCGGCGCTGGGCGTCTCCAACGATACCACCAACCAGGCCATGATCTGGAGCAGCAACTTCAAGCAAGACTTTGGCGGTGATTTTGGGGCGATCCGAAATATCGACATGCATCAGTTTGGTCTGGGGTTTGGGTTTTTGTGGACTGATGTGCGCAACGCGCTGTCGCCGATTCCGTTCTTTGCCCCGATCAAGGATACACAAGGCCACAAGGGCGTCAGTGAGACTGGAGATCCTCCGGCCCCAACGAGCGACGAGTTGGCTATCGGTGAGGGCATTCTGATCGAACAGCAGCAGGACTTTGGGCAGAAGGAAGACGGCTTCGACAAGGCTGCTGCTGCTGGGGCGGCCGCCGGTGCCGCTGCTGGTGCCGCAGCTGGAGTTGCCGATGATAAGACCACCGACAACTTGAACGACGGAAACAAAGTCGAGGAGCCGGTCAAGACGCCTAAACAGTGGAATATTCGGTCATTGATGTGGTATGTCAAGCTGGACTGGTTTTCTGTCATCAGAATTTATTCACTCCCTTTCCCATTCTACCGGTTACTATCTATTTACCATTTAACCAAAGACTAACTTTTCTGCAACAGGCACATCCACGGCATCCTAATGACCCTATCATTCCTAATCCTCTACCCACTCGGGGTCTACTTCCTCCGCTCCGGCCGCAGCACCGCATTCAACCTCCACTGGACAATCAACTCCTTAGCCAGTGTATCCGTCGGCATCGGCGCGGTCGTCGGATTCGTCAACTCGCGGCGCATTTCCCTGGTTCATCAATACCTAGGTATATTGCTCGTGTGCGCCTTGGCCGTGCAGACCGTCCTAGGTTGGCGCCACCACATCATTTACATTTCGTACATCTCACTCCGTCGCAATGGCGGCACCACTACGACTTGGATGGCCAAAGTGCACGTGTGGCTGGGTCGCGTCGTCCTGCCTTTGGGAATGTTAAACGTCGTTTCGGGTCTGTTGCTACGCCACTACGGCTGGTTCACGGTCGCGGCGGCGATTATGCTTGCGGCATTGGAAATCGTGGTTCTGGCACTTGTGGTGGTGCGTGCGCGCCGTAGGGCGGGTAATCTTGCTGCGGCGGCGGCGGCAGGGGTGAATGGTCATAAATTGGGGCCAATTGGTGGTGGTGGTGCTGGTAACGGAGAGCGTTCTGCTGCTGATGAGGCGGAGGAGTATTTCCAGCTTACGGCGGATGATGATGAGTTTACTGATGAGGAGGAGGGTGTGGGCGCTGATGAAGAACAAGGGAGAGGGAAGGATGCAGCTGCAGCGCAAGCCGCTCGCGAGAGGGAAGAGCAGGAGGAGAAGAAGAGGGAGCAGCAGAGACGGTTGGCGAGGTTGGATAAGATTTAGATTTAGACTTGGTCAGTGATATTGCAGTGATGGTGGTTCTTTGTCTTCAGAATGGATGGGACGCCGCGGAAGCTATCAAGGAAAGAATGTAGAGTATGTATCAGAAATGAAGATATTTGGTCGAGGGCAAGACAAAGAAGACATTGACATCAAGACAGAAGAGAAGCTCTCCGCTAGACCCAAGATACTGTATACGATACACAGATCCGAACCGCCGCCTGCAGTGAATCCAAAGCTTCAAGTCCAAGTCGGGGGGTTGCCACTCCAGTTGGATGTCAAGTCTATTCAATCAGCATACTTGTATGCCTGGCATCACATTCACCGGGTTCAACTTCCACGCCAAATCTGCGTTCCACTGCACATCACAAGATCGGCCAGTGGATCGTAGATCAGCCTTCAGTTTGTGACCTCCTAACATCTAGTATCTAGCATCTAGCATCTACTATCTACTATCTATCCCGTCATTCTATCCTATTCTCCCGCTCCTAGTACCCTGCATCATCCACCACTGCATCTCAACCTCACTCCTTAACCAAAACCCTCTCCTCAATCGGCAAATAACTTCTCTCCAACGGCGGCGCAGTCGGCTTCCCAAAGACCAATTGGGCTTTGAGCTTCCACGTCTCCGGCAGTCCAAAAGCAGACAATGTCTCGGCCGTGATGGCAGGCAGGAAATTGTAATGCTGCAAGTTACAGCCTAGTCCTTCGGCGGTGAGGGCGGTCCAGACTACACGGAACACGACGGTAAGTATAAGAATTCTTCCACTTTCATTCAAGAACAGTAAAGAGACATGGTAGGGGAGGGTGGCTTTGGGTTATGGGGTGATATAATACTTACCGATGAATTGGTGCATGCCTGAGGAATGATCGGAGACTAGTTGGTAGGAGAGGAAAAGTCAGTATCAGTATCAGAAGCAGCATGTTCGCATAGAAATACAACCGCAAGCCAGGCCAGATTGGGGATCAGGTCGAAATCGAATTGAGGCACACGGGCAAGGGTAAGCCATGGGGATAACAAACGGCGGGACGGGCACAAGAGGAGAGCTTGCGGTGACTTGACTCGAGTTGGATGGAACGGGACCGCGAAAACAAATATTCACCAGTTCAAACCCCCAAAAAGAGAAAGACAAGTCTCAACCCAACCCGTACCGTTCGATTTTTCCCTTCCGAGGCACCGGCAGGCCCAAGCAAGACACGCACACCAGAATAAGAACAAAAAAACTCGGGAAACTATACTTACACTCCGTCAACATCGGCTGAACCATAGCATTCTTGGTCCCCAACGTATCCAACGCCGCCTGATCCTCAAAAAACAACACCGTTCCATGAGCACCTCTGAACCCACTGAGCCGAGAAGTCAGGTACTTCTTTGCATTTTCGTCCATCGGCAGCGCCGAAATATGGCTTGTCGCAATGTCCCAGAACTTATGGTGCGACTCTCCAAAAAGGACCACTGCACGCGCCGATTGGACATTGTACGTTGAGGGAGCGTGCTTGATGGCTGTCTGCACGATTTCCACGACCTTGGAGTCTGGGATGGTGGTTTCGGAGGAGAGGGTGTAGTTTGAGCGGCGGGTTTTGACTGCTTCGAGGAATGCATCTGAGGCTCCCATTTTTGCAATGTATCCAAGCACTGATGATCAGATGGAGTGGATTGAATCTTTGGGCAAAAGGCAAAGTATAAAGTATCAAGTGGATGAGTGACCTGTGTTGTGTTATAGCAGTATGGAAAAGAAAATATCTGGAGGAGGTTGTAGGGTGGAAGATATTTCGACTAATGTTTGGATACCCAGGATTTATATATCTCAGACGAATGTCAATGTCTTCTGGACAAGGGATAATCAAGGGAAAGATAAGAGCTGTTAGACCGCTGGACTGTAAAGTTGTATACCATGCCAGTGGTAGAGGGTCACTGGCACCGTTGAAGTGGAACCTCGTGGAAGCACTCCCCGTGCGCCTGGAACCACCTTGCAAGGAGGCCTTTTTTAACAAAGCTCCCATACAACGCTGTACATTCCTCCATCACTTGCCGGTGCCCTACAGTCCAGAAAGGTGGAACGAAGGCGCGTCAGGCCCCAGCATGTTATCCACCAAACCCTCCGATTGTATCGCACCTGGACAGCAGGTGCTGATTCACCTCAGGCCGTTGAAAGGCTGTACAATTTGGACACGTATAACCCGGCTTCCGGCGCTTCCTCGATATGTGCTAGTTGAGATGGTGTCATGGGCCACAGCAGCTTCTGGTTGGATCATCCGGTTTGGCGGATGGGGCTGGACACAGCCTTCTCATTAGTAAGCTGGATGTCTCTCGGTCGAGAAACACTTCGTGTCACGTGACGCTTAATAAGCCTCTCGGACGAGACGACGACGACAGTAGTAGAGGAGTCTTTGCACGGCAGGAATAAGCAGGTGATTTGACTCTAAAATGAGAAAAAACAACAGTTTTTTGTTCAGGATTAATGACAAGTGAAGCTGAAGTCGCCAGCAGACTGACTCCCTAGTCGACAAGCTCCCTCGCCTGCCACCAACACTTGCTCGAGAAATGCAACGACAATCGTAGATAGATATTGTCGCAAGTGCGGGCTTTGACCGCTGTGGAGGAGCTTCGTACGCAATGCTTTCCCAACTCCGGTGTCACACATGCCCGTTCATGACGTTAAACTCGAATCAGCTGGCAGCAGCTTGCAGATCCCGTGCCTTGAACCGACAGTAAAAGTCATGTTCCTTAACAAACCAGGCTGCAGCAGAAATCAAAAGAGTCAGTAAGGACAATACAGTGTTGGGGGCCACAAGGCTCGGTTCACTCACCATTATGCAACTTCCAGTCTCTGCTGGGGTCGTCGAATTGTACCTGGGACACGAACCACAGTCAGCCGAGGAATCTCTAGAGGGTGTGTCGTTTGAGATCCAGTGTAGCTTACCTCAAAGCGCCTCAAAAAGGCAGGAATCAGCTTATACATCTCCAACAGACTGATGTTTTTGCCAATGCACGTCCGGGCTCCGGCACCGAACTGAAACAAAGTGCCGTTCATTTCCTTCAGCTGCTCTTTGCTCACATCAAGCCATCGTTCAGGGATATAGCTGTCCACATTCGACCCAAAGACCTCTTCTCGTTTGTGGATCACCCAAGCATTGCAGCCGACAATCGTGCCCCCTGGTATGAAGTGGCCGTCAATCTCGATCCCTTGAGGTGGAGTGACCCGTTCCAGGGGCAGACCAGCGGCAGGATGCATACGGAAGGCTTCTTTAATACAAGCATCAAGGTACGGTAGCTGCTGAGATTCCGCCCAGGTCACTGCGCCTGTTGGTCGGTTTTGAATTCGACCTTCTCTCACGGCGTCGTCAAGCTCTTGCATTAGTCTCTGGTAGCAGCGCGGATTGCGAAGGAGATAATAAAACACGGCAGCCAAGCTGATGGCCGTGGTTTCGGAACCGGCAAAAGCCATGGAAACTGCCATGGTCAGGACTCGTTGGTCGGTCATGAATTCAGGCCGGTCGGTCTGTGCTTTCAAGAACATGGACAGCAAGTCTGGCTTCTCGGTGCCCTTTTCGCGGCCTTGTGATTGCATCTCGGAAAGACGTTCAGACATGCGTTGCACTGCAAAGGTAGTAACGGGAAAAGCGAACAGTTTCACGCCGAGTCTGTCGAGCAGGAGAACCAGTGGATTTTTCAAGAATAACAGGTCAAGCCAAGGCATTTGCCCAACCTAGAGACGAATAGTCAGCAACCTCGACGCGGGCTGATTTCTTTTGGTTTCTATACTTACCGGTGCAACGTAAGAAAATAACCTTCCGAGATATCCGACCATACCGTCGATGTCTTCGTTTTTCTCCACGAAGCCATGCCGCTTGCTGTAGGTGATTTGCCCGATGACCTGCGAGGTGGTAAGAACGACAGCCTTCTGTCAGCTCTCTCAAAGAACTTACATCAAATGCAAAGTATTGGAGCCACTGCGCAAAATCACAGACCTGGCCAGGCTTCGCATAGAGCTTGTCTGTCTGGTTCAGGAAAACCTCGACGGTTTCGGTAACAGCAGGCTCATATTGAACCAACTGACTCATTGAGAATGCGTTGTTGACAGAACGACGAAGGTTGGCATGGTAAGACTCGTCGGTGGTCGAAAACAGCGACGGTAACCGTTTTCCTTTGCTGACACTCTGTTGCACAGGGTAGAATCCCGACTAGACAGGTTGTTCTGATCAGACTCGACTCGGCGTCATTGACATTCTTCCGTGGATACCATACCTTGGTAAAACCTTTATTCAATCCATAAATGGTCTTCAATGCTTTCGGATTCGCAAATGATAACGTGTTTGGCCCCAGTCGGACAATATCCCCATATTGCCGATGTAGCTTCAGGTGAGTGATATCTGGTCGACGTCCCAACACGTCGAAAAACCTCCACCAATCCGTAAATCCTGCCAGCACTGGTCCTGGATATTTGTTGAGACCATGGTAGAAGTAGTTGCGCACGAAATAGCTCACGACAAGGACGGCTACGGCCACAGGCCAGTTATTGACAATGACGGGCACTATGGATTCGAGCATCGTGGCGGATTGGGAGAAGGGGTATTCACAAAAGATTCAAGCACCGAGAAGGATCGTTTTACCAGTATGCTCACCTTTCCACCACAGTAGAGATGGGTGTTGGCTCTTATGGAGCACATTCAGTTTCAGATGGCGCAAATGTCGAAGACGGCATTTCCGATATACGAGTCCCGTGCGGGATGGGGACTGAGATCTGGTGCGCTCTCAGTAGATGTGCCGGCTTGTATCGCGTCGAGTGGCTCAGTAGGTTTGCTCTCGGCAGTTCACCTTTGGGCAAGGGTCAAGAAGGCAGGCTTGTACGATCCCATAGATCATGACAGGCGAGGCCAGCGAATAGCATTGGGAATTATGACCCAGCTCTGTCGGTAATTCGACGGCCTTTGATGATGACTGTCGCAATGTTCGGCAATGGCTCCCTTCATTGGGGTCACACCAGCCCTCAAGCTGGCCTTTGTCCTGTCACTGGCAAGTGTGGTAAACTGTTACAGATCGGATATAGGGATGACCGGCACCCACGATTGTGGGGAAACCCCCAGGGCAGAAAGCTCCTTTTGTGGGCAAATATGACAGAGGAAGAGCCGTGATTCGAGGACGAGTACCTAGGTAGGAGCTGGCGGGAGCGTTCGACGTCGAGCAGTTGTTGTTGTATGCCACAGTACTATTATTGCCGTGGTACTAGTAGGAGAATACACCGCTGGCAGCCTCGGCAGATGTTGTTTGACTTCAACTGCCGACTTCAACTCCCACCTATGTTTTCCGGCGTCTGTTCCGTCACACGCGTTGAGAGACCAATCTGGTCGTTTCCATAGCTTGCTGACTGAACAGTCGGAGCTTCCCTCAGTTGAATTACCGGTGATCTGCTTGGTGAGTGCTGTTGGGACCTATCCGTCAGGGGGTCGTTATATGGATATGGTCTGCTTTCTTCTAGAACCATGATCGGCAATCCCTACTATAATGCCAGTGAGCACGAACGGATCAGGAATACCTTAGGATGGAATCACGATATGGGCGGATCTACACGAGTACATGGACGAAACAGGAAAATCAATTTGATCAATTTGAGTTCCATTCTGCATCGACCAGGTTCAAAAGCAAGAAAGCATATGTTACACGATTCCAAGCCGGCCAGGATCAAGCCTGCTTGAGACTGTAGAACAAAATCCCTCCTTTCCCTGATCCCTGCTGGATGCTTTTGAAGATCTCGAGTGCACTCAATTAGAACCCGATGCACCTTTTATGAAGGCTTGTTTCAAGCTTCATAGCCACCAGGATGAAGACCGCGCAAATCAAGGGGACTGTCTTTAGGGGAATGTCCGTTCAGAAGGAGATGTCTGTGTACTTTCTCGTGTGTGCACGGTGCGGTTGAAAGATCACTTGGAGTGATTTACTTTCCACCCAGGCTGGGGAAAGCATTCTCGTCGTCGACTGGGACTGCAGGAGCATCACTGCCACCACGGCCACGGCCGCCACGTCCTCGTCCACGGAATTCACCTCGGCCGCCACGGTCACCACGGAAAGCGCCACGTTCACCACCACGATCGCCACGGCCTCGACCGCCTCGGCTACCTCCACGACCACGGGATTCGCGCGGTGGCTCCTTGAAGGTGTAGTCGATGTTGAGGAACTCCTTCTTCTGAGCACGCTCTCGCTGGGCCTTTGTCTTCTCTTCGCCCTTGAAGTAGTCCTCGTTGTCATCCTTGGCCAATTCCTTAGCCGACTTCCACTTCTTGTCATCCTTGGCGCCTTCGTTGGGAGCACGGGCTTCCTTCAGACCAAGTCCTTCAAGCTTCTTCGCAGCTTGCTCCGCCAAGTATTCGGCATAGGACTTTGTGTTGCTCTCTGGCTCGGCTTCAGGGTCAGGGATAGGTTCACCGCCTTCGGGAATGGTGACGGGTTCGGCGTTCTCGTTGTAGGCTTCCGCGGTTCCGGCGTCCCATCCTTCCTTTTCTTCCTGTTTGGCAATGGCTTCTCCGGCTCTCTCGTCGGCCCATTCACCCTCGCCAGTGTTCTCGCCCCAGCCGTGCTCAACTTGCTTGGGATGGTCGCTAAATCGGTGATTAGTTATGATAAATAGTGGATGCGTAGGAGGTAACTCACCTCACACCGGTGCGGCTGTGTCGATCACCAAAATCACCGCCACGGCGAGGTCCACGGCCGCGGCCAACACGGCGAGCACCAGGACCGCGTTCACGGATGGGACGATCACCGGCCTCAGCAGGCTTTTCACGGTTGTAATCTCTGCCAGTGGCTCGGTCACGGAATGCTGCCCAAGAAGTCAGCAAGTCGATCTAACAGCTGCGACGTTGTGGCTATGAGCATACCAGCTTCATTTGCACTGAAACCACCTCCTCTCCGACCACCACGGCCACGAACAGCTACATTTCCAGCTGCCTCGACAGGGGTAACTTCTGGCGCATTGCGTTTGCCATGTCGGGGAACTGGCTTTTCGACCGCCTTGGTGGGTGGTTCAGGCTCGCGATCAGAGTCCTGGTCCGAGGTATTGCCTGTGCAAATGTGTTAATTGTGAAAAGCGCAGCGCAGTCCGGAACGGTCGTACCCAATAACTCGTAGAGGTTCTGCAAAGTCCATTGTTAGCTACTGCGCGATAGTTTTTATACACCAAAAGCACGATGTGAATCGCCGTGGTCGTTGAGCTTGTAGCTTACCTTACTTTTAACGTCGGTCGCCATGACGTTTCCTCTCGAGCGCCTTCCGTGAAGGCTTGCTTTATTGAAACTCCAACTCGAGCTGGAAGGTGGTAGACGCTCGACCCAGACAATGTCCCGAAATGTAGGACCTTGTCAAGTCGAGTAGGATGAGTGCCTGATTGAGCGGTGGTGAGGTAATGCCTACAGGTAAGGTCGGTCGGGCTGCAGTGTCTGCGCGAGTTCAATGCGTGAGGAATTCTCGGGCGAAGACTTGGCACCCCAGAAATGCCGGTTTAGGACTAGCGTTAGGGCACGGCAGTGTCAGGCACCTACTAACAGGGTTGGACTGTCTCGTACTTATCAGGCTGTAGTACGGCACTATGCTACTGTGTCGCAGTGAGATCTATAGACATCCTGTCTGCGGACAAGCTACGTGAAATCACGAATAGCACAACTATAGAGTTGCACTGTACAAGTCTGGAGCTTTTGATTATATACAAACTAATCTGGATCTACTCTCGTCGTCAAGCATGGCATAGGCATGCACAATGCCCACCCAACACACACATCATCATTCATGCACAGCGCCAGCGCTAATGTCCAATAGCAGCGATTTGGCAAAGTCCAACGTGGTACCCACTGTCGTATCGCACAGTTGTGCTTCATCTTCTGGGCTGTTGCGGCGGATATGAATAAGGATTAGGAAAGGTCATGCTGGCAGTGAGCCCAAAAGGATCTGCGTCCAGCATAGGATCGTAGGGATCGATTAGAACACCACTACCACCGCCATCGCTTGCGGCACTGGTCGTCATCGGAGGTGATGCTTGCATGCCTATAGGCATGCCGGGTGCAGAGGTGGTCGGAGGCAGTCGGAAGTTTGGAATAAAGCTGTCCGTATCGACATCGTCGCCGTCCATTTCGTCCATCAGATCGGCTTGTGCATCGTACTCCTGTTCTGTATTCACGAATTCAGTCTAGGACGAACAAAGCTCCACAAGCAGGAAAAGAAACAAGGGGTACGGGTTAACTTGCCGAGCTGAGAATAATGTTTTTGAAAGGACGTTGGATAATAATTATCCTGCATCATATGGTTGGGTTGCGTTCGAGGTGGGTATGGTTGGGAACTGTCAGATTGCGACAATTGCCTCGCCGGATGTCTGGGCTGTGACGGAAACGAGCCCGGCTGCGGCAAAGGCCGGTTTTGTTGTTGTGGTGGTTGCGATTGCTGTGAGTGCTGAGCTGATATGTCGGTTGCAGGTGAGGCCATTCCCCCCTGCAAAGCAAAACCCGGTGATCTTGCGTTAGAGGGAGAGGAATGTTGTGAGGGAGGGGTGGGCTGTGCTGCAGGTGAGCCTGCGAAACTGCGTGATCCGCCAACCTGGGAGGGTTGATTTACAGTCTGTATTGGGGGTGCCATTGCTGGTCGGTGCCTGGCCTGCTGTTGTCTGTTGAGCATTGCTTTCTGCATCGGAGATGCCTGGCCTGTCATCGGAGGCGGACGATGTGGTCGCAGATTTGGACTGCCCTTAAGGGCGAGCTCCGCTTGAACATCGATGCCTATACCAAGAGAGTTAGCAAGGATTCAGCGGGCATGGACGACTACCACTGACCTTTCTCAAGAAGAATGCGTTCGAGAAGCGAGTTCTTATATCGCAGCATCAAACACTCGTCGGCAGCCGCGCGGTGGCTCTGTTGGAGGTTTTGAAGAGTCTCTTCATGGTGCTGGATCGTCGTCTCCAGTTGCTTGATGTATTCGGTCCGGCGCTCGCGGAAGGCTGCTTGCGCTTGACGATTCCTTTGCTTGCGTTCCTCTGAAGTGGCATATATCTGAACAGGCGTGTCAGAGGACTATCAAACATTTATAGGTAGCATTGCAACTTGGAATGGACTTACAGGTTTTCTACCACCTTTGCGTTTTGGGGCAGGGGCAGGCTCTTGGGCAGGCTGCTCAGAGCCCGTTGCAGTTGTAGCCTCAGCCTGGCCTGGTGTCGAGGCTGAGGATGACGAATATCTCTCGATACTAGGCTCGCGCTTTGGAACCACAGCGTCGGGAAGCGTTGAGTCGGCATTCGACAATGAGCCCATGCCTGCTCCACGCAACTCGAGTCTAATTTGACGTGCCTGGCATCAAGCACCAATAACGAGGGCGAGATACTCGACCGGGGGATGGCAAGATCTGACGCGCAACCCCGTGGGATCTGATAGCAAAAACGTAAAAGAAAAGATGTGTGACAATTGGAAATAGAGATAAGAGATGAGTAAAGCAATGAGCAACAGTGAAGAGAGGAAGGCGTGAGGTAATCTAATGAGCTAACAGAATTTGCACCACGAGAGGACCGGACCAGGGATGGTGGGGGGGTAGGCCAGTTATGAGAAGCAGGGTGTCTGCTCCCTGGAAGGCAGCGCCTGATCTTGCTTCCGGGCCGCGTGAGATCGAAGGTTTGAGTAGTAGTCAAGGACCTTGGAGCCCTAACCCCTCAAAACACTTGCCGGAAATCGAGGAATGGAACCAAGCCTCCAATAATAACATGAAATGGCTCAAAAAGGTGGGTTTTCCGTTCAGTCAGCCGATCATTTGCGCCAGCATCACCGTTATGTGGAGGGGAGAATGTGTTCTTGTCGGTATGCACGATCAGATAGAGGGGAAGACGCCGTGAGCTCCCTCACGACTATCATCACAGAGCAAAAGTGCGAAAACTCTGCCCATGCCCAGCTCACAGGGCGTTCGTGGAAACGGCGGGAGCTCAACGGCGACGCACTTGGGGCACGCACCACGTGGGAAAAAATTTTCAGTCGGGGACCATCATGATGCGGGAAACCAATCACGGTCTGCCCTACCGCCAACTATTTCCGCATCTGGAGTGGCGGCTGGAGCTATGGACTAAAGAGGCATAGATGAACAATTCTGATCCAACGTCAAGCGAGCGCCGCGAAACCAGCCACCAACTGCAACCCGCTGTCCACAAAATCCGCGTCAGATGAGCAGCAGGATCTTGTCGCTAGGCTTCTTGGCCACCGAACCGTATCCCGGACTGGGTTCAGCTTCGCCTTTAGTCCCGTTCCCCGCCTTTTGAGAGTTGTCTTTCTCCGTGGACTGAAGTGTCAGTTCCTTGTCCGCGCAGCCCGAGGATCTCCCTGTCACATCTGGCCAGACCATCACAAAGTACAACATTCATTGTATTGAGAACAAACAGATCATGCGAGCGGAGGCCGCAGAATCCATCTCCGCCCGACGCTACCCCGGCCTCCGCGTCGATCATCAATGGGTCTTCCCTTGCTAACTGGGATCCGAGTTTGCAAGCATGAGGGACAAGGAGGTCCGGAAACAGTAGCTGATTATGGCAAGAGCAGGAGGCATGCCTTGGCGGCTCTGATTGGGATCGGCTACACGGTAGTCGGTCTCGGCTGCTAAGCCCCAGTAGTAGGTGGCACTACAATACAGTCATTGTCGTCGAAGGCTTTATTGTGGTAAATACTGCCAGAATCCCTTTGAAAGAGGACAACGAGCGCAGGGCGCGTGTCTTACGTTCCTGGAAAGAAGAGGGACAGTTTCGCTCTGCGACGCTGCCCAATTTGGCAGTGGCCCCCTCAATAGGAGAGCTCACTAGCATCAGCATTAGCAAGAGATTCTGGCGTCTGGATCGTGTTTCTCGTGGTATTGGTACGTATGCCGGGATGATATAGAAGAGAAACAAACTGGGCTGTAAATCGCCAACTTTGCGAATACACTGGTTTCAGAGGATCTCAAATTCGGTGGGTTTACGACATGGTTGTGGATGTTATTTCAGATAGCATCGTTCTCAGGTCTGCAATTACGTGAGAACATGCCGCTATCAATGGGCCGAAGGTAAGGAAGGGTACTGCACAATAGAGGCGGGAGCAATGCTAGTGAAAACACTGCAGACTCGCCGGAGGAAGGAAGCAACATGCACCTGCTGCCTTCTACCCTCTATGCTGCAGAAAGCAGTTGGCAGGAGTGACGCGATGATCATGCTCTCACAACTGCAACAGCTGCGGTCCCATGCCTGCGCTCACTGTCTTAATCCCTCATGTTGTGACCGGGTCCTTATCTCAGTTGAAGAAACTTCATCTTACCCTGCTTCATTCGTTTGCGAAGTGTGAAGCCCCGGCCACGACCCCTATAAGACCCTCCTTAACCACATGTCTAAACAGCTCAAAACCATTGGCATCTGATGGAGCAGAGGACACGGAACGGTGAGTGGATACGATGTCTGGATCTGTATCGGCTGATTTGGTCTAGATCAGCCAAAACGGTTCTCTCTCATCAAGCGAACATCTTCTGAAGATGCCAAACAAACCCGTTTTGCCCTTCACTCAAGCCTCGAAGCCTTCTCTCGACCAATCTCTGCCTTGGCAAGACATCGAGTACATCAGTTGTCCGACATTCGAGAAGTGTCCGGGTCTTCAAAGACTGCAACTATACTAGGGAGTCCCGGCATTGAATGGTCAGACGGCACTCAAGACAGACCTGAGACTCCGCCTGGCCCAAGCGGTGCTCTTTCACCAACGGCATCCTCTGAATACCTTACACCCACTGCACTTCGATCTGGGCGGAATGGCAATTCGTCGGTCCTGGGAAGTCGAACCACCAGTGCGATCAGTTTGCCTCAGCGCCAGGTTCCGGAACGAAGGTCTTCGGCCAGTATATTTTCGCGTGGACTTGGAGGCTCGGGACAGGCTTCCATGCAAGAGCTACCAACGTGGAAAACACATGAGCTGGACGACAGCGCCCAAATAGTACCCAACAGAGGCCGGGCAGAGTCGCCGGTCCGAGTTGCCATAAACCGGTCAGCTCAATCCTCCGAAATCCTTCGACCCTCTGCTGCACGCACTTTCATTCGTACTACTCCTCCACATGAAGTCCTAGACAACGGCAGTATCCGCCATTCTCGGGTCGATCTGTCTGTCCGCCTTCCCTCTCCGTTGTTTGTGGGTGGGGGTACAGTTGAAGGCGAAATAGCTATTCAGGTTGATGGCGGAGTGCCTCGAAAAGCGAAGATGAAGCCAATCTACATTTCCAAAGCCTCCGTCGATGTGATTGGTGTGGAGGAAATCAGTGATGGGAGACGCTGGGTCTTTCTTTCTCTGGCCACTGAGCTTTTCGACAAGGACAACCCTCCGCCTCCTTCTTCAGTGACTTCGCAACAGCCTTTACCGGGGCCAGATCTATGGTGGGAGTTGAAACCTGCTACATCGGTTCTTCCATTTTGCGTCAATCTGCCGCTCAAGCTTGGACCGCCGCCATATGCCTCCCGACATGCTTCTATCCGCTACCTTTTATGCCCGTCGGTTGTCCTGCGTGTCGGTGATAAACGAAGTGTCGTCAGACAGACGTGGAGCGTCCAGATGCTTACCGTCCATGATCCAGAGAAAGCTTTGGCGAGCTTACCGAGCCCTCTTCTGGCAGCTGACACACTCTATTTGACACACGGAGCAGAAACCCAAACTGTGAAGCTGACTGCCGGGCTACATCGGCAGACCTGGGTCAATGGAGCCATGATCTTTATCGACGTTCATATTGTGAATAATACATCCAAGTCCATCAAAAAGATAGAGGTACAACTGGAGAAGACAACCCTATGGTACACACACGCCCCAGCCGGCACCATTGAAAGGAGCGCAAATCACCTTCGGCTACCCCGACGTACAGACACCGAGATTGTCAGTGGCTCGACATTCAAGAAAGGCACTTCATGGAAGGGTGTCCCGAGCCACACTTCGGAGGTGAGAACCATCGAACTGGAGGCACCGCGTGGCCACGTCACAATCAGTACTGGAAGGTATTTTGAGGTCAGATATTTCGTTAACGTGGTGGTCACGGTCAGAATGTTCAAAACCGTGGCGGTGCAGCTTCCTGTCACACTTATTCCCATCAATTCGCTCGACATTCTGCCCAATTCCCTGGCCCAGGTCGCTGCTTCTATCGAGGCCAAACGGGCGAAAACGGTTCCGGTCCCACCGGACGTCCCGGGCCCAACACCTTTCCACCAGGGACAAGCATTCTCCGCTCCACTCCGTCATTCAATGGAACTTCAACAGCGAGAAAGGGGGACCATTCCTCCTAACGATGTCGATACCCTTCGACAAGACATCGACAACTCTCCTAGACGGCAAAGCCGTACTCACGAACACTGTAGAGTTGGCTCGGAAAGTCAAACAACAACGGATGAAAATGCTGCGCCAGGCCGTCCAAGTATGGCATCGTCTTCCCATCATCATGTCACACGACATCCTAGCTGTTATCATTGCCACCTGGTCTACCAGAAGGAGCAAGAGGGGCCGAAGCTGCCTAGACTCCAGGTCTCAACTTCAGGGCTCGGATTTTCCGAATCCGAGTTTGAGGTGCCTGCTGACTCGCCGCCTCGAAAGGTCATGCTCAGCGAGCGAGAGCGGAACATGATCCATCAGCAAAGAGAGCTCAGAAACCGGCAACAACGCAGCCATCAACATCAAAAGCGGCCAAGTACAGAGATTTCTCGGGGACATCAAGCACTTGCTTCTCAAGAACAAGCAACTTGGAATAATGTCGTGGCCAACTCAGGGATAGGCCCGAAGCAGCCGGAGTTTGGCAACGGCGGTGGATCTGGGGCACAGATGCACAGAAACAGTCAACATAGAGCTTCAGGCACCGCAAGAACGCGATCCAAAACAAATCCGGAAGGGTTGAGACAATTGACGGTGGCCAACAGGCCAAGGAGGCGGTCCAGCGTAGACCGAACGGACCGTGCCCGCCAGGGTGGTGACTCCACGTTACTTTCGGGCGTTCCTCGCAGAATGAGTCGGGAAGTCGGTTATCGAATGAGCGTGGATCAATTGTTTTAAGAGACGTTGTGTATTGTTGTTTTTGCAGTGCCTTTTATATCGACATTGGCACTTCATCCTTGTGGTCAATACAGTTTATTTCACTCGGAAGCAGCAAGATTTGCGCCTGTCTGGATATGATAAACACAGCAGCGACTGATGGCATGATAACAAGGTCTGCATATACGTGTCTTAGATAGCAATGAATGATTATCAGCCACAAGCTTTAGCTGAGGTTCTTTCGTCTTGCGGCGTAGTATGTTTGCTTCCGACAATACTGGTACCCAAGATTCGGGCCCTACCACAGGAATCTTTGTCCCATCATTCCATTATATTACTTCTCTGGTCATCTAAACTAGATGATGTTGGACATTGATCGACATAGTCTCTTGCTTTTCTAGACAGACTGAACAAGAAGGAGACTCTCACCGATGCCCTGGCTAGCAAGTGGTTTTCCGCGACCAGGCTGGTGAGGAGTAGTAGTGCTGGTGCTGGTGGTGGTAGCAGCAGCAGAGGGAGCATAAAGGCGGACCTGTCTGATCCCCACGCCACGGCTCTGTATCCAAGCATCATCGGCCTCGTCACGCGGAGTGCGCAGCTCGATGCCGACTTTTCCCTCGACATCCTTCATGGCGTTTTGGTCCGGTGCACTCAACGGGAAGAAGACGGCTGCATTTTTGCGGTTTGAGGCGGTGACGCCACTACTGTCCTCTCCGGAAGAAGAAGTAGAAGAGATACGTTGAGGCAAAGCACCGCTCACAGCAGTATATAGCTTCACATAATTCTCAAACTGTTCCTCTGGAACGACGACGTCGACGGAAAGGATTCCTCTAGCTCCACAGGGATGGGTTGTCAAAGAGGAATAGGACGAGGACTCTTGTGAATCTTTATACGGAATCCGCAACAACCGATCCGTGACATCGTGACAGAAGAACGGGACATCAAGTCTCCCCGTGGGAAAGTATTGGTCCAATGGTCTTGGGACGCTGGGGGCACTATTGTCGAAAGATGGTTTCGTCACGTACCATTCGACTTTTTTGCCGTCTTTGCGTTTGCGGCCGCCGTGGATTGGTTGTTTGAATTGGATGCCGAGACCGGAATCACCAGAGGTGCCGGGGGATGTCAAGCGTTTGTCAACTTCGGCAATCGTCTCTTGGGCCGATTTGGGAGCGGGAGTCGTGAGTGCAAAGTCGATCAAGCCGGCCGGTTTGCCTTTCCAGTCGAAGAATTCGGTGGGTTCGGCAATCCAGTTGATTAGTTCGATGTAGGTGCCGTCGGAGAAGACGATGAGTTTGTTTCGGGAGGAGCCGCCTAGAGATTGGAAATCTGAGTAGGAGTCCGGACAGAGTCGAGATGATGGAGATGGAGTGGTTGGCTATGTATGTAATGTACTTGTAGTAAGAATGCGAATCCCAATCCACTGAGGGAGATGGAAAGAAGCTTGGTTGGTTTTCATTCTCTTCTCTCCAAGTGCGATAAGACATGAAACAAACAAGAAGGATCATGATGTTCGAGTAGACACGGAAGGGGAACTTGACCCGAGCCGGGATCATAACGATGCCCGCCAAGTTCGCATTTGCAAACAAAATGTAATCGTAGATCGTGACACGACATGGAGAGACAGGAATGGAAGGATTGGATACTGTAGAATGCCCGGCCTGGCTGGTACCGTACTGTATTCCAGCAGCGATACACCACGCCAGCCAGACAAACAAACACTGCCAGCCACTGCACCCTAACCGCACAAACCAATGCCGAAGAAACGACGAGAAGAAGGAGAATATCGCCGAAATGAGCTGGTAGCTGCTAGATGCGTAGTGCATAGTGTAACGCTACTCACCGGCATGTACACCTCCCTCAATGATCTGAAAATTATCACTCAACCACGCCGGTGGATTCTCAAAGTCCGGTGTATCCAAGAGTAGAATGACATGGTCGTGAGAATAGTCGGAGATGGTGCGAGCGCTGACGCCGGCACCTGTTCCTGTCTCTGCGCTCATGGTTTGTATTGTCTTGTTGCTCGAGATAGAAAGATGACGATGACGAAGATCAATAACAGACATGACTTCAAGTTGACTCGGGGTCTTGTTGTCGAGTGATACCTAGTAGTCCGCCGATCTGGGAGCTCGCAATCACTGGTCAATCAACCCTGTAGTATCGAGATACTAGTAGTAGTACTTCTTTTTGGACTTTGACAACGGAGGACAAGGAATATCACCGTCACTGAGATATAATAAGGAGCCGAATGTCCGATCAGTATTTGTATGCCAGGGAAGTCCAAAACCTTGAAGTTCCTCGAACACGGCCTGAGTCACATCATATAGTCAAGGTATGGTACGAGGCTGACTGGCATGGGCGAGGACGGGGACCACTTGCATGACTAAGGAGCGTTGGGGATCAAGATCGAAGGCAAACATAACAAATAACCTTGGCATGTTTGGTCCATACTTTCAGACTGCATTGTAAACAACAGTAGCAATACGTGCAAACTTCTGAGTTTGCTGACGAGGCTGAAGAAAGGGGCAACATCTCCCATAACCTGTTTACAACTGAAACTCCACATGCATCTGCGCAGACTCAAGTCATTTGGTTTGACGAGGCTAGAAATCCATCTGGTCCGCTCCAAGCCGCCAACACCACCGCCACCACACAGATCACTGGAATTTGGTACTTCGTACACGGTCAACTACTGCCGGACATGGGCTCTTCTGAGCTGCTCGTCAGACATTCCAATGATGCGCCACGCCTGAGGTCATTGATGGGCGTTATCTTAGCCCGCCTTCGGCAACAATATTAGCTGTCATTGTTCTCTTGAACAGCCTCGTGCTTGGGTTGTCAATCATCCCTATCCAGGACTTGGGCCGTCATGGAAACCACCGCTTGAAAGAGCTCCATCTTTCAGAGCTGTTCCTGGAGTTCGCCAGTTAGGAGCACAAGCACAATCTGTGCTCGCCCGGCATAGACCAAACTTCCTCGGTGTAATCACTGCCTGAATGCTGTGCCAGGCAAACCCACATCCTTTGTCCCGCTGATTGTCCTCTCTTGGAGACAACTTGCAATATCGTACATAGCATAAGCATGGACACATTCCACATCATTGCTGAAGCCAAAACATGTCCTGCTTTCCCCAAATTGCTCTACCCCTGTTCGCTGATCGTTGCAGATTGCTCGCTCTGAGCCTGCTGCGTGGCAGAATCATCATCTTGGTTCGTGACATTTGAGATACTGATCGCAATCTTCTTCGGCTTCTGCACACCGACTCGATTTTCCGTGTCGACGCTGCTGGGAAGGGTGGCCGGCTCCTCGGCCTGTTTCGATCTCAAAAACCCCTTTTTTCTCCGCAAAGACCCATGAGAGGCAACACTCGAAACACTCGAAGACGAATTCCTCCGTTTCGAACCGCCAGACAACTTGCCTAATTCATCGTCATCGTCTTCTTCTTGTCTTCGTCGCTTTTCGCTAATTCGCTCGGGAGGCTGCTGCAAATCCGGCTCGCCAGTGGACTTAATGTCGGGTGATGGTTGCAACATCTTTTGTGCGGCAGACTTGACCTCTGGGGGTGAGGTTTCCTTGCCACTGTCCGGCGTCAGAGGCGTTTCCGGTGTTGCTGCAGCTTTGACATCCATGGTTTCATCTTCGTCATCATCAGGATAATCCACCAGTGGTTTACTGATGGGAGAAGCTCCGCCGTTCATCAGTTCGACCTTCATCCTCCTACGATGCCACTGCATTCGGTCGGAAACATCCTTGCTAGACTCCTGCTCCATGCCTCCATCATGATCGTCCTCCTCATCATCCGACGTATTGAAGTAATCCTCTTCGCTGGCGTCCATGTCTGCGATCCCGCGCCACCTACCACCCAAGCTTGGACGATGCGTCGGCGGGGTTGCGTCACCCTGGCTAAAGAGAGTGTGCTCTGGAGCAGGACGGTCGTGCGTCAGCTGCTCATACCGGATCAGAAGGTGTTGGAAAGAGTCGATGTAGCTAAGTTCCTGAAGCTTTGGCCGATAAATCTCCCCGAGGTGATGAATTATTGGTTTGATCGTTTCCTTCCGAATGTATTCAAACAGCTCCAGACACGCCGAATTCAGGAGGTTATCCCTAGGCATGGTGTCGAGGACGATGTTCAAAATGGCTTCAAAGGCATCACTTTTGATGACCTGAGCAATGTAAAACTGATCCTGCAAGGCGATGGCTGTACGGAAGAATTTCAAGGCTGTCAGCTTCAGTGGCTTTTGCGACACTAACAGCAGTTGAGCTACGCGCACAGCCAGGTTTTCTGATATTACAAAAGGTCGACTTCGTATCGGATGTTGCCGGACAAAAAAGGTCAAAATCTCCACCAGGTAAGAGAACAAGGACACTTCTTGGTACGAAAAGTTCTGCATCGACTCTCGAGATCCAAGCGCTTTCAAAGGTGCGAAGAGTTTTCGACATGATCGATCGAAATTATCCTGGGCAAATTGCTCGTTCTGTTGCTGAGCCTGGGTTATGTGCGGTGGTCGTGACAGCTTGGTCATGAACTCCGAGCTCTGCCGGTTACCCATGGGGTCATTAGAGGGAGGTTGAGGATCCAGGAGAATCTTGATGGCATCTGCCAACTGGTTCTTGACACCAAGGTCTGTCTCGGCATGCAGCAGGTCGATCAAAGTGTCTGTTAACGGAGTCTTCTTTTCGTGGACGGCTTTGAGCATGTAGCCCCTCATCATGTTGGGGTCATGGTCAAGGAGGGCGACGAGGATTTCGACCCCCGTGGTTCGCATGGCCGGCTCAGGGTGCTTCACCGCAAAGGTGATGACGGCAAACAGGCCATGAGCAATGAAATTGTTCAGGAGATTTGCACGTGCCTGCATCTGCAGAGTTTTGGCGACCGCGGTACATTGCTGCAGGAATTGTACAGCTTGTTCTTTTCGCTTTAAGTCGGTATTGTCAGGACTGAATATCGCAAAAAGCTCCTTCAAAAAAGCAGTGTTGTTTTGTAGATGTTGTACAATGTCAACTTGGTTGAAGAAAATGAGGGAGTTGAGGACGCCAAACGTGGGGTCATCCAGGATTCGTGCCAGCACAACGTCCTTAAGATATTGCAGCCTCCATGTCTGTCTGATCTTCCGCTTGATGTTCTGGTCTTTGATCTCAACAACCTCTTTATACCGCGACTCGTCCGAGAGGTACTGCCGATGATTGGCTTTGTGGGTAGGAAAGTCGGGGTCGTACTCGAGCGCGCCAACCACTCCGATGATAATCTCGTCGGTGACCAAGTGCTCTATGATTGTGTTGTCGTTCATCAGGATCAAGGCTTTCATGATATTGCAGAGTCGATGTAAGTCAGGCAGACTCTCAAGATCCTCCGCCATCTCCACCAAGGGTATTAGTTTTAGTAGGTATTCTTCTTTTATTAAGAACTTCGCCAGCGCTTCGCGACCACCTTGCGTGAGGCTCGCCTGCCTTATGTTCGCCTCGATCTCGTCAAGATTGCTCAACTCGGGAGGGTTGAGCGTGAAAGAAGTGGATATGTGGTCGAGCGCATCATCTGAAAGTCCATCGTCTTGGATGTATAAGCATGGTACATCAGGAACGGGGCGGTGGAGAGTCTCACCTGGAAGAGAAAGCAACTGCTGTTGCACTTGCTGGACGAATTCCCTTGACCATTATCAGTATCTTGAGTGAAGCGCACCGCGACCTAACGTACCATATCACTGCGCAGCCCTCAGCCTCCTGAAAGCTGAGGGCCATGTCACAACTATTGTCAGTGCCATTGTTCTCCGTCCAGACGATCAGAGTATCTGAACGCGTCAGTTGTTATCACATCAAGATAGAGACTTGTTATGCTACCTTGCTGCTTTTGATATCCATCCTCCTTAAGGATCCTGGTCTCGAGCAGCATGCGCTCAGGGTGGTCTTCCGACTCGACGTATATCCTTGGTTCATCCTAAAGCACATGGTTAGCCCGTCCCTCTTCCTGCAAGTTTCGCGTTGCGGTCGCCTGAAGCCAATGGGCGCGAAACATACATTGATGATCTGCCCTGTGCAAAACCCGGTGCCTCTATCAAACCAGTCATTCTCGCGCAGCTCATACACCTTGACTCGCTTTTTTTCGTTGGCAAGCGGCGCAGGCATTGCCATGACGGGGGGTGTGGGAACAACGAATGGACATCAGCAAACGAGCAAAGCCGGACCCGTTTGCTGACTCTGATCGGAAACGGCGAGGTGCGCAGGCGATGTTGGCTTTTGGTGATACAGAACAGGTGGCGCGGGGTGGGTTCGAGGCGATTTGCAGGTGTCGCCGGGCCAGGAAAGACGGTGGATAGGTCGCGACAAGCGCCCCAGCGATGAGAGCAGGACACAATGGACGAGATTGTGATCACAACGACCTTTGCGCACCGCCGGTGATTGCGCCCTCGAGTGCTACGGCGAAGGCTTGATGTTCGTGGAGATGACGTGCATGCAGAATCGAGTGCGGCGACAATCTTGACAGACCGACGTGAGAAGTCGGATCACGGTGTGGTGTGGCACGAAACGGGCTGAAAGAAGCAAGCAGCCCTCCCTGAATCCTGGCACTGCGCTAGGTGCCCGGGTTATCTGATCTCTGCTCTTTGCGTAGGTGCTGCCACAGCTGCTCTCGTGGAAAAGCACAGGGCACAAGAGGGTCTGCAGTTCCAGATTTAGCGGCCAGTCCTGCCACCAGTTCAGCAGTGCCAGTGCAAATTGGTAGTAGCCTGTGGATGTCGCAGGCCTGGAGCAGGGGCAAGGTCCCGTCGGCGAGCTGCCTAATAAATGCGCCGAGGCGTGGGTGTCCACCGCTTGGACTGTTTACACTGCTAGTAGGGTAGGAAGACGGCGCGTGAGCCCAAACTAGGTGATAAAGTACAATGTACGCTGCTCAACACCAAGCAAGATCTGGCCGTAAGATCTTATGCGTACTTCCAATGCAATACTCTGACGATTATCAGGAGATTTGGTGAAGGAACAGCGAGATGGAAGAGATCGTGTGAGGTGCAACTTGAGCGCGCAGGCAGAATATTGTAATGGCGCAGGCGGTGCAGCGAGTGGTTGCACGCTGCAGTTGAGTCTGACATCACACCCTTAACACCCGGAGTGGCTTGCAGTGATTCCCGGCACCTAAAAAGCGTCGCAGGCAGCCCGTGAATCAAAATAAACACACTCCGATGCCAGTAGTGCACCTGATATAACACAGTACCTCCATTGTTACTCTTATTTTTGACACTTTACACTTAGCCGGCCTTTTCTTACAATGTACTTCGTTACTGACTACTAGCAGACTCGAGATCACCGAGGACCCTCAAACCTATCTCACAAGTTCTCAAAGTCTAATATATCGCAAATCCTCGCTTCCACCAGCGGTCGCCCTTCCACCACCCTATCCACTGGGCGCCCTCCTGATACCACACCCACCACCCTTCATCCTTCCCACCTGGCCCGAAACCGAGTCCGCGGAACAGGCTGATAGGGACAGGCTCAAAGAGCCAGATCCCACACCGGGCGAAGTCGTCAGCCAAAAGCGGGCCTGTGAGATAGAGGTAGAACAAGGCAAACACAAGATTTGCTATCTGTCCAAAGACCCTTGGAAATGATTTGATGGCCGGGACATGCCTGTGCAGCATAGTAACGACTGAGGATTGTAGCAAAACACCCAACGCTTGTGTCAAAAAGAACGTCAGAGGCCCTGTCAACGGACGGGATGGCTTGATTGAGAACGCAGTGTAACTTCCAGTCGCATGAATCAGGCCAGACACGGCAAACCCAACCAGAAGTTGTATGAACCGAGCAGGAGTCCCCCGTTGATCCAACCTGTGCCGTTGGATCAAAACTCTTGAGGGTTCTGATATGCCAAAGCGAAACATTTGATGCCAGAACTTGCCCCAGAACCCTGCCAGGCTAGAATTCAGCACTGACCTCGTAAGTGGATGCCATTGTGGTGGATACATCCATGGCTCCAGAAGCGGCGCCTTGGTTATTCTCGAGACGTCGAAGAGAGCTGGTAGAACAACCCCAAAGAACAGAGGGCTCAGGCTGTAAACAAAAGTCAGGGCTGTAATAACCGCCGTCATGGACACCAAAAGCCGAATACAACGTGTCGCCATGGGGATATGGCTGTTCAACAGAGCCAGCCACTGCCATGGGGCGGGAGAATCCAAAGGCTCGAGACCAAGGAAGTACGGGTCCGTCATCATTATCGCTTTCAAACAGTCAATGAACAGGTAAAGGAAGACAAAGTCTTGTATAGTCCGCCGCTGGAACGACCTCAGTGTCCGCCAGGGCACCGCAGTTGCTCTGCCCCCGTCTTTGGCTATTGAGTCCCCGTCTGTTGGCTGAGGAGGCAACGGTGCGTCAATTTCTCCTGCTGTCGGGATTCGATGGTTCCAGTTGACCCCTCGGAAGTTCGTAATCAAGTCTACAGCCCAGTCGAGGACGTGTGACCATTCTGGATGGCGAGGGAAACCTTGCCAGACCAACCGATAGGGCCTCGTCGCAGGTTTATCGACATCTGGCAGAGACGGCTGCTGTATGTCCGTAGACGAGTATACTCCCGGAACCTTCCTCCTCCTGAGATCAATGTTGTGGAACTCGCCTGTGAAAGAGGAGGTGTTCTGGACGGCGCTGTGTTCTGCTTGACTTCTATGGTCTGTTCCTGTAGCAGGTCTGGTTTCGAGTCTTGTGAAATCCTTCCCTGGGTCATTCAACACAAGTAGTGTCCCCGCCATGACAACACCCCATGCGCTGGCGATACCCATGATATACCCACCAGCGAACCCAAGCGTGCGTCGGTGGGAAATGATATATGCAAAATGGAATGTCACAACTAGAAACGACATGTATCGCACAGCCACAGACCATTTGGGGGGAAGCCGGGGGCATATGATTATTGCAAGGAATAGATATAATGCTGGCAGAGTATCCCACGGATAAAGAAAAGGGGTATATTGGCCTGTAGCGATGGCAGCATCATATAAATGTTGGCGTTCGGCCAAAGTCCGTCGATAGAGAGAGACGGGTCCAACGGCCATTCTCGCGAGGATGGTTTCGCATGAAGAGCCTGTCCTCGGAGAGGCAGAAAGAAATACTGGTAGATGTCTGTGCAAGGCTGGGTTGTAAAGTCATGACGCGCAGGAGGCGAAACTAGTAAAACATCGGGGAGGCCGATATGGTCTCAAGGGAACGGATGTGTGGGAACCTTTTGCATTTCTCTCCACCAAACTTCAATCCTCTCTGTGTCACGTTGGTCGTGAAGGGCGCCACTAAGGTTGACCAGGTACAAACTGATCGCTTGTAGCATGACAGAATGGAAGTGTCTCCCAGTACGTGAATTACCAGGTATGTTTAGACGATTCCAAGCACTGTCACAATCTGCTCACTTGCTGCACCGTATTACAGGTCATAGAGCCATTTGCGGAGGAGCAAACTACCTACAACCGTACCATTAACTCGCAGCCATCTGGGCAGGGAATTACAACTATTACACTGTACATGAACAAGTCGACGCATTTAACCAGTCTCTTCAACGTCTTGATGCGTCTCTGTGAGGCATGGAAGTGGCCGCTATCGAGGGATTGCCGCCCTCGTGCTACTATATTCCCAACTTCATCACTCCTACCGAAGAAGAGCAAATCATTGCGGACATTCGGAAACTACCTCAATCGAGATGGACCTTCTTGACCCATCGAAGACTGCTGTCTCTGCCCTCGAGCCTAAGCGGGTCTTCTCGCGACACTTTGCTGGACGCACCGTTGCCAGGCTACCTCAGGTCCACAGTCTCCCGGCTGAAGGACCACAAATTCTTCGAACATTCCACACATCAGGCACCAAACCACGTCTTGATTAACGAATACAAGCCCGGCGAAGGCATCATGTCTCATGAGGATGGTCCAGCGTATAATCCTATAACTGCCACCATAAGTCTGGGCAGCCATACCGTGCTTGAGGTCCACAAGAAGAATGAACAAGGCGAACGAGAAGCAAAGCCTACCTGGCGTATTCTACAGGAGCCTCGAAGCCTGCTCGTTACAACTGGTGAGATGTACGTGCAGACACTCCACGGTATTTCCGAGGTAGAGACAGACGAAGACTTAGATGAAGACCATATCGTGAATTGGCATCGTTTGGGAGATATGAAACAGTACGAGTCCGGCAGAGCCACGAGACAAACACGAATCAGTCTCACTCTCCGGGACGTTATCAAAGTCGCCAAACTGGGAGGAGCCATGAAACTCATCAACAGAAGACCATGATTGTCCCTTGACAGCTTACTTCTCCTTCTGAAGAATCTCGCCTGGTGGTGCTGGCATCATAGCCCCGGCGGCAGGCTTATTCTTACTTTTGAAGTTATCGACCATCTCCGCCATGGTCACCCACTCGACACCCTCATGCTTGTTGATGTGCTCAATCAATCTTTCATGCATGAACAGAACGTGTGGTCGACCTGACACATCCGGATGTATTGTCATTGGAAAGATGAATTCGTCATATTCTCGGTAAAAATAGTCAAAGTGGTCCTAATTCTGTGTCAGTCATTGACGCACATGGCACACATACTCTCGACTAATACTTACCCGCCACAGATCTTCCACGTCCCGCGAACTTACCCAACCATGACTGTTGGGCACAGCCTTCATGAACATCATTGGCGGTAGGTCGTCCAGGTACCAGTTGGCAGGGATCTCCACGAGCCCTGTTTCTTGGCCCCTTTTGAATGGCTTCATCCATTTTGCGGCCTTTTTGTTGTAATCGATCTTCGTCCAATCGTCCCCGGTCCGAAGGTAATATGCCTGGCAATCATGGTGGTTCATGCTATGGTCATACTCGATGCCATACTGCAGCAGAAGTTCTGTTGCTTCCTTGCTTACCTCCCACCAGGGTGCAACAGTACCGCGAGGTGGTTTGCCGTGGCAGAAATCCGTGAGCATACGGTAGGTATGGTCAAGAATATCACGTTGTTGTTCCAACGTCATGTCAACTGGATTCTCATGGCTGTATCCATGCAAACCAATCTCATGCCCAGCATCTCGAATCATGGCACATTCTTCCGGGAACGTCCTATGGTTTAATTCTGACATCAGCTGTGAGCCTCCCGGGCAAGCATGATCACGTACTCTAGACTGTGTCCCGGGATGAACCACGAAGCTTTGATGTGATATTTCTCAAACAGCTTCAGCAATCTTCTTACCCCTTGAGTGCCGGCGAAATAACCTGCTCGGCAACGACGAAATATCAGCCTTCAAAGACGGAATTGAGATGCTGTTGGGCACTTTTCCTGAGCGACACGCGATTTCTGGGTCACGGTCGAGGGCTGGACCTTGCCTCACAGGTTGTACACACCTCTAGAGATGTCACTGGTAGAGTCTTCGCCTTTGTAAGAACCCAGCCATCCAGCAATGGCGTCAATGTCGACACCGTATGACACCAGAACCCGCTTCTTGGGTTTGGACGTGTTATCAGACATGGTGCCCGGGGGACGCAGAATGCTTACAACGAGGAGGTTGTGACTTTAAACCACCGGCGTTTTATAATCGGCGTCGAAAAACGATATTCCACGCAATCCCTATAACCAGCTACTCTTAGATGGTTCACTGGTCTGCAAAGAGCGAGGCAACCAGAGTCTTAAACATATCCTCGAGTCGTCGATGGCCTCGGCTCTTGCAGCAATGACGTCTAAAGATCTACCCACTGACACTGCTATACTCCTCCTCGTTGACAATGTCCTTCCTTATCTGGCAGAACTCCCTTTGGGCGTTTATTACTGGTCCAAGTCTGGAGTCTGGGCACTGCCCACCGCATCCCACTCCGAGCTGTGCCTCATTCTTCCCCTCATATTACGGCATACGGGGAGGGACCACGATTCGTCATGAATCGGCGTTCTTCAAGCAAACGATAATGAAGTCCTGTCCCCGTGAGCTCAGGTGGTTTCTCAATTGTCGAGCTTCGTTCACCAGCAAAGATTACCCAACGGGAGGGATTGCAACATACACTCCAAGAGAACCAAGAAATTCAAGAAAACGAAAGATTGCACGGCCAGCGTTCTCATACGGATGCTTGGCCGCGGTGGAAGATAACATGCCAGTACATGTGTTTCTCTTTTACTTGCCAATGCCGACCGGAGATATTTCCCTGCCAGTTCTTGAACCTCTCAAATCATGGCCGGCCGTGATGAAGGAGCGCGATAAAATACTTCGGTAACCCGGGGTCCGTGGCGTCGTCAAACCAAGTGGCGCTTCTAGCTATCCGGAATAACGGACTCATCCCAAAGTGAAGAGGAGCTACGCCTTGCCACCCCGTCCCTTTGAGTGTTACCTGGTAGAAAGGGTTTCACGGGGCCCACGCTACACAAAAGTCGTCTCGTACAACAGTTACCCTAGCTCACCCATGACCCTGGATGTATCCGAGGTAGGTATGCTGTGACGAGTACCATCTGAGAACAGGCTGTGCGGGCTTCAACCACACTTCTTCACCATCCTTCCTAGAGCTGCGTGCTAACCATTTCACGGTGACACGCCGGTTCACACGGTTCGAACTAGTGCAGAGATTACAATCGGATCCATTCTAGACGGGAAATCTCACACTCTCGATACGGGCACTTACCTTTTCGCCTTTCGGAACAGGTGGTGACCGACCATGACCATACATTGAAGAAGCTCGTGATACGTGGGCTTTTGGATTGAGAAGCTTCGTATCACAACGAAACGCCAGAACCGTACTAGTAACCCACAATATCGGGTACTGCTGAAAGAAACTCTGCGGAAAGAAACTCTCCTGAAGCCGTGTCAGCCCGCCAATCTCTATGCCTGGTACTTTCTGGCAAGGCTGAGCCTTCAGGGGGAGCAGGGTCTGCGAGATTGTCTCCCACCAGTTCCAACCTCTTTATTATGAAAATTCGCTTACGGCAAGCAGATGATCACATTACGGAAGAGGCTAGCACAGACCGGTAGTACCAGATATCATGCATCGCGTTCATGCATCCCGTTCTGGGAAGGACCTGCTGTTTCACCTCAAGTCCCGGACATCCCTGCTCCTTCTGCATCACCCCTCCCGAGGCGAGCCTGAGGTCCGAGAAGAACAGCACATAGCCATTAAACTGCCTTAGGACCTTTTCCCTCATGATCTCTTTATTCTTCCATTCAAGGTACAATCCTGTCCTGATAAGGGTATTTACAGGTTGGTTGCCTGGGAGTATCCGTGCTGCGATTGACCACATAACATAAACAATGGCTTCTAGTGCCGGAGAAGCCATTATTGGAAAGACGCAGACTGTTCCTCATGGCCACAAAGTACTCTCCATCATGGAAAAAACCAAATCAGCCGAGGAAAAGCACCTCCCACCAGTTTCGTCTGCCGATAACAACAATGACAACAACCTGATCTGCGATGAGCCCGACGAAGAGCCAGAACTCCATGCCCGCACCTACATCGCGCTGTTGTCCATGTTCCTACTGAATATGGTGCAAGTAGTGGCTCTACAAGGACCGCCTGCTGTGGTGAGTGTCAACAAACAAACATCACCTATTGCTTGGATCACCCTCAGTTCTACTCATTTGCGCTTGTTTCGATGCTTGCCCCATTCTACGCCGCTCAAGTAACTCACTGACAGCCTGCTCACATTTTTAGCTTTCCTATATCGGGAAGAGCCTCAACAACCCTCCTGCAGAGACTTGGGTGACCAACTCATTGTCTCTCGTGCAAGCTGTGTTGGGCCCTGTCATATCCGCCGCCTCGGACACTTTTCAGGCACGAAAGACGATTCTAGTCGGTACAAGTTTGATATCTCTTGTCGGATCAGCAATTGCTCCGGGCTCAGGCACAATATACAGGCTCATCGCTGCCCAAACGCTTATTGGCGTAGGCTTCGCATCTGTGCCTCTTGCCTATGCAGTGCCGAGTGAGATTTTGCCTCGAAAATGGAGGCCTAGTACGTATTCTTCTCACCTTCAGAAACAGAACTAAGCAAGGTGACGACGACTGCCAACCTATGGATGCTAATTTGTCCATTCTCACACCAACAGTGGCCCAAGCATGCATGAACATTGCCGCAGCCATAGGTGCCATCATAGGCCCACTCATCATCGGTGCCCTCACCAGAGGTGACGAGAAGAATGGCTGGCGAAAGTTCTACGTACGTTGGCTCATGCAAAATTCAAATTTTCATATCAGTCGTTCTAAGTGCGGTTGTTTCCTGTGTGATGTGTTTCTGGACCTGCCATTCTACTATCGTTTTTTATAAACGAAACACTCAATTTGAGTCATGCCCGTCATCTATGTACTTACCCCTTGTTCTGTCGCTCACTTTGTCTGCTAGTGGATACAACTAGGCCTCTGGGCCGCCACAGCGCTCGGGATACTCATCGGCTACCGTCCTCCTAAACGACATACACGACTTGACCACCTTTCCTTCTTGCAAAAGCTAGGCCATCTCGACCTTCCCGGATGTTTCTTACTCACTGCCGGGTTGTCACTATTTCTGACCGGCTTGAACCTCGGCGGCGGCCTGTACAGCTGGACCAACGTGCGCACTTTGACTACACTTGTCCTTGGGATCGCGATCCTCATCGGCTTTGGCGTATATGAGTGGAAAGGCACAAGGAGAGGCATCCTGCATCATGACTTGTTCAAGGGCGGACGTTCACGGGGACAAACGTTCGCCATTTGCGTCCTTCTGATCTTGATCGAGGGCATCTTGTTTTTCTCCTTTATCATCTTCTATCCTATTATGTAAGTGAGCAGATGTGCAAAAAAGGAGAACCATCACCTTGTTACATCACTTGTCTCTTGAACTAGGGGCAGCCAGACTGGTATACACTGGTATATGTCCGCAAGCCCTCAACCCCGATGTATCATGAGTTCCTCGTGTTACTCTCCTTGCCTTTTGATCCCCACAAGCCTCCTCGTTGCATCCACCAACCCAGACATATTCGAACGAGACATATTATTCCTGCAGTACATCAAAGACCGGCCTTAAATGAACAGTCGTGTGCTGACTAGCATGGTTCCAGGTCTACCAATCTCTTCCCAAGCGACCCGTTCCACATCGTCTCTCGTTCCATGCCATTTTGGTCTTGCACCTGCCTGTCCACGGTCCTATGGGGCATGGCAAGCACAAAATTCCGAACGATCCGCGAACCATTGTTTCTCGGCTATGTGCTATTCACCGCTGGTATCATCGGCTGGGCCACCGTCGAACCAAGCCACAGCGGCGGCATCACCCAACTCTGCATGGCTGGTCTTGCCGGGTTCGGGTTTGGAGCACCACTGATTTTGATTATCGCAGGAGTGCAGCTGTCCACTCCCCATCGGCTCATTGCGACCGCAACAGCCGTGACGACTTCCTCTCGAGCCGTTGGGGCCACCGTCTTCACGGCAATCCTTTCGGCGGCCCTGAATGCGCGGCTGGACAAGAATATCCCAGGCCAAGTTAGCCGCGCCGTCCTCAATGCTGGACTCCCCGCTGGGTCGGTTGGCATGTTCATCAAGGCTGTGACTGGGAATGGTATCACTACCACTGTCGCTGCCGCCACGGAGTCGACGCGCAATGTGCCCGGCGTATCGCCTGCTGTTGTTGACGCCGGGGTTCGAGCCCTGAAACAGGCATTTGCTGATTCCTTGCGTGTCGTGTATGAGATTGCAGCTCCCTTTGGCGCGGTGGCATGTCTTGCTTGTTGGGCGCTGGGTGATTTGCGCACTACAATGGACTATCGTGTTGATGCGCCTGTCGAGGATCTTCATGCCAAACAGGAGCACCACCTTCACACGCAAGGACAGCCTGAACAGGGGAGGGATGTGCAAGAACTGAAAACCGGCTAGAGCGGCAGTAGCGGGAACACGAGAACACGGGAACATAGGAACACACGGCTGACGACAGTGACATGAAAGTCTAGGTTAGGAAGGGGCAGGAGCCAAGGGTATCGGAGGATGAGGAGCACATTGCGGTGATACAGTAAGATCCCGGATTCAGTGACGATAGAGTCCTTACGAAGTTACGACTCAAGACATTCATCAACGAAGGGTTTCGCTTATTCAAGGAGATCGAGATCGGAGATCCTGGCGTCAGGAAGCTAGAACCGGGTTTTTTCTTTTCTTTTTTTTTCTCTCAGTAGTTATGGTGGACCTGGCAGTGTCGTGGTCGTGGTAGTGGTAGTGTCTGCTCTTCCGAGGTCCGCGAAATTACATGCAAAACTTTCAAATGCAATGCCCATATCAAACGTTGGAAAAAAGACCCAATGATTGGTATTCGTTAGTCTATATATCCAGAAATCTCAATCACGGCTGCTTCGCCGCCGCCTTATCATGCAAATCACCCCTGTTATCGTCCGTAGTAATAGACTCATCAATCCGACGGGCCTTATCGCTCGCTTGTCCTTCCGAACCCTTTAGGGCCTCGTCGACGCTCTCGCTGAATGTTTGGCCCGCGCCGATTTCGGGCAGTGATGGTGCGCCTGTGGTGGATTTACTTGTGGTTGCGGGCATTCGGCGGCCAAGGTCGCGGTCGACGGCAGTTTTGATGCCGTAGTTTGATTTCTGTTCGTCGATTGTGTTTCTGGAAGAAAAGAAAAGATATGTTAGTTTTCGGTTCTTTTGGTTGGTTAACAGCAAATGGGATGGAAGAGAAAAGCTCGAGAGCAAATAAAGAAGAAAGAGCAATGAATGGGATCGGATCGTTCGGTCGGGGGATCTGGGGTCTTGGGTGAATTGATTTCTTGATCAAGGGTTCGGGGGTGGGACCGGGTTGGAAAAAAGGACTTTTGGTTCGGATGATGGACATATCATCATCCTCCTCCTCCTCCCTCTGCTCTCTCTTTTCTTCTCTTCTCAAGAATTTTTCAAAGTGAAGGAGAGCACTTCCATTTCTATCAAACAGACATTCTTTCTTCAACAACAGCCCATCGGGTTCAAATTGCAGCGTGAATAAATATCTCCCGCTGCAACTCCCCTCTCCCGGCATTGGTTTGGATTTCAACATCCCGTCATTTACTCATTCATCCTTCAATGCCACCCTTGAAATGCATTTCATCCTCTCTTCCACACAGCAATGGCAGGGTATAAATGAGACGGAACTTGAAGCTCAGATCCGATCTGGGAAAAACAAAACGGCGGTCTGAAGAATAAAACAGACACAAGGGGAGAGATTCCGGGAAGTACAGTACATATAACAATAACTACAGTAGTTGTAGGTTTGGTTCGGTCACTTACTGTGCAATTCCATGTTGCTTCGCATCAAGACTCGTCGGTTCGTACTCTCTTGCGTGTCCGCCATTCGAGTCTGGCATGTTGGTTCGGGCGTCTGTCATTTTGTTTGGCCGTCGCTCGACCTGATTACGAGCAACGTGTGTATTCTGTGTGCAGCTATGTGCGAGAGAAAGGCTCGGAGGGAAGAGGTTCTGGTCCGGTCTGGTCCGGTCAAAGATACTACTCGAACCCGGAATAGCGGTAAGATCAACAATAATAGACTGTAAAGCCACGAGGTCCGGGATAATGATTTGTCCAACTTGGGAGCTGAGCTCGACAATTCAAAACAAAAAGCAATAATGTTTGAAATCCGCGCGGTCAGTCAGTTGATAGGGTCGTCGTCTGTCATGCCGATCCTTGTGGGTTCCGATGGGGAAGCGAAACGACACCGCTTCTCGGCAGCGGCGGTAGTTGTACTGTATACAAAACCCGGACACCGTCAACGATACCGAGATAGACTTGATTGCTGCTTGAGACCAACCTAGAAATTCAAACGTCCTAGATCAGTCACTGCCTTCCCTGGTCATATATCCTCACATGGAGGCATCGACTCGAGGTTGAATCGAACACACTGCACAGTCCTATGACGCAATATAGGTAATTATTGGGTTCACTTGGATATAAATAGCAATTAGTACCTAGCAATGTCACTGACCCAAATACCTCCAAAGCAAACTGGCCCTACTACTGTGCCAGGCAGTACGACTGAAGTACATTAGTATCATCACTCCCACTACGGTATATCACTTCGTCTACGGTTGCGGGCGAGACTTGTGCTGCGAATCTGACTGACATGTTCTTGTGTTGTCTTCACTGGGGAAGAATACAGGACAAGGTCAAGAATAGCTAACTCGGCCACCAATCTCAAGATCGCAATGGTACAATGTATTGGCAATTCTAACAATGCAGCCGCCCACCCAGTAAACACTAGACCGCCGAGTACCCAACCGGCACCGAGTCATGCTACGTCCCAAGCCGTCGGACACCCCAATGACTGACATGCTACATCCATCTATAAGTGCCACCCCACAATGCACGCCTTGAGATCATGAAACCACTTCCCAATGCCAACTTGAACGCCAGTCAATGTCTGAACTGCGCACCCATCACTCTTTCTGGCGATTATCTTTTCAGTGCAGCATCCAGTGACTTCATCGTGGAGTCCACTTCACCAAGCAAAGCCTTCCTGAAGGTGCGAGTTTCAGGAGAATCGACGTCAACAGCATCGGCTTTGAGTGTGATGTGTTGCATTACGCTCTCGCTCAGCTTGCGGTGCTCTTTTAATCTGGCCTCAGGATCCGAAGGGGGGTTGGAGATGAACTTGCGGCAAAGAGGAAGCCACTCCTCATGAAACACATCGGACAACGTTTGTAGTTTTCCCAAAGGAGTACTGGGGTCTGCAGCGCGTGTCGTTGGTGCCGGGGTTGCGCTCGGAGTGGGAGCACCAGAAGGTCCTGTTCCTCGATTTCGTGACGGGTCCCGTCGGTTGCTACGATCGTCCAGATCTCCCTTTCGATTGCCACCAGATGATTGTTTCGATTTGGAAGAAACGTGACCGTTGGGGGAGAGAAACTGTGAGCTGCTCGACGGCGTAGGTTGTGGAATTTGATCGTCGCTACGGTGTCTGACAGACGACAATGCTCGAGGCCGCCGGCGCGGGTTTTGGTTGGAAGACGCCACGCTGTCCTCTCCACTGGACGTATGACTCTCCCTATCGCTGTAGTCGAGGGTGCCTTCGGTCAGGATGGCTGCGACTTCGCTATTTTGCTTCATGCGGTATTTTCTGAGGGGCCAGGAATCATGTTTCAAGTCGCGCTTTTTGTAGACCAGTCTCACCCGCCTAGGGTCAGTTTGTAGCCATTTGGCGACGGCATTTCTCAGTTGATGGACGTAGGCTTTCCCTTCACTGATAGAATATGGGGGAAACTGGACAGGCAGTAGAGTGGCCATGTACCGGACCATTATGACATCCGGGGCATCTGGGTCGTCCTCCTTGGTGTGTCCTCTTGTTCCCGACGATTGGTAAGGGTCTTGTAGAATATCATGGTCGGCATCAATGTACTCGAAGTGGTTCGACAAATTGCGGGTATACGGGTCGGCGACATTGCTGGTGTAAGGAGAGCCACCACTACGGCCACCACCATAGGTACCGTAGTTACCGTAGGCACTCATCAGAGAGCGGAAGAGGAAGAAGAGGAGGGAAAGAAGGACTGCGGCGACGGTAGTAAACGAGGCGGTCGAATAGTCTGTAAGCGCGGTATTGACGGCTTCGTGGATGTCGGCGGGCAAATATTGTAGCAGCGGTTGGGTCAGGCTGAGGAAATGCTGCGAGAGTTCGGAAACCCAAGTTTGGAGACTTGGGGAAGCCACGGTGAAAGATGTCAATCGAGACGGGAAAACACGACACCGTCTGGTCGTGCGATCACAGCATCAGCTGGAAAGGATGTTGATATGGTGATGTTGAGCAATGCCGGAGAAAATGGAGTTTATCAAATATCGAAGCGGCGAGGTGGATTCGATTGACTGGTCCGATATTGCCCTGGACACAAAACAGAAGACGAGGGGCAGACAGGGTGGTTCGACGGGCAAGGCTAGTACTAGTAGTCGATCCGTCAAAGGAGTCCAGGGCTTTCTCGTGGTAGTTGCTGAGTAGCAATCTGAGTGGTAGAGAAGCGAAACTGCGCAGGCAAAAGGCCTCGAACACTGGCACCGGCAGACCCTGCGGTAAATTGGTCTGGTCCCCGTGATCGCTTGGCTGAGACGGATGACGCAGCAGTTGGCTGACGCGCGATACCGCTGGGCAGGGTATATATATAGTACTAGTACTGTTGATGTTGAAGCGGTTCCAGTCACTGTTGCGGTAGAGATATCACTGTACTGTGAAGATGGGGATGCTCCTCAGAGTGATAAACACTGCATGGTACTCAAGGTGCGGCCGGACGATTGTAGCATGACTGCTGTCCTCACAGTACAACTTTAGAGGCACACTGGAGTCACGCGGCGGTGCGGGTGGCCTCGGATGGGAACAACAGATTCTCCGACACAGTGGGAGCCTGAGACCGGTCGCTTACTCATCGTATCAACTACGCCATACAATCGGACCACACGACCAGATACCAAGTATACATTTCGATTGAATAATAAATGCCTCTCGCTGTGGCTGGAACCACAAGCTTCTGACTGTGCCTTGCTTACATCCCTTGGTAGAGAGGGTGTTTGGGTGCGGCCGGCGGTAGTTGTATTATTGTCGGTTGGTTTACTGTACGGCGGCATGGTGGTAGGGCGGGATATCCCGCCACCGCTTGTTCTATTTAACAAGTACAACCGAATGGACTACTAGTATACTAGTAGGGCCATATCTCCTACACATTGCCACGAAATGGCCAAGGTGAGGCGTGGGGAGAATATAATAATATACTCAAGTACAGATACTAGCATGCCGACATACTACTCGTAGGTAGGCATTCAAGCTGGGCCTCCTTCCCCTGTCCGCGGTCATCAAATCCCACAGGAAACTGGGACTCGGCACTGTCACTGACCTTAGGTACGACACTGCATGGATAGCGTCCACAGTATGAAAACTACTTTGTACCGTGTAAGGTAGTTTCTTTGGCCGTGGATGGTGATCTACCGCCGCCTCATCCTGCCCTTCAACTCGAAGCCTTGCTCGAACATGGAGCGATATGACTGGTGGAAATGCCGGAGACTAAAAGAGCCTGAGTGACACTGCCAATGACGACAATTGTTTGGCCTCCCACGTCCAAATGCACGTCTTGAAAACTGATGTCATCCTTTGCTCTCTGCACATCCCACATTCACCGCCGCAATCCCACGTCTTGAGGCCTCTTTAGCCGCGCAACTTTGCACTTGAACAGGCTTGAGCTGGTACCTGCTTTTAGGGGCCTCGATGCTTCCGGAACCGCCCTTGTCTGGGCACCTCTGCTTCGACTTCAGTGAAGGCTCCGTACCTACCCAAGGTACCTAGGTAAGGATTTTAAGCCATACCGTCTCGTACTATAATGGTGGTAGATTTGTTGCCTGCGCTGTCCCTGTCCGAATGACCTGGCCACGTGCAGCCGCAGAGGCATATCAGCAAACGTATGCCAGTAGGACTATGAGGTCAGGTTCTGAGCATCTGCAGTGTGTTATGATGCCGGCGCCAGTAGTAGAACTGTTGGGTACCAGTATTCCCTGGTACCTTATTAGCCTCTCCTATCAATTCACCGTTCCCTCATATTTTGTTTCCTCACTTCATACACTGCAAACCTCGTCGTGTCCTGGCCTTATGTTTGGACGGTACGCCATCCGATACGTCGGTTCCATTGTGTACAAACTGCCAACCTCTCTCATATGGCTCTTGAGGACGATCCCTCTCTGAGGTAACAAATGAACTTTCAGTAGATGAAATCACAGGCACACCGCCGCCGTATTCACTTTCTGCTTTTCATTATTCCCAACCAGGCACTCCATACCTACCTACCTTGATCTCTGCCTCCCCAGTTCATATCTCCGCCGGTCCAGCTACACATCCTCCTACAATTTCGTTACCATGGACCTGTACAATCTCCCCAATGCTACCGATCCTCCCCGACCTACGGCCTCCTCTCTTTCAATACCGTCGCTATTCTGTGCTACTACCTTCGCGGTATGGCTCATCAGTTTCGTCTATTGGTGTGTGCAGGACTATCGACTGTACAAGTCTTTAGGTCCCGGTGGCCCTCCTTACAACGTCCGGGGTTGGTTGGAAGTCTCTTTTTTTGTCAGGCCCTTCACCCTCGCAGCCGACGAGACCCTCTGGACCGGGGACTATCCAAGGACAGGTTGTCATAAGGAGATTGAAGCGCTGCCGGAGCGTGCTGGAGAACGACCAGTGGTGAAGGGGATCGCTCCGCAACGGCAGTTTAATCAATTCGCTCCAAAAGACATGAACTCGGTGAGTGGAAAATCTGTCCTTTTTCTTGCTGTTTGTTCGTCGAACTAATGCCCAGCAGCGGATCCTCTCTGTGTTTGCATCTCTTGTGAAAAAGAACAGCGGACTATTGGAACAAAAACTTTCCGTCTTCGAAAAGCACCACATTGCACTCTTCGTCCATCACGATCTTCTCTCCAAGTCAAAGGAGCTTCCCGACACCGCTATCAGATCGAAAGGAGAGTTGGGCCACATTCATGGCGAAGCATCTGTCCATCTGTACTTTTCCCCTGCAGACGCCAAGGTCATCGTTGAGAAAGGCTGGGCCGAGCGACATCGATGTGCTAGGACTCAACCCTGGTACTTCGGCTGGAAGAAGTACATGTTTGGCATTGGAGATACTTTCCTGTTTGTGTACGTTCCTCGAAATGATGAGGAACTGGACGTGCTCAAAACTCTGCTCTGGGCCAGTGCACGTTTTATGACCGGAGAAAAGGACATTGTTGCACCATGAACGGTGCGGCAGAAAGGGAATGATCATACAACGGTAGTCGATCCTTGAACTACCACTGACCTCTTTCGAACGATTTTATGCACGGCGTTGGGGAAGCGATGAGCATAAGAATGCAACTGAAGCAACGGCCGCTATGTTTGTATGGCATGGTTTCTAGACTGGGGGATACAGACTGGCGCAACGGCGCGATGGTGTTTTGGTTGAGGCAGGAACTTGAACTGCTAGAGGCGATGGGCTTGACTCTTCGCATTGACCGGGTCATTTCTCGTGTATCGTTTGTTCAATGAGTCTCAAGTTGCACAACGGGAGCCTAGAAGAGCCAATTAAATTGTGCGATGCCAGCATTTATCGCTTCAAGTTTTCAACGCCAGAATTCTGTCGTGCTACCGCCTGTACTTCGCGTCACTTGCACGAAGTTGAGATCGTGCTGGAGGCGCTGCTTTAGCTGCAGATGCATCGAGTCCAAACAGCAGACAAAAGCAGCGTGCTCCGATGGTAACCGCTTTCACGTGACCGGCCTCTTTATCCTTCGCTGTGCTCGCCGCCGCCAATCGGGCCAATGCGAGTCGTATGGGACTCTTTTGATTTGCCCAATAATAGTGCACTTCCATCGCCGTTCATTAATCACCATCTCATCCCACCACTCACCTACAACATTGTATACCGTTCGCAAATCGACGCCGTCGTCGCCTCAAAACCTCAGCGATGGTTGCAACAATGTCTCATAGCCGTTGTCTGCACGGTCGTCTGTGGTCGTCGCCCTTCAAAGTGTTTCTTCCCATAAACTCAACTTCCACATCAACCCGATCCTTCGCCACCACGACCGATGACCTCCCCACCACCGGTGTCACAGCCAGACCTAGAGCGGCTCGAGCGACGACGTTCGCCGACAAACTCAATGCGGGACCATCATTTGCGGACTTTGTATCCGCCAAAGAAGCACCGCTCGATCCATCCGAGGCATACGCGCTGAAGACCGCCCTCGTTGGACCGAAAGGGAAAAAGAAAGAAATCACGCGACTCCCACCATGGCTGAAAACGCCTATCCCGGACACGGCATCGTACAAGAAAATCAAAAACGACCTGCGCGGCCTGAACCTACATACAGTCTGCGAAGAGGCGCGATGTCCCAACATCTCGGACTGCTGGGGCGGGAGCAGCAAGTCGGCCGCGACGGCGACGATCATGCTCATGGGCGACACATGTACACGCGGTTGTCGGTTCTGCAGCGTCAAGACATCCAAGGCGCCGCCTCCGTTAGACCCGCATGAGCCCGAACACACGGCGGAAGCATTGTCACGATGGGGATTGGGATATGTAGTACTAACAAGTGTGGACCGGGACGACCTGGCCGATGGCGGCGCCCACCATTTCGCCGAGACAGTGCGCAAGATCAAATCCAAGGCCCCTTCGATTCTGGTCGAGTGTTTGACCGGCGACTACGCGGGGGATTTGGAAATGGTCAAATTGGTCGCCACGTCCGGGTTGGACGTCTATGCGCACAACATTGAGACCGTCGAAGCCTTGACTCCTCAGGTGCGAGACCGTCGCGCCACTTTCCGCCAGTCCCTGAGTGTGCTCAAGGCCGCCAAGGAGGCTAAACCGGGCCTCATCACAAAGACGTCCATCATGCTGGGTCTGGGCGAGCGAGAAGATCAGATCTGGGACGCGTTGCGAGAGTTGAGGGCTATTGATGTCGACGTTGTCACATTCGGCCAGTACATGCGGCCCACGAAACGACACATGCCCGTCCATGAATATGTCACACCGGATGTCTTTGAGCAGTGGCGCGTCCGCTCTCTGGAAATGGGCTTCTTGTATGTGGCCAGTGGCCCTCTGGTCCGAAGCAGTTACAAGGCGGGCGAGGCGTTTATCGAAAATGTGTTGAAGAAGAGACGTGCTGGCAGAGCAGAGACCGCAAGTGCGGATATCGCGGGCGATATCCCTGTGACGGCTGTCGAGGGCGGAAAGATTTGATGTTCCAGTATGACCGGGCGGCATGGCTTTGAAGTGTCTATAATGGTTTGGCGTTTCGGGTGCGACTTCAACGTTGGCGTTAAAAACCAAGGTGGTTCTATATGACACACCTTTTCATCTTGTGTGTCGATATCTTGTCAATGTCAACCAGCGACAAGTTGTTTTTGTTCTCTCGAGGAACCAAGGCTTAACGCAACACAGCGTAGCAATACTACAAACAAGTCAATCATCACAACTGAAGTCGTACCAGTGTTTGGAAGCAAAGTCCATTTTTCCACATGCAACGTGAACCAGTGTATGATGATTAATGTATAACAATACTTCTTGATATTCCCCGTACTCCATACAATCAATACGATCACAGGACTCCGTACACCATGGTCTCTTGATACTCATCTTGAATCAGTTGGGATTATGATCAACCGATCCCCTGCCACGCAAATCACGCGGAATACGTTCTTTCAATATCCACCACTGCATCTCACAGACCTCTCATCAACTTTCGTGGTTCTGTTGTCTTGCCTACCTACCCACAACTCCCACACTCTGGACCTCTCACATCATCCACCGTCCCCATTCTTCTACCACTACCACCACCGGAACCACGACCACTTGCTCTTCCCCCGAATCCGAATCCAAACCCGCCTCCGCCTCTGGGTGCAGTTCGCGTGTTCGTATTCGTATTCGGCCTCCTTTGTCTCGTATTAAACCGCGACCCCTCCGCCGCAGCATACGGGTCCAAACTAAACAGTGAAACTAGATATAATCCGAAGAAATTGTACACGTCGTGCGAGAATCGGGAGATTCGGGCCGTTAGGGGAGGACTATATAACACAGATCAATGAGTTAACAAAATGCCCAGTGAAAATAGGGAGGAGTGTAGTGATATGAATTAGAGTATGATGTAATCTGGTGGTGTGTCATATACGTACCTTTCCAAAACATGGCCAGATGACGAAATGTATTTCGGTTTGCCTGCACCACTACTACCGCCTGGCGCGGTAGAGGTCGGTTTCTTGTCGGCCATGATGCGTTGTGTTCTTAACCCTCCGTTCCGTTTCGGATTGGATCAGAGGAAGGATGCGCGTGCTACGCTTTGTTTCTGGTTCCTTGAGGTTGGTGCTTGGGTATCCTTCCTCAGCTGCGCGAGGACGAAAGTGTCTGCGTCGTGTCTCTGTTTCTGCTCGTTCAAATGCAGCGTGACAGTCGTCCGGTCGATTGGTAGGCCGGCTGAACTTGAAGACCGCAACAGTAACAGTTCCAAGGGAAATCGCGACTGGAAGGATCAAGCCGGTTCCGTCGTCGTTACAACCGATTCGATTGGGCTTCGTGGACTTTAGTTCCGCGTCGTAAGGTGTGTGTTTGCACGAGTTTGTTTTCGGAGTTCCAAGGTAGAGTGTAGAGTATCGTATCGTATCGTAGTAGAGCAGTACTGCGGTGTAAGGCAGTGGTCGTAGAGTGCAGCAGCCTACTGGCAGTGTAGGTAGTAGGTAGGTAGGTAGGTATCCGAATTTAGGGGGCGGAGGGAGGTTCACGGCCCTGTCCGAGCGTTTCAAATAAACGACCCCTGCAGTGCGCTGGATCTAGGATGGACTTGCGATTTGATCGGTGGGCAGCGTGACAAGATGAGAACTTGAACTGGAACAATGTATGGTATCTGTAGCGTTGTGCAAGTAGTACCACTGTAGTATGTATATCACATGTGGGCTTCAGGTCAAGGCGAGCCGGGGTCCGCCTCCGCACTGCCACCAGAGATGAAGGCCAGGCTGTGCAAGGGACTTTCAGCCTTATCACGTGGTTCTAAGGTTGGCTACCACCTTCCCGCCACCACCAGGATCCCGCCATAGCGCGTAGCACGCGCCCCTACTACCTACCTATCAACAAAACCTTCGTATTCCTCTACCAATTGACCTTCTACCACGTCGTCGTTATAGATCCTACTAGCTAGGCTCTCGTTACACTCGATTCTAGTATCGTAAAGACTGTACGATAGGCGGCGCTCTACGCAGGCGCCTTAAGATTAACTATACGCGACCGCGCTAACGGCGCGAGACCTAAAGGATAAGAAGAGGTCTCGTATACAAATCTTACGCGGCAATAGAAAGATATTCTAGCTATATATATTCGAGACCTATAGTTATAATATATACTAGTTAATCGTACGCAACTAGCGCGCGTTACGTAGGATCTCGCGCGCTAAAGGTACCTCTTCGTTAGGCTCGGTATATACTAGGTCTCTCGCTTTATTAAGCGACGACCTAAGTTAAGTTATACGCGTAATAGAGCGCTCGACGCTAGTAGAATCTAGACTACTATTTCTTATTAACTAGACGGCTAGTTTACGTATCTTTCTAAAGTCGTACGACGCTTCTAGATTCTACCGAAGAATATCTAGAATATAGACGAGATAGACTTTTAAATAAGCTACTTATAGAAGAAGTCTATAGTCTTTAATCGACGTACGAGGCTATCTCTCTTAATTACGAGTAGTTCTATAGACTAAGTCTCGATCCTAGAGTATATCTTCGCCGCGAACGACGCTATAAAGCCCTTAGTTATTTATCGTAATAGACTACTAAATTAACCGCTTAACTACTAGTTTCTACTATCGCCTAAGTATCCTAATTAGCGTTAGGGCTTTATAGAGAGAGGCTAGACGACGAATAAGTACGCTCTCGAGTAGCTAAAAGAGATATTTATTTCTAAGAGTCGTCGAGAGCGTTATTAAGACGACGCCTCGTACTAGCGACTCCTTATTCTAGATAGCCACGGAAGTTACGTAATAGGCGAGTTTATCTATCTTTACCTTATAAACTAGATTACGCTCGTTTATCTACTACCTTATACGTCGTATCTCTATTAGCCGTACGATTTAGGTCTATTTAGTCGCCTTAAGGCTTACTACGCTTAAAACCTTGAGGAATTTATTCTAGTAGGCGAGTCTTAAGTCTTACGCGCCTAGTTTAACGTTCTCTATTATCGTACGCGTTAATAGAGCTTTACTAGGTAATATATCTCTATAGACTAGCGCAGAAGTAGCCTCTAGCCGATCGTACCTAATAGAGTACTTAATAAACTAGAGATTATAGTCTATAAATAGACTAGACTAACTACCTCGGAGCGTTCTAAGTCTCAGAACGTACGTACGCTTAGAACGCTAATAGATACCGCCTCGCTAACGACTCTAAACGCGTCTATTAGTTATAAACTAACTCGCTCTCTACGTAAAGCCTAGCGTCTATTTATACGCGGCTTTATCGTAGTCGATTCTAGGGCTAGAGTGCTTTAGACTAAGTTACTAGCCGTACGTAAGCGCGTACGAGAAGATAAAGAAGAGGCTAGTAATAAACGCCTTCGTAAGTAGGATAAGAAGCGCTTCTAGGACGTCGTCGACGTCTTTAAGGCTAGAGGGCACTTATAGGAGGAAAGCGAGTTATTCTACGCTATTCTACTAGATAGAGAGACGATCTACGCGATACTAGAGTAGCTAGATTTATAGTTATTCTCTATATAAAATCGCAGACTCGGCATCAACTTATTCGTTGCGTAGTGCGTACAAACGCGCGCGGTATAGTAGGATTTCACTAGTGGCGGGATCCTGGTGGTGGCGGGAAGGTGGTAGCCAACCTTACAGTCACTAAACCACTCATTAATGGAGAAGAACTTGATGTCTGAACAAACCTGCCCATCAGAAGGAGGCAAAATACTTGCATTGTAGTGGGAACACCATCCACTGTCTTGTTTTCATCGTACATGGACCTATTCTAGCTGTATCCCACTGTGCAACGGCATCTCTGGCTGGTAAACGCCTGTTCCAGCACTGTGTCAAGCACACAATCCACCCCGATCCATGCATCGCCTCGCAATTGCCGAAGAAGACACAACCCTCTTCCGATTACATGTAACATAGAAAAAGAATCAGAACCTCGACCATCATCTATGCAGCTCCTCCCTCTCCACGAATCCGTTTTCCCTGTCCACCTCCGTCCGCACCTTCACCATCATCACGAGCCCGCTTGTTGCCGCCGCCAGGAGTGAACTGCGCAGCTTGAGGGTTCAAGGCCCCTCGACCCGGACTCTGATTCCCGCCACGACCTTGCTGATGCATACCAGCGTTGGCATGTGTTGCCCCACCGCGACCACGAGGGGCTCCGCGACCTCTCGGGATTCCGCTACCACGATTACCCCTAATAGATCCACCTCGCGGAATGCCAGATTGGAGCTGGTGCATCAAGGCTGCTCCAGTGCTTGGCTGCTGAGGTTTGGCTGGTTCATTGGTCGCTTGGGTGGTAGGCTTGGGCGCAGCCTGACTAGACTGTGCATCTGCGGGTTTAGGAGCGGCATGAGAAGTATTCATCTGTGCTGGTTGAGCAGGCTGAGAGGTCGGTGTCGCTGCAGGAGGTTGAGTTTGCGCCGGTTTCTCGGTTGCTGTTGCTGCAGGCTGGGCATGAGGTTGAACATTACCATTGGCTTTACCCTCAGTATCAGGCTTCTTGTCTTGCTTTGGCTCAGCCTTTGCTGGTGATTGCGCAGGGGCGGCAGGGGGTGCAGTGGCAGCCGCTGCTGTCGGTGCTGGCTTCGGAGCAGCAGGTGGTTTGGCGTCCTTAGCGATACTCCATACCTCGCCCACTGGCTTCTCAGGAGTCTCTTCTGCCGCTTTCTTGACAACTTCAAGTTTGGCCGTGGCGAGGGCTGCTCGACTTTGAGCCATGTTGAATTTGACAGCACCACGTTTCTCCCACATTTGTTCGGCATTCTTGATTTGCTCATCAATCTTTCTCTGGGCTTCTTTGTCAAACTCGAGCTTCTGATTGTTCAGCTCCTCCTTATGCTTAATGACCAGGTCTTGCTTCTCACGTGCAAGCTTTTCTTCGTATTGTTTGATGATAGATTCCCTCTCAGCATTAAACTCCGCGACCTTCTGTTGTATTATTTCCTCTTTCTCGGCAGTAAACTTCTGCTCTAGTTCTTGAACCTTAGCAGCAGTGGCTCCATCACCTGTGCCACCAGCACCCAGTTGCTCGGTGAGCTCTTTTCGCAGAGCTTCTTTCTCCTTTTCCACTTGCTTCTTGATGTTGGTCTGCAGGATTCTGCGCAAGACCTCGTGTTTGGCCACAAGCAACCTCGCTTTGGCCTCAGGCAGAGCCAACAGCACTTCGTCCGGAATCTGCGCCGGGTCGAGCGTACTGGATGTCTTGGCACCTTCTTCGGCTGGTTCTTGTAGTTCTGCAGCAACTGGGATCGAACCCGCTCTCAAGGCTTCCAGCTCCTCTTGGTGGCGAGCCGTCAATCTCTCAGTAAGTTCGTCCAGAGCGGCCTTCTTCGCTTCGGCGGCCTGGTGCTTAACCTCGGCCAATCGGGCGTTGAGAATCTTTTCCATAGCGGTAACTCTGGTCTTGAATTTCTCTTCTGCTGACGCATTGATTGCTTCAAGCTCCTTCTCCTTCTCGGCAAGCGAGTTTTCAAGTTCTTTGATTCTTGTCTCAAGTTGGGAAACATCAGTGTTCGGAGTGGTAGCCGTGGCAGTTGCTTCTTCGGTGCTGGTCTGTTGTTCACCGTTGACCTGGTTTGTGCTGGTGGCCGGACCATCTGCGTGGCCTTGTGTCTGAGCTGCAGCTAGCTGCTCCTTCAGGGATTCAAGCTCCGTTTGTAGGTCAGCCTGTTGTGCAAGGGCGGCGTCCAGCTCGGCTTTCCGCTCTCCCAAGGCAGCCCTGTTCTTCCTCAGGACTTCCTTGAATTGGTTTTCGAGGCGGGTCTTCAAATCACCTTTGGCGGCTTCAACCGCCGACTGTGTCGCATTGATCTGGTCCTGGAGAGCTTTCTGCGCCTCGTCCCGCTCGATCTTTACTTTGTCCAGCTCGCTCTTCAGCTCATCCCGTTCCGTCTCCAGGCTGCTGATCTTCTCTTTGAGTGCCTCCAGTTCGGCAGGATCGACACGATCATACTTGGACAAGATGTTTTGACAGCGTTGCTGCCAATGGTCACGATCCTCTTGGCTGAGCTTCAGCTCGCCTTCTCGAAGTTCAACCAAGTTCTCCAGCTCTGCTACACGAGCCTGCAGGGATTGCATCTGTCCTTCCAGTTCCTCCACCCGTTGAGACTTTTCAGCAAGAGCCTGGGCCGCCTGCTTGGCCTCCGCCCTGAGCGTTACGCTGCTTTCTCGGTAGAGGTTCAATTCGTTAAGGGACTCCATGAGTTTACTGTGTTCCAGTTTGTTTCGCTCCGAATCCGCCTCTGCACGACGTTGTTGGTCCAGTTTGAGACGAGTCTCGTCGAGTTGAGACTGGGTGAAGTCCAGCTGCTGCCGCAATCTCTTGGCCTCTTGAAGGGACAGCTGGTATTGAACGTCGACAATGTCCTTCTCGCGACGAAGGTATGTGATCACCTCCTGCAATCTGTCTAGCTCGGCCGAAGATTGCTCTGGAACCTCTTCATTGTCTCCTCCAGTTAAAGCAGCACGGTCACGTTGGAGAGTGGTGATTTGTTGGGTAACACTCTCCAACTGGCTGTGAAGAAGATTGTTCTGTTGGACGACCTCTTCCCGTCGTTTCTTGAGATCAGATATCTCTTTCTCAAAACGCTCTTTCATCTCGACCCAGCTAGCTTCTTTCTGTTCAAGATCAGACTTGTAGGTAGCAGCTTGAGTCCGGAGATCCACCAGTTCCAGTCGGAGTTGATTGGCTTCTTCTCGAACTGTGTGCACGTTTTTGGCGGCTTCGGCATGCTTAACAAGCTCGTTTTCGTAGTTCTGTTGAGCCTCGGTGGCGATTTGTGCTTGGATCTTTGAAGCCTCCAGGTTGAACTGCGCTTGCTCAGCATTCTTCTCCGCCTCTTCTTTGAGCCGCTCAATCTCAGCCTCGAAGTTCGCTTTCTGCTCTTCCATCTTCTGCGTGAACTCAGCCTGTTCATCGCGCAACTTGGAAAGCTCGTTGTTGGTCGTGGTGAGCTCGGACGAGATATCCTCGATTCGTTGCTCCAGCTCTTTGATCTTGGCCTCTTTTTCGGCGAGGGCACTTTCGGTCTCTTCGCGGTATTGATCGTTGGTTTCTGAAAGCTCTTGCAGTCGTTCCTCGCTCGACTGACTGATATTCTTGTACACTTCCACCTGCTCATTGGCACGCTCAAGCTCGGCCACCTTGAGCTCAAGATCTCTCCTAAGTTCGGAAATCTCAACTGCCAATTCTTGCTCTTTGCTAAGGGAAGTGTCTTCTTGGCCGTTGGTCTCACTACTCGGTTCTGCAGGTTTCGTCAAGACCTCTAATCGTTCTTCCGCCGAGCGAAGCTCAACCGCAAGTTCGTCCACCCTGGCCTGTAGATGATCTCTAGCAGTCTTGGCCGAGGCAAGCTCTTCCTTGGCTGCGCTGAGGCTCGTCACCAGATCGTCGATTCTCTTCTGGGATTGTTCGTGTTCATATTCACGTCTCAATGCAGCCTTTTTACTCTCTTCGATCTCCTCGTTGAGCTTTCTCTTTACAGACTGTAGTTCGGACTCGAGGGCTTCCGTTTGCGATTGGAGTCTCCGGCGACTTTCTGCATCCGTCTGTTCCCGCTCGTTGATCATGGTCTGTAGACTCGCATTCAGCTGGTCTAGTCGGCCTCTCTCATTGCGCAGGGACTCATTGTCCTCGATCAGTCGCTTCTCAACACTCTTCCAGAGATCCTTCTCTGCCTTGAGATTGGCTGCATCCCGTCGCAGGCTGTCAAGCAAACCTCGAGCTTCCACAAGCTCTTCAGCGACTTGTTGTGTCTTGAGCTCCTGCTTTGTTGCATTCTCCATGGCAGCCCACGACCTCTTCTGGATCTCGGCGTTTTCGGCCTTCAAAGAGTTGTAATTCGCCTGTAGCATCTCGTAGCGTTGGTTGGCAGCGGTAAGCTGGCCCACAGTACGGCTGATCTCGGCCTGCAACTGCGAGTTCTTCCTACTCAATTCGTCGACTTGGTTCTTCAGAGCGCTGTGATCGGTTGCCGCCTCCTGTCGGTAGGAGTCGAAGTGCTGCTGAAGATCTTTGAGCAACTTGGCGTAATCATTCTCTCCGTCCGCAACAGATCCAGCGGCAGACTCTGCACCACCAGCGGGTATAGGTAGAGATCTTGAGAAGTCGGTTGGCTGGACATTAGCAGGAAGATGGCCGCGTCTGGTAAGCATGTTTCGGAACATGTCTCTCTCTTTGACGAAACTCTTGGTTTGAGCAACCATGGTCCGCAGTTCGTCCTGATATGAAGCGATCTGTGCCCGAGCCTGTTCGAGTTCTTGGCTCAGAGCATGGTTTTGTTGTTCCTTTTCCTTGGCCTCGTTGCTCTCGAGCTCGCTGACGAGATTGCGGATGGTCTTGAGTTGGTTTTCATTTTGCTCTTGGAGTTCGCGGATGTTCTTGAACACGATCAATCGTTGATTGATCAATTGTTGGGTTTCGGAAAGGTTGGCCATATCCTGTTCCATGCCCTCCTTCGCCTGCCTCTCGAGCTCATCAAATTCTTCTCGTGTAAGATTGTCACCTTGTTCACGGACATGTTGCTCGATCAGCAGGAACCGAATTTCTGAGCCCATGTCCCGAAGTTGTTGTGTCAAGACTTCAACTTCTTTAGACCTGCTCTCAAGCTGTCCCTGGGCGTTTCTCAACTCTTTGATTGCAGACTCACGGTCGGCGTTGGCCTTATCCACAATCGCAGACATCTCCACCACCTCACTTTGAAGCCGCTCATGCTCGGTTCGAAGCTCTTCAATTTCTGGTTTGTTGTTTTCGAGCTCCTCAACCATGGCATCAAGATTCTCTCGCAACTGCTCACTGACTCGTTTCTCGGCTGCCAATTCTCCCTCAAGTTTCTTGTACTCCGAAAAGAGTTGGGTCATGGTCATTTGAGCCCGCGGCCTAGACACACTAGAAGGAGAGAAGATCCCGCTAGGCGTTCCGGCGCGAAGAGGTGTGGTGACTCCAGATCCGTTAGTGTGGCGTTGAGGAGTCGCTGGTCTGGCACGAGCTTCTTCAAGCTCGCTAGATAGCTGTTCGATTGTCTTTTCAAGCTCCGCCACACGTTGCTCAGCAGCAACACGGTCATTGTGCTCGGTCTCGATTTCCGCACGAATAGTACCAATCTCGTCAGCGGCTTCTTCCCGAGCCTCTTCCAAAGCAGCCGACAGCTCTTGGACGCGCTGTTTGGCTGTCTCGGCCGAAGCAGCTTGCAGTTCGGCCAGACGGTTGACGCTCTCAAGCTCGACTCTGAACGCGTCTTCTGCAGAGATCTTCTCTTCCCGCAGTTTTTGCATTTCCTCCAGAGTCTCCTCAAATTTGGTCATTTGTTCCTCTAGACGATGCTTTAGACTCGATTCAGACCGCTTCAAAGCCTCAACCTCGGAAATATACTGCTCATTCAGTCTTGACAATTCGGAGATGCGAGCATTCTTTTCCTTGCGGAAGTTCGCGTGCTCTTCGGCCTTGATTTTGCGCTCATTCTCCAGCCATTCGTTGTTCTTCTTGAGGATTTCGACCTCTTGCTGCAGGCTCTGCTCCTTGAATCTGGCACTTGCAAGGGCCGCATTGGCGGACTGCACTGACTGTTCGAGGGTGGTGATTGTTTTCCGTAGTTCGACAGCTTTCTGATGTTGTGCAGAGAGATCCTGGGAGAGACTCTCGTAGGCTGTAGTTTTTGATTCGAGCAGGGCAAGGGTGTCGCGGTTGGCCGACTCAAGTGAGGCAATGCGCGACTTGAGAGTGTTGATTTCAGTACTCTCGTTGGCAGTTGCAGAGCGGAGCTGCTCGATCTCGGATTCCAGTCTTGAGCGTGCATTTTCTAGGCGCATGTTAGACGGAGGTGAGAATCGCAGAGTATGTCCGTAGACTTACCGGCCGTCTGCAAATCCACGCGTAGTTTACTCGCTTCCGCAAGGGCCTTGTCTCTCGAATTTTGAAGAACCTTTGTCTTGGACTCGTTCGTCCTCACCACAGTCTCTAGTTCGACCTCAAGTTTGATCTTTTGAGACTTGGTTTGCTCACACTCCTTCGCGCGGGTTTCGATGGCTTGGAGGAAAGAGACGACGAGTTCTGTGGTCGGCGAGTCGATCAAAGATGTGATTGAGGCCTCCGGCAGCGACGAAAAGGCCGAAATGGCTCGCGTGTCCACCGCGGCAGCCATGGTCACGGTAGAACCTCCAGGGGCTGAGGAATGTAGAAGATAGAACGAGACAAAGAGACTGCGAGAATAGCCCTTCACCTCCCACGGCCGTCGAGAGATTAGGGGAGAATAGAAAGACTCTCAACGGGCCTCAGCATGGCGCGTACAAGCGACACACGAGACACGAGCCGAGAAGAAGGGCGATACAATAAAGAGAAAGAGGTGTGAGGGAATGGAGAGAGTGAGAGGTGCAGTAGTTCTCGAAATCTAAACAGACGAAGGCGGCGCGGGCAGCATTGCATTCATTCACTGAGAAAACGTGACCTGCAGCCTGCGCCTAAGCCGCCTAATAAAACGGTTCTGAGCTCATGCTTGCAGTGAGCGGGCCACTAACCACACGCCTAAGCTTTTAGCTGGAACTGGGGTTCGCTTGACCTGCCTCTACCTGTAACTCGACTTGACTTCAACCTCAGATGCGCCTCTGAATTGCCCAGATCTGACACCACTTGGTACACTTACTACACTTTCCATCCAGTCTATCTATTCCATTTCTATTTCACTCTTTTCACCTTCGTGCCGTGACTCTTTGTCACCGATTCAGTCACCCGATCTCTGAAGTAATCTTCATCGTGACAAGATACGCACTTGTCGCTTTGTCCCTCCGATCCACCATGAACTGAATCCTCGACCTGGTCCGCAAACGGAAGAGATCCTTTCGCTAGGCCGCCTCTTCCCAACCGTCCATTTGCGAACAACCCTACTTCGAGAGCCCCCTCGGCGCTTGTTGAAGCGTTTCCCTCACGATGTCGTACTTGTACGCAACGCCGACATCGGCTGCGGGCAACGATCCGCGTTCCAACGTGATCTACGCCCTGGCGAGGCTGAAGGAAAAGTACCCGGAGACCATCAGTTGGGATGAACTCCTTGCGTACGTCCTACCAGCACATCAGCGGGCCGATCAAGACCAAATCGTCAAATTTCGCACATTCCTCAATGTCAATCCCAAAGTCAACTACGATGCGGCGGCGGACACTTACAAGTTCAAACCGACATACAACATCGCCTCTGCCGACGACTTGCTCAAGTACCTCCAAAACCAGGGTTCGGCCCTGGGCATCAGCGTGCGCGACCTGAAGGATGGCTGGCCCGATGTTGAAGAAACGATTGACCGCCTGGAAGCCCAACACAAACTCCTGGTGGTACGGAACAAAAAGGACCATCACCCACGCATGGTCTGGCTCGATGACCCGACTCTGGTGGCGCCTCTGGATCAAGAATTTAAGGACATCTGGTTACAGATCCCGCTGCCATCGGTCGAAGACACGATTAAGGAACTACGTCGCATGAACCACAAGTCTACCGGAGAACCTGCACGACCAGACACGGCCACGAGACCAAAGGAGAAGAAGAAAAAGGTTCGGCGTGGTCAGAAGATCACAAACATCCACATGCAGGGCTTGTTCCGGGATTACTCCGAGAGGAGACCTCAGGGTGGGAAGTAGAACGACCCACGCAGCAGAGGTATCTTGACTGCCTGAAGGCAAGGCTTCAGGAGGGAATCCTGGTGACAATACCATGCCCGGGGATGCAGTCTAGTCAGATTGCAGACGAAAATGCCAGTCAAAAGACCGTCGCGGCCACTCAACACCGCATACAAATGGGGCAACGACGGAATGAGCGAGCGGTTTTGCTTTTATCTATCATGATAGACCTGGAAGATACTGTTTGAGATGAATGATACCCAGACAGCCCGTGGAGGAATCAAATCAAAAGCATGGCAAGATGTTGCATCATCTTTCACCTCGCATTCTACAGTTCGCATTAATGCAGCTTATCTTTTGTTTGCCAGTCTACTTCTTCTTTTATGGCGTACCATTGTACATTAGTAGGCAGCAGCCAGCGGACTTTTAAATCCCCATCACTGGGTCACTGGACACGCTCGCTCATACCTCACAGGATGCTCGAAGGCACTCCCTGGTAGAGCTATCAATGCCGTACTAGTATCATGTATCACATTCGAGGCGACATCGATACTGAGGTCCTAGGTCTTTCAGGGCACCCCGTGGACTACTTCTTGTGACCGAAGTCTCCATGGCATGGCAGACAAGATGGAAGGAATGAAACTTATGGCGGAGACGAAGAGGTGAGATGGATGGACACCAGAAACCTAACAAGAGATTACCTGTATCGCGGTGAGAAAGGACGAGGACGAGGACAGGTAGTAGTCACACTTCGTCCTCGTTGCCCACAGCGGCGCGTTCGAACAACCACCCTGACCTTCCCATCCTTCGCCTCGACCAGAAGCCAGACCAATATATCCTTATTTCTCACCATACCTCATTGCTCACCATCAATGATCGTGTCCATTCACTCTTCTGCCAGCACTGGCACTGCCATTGGCCGGGGCGGCCGCGTCTTTCTCGTTCTGAACATACCGCACCAAATCCTCAATCGTACAGACCTTCAACCCCCACGTCCTCCCAAACTCAAGACAAGCGTCTCTCCTCATCATCCCCGGATCCTTCATCTCCGCCCGTCCAGGGATCTGTTGCCCATCATCAACCATTTCACAAATAACACCAACGGGCTGCTTCCCCGCTAAGCGACAAAACTCGACCGCGGCCTCAGTATGGCCCGTCCGTTCGAGGACACCACCATCCCTTGCTTTAAGCGGGAACACATGGCCTGGTCTTCGAAAACTAGACACACTGGCTTTCGGACTCGCCAAAGTTCTGCAAGTCAGGGCGCGGTCGTGCGCCGAAATGCCCGTCGTGACTGTTGCATCTGTAGCGTCCACTGAAACAGTATATGCCGTGCGGTTGGGGTCTTCGTTGTCCACCACCATTTGCGGCAGTGCTAGCTCAGCGGCTCGCTGGGACGTTAAAGGAGCACAGATTAGTCCGCTGGTGTAGCGGACCATGAATGCCATTTTTTCCGTCGTCACGTCCTCGGCTGCGATGATTAGGTCGCCTTCGTTCTCGCGGTCCTGTGAGTCGAGAACGACGATGAACTCGCCGTTGCGGAAGGCTTCGATTGTCGAGGCGATTGTGTCGAAGCCTTTGGAGACTTCTGTGGAAGGGGGATGCATTTTGAAGATAGATAAGAGCGTGGTCTCTGATGTGCTGCGGCTTCGCCGTTTGAATTTGGCTCTAGTTTGATGTTGATGTTGCTCCTCTCAAACCAGACCCAAAGCTTTCAATCCGTTTTTTTTGTTAAAGTCGCGTTCGTCTTCCAGCTGACCTCTTGAACCCTTGTTCGATCGCACCCACTTTCGCCTTCGATTTCAATCTCCCGGCTTTTTGAATTCCAAGCAATAACCTTTCAACGTTTCAGACGCAGCGCAAACAAATTGCAATTGCTAAACCGGCACTCTTCGTCCTCCCGAGTCGAACGATATCCAAGTCGACCGAGAGCGCAAATACTAGTATCTCTGGCAATCCCAAAGCCACGAGAACCAGAACCACCAGTCGAATTCCACAAAAACCAACGTCCCCCAATTCAGTCGGAAATGCTGACGTAGATCCAATGCCCAAGAGCGCCTGAGATTCCTCTGCTCTTCTTTCGTTCTTTTGCGTGCGCGCGACGCTCAGGATAACAGCCCAATTGTCGCAATAAAATAACCAAACAATTTGGTAATGTTATATTTCGATCGGATTGGCAGGCCGATCGTTCCTGTAAATAGTTGGCAAAGCAGAGCAGAACAGAGTCACCGATTGGCTTTTCTGTCACAATTGGTAGTGGTAGTAGACAGTCGAAAAAAAGAAAGAGAAGGTCGAGATCCTACTTTCGGAGCGGGCGGGGCGGAAATATACGGACGCTGAGCCTGGAATCGGATCCTGGTACAGGATCAAGAAAACCTTATTTAATGCGCGTTGAGGTGTAGAGTTTCCAATGATTCCTCAGCCGCGGCACGGTAAGCACCGCTATCCTCGCATTTGTCAGGTACACTACCTAGATACAAAATTGGTCAGATACAAAGTACTAGGTACCTTGCTACCATACTATGTAAGCTGAGCGGGATATTCTACCACGTTACTACTCAAGTACCCTACTACTACAATAATATTTTAACAGTAATTAGTAGTCTCGTTTACTGGGCAAGAAAGAAAAACTCGCAGATACCAGACACAGACAGAGAAACCGAGTCTGCCCTCCTCAGGTCTCCTCATGTTGCTAGGCAAATAGCTGACATAGCTCTGCTGTTGTGCAAAGGCTCGCCCACAATGGCTGGCTCGCCCGGCACCAACCTGTCTTTTGACAAAAAAACATTCCAGCTCCAGCACCTGTATCAAGTCCTCATTACAGCAAAAAGCAATTGATCATTCCAATATCACCAGCCCGCCAATGACTAGCACGTCATGTTTGCGCCTTGAACGCCTCGCCTTGCCTCCAATCATGTCACTTCGTTGTTCTCATACCGCGACGTTACAGTCGATCTGGATGTGAATTTGGTTGTGACCATTTCCGGACCGCTGGTTCATATTTCACTCTGGTAAGACATTAATCTTCCTGCCGCGTGGGCCTCTCGATGGTGTCTCGACCTCAAAGATGTGCTGCTCATCTGCTGGTTCAAGAGCTGAATGAGCCCACCGATTTGCAAGCCATTGTCTGCCTCGTACATGTCGCAGGATTTTGGTCACAAACCCCGACTCCGCTGGCTCATCCTGGTTGCCACCGTTACCACCGCATGTGTTATCGTCTCCTCTAACTGAATGGTCCGCTTCGTGACCTTGCAACGCCGATTTTTTCGTAGCCGCAAAACCAGGCTCAGCCTCCGCTTCATCGATATTCGTCGTTTCAAGCTTGAGCTTGCTACCAGACAAGACTCCTGGCGTGAAAGGTGAAACAGTAGGTCTCCTCGGTGTACTCCGCCTCCTTGGTTCGGGAGCACCCTGTTCATCATCCATTCGAACTGGACTGGACAACGGTGATACGGTCGGTCGTCTGGCTTGCGCCAAGGGCGATAATATCGCTCGACCTGGATAGTCAAGAGGTACCTTATACCTCCTGTCGCTATTCGTCTGCTTTTTCGACGGAGTGCTCGGTATGGCTGGAGGACTCGTATTCGTCACTGCCACTTTGGGAACTTCGACGACCACCTTTGCTCTCTTAACCGGTTTCTCGCCGATGGTCTCGTCCCCGTCAGCGGACTTCCGTTTTCGCTTGGACGGCTGCGTGGACTTGGTGACCGTCAAACCGATGTCGCCTTGCCGGAGCCACAAGTCCGACCGCCTGGTTTTGAGGTCATCCACCCAATCATCGCAATCCATGGCAACAAAACTGTCAATAATACCATCCCACACGCTCTCGGCCGGTCGTGTTCGGTTGACGAATATGACCTTGCCTTTGCCATTCTTGCGCGCATGAACAGCTTTGGCAAATTCCCGCACAATTTTCTGCAGACCAAAGACTTTCAGAGACGTCCCCATGATGACCATGACTTCTGGTTGACAGCCGGCATCGAAAGGGATGAGAGGGGTAAGCAGCGTATTGGAAGGATGATCTTCACCATACAGAACAATGTTGGGACGAAGAGCTCCCGTCGCCAATCCACGCTTCCCGCTCGCCCTTCTCTGCTCACTTTTGGCTTTGCACTTCGGACAGCCTGGTGCGGCTCCTTGAAGGTAGATGTCGGTCTCTTCATCTGTCCACTCGAATTGTGTCGCACACATTGTGCAGCGCAGATTTGCCAAGTCTCCATGCAACTGCACCACCTCACACCCGCCATCGAAGTCGGTGCCTGGGGTGTGGGCGGGTCGAGGCGCCTCGAAATGTTTTTTCATGAAGCGACGCTTATTCCCTTTCCCACGCGCAAGATCGGTAACCAACCCTTCCCTGCACTCGAGTCCATCAATGTTCTGTGTGTAGCATCTCATCAAACGGCCGCCATCGCGAAGAACCCTGACAAACTTGTGGACGGAGCTGGTCGAGCGCACTTCATCTCTTATAGTCTGTCGCAGTGACGCAATAAACTGGTAGAACATTGTTGTCGACGCGGCATTTTGGAACACACGTGAGTCAAACAAGTCTTGGCCTCTGAGTTTGGAAGATGGGCTTGCTGACGATCGACGACTGTTCGCTGAGCTGGTTGAAGACTGTGATGATGCCAAGCTCTCGTCGCTGAAAGACATGACGCGTTTCAGAGATGGTGTCGACGGCTCTGATGGCGGAGGAGAGGGCAATACATTCTGGTCTGGGATCATGTTGTACAGTCCATCCTTTGAGCGAAAGTCCTTTGCACAAATAAGTTTCCTAGCTCAACCTTTAGAGATGCCTACTTACCGGGATGCCACAGCTTGTGCTGATGCCAGCACCCGTGATGAGCAGGATCTTGTGTGACCCAGCCAGGACATCTGCGATCTCTTGTAGCTGCCGGTCATCTCCAGACCTAACCTCTTGTAAGCCCATTTTGACCTTGCGACAACGGTCTCAACCTAGATCGGGCTGTCGCAACGGCTGTATGAGGGCGTGAAAGAGGTGATGGTGGGTTGATGACTAGTGAGAAGACAGACGCCGACCTAATGTGCGAGAAGTGAGGCTGAAAACCGTCTGGAGCTTGAATTGCAGTGCTCACAGTTCCCAAGCAGACGCGTCAAGTTCGCGTCGGAACGTCATTCATTGAAGGCCCCACAAGTGTTCGTGCATTGCATAGAGAGGCGCTCTGGAATGAAAGGCTCGGGGCAAGACTGTATCCTATCCTCGGCTCATGAAAGCAGACAGTATACAATATGTGAACGATGTATCCTTGAGATAGGGTACAGAGACAGACTGAAAGCCACCGATTGGAAACTTTGCATTTGTTTATGGGTTTGAGGCTACGACTTCCCAAAGCAGATTGCGGTCGACGGGAGATCGACCGCTAAAGCTTTAGTGCCTTCCGTACCTGCCCGGAGCGGATTAACTAGACGCCGAGTGAGATCCATTCACCGCCTTCAAGTTGCAGCTGAGGTTGATGTACAGCAGAGTGACACTGCTGCTGACAGCAATACACGTAGAGGCCTCAAGCAGAACAGTCATTGACTTGAGGCTCATTCAGCCTCAGCAATGACTCCTACCTCCAACCTTCTCCTTTTCGCACGGTGGCCAACTTCCGCAAATTCCTCCGCAGGGAGAATTGTTCCATCACGCTCCCATTCCGCCTGAGGATGTGGGATTGACCACCCTCGGCATTCCTGTACAGTCTTCCTCAACACCTTCGGGCGTGGCCCCAAGCCTTCTGACTCCTCTGGTTTGACCACATCGTCGAACTGAGCATCCAGAAGTTGTAGAAGTCGTGACTCTTCCAGCTTGCGCGCTTCCTGGTCCATCCGCTCCATGTATTCATCTTCCGTTTCTTGAAGGAGTTGTGCTCGTTCTTGCTTGGACATTGGTGCAGTGGGTCGGGTTGCATGATCAGGACTAGGAGATCTGTTCTGCTCATCGGAGCTGCTCGAAGTCTCCTCATAGCCTTCTTCATCATAAGACACGCTTTCCTCCTCATTGGTACCAATAACAGCATCTTCTTGGCCACTGTTCTCTTCGCTTGAATTAGCCGACCCGATGGAAGAGGCTCGACTTTGCATAGAGTCTTCAGACGTGGCAGACATGGATCGTCTTCGTTGGGGTTCTCGTAGTCTCGACTCCACCTCCCTGTACGACAAGACTGCACGGCGGCTATTTTCCTTTCGGTGAGAGTCATCTACCACAGACAATTTATTTCTGCGAGCCATTTCAACCCAGAAGGTCTCGGAATTGTTCTTGACATTCAAGACTGACAGTGCGGCTATGGCGTCTTCGTATCTCACGAGCTTGGAAGGCTTGTAATCCGTGGTTGTCGATGCCCGAATTCGAGACTGTGCCAGAACAAGACAAGTCTGCACCAACCTCCTGGTGAAGTTCAGAATGATATCGTAGAAGTTGGTTATCACATCCATGGTCAATGCCGGTCTTTGCCCATCCTCGGCAACATTGTGCCAGCCATCAGAGCCTTGATTCATGAAGAATTGCTCACTCAGAGACAGAAAAGCCGGAAGGTGAAACAGCTTGACGGCGGCCTCGGACGCTGATTGGTCGTTCTCATCAGCATTGTTGTCGCAAACCCCATCTGCTGCCTGTTCTTCATCTGCCTTTTGCTCGAACTCCAAGGCCGTTGCATGGTCTATGAGCCATATGGGATTCAGCCTTTGACCTGCGGCATGGTCATACTGTTCCTGGAAAGCCGCCAGCGCATCTGCAGCTCGCTCAAGCACCTTTTCACACTCGGGCCCAACCTCGATCGCAGCCGGAATTTCAGTATGCGACACGTTTTTGGTTTGAGGCTCGAAGAGTTGCCGGTCGAGCTCATGCTCTTGCAGATTGTCCAGGTAGGCTTTGACTTCCACAACCGACTTTGAGCCGATTGACTCGGATATGGCTTGCAAGTTACGCCTGCCATTACGGCATAGGCCTTTGAATAGTGCCGCTTTCTCGGCAGGGTCCCAGGTACTGGCACCTAATTGAGTGGCCGGCAACTCTGTGCCAAGTACGTCTTCGCTGCCCTCGGTATCCATCCTGAAAAGCTCGAGATAGTGATCATTGTAATATTGACGAAGGCGTGACCATTTTTGTTGCGGAAATACAAGTAAATCAGATTCATTTCTAGGAGACTTGATTTCACTCTCAGATGGCATGTGACCATCACCGGCCGTGAGATTCAAAGAAGGCTCAAAGTGGTCTCCATCGTATAGTGACATTGTGTTCAGATTCGGCGCCAGATGCCGACCTTCATCCGTCTCATCCTGGTTGTCTTGGGCGTCCATGGTTTATCTTTTCTTTCCAAGACATGTTAGGAATACACCCAGAAGCACCCACCAGCAGAGCAAACTGTTCAAGCGAGACGTAGCTGCAGCCGGGTGGGAAATCCCGCTTATTAGATCATTGGGATAGCTTGAACATTTCGCTCAGATGAGATACAGATATGTACCCATGGAGAAATTTGTTCATTGCATAAGGGACGTGTAAGATGTTTCAGATGCAGAAGTGGCAGACTCTGCTTGATAGGCAAACATGCACCACACGCTGTTGGTGTCATGGTTTGCACTGTCGCTTGCCGCATTATCACGCCGCTTCAAGCTGACCCACCCTGCATCCGAGATCATATCGACTTCAAGTCCAGACTGTTAAGGCGCCATCACAGGACAACTACCAAGCATCATCAGAGCCAGCATAGCTTCTGCTCGGCGGTCGATGATATGCTTGAACTCGACACCGTATTATGCTAGGGCACTGGACGCGACTTGCTCGAGTCACACGTGCAGCGCAATGTCTCCTACGGCCCCAACCGACCAGGCGCTCGCTTGCCAGCGTCCTCAAGACAAGCCCGAGTCCGGCAACATTTCGTGAAGAAGGCATACGGCTTCGCGAGTATCAAGAAGAATGCATCCAATCCGTCCTATCCTACCTTGAAAAAGGCCACAAGAGGCTAGGAATCTCGCTTGCAACAGGTAGTGGCAAGACGGTACGCAGGTCCAACAACATATATACATACATGCATATACCACAAACTAACATTTCCTCCTCGAAATAGGTCATCTTCACCCAGCTCGTTGATCGAGTCGCGCCACCGACCAAAGATGCTCAACAAACGCTCATCCTCGCCCACAGGCGAGAGCTGGTGGAACAGGCAGCGCGACATTGCGCAAAAGCGTACCCGGAGAAAAGCATCGACATCGAAATGGGCGAGATACACGCCTCTGGCGCTGCAGACATAACGATCGCCTCTGTTCGAAGCTTACTGTCCGGCGACCGACTGGACAAGTACAATCCGCGCAGGTTCAAGCTTGTACTGGTGGACGAAGCACACCACATCGTGGCGCCCGGATACCTACAAATACTGGACCACTTTGGGTTGAAGGAGCAAATAGGAGTTTCAGAAGACACTCCTTGTCCGGCTCTTGTTGGCGTGTCGGCGACATTCTCCCGATTTGACGGGTTGAAGCTGGGCGCGGCCATCGACCATATCGTCTACCACAAGGACTACGTAGACATGATCGGCGAGAAATGGTTGTCCGACGTCATGTTCACCACGGTCAAGTCACGCGCCGATCTGTCCAAGGTTGGGTCTGGAAGAGACGGCGACTTCCAGACAGGACAGCTCTCCGCTGCAGTCAATACGGACGTCACCAACGAGATCACAGTGCAGGCATGGATGGCGGAGGCGCGAGAGCGCAAGTCGACGCTTGTCTTTTGCGTCGATATCAACCATGTGGTCAGTCTGACTGAGACTTTTCAGAACCATGGAATCGACGCACGATATATCACGGGGTCTACGAAGAAAAGGGTGCGTGGCGAGCGCCTCGATGCGTTTAGGAACCGCGAGTTCCCTGTCCTGCTGAACTGTGGTGTCTTTACTGAGGGCACCGATATGCCCAACATCGACTGTGTTCTTTTGGCACGGCCTACCAAATCTCGCAATCTACTCGTTCAGATGATCGGACGCGGTATGCGTTTGTATCCTGGAAAGACGGACTGTCATGTCATCGACATGGTGGCCTCTCTTGAAATCGGCATTGTCACCGTTCCGAGTCTCTTTGGTCTCGATCCGTCCGAGATGGTCAAAGAGGCCCGGCCGGATGACCTGAAGAGTCTGAAGGACAAGAAGGAGGCCACGAACAACAACGAGCGCTCCGTAACAACAGACTCTGTTGTGTCTGCATCTGTACCTGACCATCATCTTGATTTCACGCATTATGAGACAGTCCACGATCTGATAGAGGATAGCTCGGGAGAACGACATGTGCGCGCCATGTCCCCCAATGCCTGGGTCCAGGTCGACTCGCACAAGTATATACTTGCCGCGAGGGGCGGCATCCTGACACTTGAACGACGGCTGGCAGATGCCAGCGATGCTTACGTCGTCATCTGGAAGCACCAGCTGCCACCAAGTGAAGCAAGCAAGTCGCCCTGGTCACGACCTCGCACCATCGCCACAGCAGCAACGCTCTCCGACGCCCTCCACGCCGCCGACACATTCGCATCCAGCAAATTCGAACGCGTCATGATTGCCACGCAGTTGTCGTGGCGGAAGGGGCCCGCGTCCAAGGGCCAACTCGACTTTCTGAACCGGTTGCGTGATGTTACTGCAGACGATGGTGTCGAGCCCTTGACTGAGGACCAGGTCACCAAAGGCCAGGCGGCCGATATGATCACCAAAGTGAAATTCGGCGCACGAGGCCGCTTTGATAAATTGCAGGTATCGATGAGGAAGGCCGAAAAAGCAGGTCTGAAGAAGCGGAAAGATATGGAAAGGAGAGCAAGGGAGACGGTGAGTGTAGGTCCTTTGGAAGCTTAGAAACTTCAGCATCAATGGCACACTTTCATTACAGTACTAGTAATGGTAGCCGTCCAACTTACAAATTTTTCAACTGTTTGTTATTCGCATGACTCGCTCTACATGATTGAATAGTAAATACAGCAACCAACCCAAACTGCACTGCAGTGGCAGCATGGCGGTATGGACTCGGATTCCAATATCAGACAGCCGCTGCGAGCTCCCTCCTGGCCTTCTCATGACATCCGTTACAAGTGGTCGATGATAGCCTGGGCATACTCGTGGGTCTTAGCCTTGCCACCCAGATCTCCAGTAAGAGCCTTGCCCTCGGCCAGAGTGGCGAAGATGGCCTTCTCGATCTTGGCGGCATGGTCGTTCAATCCCATGTGCCGTAACATCATGATACTGCTGAGCAACAGGGCGGTCGGGTTCGCGAGACCCTTGCCTGCAATGTCGGGAGCGGAGCCGTGGACGGCTTCGAAAATGGAGCACTCGTCACCAATGTTTCCGGACGGGGTGAGACCCAGACCTCCGATCAGACCGGCGCACATGTCGGACAGAATGTCACCGTAAAGGTTGGGCATGACGAGGACCTTGTCCGAGTATGGGCCCGGGTCGGTGGTAATCTTCAGACAGGCGTTGTCGAGAAGCTCGGCGTCGAATTCGACATCGGGGAAATCCTTGGCAACATCTCTGGCAGTGCTCAAGAAAAGACCGTCGGACATCTTCATGATGGTGGCCTTGTGCACGACGCGGACCTTCTTCTTGTTGACCTCACGGGCATATTGGAATGCATATCGCAGGACTCTTTCCGATGCGGCACGGGTAATAAGCTTGATTGACTGTACGACACCGTCCACCACAACGTGCTCGATACCACTGTACTCGCCTTCGGTGTTTTCTCGGATCAAAACGGTGTCGACGTTGTCGTAGGGGGTCTTGTAGCCTTCGATGCTGCGGCACGGACGGACGTTGGCAAAGAGGTTGAATGTTCGTCGCAGGGTCAAGTTGAGCGAGACGTGTCCCTTGCCAACAGGGGTGGCCAGAGGTCCCTTGAGCGCGACGTAGTTCTTTTGCACCGACTCAATGGCCTCGTCGGGAATCACGGTTCTACCATCCTTCAGACGAGGTGTTACGTCCACTGGCTCCCAGACAATGGGCACTTTGGCCGCCTTGTAGATATCCTTCACAGATTGTGAAATCTCCGGACCGATCCCGTCTCCTTCGATTAATGTGACCGTGTAGTTTCCGTCGGAGCCTTTCTTGCCCTTGAATCTGGCGACCTTTTCTGGTTCTGAAGTCGAGGCGAACCGTCGCGGCTGAGCCTAGAAGCTATAGTTAGTCCAACATGCCATCTGAGCCGTCCGCGTAAATCCTCCGTACCTGGAAGAGGGCCGGAGCCCAGGTGGGCTGCTGGTAGGCTTTTCGAAAGCACTGGCGCGCAGGCGAAGCGAATGCTCTCGTCGCAATCATGGCGGGCAGAGAGACTGGTTCAGACGCTGGAAGAAAAGGCGAACAAGCTTCAGCGATGGCTCCTGGTCACAGCACCCAGCATTCAACAAGCCACCGAGTAGAAAGTGAAGCTACTAGGACAGCCCTGAGTTGAAAGTCGACGCTGGGCAGGATAATGGCAGTGGTGCTGGTGGAGCTTTGAAGAGCATGCTTTTTATCTCCTATGCTCAGTTACATCATTTTTATTGGGCGCAGTCAAGCTCCACGGCCAATCGTGCAGCGGCCGGCGACATCGGATGTAGCGTCCTCTTGTTTATTGCCTCATATGCACGTGAGATCACGTGAAAGGATAAAAAGTCACGTGAATGATAGAAGGGGGGCTTAGGGCGGCGGTGGTTCTCCGCCCGACCTCCAGCCAGACGTCCGAGGGGGTCAACAAGGCTCCGTCTTTCACAATGGGCATCTTTGGCAACACCACAGAGAAGTCCAGATAAAACAAACAACCGGGAGACACTGGCCGTGTCGGCTCACTTCTCAATATGTCGGCGGATCAGGAGCGGACCATTGTCACCCACTATAACCTTACAAATCCGTTTCCGACAGAGTGGCCCGCTGAGCTGGACGAGAGTGACGAGGACGAGGTGCCCGACGCCGTTGGTATCAGGCGATCCCGTTCCCGCTACTCCGCTTTAGAGAGGAGTGCGAGTGAGAGGAAAAGCCTTGTCCCTGGCTCTGAGCGGACTGGCGACGGTCGTGCAAACCTGGTGCAGAAGGACGAACCTGATCCTCTGGGTGTCCACCCGAGTGTGGTCAATGTACTCCGAAATAGTGGTGTACCTGTCGAACATGACTCTCGGGCTCGAAACAAGTTCATGCTCTCGTCGACCACATTTTCTCCTGGAGTCTTCCTTTCGCATGTTCATGCCAATGCCACGACAGACGACTTATTACGGGGTCTCCAGTATCTGTCGAGATCCATTGATCAGAAGTCCGCTTCTCTCAAAGTGCTTGTGGAAACAAACTTTGAACGCTTCGTTCGTGCAAAAGCCACCATCGATAATGTCTACACAGAGATGCGAAACCAGGGCATGGATTCCAAGGCTGGCTCACCGCCCTCTCCACGACATTCGCGGCGCAGCAGTGCTGTCCACTTTCGAAACGTCAGCAACGGTGCAGCACCAGCGGTCCAGACACCAAGCAAGAACGCCCTTCGCAAGGAGACCGACTACGGTGTGCAGGGCATCAAGGGTCCTCTTCTCGAAGTCTCACAAAAAGCGGAGGAAGTGTGGGGCCCGGCGCTAGGAGGCAAGGAACGTGAAGCCAACTTGAAGGCGATAGTGGAAGCCATTGCCCAAGATCGAGGCCTTTACGAACTAGGGTCCAATCTCAGCCACGCCATCACTCAGAAAGACTACGGCACCGCCATTGGCCTCTACCATGCGGCGCTGAGATATGTGGCCGAGGCACGGTCACTTAGCGATATGGCAGTGCAGCAGGGTCGGACTCTCTCCAACGAAGAAGTCCAAAAAGTCATCGCCATAGGAAGGATGTGGGACGATGCTCATGAACAGATCAAGAGCCTGAAGAGAGATATTTGGCGGAGACTGGCTAACATCCCTGCAACTTCGCCACTTCCTGGAGCTGCCCAGTCTGATGACTACATGGAGCTTATCAATGTGTTATTGCAACTCGGTGTTGAAGAAAGTCCCATCTGGGTGTATCTACTGAGTCGATACGATGCGCTGAAAAACAAGATTGCGGCGGTTGTCGAAAGATCCAAGATCGAGATAGAAATTTTGAGGCGCCGTCTTGCTTCAGCCGACTCTCCGTCTTCGGCCACTGTTGCTGCGTTCCTCCGGCAAGCCTCAAGAGATCGCCCAGAAGCACTTGACAGCGATGATGTTGTTGACTTTTGGAATTGTATCTTGACATACATCACGAAGCTGCTCTCGCTTTCGAGTGGCTTACTTGGCGAGATTGTCGACTTTTGGGAGACGGCTCAAAGCTTCATTGACGGCACGAGACAGAAAGCGCTGTCAGTCGGATTTGAAGGAGAGAGCAGCAAACATCACCAGTTATCCGAATCTGATGTCAGTGGGTTACGCAGTGGAGCGATCGAATTGGTCAGTCAGATAAGGGACGCTGTGCTCTCGTTATTTGCAGATGCGCCGACCGAGGACATTTCGTCGTTGTTTTCTCCAGCGCCAGGCTCTGCCGAGACCCCCACAACACCACTTACCGGGGCTGCGTTTTCACCTACAGACGGCCGCATTGGTGTACTCGATCCTCAAAATCTACCTACGTTTGCGGCCAAAAGAGGGGAACCTTGGGAAGATTTTGCCTTCTGGCCTCCCCATTCCAATGCTTTAAGTGCTGTCCATTACTTGGAGAAGATTCTCATGCTCGTCGGAACCGCTGCCGGCGAAATGGTAGCTTTGGGCCCTGTGAGCAGCAACAACACGATGCATGAAAAAATCAAAACAATGGTCGGCGGAGCGCGCGAACGGTCAATGCGGGCGATCTGTGAAGCATGGAGCAAGGATGCTGAAAGTTGCAAGTCGTTGGAGGACTGGGTGAGAGCGCCAGAAAAGCGAGATCAGACACGGATGCCGCTGTATTTCGAGGCGTATGAGCGGCAGATCCTGCTTGGGATGCAACAGGTCTTGTACTTCTCAGATACAACGGCGAAGCCAGGGACCCGAGAAATCATCACGCCGCCACCATCGAAACTGCTCCAGATGGTACGTACTCAGTTTGTGAGTAGTATATACAAGGCGGTCAGTGGCATGCTTGAAAATGCAGAAGCTTCTACACAAGGTAACGAGGACGACTGGGTACTTGTCACCAGTCTCAGTTCCATTGTCGACGGTGCGTCTCCGACCGAGTTCATCACGCAAGATGCAATCAATGCTTCGAGCCGCAACGTCCGGATGCTGTTGACCATGTCAAATCTCAAAGCCTTGCGGAATGACTACGTGCCATCACTCATTCAAGTTTTTGAATCATCCTTTTCTGTGAAACTGGCCGATGAGTCCAAGACTATTCGGGACGTCTTCGGACAGATTGATGCGAAGCTCTTCCATTCGTACACTCGGCCCACTGTTGCGCAGTTGACGAAAATCATCCGAGACGGCATCAACTCACCGACATGGGCACCGACCACTTCAAGGCCCGATCAAGTGAGACCATATGTCTACGCGACGCTCATGACACTGGTCATGGTGCACACGGAAGTCTCAACCACGGTCTCAAATGCCGAATCGAGTAGTCCTCTTCTGAGCGAGATTCTGTCTTACTTACTTGAAAACGTGTCCCAGGCTCTGTTGGATGGGTTCAAAGAACGGAAGCCCAACACTTACTCCCTACCTGCGTTGATGCAAGCCACTCTGGACACGGAGTTTATCGCCCAGACAATGAACCAGTACGCCACCTCCAAGGCTGGGGAGATCCAGGGTCAAATCTATACCGAGCTGGACAAGCGTACGACCAACGAAGCCAGGGCACGCTTGCAACAAGAATTGGGAGATATGCGTGTAGTGTTGAAAAAGCTGCGCGAAGGTAGTCGGAACACATTTAGTTGTTTCAAGCGAGCACGGCCGGCAGAAAAGGATCGCACTCGGCCGGAGCGAAAGATGACCGGAACATAGCTTTGAAATTGAACCGTTCGGTCGCAGAGTAGAAATAATCTATGATGGTTTTCTGTATTAGAATCTTTCTTTTCTTCATCTTCGCCGTCCTCTTCGTCCTCTAGCTCTCCGCCCGCCTCGTCTGGTGGGCTTCTTCCCCGTGCCGGCGCCTTTCTTCTCTGCTTCTGCTTCTTCTTCCTCTTGTTCCTCGCTATCATCTTCGTCCGCCTCACTTTCCTGATCCCCTTCTCCCTCCTCGGCATCCTCCATGTTCTGATCCCGATCCTCGTCCGCAGCAACACTGTTGGCCTTGCTCGTCCTCCGACTCGACCGATCCGTTTCAATCTCATTCTGCAAGCGTGAAAGTCTCCCTCCTCGTCTGCCTCCTCGGCTCGCAATTCGCGCCGACCCAGCTCTGACTGAGGTCGGAACAGGTGAGGACCGTGGCTCATCTGTGTCGGCCACCGTGCTCTCCCTCCTGGAGACGGCGGGACTCGACGTCGCATCTGGATTCAGCCGTCTCTGCCACATCAAATCCTCAAAGTCTTCACGTGGGAGTTCAAACTCGCGCCAATATGACTGCCTTTTTGTAGTCCCGTCGTCACCGCCTCCAGGACCGTCAATAATCGAATCTTCTCGCTCGTCCAGCTTGGCGAGGTCGTAGAGAGAGTTCAATTTCCGCCAGATCCCCGCCATGGATGTATGGGTGTCTTCGGGATTGATCACCCCTTGGTTGAGTAGGTGGTCCCGAATGGCGATCATGCGGAAATGTCTGTGCATTCCTACGGGTTTCCAGCGGACAATGGCTTGGAGGAGCGCTGATTCCTGGTCATCGGTCCATAACGACGTATCGTCTAGACCGTCTGATTTTGTGTTATTGTCCGTGGACGTCATGGTTCGTGATGTATGTCGGGTTGATCCCGAAAGGACCAGACCCTCAAACGTATTTTTGGTGTTGGTCTCCAACTTAAGAGTCTGGTTTTCTTTCTTCGTCAATTGGGACTTGACCCCCAGTCTTTGGCTAAGAGAATCGGAAGGAGATATCGTGGCCCAAGGTTTCCTGGATTCAGGAGGATCAAGGTGGAGACTCAATTAATGCTCGTGTGAGCCTCTGTTACCTTAGCACGTCTATACAATAATCTGTATACCTCATGTTGTAGGCAGTCGATACTTGGTGTTGTTCTACCAATGGCGGGTGTTCATGGAGAGGACTCGGCTAAGTTGCCTTGGAGTTGACGCCCGCCCTCATTGGAACGCGATACGCGTCGCATTGTAAATACTGTGAAGACTGTACAGCTGTCTCTGCGGAAGCAGACTCAAACGATACAAGAACGTTTCTAACAGGGTCACTTGGAAGCTCACGGCGGCAATTTCACAATGGTCAAGCAAAAGTCGTCATGTCACTGCGCAACCATGCCGACCCTTTCTCTACACTCGCTATTCGGCCGCTCCCCCAACTCAACCTCGAGTATAGCGCGACCTGGCAAGGGTTCAGGTTCGATAACAGCCTCGAAAGTGGACTCCTTCGGTTGAACGACGTCGATACCAACCCCTTGTCCGACCTCAAGCCGAAAGCCTTTCATCTAGACGTGCAAGACGTTCCACTTCCGGATCTATCCAATCCCTCTTCCGGCCCGTCGTCTGATAGTGAGACTGAGCCACAACCTGGCCAGGAAAGCGAAAAGACAGTTGACGAGACTCCGGAAGTCTGGGTCTTGCCAGACGTCTACAAGAGAAAGCCGCAAGATAAACTGATCAGCTGGGACACTTTCTTGGACAAAGACCATGAAGAGCCACCAACTCCGTACATCAGTGAAACTGGTCCGCGGACATTCAACAAGACCCTTAAATCGTCAAATGAAAGCGCTGCGCCGAAACCGATCAGACAGGATGCACTTCTGAATGCAGTGTTCGAGCTTGCCATGGGTAGGAGTTCTGCGCTCTTTGAATGGGATGACAAAAACGATCGATTCTCCCAATGCTGGGACAACATTGGCGCATATGGCTTCAGCACAAGTTTGTTGCAAGAGTACCTCGAAGAATTCAGAAAGATCGGGGCTTACACCAGGAAGCTGAAAACATGTTTCGAGCGCCTAGACAGGCAGAGACAACCTACATCTCCGTCAGAAATAGCGTTCCTTGCTGCTTCGCGGTCTGCTTTGTTTGCAACCCACGAGTACTTGGAGAAGTTGAGACCAGATATTGTCTCTCTACTTCAGCTGAAGGGTGCCATGACCAGGGTTGTCACGATCTTGAATGTGCTGGGAAGTATTGTGCACGCGGTACAAGACTGCCAGACGGATAATGCCATGGTATTGGCATTGATGCGCCATGCAGACAATGCATCTTTCAGTCATCCAGGGATTGATAGAGTGCTACAAGAGATATTTACGAGAGCTTTGCAACCACTTTCGACAAGACTATGTGCCGAGATTGGTCTGGTTGCAAGTGGAGCGAATGATCCTCAACTGACGACCATTGCTTGTGAAGAGGCCGAAGACATTTATTCTTCTCTCTTTGGTGCGGACCTCGGCCACGCAATCAATGAAACCCGACACAGTCTGCAACTGCTGCAATCACATGCCCCACATTGTCGAGTCCTGGCGGCGACTGTTCATTGCGCATCATCCTCTGGGTTGACACTTGAACCTGGCTATGCTTTTGACGCTATATGCAAAATCCAGGCCAAGTCAGTTGCTTATGAAGAAGCCGTGAAATGCTCGATCCTCTTGGTGCAATCGCCAGCCCTGGAGACACCTCTACATTGTGCACATCTTGTTACCTCTGAAGGTGAGGAGGCTGAAATCACAGGATTGACATCGGCAAACCCATTTCAGTTGGACACTAGGCTCTTCGAAGACCACGCCCCCATAATTGACCACAACAAGACAGACGAAGTACACGAGCAGGTCAAGGTGTATCTTCGGAACAACAATGTTGTCGAAGTGTCGCCATTCCAACTCAGTTACGCACAAGCACTGACTCTGTCCATCACTCCATTGGTTTCAGCGCAACATCGACTTCTTTCGTTTTCGGTTCTTCAGTTGCTCTTCCAGCAGCATAATCTGCTGGCTCATTTGGAAATCCAGCGAGAATTCCATCTATTTGGAAATGCCTTTTTCTCGTCCCGCCTGAGTATGGCTCTGTTCGACTCGGATCAAGCCAGCGGCGAAGGTCACAGATCAACAGGGGCTCCTACGGGTCTTCGTCTCCAAGCGCGAGAGACATGGCCTCCTGCAGGATCGGAGTTGCGGCTTGTGCTCATGGGGATACTTTCGGACAGCCTGGCCACGGCCACCTCAGAGACCGAGCGACGTCTTGAAGACACAATCTCCTTTGCTATACGGGACATGCCTGTTGATGAGCTCGAGAAGTGTCGCGACGTCAATTCGATCCATGCACTCGATTTCCTGCGTCTCGAGTATAAACCGCCAAACGAACTGGTTCAGACTGTGCTCACTCCGGCCGTTCTGGACAAATATGATCGCGTGTTTGGGCACTTGTTGCGTCTCTCGAGAATCCACTGCCTTACCCAGAGTATGTTGAGAAATAATGTGGAGGCTGGTACTCTTCCTGGTGACCACAAAGTGGTCGTGCACATGCACCATTTCATCTCTGTTGTCGTCGAGTACTGCCACAACACGGCGGTTCCTGTGTGCTGGGGCAGATTCGAGCGTCTGGTCCGCGAAGTTGAAAGACACGTTGCTAATAACGACTATGATCGTACTCTGCAACTGGTCAAGAGTCAAGGGTATCTTGGTCGCTTACACGAGAGGGCCCTGGATAGGCTTCTGCATGCCTTGCTGCTACGGCGGAAACAGGCGGGTGCCAGGCAGTTTTTGGAGGAGCTGTTAACCATGATCTTGCGTTTTGCGGCGGAGAGGAAGTCAATGAAGACGATGGCTCGGGCAGGTCACAACGTCGACGATCAAGCTTACGATGCTACCAAGATACGTCGATTTGCAGAAGACTTTGCAGCCAAAGCCACGCAATTTATGGATGCCTTGCGGGGACAAGGTGACCAGGTGTCGAAGAAACCGTTTACATCGCAGCGACGGGGAAAACGGGGTGATGATAGTGGTGGTAGTGCGTGGAATGCACAACATGATGCCCATGACCAGTCTGACGAGGACGTTGATGGCGGAGATTCGGACGAGAACCTTGTGGACTATCTACTTCCGAGGCTGGATATGTTTGGATACTGGAGTCGTCAAGGTAGTGGTAGCCGTCTGGAAAGACGACGACGCGAGGCCGTTGAGCTGCCAATCCTCAGAGCCTGAGGATCAAGGTGGTTTTGGTACAATCTTCTGTGCCGCTCCTCTCCACCTCTCATTGCCAGTCAGTCAGTCTCATTACCTTTACACATTTACTGTGATCACTACCTAGGTACCTAGGTACTAGTACTGATGGGATTAAGGTTGGCTACCACCTTCCCGCCACCACCAGGATCCCGCCACTAGTGAAATCCTGCTATGCCGCGCGCGTTTGTACGCACTACGCAACGAATAAGTTAATGCCGAGTCTGCGATTTTATATAGAGAATAACTATAAATCTAGCTACTCTAGTATCGCGTAGATCGTCTCTCTATCTAGCAGAATAGCGTAGAATAACTCGCTTTCCTCCTATAAGTGCCCTCTAGCCTTAAAGACGTCGACGACGTCCTAGAAGCGCTTCTTATCCTACTTACGAAGACGTTTATTACTAGCCTCTTCTTTATCTTCTCGTACGCGCTTACGTACGGCTAGTAACTTAGTCTAAAGCACTCTAGCCCTAGAATCGACTACGATAAAGCCGCGTATAAATAGACGCTAGGCTTTACGTAGAGAGCGAGTTAGTTTATAACTAATAGACGCGTTTAGAGTCGTTAGCGAGGCGATATCTATTAGCGTTCTAAGCGTACGTACGTTCTAAGGCTTAGAACGCTCCGGGGTAGTTAGTCTAGCCTATCTATAGGCTATAATCTCTAGTTTATTAAGTACTCTATTAGATACGATCGGCTAGAGACTACTTCTACGCCAGCCTATAGAGATATATTACCTAGTAAAGCCCTATTAACGCGTACGATAATAGAGAACGTTAAACTAGGCGCGTAAGACTTAAGACTCGTCTACTAGAATAAATTCCTTAAGGTTTTAAGCGTAGTAAGCCTTAAGACGACTAAATAGGCCTAAATCGTACGGCTAATAGAGATACGACGTATAAGGTAGTAGATAAACGAGCGTAATCTAGTTTACGAGATAAAGATAGATAAACTCGCCTATTATATAACTTCCGTAGCTATCTAGAATAAGAAGTCGCTAGTACGAGGCGTCGTCTTAATAACGCTCTTAGCGACTCTTAGGAATAAATATCTCTTTTAGCTACTCGAGAGCGTACTTATTCGTCGTCTAGCCTCTCTCTATAAAGCCCTAATACTAATTAGGGCACTTAGACGATAGTAGAAACTAGTAGTTAAGCGGTTAATTTAGTAGCCTACTACGGTAAATAACTAAGGGCTTTATAGCGTCGTTCGCGGCGGAGATATACTCTAGAATCGAGACCTAGTCTATAGAACTACTCGTAATTAAGAGAGGTAGCCTCGTACGTCGATTAAAGACTATAGACTCCTTCTATAAGTAGCTTATTTAAAAGTCTATCTCGTTTATATTCTAGATATTCTTCGATAGAATCTAGAAGTGTCGTACGACTTTAGAAAGGTACGTAAACTAGCCGTCTAGTTAATAAGGAATAGTAGTCTAGATCCTACTAGCGTCGAGCGCTCTATTACGCGTATAACTTAACTTAGGTCGTCGCTTAATAAAGCGAGAGACCTAGTATATATCGAGCCTAACGAAGAGGTGCCTTTAGCGCGCGAGATCCTGCGCAACGCGCGCTAGTTACGTACGATTAACTAGTATATATTGTAACTATAGGTCTCGAATATATATAGCTAGAATATCTTTCTATTGCCGCGTAAGATTTGCGTACGAGATCTCTTCTTGTCCTTTAGGTCTCGCGCCGTTAGCGCGGTCGCGTACAGTTAATCTTAAGGCGCCTACGTAGAGCGCCGCCTATCGTATAGTCTTTACGATACTAGAATCGAGTGTAACGAGAGTCTAGCTAGTAGGATCTATAACGACGACGTGATAGAAGGTTAATTGGTAGAGGAATACGAAGGTTTTGTTAATAGGTGGGTAGTAGGGGCGCGTGCTACGCGCTATGGCGGGATCCTGGTGGTGGCGGGAAGGTGGTAGCCAACCTTAGTGCGTCGGGCGACCTACAGGACAATACGAGTCTAGACCTTCCATCGACCCAGGTGGGGGCTGCATAAAGTGCCAGCCCAGTGGCAGCGAGAAGTTGAATGCTTGAACATGCTTGAACATGCTTATCCACGGTAAGCTTTCGAACTATAACCACCCTAGTACTGCATCTGTCAGTGGCGTGAACCTCTGACAGTAAATAAAAGTGCCGCGGCTGGCCTCCTCCCTCGTTCATGGATTGCCACCTCAGGCTGGGTGCCGCGTGAGCTGACACTGCCCGAAGCCCTGCCAGTGGTGTGCAGAATTCAAGGGAAATGAGGGGTGCCAGTGAGAAACAGACCCTTGACCTTTCCACTCCCAGCTCGGCTGTGCACATGAGACGTAGGTGTGCCAGTGTGCAGTTGTCTGTGGTGGGTTGGGACGGCAGGCAGCCCGCCTGGATTTCTACTCAAGGTAGCTTATCTTGACTACGAATAAAACATTCTCTGCTTCTCATTTTGCTTCTGTACCTAGATAGCTACTCTGTTACCTGAGAGCGACAAGCTCTCGAATACGCTGAGCCCACCCATGTTTGTTAGAAAGAGTTGAGTTGAGGACGCCTACTCAAAGCTCGCCGCCGCAGCGCAATCGCACAACCGCGACGATAAATAAATCCACCTAGGAAGACGAGAGCCTGACCAGTGGCTAGGCCACAGACCGACCTACTAGTATAAGTGCACTGGTTGTACTACTACGGCTACAAGAATAACAACCTTTGCACTGGGAAATAGCCCGTCCGATATCAGAAGGGGCCGAATTTCCATTGAAAATCAGCAAAGTCTGGTGCCAGTGCAACTTGCTGCCATACACCTTAGCCACAGCCTGAGGTGATAGCTGTGCAGCGGGGGCCCTGTGAGCGCCTGCCTGCTTGTCTGCTTGCCTCCGGGTGCAAGTTGGACGACGACCACCTCCTACCCATCGGATAGTATACATCCGCCAGACACCATCGACATCTGGTATAGTACCAGGGGCATTCATCATTCATCATTCAGCATTCAATATTCCATACCAGCAGACGACATACTGTCTAAAGCCAAACCGTGACCTCCACACCGACTCTCGCTGGTGTTATCGTATACCATCCCATCATTCGTCTTCACCCGACACTCAGCCTCTGTCATCCCCGTCATCATCACCAAATCAAACCAAGAACACCGCCATAGTGACTGACACACGATCCAACAATGTGTCGAGACATTACACTCAAATTCACCTGCACAGCAACCCACCCATCGCACAAAATGAGCTTCTCACAGCCCTGTCCAAAAGCCAAGCCGCGCAAGGCCTCGTCCGGATCCTCGGACCCTTCCTCTCCCCCATCCTCCCCGGGATCCGGGTTCGGCTTATCCCTGACACGCAGTATTTCGCGTGCTCTGGAACGAAAACCCGACCCGGCCGTGTTGAGAGCGTACACTTTGACTGCGAACAGGCCGTGTGAAGCATGTGAAGGGAGTGGGAGGAAAATCACTCAGCCACCACCGTTGAAGGAGCTCGCGGGAGGGTTGGGCGAGAGACATACGTTGAGTGTGCAGGAGGGTGAGAGGGAGTGTGAGCAGTTGTGTGGATGGGTGGAGATGTTGTAGTCTTAGTCTTCGAGGACAGGAGGGCCTCAGACTCAGAGACTGGCATGGGAGGGGCATCAAGTGGACTGGACGTTTCGGTGTTATGATGGACATTTCGAGTTCGACATTCCCAAGGGGTTGACTTCATTTCGATCCTGGCATCGTCCATGAAAACCCGTGATAAAGGGGGTCTGCCGCGGTGCTCTTGAGGCTGTGGGTGTGTGGTCTCTCGAGGACTCTCAACAAGTAGGTAGGTTGACGACCGGGTCTTTCAGATATATTTTTCTTAACGAGGCGCATCGTATATCCATAGTCAAATCCCGGGCTATAAAATCCTCCCAACAATTGCCGATGTCATCGTCAATCCCACATACCCTGCAGCGACCAGGAATCCGGTAGCGACGAGCAAGGTGTTCAGGTTCCTCCTCTCTATGCCCACCACCTTTGCCTTGGCTTGTTCGTCGCCTCCTCTCGCAGTCAGGACGTTATAGTCAGGAACGTATTTAAAGTCAAAGACGGTTTTCTCGCCCAAGCCATACTTGCCCTCGACGATAAGACCCCAAAAAATGTTTCGCAAGCCCGCCACCTTCCGCCGATCTAGGGCCGGAATGGAGCGGTACAAATAACACATGGACATGAAGAAGATACACTGGCCCGTCATCAGGGCCCAGTACCAGACCGAAGGACGACCGAGACCAAGAGCATCGCAGAGTTCGTTCCCATTCAGCCAACGCGCATTGACCTCGAGAAAAGAACGGGACGCATACGTGGGCGGCTGGGCCTCGAGACAGCGGATGATGTTGGCGGCGAGGATCTTGGACGTTTCCGTGGGATTGATCTCGTTCATCAACAGAGACTCCATCATGGCTTTGGCCCGTTCGGGCGTCTCGAACCACTCGGTCGGAGTGCCCATGTAGTGCGCGATCAGACGCCACAAAGCAATATAATCGAGAATTTCTTGTTCGCGCAGCCAAATCCCCTGCCGCGGCAGCGACAGCCAGATGATGGTCGCGGAGAACGTGCCAATGGTGGCAATACAGTCCAGATCGTTGATCGGGATACCCCATTTCTCCACGCTGTAGTACTCTGGACGTGTTTTGGCCAGCTTCATAATCCGCTGGCGGACGGCAGCATGCAAAAGTCTCACTCGCAAACTGGATGCGAACCCGGCCCCGCCTGGCTTGATGGATTCCAGAGAACGCGTGCATTCGAGGATATGCTGGGTCGTTTCAAAGAGTCGATGGCGCGCCACTTTGACTGAAAAGCCTCCTGTCCTCGCGAGCACTTCGACCACCCGGTTGGCGCCCATGCCTCCGAGTAGAGACTGGAAGGCAAGGCCTGTCAGGTTCGCCCCGCCATATCGATAAAAGACGTCTTGTCCACGCGCAATCTGGTCCCAGTCGACCCAGTCTGGGATTGTTGTTACTTCGTCCCATAGTTGCTGGAGTTTCGGGTCTTTGTCCACATTGGCTTGCAGAAGCAGATATAGATCTCGCTTCGGTTTTGTTGCTGGAGCCGGCTTGTCGTTGTCGCCCTGCTCGGAATTTTGGACCTCTTTCTTTGCTATTTCCGGTGGACTGAGTTCATTCAAGATCTCGTAGCATTCCTCACCCAGCACATCGTAGCTGTATTTCAGCGGATGGGCTTGCTCGGCAGTCAGATGCTGTGGCGTCAATTGGAACGTATAGCCCCAATACGTACGGGTGTTTTCATCCCGCCTTCGAAAAGGATTTGGCCACGCCATACCAGCAGTTCCTAATAATCAGCTCTTGCTACCCCAGAACAGCCGCCACAAGAAAAAGTACATCATTCCAAACAGGCGACAATCAGTGATACCACTTGCAGTGGCAAATATATATATACTTAACTAGTAGTGGCGGTCATTGATGTCAACAGGGTTGTGCACGAGTCAAGTCACCCACATCTCGGCCTTGTTGACTAGTCATGCCAGTGTCCATAAGCCATGGGCATCAAATTTGGGTCCGATCGACGCCACGCGTGGGAGGGCGCCTGAACTTCTTTCAACCCCAAGCAGACACTCCACTGCCAGTGTTGTTGCCGTACATTCCTGTTACATAGATATGGCTTTAAACGTGCAAACGAGTCAAAGAGTCCTTTGGGCTGTTGTCCAGGGCTCAAGACCTCCCTGTACCAGCCGTATTTCTCGCCAGCTACACTCCACCGCCCGACCTTTGATCCAGCGGCCTAGGCAGTCCCTCCCAGGAGTTTTCGTCGGTGCTCAAGACGTTCATGTGCACAAGAGACGCAGATATTCATCCCAGGAGCCTCAGGGCGCACCCTCCCATGTGTCAGAGACTCCTGCTGTTGAAGAAACAACAACAAGCCGTGCTCCTGGCCACAACGCTGAAGAACGGCCTTCTGTGACCTTCACGAAACGACTAGGCAAACAGCGAACCAAAAGACCAGACAAAGAAGATGCACAAGATAGCATATCGTTAGGGAGTGTGCGTGATAGAAACGGCCGTTCCCAAGACCAACCTGATGCGGTCAAGTCCACAAAAGCCGGTGGTGGCAAAGGGAAGAACAAGCGGTTGCAGCTCAAGGATCTAGCCATTTCCAAGGAGAAGGAAAAGGAACCATGGCAGATACAGAAACAGGCGTTGAAGGAAAAGTTTGGCGATGCGGGTTGGAATCCTCGGAAAAAGCTCTCGCCAGACACCATGGAAGGAATTCGAGCACTCCACGAACAAGATCCCGAGAGATGGTCGACGCCGGTATTGGCTGATCACTTCAAAGTCTCGCCCGAGGCCATCCGCCGCATCCTCAAAAGCAGATGGCGGCCCTCAGAGAAGGAGATGGAAAAGAGGAGGGAGAGATGGGCCAGGCGTCACGATCGAATCTGGGACAAGATGGCTGAACTGGGTCTCAGGCCACAACGCACCAAGGAAAAGTCCCTCGAGGACCCCGATGAGTTCGAGGAGAACCTGAAGGCGAAGGAGATATTGGATAACGCACGGAATGCTTGATGCAGCTGAACTTCCGGCTGTTTTCATTAAGCTAAAGCTAAGTCTGTCTGTGGGATCGAGTACACTCTGTGTATCTGCCTTGCGCAGCCATGTGATGCAACGAGAAAGCTCTTTGTCCACCGGATTCCCCTTCGGCTTGATTGGACTGTGACTGTGTGCTCAGTCGAAAACGAATGTAGAAGCAGCTCCAGATGTGTTGCAGTGCCGATGCAGTGTTGGTCGACACTGCGATCCTCCATTGTCACTGAACTGTTCCCTGCTCGTGATAAAGCCATGAAATCCCTTTTCACCTTGCGCCCTGTTGCTGTGTACCCGCTACTGTTAAAGTCGATGATGACCAGACCCCTTGTTCTGCCTCAGCTCTTTGCACTGCTTCTGTTCAGTGTGGTAAGGGTGGGAAGCAGAGAGCATGCATAGGGTGGAGCGTGAACCGCACTGTCCTTGAAAATCTTGACCTGCCCGCGCCCCTGCATTCTCACCACCTCCCATCTCTCTCTCACATCCCAGTTGCTCAGCCCTGGAGGTGACGAAGGATGAAATAAGCAGTGACAGTCCAGATCAGCCCAAGGGCATGGGGGATCTCGAGCCAGAAACTCGCCTTCGTCCATTTTATACCCTTGCAGTCCTCTCGGGGACGCCAGACGCCGTCCTCGTCCTTCATCATACGCGCCCGACGAGGAGGCATGGTTGGTGGGAAGATGGCATAAACAACTGGTGTGAGGAAGAGAGGAACAACCTCGATGAGATTGAGACCGGGATATCCAACACCAGTGAGGATACGACGCCAGAAGTCATCGTCGACAATGATCGCACCGCCATACGTTGACAGATCAATCTCTACCTTGACGGCACGGTACATGAGATAGACCATGACGAAGGCGAGACAGGCGTGGTACAAGATACCCTCTTGCTTGTGCATTTGCCAGAGGCGAGTCAGCAGTCGAGGTCGACGTTCAGCATCTCGCTCCTTGACAGGTTGCTGGTTATCGGCCACACCAGTGACGTCGAAACCAAGACGAAGACCCCCGATACTCTTTGGGAGAGCACTGAAGAAGACATCTCGAGCGAAGTGGATACCCAACCAGGTATTTGTGGCATGACGGCGTCTCAGATTCCAGTGGCTGAGGGCTCGAGCTCCACGCCAGTCGCTGACTTTGGTCAAGAACTTGGCCAGGAAGCAAGACATCATCATGTTCCAGAGAGTGTTCTCAGAAGGGGTGGCAATGATTTGACCCTGGAAGTAAAGAGCCATGGCCATCAGAATCATGGAGAATGCCTTGAACAAGGTGTTCAAGTATGGTCGGCAACAATGATGGAACATGGCAATACGCTGGACGGCAGTTGCCTGCTCCAAGCGAGGGTCCGAAAGCGAGAAGTTGGTTCGAAAGGCGTCACGGACGTGCCCCGTCCACTATCACTCGTCAGTTCCTGATCATGCTCTCGATGATTCAAGTCAAATACACTTACCCAGCGGCGACGTTGCTTGAGGTGTGTCAACAGGCAATCCGGCTGGATGCCCCACTGCAGGATCTCATGACAGAGAGCAATCTGCCAGCCAAGGCCATGCAGAAACCAGCTGGTCATCAGATCCTCAGTGATGGTGAACTCTGGGAAACCACCCATGGATACCCAAGCGCGAGTCCTCAGGACGAAGCCGCTACCAGGGCACCATGCTGCTCCAACAGAATCTCTAAAACCGTCATCGGCACCAGTGCCTGTGACGTTGGCCTGATACAACGGGTCATTGTCGGGGATGTTGTAGAAATGCTACACTCGTCAGCATGCCAAACTGCACAGGAGGGAACCTCTGAGGGCACAGCTTACCTGGGCAGTGGTCACCATGCCAACGTTCGGGCTCTTGAGAGCATGTGGCACAAGTGCACGAAGAATGCAAGGCTCAGGGATCATGTCGGCGTCAAGCACAGCCATGAATTCATGCCGTCCTCCTGGGAGTTTGTTTTGGACCCATTTAAGGGTGGCATTGAGGTTGCCTGCTTTGTAGCCGTGATGGACACCATCTGGCTTGTAACGGGCGAAGTAGTGCAGGTTTGGATGCTTCTTACGAAGAGCCTTGACCTCTGCCCTCAAGCTCTTGTCATCTCCATCGTCGGCAAGGATGACACGCAGTTTGTCAACAGGCCAGTCAACGTGGCAGGCAGCATTGACAGTGTCAAGCACAATATCAACTGGCTCTCCGCATGCAACGACAATGAGGTCAACTCCTGGGACATTGTCACCAAGAATGCGGTAGGTTGGTCGTGGCACTGGGTTGCGGATGAAACTGACAGTCAAACGCCACAAGCTCTCAGCGATGACCGATACTACAACCGAGCTGTTAGACGAAGACGACAGTGACAGCACGCATGTCACACTCACCGCATTCAAAGGACTGTGCATATGCAAAGCACTTTGCTGGAAGCAGGTTCTCGTGTCCCGCACTCTTTGCACTGGCGATGTTGACATGCAACATGATGAGATGCCCAGTGACGTTGGCAAGCCCGATGGCAGACAAGGTGTTTGAGAAGTACGAAGTGGGCACCGGCTGCTTCTTCTCGACCGTGATGATGTTGTATGGCATTAGGGCTAGCTCATTGCTCTCTTTGACAGGCTCGTTGTCTTGTTGAACCGTGTTCACTGGTTCTGGTGCAGCACCAGGAACCGAAGTGACGGGGACGTGAGCGTCAACCGAGACAGGCTTAGCCATGACGGCGGCGTCCTTCTCAGCAGACATGGCAAAGACAGAGGACTTGGAAGAGTGCCTCAGAGGAGCTTGAGAGACAGCAAGGATGGAACTCTGATGGATCAGAGTGTGAGAGATGGAGAATGAGTGAAGACAGGTCTCCTACGAGGTGGCGACAACGCAGTCACCCTCACCAACGTTCTTTGGAACAAGATGAAGATGACCACGGGACGACAGCCTTGATGAAGCCTTGGATGATTGAATGGAGGAGTGATTGTGCTCAAGGATAATGGATGGAGTTGATGTGAAGAGGAGGGATGGTGTGAGAAGAAGAGAAGAGAGAAGAGAAAAGGGAGGGAAGTATTCCCAGGCAGCACTGGCAGCACTTGACCACCAGTCGAATAGGGAAGTACTGCCGGGTGCAGTCACGGTGTCTGTCACTCCCACAGCGCAGGCAATGCACTCAGGGAGGTCACTGGGGTTCTTTTGCTCCTGTTAGATCGGCTGCAGTCGATCTGGTTCTGGATCACTGTCTGTCTATGGCCCTGTTTGTCTTTGCTAAGGGAGTTTCTACAGGATCCTATGTCTATTGTCTAACAGTCTCAGTGCACAAACGACCCGCCAAACAAGACGGCCCATCTTGTCTCGTCACCCACACTCTCCTGTCCTTTTGCCATGCCTACCATACCACTCTCTACCATGGAAACGAGACCCTTCTCCGGGCGGATCCTCCCCGGGCGGATCCTCTGGCAAGGCATGCGAAACTTCGGGATCAGAGCACGGAGACTCCACTTCGACAAGAGTGCTTGTTTGAAAGCGTTGAATCAATGCAGAGCTCCCCAGACCCTTGGCCATCACATCCTGATCTGTTGATCTTTCCCAACTGCCACCTGGAAAAGTAAATGCCATTGCTGAATTAATTTTTTAGCTTCAAGACCTTTGTTCCCTTGTCCTTTCGAATGGCCTCTTTCTCCTCCTCGAATAGCTTCAGCTTGCCGTCCTGTCGATCTACCCCAACTATTCACAGGTGAGGTGGATCTTGTTGCAGCAGCTGAGTGTCTTCTATACCTGAACATAGCCTACCACAGAGAATGGGACAATGACGATGCCTGAGGTCCAGACAACCATAGTTGACCTTCTATAGAATGTCGGCACACTATACTCGCCACGCTCGCTGCTGGTCAGACCGTGTTGAAGAGGAGAAGGAAGAACATATTCCATGACAAGGTAGACATCCTTATCAAGTCTCTACAGACTGATTATCTTGGACCCAAAATACTGGGATGGCAGTGTCTCTCTGGTGCTGCTGCTGAGACTTGAGATTCCGAATACAGTTCAGGGAAGCCCCGGAGCTGGGGGGCACAGCAGCATTCACATCTCTCTGCTGCCCAATTGAGGATAACCACCCCAGATCAGAAGTGCCAGCCTCACTGGCTAGGTCATCCATTGCTTGATCCCAAATGTAGCAAACCCAACTCTGTAGAAAGCCCGGATGCCAGTAGACTTCGTCCAGACAAGTCGCTGGTCCATGTAGCCTGCGCTCCTCATGCCATCCGATCTGTACCTACCATTGATTCCTGCATGAAAGATCAAATGTGCACATTCACAACGTGCCCGAACCAAGATTCAAGCTACTATCCGCATACAAAGATGTTTGAGATACCCCCTTTGCTTGCTACGAATGAACAAACAAGTCCCTCAGTGGCTGTGGGAGGGGCCCATACTATTTGGCTCCTCAGTCAATCGTCCGCCAGTCGTCTGCTCTTGTGAGATTAACTCTTCTTACTACAGTAGATCTCAGTTCCTCTTGATCAGTGATCATAAGGAGTTACCAAAGTACTACTGCTGTGTGAACTTTGCCCCTTTTCTGATATTGTCTTGCCAGTGTGCCATTAATATTGTATGCCCCGGTTTGCAGGGATAAGCGGGACTGCGGTGGATCACTCCTAAAAGCGGAGCCAGATGATTGCCAAACACGCCAAGACAAGGCTGCGCTGCAACTTCTCGGCATGTTTGCTTCAACCTGTGCCGCGACTGACAACTGACGGCCTCTGTCTGCGCAGCGCAGGTGAACTCAACTTTTTGGTGGATCTGCGCATTGAATCGGTGTCTCCAGGGATTACATCGTACAACACACCCATTAGTATTGACTAGGGAGGGACGTGGGAGTCAAGAGGACTGGTACATTTGATCAACATTTGGAATCTCTCCTTTGCTTTGGGCTTTCAGACGAAGCACAACGGCTCTGTGAGCCTGCACAGCCCATCATGGTCAACATAGCGAAGCGCATGCGAAATTTCCAGCCTGTAAGTCTACTCTCTATGTCAAAATACTTGCCATTTGCTAATGATTGTGTAGAAAGTGAGTTCCTCTGAGGGCACACATTCTCCTCACCCGGGACATTGTAACTCACTCTTTATAGCTTTGGCGGATACGAAACGGACAAGGAGCTGCAGTTCTCCCTCCACCACCATCACCACAATTAACACGTCTTCTCCTACGGTTCCCACATGGCGAATGGCGCAAACCTGTCCACGGACCACGGTTATTTGCCCACGATCACCTCAAACGGCTGAAATACCACAATCCCGCTTTACCCATCAGAGTGGAATCCTCGCCCAGATCACAACTCGAAGTCACCTTTGAGAGTACGGACCGGACGACGTTAGAATCGCTTGAAACAGCTACAGAGCCAGGATCTGTGTCCGAATCGACGAAATTCAAACAAGAATGGACAAATATCGAGTCCAAACCTCAACCGGCAGCCGACCCTAGCGCCCCTTCAACCACCTCACCACCCGTGGAGACCTTCACGAGACGTGCCATAGTGGATGTAGCGGGCAAGCGACCTGCGCAGATATGGCAGTGGTTCAAGCGGACGACGAATTGCGAAGAACTCCGTCCGTCTCCGGAAGATGTCGAGCTCATGAAGCGTCTCAATGCTTTCTTCCAGAAGGCTGATATCGACAGAAAACGGGTCAAGGCTGGTATTGATGAAATGAGAAAACAGAAGGAAGAGTTGCGGAAGGCCAGAGAAGCTGCGGAGAGAATGACCAGCGAGGCATGATTGAGTATCTTGCTGGATTGGCACGCATATCCGAAAAGAGGTTATGCCAGGACCTCGAGGTAGCTCCTGTATGGGGAACTCCCGGTCTACTGCATCTGAAGCAACGATTGCACTGCTAGCATACTACTGCTGTGCGAAGTACATACGGTGTGCAGTGTGCAGTGCGCGTTATCCCTCTCACGAGGTACGAACCTCTCCTGCGCATTCCGGATTTCAGTACACAATGGATATCTCTTCCGGCTTTGGATGCTGAAGGGATTGAAACTGCTGAATCAATGCAGTGGGTGCGGAGCAGACGTCTAAACCCCGTACATCTCTACCGGGGGACCGGATGTGCCATGTATAAAGGGTGGGTCAACTGGTAACTGACTTCCAAGGTTCAAGCTGCTTGAGGCTATGTGTTAAACAATGCTCCGGGGCTGTTTTGGGAAAAGTTTGTATAAGTATTGTATGGCTCGGCCAGGTAGAGGATAAGGATATCATTGATGCAATTCAGAAAGAATACAGCAGAGCGTCCGGCATTTACTGTGAGCAGGGGAGCACGCCCTTTGAAACATTTGGCGGAATCTTTTGTTCTTGCGGGACTCGCCTTGACATATGCCGTCGTTATCGCCCTATGCAAGTTATATTGCGTGACGGACGAGCTAAGCAGTCGAAAAGAAATCCACTCATATTGCCTCAAGTTTGGAAATGAAATACTACTATTGCCATTATTGCAAGGACTTGAACGAGACAAATGCTGATTTTACAGCGTCCCTCGGAAGTTCAGCCAGACTGCTCCAGTCTTTCGAGGTCAAAAGAGGGAAGACGATTCCATGCCTACTCACAACGAACGGAACAGTGTGTGCTGACGGGGTAGACAGTACCTTAGGATCCGACGTTCGTAAGAGTTATTTTATATTTCATTTTATTTCGAGATGTTATGATACAGCCTTGAATTTCTCAGATGCATATATATACAGACTTACTAGCACTATGAGGCATCTTTCAACCTCGCCAGCACAGCCTTTCCAGCCCTCGAATCATTAGGCCTTCCCAACTTCTCAGTGATCCACTGACCAATCTCCGCCATTTTAATCATATCGACACCCGTTTCACAGCCTAGACTATGCAGCAGATGCAACAGATCCTCAGTAGCGACATTCCCCGTAGCGCCCTTCGAATAAGGACACCCACCCAACCCACCGACGGAACTATCAAAAATCCTAATACCATGCTCCAGTGCCACGGCGGTATTCACCAAAGCCATACCATAAGTGTCGTGGAAATGCAAAGCCAGATCCTCACTCAGGATCCCCGCATCCTTTAGTGTTTCGAGCAATTTGAGCGTCCGGGGCGCGGTGCCCATGCCGGTAGTGTCGGCGACGGAGACCTCATCACATCCCATTTCGAGCAACGATGCCGTAATTTCGGCGACTTTGTGAGGATCCACGTCCGGTCCTTCGTACGGACAGCCCAGTGCGACGGATACGTATCCCCGTACGCGGATGTTGTGTTGTTTGGCGAGATCTAGAATGGGTCTGCATCGGTTCAAGGACTCGGAGATGCTGCAGTTGGTGTTTTTTTGGGAGAATGTCTCGGTGGCCGCGGCGAATAGGGAGATTTCGGTCGAGTTTTGTGTACTGCTTGTGTTGGTATCGGAGGACGAGGACAGTTCGTCTGGGTTCGTGGCTGAAGAAGGCGACGGGGTGGACGGCCGTGATTCCGGAGGCGTATTGAGTCCTGATGTTGGACCTTGTGTTTGTGTTTGTCCCTTTTTCTCCTGGAGAATCTTGATCATGTTCTCCATGCCTCGAATGTTCGGCACGAGGTAGTTGTATGCGATGCCGTGAGGCGCTGGTGGAGGGTCGGTGAGTAATCGCTCGAAGATCTCGGTTGTTGATGCCATCTGCAACACAATTCGTCAGTCATCCAATACCTAGATAGTCCTAAATCGCCGAACTGGATTATGTATGTCTATCCCACATAGTATGGTTGTCCTCCTCTTTATTTTCTGCCTCTTGCCATTTGTTCGTCTCTTCTCGCCGCCGTTTATCTAGTGTCCCCAGGTCCCTCTCTCTTCCTTTTCATCTTGCCCTTGCCCAACCGACATTTCCGTAGACGGATTGAAAGTCAAGATATTTGGTACATACCTGTGGCACCCATTTCGCCGGCACAAACGACCCCGCCTCCAAATGCGTGACGCCCGTCTGCGCCAGCCGCCGAACAAGTTCCAGCTTGGTGTCCAGTGGGATCGAGCTCTTTTCATTCTGCAGACCGTCTCTGGGCCCGACTTCGACTATTCTCACATGGTCGGCGGCGCGGCGGCGAGAGGTGGTGAACGTGCGATTATTGCATTTGGAGGTGCGGCTGCCAGTGCCCCAGCATGTGTTAAGCTGTAACGAAGGTGAAGGTCGGCTTCGATTCCCCGTCCGCAGGCAATGAGGGAGGCGGGATACGAGCGGATTCATGGTGTTTGGATGGACAGCTATTAGGTATTCATGCAAGCGGTCGTCGTAACACCCCTTTCAGGAGACAGTTTTCCTCCGACCGCTTTCTCAACTTGATAGTACGGTGTCTGAAACTGTCAGACTGTAGAGACTTAATGAAGGCGAGGTTTAAATTGTTGATTGTTGATTGCTGTGCCGTGGCGTGCCGTGAGGTGCAGTGCGGAGGCGGCTAAACGCGGTCTTGGGGCTCGTTCTCGGCGGATGCAACAAGATTAGGTATGCGGGGAAGAAGGATGGCGAGGGTGAACGGGCGAGGCTGCACGAGGCTGTATGAGGCTGGCTTCCCACAGTAGACTCCTTAATTTACCACTGCAGGTAGGGACTACTAGTAGGACGATTCATTCTGTAGACGCAAGTGAAGTGGAGAGCTCCGGCATTGTTTCCAAAAGACTGGCACAGATACTATAGCACAACAAATATTGTACAACATGTACCCTCGAAAGTAGACGTTCCTCCCTCATGCCTTCAGCTTAAACTGCCCTTTTTCCGCTGCATCAAAGACCCGGACTGCAATGACACAAACACTCGACAACATCAACAGCCCGAAATCATACCAGATCAGCGAAATGTATGCCTGTGGCTTGGTGCCTCCAGCAACAAGCGCACCTCCCACTGGAGAACCCCATAGCGCACCCAGACCACGGATGAAATAGATGAACCCATTGACTGAAGCATACGCCTGCGCGCCAAAGACCTCAATTACTGTAGTCGGGAACAACGAGTTATAACCTGGCGGATTTGTCAGCGTACAACAATCCATCCTTCACGCCAAGGCATTTCCTACCTCCGGCAAAGATTCCGTAGCTGACAACAAAGGCGATCCAAAGCTTCATATCGTCCCCGTAGGCACTGGACAACCACAGCGCGACAACGGTGATAGCGCTGCCGAGCACACTGAGGACCAGCGTGTTCTGCCGGCCGGCGACATCGGCAATGAAGCCCATTGCGATCCGACTCACCGTGTTGACTGTATTATGAATGGCGAGCAAGGCGGCGCCACTGCCAGTCAAGAAATGGATGCCGTTAGCTTCGTCACGGAGCTTCACACAGCACATCTAGTAAGGGCTTTAGGGTTTAACTTACAATGCAGCCGTATATCCCAGCCTCGTACTGAATTCAGGTAAGAACGTCAGAGGCACCAAATTTCCCGCCGCCTGAGCCATAGCAGCCAGAGCTTGCAGAACAAAAGCCGGCCGTCTGGCAAGGCGCACGTCTACCAGTGTCGGCCGTTTCGAAAGACTCCGTGATGGCGGCGTACCGAGCACAATCGGGATGCACATGGCCAGATTGGCCAACCCGAAAATCCTCAATGTCCAAGCTGCACCGACTTTGGCCAGCATTGCCCGGGCTGCAGGTGCATAAACTAGACCGCCGACCCCGGCAGCCGAGAGGATAAATCCCATGGCCGACCCGCGGTGAGCGTCAAAGTACTCTGGAGCCACAGCCATGATGGGGAAATACATCAACGACGTGCCGACTCCGTAGATCAACCCTTGTGTGAGGAGGAGTTGCCATACCTGCGACTGTTAGCTGGACTGCACATGGTCATTGTGACTTTGGTGCACCAAGACCACACAGTTGGACCGGGGAAACTTGGACTATAAGAGCACTTGCGAGTTCACCTACCCTATGACACCAACTGGCCAACACATAGCCCGCCCCAATCAACACTGCTCCTGCGCCCGTAATCCATCTCGGGTCCTTGGACCGTGCCATGATCGGATTGACAAAAATACTCCCTCCCCAAGTCAGTCCGTAAGCGAGAGTTCCGACGAATGCCAACATGGCTTTACTCCTGACTTCGCTGGGCGGGAGGAACGGGTCTTTCGCACTGCTCCCGTCGGTGAGGTAGTAGTTGAGAAACACACCGTATGCCTGGTTCAGACCGATAGTAATAAAGACGGCGAAGAAGGCACAGAATAATATGCCTGTCTGCTGCTTCCGAGAGACCGGTCGCATCTCCACAGGTTGAGCATTGGCTGGAGTCACGATTCGTTCGCGGTCGAGGGAAGATCTAGCCTCTTCGTCGCCTGCATGGCTCTGGCTCTGGTTCTCTTCGAGGGGTATAATCTCGCCTGGAGCATTGGCGGTGGCGGGTTCGACATCATTGAGAGGATGCTTTCTTCCGTACAGTGCCATGTTGGCATTTGAGCGAGGAGGAGAAATAAAGCAGAGAGAATGCGCAACTCAGGTTAGGTATGTGTGATTGATTCATTGGTCCCGTCTTGAAGCTGATGCTTTTCGTGAGTTGCCTCGGCCGGAAAAGCGAAAATCCCCGCAGCCACCAAACAGCGAAGCGCGGCCAACAATCTACGGAAAATGACGATGCCCAGCAATCTCAGCCTTGCTTCCTCATACGGATACGAAGGAAGCCCCAGGTGGTTGGCCGATCTTCTCGTCTGTTTGACCCTCATAACTCGACAGGCGATTGTGTGAGGTCTTGTGAGGCGCAGAGCATAGCCTGAAGCACAAGCATTATCCGGAATGTTATATCACCAGCAACGCGGCAAGCAGGTCTCTTTTGAAGTAATGTTCCTCTATTACAATCAAGTACTGCTGGCATGGCATCGCTACCGAGAGCTTCATCCTGTGAGTATCGCTTGAGTCAATGCTTATCTTGCAGCCGCCTTCTCTAGTCGCTGTCGCTTGCGTACGGAACAAGCGGCCCTGAGCTAGCCTGATCTTCTTCTTTCTGCTTCAGTTTCTCTCTCTCCTGCGCCCGAGCAAGCAGTCGATCGAACTCCGCCTCGGTCAGGTCCGCCTGCCCTGCCTGACTGGTTTCCTGCACGGCCTGCTCTTCTGGGCCAGGGGCTCGCGACCGCTCTTCCAAATGCTCATTGCCCTCGACTGCGTTCCAGAAAGCACGCAAATTTGCTGCAGAGACACCATCGCCGGTCGCGAGCTGGTATCGACGAGAGACTTCCCGCCAGACAGTGTCCTCGCGCTCCTCCTCCACCTGCTGCTTGAGACGGGCGATCAAGCTATGCTTCTTAGCCGTTGCACTGAGCTCCATCAGCTGCTGGCCGTCACGGTATGTGTCGAGGACCTCCTCTGTCAGCTGGTACGTTGTTAGCATAATATACACCCCGCAGGTTTCCAATGGGTAACTAGTACTCACATCAAGCACGCCCTGTGCGGCGTAGTTTCTAATCATGGCAAGGAAACGCCCAACCAGATTGACACCAGGCTGACCAGTGATCTCCTGCCACCTGCTCTCTATCACAGACCAATCCCTGATCACCCTTCCGGCCATTGTGTACAGCATCCTGTCTGCTTCGGAAGCCTGGGCTGGGTATTCTGGCAAGGGAAGGTCGGCAGGATCATCTTCTTCGGAGATGGCTCTATGGCTGGCTTTTGTGGCAGCATCGAGGCGCACACTTGCCTTGTTCCTCCTTCTTTTCTTGGTCTTCGGCAAGGGTGGGACACCATAGTAGACCGACCTTCTCTTGCGCTTGCCGCCGGTCTCAGGGGCTGGACTGTGGAACCGATGGTCAACAGACTGATATAAAGAGGACTGGGGTACACCTACACATCAGACTGAGGCTCGACGTGTTTGTCGCCGCCGCCGTTGCTGTTGCTGCCGCTGCTGCTACTGGACTGTTCCTCTTCCTCCAACGGCCAAAAGGTAGGGTCTTCATTCTCTGCCATTATGCGTCGGTTTTCAGTCCACCAAGCAGGCTCAACCGCACCACGATGAGGTGCTGAAGGGGGCAATCTCCGTCGACTGTTGAGAGACTGGAAACCCAACCCGCGATCTTGAGGGTCGGTAGTCGTGCGCTGAATAACGGCTTGACCAGGAACACGGGGGGCAGGGTTGATGGGATTGTCAATATTTGTCGTCGTGGGTCTTCGCGCACCAGGAATCGCAGCTGAGCTTGCTTGCGAAAGAAAACTAGGCCGCAGAGGAGTGCCTCTATGCTGGCGACGAGGTTGATCATCCTTGGAGGGAGACATAGCATCGCGACAATAGCTGATAGTATAAACACTGGGCCCGAGCAAACCGCGAAGAAAAAAGAAAGAGCACGATAGAATAGGTCGCGAAGTGCGGTACACAGAAGATGTGTCTGAAATATACCTTATGTCATTGTCCCGCCAAGCAATTCGTTCACATTCACTACCAGTAAGTGATGCCTGGTTTGTTCGATCACTGACTCCCTTTGATTCCAACAAGAGGGTTCACAGAGGACCAATTGTTATCGAGGGAGGGCTTCCGGGGCTTGAACTGTGTTAGTGATATTCAGAAAGGGAGTGACCACCTTATCTACAGAATGTCGTTCTGTAAGACGTTCCGATACCTTTCCAGGTGATGTACTGAAACAATGTGCACACCTATCATTAACAGATATGGAGCTGAGGTAGATCTGCAACTTGCTTTTGCACCATCATAAGGTCACTTACTAGGCACGAAGTGACCACCCAGGACAGGACCACTAACATTAGGGTGACCTCCTTTCCAGACACTCACTTAGACATCTAGCTTCTAGTGGCCACCCGCATATCTCTTCTTCACTTCCAGCCATCTTGTCACTTCATGCAAAATGGGCGCCGCAGTGAGGCGGTGTTTTGCTTAGGGAGGCATAGTATGTGGTATGGGGCCGTCACCTGTTGTGCTTGTAACAATTAACCAGAAAGGGCCCAGCTCATCAGCTAAGAAGGGTGATTTGCTGGAGCGGTGAGGAGGAAGAATAGATATATAGTAATTAGTTGAAGATGAAGTTGAAATTGACCAGTCCAGTTCGATCTGGGGGAATTGAATATGTAATCACGTGCGATCACGTGCAAGGGGGCATTGCTGTGGCTGTCAATCGCCCGCCGAGTCGAACAACCAACCTCGTCGCCTCCTGTACATACAATATTGTACTTGTTCGGCAAAATCCCACACATCGACCGACCCCAATCGGTGGATAGGCTTGCGCCCTGCTTCTGGGAAAAGGAGCCTGAAGTCAGCCTGAGTCTCAGAATTCTTCAGACGGAAGAGATCCGCTCTCTGTATCGGTCTGTCCATCCTCTCCGTTGCCCATTGAAGACATCGATGCCAATGGGCGAATTGAAGTGATTTCACCACATGATGCACAGCCACAGTCTAGACAAATCCAATTGTCACTTCATAAATACTCTGGCTTTCCGACTTCCTGATGGGTTGTGCCTGTGTTGATGTTTGACGGTGTCATCGCTGTGTCACACTGCCAGCAAACGACCTCTTTAAATATGTTTTTAACCGTACGATCCGGTTGCAATAGAAGGAGTGCCCATGTCAAGTGCCTTGACCGCGATTCCCGATGACAACCAAGCCACCACCGCGGTGCTCCCTTCAGGAGACTATTCGTCTCGGTCAATTCTACTCGCTGGACGAATCCGAAGTACTCTCGCAGATCGCTGAAGCTTTCGAGCCCGAACTGGAACGTCTCAAATCGGCCAGAGCCATTGAAGGCACCGTTCAACAGCGGCTGGCAAATGGTACGATTGACCGGCCGAGTCCGTCACAGATCCTTTACGGGACCAACTATGATGAAATCAATCGGACCCTTGTGGGTATCCTGGCGTTGCGCTGGATTCATAATGACGAATATGAGAGATTCGTTTCGGGCCAGCCGTCCGAGTATATGTTAATCGAGGATTCTTTCGAAGAACTCCGACAGTTGTTTGCTGAGGTTCTCCAATGCTCCGATGACGTGTTTGTGCTGGTACTATCCATGGTGATCAACGATCTGGGGAAAGACCCCAACCTCGAGGAAGACTATTTCCGCACCACTGGCCAGCGGCTCACAGAAAAGAACCATGACAGTCTGCTCCTCGAGGCCGCCAAAGTGGGCATGATCCCTGCATTGGACTATCTCAACCCGGACAAGAGGGAGGAGGTGATGTTGGGGCTGCAGCTTGGATCTGAACTGAACGCGGGTCAACTCGCTCAGGCCGAGAGTGTCCCTGTCAACTTGGAAGGTCTTCTGGAGATGAGAGGCCATGAACATGCGTTCAACTTGAAATTCATGGAGCAGATCCTCGACGTTGCTGGTGCAGCTGGACATATTGACTCGAGTGGGGCCAGAAACTTCATCCAACCTGTATACGAGACCTTCAAAACTGTCCATGAGGTTTCACTTGATATTATAGCCGGCAGATGTACCCTGCGACAAGGCTATGACAAGGTGCTGACGAAGCGCGGAAAGATCCTCATTGACAAAGGGTTCCGCCGGTTGAGCGTCAGTGACAGGGAAGAGCGGGCTCTGTTGAGGTTGCTCACCATGGGTCGCACAGCAGACCTTGAACAAGCCGAGCTTTTCTCCAAGGCATTCCATGATCTGGATAAACGAAACAAGGAACAACTCGTTGCTGGTCTGAATGTCGACGGCAACGTCAACGAAACTGCCGTTCTCCCGTATTACATGCCTGCCATCATCTCCACGGCGTTGAAGAATACTGAAGATTCTGATGAAACGAGCAAGCAACGCGCCCTGATGAGTTTGATGAGATACCTTGCCAAAGTCCTGGGCAGCCCGGGTGCAGGATTACCTGGCGTGCCAGAAGATGCCGTATACAATGGAGAGGTGGCTGGCATAGTCGTTGAGCGCAACATGTCGAAGGCCCAGGATGTTATCAACAGTCCCGAGTTCAAGAATAATCCAGACATACTGGACAGGCTCGCCATCCCTGAGGGGCAAGTACTCCAGCGGCGTAGGACCAGTCAGTCTTGGTGAGGGTTGGTCAGAGAGATCAGGTTCCTGGTACCAGACTGCTCAGACTTGAAGGTGCTGCAAAAATCGTGGCCGACTGTGCTATCTTTTCGAGAGTATTCATGCGCTGCTGTATTTGGATACGTCTGTGGAGACTCACCCCTGCTAGCACCTCGAGATTCACTCTCTGGCGCCCAACTTTGCACAGCTTCATGGGCTAAAGTGAAGACAAAGAAAAGTGGGGCCAATCAGATGTCCCGGATTCAACCTCACTTCACTCTCAGGGCGATTTTACCCTTGATATATTATTGTCACAGAATTATCCTCAACATTCCAAGAAGTCAGCCTGCTCGAAATCGGGTCCCCTGGTATAATCTGGTGTGAATAGGTGTGACTTGAGAGCCCCATCATAGAGTCAAAAAAGACTCGTCTCTGGGACCTCATGTCAGCAACACCTTGTCCATACTCCCATCATAGAGTCCAACTGACTCGTCTCTGTGGAGTTCTTGCCTGAAGCCTTGGCCATGGCCTGCATCATAGAAATGGCTGACTTCGAAGTTTGTGACAAAAAAGAAAAAAAAGATCCCGGAAAAACCCAGGATCTCTCAATGGTCCGAGGTTTCACTTGCTTCGAACGCACCACCAAATAATGTGGCTGCCTTCAAGAAAAGTTTTTTGCTTCTGGTTCTTTTTTGTGCCAAAAAAGAGTTCAACCGCTCAACTTCTGCGGGAACCAGCAATTGTTCCGGCTGTCTTCAGACGCGGTGCCGCGCCGATCTCGTCTATACCAGTGGGCGAGGCTCTACTAGCCAGTACGCGATATTTTTGACTTTCCTGGACGTGTCGGGTACCACGTTCGAACATCTGGTTCAGAAGACCCTGATCCAAACTGAAAACACTGCTCCGGACGAGTCAGGTTGCGAGTTGAGGCAGCCCGTCCAGAATGGACAAAGTGGTCTTCGCCGTCAAAGTCTATAAAGATGAGGGTGGCCGGCCCTCTTCCCTGTTCTCGAGCATCCTTCATCAACCACTCTACAACCCATCAATCACTTTACAAACTTACAAATTCTTGGGATCTCAATCAATCAATCAATCAATCAATCAAGCATCGATCTTGACAAACGTGGTTGTCCATAACACAACACAAGAAGACAACACAATCCAATCCAAACCAAATCACAATACACCTTGACAACTTGTCAACTTGACAACCTTTTCCTACCACATCCTACCCGTTCCAAACCCAAATCAAACCAAAACAAAATGGCCATCGTCGTTTCACACGTCTCTGCCGGCCCCAGCGGCTTCATGGCCAAACCCAAACCCTCGGTATCTCTTATTACCACGACGACCGCCGCCGTCGCCACCTTCACCTTGGTCTCCGACCCCTCTCGAACCGTCATCATTAACGGTGCCCACCCGGTTCCGACCACAACTATACCCTTCCCTTCTTCCCTCATGCACCGCCCAACCTCAAGTGCAAGCCGGAGCCCTCGTGCTCGTGCCGTGGAGACGAACCTTGACCTCACTGCCCGACGAGTCGACACAAACAATCATGATGATGATGATGCTGATGATGATGATGACCTTCATCACACGGCTGTCCCTGTCGGCATCAACAACATCAACCTCAACCAATTCGAAAAAATCGACGCCAATGGCATACTGGTACCTCGCACCGAAATCGATATCCACGCTGTTCAAACTCAAGTCCCATATGACGGCGGCTTTGGGGCCTTTTCTTCTGCTGGTGCGGACTCTGAGCAGCTTCAGCTTGAGCTTTCAAGCTTTATGGCGGCAGCATCGGCGTCAGCATCAGCATCAGCTACGACGACAATGACTGAGGCGGCGGAGGAGGATCTTGGAGTGTCTTCTAGCTCTAGCGGACAGGGGTCTCTACAGGGCAAGAGACTCAGTCGCCCTTGGATGTGGTCTTTTTCTTTTCTGGTCGTGGGTATGTTGTTTGCATAGCATAGCATAGCATGATGGACTAGTACTAGTTAGTAGCGTTGACGCGGAGCATGGGAGCTACGAACTTCGGGCCCGGGAGAGTTTACTTGGGCAGAGGGTGCCGCAGTACTACTATTCAGTGGTGGATTGACATGGATTGAGGAATGGACGGAGATGATGCTAGTACTTACCTTAGGTAGTTGCATCTAGGTACAGTAGTATAGGTACATCATGATAGCTGCAATGAAAGGCTCCGGCTTCCAAGATTGATCGACTGACTGTCCTGTACTTCTCTTCCCTTCCTTTGATGATGCCGCGTGGCCACTACTGTATCTTATGCATGCAGTACTAGTAACTTGGGTATATGTAATTCACATATGTGAATCTGACCGGACTGGGCTGGATGGTACTTTTAGTAGTAAAACTTGACAATCTCGTCTCGTCTCCTCTTCCTACTGTAGCTCTGAATGTGCAGTGTATGCACTCCAAATTACAAGTATAGTACCCGGTTGAATTGCGGAGTTCGAGCGAGCTATTCAGTTCCAATTGTTGTTATATATCATGGTGTTACACTTCTTTTCTCGGGGGTAACCTTCTTCCACCCTGTTCACGCCGCACCTCTTTCCCTCTGCCTCTTGGGGCCACCAAACAAATCTCGCCAGAACTCACGGAAGCCATATCCCTTGCCCTCGACCTCATCCCTGATCCGGCCTTCGTGGCCTCTGTATTTCTCGGCGCCGATGCCCTCGCCAAACCGCTCCAGGACGCCACCTTCGCGGTGCCCCATGACTGCGATCTTAACCGCGGGTTTACGGCTCCGCTCGAGAATTGCATCGGCCAGCGTCGGGGCCACGTCGGCGAAACACCGATTCAGTTCGCGCTGGAGGTTATAGTATGGTTTCTGGGCGATCTTGGGCGCCATCAGGTTGTAGGAGCGGGTGAGGTCGTTGAGTTCTTTCACTGCAAGGCTGTGGTATGCGAGTTCGGCTTTTTCCCATATCGGATCCCGGAATGGGTAGGGCATGGGGAGGACGGAGGGTCGTAGTCTTGGTTGTGGTTGTTGTGGAGCTGAGTTGGTCGTCGAAGATGTCGACTCTATCGGGGGCGGTGTAGGTGTATCGACCTCGGTGTCGAGAGGTGTGGCTGTATGCGTAGTATCCTGTTGTGCCGTACTAGTAGCTGTGGTTTTGGAAGCACCAGTTTCACTTTGCTGTGCGCTCTCCTCCGTCACTCTGATCTCGACTGCTTCCTCCGGCTCAGCGCGCTCACCGGCAGCGATCCGCTCTTCGACAGTGATGTTTGTCAGATTGCCGTCGCTGGAAATGGCACTCAAGCTTTCCACCTTTTGTACTCGCGGGTTGACTCGCTCTTCAGCCAACGCATATCCTTTGGCTCTTCGTATCTGGTCCTCCACACTGCCGCCCGTACTGGAAATCATCCGGGCAGCATGGCGACGCCAGTCGTTGCGCAATCTCCCCCGAAAACTCGCCACAGCCTTGACCAGTTCCTGCTGCTTCTCGATCCAAGGCGGTACAATCTCCTGCTTTTGAATAATCTTGTTCATGAAGTATTCGGTAGTGTCCAAAAACGGACTGTTGGCATTATAGTCTCTCTCCACATTCTTGCCCTTTCCTCGAGGGATGTTCTTAAACTGCCCTCTTGCAATTGCATCCTCGATCCGCTCGTTCGCGAGGCTTGAAAGGCCCTGCAGTGTAGTGGGCATGGGACGCGCCCCTGGGGAAAAGCGGTCCTTGAGTTCTTTCCGCCACTTGTCCCGCTCGTCCTGCGACATGTCATGCTGTTGGGCGATGGCATAGATTGACGTCTTGTCTCGCGCGTTGGCAAGGCGGTCCGCCGCAGACACGCTCTTCTTCGGTGCCGGGCGCAGGTTCACTTTCTGCGGAATTGCAGGTGTCCGGAATGGCGTCCGCAGTCTCTTGTGGCTGTCATCCAGCATTCGCAGAGCTGAGTCGTGGAGAGATTCGGAGCCTGTCCATGGTTGCGCACCGGCGACATCTTGAGTGCCTTTTCCAGCCGCAGTCTGTCATATATCTTGTTAGCGCATTCTGGTGCAATAGATCAGAGACAGACCAGTTATCCACCGGTCAACACCATCACAGAACAGAAGAGTTCTCATACCGGCATATTGACCACGCTCGCAGCCCGCTGGTTCTGGGCAGCGAATTCTGTCTGCGCAATCCTCTCTTCCAGTTGTTTCTTGAGATCGTCTGAGAATCCCGCCTCCTGGATTAATCTCCGATCGCTTCTCCTGCCGGTATCGATCGTCTCCTCGGCCATTTCGGCCAGCCTGCGAGACATGGCTCCTTCTTCTTGTCCATTTGACGTAGCCTTATCCGCATCATTGGGCTTATGATTTGATGGCTTCTGCTCTTCCCACAGATGTGTGGCGACACTGAATGACCGGCTGATGTCTATGGACCGCGAGGAATAGAAAGGCGAAGCACCCCGCAGGCGCTGGGCTCGAAGACAACGGGAGCAGGTCCACATCTGCGTACCAGGGGCGCTCATCGTGAAGGTCGAAACATAACTTATTACACTAATATACAGGAATCAAGAAAACGAAGCGAAGACAGAGGAGAGGCAACTGGAAAGGAAAGCGTTCGTGTCTACCACAATCGATGTCGCCGCAAACTGCCCGATACATCTGTGGTACTACGACATCACGTCCGGGGTGGAGCATCGTTTCTCCGTGGCGGCTTTCTTGCTTCCATCCAATCGTGTGTTCTTCTGCTCGATCAGGTAAACTTCCGTGTAAAGCGGCGTGACTACTTTTCTGCTGCAGATTTACCAAACCTTGGCACTTGTCTCCGCCGAAGTCATGCCGCGCTTCAAGAACTGAAGTCCATTGACCGCGCATGGCCAGCAACTTGAATTGCAAAGCAGTCTTGTTAACTGTTGTCGTCACAGCGTTCTAACATTTCCTTTACGGAATAAGGACCCCTAGCCGGGGCTGCCGAAGACGGGATATTGAGGTCGGCTCTGCGAAGAGAAGCAGACAGCCACCGTACCCGCAGTCCTTTGCTGTTTCTGCCCCCATACAACACCGAACGATTAACTCTGTTGCCTTCCTCCGAAACCCTCCTCCTGCGGACGACTCCTCGAATCCCATCTGCTCCGTCAGGAGTCTATCCTCGCACCTAGCGGAAAGACACGCTCTCCTTCACGATGCCTCCCAAGGGCGCCTCGACCGCCGTCAACCCGATCAGATTACAGACAGTGTCCCGGTTAAAGATCAGAAATCCGGACAAACATGAGCCCAATCCCTGCTTGGGACCGATGACCGCGATGCTGAGTATGTTGAGCCCGTTACATTGCGACTTGCTCTACCTTGGAATTTCACTGCACGCATTAGCTATGCTTGTCCGAAGTCGGCGGTTTTTGGGAAGGCGGCTCCTGTGAAGTTGAAAATTGGCAAGACACAATGTTGCTGGACACCCAGGCTGCCTGCGCCATCGGTCGCACGGCGACGATGCTCTCCACCGTTGGACTGAGGTCCCGACAGTTGCATTGAGCCACGGTCCACGGAGCCCATGCTGCCAGGAACCCGCTACCCCAATTACGCTCATGATGTTCTACGCCGCGTTCTCCATGGGATATCTCAACCAATGCTAACACATTTGACCCTACAGATTGCTGGGCAGCAGGCGCCGCCTCCGGAGGCTGCGGCCACCTCGAAAAAGCTCTGCGAGATTGTATGGACGCGCCGGTACGTTTTTGCCCACAGCTACAGCTACATTATCCTTTCTCTTGCCTCTCTTCACTCTGGCTTTCGCGTTCCTCCTCTTTACGGCTAGCCGTGGCCCGACCACATCATTGCGCACCTAACCCACAATCACCTCAAATCTCTCTACATGCTCCATGCTTGCCTTGCGGAAACTGCTCCATCAAGGAGTAGGATCACTCTGACTAACAGTCGTAACCCACTTTAGAAACCTCCGCCAAAGGGCAAATCTACCATCAACTACCATCTCGGCCGTCTCTACCCGAACATTTCCGGGCCGAAGAAGAAGACATAAGAAGCAGAACTCCGCCCTTTTCCCTTTCGCTCCCAAAGGTTTCTCTCAACCAATACCCACTCGTGCGATCCATTATCCTTGGAGCCGCGCAATCGAAGAGTCACATATTACAACGATTCTTGTTTGTCTTCTCTTTCGGCAACAACGACACCAAATCCAATCAATCACCAGAATCTATTCGAGCATGTACATATACCAAGACGACACGTGGCGCAGAAAAGGGGTTTTGCTTCTACGGCCAAATGTGTTCAGTTGAAAATGAAATGGATCAATCGGCAAAGCGTACTGTTCCGTTCCAGTGTAGAACACACTGCTGTTCGAGCCCATGGATGGATATGGATAAAGTTAGACCAGATCGGACCGGTTGAAAGATCCATATTGGAGCTGTCTCGTCACTACTTGCTTGCGGTTCCAATACTTCCAGAATGTCAGGGGCGATGACAAAAGAAAAGCCGGTCTCATTACCACTCTGGAAACGAAAAAGGAGACAACCGCGGACAAGATGAGCCGGATTCAAGTTGTGTATTAGGAAGAATATGTATACATGTACATTGGTTACCCATGTACCTCACAGGATCAACAAAGAATGATGCCAGCTATCTTGCAGTAGCTGATGTGCAATTCTCTCAAGAAACAATTCTGTCCAGGTACAGGTGAATGCGGGCGGAGCAATGTGATTGATTCTTCGGATGTATAAAAATATAATCACAGGGGCATTCGTTTCAAGCATGTAAGTATCCAATCCATACCTTCAAGTTCTTCATTCCTTGGTGTTTAGATGTACTTACTCACACCCACTGGTATTGGAACCTACCTTATGTAACTGTCCTGTGCTTTAAGAGCCAGTTGAACTAGGACATGAAGGGTCGGTCCACTAATAATATAATTACCTATCTACATACATAGACTTGAAGGCATTTTGCAACATTTTCATTCCCACTTCTTAAGACTGGGTACCGGACTCAAAAGCGCCTCAAGGAGCAAGGAACCGCTCAGATTATAAGATTAAGAGAAGAAACTGCAAAAAACTTTTTTTTGGTTGGGATAGATACTCCCCCAAGCGCCATGCTACCGGTCGTCAAAAAGACCTCATAAAATATAGAATCGCCGAAACGATAGAACTGCCAGTGCCAAACCCATCCTAGGTTCACTGCAGTGGTATACAACCGATCCAATCAATGCCAAAATCGTGCCGTAACAATAACAAGTCGTGTCGCCAAATCAATCAGACAACCAAATCAATCGTAGCTCGTTCGTTTCATTTCCAATTCAACCGACTCATCCCAAAACACAAAACAGACTCGCAATCGCTCTTAGTCCTTCTTTTTTATTACGACCGCTTGAACATAAAATATCCATACATGCCACCGACATCCTGGTCGACAACGGGCAATTTGCGCATGCCCCACCACCTGGCGCCCATTTTCCAGGGCCGCCAACCATCATCGACAACAACTGCCGCATCTTCGCCGCTGCTGCTGGTCTCAGACGATGACAAGTGCGGTGGTTGTCTGACGAACCAGCCTCGACGACCAAGTTCTTTCACGACCCAGTCGGGCCGCTTGACATGGGCGTTGCGACGCTTGATTTCTTGCAGGACGTCAGGGGCAAGCTCGATGACTTCTAACGGTAAAGTGTCGGTACCGGTGAGCGAGCTGGGCGAATAACTGAGGGACATTTGTGTGACGGATGGAATGTTGCTTAGGTCGAGATAGCGGATCGCACTGGCACTAGTGCCAGTATTGTTTGTGGGGTTGCCGGTGTCGGCTTTGAACAGTCGTTTGATGTCGGCGCCCAGGCTGAGTTGGGCGTTGCGCAGACCCAATTCTTCCACGTGGCTTGCTAGTCGTCTCAAAGCTGGGATATGGGTAGAGGTGACCCTGGCGCCACCCAGATTCAGCGAGCGTAGTGTCCGAGGTAGTGAAGCCAGAAGCCTCGTCACATCCTCTTCGGCCAGGAGCCGGTGACGTGACGAGTCTGAGGCGAGATTGAGATAGACGATGCTCTCCTTGACGGCAGGGTGGGTGGTGAGGAATTTGACCACCGCCGAGCCCGTTAGGTGTGTGCACCGCTCAAGGTTGAGGTGGGTGATCTTGGCGGTTGGGGGGATTGAGAGTAATGCCCGATCGTTGATGAAGGTGTGAGCGACGTCGAGATGGGTCAGGTTCGACATCCGTGGGAGGAGGGCTTCGAAAACTTCCTCTTGAAGAGTCGTGCACTCATGTAGAGACAGCCGTTGCAGACTGGTCAAGGGGCCCGACCCGCGTAATTGTGTCGTGACAGCGGTGAATGCTTCGGCAAATGGCCGAGAAGAGCAGGCGCAGAAGTCGAGCGCCTGGATCAAGGGCATGCTGAACAGCTTGGAGAGAACTTTGACGTCCAGTTCGTCGTCAACATGCTCGTGGACAAGGAATGCCTGTAGGTTAGGCAACATCTCCAGACATGCAAGGAGGGTCTCCGGTTTGAGATAAGGAGTCTGGTTGGTCGTGGTGCGGTCTCTCCCGAACCCCATGTTGGAGTAGTGGGAGAAGTCCAACCACTGCACCATCTCACCCAACTTGTCGTTCTCCCGGAGGCTGCGCATGAATTTGGAAAAGGCGCGGGACTGCGGAATGGAAACATGGCGGTACATCACCCGCAACGCAGCAGGGTATAGAGCCTTGGAGGCCAGCGAGCAGGAAACGAGGTCGACGTGTGGTCTGGCATAGGGATCTGCGGTATGATCCACAGTGACATAGGAGAAGATCAATTCGAGAATCTCTTCAGGCATGGATTCCAAAGGCGACGTTCCGGGTTGTTGCGGATAGGACGAGATGTCCGAAAGGGAGTCGTCAGAGTCGTCGATGGCTGTATCGTTGACCAGCTCCCTCGCCCCCAATGAGTCCCTCACCTTTTCTCTCCAAATTTGAAGGCTGAAACTGGCTGGGCGTGGATGGACTCGTGTGATTTCCTCGGCGAAAGGAAGGTTGAACAATTTCTGCGCCGCCCTCCTCTTGTCCAGTTCGTCGAGTATCTTTTCGAGTTTCCGAGGATGGCTTCGAGCATATCCCTCAAGACGGTTCCGGACATGATCCTCATGTGTGCCCCCCCAATGGTACGAACATATTCCCTTCGTCTTGCACCATTGACTACAAGGCCATGCGATCCACTCGACTTCTTCTAGGTCTTTGCTGGAAAGGGAGGATTCGAACGATTGGGGAAGACCTTCGCCTGCGACAATTATGTTAGAATCGTGATATGGCGGGCAAGAGCGATGGGTGTTCACTTACCAGGCTCTTCCTTCACGGAGGCGTAGGAAAACTTTCTGGTTTGGCTCATGGTGTCAGGAGGGAGGAGGAGTTGACGATGATCAGGGTTGGGAGAACAGGCTGCTTCCTTCTTGGAGACCATAAGCGGTGTTTCAAGGTCGGGTCGATCGGCCTCTTCAAGTAGAGGGTTCTTCTGTCGGCCGCGGTGTGCTGGAGACATGGGAGCCATGGTTGGTACCATGCAGGGCTTATGTGTCTGCTACAACTAGTTCTGCGCAAGTCACAAGGAGGACTCGGAGAGTGGTAGTTCGGTGTGTGTCAAGTTCGGCGTCAAGTCAGACAACTCTCCACAGGCTATACTGACAGTAAACGAGACTTGGCAGGGTATGTGTCCTGTCGAGGAAAGATGGGGGTAATGGAAACAGCGTGAAGGGTCGATTGAGCGGAAAGCTGTGTCATTGTTTGCGATTCTGGCGCAGATGGCAACATTGCCATCACATAACGCGTACCACCGGCAAGGCTTGTCCACTAAGCAGTTAACGGCAACCCATGATTCATACTCCCCAGATTTTCCGCTCAATTTTTTTGCCTGCCAGTGGTCAAGGCGGCGAATCGACGGCGGCGGGACTAGGATAGGATCCATGGATATTATGGCAGGTGTTTCCATTGAAGGGCGGGAGAGGCTAGTCTCTGTACAGTTGCAGTTAATGGCAGTAGTACTACGGTGTTAGCATTCAGATATCAGGAGGTGCCATACTTCGGCGTGGTTAGCATCGGCTGTATCCTGAGCGGACTCCAAAGTGGCCGCATTCCATTCGAATGGCAGGCCACCACTGGCAGACAGGGGCAGCGCACGGCAGCGCACGGTGTTGGCAGATCAGGATCAGGTGGTCCCAACTGATGTTCAGCAGCTGCTTCCGGTGCTTCCAGACCAGGCACGCGGCGGCCGCAAAAAGGGAGGACCAGAGGGCGAGGGAATATTGTGGTGTCAGCGCGAGGATGGAATTACGTAGCGGGAACTGCAACGGAGCCTTTAGAATCCGTCAAAATTTGCACCCGCCCGGAATCCGGGGTAAAAACCAAGTCAAAGCCAACCACTCAGGCATCAGCCCGACACTAGGCCTGTTTCGCCAGTCTCGTGACGGCCTTGGCATTGGTCTGTCCGCGGCTTCACGTGCCGTCGCAGAGTTTTCAGACTGGCTTTTTCCGTCTTGTTACTAATGACATGATCTTCCCTCTCGATGGCGATTTAGCACAGTTCCGCGGACAGTAGGATAACGTACATCGTACTACAATCTGAACCTGCCCTGTTGCAGCTGTCCTGCAGCAACTCGCATTTGGAGTCACCGTATTTCCGTCCGTTGCTCAATTTTGGCGCCAGATATGGAAAGCAAGCATACTTCCCCGGTGTCCTTACAAGTTCATGGCAGGGGGCATGTACCACGTCCAGACAAGGTGCCAACAGCGGCTGCTCTGCTCCTCTCGTGCATTCAACCTTCAGTGTATGAAAATGTCCAATGTACAATGTATGCAGCCAAAAGGGCAACAGCTTCCGGGATGTCTCCTGTATAATTACAACGGAGAACTCCTTCTCGTCGAAAACAATAACCATCCCAATCCGTCTACCCCGGATTCTATGTGTCAACCCATCCACCCTGGGTCACATCGAACCTTTTCATCGACGTTCCTGTCCCCTGTCTGGAAGGGGTTGGCGAAATCAAAGTCAATCCCTCAAGCTCTCGATCCGGTGCCGCTGGTTGGTTTTGACTCCGCAGACTTTCCCCGGATCGTACCCCTTCACACAGCGCTTTGAGCACTCCACCCAGCCACTCAAAGTCCTTGAGTTCGAGATAGATTTGGCCCGACACCCGAGTCCAGAGCTTGCCTTCGTACTCGTAGATGGGCACAAATGTGTTGTAGTCGTCCACCAGCTTCTTCTCCATCCATGCAATGTGCTTTTTGACGTCGGCTTCCTGGATCACGATAGGACCTGTTGAATAGTTCAACCTGGGGGAGTTGAGGGGAGATGTTGACAGTCTACTGGTAGGCTCGCCCAGCATTGTCCCGTTCGTGGCACTGGAGCGCAACGTACTAGCACCCGTGTTTTGCGTGCTTGCTGCCCCGGCACTAGGAAAGCCATACGAGGTTTGTCGGAGTGCAGGGGACAGACCGCCAGCACTTCCTGCTCCACCAGGGCCCATGCTGATACTCCCCCGACTGTTGGCGCCCACAATCGTGATGGGCAAGAGAACGTTGGCCATGGCGCAATCCCGGAGACCGCCAGACCATCCGGTCCTGCCGCCATCTCGCCGGTCGCTGGCCTCATAACTCCCCATCGTCTTCAGGCCATAACCCGCATCCAGGTCGTCCATGACTTCGGTCCCGAGAATCATGGCGAGGAGATCCGCCCCTCGTTGCGCAATGTCGCGAATGTAGGTGTAGATGGCGTGTTCGCCGCCACACAGGTTCTGTCGAAAGTTCAATGCAGCTGGCACGCAATAGAAGGGGGTGTTGTCGGCAGTCGCAACGAATTGGAAAAGCCTTATAAAATCCGACTTCTCGCTCGGCGGCAATGGATTTCGATCTTTGCCTGACTGTGAGTCAAGCGGCTGGTATCCCCACGACGTGGGCAATGTTGTCCGGATCAGATGTTGATTGCGCTTCGGCACGTGTAGAACGGCGCACCCGCGGGGAGTATATAGCCATCTGTATCCAGTCAGATATCTGGTCCTATGCCTTGCCCTCGCAGAACTGCATGGAGTCTTATGGGCACGCATCTGGTAGATGAATATCACTTACTTGTGGCAGTTGCTGACAAAGAAATCGGGATCTAGCTCGCCCAGGTTCAATGGAATCTGGCCAACACCGTGGGCCGCATCAATCACACTGATGATGTCGTACTCTTTGCACATTTTCGTGATCCTCTCAAAAGGAAATCGCACTCCAGGCAACGCCGTGATGGTTTCAAAGATGCAAACTTTGGGACGAAGACCATCGTATAATACACGGGATATGGTCTGTGATAATGCATTGAGGATTTCGGAATGTGTACAAGGTAGTGAATAGGCAAAGTCCTGTCCATGGCCCACTTTGCGCAACGTGAGTTGAGGATTCGTTTCGACTATGGACTGCAGCGTCTTTTCAACCGCTCCATAGATGGTGTCGAAATAGATTATGCAGTCTTTCTCCTTGTACTGGAGGTTGCGTAAAATGGTGTTGACACCTGTACCGAGCGATCAGCCAATTGAACAACCAACCGGTGGAGACAATATACTCACCCATTGTTGCGTTTTGTACGAATACACACTCGTCCGAAGGGACATTGAGCAGCCGCGCAATTCGCTCCCTCGATTTGTCCAGGAGATCGACATATTGATATCTCAAAAACTTGTCGGGTGCATACTCGGCCAGCTTCTGGTATCCTCGAAGCGCATTGCGTACAGGTAACGAGTATGTACCAAAAGACCCTGAAGGAGCATATTAGAAGTGCACGTATAATACTGGACACACTTGGACAAGGCTGCATGAAATGATACACCCATCTCCGAGTCCACCAAACAACAGGGCTTGGCATCAAATCAAACGAGCCCTGCATGGCACCGCGTACATCTAGGGCAGACAAAGTGGACATACCATGATTTAAATTTGTATATTTCGAATCAAACAAGAAATGCGCCCTGAAGCCATGCCCAAATTCGGTGACTTCACCAAAGGAGCCCATCGTCGCAGTCGTGGTGGGCAGTTGCGTGTGCAGTTGTAGTCCGTGACTCAGGGGCTGACGATGGGGAGAAGTCCCAATGACCACCAGTATCCCGTCTGCAATCGGTCGCCTAGGATGCTGCGCATTTGTCGAACCAGGGAGCGATAGTCACCACTGGACGATTAACTTGCCGAACTATTAGTATTGCAATAATGGCATTATGTGGACATTGGAGTGAGTGAGTCAATCAGTCTAATCCGCTCTTCGTTATCACCTGGGCCTGACCGGCGGAAAAGAAACACGACACGCCACAAGCCAGAAGATTGATGTGTACGCCTGACGCGCCTGAACAAGCACAGCGACATGGGAGCTTGCGTGGGCGGGCGTACGCGATCCACAGTCTATTGGTCTTGCGATTGGCATTTTGGGAGTTGAACGTGGTCTGGGGGTCCCTGGATACACCAATCGTCAGGGGCGTTTTGGCTTTTGGGCCTTCCGGATGGAGTCGAAACGACTTTACGCCGATCAGTAGGGTAAGCTTGGCTTTTTGAGCATGGTACCTGGTAGAGAGGTAACATAGCTACGTTGTAAGTGCCAGCTTCGCACGCAGAGATATACGTCGTCCTAGTTGAGGGCAAAGCACTTCGAGCCCCTGACCAGAGGAATAAGGTCGGGAGAATATTCTATTCAATTGAGTGCATTGAAGGATTGGAATACGAGCCTCGTGGGAAATTCAACCCCGGGCGCTGCACTCCGAAGGTCATGTGACTCTAGGCGAGGCCTCCCCATTTGAAGTCCGAGTCCGAATCCTCCGACTTATTTACATAGTATCAGGGTTCGGGTTCTCGAAAACACTTTCTCCGATGCGCTTCAAAACGAACTTGAATGCCCGGTGCAAAGGCCGTCAACTGCTGACTGCCATGGTATGAATGATTATGAATCTTCGACGCTGATAAGATGACAAAGGATATGTGCTTACGTACTGACCAGCCAGGGATCAATGGAGCACTGCTATTAGATCGAGCACAATATACAGTACATTCCAAGGTTGATATTTCCTTGGACCTCGGTCCGGACGGTTGCGCTTCGGGATGTCGTCAGGGCTGTTTTGTGTTTTTGTCAGCATGGCTACAAAAGTCATAAACCATCCACACCCACCACTCTAATAACTTTGTACAATAATATAGTATCAATATCATCAAACCTTTGGCTCTTACTGTGTACATCCGCAGACCCCGTTTCGACAGAGTGGTAGAGTGCATCACTGAAAGTGACGGACGTTGCCGCCAAAATCGACGGGAGCCCCAACATCAGTAACCCCGCGAAATTATATTATCCCGCCCTCCAGTGCGACCGCAACGCAGACAATCAAGTTCGCGACTCCAACACCAACAAAAACCATACATTCAAGTCTCGGGCCCCAACGCAGCACCTGTGCTGTTACTGAGACTGCATCAGAACAGTCCACGGACAGTGTAACCGTATAACACCGTCAGCCGTCCACCGGCGCAGTCAGGTCTCGTTAGGTCCAACCATTGTTTGAGCCGTTCCACCATCAATCAATCCTACCATCTCTACGGTCTACGACGTTCACAATGCCCAAAGCAGTCTCGATTTCCAAGATTGACGGCAAGCCCGGCCAGGTGTACTACCCGCTCTCGCTCGACGAAGTGCCCAAGCCCTCGGCGACGGGAAAACAAGTGGTGGTCAAGATCCATGCCGCGGCCTTGAACCACCGCGACCTCTTCATCCGTCAACATCTGTACCCGGGAATGGCATTCGGGATCCCACTCCTCGCAGACGGCTGTGGCACCGTGGTCGCGGTCGGCAGCCAAGCAGACGCGAAATGGAAAGGGAAGAGAGTGGTGGTGAACCCAGGCACCGGATGGAAAGATAGCCCCGAAGGGCCCGAGGACAAGGACGGATACAAGATTCTGGGTGGCACCAAGACGATCCCCAACGGCACGTTGCAGGAGTACTTTGTCGTCGACGAGTCAGAATTGGAGGAAGCACCCGAACATTTGACGGCCGTGGAAGCCGCCGCGCTGCCATTAACCGGTCTCACCGCTTGGCGCGCCGTCATGACAAAATGCGGCCCTCACAATTTGCAGCCGGGCAGGAACATTCTGATCACCGGTATTGGTGGCGGCGTGGCTTTGATGGCCTTGGAGTTCGCCAGAGCCGCGGGCGCCAACGTTTGGGTCACGAGTGGAAGTCAGGAGAAGATCAAGCAGGCTGTCGGCTTGGGTGCCAAGGGTGGTGTCAGCTACAAAGAGGACGGCTGGGAGAAGAAGTTGTTGGCCATGTTGCCCGCAGAAAACAAGAAAATCGATGCCATTGTCGACGGCGCTGGCGGTGACGTCGTCGAGAAGGGTTCCAAGTTGCTCAAGGTAAGGCTGAGCTCACTCCTCTCTCGGCCACGGAACTGCTCTTTCTTCCGGCTGCGCGAGTTGCTTTCATTCCGAGTTCAATAACTGACAGCGACTCAATTCTAGGCTGGCGGTGTGATTGCAATCTACGGCATGACTACCGGACCCAAGATGCCCTTCTTGATGCAAGCAGTCTTGAAAAACATCGAAGTCAAGGGTTCGACGATGGGTTCGAGAAAGGAGTTCAAGGACATGGTGGACTTCGTCAAATCGAGAAAGGCTAGGCCCGTTGTCTCCCGCGTCGTCCAAGGCTTCGATCTTGATGCGATCAATGGCCTGTTCGAGGACATGAAGAGAGGCTCGCAGTTCGGTAAGCTGGTGATCGAGGTATCGAAAGAGGGCGCAGAGAGTAAGTTGTGATCCATTCTTACCTCGTTGTTGCCACTGCCCTTTGCACAGTCGGTGGCAGCGTCAAAAATAACACACGACATCTAAATTCGCACTCGCCCTTGTCTCACCGGTCTTGGTAGGACTCACATGAATTGAGGTTGGAAAGATCGCCACTTACCTGATGTTGCTATTTTCACCGTCATGCAACGAGTCGTAAATATGCAAACAACCAGACTAGAGGTTCGGGAGGCGTGCGGGAGGCGTGCTCGCCTGACTCCCAAAGACGAAACGTCGCTATTTATGGACCACAGACACAGACAATGGCTATGTTTTCATCCTCATCTTGCAGATCTGCAGGTCTGGGCCTGTGTCCAATATGCATGACCATAGAGTAGAGATCAAAAGGTTCGGCAAAAGTTAGGCAATCAGAGCCTTTGGTGTCAACTTGTTCTGTTGCCACGACAAGTAGCGGTAAAGGCCGACAACCAAATTGGGAACACAACAGAACAACCAACGTCCTAGTCGGGACATGAGTTTTGTTATCTGGCCTGGCCAGGCCAGGAACCCTCTGTGTAGCGCGCCGTCCTGCCCAGGCGCCAGCATGAGTGGTTCAGACAGAGCAGCAGAGAACCCCTGCCCCTGCTTCCACTAGCGGGACTGGTACACATGTAATACCTGGGCATGCACAGCCGAACAGCGCAAGGGACCTAAAAAAGGACGAGGGAGGACATCGCATCCGCGGGTCCTGCAGGCTGCCCTGAGGGACCCTGTACCAGGGCTGCTGATGGCCTGGTCCCTTGATGAACGAAGACCGGTTGATCCTTCATCCAGGTTGCAGAGTCTGTTCCTTGCGTCGTGTCCCCGAAATTTGTGAATGGTGACATGAGGGCTGCTGAAATCCCTTTCGCTTTCTGGAAGGTGTGTGAATCAAGGCAACGATAGGCCCATGTGGCAGCTGCCGGCCCCGTCTAACAGGCATCTAGTTCCGCTTCCTTGATATTCCGGTTGAAAACCAGGGTAAAGTGTAGTCACGGACATTGCCATGTGTGGTCTGATTCGTTCGCAACCATGGCTTCAGCGCCAGGGACCGAAGACCAAACTTCAAGCCCTCAAGCAAAGGTCCACGTTCAAACGCCGCCCCTGCAAGGGCACCCAAGTCCCTGCGGGTAGTAAGCGAACAAGTCCAGGGGCAAACAAAAGGAAAAATACAGCCCTGACCACACCAAGAGATGCTAACGCACTTAATGCTTTCACAGCCTCATATCTGGAGTTATACCGTTGCTGATTAAAGCCCATTTTTCCGTGCTCTGCTGCCTGTCAAAAGAATTGTGCTCAAGATGCCCACGTCTCATTAAAGAACAAGTGCTGTTTGCCGACGAAAAGCGGCTCGTCAACTGACATCATGGCCACTGGATTAGCAATCGATATTATTGTGCAAATGTTATCCTCGGCGTTAAAGACCGAAAACAAACGCGTCTGAAGGTCAGGAGAGATGGTCAAACTCGAAGCCGACCAAATGCCTTCCTTGTTCCAGACAGCAACTTGTAAACTTTAAGTGGCGATAGCGAATACACGGAAATTACTATCAGAATGACGGAATTGTCTTTATGTCAGTGGTTACAGGTAGCAAAGTGACGATACCAATGGAGTCCATACTTTCACCTTGACCACCTGCATTCTTGCTCCAGAATTGACACATGTTACACCTTCACTGCACAATGGTAAGCAGGATGTAAGGGAGTAGTGGAGTGTAGGACCCGGCATGGACCGGAGAGCCACCTGGAGTGGGCAGCAGAAATGCCCGAAGGAAGCCGTCTGCAGAATGATTTAGTGGACCTGGCACCACTGGATCTCGAATATGATGATGCGAGACTATACAAGAAATGATGTTTTCATGAAACGACCTTCGTACTGTGGTTGAGGCTCTGAAGTATCTCCGCACACAACCCTCGAGGTATGTTATTTTCGCATCAGCCTGCTGTACAACGCAGATCCACTGCTGCTGCCTTTGGTGCAGCTAGCGCTTGAACAAAGATGTCGGCTGATGACGGCTTATAGCAGTGGGATGTTACCCCGGACTGCTATCCGAAAGCGTGCCTAGTAAGCATTTGTGGTCGACAGTCTAGTACAAGACCTTTCTTATTCCTGGCCCACAGCCAGTGTGCACAGCCTGAAGGAGCCTGGATATGCTGTCACCAGGATGGCCATTAAGGGGTTCAGTACCAAGTTTCAGCACTTGTTCGAAGAGGGAAGACCGCGGGCCTTGAAGCTTCAAAGCCGCATTTCCTATCCCTAAGCGAACGGGTTGGAAGATGGCACCTAGGTGGATGGTTCATACATAGTAGATCCCATTATTATCGTAGCCGTGGCTGTGTTCAGTGGCAAGAAAAATTATGCACAATGTTGTATGCTATCAACTGCGGAAGAAGGATGCAGCGATATGCAACCGAGGGATGGCACCTACCTAGGTAGGTACTCCTTGAGGAAGAGATTGACGGCGGCAGAACGCAAGGCAAAACAAACAACGCCAGAATTGGCGTGATGGTTTCAAGCTTCACGCGTCACTGTTGTTTACAACATGAACGCCAAAGGCCGCCCAAAGAGTGATGAAAATTGAACGGCACAGGACGTGTTGTTGTCTTCTCTTTTTGCGCGAGTCAGTCAAGAATCACGATGAGTGGCCCGGTAAGGTATGCACCGACGTCTTTGTGACGTTGGCGCGTCTCCCCATCTCCATCAGCCATATTAGGCGCCTTCGAGGTTCGAGTAAAGCGTGACGCCGGGGGCTTCGGGAGGCGAAAAGACGTCGGACCGTCTGCCAGGCTACGCTCGACCTGGATTAGAGCTCAGGAGGCCAGGGAGGCCAGAAAGGCGTAGGGGCGCTCGGTTTGCCGATGGCTAAAGATAGAAACTGGCTTGGGTTCCGGGGTTCCTAGTGGCAGAAAGGGGCTGCAGGGGCGTGACTTTTGGACTTCTGATCTCGAGGAGGCGGTGCACCACTGCAGGGGCCGTTTGAAGGCGAGTGCGTTTTACGTAGGCAGCGGTGGTCAAGAAATATTCGCGGCTTCTGATAAGCTGTACTGTGAGTACCGCGGTCATGTTGATCTATTGTCAGTAAACGTACGAAGGCACGCGTTCGCTGGGTCAAGTGGAATAGTGATGGGTAGATGGTCCAGGCCAATTGTGAGGCATTGGAAGAGGCAGCGAGAGCCTGAGAGCATGGGGCCTGGGGTGCCGGTGGTGTCTGTGGATGGGCGTGTGTGAAAGGATATAAGCGGTGATAGGCCGCAGCCAAAAAGGTGCCATCCCCGGCGGCAGTGCCTAAGGAGCCTAACCACAAGTGAAGAATGACCTCACCCGGCCCCATCCAGAAATGGCAAAATCTACACAGACAAGCCACGCCGGCATCAGATCATCGGCTGCATCGTTCAGGGTGAAGAAAAATAAAAAAAATTTCTTAGAAGGATTTCTGTCACGGCTCCGTCTTGCGGTTTTTGGACGCGATTGTTTTGATGATCAACTTGACGTGATATTGTACGGTAAAAGTACTCTGATCCTTCGGTACGTTGCATCTTGACTTGCTGTGTTATGTCGTGCGTGATAACTCTATTCTGGGTATTCTCCCGCTGACATCCCGTCCACTCTTTTTTTGTCCCGTGCCTTTTTATGCCTCTCGTCGTACGCAGTTCCATCGCGTTACTGGTAGAGTACCACAAATAAAAATACTGCCTACGTACAACGAGTACGTGAGATACCGTCGATTGCGGCTGTGCAAACCCTCTGGAACCACCCCGGCCCGTCAAATGGATGGTTGGCTCTCTAGCTGCCACGCTTTTATTTGCCAGCCTGAATGCCCTGGCATGCCGTTGTGGACCTATGTCTACTGCTGGCGTGTTGCCCGCCGTTAGCATTCATAATCCTGGCCGAGCTACAACGAGTCGCCGTCCTCGCATCGTACACGAGCTGCCCAGCAGAACATTTGTGAAGAAGAGAGTATGGATTGGGAAAAGAGTGTGCTGTTGCTTCCGCCGGCGTTTCCTGTCAAAATCGTAGGACGGTTTCCTTATCCTCTACGGCGGGCTTCTCCATCTCGAGCATTTTTATGGGAGTCTCAAGCGGACGCACAGGAGGCAGAACCAAAATAGCAATAATTAGGTAAATTGAAGAGAATATGTAATGACCAGACGATACAAGTGTTCGTGCCGTTGAGTCAGTGCGGTAGTACGGCGGGAAGACTGCACAACGTGAATCCCATCATTTCGGGCCAAGCGAGAGAGGCAGGGCACTGCACGGGACTGCACAATTGAATTTTACCTGCTCGAAGCACACGCTGCTGCTACGTGCACCACTGGCACTGGCACTGGCATTGGTACCCTGCCGCTGTCCCGCCCTGAAGGCAAATGTGACTGGATGCTAATCCTGTCGTTTCCTAACTCCTTCGCCACGCCTCGTATCATCGGCACAGATCCCTTGGAGCGACAGACAGCCTGAGCACCCGGCCTAACCTAACTTGATGACCTGACCTGACCTGACTTGTGCCGACCGGCCACCCTAACCTGGGTTGATGAGGACCAGCAAGCACCAGAGGATCGCTGGAGCAGGAGCTGCTCCCACCGCGCCCTGCCCTGCCGCTCCTTGCCGGCCATCATGGCACCAGCCAAGGGTCGCCCGAGAGCCACTCAAGATCCCAAGAAGGGGCATCACCGGCAGCGAACCCACAGGCACAGCACTACTGCAATCGCTGCTCATCCACTCCTCAGTCTCCTTCCCACTGGCTCTGGCACTGGCATCTGCTCCATCAGCCCGACTCCAGGCGACGGTTAGTCGCCCTCACTGCCACTAAACCCGCCTGCCTCAAAACTCGCGCAGTGCAGCACCAGCACCGGCAGCCAGAGGAGCCCCCGTCGAGTCGCCGAGTCTCTCCTGCGTGACCTGATTGAACACCCGTCGCCTTCCACTGCCCTCTCGAGGCCGTGGCTCCTCCGTGCTGGGTCGAGGCCGATATAGCCATTTGGTCCCCCTCCTCGGATCGTCCTCTTCCCACTCCCGCTCCACCTCTCCATCACCACTACCTTCGCTCGGCGTGCACTTCGACTGATTTTCTGGCTCTGTTCGCAGACCATACTTTCGTTTACTCGGAACAAACTCACCTTCGCTCGCTTTTCACGTCTTGTATCTACCCGGTGGACATCAGTCGCTCACGTCCTTCGGTTTCGATTCATTCGCGGAAAAGCCTCTTCAGAACTACTATTGCATTGATCAAATACTCAAGCGCCCCGGACTATATCGTCTCAACAGTCGCAGAGGCATTACCTTTCGTTCGAGTACCCAGTTGTAACGGGATACGCCCAATTTCTGGTTGAGCCCGATCGAGTCGTTGGATTCTTTTATCCCAAAGTGCGAGGGATTGTGTGTGCAGTGCTTACGCTGCGGGATCCTTCGCTTGGTTGCCTGCGCCGCTATCCGTCCGTGGACCATACCATTGGGTACCTGGCCGATTGAAGGAGCAGGAAGTTCAGTGCAAAGGCATCTTGGTCCAATTTGCAATCCAGATACTCGGGTTAGTATGCAGCCGGTCCTTTCTCGTCATTCGTTACTAGATTTGGTTGCCTCCATACCCTGCTCAAGCCGTCAACCCACAACTCTCCTTGCTTGAATATCAATCCTTACGTTTCATTAATTTACCACCGCCCTTATTGCCCTGATCTTGTTGGAATTCACCAAGGTGGCTGGCTGATCAGTGAGATTAACAGTTGTCTTAAGCCGTGGCGCTGGAGAATTGACTACTTCAACCTTCATATTTCCGAAATATTCACTAGCCTAGGGCCTGGACTTTTTGAGAGAAGAGAAAAAGGTATGGAAATCTTGCAGAGGGCCTTGTCCAAAGATTCTCAACCCGCCTGGCGATAGTTTGGCTGATCAGTGTGCATAGTTCGTTCCTCTCGGCTGGCATCCTTTGTCTTCGAGATTAAGTCTGCCTCAGCTTCCCGAACCTTGACCTTTTTTGGTACCAGCACCAACATCTTTCATCGCTCGAAATACCTGTACGACAGGGTTTACGGTGCTTTCCAGTTCTCCTTCTGCTCCCACGCTCGAGGAGTAATCCGGGCGATTGAAACATCCGCCACTCCCACCCCCCTTCAGTTTCACCTGTTATCGAATGCTTGCCACAAGATCCAGAGTTCTGGCACCTTATACGACCACTCTTCGATAACAACTCAAGATTGTCACTCGCTTTGATTTGAGGCACTAGTGTCCTCGCACCACGCTCGTTTAGCACCAGTCGCTCGCTTTGTGCCTTTTTTGCAATCCACCTATTCAACCACCAACCGTCAACCTGGCTTCCACAACTTACGACCGTTTTCAGGTAAGTCTAATCTGCACTTGGGTGTAGTTGTCTTAGGCGTCGACACTGTGGTGTGTGGCGTCGCTGGCTGGTCTGCCCTCTCAGATCGTTCATATATTGACTCGTATCCAGTCTTTCCCCGACTTCCGTACCCCTTTCATAGTCGACCATTCCTTCGACTCCTCGGAATTCATTGGAGAGCACTTTGCCACTCAGCTCCAGGACGACCTTGTGGCCAAACCTGGTCAGCTGCTCTCCATGTCCGGCTATGATAAGGCGGCTCAGGCAGGGCTCCTCGGTGCGTACCATGTTGACCCGGATATTTCTCGCTTCTTTCCTAACGTCTCCTCAGATTTTCAATCCTCTGCCATTCCCAATCAGATGTTCTATGGGTCCTTTCTACAGGCTCCTTACGATCACCACCCTCTTCTCCAACCTAGCAGCATTCAAGACCCCGACTTCCAATTTGCGTCAGGAAACGACTTCGTGTCAGGGAAGAACTACGAGGATGGCCAGGCCACCAGCATAGAAGCTTACGAAGAACAACATTTCAGGCCCTTCGGCGTGCCACAGCAGCGAGTGCCCTCCAACTACAGTGCTCCTGAAAATCCACGGAAACGTAAAGCACCTAGCCTGGATGAGTACGACTCCATTCCGGAACAAAAGAAAGCCACACTGGGCCAAGTTCAAGTCCAAGATCCCAATGGTGAATATTACGACTTGAGTGGACAGAACTCGCCATATTCCCCATTTGTCCCCACCCCTACTGGCAGTACTGGATTCCCAGCATGTGCACACCGTGGCGCATCTCCCAGGCCCTCTGGTCATCAGTACTCGACTTCGACAGCATCTCAAGTTTCCCTGGCCGCTCCTTCGCCTCATACACCGGCCTTTAGTCCGTCCTTCACAACTGTTAAAAGTGAGCAGAGTCCGGCACCGCCAATGACCCCACTCCCCCGTCCAAACTCGACAAGCTCTCCCCTGAAATCATCAGTGCCCAAGCTTGTGCGGACCTCGACCATGCAGACCTCGCCGCCGCCCGGTGTTTTTTCGAATCTGGTCACTGGACATACCCAGAGCTTCAATCCATATGCCATGCATCCTCTTAAAGCCAATCTCAAGCTAAAGGGCGATCTGGATACGATGAAGGATAATTGGACTCCAGAAGAAAAAGAGGCCCGCCGAAGGCTTGTCGAGTTCAAACGCGGCCAAACCAACAGCACTATCACCGCCGAGTTCAAAGCAGTGGCTCCGCAAGACCGCCAGCCAAGCAGCATCTGCATCAGTTGTATCTGGTGGAAAGAGAAGAACGAGTTCTACGTCACTTCGGTCGACACCATATACCTGCTCGAGGCTCTGGTGGGAGTTAGGTTTACCGTGGAAGAAAAGAACCGGATTCGTCGAAACTTGGAAGGATTTCGCCCCATGACCATCTCGAAAGCTAAAGCCGACAGTGAAGAGTTTTTCAAGGTCATCATGGGCTTTCCTCACCCGAAACCCCGGAATATCGAAAAGGATGTCAAGGTTTTCCCGTGGAAGATCCTGTCGACAGCCTTGAAGAAGATCATTTCCAAATACTCTGCAAGCTACTCATCGACAGCCGCCTCTCTCCTCACACCCGCTTCGTCAATTTACTCCAATGGGGAAGGACTATCGGACTATCAGCATTCGCAGTCACCGCATCCGGAATACTACCAGGGTAATGGTGCTCAGTACCCGATGAATGCAGAGATGGGCTATATGCCGGGATCTATGCCGATGCGCATGCCTGTGTCTGTTGCACCCGCCCCTGTACCTGAATTGCAGCTGCAGATGCCGAATTTCCCACCAAACTACGACATGAACGGTCAGTATTGCTATCAGAGCATGCCTCAAATGCAACCAGGGACTATGGTCATGGCACAACACCCCATGAGCGCACCGGTCAGTCGCATGCCGCCCTGGGAGTTTTCCAATTTCGTCAACGACGGCACGGTCCCGATGCCACCGCAAAATGCGGGTCCTATTGCCTATCCTCGCGGCACCATGGGACCCGTCGAGTTCATCCCTGCGATGCATTAACTCAAGGAATCCACGACAACAACATGATATTCTGCCATTTTCCACTGTCTTTAGCGCCCATCATTTGTGCACAGCACACCTGAATCTTGAAGCGATCCAGCGTCCGAACTCATTCTCTTTTTCTCATCATTGGGGTCATGGTAATACTGCAACATGGCGGGGAGGCAAACCTTTGACACACCAATTTGTACACCAACTTGAAGATTGAAATTTTGCATAGCGAGTGGTTTTCAGCCAGCCCGGGAACTGGCATACCGAGCACACTTGGACCGGAATGACTGTTGCATTTGGAGTAATAAGGATGGATCATGCGCACAGCATGCACTCGGAATACGTCCAAAGGGTTATGTTCATGTACATGATTGATGAAAGCATAGAATTCATGCCATACTAGTACGGACGAAAAGGGCCACCACCTGCAACAATCTATGAACACGTTTTGCAACGCTACCTAGCCTAAGGATTCTGATTGTTTGTTCAGTCTTGTCTTTTCTAAATGGCAAATGTCTATTGCTACGTAGGTATAAAACCATTCAAGTTGCAACGTTGTACATGATTGATGGTGCAGTAGAACTAGTAATTGTACAATTGAACTTTTCCGCTATGAGGCCTTTAGCGGCTAGCCGTTTTTGGCAGTAGTAAACAGTTGCTCTAACTCGCGTCTAACTGCGGCGTCTTGTTTGGCTGCACCTCATCAGTTTTGGTATCACACAACCACAAACTACTTGTTCGCCAACACGCGAGCAAGGTCTTTTTCACTTCTACAGGCCTCCATTCCTTTGTGGTATTAATCATATCTAGTCTTATGACTAGTAAATAGTTAAAATCAGCCCTGCGCCGCGCAACTTTCCTCAACCCGATCTCACAACGCGCTGACCTCAGATATCATGGCGCAAGCAGTGGTAACACCTAAGCGACAAGAGTATATAGACTCTATGCCTTTTCTCCTACCTTCCTCCACTGTCGCGCTGCTGTCGCCGAGCAGTGAAAACACTGTACCTGCAACTATGGAAGCTCCACTCTCATCACCATCACCTACCCGGCGCCGCATCACATTCACCCCTCAACAAGTCATATCCTTACCACGTGCCTGGGAACGACGACCTGCTACGCCCTACTTTAAGAGAAATGAGGCGCAGAAGATCTGGAAGCGTGTTCCGCTCGGCGTGATTGAACTGGGAGTAGGAGACGGCGGACATACTTGGAGAAAAGAGAGTGAGGTCGTGGTACAGAGATCGGTCAAGAGACTTCGAGTCAGTAGCGCCAATGGGGCCGACCATGAAGAGGACAAGGAGAATATGAACGTCAACTTTGTGCCGTCTAAGTGGGATGAGGATGGCAAAGTACCGCAGAGTCCTAAGCGAAAGGTCCTCAGCTTTGATGGCGCAGCGGACGAACCCGACGAAGTACCCGACGAACCCTCCTCCAAGATCGGCGCACTCTGCGATGACCACCTGGATAATGAGGATGCCACTGGCGACAAAGAACATCTCCAAGAGGAGCGTCGTGAATCTGCACCTGAGGATCCCCTTGTCGATCTGGCAGTGGGTGAATGTGAGGATGTGACTGTCTTGGACAATGAAGATCAATCTTTGCTCGAAGGGAATGCTGCTCTGCCAATTTCGCTGTCAAAAGAGACTCCGGAGGCAGCTTCTCTTGACAATGCCTCTCAACCAGCGGCTGCGTCGTCTGAACAAGCAGCGTTGGTGCCTCTGCCGAAATCTGACAGTCCGCAACAACCAGAAGTTGAAGGTGAAGCACAATCACTTTCGAATGTGCCTGGCCATGCATATCTTTCTGGTAGAGCTCCAGTCTTTGCCGTGGATGATGGTGACTTTCCCCTCCTGCAAAGCTTCCTTCAGAACTACTTAATTCGAAGTCAGCTTGTGAAGGCGATCAAGGAGAAGTCCACTCGCGATGCGCAAGCACTCACTGATCAGCCGGAGATGGGCGAGCAGCTTCCGGCAGAACCATCTCATGTCGGTATGGAGACTTTGGATGGTACCACAGATACAGTCGCAACTGAAAACACTTCACCTGCTGCAGAGGATAAGGGGATCTCCACCACAGACACCACAGACACTCCGAACGAAAAGGCAACCATACTAGTAGAGGCGGATCAGGATGTGGATGCCAATGTTCCGTCACCCTATCGACGGAGCTCCCGCCTCAACACCAAACTTGCACCTCTTAAGAAGCCAGTGCCAACACTACCCAGCAACATACCTTTGAAACGTCTTAACGGGACCGAATTCGTTGCCTTTAACAACGGCTCGATAGCCGCCGCCACTCGAGCAAATACGAAACGCAATAGGGGCGGTGCGATATCGGTCAAAGCGAGACTAGTCCAATTGCATGCAGAAGACAAAGTCCGATACATGAATGAGCCAACTTGGTCGGAAGAAGTGAGCAACAGCAAGAAGACGAGGAAGGCCAAAAAGGAACCGAAAGAGGTCAAGTGGCATGGTACGCTCGCTCGATTCGAGGATGGTACTGAAGTGCCAGACACCCCAGAGGAGGAGGAGCCACCAGCCCACGTCGAGGTGGTGGAGAGCAAAGCTGCCGTCGACGAAATGAAGGAACAAGCCCATCATGTCGAGGAGCCCCCAAAGTCCGAAGAGCCGGCGAAGAAAGTCCGCAAGCTTAGGAAGTTGAGCGCAGGGACGGTCAACGGAACACCAGCACCTAAGAGGACCACGAGTATACCAGTGCCTATTGCAGGAGGCCCGTTTTCAGAGAAGCTCGGTGACGTCGTCGCCAAAGTGAATGGGAATGGAGGCCAAGGAACTGAAGCCAAGAGTGCTGCGGCTGCGACAGGCGACAAGGAGAAGAGTACTCTGGCAAGACCTAAGAGAAGGTCGAGTACTGTTTTGCGCGGCTGAAACCAAGCATTCATGAGCTGGGAGAGTGTGCTTCCAAGCACGTATGCGTTGATTTCTGGTCATCATGAAGCGTCTCGAACTGGCACAGGCATGGCTGAAGAGTTGAAAAGTGCGACGTCTGATGGGCCCAGCATCAGATACGCACCAAGACAAGATCAAGCAGGTTGGTCGGTTTTAGCATTCGCCGATCTAGAGAGCTGGATGCCACATTTGTATGCCAGTCCCTCGTGGACACAAAGATAGCTAGCTAGCTAGCTAGCTATTCCAGCTCCTGGAAATGTATGAGAACCAAGAACAACATGAAACTAGGGATTTTCCATTTCTCTGGACAATGGGCTGGGCATCATAAGTTGTCTAAGAGCCCAAGACCAACCAGCGACGCACCCCCATTGGCAATGTAATCTCACCACACTCGGCATATCTCATCCATATCATCCACAATGTTGTACAGCATTGAACTCCTATGAACCCTTCAGGTTCCTGATTATCAACAACGTGAACGACGAGGCGGCGCTATTCCCAAAGCGGGTCGGCACGGTGGGTCGGCAGATGGAGCAACGATCTTCCGGGCCCCGAACTTTCCGGCGCCGTCATTTCTTGTCATTTTCTTGTCATGCCCACATTCCTTTGGTTGATCCCAGTCATTTCAAGTTTAGGTCCACGGATTGTCCCTGGATTCGACCGATTTCGCTCGTCTTCTTCATCCTTCCTCGCGACTAGTGGGCGCCTGCGAGAGTCTGATTTCTCAAATTCCCATTATTCGATGGACCCGGCTAACGCTCTGACCATGTTATCGTGGCAGGGGGTGTGTTCCATCAGGGGTTCTGTCGGTGGAGCGCCGTCCGGGTGCTGACATACAATGTTGTAGAAATCATGGCGAACGGCGGCAGGACTGCCGTATACGGAATCCCAGGGCTCTTGAGACCCCACCCTCAGACATCATATGGGAAGGATATAAGAAAGCATGGTCTATGACAAAGAGTCTGTTTCATCAGTCCTACAATCACTCGAATTGAAGATACACGGGCATACCACTACACTATATCTCGCTCATACTCTGGTTTGTGCTTAACAACTAGACCTACTCCATCAACACCATGTCCGGGAAATCAGTATTCCTCATTGGCCCCGGCTTCATCGGCCGAGAGGTCCTGGACCGACTAGTATCTGAAGGCTACACAGTCACGGCACTAGCACGACGCAAAGAGCACGCCGCCGACCTGGAACAAAACAGCGGAGCCAAGACTGTTCTCGGAAGCCTGGACGACAAGGACCTGATCACAACTCAAGCCGCATCAGCCGACATTATCTTCCACACGGCGACGGCCGACCATCTGCCGTCGGTACAGGCCGTTCTGGCGGGCGTGGAAAAGCGAGCGCAAGAGGGCAAACATACCATCTACATCCACACGAGCGGCACGAGTGTTTTGGACGACGACGCCAAGGGCCAATACAAATCCGACAAGATCTTCTCCGACGACAAGCCTGAAGACATTGACGCCCTGCCAGACACCCAGGCACACCGCGAGATCGACCTGACGATCCTGCGCGCCCGAAAGCAACTGGGCACCAAGGCCAAGGTGGCCATCATGATTCCCCCGCTGATTTACGGCGTCAACCCGAAATACAAGCGGACGTCGATCCAGCTGCCGACCTTGACTCGGTTCGCGATCAAAAAGGGATACATTGGTCATGTGGGCAAGGGCGCGTCCGTCTGGAGCCAGATCCACGTTTTCGATCTGGCTCAGGGATTTATCACGCTTCTTCACTGGTTGGAACAGACGGATGCCCACAAGGTTCTGGAAAACCCGTACTTCTTCTGCGAGAATGGTCATGAGTTCGCCTGGGGCGAGGCGTCGGCCGTGATTGGGAAGGAATTGTACAAGGCTGGAAAGGTCTCGTCGCCAGAGCCCAAGACGATCCCGGAGTCGGATTACAAGGAGTTGTTTGGGGACTGGACTCCTTGGGCTATTGGATCGAATTCCAGAAGTCGCGCCAAGAGATTGCGCGAGCTGGGCTGGCAGCCAAAGGAGAAGACGCTTTTTGAGAGTTTGGCTCAAGATGAGGTTCCCCTTATCTTGCAAGAGAAAGGGCTCGAGAACTTTGCTGGGTACGGAGGTGTCACTGCCGGCGGATCGTCTTGAATTCCGACAACCCATGGTTATATATACAACGATACTGAGTCGGTGGGCGGGTTGTAGCTGAATGCAACGTCAGGTATCCGAGCATGATATGATCTGATACGAGGGTTGTTTTCTGCGGGCTGTATTTCAAATTGAGGCGGATTGCACCGCGCTTGGGATACGCATAGAGGTCCATTCATGGGACGAACGAGTTGAGCAATAGCGATGATATTTTTTGCAATGGACTAGCCATGATTCAAACATGGAATAGAATAGACACGGTTGAAGCCAACATGCCCTTGCCCTTGCTCCTTTCCCTTCTTGTCCGCTCCAATGTTGCATTTGCGAATTTTATACCCAAGATATGAGGCCTAGGTAACCCGTCCACTTGCAGCGTTGTATTGACCGTTATCACGCAAACAGATTTCGTCAAAAGTGCACAATATCCAGAGGTTTGGACAATGGATAGATAGATCCTCTACTTGTACAATAAAGCCCCTTGAGCGCAGTATAATGGCACTTCCGAGTCGTAAACTCGAACAGGCTGAAAGAGTAGTACTGTAAGAGGGATCTCCATGATCGTGATTGGCACTCCCCACCCCAACTTCCCCACATGAATGTGAAATCTGGGGTTACTCTCCTCCTCATCCTCGCCTCTTACATCATCGCTCGATATCGATTTACGATAAGGTATGCATTTGTCTCGACGCCTAACATCTCTTTCCAGTCAAGAAAGGACCTTGATGTTTTCTCCAGCAACCCGGTGATCAGTCATCTGTATGCGCAGACAGGTCCGCGGGTCTAACTTGCATTATCCATCTATTTTACAGAAGTTGTCTTGACAGCATTGACAAACTTGGACCGGGAAGCATTGGAATCCTATCCGGGGACTTCAGTGTTTTTTAGTGGGAAAAAATGACTCTCATGAAACCAACTTCCGGCTCCAGCACGGACGACACTAAAGGACAGAACTCGAACCCTTCTTCGTCTTCATCTTCATCATCATCATCATCGATCATCGACCCAGTCTACTCGCAACGCACAAGTGCCGAGACAGTTCCCGGCAGCTACAAACCAAACACACCAATCCAGAATACACAGCGAGCTGGAAATGGTACCGATGAGAGTTGGAGTCCTTATTCCAATGTCCCCAGCATTGACGACCCCGTTTCTTCGCAGGCCGCAGCAACGGATGAGAAGGAAGGGCAAGGGTCCAGGCTCCAAACACTAAAACAGTCACCTGATTCCACATCTGACCCGACTGAGACTACTGTGATTGATCCAGTCTACGGCCAATCTATGTCCAAAGACAATACGCCGGACCAGACAACTGCTGCCAGAGGAAAGGGTGTTGGTGTTGGGACAATCAGTCCTGCTGACGACCCTGTTTATTCCCGGCAGCAGGTGGAGGGAAAAAGAAACACCAACACCAACACGACCAGCACAATAATCGACCCAGCCTACGGCCAACCTCGAACCTCTGACATCGTACCGGCTGCAAGAACTCCACCGGCCGCAAAATCCGGTACGGGAAGTATCTCGCCTGTTGATGATCCGGTATATTCACAACCTGCACAAGAACCATCCTCCCGCGGCATTGGCAGTGGCAGTGGCAGTGGCATAGGCAGTCGACTCAGCCAACTCGCGTCTCAAATCCTACCACGGTCACTGACACTGCTCCCAGTATCCGCGCAGAACCAGAACCGCAGCAGAGCACCAACAGACCGGGATCCAGACACAGATACAGCTGGGACGGTAGGGCAGCCCAAGGACAAAAAGGGCTAAACCCTCATTAGTTCAGGGGGGAGAAAGAGACCCATTCAGCGCAAGTCGACAAAAGGACACTCTTTTCGTGGGATAACAATCCTGAAAAGGAGATTTTGGTTTCTGTTCGTGGCCCAGCTACGTAGCCATTTTGTGGTTGTGGTGTGTCCATGGACCATCGACCATGTTCGTGACGGGATAAATGATATATTTCTCTCCTAAGGATAGAGAGACCGTTCTCTTTCTGCGTCTCTTCTCTTGTTCTCTTGCCGTGTAGGTAGGTACGATAGATATATATCTCAAATGGTGCCTTGCATGTGCGTGCCCGCTTCAGCTTCAGCTTCCATCTTATGACCCTCTGTGAGAGCCTCGTCAGCCAAAGATTGAAATGACCAGGGTTATCATGTACAGTATGTCAAATCCAATCAGTTTCATCATCGCAATCGAAATTGTTCATTATTGCATATACGACAACATCTTCAACTCCTCTGCTCTCCGTCCTGTGTCCACATTTCTGCATGATATGCGTGCGTCCTTCCGCTAGCGGGATGGGATAATAATCAAGCGCTGTGGGCCGGGGGAGGATTTAGCAATGCAAAGTTGGACATGAAGGGGGACCCGTTGATTTCGGCCAAGGCATACTGCTAGCCTCTTCGTTTTGCGGGTCGTTATGTCAGCTGGAGTCGCATGAGTCCTGTTTGCAGCCATAGATTCTTGCTCGTGTAGAAACACGGGCGACAGTCTGCCCTGCGTTGCAGTACCAGTTCTGTTTCAGATTGAGGTTTGCCATTGCCATAGATAGTGACACCTCGCTCCAAGCATCCCAAAATACCCCTCCGTGCGCGTGTATGAATGATCCTTTTGCTTGAGATATGTCGACACATCATGGTATGTATGCATTTGGTCGGGTTGGTGAATACCCAAGACATCTTGTAAAAATTGTGGAATAGACACATAGATGTCATATCTGGGTCAAGAAGCCCGCGCTGCGCTTGTCGGGTGGATGAAATGCGAAATTCGATCTGACTCTCTTCTGCGGCCCAGTGTACCCTGCAATAGGACGGCGTCATGGATTCTGAACGGTAGGATCGTCGCGTCCTATTTCCTCGGTCTCGACCCGGATCATCACATCTTCAGGGAGTGCTGACTCCTGCACGGTCTTTTTTCTGGTCTTTTTTCTCCTCGTTGGCCATCTCTTCATTCAGTTTATCCAACCCAGTCGGAGCTTTCTTCAACTCATCAACTTTTCCAATTCCTTGTAGGGTCAGGTAAACATCCGTACCCCAGCCGTACATGGACTGCAAGGAAATGCCGCCACCAAAATATTCGGCGTAAGCACGACTCAGCGGCAAGCCGTAGCCGAGCCCCGCAATGGAGCTCTGATCAGAACCACTACTAGCAATAGCGTTGAGGCCGGCGTCTGTGCCGTTGTCGTCGACGGCAGCGGCAGCCTCTTCATTATTGAAAGTAGTAAAACTGTAAGACCAGATACTTGGTAAGGCTTCGGGCGGGATGCCACCGCCGCGATCGCGGATTCTCAACGTGATGCACGGGGCCGCCGAATTGAGTGGACCAATGTCTGCGTCCTCGGCGGACGAACAGTACTCTTCCAGACCGTCCTGGGAGAAATCGTACGAGTTTTCTTCATTTACCGACAACCGGCGCAACGCTTGTAGTTTTGTCGTCGACACTTCCGGGGCCGAGGCGATTGTAACTTCGACCGGCTCGCGCTCATTCCCTGCCTCGAGGGTGGCTCGAAATGCGTTCTTTAGGAGTTCTGTGATGATATACTCCAGGTGCATGGGGATGTGGGCGAATTCGGCATCCTTGTCGCCGTTGATGACTAATGTGGGTCGTACGCCGTAGTTCAACTCACACACCTCGGATACAAACTCTTCACAGCGACGCACAATGTCGGCCGGTCGCAGGGCCAGGTCAATCACGCCCACGTGGTTCGGGTCAGGTGGCTGCTTGGCCGCCTCGCCCGTGGAAGCCATGTGTAGGGCGAGATGTTGTTCTGCCACCAATCTGGTTCCAATCCGCGCCCGCAGGTGCTGGTCGAGAAATCGCGTTACTTCGGCTGGGTCGATGTACTTCCGACACTGGAGAAACCCTTTTGCCAGGGTCGGGATGGTGTTGGAATGCGTCCGCACCAGGTCAGCCATGGCCTCTGTGAATTTCATCTCTTCGTCGATCGTCTCGATCGGTTTTTTGTAGAAGGGTGCCAGCGTCGCCAGGGAGTGGAGGTAGTTGTTGTATATTTGGGACACATTGGGGTTGGCGACCACGATGAATGGGAGGTTTCGAAGCGCTTGGATCCGGTGCGCCAGTCGCGCCGGGAGGAGTGAGACGGTGAAGTTGGCCGATGACAGGAGATCGGCATCGCGTAAGGGAGGCTTGCCATGTCTGGTAGGGGAAGGAAATTCAGTCAGTGAAATGGACGTCGGTAGCGGTACCACGCAAGTCGTTGGACATCACCTACCTAACCAGATCAGCGAGCGTCAAGGGCCGCCGAGGTTTCGCAGCAAGCCGGAAGATCTCCTCGTCCGACACAGCCGCATTGGAAGGAGGGTGTGACCATTCCGGGATGTCTGGAGGGAATGGCTGGTGCGTGGGCTGCGTTGCCCATCGCCGTTGTACGTGTGAAAGTGGAAGAAGAGGACGCCGAGGTATGGCGGTCTTCAACATGGTGGATGTGGTGGATGCCCCGCGACCATACTTCCAAGCGCTGACAGCAGCGGAAACCAGCGCAGAGGGCTGAGCCTGGATATGGCTGTGTCTGGTGGAAGCAGTAAACTGAGTCAGAGTAGGGTGTGTCTTGAAGTTTAACTTGAAATGTTCTGTTGATGTTACTCACACATGCATGCGACTTGTTCCGTCACTTTCTCCGCATTGGCCAATTTAGTGAGTTCAAGCTTCAGAGCTCCGCATTCCGCGAGCTTAGCGGGCTAGCGTGGTCTACCCAGTGCAAGCAAGGAAACTATACCGACCGATCCAGATCCATGGTGTTCAAGCTGCGTAGCACGCACCTGTAGTACTAGTATCTAGAAGTACTGTCACTATTAGTATTATGACACTGGGATAGTACCTCGTAGAATACTACAGCATGTTATTAGGTACTACTCGCAACGAATGCGAAGTACTACTACCTAGGTACCGACTGGATGCGACAAGGCTGCCAGTCGGGGCATTCCAACAAGGCTACGGTCTACTCTACTATAATGCCCCTCTACAAAGCGCAACCGCAACAGGCCCTTGACCTCCCGTTTCCTCAGCATGCCGCAGCTCTGTCTTCCAAACACATGCTCAAGAGCTCCTCCAGAGAGATCGGTGGCTGCGACCGCCCATCGAAGTGACCCTGCGTTGCCCGCAAACGTTCCTTCGCCAGGCGAAAATGAGCCGAACTGATCACACTAGATAAGTTAAGGTGACTCTTAGATCGACCTTGATTCATTCTGACAGTCTGTTTTCCTCTAGCACCCTTGTGCTAGAGTCCCTCGATATCTCGTAAGCGCCATATTGCTCCCTGTTCGAGGGAGCTCCCGACCAACTCGGCACGTGTAAATCTAGCTAGCATCGCCCAGCCGCCAATTCGCCCCACGTCCACGAGAGCCGAGTATAAGCGAGGTGACTAAGTTGTATTCGCCCTCCTTGCCTCGATGAAGGCTCCGAACCCTGCTTCCGATCGATAGGTAGCGATGAACTCGAGACCAGCAGCTTGCAGGATTTTCTTGAACCCCTGCTCCGACCGCTCCTTGCCACCCATATTCATCACCACCAGGTCTATCGCGGCGATTGGCAGGTCGGCAGGGCTTGGGGCGTCGGGAAACACGAAATCAGCGATCAACACGACCGAGTCGGACGCCATCGCTGGAACAATTTGTTTCAGGATATCGATGCACACGGCGTCAGAATAGTCATGGAGCACGCGACGGAGCATGTATGCTTTTGCGCCTGTGGGTGGACAGTGTAAGTTCCCATCTAGAGGATCGGCACACCTATAGGTGTGGAAAATATGACGGCCCCAGTTCATGTCGGACATGCTGTGCACTTCGTCCCTCGTGAAACAACACTGGGACTTGGACTCACCTTTCACCGGCTGGGGTCCGAAAAAGTCGTGCTCCATGATAACAACACCCTGAGGCAGGACGCCTTTGGCAACCTCGGCAGGCTCCTTGAGTTCCTGCAGGATGAATCGGTTTGCCGGGATATCGGGATGCGCTTCCATGATGCGGAGGATCGATTGACCGTTGCCACCCCCAATGTCGACCAGGACAGGTCTGTCGTCTTCTGTCTTGAGCTTGCTGAAGTCGTAAAACCTGGTCAGTGGAATACCGGTGCTGCTTGCCGCTATGCCTGCTTGGAACGCCTGCAGCCGTTCAGGTTGCTGAGCCATGACTTCCCACACCGTCTTGCCTTCTTGTCCAGCCCTCCATGTATATGGAGAGTAGCGCTGGTCGTCGGGCTCCTTGTAGCCCTTTTCTTGCAGGTACCGGTGGAAATTGCTTAACACGAACCCAGCCTCATCGTAGATGAACTGGAAGTACATTCCGGGACCAGGCATGACGGCATATGTGCGTGACAATCTGGTATGTGCGTACTCGCCGTTCTCAAGCTGTCGGACAAAACCGACGCAAACAAGTATCCGGAGGAGTCGTTCTATATCCGTGTTTTGTGAGCGGTTATTCAATGCCGACCAGAGAAAAGGGACAACACCGAATGCCACAGACCTAGCAACGACTCTTCCGCCTTGGTGGCTTGAGAGAGGGAGCTCAATGAGATGGAGCCCTGAGACGGTATCTGTGCAAACACCCCTATGTGCATCAGACTCCGGAGCGCCACCAGATCCATTGCCTGGTGGATACAACAGTCAACACATTTCCCTCCGCATAATGTGCTCGTAAGCATACCTGACCGATATGAACGAGCGGCAAGTCATCAGGATCAGTCAGGCTGTCTATGAGTTCACGAGCCTGTGAGATTATCTTCGTCCTGCCCACAAAGTCATGGGCCGCTTTGCCTGGGTCATAGGTTGCGGCGGCTTCTGATATAGCCTTGATCTGCTTCTGTACCTCTTCGGGGGAGAGGAATTCTGAAGAAGCCATAATGGTATGCAAATCTGGTGACACTCTGTCCGGTGCAGGGCAGAAGGAATGTTGGATTTTGAGGAGCTCTGGGACGTTGCTTCTTTATCTGCGACGTTGAGGGAACCCTGCCATCGCTTGCCAACCGCGATCAGAAGCGCCTACTCGCATCTTGCTCTACTAGTAAGTGAGAAACAGCTGCTGCGTGGGGTTTGCTAGCTCGGTGAGAATCAGCGCCAGCGTCTCTTAAACTTAGCGATATGGTGACTAGACCGGCCACGTTCTCACTTGCAGCCGTGGATGACGCCGGGAAAAGCTCCTCAACCAAAACACGGCGTTTAGACCCCCTTCCCATATCTAGCACTTTGATTTCCATCAAACCAGAGTCGGACCGTATTTTACCGCAATGGGGCAGGCTCGAAAATGATCATCAAGACGTACCTGGCACCACGGAACCAACAGTTGGCGGGGAGCGGATTCGAGAGACGGTCCAACGTCTCCTCCAGCTGGGGCCTCTAAATGCATGTGAGGACATGGTGCAATTCGTACAACTTGCAAGTCGGGGCGATCTGACTGGGTCAACAGGATACCAGTAGCTGTGGGTATCGGCGGCGCTAGATCGATCAGCTCGAGGCAGACAGATTCGGCCCCTTTCACCACCAGATGCTTGCCAGATATCACAAGCGACGCATGTGAGCACACTTCCCCTGCTCGAACGATGTGAGAGAGCTGTAGCGTCCCCAATCAGTCTACAATGTATGTTGAGGCCCACATCGACCCCCGCATGATAACATCACTCTGCCTCGTCATCAAAGTTCGAAGTGGCAAAGACACAGACACTGCTGATCTAGTGGCCTGCATCAACTTACGCTGTAGCTCTCGGAGAGACTCGAGAAAGCAAGGTCGTCAGCTAGATTTTGAAAAGCCACAAAATCCTGGTCCGCAAACAGACCCAACCCGGCAGGTTTCACTCTCACAGCGGATGCTCCAGGGTTGATGACTTTCATGGTCAATTCGCCAGCCAACAAGCACCATGCCCGAACACCACCTTGACTCTGTCCGGTCAATTTACGACGAGCGAAGTGAGCAGTACGATGCGAACCAGGTCCATGTAAAGCAAGCTCACGATTACGTGGAATGGGCCCAACTGAGGGAGGGTGAATGTGTCCTTGACCTGGCATGCGGAACAGGCCTTGTCACTCTCGAGGCAAAGCGCGTGGTAGGACCTGCAGGCCATGTTGTTGGCATTGATATCAGCGATGGCATGCTGAATGTGGCCATCCGAAAAGCCGAAACTGAAGGAGTTGACGTGCTATTTCTTAACCATGACATAGCCGACCTTAGGGGACTGGACCTCCTGCCCGAGGGAAAGGTCGGTTTTGACGTGATAACCTGCGCATCTGCTTTAATACTCCTTCAGCAACCCCTGGAAGCCGTCACTATGTGGAAGACATTGCTATCCCCGGGCGGCCGCCTGGTCACAGACGTCCAGACCAAAGATGCCAATGTTGTCATGAATATTTTCGCGGCTATTGCACCTGAGCTGGGTGAGGAGATGCCATGGAACACACAACAGTGGCAGTGGCAGGCAGATCTTGAACAATTGATGGTGGATGCAGGCTTAACTGTGCAAAAGATCTTTGAGACAGGAGCCTACGCTACCACACACTATGACCAGAGATCGGCACCGGAGCTTTTCGATCAGGCGGTAGAGAAGTCGATGTACAAGGTCTTCGGGCGAGAACCCGTTCGCGCAAAAGCAAAGGCTTTGTTCTTGAAGCACTTCACAGATATCGCCGGGGATGAGGGCGTGGTGAGCGAGGAGTGCCGATTCTGGGTCGTTGTGGCCTCGTTACCATGACGGGTTCCCTGCACTCCAACGCAGACTGCTGGTCTTGCTGTATGGATCATAAGCTGACTTTCATATCGCTTGCTTCCAAGCATTGAAGTGTTTACTGTGGTACCAAGGCAAAGTATGGTTCCAAGAAAGTACCTTGTACTATATTACAAGGTTGTAAGCCTCGTATCTTTCGGACTGTGTGGTGTTTTTAAAGCAGCATGAGCCTTGGGCTTGGGAGACTTACGAGTGACGATGCATGTCATCTGCGTCAAGCGCATGATGCCCGGCACCATTCATTCTCGATCACAGACACCGTATGAATTATACTTTATCATATATCCTGCCTGTTGGGCGTGATGGCCATGCCGAAGAACGGATTTGTGTCAAGGTGATTACATGGTAAACAAGACAGCTGTGAAACTCAAGCCCTGCCATGGCTCTGCCGCTCCCAGGCTCTCCTTCGTCGTCCTGGGGTCTGTTTCGGGAGCGATTGAAGCAAACCTTCAGTGGTGCTGACCCGAGAGTGTGCGTAGCATTCTGGCTCTTCGGTAAGTGTTAGAGATGGATTTGTTTTCAAGCTGCGGGATTACGCTCGCCCGTTCAACGTCACAGCCGCTAAAGAACGTGAACCGCAGGCTTGATCAACAATGTCCTCTATGTCATTATCCTCTCCGCGGCGCTCGACCTTGTCGGCCCCAATGTCCCCAAAGGAGTTGTCCTGCTCGCCGATGTCATCCCTTCGTTCCTGACCAAGCTCTGCGCTCCATATTTCATCCACGCTGTGCCGTATCCGGTGCGCATCCTGATCTTCGTGGGATTATCCGCGGCGGGCATGCTTCTGATAGCCCTTACACCGAGTTACACCGATGGCGGGACGATCGCAACCAAGATGGCGGGCGTCATATTGGCATCTTTGAGTAGCGGCGGCGGTGAGTCGACCTTTGTCGGGCTGGTGCACTATTATGGACCGTTCAGCCTCGCTGCTTGGGGCAGCGGCACTGGAGGCGCAGGGTTGATAGGAGCGGGAGCATACGCCATAGCAACGACTTCTCTCGGTCTCAGCGTCAAAACCACCTTACTAGCCTCGGCCTGCTTACCCGCCGTCATGCTGTTGAGTTTCTTCCTAGTTCTGCCACTGGGGCCACTCCGAGTGCACTCAAAGTTACACCATGGTGTTGCTGATTTGGCAGGGGATGACGAGAACGAAGATATTGATTATACTCAACGTGAAGGGTTGCTTTCCTCCGAAAGTGCCCCTAAGCCGGTCTTTGCCTCCCAACGGACCCCATCCTCCGCCTGGAAGAGCTTCACACATAACCTTGCACGGTCGAAAGCGCTCTTCTTCCCTTTCATGCTTCCTCTCCTCCTAGTATATGTGGCGGAGTATACCATCAACCAGGGGGTATCGCCAACACTGTTGTTTCCCCTTCGAGAGACGCCATTCAAGCACTTCCGTGCCTTCTATCCTACCTACAACGCCATATATCAGGCGGGAGTGTTCATTTCACGGTCTTCCACACCATTCCTACGGGTGCACAACCTCTACGTGCCGTCGTTCTTGCAGGTGGCCAACTTGGTCGTCTTGACGCTACATGCCGTCTCCAACTTCATTCCCAATGTGTACATTATCTTTGCCATCATATTCTGGGAGGGCTTGCTTGGCGGGCTTGTGTACGTCAACACATTTGCCGAGATCAGCGACACGATACCCAAGGAAGATCGGGAGTTTTCCTTGTCTGCAACCACAGTCAGCGATTCGGGCGGTATCTGCATCGCCGGCTTCATCAGCATGGCTGTCGAGGTGTGGCTGTGTAACTGGCAAGTCCGGCACGGCAGGAAGTACTGCAAGAAATTGTGATGCGGGTATGAAGCAGCCTGATTAATGTACCGACTCAATCAAGGGACCATATGGGAACGCTCCCTGAGTATCATGGGGGAATCCAATCCTAATTGATCGGGAATGACGCCGAGCTGGACCTGCACCACCTTCAAGCAACACCTGGTTCGTGAAGCAACCATTCATGCAGAGACATCGATTTCTCGCGCCACTGGCTGCTAGTGCATTTCTTCCGTGGGAAAGCAACCGACAGCCTAACGTTGGAAACGATTACAGGGAAAACTCAGAAGTCACCGGATCTTTTCTAACCGTGCACCAATAGGAGTAGGATATATTCTTGCGGAACTGTTAATTCAGCCCAAAGGCGGCCTATCTTCATGCAAGGTGCCCGAACCCCTGTTTGCATACGGAGGATGATTGGGGCTACAGCGTGCATACTCGAGGCATGCCATCTACAGCGTGAGGAATAGCAGAGCGAGACGCATGCATACCCGGTGTGGTCAGCTGTCACCGGCTGCAGTGGTAGATTGCAATCAGGAGCAGGAGGGGTACCTAAGGGTGTCGCCGGCGGCCTAGGCGCCTTACAGGAGGTCTAGGGCTTCTGGTCGACCCCCATCTGCATTTTCTCAGACTGATGAGACTCGCTCGAGAATGTCTGCGTTGTCTGCAGAGTTATAAATCAAATGATCTACTATGGCTGTATATATGGATGTACAACAAGATACTAAGTTAGTAGGCTGCCCCGGTCTGGCGCTTGGTCGCGGTTCGGAGCCCCTAGCCTGAACCTTGCTGCATCCAAGGTGCTTCCGACAGGGTTTGGATGCTGTCTCCTACTGGTACCCTGTTGTTACAGACGTTGCTATTACTTACCTTGTAGTAGTCTACAGGCCTGTATAGTCCGATTTCGAGCTTACGTTGGTACTTATCAGGCAGATAAGACACGAAGCAAGCCGAGCGGGCACTACAATATTCAATCTGTAGAAGGTTGACGCACACAACTGGAAGTCGTGTCAGCGGCATCCGTTATAGGGCTCGGGTTGGTGCTAGCAGGCGCAGCCAGCTTCCGTTCCTGCTGCTGTGGCGGATCCAGGCGGTGATGGCGTTGGCGTTGGCGTCACGGTTGGCGTGTCCCCCGGAAAGCTGGTCCACGTCAAAGCAGCCAGGCACCCACTGCAGTGCACTGCATCCACCGACGGCAATGCAGCCATGATCGCGGCGGGCATCCACCCACTGATGGAACGAGACTGCAGCATCCACCTCGGCAGCCACTGCCCGTGCATCCCTGCGGTGGGTGCCAGGGATCCCCATCTGGTCATTTTTTGCTAGGACTCGGACAGCACTGGCATCACAACGCACAACGCACATCTCCAGGTACCTTTCCACCTTTCTTTACCCGCGACGGCCCTAATGGTAGCGCCCAAGGTACCAAGTAGCCACACCCGTAGCCTGTCTGTCCGGGTCCACTCGCCTCTGCATTTGACGTTTCCCGCCCAAAACAATACTGCTACCTACGGGCATCTGTCTTCCACCGCGTGCCCGCGTTTGTTCTCGCTCTTCTTGCATGCGCACGCTTCAAGTTTGAGTTCTTCACTCGAACCTGCCACTTGCACCAGATCCTGTTTCGTCCTCTGCAGGCAACCAACAACATAACGCACTGCAGTGCACCGCCTGTCTTCATCGTCACCGGACTTGAAGCTCTGCACACTGCAGCACCATCGCCGCCGTTTGTCTGCAACTGCATAGTAGAACTTCAATTTCTTCATGCTCATAGTTCCGAATATCCATGCTCTGGCGGATTTCCGTGCCATTCTCGAAACAGCAGCGGCTCGCGTATCCACATCCACATCCTGATCCGATCCTGCACGAGCAGCCTCCGCATCATTACAATTAGCACCACGACTGCTGCTACTAGTAGTGCATTATTGTCGTAGTATTTGCTGCGCTGGGACCACTGGCACTGGCAGCTGTGCAAGTGTCCTTTGGGCTCCCTGTTGATCGCCAACCCGCATTTTTCTATCCTTCGAATTCAGTTCCTCTTCCTCCTTCGACATCTGGTCCACTGCGATATCTGTCGCAATCGCAATGGCGATGCCCGGGCACTCTCCCCTGTACAACGGTAACGGCCCATCCAGTCCTCCTCGTTCATTCAATAATGGTATGCAATCCCCCATCCTCTAATTTCACCTTGAGCCCTCAGACGCGCACTGGCAGTGCATGAACAAACCGTTCACTCAACATGAGTCTGGTCGTCCCTCGAGCAAACCGAGTCACTCTGAACAAGTTCATATTTTCTGACCATGTCGAATAGCTTACTCCGAACCTCAACCCCCTCCTTCAATGTACGGTGGCCCTACACGACCAATGCTGCCGCCATCTCCACAGCATTTTCCTCCTCCGCGATTTTCGCAACCTCCGCTCCCGGCGCCTTCTCCTGCAATAGCCCCAAGTAATGGAGCTGCAGTTGCTGCTGCTCCTGCGCCTCATAAGAGACCGGGAAGTAGTATGTCGATATCTTCCATGCTGGGCACTGAGCCTGAAAGAGCCACCCACGAGCAATATCCACAAAACCTCCATTCCCGCACATCTTCTCGGCAACCTTCGATATCAGGTCCGCCCATGTCTCTGGGCGCCGTAATGTCACCTCCTCAGTACCCTTCTAAACCCAGTATCGGAGACTACTCATGGAAAAACCGGTCAAAGACGCCTGACCGCAGCGCTGGATCAAGTTTGGGGCCAAGGACCCACCGTTCGAGCTCGGGCACCATGACACAGCGTCCTGGCTCGCTCTATGAGCCTCCTCCAAGGTCAGGGCCGGGTGCATATCCTGAGCCGAGATATACTCCTCCTTTTGGCTCGGCGCCGGCGCCTAAGGATGAATATGAAGACCGTACCCGGCGGACAAGCATTAGCGGCATCCTGCAGAGTCTACAGCAGAGACCCGAAAGTCAGCCTCAACCAAGCACGGCGACAACGTTCCAACCGTACTCCAACCCGCCAGCGCGTCCAGAAAGCAATCCAACGTCTATGGGCCATGGCGATAGACCACCTCACTCCGCCCCGAACGGCCCTGACCATTACCGCCCACACGGCTTGATTGGAACATACGACACCCGTCCTCCGAGCCAGCCTCCTGGGCAACGATATTCACAAAATGTGCCGCCGCCTCAATCCGCGTCGACTTCAGACCGAGCCCTGCCACAATCCTTGTCGCCGGAATTGCGCCGCCCACAGCCGCACCTCAGTGAGAACCGCGGTCTAGCTGGGCTTCTACATCAATCTTCCGAGTCTGCTTATGGAGCCCAGAATATGGCAAGACAAGATTCGGTACAGTCACAGAGCGACCGATCGGTCTTTGGCGATCGGCTACGTGGAACCCGCCCTTATTCACCCTTCGCGGGTTCCGTAGCCTCACAAACAGCACTGGACGATCAACTCCGCAAAGGCAGTGATGAATTGTCACAGCACCGAGCCATCCTCGGACTGGCCAACGAGTCGAAACGAGGAAGGTACTCGCCACTACCCCAGGCAGTACAAGGTGCTCAAGCACAGACCCCTCAGCCGGATGCTGGCATCAAAACGGAGCATGGTAGAGTCTTTTCTGGTATTGGCAGCGGGCTGGGCTCTGCGCAAACACCAACGCCTCAACCGGCGTCAGCTACTCCATCCAAGAGGGATGAAGGAGGAAGTCGCTTAAGTGAGGAAAACCTGATGAAGATGTCGCGAAGCACTTCAGGCATCACCAAGCGGAATCGTAAGAACTTTGACGAAGATGTTCGGGCCGAGAGTGACATGGGCGACATCAAGAAAACCGGGCTTGGTCGGGGGAAAAGGGCCAAATACCAGCATTCCTACAAAACGGAGGTGGAAGATTCTACAACTGGGAACCGGAGGAACGGGGCTCTTGCTCCTTCGAACCAGCATCGACGTGCTCCCACCCCGACGTCCAACCCATCACAGCCTCAGCAATCCCATGATAATCACCCTCAGCGCCAGCTCCCGACAGCGGACAACACTCCTATCCACCGGTTTAGAAGGACCATCCGGATATTTTCTGTCGTGGCCCTTGCGCGACGGAATCCACGCCGCCATCTCGGATTCTTCAACTATGACCCGCAGGTGGGGCCTATTGACATAGAGAAGCCCAGCAGTCCCAAATTCGATATCGCGATCCGACCGAACCTTCTTCCCTCTTTCACCGACGCAGAACATGTCAATTGTACCTACACAGTTCGCGTGCCCCGCATATGGCTGCGAGAACGAGAGAGATTTCTGATCTGCCAGGAACGGTACCTCTGGGGTTCTGGTATCTATACGGACGATTCAGACCCGGTGGCAGCAGCAATGCATTCTGGATTCATTGCTTCTGTGTACCCGCCTGGCATTGACGAGGCTCTTTTGCAGAAGGTGATTGACGAGCAAACCCCCGTGATTGAAGGTAGCCCAGCGCCCAAAAAACCGATGCCGGTGGACGAGAACAAAGATTTACATATCACGTTACTCGTCCTGCCACAATTAGAGCGATATGTGGACAGTGTCCGGTTCGGCATCAAATCCAGGAGCTGGCCTGATGGCTCGGAGTCCCCAGCATCAAACATGCCTCGGTCCGGTTCATCGAACTCAAACAACAACAGCAAATCCCCTAAAACACCTCATGATGGCGTGAGCTTCATGGTCTTGAAAGTCGAATTTGTCGATGACGGGGCCGAGGTCAAGAGGATAGGCCGAACCGGCAAGGAGAGGAGAGAGAGGCTGTACCGAGAACTGCTAGAGCGGAAGAGAAGCCTTGAGCTGGAAAAGAAGAAGCTCGATACATTGGCCGACAAAGCGAGAAAGCAAAAGGAAGGTGGAGCTGATGGTTCAAAGCCAGGAAGCAAGTCCTCAGGCAATGAAACAGGCCCGGCTGGCGACTCCGCAGCGCAAGCTAAATCGCGACACCGGGGCAAGGGAAACCATGACCAACCGCAGCGCAACAATAATACCGACGGGAACGACGACAAAAGGGACGACAAAAGGGACGATGATATGAAGTTGGATGTAGGCCAAAGCCCCGGCGATTGGATCCGACAGCTTGCTGTTGCTGCTGCGTGAGCGTGAGCGTGAGCATGATCCAGCACTGTCGCTGGTTGGTCGCATATAGTGCCGCTACCTTTGGAGCTAGGTAGGGAGGCGTGGGTGTTCCGCAGCAGTACCTGCAGTACCTGTACGGAATCTAATCTAGCAAAGGTAATCTTGTCTACATCTATCTTGCTTCAAAACGTTGGGGGGCAAGGCAAGTCCAGCCCGTGTAGACCATGACCATTTTTGTTCCTTTCATTTTTGCAATTCATAGTGTACTAGAGGTACATAGAGATATACCTTAATTTGGACCAATTCACCGCACCGCGCGATCGATCCGCACGAACCCAACGACTTGAAGTTTGAATATGATCAAAACGGATGGGCCCCAGGGAACCCGAAAAGGATAGCAAGGATTGACATGACACAGATACAGACAGAGAACACATTGTATATATTCATTCGCTGTCAAGTTGCATCTACTGGCCCGGCGCGATCAACATGCCCTGTTTGGCGGCCTGAGGCTCCCAACCGCCAGCGAGGGCCTCGCCTCCTGCGGTCTTTGCGTATTCCTTGATGCGGGCCTCGAGTTGCGGGCGGAAATGGCGGATTAGACCTTGAATAGGCCAAGCGAAAGCTTCGCCGAGAGCTATCATTATCAGTCAGTTTCAGTCTTTCTCTTCTGAACGGAGACGGCTGTGCAGCCATGGGGGGGGAAAAGGCAATGCTTACCGCAAATACTATGACCTTCAACCTGCTTAGTAAGTTCCTGGATCATATCGATTTCGCGGGACCGAGCCTGGCCCTTTTCAAAGCGTTGCATCATCCTCGCAGTCCAGGCACTGCCCTCACGGCACGGGGTGCACTGACCACAGGACTCGTGCTTGTAGAACTGACTTAGACGAGAAATCATGCGGACGACATCGGCGGATTTATCCATGACGATGACGGCAGCCGTGCCCAGACCGGACTGGGAATCTTTCAGGGCGTCAAAGTCCATGAGCTGGTCGTCGCAAATGTGTTTGGGCAGGATGGGCGTGGACGAGCCGCCGGGAATCACGGCCTGGAGATTGTCCCAGCCGCCGCGGACGCCGCCGCAGTGTTTCTCGATGAGTTCGCGTAGCGGGATGGACATTTCCTCCTCGACCGTGCAGGGGTTGTTCACGTGGCCGGAAATACAGAAAAGCTTGGTGCCCTGGTTGCGTTCCCGCCCAAAACTGGCGAACCATTTGCCGCCTCGGCGTGCAATGGTCGGACAGACCGCCACGGTCTCGACGTTGGTCACGGTCGATGGACAGCCGAACAGTCCCACGGCCGCGGGGAAGGGAGGCTTCAAGCGTGGTTTGCCGGCCTTGCCCTCGAGCGATTCAATCAACGATGTTTCCTCGCCGCACACGTACGCCCCCATTCCGCGGTGCAGGTACACGTCGAAATCGTAACCGGAGCCGCAGGCGTTTTTGCCAATCAGCCCAGCCTTGTATGCTTCTTGGATTGCTCGTTGTAGGACTGTGGCTTCGTGGTAGAATTCGCCGCGGATGTAGATGTATGCTGCTGTCGCGTTCATCGCCCGTCCGACCACCAAGCATCCTTCGACCAGTTTGTGCGGGTCTTTGCGCATGATTTCTCGGTCCTTGCATGTTCCCGGTTCGCCTTCGTCGGCGTTGACCACGAGGTACCGTGGTCTCTTGTCGTTTTCCCATCCTTTGAAGTTCATGAATGACTGCACCAAAAAGTGTCATTGTTAGCAGACTGATACATCCCGGCTTTGGTCGATCTGGAATGGGGAAAAAGGAAAGGTAAACCTACAAATTTTAACCCAGACGGGAACCCAGCACCTCCTCTCCCTCGCAGACCTGAGGCCTTGATCTCGTTGATCAGCCAGTCATGGCCCTTCAACACAATCTCCTTGGTCTTGTACCAATCTCCATATTTCATCGCGCTCTTGAGATCCGTCCCATGGTGTCCGTACAGGTTCTGGAATATCCGGTCTTGGTCCTTGAGGCCTCCGTATCTTCGTTTTTGAGGCTGTCCTTCTTGCACGGTGGCGTACGTTCGAGTCTGCGAGCTGGTGGCGGCGGCGACTGAGGATGTGGTCGAGGATCGTGAAGCTGTCTTTGCGGCGGCCTGGGCCACGCTCCGCGCAGCCGACGTCCGAACGATCATGGCGCCTCTGTTCTGCTCGACTCGACTCAGCTGCTAAGGTGTCTGTGGTCGAAAGTGAGAGCGCCGCGGGCAGGGTGCAGAGGACTGAGGCGGCAGATGCGGTATTACTTGAAGTTCGCCTCGAGGCCCGAGATGCTGTTGCACTGTAATTGTAATGTCGTCTTGCAATATCGAATGGAGCTCGTGTGATTGGTCGGAAGCAGGCGCCAAGTCGGCATCTCTGGTACCGCGAAGCATTGGATGTTGATGCGCATTATGCTTCTTTGCGCTGCGTGCGGTCACGACTTCCAAAACACTCTTTCCGGACATGCTCTACATCTGGATTTCTTTGGTTAAATGTCTTGGAACTCATTGATTATCTTCTTTATTCAAACATCCCTACAAGGGGCTCTATCATGTGGTGATTGCCTAGGTATGTTAGGTATCTAACGGTGAGATTCTTCCCACAGAACTCCCAGCTGGAGAAGTAGACTCCAACTGAGCTGTCGCGTGCGTTGTCCCTGGCGCTGTTCGAGCCCATTTCATGTTCCTGAACCACTTAGTAGCGCTGCCAGTAGATCAGAACCTGGCTATTCAACGACCGCCCAATCTCACTTTCAGCCTGGTCACCAGGAACTTGGAACACGTTTGTTGGAACACGGACCATCTCTTCCTCCATGACATTCCAACCCCAGCAAACCCTCTCTGGCCTGAGCCAACGCTTGATGTTGGATTCTGCCGGCATTCTAGGCGAGATAGCTGCTCGAGCAGCAAGTAGATTCATCAAATCGGGCGGAGGTTCCTCACCAGGGACCCACGGGCCTGGTGTCGGCACATATGACCACAGTTCACTGTCCGGAGGATACCACTCGACCAGTTGTTGCAGCCAAGCGGAAATCCGATGAGGTAGTCTGGTCCCATGTAAATATTCGCCATACAATGCCGATAGCATGACCGCCAAACGACCCTTTTCTAGACTCGTTGGGTCGACTGCATCGCTAATGCGTTGTAGATTGCTTTCGATCTCGGACAAGCAGTTCTGCAGAGACGTCGATAGACTTTGTGGAAGCATTTCCAGAAGGCCCGTACTGCTAAGCAGCTCGTGAGGATGAGTGAGTCGTCCATGTCGGTTAACGAGGGTTTGGAGATTGTCGAAGATAGATTCTGGCAGTTCCTGGCGCAAATTTGCCAGAATGGTTTCGCTCGCGTCTTCACTGGTGGCGACCTTGAGGACGAACTTGCAGACGGCAGCGGCAGTCTCGACCATGTTGAGCTGGCTGTCTCGGTAGACCTTTGCATTCTGCTGTTTGTAGTTAGATGGTGTGACACCAGCATTCATTGTGGTCGGGTCGGTCGCTCTCAGCCTGGCCGCTCGTTGTGAGCAGTCTCTAAGTAGTTGACTCACAGTTGCAAGGACGAGGCGGCCGTCCTCAAATCTCGGCGTTTCTTGGAGGCAGTAACTCATCAGCGTCTGCTGCCTTGTATACATGGTCTGCACCTCGCGCTCGTTCGCGCACAGGACCGAAACACTGTCTAGCAGATCGAAGGAGAAGAGCGCCGTTTCCAACGACCGTGCTGAAGTCGATTGCGGATGCTGGTGTGTGAAAATGAAGCATCTCCTCTCCGGGTCTGATCGCAAATCGGGTTGCCACTTCCGGGCTATCTCCAAGGGGGAACCGGGTGGAGCCCTGATGCTGATCACCACATGGTCAAACGGATTGTCCGGGATGGTGAAGCCATATGCCACAAGCAGGGTCTCGTTGTCTCGTGGGCCGTAGTTGTTGAAGATCTCCTGACCTGACTCGTAAGGTTCGAGGACTTGCAGTCCGACAAAACTGTAGCGGGCCTGCCATTCCACTTTCGCGCCTGGTTTGTGGTTGGAGATGTCGACTAACGGGAGAAGCACGCCAAAGTGTTGGGCGAACAGCTCCCCAAGAACGCAAAGATCACGGCCGTCGTCATGCCGGTATTGTTGCAGCAGGGCTTTGTCCGCAGGGAGAGTGGCATCAAGCACTTGGGAAGTGAAAGACCGACTTCCGAAAATTGTCATCGCCCATCGAAATCTTTCCCTGTAGTATCACTGTGATGAGTTGTGTATCGTCTACGCTCGGTGCTTCCTAACGTACCATGTGTAGGCTCCGTTGACAGCGTTCTCCCACTGTGACTGCTTGAGTTGATGCATGCCTTTCAGATACATCTCCTTCCATCGTGCGGCTTCTGCAGCAAATCCAGCCTTAAGGTTAGTGCCCTCGAGCCAGAGAAGATCGGCCTCGTCTTCAAACTGCGAATGAGATACATCTTCAACTGTAGGTAATGAGGAGATGTAAGGAGCCCACCATGACTTATCGCCCAGGACCAGTTGCTCCAGGAGGAAGAAAGCCTGCGAAGACTGCGGGCAGTCGGCTTGGTTTCGCAAAAAAGAGTCCGGAAACCGGGTGCCATGGTTGGAAAACGGTGCCACGTCAAAGGCGTTAAGCACTGATATTGTGGTCGACATGGGACAGCTGGCGATGCGAGTGCCGCCGGCGATATGCGCCCCTTCCGCGACCACGGTATGAAACCCTTTGCGCTCGCTGAAAGCGATCTGGACATCTGGGTGAAAGTATCCATCGTTGGCCAACACCCACTGAATGAGTCGTCGGTGGTTGGCAAAGATGTCATCTCTCGCAGTCTCTGGTTGCTCCATGCGCATAGGAGGTGTTGAGCTCTGGGTTCGTGTAGTTGTGGACTCCATATCCAGCTCTGTAGAATCTGGCTCCATGCTGTGGTATCAATGCGTATGTATCAGATGCAAAGGAATCTTTCTTTTGGTCGCGCTCTTTAAAAAGATAAAATCCAGCAGAAATTCCCAAACAACGAATTAACAACAACTAAATCAGTGAAACCAAAATAAATAAAAGCAAGTGAAGGAATGGAAGTGCTCAACGCAATGAATGAGTCCTATCAAACAATTGAAGCGCAATGGTAAGTGAAGAGCACAGAACGAAATGAGCCTGACTCGGATCTCGAGAAATCTATTTTTCACTTTCGCCGACTCAAGTTGTGGTTCGTCTCGACTCGAGACTTCAATAATGAGTCTGACGTCTGTGCACAATCATCCGCCATCTCGTTGACGCGCGGTCCAGATACCGACCTCGCGAAGGCCCGAACCGGTTGCTGCAAGATCAACAGGGGATGTTGGTCTCGAAAGACCAGGAGTTTCATAGCACCTTGTGCACTGTCTTGATTGTTGAGAGCAAGAGATCTCACGCGATCTCGGGCTTCTCCAAGCCGAGCGCAAGATGACCGGCAAAACAGGCGGGCAACTCCATACAGTGCGGGCGGAAACTCTAGATATGGAGTATCGACGAGCGCGTTTGTCCTTCCTGGAGCTTGTCAAGTGGTTATAAAGGTCTGAATTGGAGTTGGTTCTGGACGTCCATGTCGCCGATGTCTCCGACTAGGTCCTCCTCTGGTCTGCTTGCGAGAAGCTGCAGAGCGCTCCTGTCTAGCCCAGGGCGTGCTACCTTGACCTACCCCAGATCTACTAGCTTCGCGAGGACCATGGCTGTCAATGGCGTTGATGGCGGACACGCAATTCGCTCCAAACATGACTTTTCAGCCTTGAAGGTCAACCAGTCTCGGTTGGTGGAGGCCATTCATAGCGGCTGCAAATACGGCGCCGCTCATCGATATGGAAAGTATGTCACGTATCCAGATGGTGAGAATCAAAATCGCTTATGGTTGGCAGTGATCCCACTGAGACAGGAATGGCAAGGCTCAGTCTCAACGACGCAGACAAACAAATCCGGGACTGGTTTAGGTCCACGGCTGAATCGTTGGGTTGCAAGATAAGTGTCGACCAGATGGGCAACCAATTCGCCGTCAAACCAGGAAAGAATGCAACCGCGCCTCCTGTTATGATGGGATCCCACCTCGATACTCAGCCTACAGGTGGCCGTTATGATGGCATTCTGGGAGTCAACGCGGGCTTGGAAGTCCTCAAAGTGCTGCACGAGAACAACTTCGAAACAGAAGGCAGTATTGGTGTGGTCAACTGGACCAACGAAGAAGGCGCGCGCTTCCCAATGTCGGCCGTATCCTCAGGCGTTTGGGCTGAGGCCGTTCCCCTGGAGACTGCGTGGAATCTGCTCGAGGTCTCGCATGGAGAAGAAAACGGCCACAGACGGACGATGAAGCAAGAGCTCGAAAGAATCGGGTATTTGGGCGAGCAGCCAGCTTCGTACCGAGCCTTCCCCATCGCTGCCCACTTTGAGCTTCATATTGAACAAGGGCCATACCTGGAAATGGAGCGAAGAAGAGTTGGAGTCGTGAAAGGTAAGCCAAGCCGTCCCCTGTGCCAGAGGGCGCTTAGACTGATCACCAGTACAGGCGTACAAGCTTACAAGTGGTTCGAAATCACGGTCAAAGGCCGTGACACTCATGCCGGCACCACGCCATTCTCTGCTCGGATGGACTCCATGCTCTGTGCCGCAAAACTGATAGTGGAATCCAACGCCATTGCCAAACGGTTTGGCGGGCTGGCAACGACGGGGATCTTGAACGGTGAGCCCGGATCGGTCAACACCATGGCCCACACTGTCACATTCAGCCTTGACATCCGACATGTCGAGGATGACAGACTTGCAGAGATGGAGAAGGCATGCCGAGAAGCCTTCTCGAGGATCTCCGAAAAAGAAAGTGAAAGGGGCTGTACGTTAGAATGGAAGGAGTTGGTCGATAGTCCCGCTGTGAAATTCCACCCTGACTGCATTGCCGCCGTCGAAGCCAGTGCCAAAGATGTTTGTCAAGATCTTCCCCAGACGGCTGAAGATGGCCAGCTGTGGAAGTATATGATCAGTGGCGCTGGTCATGACAGTTGTTATACCAATCGTCGTTGCCCGACGAGCATGATTTTCACAGTGACGAAGGACGGCATCTCCCATAATCCGAAGGAGTACTGCAGTCCTGAAGATTGGTAATGTTTCTTCCTTTCCAGGGTTTGTTGAAACTTGCCTGCTGACGCGATTCTAGTGCCATTGGCGCCCAGGTGTTGCTCGGGGCTGTTCTGAGGTACGACAGACTGCGCGCAGACCGGGGCGACTTTTCTTGAGGTCTACCACAACTATTACGTTCGGCTTGAAGGATACTCGTCGTTGGCCACAGCGATGGCGTAAGTTGAATATGGTATATCTGCTGCATTATTGCTTCCCATTGGCTGGGAGCAAACTCGGGTATATGTCAGTCTAGGAGTCGTACCATACTATACCAGAGCCTGGAAATATCCATTGGTTGAATACTTCCATGCTAGCGACATCCATCAAGATCTTCAGGAACAACGGGCATCCCAGCTCTGTTGACTGGTCTTTGAGAGGCCATATATCTTGTTATTGTGAGCTCAAATGTGGAAATGAACATCTGTCGAGCGACTATTCTCCATATAGTCTATGTCTGGTGCCTAGTTGTTGGCCTCCATCTGCTTGCCCTTGTTGACCTTTACCTGCTGAGGTTTTGGTTTGGGTGGTCCAACCTGGTGCTCTGGTCTTTCACCATCGAGTCGTTCAACCTCCTTCTCCCACAGGGAAAAATAATGCCGCATCTCTGCCTCGCAGTCACGTTTCTCGCTCTCCCTGCAACCCTTAAAGTTCACCACCAAATCACCCTCTTGCCACATGCTGTCGTGGCTCTGCGTCTTCCCCGTCACCTGGTCTCTAACAGGGGGGCTGGCAAAGTTGTACGAGTTGAAGAGTCGTTGCTCTATCAACACCAGTTTGGCCAGGATCGTAGGATGCCATTGGACCAAGTGCTCAAGGGCATGATTTTCTGCTTTTTGAAATAGATAGGCACGGTACAGCGGGTCGAACCACGCATCCAAGAAATAGTGAGCCCAGTTATCGGTCGTAGTAGGCGTGAACGGGGTGTTCCGCAGGATGAATGAGGTATGCGCGAGATTATCGGCATCCTGCGACATGACGAGGTGTGTGCGAGATGGCTTCAGATGGGAGAATGTGTGGATGACGGAGTCCGGCGGAACAACCGGTACGTCCTTCAGCATGAGGGACTCCAATGGTCCGAGTATGTGTGTTTCTAGCGACACGGCAGGGTTGGTTATGAGTGCGTCGGCAGTCAAGAACCAAAAGAAAGTGCTTGATGAGTGCTCTGTCAATGCATGTCGAAGAGCTGGCACCATCGCCCACGAAATCGGAGATGGGTGAACGAGATCGAAGTATGTGCTGGTGTTGGTATAGAAGTTCTTGTATCCTGCGAAGTATGAGTATTTTGCTTGACCGACATTCATCTCATGGAGACAATGGACTTACCATGTCTAGCAGCGTAGTCATCCCGGTTTGCCTTCACTATCTTGATATAATCCTCGCTCATTGTCTGGTTGTCGAACACCGTGACCAACACAATGTCCTGGTGTCCTTCAATTGAACTTGCGCCATCTTCCGCATCTCCAGTCGAGATCGCATATAGAATTAACCTCAAGAAGAGGTAGAATGTCAAGACCCCGAGTATAGCGTAACTGATCACTTGAAGCTGCTTGCGGCGTTTGTAAGGTACCGTACCAGAGGCGGTTCCGCGAGCGTACGGAGGCGGATGGGATGTCTTTCGCGGGGGTAAAGCGAAGTGCATTTTGCCTGGACTTGCAGACAGAGAGGATCAAACGATCGAGAGAGAAGACATTACTCAGGCCGTGACATGGAGCGTTGGATGGAGAGGACACGCATGTTTCTGCCGGTGTTTGCTGTGACTCGTATGTTCAGTTTCCGCTCCGTGTTTCGTCCAAGTTGTACTACTAAGGAAAGGTACAAGTTGCGGCGACGTGCCTCCGCGTCCCCCAAGTCTCCACGCAGCAACACAAAAGCCTCCATTCAGCATTCCTATCAACTGCGTTACTTTCAATGTATAGAACTAGTAGTAGTGGTGTTACTGAGTACCTAAGTATCGAATTTATAGGTCGAAGATGTCAGCATGTTGCTGTCGGTGGCATCCTACCAGTACTTTAACCTGGAATACTAGTATGGTCTGAATCGAGAGCCATAATCCTCGTCTTCCTCCATCACCATATACCTGGCAGCATGGTATATCGCTTCTTCTTGTACTTGTCTCCGAATTCCTTGCGATATCTTTGCTCTTTCTTTTTCGCCCACTGGGCCATTTGAGCCACAGAAACAAGCAGGAATATCAGGACACCCCAGCTGAGACCACTGATCAAGTAGACTCCAATCCAGGAGATGGTCTCCGTCAGATAGTTGGGGCAAGTGACCAAATTGAACAACGGACCCTGTGGTATGCCGCGTTCTGTTCCCCCAGAGCTTCTTAGTCCTCGCAAAGTCAGGTGTGTCTGAAGGTTCCCCAGTTCACCCAGCGTATACAGTACTAATCCAGGGTACAAGAGCAGGGGATTGGCTTCTCGTGCAGTGGCAGAAGACGGAGCATAGATGAAGGCTGCAACCATGACTCCCGACAAGACCCAGTAATGGAAGCTGTTCTTGAAAATGTTCCGGAGTGGCATTGTAGCGGACGAGAACCGGTGAACAAATATTGTCTCCAATTCGCGCTTGACAAAATGTAGCGAAATCAGCCAGCACAATAAGGTCTGAAGTTGGGATGCATCTTTTGGGGCTGAGGGATAGATGTATGGCCGTAACGCATATATCAACGGGTGAATCAATAGCGGACCCAAGTATTCGACGACGAAAACGGTGCGCCATGCGACTTGTGGCCCCAGATCTTTGACATAGATCGTGCTCCGATCACGGAGGCCGGTGTTATGGATAGAGACATCTTTCGAATTCGGGAGGACGCTGCCATCGGAGCCCTTTGTCAAGCGCAGCTGATACACCGAATAACCCGTTCGGCGTGCGAGCTCAGCAAAAAGGTCGGCGGTCGTGGCATTGGCTTCCAGGTCGACGGACTCCGGCAGTGCCTTGATTGGTTTGCCTGGAGGAGAGTGAGTTTGTGCCCAATGTTCGCTACTCTGGTCAGTCAAGCGTACCTCGAGGGCGGATTTGCAGCACGATGGGCTTGGATTCCATCCTTGCGAAACGAGTTTGTGGAGGCCGCGGACAGTCACATGCAAAGGTGACGAGACAATACTCGAGGTGGAAAGCTTCGGAACAAACCACGAAACTCAAGGGACTGCAGACCGTGTATGATGAGCAGAGAAGCTGAGTGGTGGACAATGATCGAAAGAGCGCGATTCTGCAGAGGGATGGAGGACAGATGAGATTTATTCATCACGGCTCCGTCGTCACAATACCCACACTGGCGCTCAGGCTGGCACCTCCGACGAAAAAAGTACCTACCTGACATACAACGTACATTACAGACTACTATTACCGGGTATCCATCACTGTCTTGTCAACCACAGGAACTTGAGGTCAACTATCTTGAATGAATGCACGCGCATAAATTACCAGGTGCCTTACTCCTAGTAGTACCTACCTGACATATCCCACTATATAACCAACACCATCCCAGCCTGAAAGTTGAGGCCTAGAGAGCCCGGGTTAAGTGTACATAATATAAGGGCTGGCTGCAATTCTCCCGTCGCAGGAAATCAGGGCTTAAGCCAAACCAATCTGGCATCTTCCTCGAAGCTATAACAAAGCAAGGAGAGGCTCACTCAAAATACTAGTAGAACACGTAGGCTATTCGGACAGGCACTCCGAGGGAGATGGCGAGATGAGGCAGACGTGAACGCGACTTGAACTTGTACTTGAACTTGAACTGCAGTGGAGGCTGAACTGAATTCGAACGTCATTGCTTGAATTTTGGCCGGCGTCAAAAACGCGCCACCAACCAAAAGCCAGGCACCGCACTGCTACTACGACCGCCGCACCACTCATACTGCACTGCACCACTGGCACTGACAGACTGCGCTGACACTACTAACTACTGACAACTGCAGTGACTGAACTGACTGACTGCACCGAACGAGATCCTTCATCCGAGCATCAACCAAAGCCTTGCACCACAAGCTCCCCTCGATCCCGCTCTCCTTCACTTTCGATCGCGGTCTTTGTACACTACTTCACTCTGCGAATTGGGCACTTAGGACTGCGTTTTTCATTATCGCACGGAGTCCCGGGCAATAACCCCTGCAAACAATTTGTCTTCGCCCAACCCAACTTTCTAATCTCCTTCGAACGTATCCTTATACTTTCATCGCAGCCCCATCCTTCAAGCGATTCTCATTCATTCCTTGATTCTCTCAGAGTGAAGAACTCCTGCTCCGGGACTCTCCACGGCTGGTCAACGCCCGCAGCGCTTCTGAGGCTGGACCGAACTACGCTTTTCTGATGCAGCCTATGCTGCCACGCTGCGGAGTCTAGCGAAGATGGGAAAGGTTACGAGGAAGCCACAGGAGAAGCACAAAGTGTCCTTGGTATGTCGCCATCCACTGTTGTTTGCACGGAAGAAACTGACCTTGTTGTGATAGTCGCCTGCAGTATCAGACCTCGTCAAGAAGATCTCCACAGCCCCTCTTGCAGAATTACCAGCCCTCTTCAGCGGATGGTCGCAAAGATGGCCCTACCCTCGCGGCGATTTGAACAATTGGATCGAGCCTCTTGATCGATTCGACAGCATATTGGCAGACTTCAATGCGAAATATGGACTGGACAAGGGTCCTCAGACCGTGCCGTTCGGTATCTCGTTGCTCCTGGAGGGTAGCCCCGGTGTCGATGAAAAGCGACTGCAAGAGCTAGGCTTTGGGCCAGAAGGCGACCGAGAACTGGTGGAAGCGATCTTGGTGTTTTCGAAGTTGCTGGTGGAAAAATGTGCCAACCGCGCAGTGTACAACAGCACCGACCGTCTGAACGACCTGCTCAACACCGCGTCCTTGTCGTTGCTGCACAGTACGCTCAGAATCACATTTTACCTAGCGCAAAGATACGCAGAGCGCACGCCGCCTTCTCGTCAACATGTCACCAAATTCTACGATTTCGACCATGAGCGACTCCAAAGACTCGCTGCTCCTTTCGGACAACCGAACAGCCTGCTTGCCAAACGAGGAGCTACCTCTCCGATCAAGACTCTCAAGTCGAAAGAGAAAGGGTCTCTTGGAAGCAAGCCTCGGCGAGGGTCATCTGCCGTAAACCCGAATGACTTTCGTTCTCTTTGCAAAGACACATCTTCACACGGCGATCGCGGGAAGTCGACAGCTGCGCCTGATCGAGAATGGTTAGCATGGGCCCACGTGAAAGTTTCATGGTCTGCAACAGAGGCCGGACAAAAACCTACTACCAGTGATGCGTCTCAGGCCACCGAACCACCGGGGACTCCGACGCCAGTCAGACAAGCTACATCAGGACTGGGCAGAGTTGACACGACTGGCTCGCCGAGTGGAAGCGGAAGTCGCGTGGCGCAAGAAACAGATGGTACGGAAGTGAAATCTGTTGAATATGGCCCGGGAGACTTGACCCACACCACGATCGAGGCCATCCTGCAAAGTCAACCTGACGACATGCCACCGAAAGCACGATACGAGCTGCTGCACCAGCTCCGCGTTGCCTATGGTCTGATCACGTCAGTGAAGACACGAAAAGAACTCCTAGCGGTGCGCCTTCTGGCGATCTCCAGCCTTGCAAACGTGTTCAATGAGCCCGAGCTCTCCCAAAAGCTGTTTCCTACCGAGCTGGGGGGTCCTAAACCTCACGACCTCGTCCAGCAGATCGTCAGTCTCATTCATGATACCAAGAAGGTGCAATCTTCCGTTTCTCTATACCTCCAGACCCTTGCAATGGACACCATAGGGGTTCTTGCGCGGTTGAAGACCTTCGCCCCAGATATCAACGCCGCATTAGGAGCAGGGTCAAGCCAAGGCCTTCTGTCCCAGCTTATCCAGAAAGGTTTGACTGACGTAGCAAAAGACAACGACAGCACTGACACGCCCGTCGGCGACGACTGGAGAGAGGCTGTTTTCTCGATGCCGGCGACTCTCATCGAAGCCACGGGTCACCACGGCCGTTCTAGTGAGGCGGTCATCACTCCCAGCTTCCTTACCACCTATCTCTCTGGGTTCAACATCACAACCGGCAAGGCACTGCGAGTTCATTTGCGTATGCTCGACTTTATCAAAACGTTCTTCCATCACTTCAAGGATGGATTGGCGACTTTGACTGCCAGCAATGCCTTCGAGTCAATCAGTAATCTTCTTGGTGAACTGGTGACCAGCGCCTGGACACTGCTACAGGCCGGAGAAGGGATTCCGGCGCAGTACAAAACCCGCGCTACCGACTACGAGATTCCATACGTGCATCAACAGATCATTCGCTCTATTATCGACATGATTAACGACATCAGCGGTCATCAAGGGGCACAGGCCGATCGAGTTTTGAGAAGCCTGGTGGATTCTCAAGCCTTGCTTCGAGCTTTCCGTCTCATTGTCGACCATCTTTCTGCATTTGGCGCACACACCTGGAGTGAGCTCGTGAAGGCAGTCGGTGGGTTTCTGCATAATGAGCCTACCAGCTACACTGTGATTGCTGAAGCTGGTATCGTTCAAAGCTTGCTAAACACAGTCACTGTCTCTCAAAGCCAGCCTTCCCCGCAGAATCCCAGAACAATCTCGTCCGAGCCTGAACATCTACCGCAGGGCATCCCTCCTGTCGTGGACGCCATCATCCAGGTTGCGCAAATATTCAGCGCCATTTGCCTCACCAATGCTGGATTTGAACTTTTCAAGTCCTCCGGTGCACTCGAAAAGTATTTCGAAATGTTCGAATCCCCTGCCCACGTAAAGGTGTTGAACGACGCAAACATTCTGGCGCATTTGGGCTCAACCTTTGACGAATTTGTCAGACATCATCCAAACCTGCGGGATTCGGTCCTCAGTGCGGTAATAGTCATGATTGCACGCGTCCGGCACATAAGCAGGATGCTAGCAGTTGATGTTGGAGCTGGCCCAAAGCTCTGGCTTGGATCAAGTGATGGGCATGTTCCTTGTGGTGGACGGGAGGCACTTTCACTTGAGATGGTCCCTTCACCCTCTACTGCGTCCGATGAGCCTCTAAGTCCCAGGACCATTGGCCTACCGAACGGGAACACTCTTACTCTCGTGACTGAGGTCCTTCCTCCCAGCACCGTCTCCGGTATCCCGCGGGATGAAGACAGCTACGGACTCAAGGCGCATAACTATGCCAGACCCGCCGTTGCCTTCTTGGTAGCATTCTTCGAGAACCAGTCGCTTTGTACGAGTTTTCTCGAGTGCGGTGGCTGCGATCTGGTACTTGATTACATCACTCTGCCGAGTCTGCCAGTTTATGATGGGCCTTTCGAACGCCCCGATGGCATGCTGTCGGAATTGTCAGCAGCAGTTCATATGATGGCCGAAACCAAGCCTCATCTTGTACTGCCCGCACTTGCTGACCGCGCGCACTTCGCTTGTTCGGAATTGAAGCATTTCAGTCAGTCTCAATCAACCGGTTGGAGCAGTTACTTTGCGCCTTTGGTCAAGGCCGCGCCAGAGTCTGATACTTCTGGGCAGCCGTCGGGCGCCCCTCTCTCAGAAGTTGAGCTTAATGGCACCCGGATCGCGAAAGCCCTAATGGCCGTGTTTTGCCTTGCCCAAGTACTCGCAGAAGTCTTCAATGCGCCGATGTACAGTACCAGATCGTCCCAGAACTACCTCTTCGGGCTTGTCAACCTCGCGGATGTGTTTGCTGACATGTGCAAGTTGATGGGAGGCATTTGCGCTGCCTCCTATCACGAAGACATCGCGATTCAGCGACTCATGCCTGACTCATGGATACCTGCCACACGACCTGAGCTTTTTACGACTGGCGATGATGAAGTCGACAAGATTCTTAGTGTTCAAGACAGCAGCTCACGCGCTGGCCAGAATACCGAGGAGCCATCTACGGGAACAAACTCTGATTCCAGCAATTCCGAATTGGACAAACAGAAGGAGACTCCCTTTTTTGAAAACGCTAGAGTCCTTCGGTATTTGTTAATCGAGACGCCTGCCGCCATTACGGAGTTCCTCTGCCGACTGGGACGTGGCCTTGCTGGCCGTCGACGCCCAGACACCTTCGCCCGGCAAAAGGCTACTGCTGTTGCGGATGCCCTCGCCTCGGCATATCTGACCCAACTACAACCATATTTCCTTACTTCCGGCGACCGGGACGAAGGCTGTGAACCTCGCTTCAGATACCTGGTCATCGCCCTTGACAATGTGCGTTGCAGCTTCTACGATGACAGCCACCCATCATCAGGACCAATGGCCAGCCCGGCCCGGCAGAGCTTTGTCGTGGAAGCGTTCCGCAAAGCCGGTGGCGTCAAGGTTTTGACAAAGATTGGCACAGAATTTTTCGATAAGCTCAAGGGCTGTAAGGTCGAACACTCTACCTTTTCTGCGAACACTGGTCTCAAGATCTGCCTCGACATCTTGGACCAATTCACAGACTCGAAATCTATCATGGAGTCGCTGCAATCCAACATCATGAGGAACAATGACCCGTCAAAGCCTTTCTACTTCAATCCCGCGCAAACCCTACTGAGCTTGCGCATGGAGGCGCTACCATTGACTAGGTTGATTTGGGAGAGCGAATACGCAGATCAAGCGTCCAAGGATGTTGTGCAAAAGCTTGTTTCAATTTTCAAGCATATTTTTACAGGGGACCATGAAAGCGAGGCCGTCCAGAACGCCGAACGCCAGCCTGTTTTGACGGCTCTTTCTCCTAGGAGAATGGTTGTCGACCCGCAGAAGGTTGCTGTGCTGAAGAGCGCAGGCTATGATGAAGGCCTCGCTCGCGAAGCTGTTTACCGCACGAATTCGCTACCATCGTCCAATTCTGCAGCGGCTGCGGAGTACTGCAAAGCCATAACAGCAAACCCGCGGCGGAGACGGCTACCGATTCCTGAGAGGGAGGATGACATTACTTTCGAACCTCAGGGCACTCCAGGGATGACAAGCCCTTCCGCGACATCGAACTCATTGCGGAATGCCCTCTTGGAAATGCCGGCAAGCGACGCTTTTGCAGCTGTTCTTGCCGGCGTCGTGAACAACGCCCTTGATGACAGCTTGATGGAAGATGTTGACAGTGCACATCAGCAAACGAGACCTTCAACCACCGCTCCTGATGACAATGCGGGCAATGGACCCGAGGGTCATAGCCGTTCTGAACAACCTCCTGCAGATTCTCCAACGTTTTACTCTGTCGAATCAATCAACGCAGAGAGGGCGGTGATCCGAGAAGACCTTGCTGATCGCTGCAACAATATTCTCAACAACCATCCAAACCTGACCTTTGAACTCTCTGATCTTATCGTCAGCGCAACCAAGAAGCTCCCAGAAGATGCCGCTAAGGACTACTGGAGAACTACCTCTGATCTCCTGGTTAGCTCGTTGCTCTCGATGCAGGTTGAGGATGACATTAACGAAGCGCGAGGAAAGAAGATTGCTGCAGCTGCGCACCTTGTTGCACTGCTTATTCAAGATGGCGAGGTGTTTAAAGAAACACTAAACATCTATCAAGAAGCTTTTGATGGACTTCTCTCTTTTCTTCGACTCCCCACCTCCGATGGACGGTCTGCACAAGAGTCATTTCCCTGGGTGGCTCCCGTACTCATTATCGTCGAAAAAATGCTCTCAAAGGACGCTGAACCAGCAGAAGTGAAGTGGTATCCGCCTACCGACCTTGACACTGTCAGCAAGGCTGAGGTAATCCCTTCCTCAGTGCTTGACTTGTCCGCCAAGCGAGAACTTTTTGATGCTCTTGTGGACCTGCTGCCACGTGTTGGGAAGGACAAGCTGATGGGGCTTGCAATCACAAGAGTTCTCGTTATCCTCACGCGTGAACGCGCGCTCTCTTCGCGCTTAGCCGAGAAGCGGAACCTACAGAGACTCTTCTTGATGATCAAGCAGCTTGCTAATGACGTGGGCCACCGACTCCAGAGCGCGTTCATGATCGTCCTACGACATATCGTCGAGGATGATGATATCCTGAGACAAATCATGCGTAGTGAGATTAGAGCCTTTTTCACACTACGCAATTCTTCAAGGCATATCGATATTGGGACCTACCTTCGTGAGATGCACCATCTTGTCATCCGCTCTCCAGACACATTTGTTAGTGTCACGAATGAGCTGGTCAAGATTTCGGCATGGCAACCTCATTACAACAACACTGTCAGCCTTATTCTCAAAGATGCTGGCGATGGAAAGGAAGGAGAAGGACAGCCCGCTGCCGATCCCGGCGAAGCCTCGATGCAGCCTGCAGCCAGTGTTGAGCCTCCGGATGATTCAATCGCAGAGCCCGGCAAGAGTAAGACTTCTGACATCAAGCCGCCGATTGTGGAGCACCCTGACGGCGTGATTCACTTCATTCTGTCAGAACTTCTCAATTATAAAGATGTCGAGGATAAGGATACTCCTGCAGAGCCGCAAGTGGCCCCAGGAGGGAGGGAAGCACGTGATCAGCAACAAGTGGGCAATGCGCAGGCTACACAAGACGAAGCGGTGGATAGCCCTCAGGAGCGACACAACGTGGAGAAGGCTAATAAGTTCAAGCCGGACGACCATCCCATCTTCGCCTATCGATGCTTTTTGATGTACAGCCTGACGGAGCTTCTGCACTCCTACAACCGCACCAAGGTTGAGCTCATCAACTTCTCTCGCAAAGCAGATCCTATGGCTGTCACACCGTCTAAACCTCGAGCCGGTGTCCTCAACTACCTCTTGAATGGCTTAATCCCATCTGGATACGTCGACAAGGAAGAGAGTGCACAATTCAAGAAGAAGGTTCTCACCAGCGACTGGGCCATCCGGGTTATCGTCGCCCTTTGTTCAAAGACCGGCGAAATGGGCATGGGAGGATCAGCTTCCCGTTTGTCCATGCAGCCGCAGGTAGATGATACCGATGATGAGCCAGACCTTACTTTCGTGCGTCGCTTTGTCCTCGAGCATGCCATAAAGTCATACAAAGACGCGATATTGTCAAATGAGCCGCTTCAGATGAAGTACAGCCGACTCCTTTGCCTTGCGGATTTGTTCAATCGACTCTTGACGAAGCCAGCAGTTCCTGAAGGTTCAGCTGGCTCTCAGAACACATCGTACAAAGTGCTTGCTCGAATGATGTTCGAGAAGAATTTGACCCAAGTTTTGACAAGCTCGCTGGCCGATATAGATTTGTCGTATCCTGGATCGAAGCGAGTCATCAAGTTCATTCTTCGACCGCTGCAAGAACTTACCAGTCTAGCCACTCATCTGAGCCTTACGTCTCCGGACTTCCTGAACAACGTGGCAGGGAACATGTCTGAGGATGTGATATCTTCTGCGTCTTCCGTTTCCGACGTCGAAGACGAGCGCGAAGAGACCCCTGATCTGTTCCGAAACTCTGCTCTTGGCATACTCGATCGCAATAGAGATTCCGATTCTTCGTCCGGCTCCGACGAGGGAGACGAGGATGAAGAAATGTACGACGAGGAATATGAAGACGAGATGGAATATGATGATGGAGTTGTTGCCGCAGGTGCCGATGATGAGCCTGTTAGCGACGAGGAGATCGACGATGAAATGGCCGCTGAGGGTGAGATCGAGGGCCTTCCAGGGGATGTGCCCATGGATATCGAATTTGTCATGAATGACCATATGGATGTGGAGACGGATGACGAATCCGAAGACGATGAGGATGAAAGCGAGGAAGACGACGATGAAGACGACGAGGACGAAAGCGGCGAAGATTACATGGCTGAGGATGATGAAGAAGCGGGTGAGATCAATGGAGATGATGAGAATCACAGCCTCAATGGCGGCCCAGAAGATGAAGTCGATTGGGAGGACGAGGATGACGACCAAGAAGTTGAAGGCAGCGACGAGCAAGACGACATTGACGACATCGACTATCATGGCGAGCCAATGCCTACAGGCGTACCCAGTGCAGGCGTGTTGAGCAACCTCCTCCGAGCCCTGGGGAACGATGACTTGGATGGTCCAGGTGGTCTACACCATGTTCCCCCTGAACTCATTGTTCCCGCTGCAGGCTCTGGTGACCGGGATGACGAAGATGACGAGGAAGACGAAGAAGACGAGGGCGATGAGATGGACGAAAATGGCGGCATGGATTATGACGACTTCGGCTTCGATCATTATCTCACGGGTGGTGACAATGCTGACTTTGACGATCAGGATGAAGCTCTATTATGGAACGAAATCCCCGTCATCCGTCGTCCCCGTCACTTCCGTGCCCACGGCGGTGGCCACTCTCCAGCGTTCCTTGGACGACGCGTTGGGCATCGTGACGACCTAAATCCCTTGCCTCGCGCAGGTCGGATCTCGCAACATGGCCGGTCAGCCGGCGACGATGGGTTAAACCCGTTGTTAAGGAGACCGGAACAGGCAAACGAACAGCGCCCGATCAGACTTGCTGAAATAGGCCCGGGTATTTTCATGCCTCCTGGATTCGACGATCTCACAGCGATGGGTGGGTTTCCGCCTCTCGGAGGAACATTCCATACCGTCATCCGCACGGGAGATGGTTTCGAAGCCGGAGGCCATGGCGCGATGCTAGATGCTATCCTTCAGGCGCTTCATCGACGAGATCGTACAGGCGAGGGCACTCGCTTGCAGTTCAGCATGACTGCGCCGCTCTCCGAGATACGGGAAGTTCTAAGACCGTCCATGTCAGGCATAGGACACCGTCACCATGGTCGTGATGAGTCTTCGCGGTCTGGGAATTTTATTCCGGCACTTACAATGACGCGGTGGCAAGAAGAAGCCCGGCTTCTGTTTTCTGGCACCCATGTGGAAAAGGCAAATCGTGTTCAGTATCTGATCATGGCCTCTTTGGTTCCACTTGCTCAACAAGAGGAGAAGGAGAGACGCCGCAAACGTGAGGAAGAGCACCAACGTGAAGAAATGGAAAGACAGAGACTGGAGGAAGAAAAGCGCAAGAAAGAAGCCGAGGAACGTGAAGCAGCCGCAAAGGCGGAGGAAGAACGGCTACGAGCCGAGTCCGAAGCGGCCGCTGCTGCAGAGAGAGATCGCATCGAGCAGTCCGCCGAGCATGATGACGGTGACACAGAACCCATGGAAGATGTCCGGGGAACCGAAGCGGACAATACCACACAAGGAAACCAGGAGAGCTTGAGCTCGGGTGAGGATGCGTCAGGGTCACAATCCCGCATCTTCACCACCATCCGAGGGCGTCAAATCGATATCACGGGCCTTTCGATCGACCAGGAATATCTCGAGGCTCTTCCAGAAGAGCTTCGAGAGGAGGTTATCATGCAGCAATATGCCACTAGGCGCGAGCAAGCCCGTAACGAAGGCACCCAAACCACTAGTGGCATTGACCCTGATTTCCTGGATGCCCTTCCCGAGGACATTCGAGAAGAGATACGACAACAAGAAGCCCACGCCCAGAGAAGACGTGAGCGTGAAGCCGCGCGCCGACAAGCTGCTGCCACTACAGGCACACGTCCCCGGGCGGAGGAAATGGACGGTGATTCTATTCTTGCCAGCTTTGAGCCCAGCCTTCGCCGCGAAGTTCTAGCTGAGCAGACTGAAGAGATCCTCAATAATCTGGATCCGCGTCATGCTGCAGAAGGTCGTGCACATGCCAGACATCTTTTCAGATACACCCCGATGGCTGGCCGGGACACCAACGACCAGCGAGCCAAGGAAGAGACTGCTCAACGAGAGAACAAGCGGCAAATCATACAAATGGTCGATAAATCCGGGGTTGCAACTTTACTGCGGCTCATGTTCATACCGCAGCAAGGCTCTCTACGGACCAATCTCTGGCACATACTTCGCAATATATGTGGCAATCGCCAGACGCGCTTTGAGGTAATCAATCTGCTTCTTGTCATTCTCAAGGAAGGATCCACCGATGTGACCGCTGTTGAACGGAGCCTTGCCAATTTGTCCCTTCGTGCGAAAGCCACAGTCGGGCAGAAAACCCCGCAGCCATTAAAGCGCACACTCTCGATGCAGGCAGCGGGAGGAATTAGTGAGGAAGTCACTCCCCTTGTTGTGGTACAACAGTGCTTGTCGGCTCTGAAACAGTTGTGTCAGAGCAGTTTCCATACCAGAACATTATTCCTGCGCGAAGCCGAAGTCGGCACAGCTTCAAGAAAAGGAAAGGGAAAAGCGAAGGACAACAAAGCCGTCAAGTATCCGATCAATGACCTGATCAGCCTTCTTGACAGAAAGTTGATAGTCGAGAGCACATCATGTCTCCAAGCTCTAGCAGAGCTTCTGTCTGCCGTTACGCAGCCTCTGCCATTGCTGCTACGTAAAGACAAAGACAAAGCTTCAGATGATGGCAAAGCTACTCCCGGTGACAACGAAACTCAAGCAGAGGGGCCTTCTACATCTGCCAGATCTGCCGAGGCGATGCAGCTTGAAGCAGGAAACTCCAATGTCGAGGCTGGACAAGGTTCCACAGCTGGATCAACAGGAATTACCGCTAATACCACGTCCGAGGAGCAACCACAGCATCCCGGGGCACATGAGAGTGCCGAAAAGGATCCGTCCGATGCCAGCAATGATGACCTCAATCCTGACGATGCCAAATCAAGGAAGACGTTTGAACCGCCTGAAATTTCAGAGCGCAATCTGCATCTCGTGGTCAGCATCTTCGTTGCGCCCGAGTGCAGTAGTGACACTTTCCACTCCACTTTGGAAACGCTGTCCAGCCTGTCTTGCATCCCAGGCACTGCCGCTATCTTCAGCAAGGAACTGATCAACCATGTCAACAACCTCTCCCAGGCTATCTCTGCAGAGCTCGACGAACTCCTACCCCATCTGCGAGAAGCACAGTCGATCACAGATCTCCATGCAATCGCCTCATCAAAGTTCTCACATGCTGGTTCGGATCAGGTCAAGCTCCTGCGTGTTCTGCGGGCATTAGACTATCTGTCGGCGCCCAAACCCGACAGTGACGAAAATGATGAACGCCTGGTGGTCAAGAACGCCCTCACAAGTTCATACGCCAGTCTTCGACCAGTGTGGACCAAGCTAAGCGAGTGTTTGACTGTGATCCGTGAGAAAGACAACATTACCAGCTTTGCAACCATACTCTTGCCGTTGATAGAGTCCTTGATGGTGGTTTGCAAGAACACCCCGCTCAAAGATCCGGCAACGTTGCGTCAAGGTAAGGAGCAAGGACCAGGAAGTCCGGCCGCGGAGCCCGTGGACGACCTTCAAGAGCTCTTCTTCAATTTCACAACCGAGCACCGCAAGATCCTCAACGACATTATCCGGCAATCTCCCAAGTTGATGCAAGGCAATGGCAGCTTCAGCCTCCTGGTCAAGAATCCCAAAGTGCTCGACTTCGACAACAAGCGTGCGTACTTCACAAAGCAGATTCATTCTCGACTCCATCAACAGCGACACATCCAGCCGCCATTGACACTGAACGTCCGCCGCGACCAGGTATTCCTGGATTCCTACAAAGCGCTGTATTACAAGACGGCGGACGAGATGAAATATGGCAAGCTCAACATCCGCTTCAATGGTGAGGAGGGTGTGGACGCCGGTGGTGTCACACGAGAATGGTTCCAAGTGCTCGCACGAGGCATGTTCAATCCAGACTGGGCATTGTGGCAACCTGTGGCTGCTGATCGTACAACCTTCCATCCCAATCCACTCAGTTGGATCAACGGAGAGCATCTGCTGTATTTCAAGTTCATCGGACGCATCATTGGCAAAGCGTTGCATGAAGGCCGTGTGCTCGACTGTCATTTCAGCCGTGCGGTCTACAAGCGTCTGCTCGGGAAAGAGCCCAACCTGAAGGATCTGGAATCAATGGACCTTGATTACTACAAAAGTCTGGTATGGATCCTGGAGAACGATATTACCGACGTCATTACCGAGGACTTCTCAGTCATCGAGGAACAGTTTGGCGAAGAAAAAGTGGTGGATCTCATCCCCAATGGACGAAACATCCCGGTGACGGAGGAAAACAAGAGAGAGTATGTTCATGCACAGGTTCGCTATCGGCTTACGACCTCGGTCAAGGATCAGCTTGAAGCCTTCGTCAAAGGATTCCACGACATTATTCCTGCCGAACTTATCGCAATCTTCGACGAGCAGGAACTCGAGCTGTTGATCTCAGGGTTGCCAGAGATTGACGTGGACGACTGGCGAGCTCATACAGAGTATCACAACTACACTGCCAACAGCCCTCAGGTGACCTGGTTTTGGCGCGTCGTCCGAAACATGAGCAATGAGGAGCGAGCCAAGTTGTTGCAATTCGTCACCGGTACCAGTAAGGTCCCTCTGAATGGGTTCAAAGACCTCGAAGGGATGCAGGGGAACACGTTGTTCAGTATCCACAAGTAAGTCGCGCCCTTACCTACGTGCACATCACAAACTAACTAATTTGACCAGGGACCCCAGTTCAGATCGTCTTCCAACAAGCCATACTTGCTTCAACCAGCTCGACCTTCCTACTTATGATGATTACGAGACGCTGAAGAGCAATTTGATGAAAGCAATTAATCTCGGTGCTGACTACTTTGGTTTCGCATGATCAGTTTCGGAAAAGTGACATTTTCCGGACGGCGAAGGCTGCATATGTTATGCATCTTCCAGGCGTTTGTTGTGGCTTTACACTCTAATTTTCGGGAGATGTCGCTGCGAAAGCGACATGAACATGCTTCGATGGGTTTGGGAGGGGCGTTTGCGTGTCAAAAGTGAAAGAACTATGCCGATAGTTATGGTTCGCCTGCAAGGAGACAACCCGGACAGGTCAGAGCACGGGTCTTCCGGAGAGATGTGCAGATCTCGATTGGAGGCCAAGTAGCTCTCTTCTAAGGTTTATCCTAGATAGGTAGTGGATGTAGTGAATAGATGCTTTCGCTTTGACTTTTAACGAGGAACACATCAAGTGCTATGGCTGTCACAGCCTTGCATACCAGTAGTGTATGTAGAAAGATTTTTGTCAACTGTCAGCCTCGTCAACTAGAACTCATGTCAGACGATTACATAATCATTAACACAGTAGTTCTAACCGAGACAGACTATGCCAAGACTGTGACCCAGCCAAGATACGCTAGTCTGCATTTGCACATTCTCTGTTCCACACACTGGCACTGCACATCAACCCTGAAACTTTTCAATCCTCGAGCGCATTTCCTTCTCCCTGCGCTTCTCTCAACCCAACGGCCGTCACCTTCTCGAGTCGACCAGTTTGTCAATTTCACAATGGTAAGCTAGAATACACCTCCAACGACCGCTGCGCAGCGGTTCGAACACCGAGTATCGCCCTGTCCGAAGCGTTTTACGCCTGCGCAGGACGATTTCCGCCGGCATGGACTGGGTGCGCCATGGCCTGAACTCTTGACTGAGACCTCAACATGGCGTCCTAGCCTTGTCGGTGATGACCTCGGCTGGAGAAGACGAAGGCAACTGCGTGTAAAAACCAGCTGCTGCCTCGTTCTTGCTCCTTAGAGTCAAAAGAATTGATCATGGAACAAGATGTGCTGATGATCATTCTTTTCTCAATGATAGCCACCCAAAGGAAAGAAGCCCGCGCCTGCGCCGTTCCCGCAAGGGAAGGCCGGTGCCACCAAGAAGGCCGCAAAGGTAAGTCCAGTCTTGAACTTCTGATTGTTTCAGAAGACCCTTCGCAGTTATTGAGTCTGGGTGTGCTGACTGGTGGCAGAACCCTCTCCTCGAGAAGCGACCCCGAAACTTCGGTATCGGTCAAGATATCCAGCCCCGCCGCAACCTTTCTCGCATGGTGAAGTAAGTGATATCCAACCTCGGAGGCGAGGGGTGTAAAGTGCTAACAGTGGGAAATAGATGGCCAGAATATGTTCGTCTCCAGCGACAAAAGAAGATCTTGAACATGCGCCTGAAGGTGCCGCCGGCGATCGCCCAATTCTCCAACACTCTCGACCGAAACACCGCCGCCCAGACCTTCAAGCTCCTCAACAAGTACCGCCCTGAGACCAAGGCCCAGAAGAAGGAGCGTCTGCACCAAGAGGCCACTGCCGTCCAGGAGGGCAAGAAGAAGGAGGATGTTTCTAAGGTATGTTTGGGGAAATGGATGACACCGTGAAAGAAGAGTAAAGTATCTAACCACAATAATAGAAACCATACACTGTCAAGTACGGTCTGAACCACGTCGTTGGTCTGATCGAGTCGAAGAAGGCCTCGCTGGTCCTGATCGCCCACGACGTCGACCCCATCGAGCTCGTCGTCTTCCTGCCCGCTCTCTGCCGCAAGATGGGTGTCCCCTATGCCATCATCAAGGGCAAGGCCCGTCTCGGCACGGTCGTCCACAAGAAGACCGCTGCCGTCCTGGCTCTGACCGAAGTCAAGTCCGAGGACAAGGCCGAGCTGAGCAAGCTGGTCTCCGCCGTCAACGAGGGCTTCATCAGCAAATACGAGGAGCACCGCCGTCACTGGGGTGGTGGTATCATGGGTCCCAAGGCCGTCGCTCGCCAGGAGAAGAAGAGAAAGGCCATTGAGAACGCCATCAAGATCTAAGTGAAGAAGGAAAAATGAAGAAAAGTCCTAAGTTCAACTCATCGGGCCTCGGCCTGGTTCACACTTACCAACCGCTACATGCTTGAAAAATAGCAGGTTGAAAAGCAGACCTGGTTTACGAACTCAATGATGGACTTTGGTTTCCTTTTTCCCCATGTGTTTTATCGAATGATATGGTGTTAGTCCTCCAATTGGCGACAGCTATGGAAGTCGTGCCGGGCCCTGCCTGATCCACGCATGACTTCTGGAGCTGGAGTAGAAGCAGCAGAGGAAACAACTCGACGCTGCTGCAAGTGTCTCACTGCAAACCACTGCCCAGGGTGGCTGTTGCACGGCCCAAAGGTCTATGGGTCTGGGCCAGTATTGCCTCTATGACCTGCTTGTGTCATGAAGCTTTTTTTACGAATTCAGTTTCGAGCGTTAGCTGAGAGAAAAGCAAAAGAATTAAAACCAAACGCAAACAAAACCCTTCCTCGCTGAACTCTCGCCCGTGTCATCTATCGCGTTGAATTTACCTTGGTTGATTTTCTCCCCTCTCAGCCTTGTAGTAGTAATCCCGACTATTACTGCTCACTCACAATGTACACGATATCCACCCGCACACTTACCAGTGTCCAGTATCGTTGCGGAAGAGGCCCTACTACCCAACAACCAAACAGCCTTTGCGTTCGCCTTGACAACTGGGAAACGAAACCAACAATGCAGTTGCATAATATACCTGGGTACTAGAGTCCTTGGACCTTCAGATCACCGTCAACGCTACGCTCTCTCTTCCCTTCCCAAAGATTTAATTTATTACTGGAACAAACATGAACAAGCTCTCCCAGAAGTCTGCTGTCACTGGACCCAATCATCAATTTGTGGACAGCCGGGCTGGTCAGCGGGTCAGCTGTTCTTATGTTTACATTCATCGCTAGTAGCAGGTCATTCATTACACTCAACCTCCCCACGTAGTCCAGCCCAGCCCGGCCTAGCCTCGTCTCATTCTTCCGCCGTTCATGTGCAGTGAGTGTGTCGCTTAGAAAGGAGAACCCTCCTTCAACACAAGTTAATCAATCAATCAATCTTTGAGCATTGACTGCGCCGCGCCAACCCTCGGATTTATTAACTGCACCTCTCCCTGGGCTTCGCTAGCCAGTGCAACAAGAGGAAGAAACGCTGAGCCATGCACCCCAAGACACATTGGCGGAAAAGGAAAACTCCAAAACAACAAAACAAAAACGGTCCGTGGTATCAGCGCATGAAAAGACAAGGAGAAAGAGCAAGAGAAAAAGGGGTTTTGTTCGCTGAGCGTAACATCGAGATCCGCCGCCAGCCATTATCCCTCGACACTCGGTGAGGACCAGGTAGACATCGATCCACGTTCGATGCCGATATCTCGTGCAACCAGCCACAGATGTCCAATGTTCAGACCGCACGGAGCTGCAGGCACAGAACCGGGCGAGCAGGAGATCCAGAGCGATGGTTTTCCGCTCCATGAATGTCATCTCTCAGAATGCGTGCTTTGCAGGCCCAGCCAGAAAAAGCACAATGACAACCAACCAGCAAATACTATTGTCGTCAAAACCTCGCTTCGCACGCCACTGAGTCTCTTTGCGTGTTGTTCTTCGTATCGATGCATATCGTCGTCTGTCGTATCGTCACGTTTGCGATGATATCAATGCCGAGTCAACCCTTGACGTGCCTGCACCAGCAACGACAAAATTAGTAAGTGACTTCGGCATCGGGTTTTCAATTCAACCAGGGTTTGGTTAACATACCTTCATGGCCTCAATTCTAGCCTTCAACTGACTCGTCACCTCAGCGGCTCTCTTCCAGTTCTCTTCCGTCTTTGGTTCCTTAGACCCTGCAGTGCCGCTGCCAGCGCCAGTGCCGGTACCAGTATTCGAGTAATCGCTGGCTTCTCTGCTGACAAAAGCAGGTCGTTGCGGACTGCTTCTGCCACTACCGGCACTGGGAACAGGTGGACTGATCTTGCGTCGGGCAGCCAGCGCGTCGAATCCATTGCTGTTCTCCTTCTCCTCGCTGGGACTCATGTTGGTATCCATCCGGCTGGCGGAATAGCCGCTCTGAGGACGCGGTCTTGCTGCAGGCTGCGTGCGGCTGCTCTGCGTACTCTGCGTACTCTGTGTGCTTCCGGTCCTATGCAATGCACTGCTCGTAGGTCGAGAGCCGCCATTTGCCGCTGCTGCGTATCTGCTATTCATGTTGTGGTGGTCTTCATAGATGCCTGCAGTCTCGCTGCTGCCATAATGCGAACCGTCATCCATGGTCCGTCCACGCATGAGATCTTCTCTCTCACGGCCTATGCTTTCGCGACCCAATCTGGACACTTCTCGCTTGTATCGCTCGCTTTCCTTGCGCACGCTTTCGAGTTCGGCCTTTAGCACGTCCAACTCTCCCCGGGCTCGTACCAGTTGCGTCTCTTTGGCTTTGATCTGGAGTACGTCGCGCGTATGGTCCTCTATCAGCTGCGCATTTTGGTTTTGAAGCTCGGTGATCTCGGCCGTCAGCTTTGCATTGTTGCTTCGGAGACTATCCGCCAATGCTAAGAGACGTTCTTTCTCCGCGCGCAAATCTTCCAGTTCGGCACGTTCAACTGCCGAAAGACCATTGGAGATGGGCGCAGCTGGTGGAGGTGACATAGGAGCGGCGGCAGGGCGAGACAAAGGGCGACCGGCAAGCCCACCTCGTCCCATGGCGAACTTGGAAGGCGAAGGTACGGCAGCTTCTTCATCACCGTCGTTACTAACAGGTGGTGACATGACCCGGCGCTGCGGGCTGGCTATTCCGCTTCCAAGGCCGCCAGCACCTGGTTTCTTGAGCCCGCCCAGCTTGAGAGTCGACGGCTGTGCAAGACCAGGGCGAGCCAAACCACCAGCTTTCGGTAGGGCTTTTGCGGTTGGTTTTGGTTGAAGCGGTGCTGCATCTTCGGCATGAACAGCCGGCGTGGGCTTTTTGGTCACCGTCTTTTTAGGACCAGCAACGACTTTCTTTCCAACGGCAGAGGCTGGTTTCGCAGGAGGCGGAGCTGCCTTGGGCTTCTCCTTGGCCTTGACCTCTGCTGTTTCGTGGAAGTCCTTGATCTTCGCTTTGCGGATGTCGTCCAAGCCGTCCAGGTACGGATTCATGGCGCGTTCACCAATGATCTTCATCAAAGTGCCCAATATCTCTGCGCCACCTGCTCTGATGGCTTCGGTAGATTCCGTCAACAATTTAATGGCAGCATCAGCAATGAGCTTCTGTTCAGCCTTCGAGGGTACGTCCGGGGTGTTGCGTAAACATCTCACTAGGAACTTGATCGTCTCGGCCTTGACGTTTGGATTTTTGTTGGACAAGAACCCCAGCGTCTCTTCGAGACAATCTGTAAGAGAAGTCACGCTGAAAACCGCATCCAGTGCTGCTCCCAGTGCTTCCGCCACAGATTGCTTTTTCTCTTTGAGTCGTTCCAGCATTGGGGACATGATTGTGGATCGGTATCTGGCAAAAGATTTCCTCAGGCCCAGGGCCAGCTTTTCGACGCAGTTGGCGGCCACTGTCACTACTGCGATGTTGGCATCTTTCATACACTTAGCCAGTGCTCGGATCAGGTCGTCAAAGGGGGCTTCTTTGATCTTCATCGTGTTCACGATGTTGAAGAGATTGTCAAGCGCATCTTTTCGCTCCTTCCACTTTGTTGAACCAACCATCTCGTAGAAGTCTGCTGGAATCTTGGAATAGACGTCAACTGGCTCAGCGAAGTCGAAAGGATCCAATGCCTCCGGCTCGGCATTGTCTTCTTCTGCGTCCGCCACGTCGCCCTCTTCGGCTTGTCCGCCGCCCGAAGTTGGAGCTGCGCTCGCAGCGGCGGCTTGTTGCGCTCTCGTGAGACGTTCTTGCTTCGGAGGAGGCTCTTCTCTCACTTTCTCAAACAGTTTCTCGAGGTCCTGTTGCTGCACTGGTTTCAGTTCGCCCCAGAACAGCGGCTTCATCGCATCTTTCAACCACCGGTACAATTCCACCGTGAGATTTTGCGCCTCCGCTCGTACATTCTTGTCGGCATGCCCGAATACCTTGGGAAGGAGTTTGATCACCGGTTTCGGATCGACAACCTTGATTCCGTAGTTGTGAAAGATGGCCGTAACCGCGTTGAGAGTAGCCGCAATCACCTTGGGTTGCTTGTGCGATAGCGCAGGCAACAACTCCTCAATGACTGGGTCGGGTTTATCCAACTCGACGTACAGCAACAGAGCCTCTAGGGCGCTTGCTTTAGCCTGCGGTTTGCTGGACACCAAGCCCTTCTCGTAGATCGGTTGCAGGGTGTAGTTGCGAGACTTGGCCGCTGCTTGTTGGCCTCCGTACTTGAGAAATGCGCACAACGCAGCCAACCCTTCCTGCTGGGCTGCGACATTTGAGTCTGCGGCCGCCGCTTTCCAGAGACCTGGATCTTGCAAGAACGGCCTAAACGCGGGATCCGACTCATCTGGTGTCAATTCAAACTGTTTCGCGGCGGCTTCGTACCCCTCCTTGCGGACTTTCCAGTTTTTATGCGCGAATCGGTCGGGGAGAGGGAGCTGGGAGAAGTCTTCCTCCTGGTCAGCCATCTTGGAGCGAGAGAAGAAGGCAAGCCGGGAGATGGATCTTTTGGCGCCCGGTTTCTTCTCCGATCGGCGCGGAAATGGGCTGCGGGAGAACATGGTTAGCGAAGCCGTTGAGACGAGGGATTCGGGATTTGATCAGGATCAAGCGTTGAATGGGACAGCATCGATAGAGCAACAAGAGACACTCACCGATGGCAATATCACCGTCCTCATGCAGTAGTCAACTTTGTTGCTGCGCCGAGAGTCTGCAGTTGCGACTTGTAGAGATCGTCCGGACGACAGGCGGAGACAGAATGTAAACGTTGAAGAGACGAACGCGGCAAGAGGCTGGAAGAATGAGGAGATCAAAGACAGAGGCGCGAGTAGTAGAAGAGTGATTGCGACGGGAAGGGAGAGAGGGTGGTTGTGAGTAGGATGTTGCAGTTCGTTGTGTGGTGGTGGTGCAGTTAAGCAGAAGAAGTATAAACAATCAATTGACCGAGTCAGTAAATTAATGGAGACGAGACCGTGACAACAACATCAATCACGATAATCACTCTTTGCCCGCCCCAAGTCTCCCAATCCACCGCCAGACTCGCGACAATACTACTATTTACTTTCACACTCTAGCAAGGCCTTCTCGCGCAGTCTACGTTTCTTTCTTCTCTAGACTATCCTGGTCTGCACTCAGACTCGCGATAGTGAATTGTGCACTCCCCGCTTCTTTCGAGTCCTTGTATCCTCCCTGCGGCTGCGCTTCAGCACAACCAAAGCCCTCCAAATCAGGATCCAACCACGTTGCGCACGAGAGAGCTGGGGGAGTAGATCACAAGCATACCCAGAAGAACAAGGGCCATTCATTGCATGAGTGTCTAGAACCTCTTCCCGGGCTGTGAAGCCCTGCCCGCCAAATATGAGCCAGCTGCTCACGTCCCGTCAAGCGGAGGAGCTGTAGGTCGTGCATTGTTTCTTCCTTATGTCAATTACTGAATATAGACAGGCACAAGTCCATGATCGCATACTTGCTCTCAGTTGGCATGACCGAAAGCGCTGCGAGTCTCCGGCGAGAGTCCAATCTGGCCGACACGTTTGACGATGCCACGGCCAAAAAGTATGAAACGTTGCTAGAAAAGAAATGGACCTCTGTTGTCCGTCTGCAAAAGAAAATCATGGATCTCGAGGCAAAGAATGCCGCCCTACAACACGAAATCGAGACCGCGACACCGCTCTCATCGAACCGCAAGATTGATCCTGCGACCTGGCTTCCGAGAGCGCCAGCCAGACACACCCTGCAGGGTCACAGGCTCCCCGTCACGTCCGTGGCGTTCCACCCGGTATTCAGCTCCCTTGCATCGGGCTCAGAAGACTCGACCATCAAGATTTGGGATTGGGAGTTAGGCGAGCACGAGAGGACGTTGAAGGGCCACACCAAAGCAGTACTCGATGTGGATTTTGGTGGCCCAAGAGGCGGTACGCTGCTTGCAAGCTGCAGTAGTGATTTGACCATCAGGTTATGGGACCCCAGTGACGAGTATAAGAATATTCGGACGCTGCCGGGCCATGATCATTCCATATCCTCGGTCCGCTTTATTCCTTCGGGTGCTGCTGGCGCTCCGCTCTCCGGAAATACACTGGTTTCTGCTTCAAGAGACAAAACGCTTCGAATATGGGATGTCACCACAGGATATTGTTTAAAGACGCTGAAGGGCCACACAGACTGGGTTCGCACTGTGACACCGTCAATCGACGGCCGGTGGTTATTGAGCGCAGGAAACGACCAAATACCCCGGTTATGGGATGCAAGCTCTGGTGAGGTCAAGATCACATTTTTGGGACACGAACATACTTTGGAATGCGTGGCATTTGCGCCAAGTTCCTCCTACGTCCATTTGGCGAGTATTGCTGGGTACAAGAAACCGCCGCCAGCAAACAGCAGTGGCGAGTTCCTGGCGACGGGAGGCAGGGATAAAATCATCAAGATATGGGACAACCGGGGCACATGCCACAAGACACTGGTTGGGCACGACAACTGGGTCAGAGGCCTTGTTTTCCATCCCGGCGGGCGGTATCTGCTTTCGGTGTCCGACGACAAGACCATTCGCTGTTGGGATCTGTCGCAAGAGGGCAAATGCGTCAAGGTGGTGGACGACGCTCATCAACATTTCATTAGCAGCATACGGTGGGCACCCGACATTCCAGTACAGCCAGCTACAAATGGGGAGTCCAACGGCACAGCAGCAACGGGCAAGAAGGAAGATGGTGCAAGTGGCGGTAAAATTCGGTGTGTAATCGCTACAGCCAGTGTCGACCTCAATGTGCGTATTTTTGCCGGCTGAATATGAGATGCTGTGGACTCTGGCCGAGTCAGGTCGCACTCAGTTGTAGAGTCTACTCTGGTAAGACTGGATGATAGATCAAACAATACAAATGGGTAGATGCATGTATGACCACGAATCAATGAGGAAATGAACCGGGCAGCCGGGGACAGTACAGTACACTGTGTCGTTCAAGTTGACCCGAGATGCGTGACGAGGCCGCATTTTGCCAAATCCAAAGAAATATATTCATTTTCCCACCGATTCTCACGTCTCGCCTGTCACTTACCACAATTCAATATGGAGAGATCATCTACACACAGCTTCTTTGACCCGTATTGCCCGTCATAATTACAACCAATGCATGGCCGCCAACTAGGTGGCCCTGGCGGCGAGAAGGCCAGCTCGTGGATGCGACAAACAATTGCTCCCGTCGGACCAGCACAGCACAGCTCCCACAGAGCAAATGGCGGCATTTGCTGGGATCAGTCACGCTTTTGCCTCCAGCTACTAGTATCTGCAGAAGCGTAATGGCAGGGTTCTGACCAGAATCATAGTGTCTTTGACTAAAAGCTTGCAATTTGCTTGCTATACTAAAGTCCTGCATCTGATCCGAAACCCAGAGTCCTGCCATGACCATCATCTCTCCAATGAGACACACCGTCGCATCACATTTATTCAGCGAGCGTTGGGAGCAACTGGGCTGGCTCGATGTGAAACCGCAAAGACACCCGTTATTAGGTCAACCGATTGACAATCCGACCAGGATCTTATCAGAGTTGCCAGCTCCTCCGTTGTTGAGTTAGCTTACGTTGAGCTCTGACAGTCTGAGCGGACCATTTCCATGAACGATGACCCGCCTCGTGCCACTGCAGTGAACCTCATTCTTTGTCTGCTCTGCATTCCTGCAGGTATTGTTTCGGGCGCACGGTGATTGGTACCGCATTTTCCCGCATCAGGAGCATCAGAGAACAAAGCAAACCAAGACAACCGTATGATCCCCAGCCTCGTTGCTGCTCGTGACGGCCGCCGGTTCGTTTGAGCCACTACAACAGAGTCCTCTGGGAGAACAAAGACGGCGGGATGAGGAGAAAGGTAGGTGTGGTGTGAGAGAGCTTTCCTTTGGCTTTTACAAAGACCCGAATCTGCCTCTTTTGCAGTCCATGCCCATCCTCTCAGGTATTCGGATGGCCCAGGTAGCAGAATTCCTTTCTCTGCGCTATGACGCTGCCCGACCATGCCACCTATCCTCCAGCATGGTATCGCCGGCTCCCCAGACCTCCCACCGAGCATAACCTTGCCCTACGTCGGACGTCGCTACTTTCCCAGCATCACCTGTTCCGTGACCGTGACCTTGATCGTGATCGTGATCGCTCTTCTCGCCACGCTTCACCAGAAGATGTGCCTCGGAGAAACACGGTACATCTTCCTCACATCTCAGAGCATGTTCTCAGCCCAGCAAAACATGTAGAGACCGACAAGCCGACTGCAAATGGTGGACTGGAGCATCGGGCCTCGCCTTTGCAGAGAGAGCATCATCACCTGGAAATGGCAGAGGAGCGAGGGAAGAACGACAATTCCTTGACCGTTGATGCTCACCCACGAGATCACCTCTGTCTGTGCCCGCCAGACCCGAAGATTCCACGACCGCGAAATTGTAAGCCTGCCGTCTGTTCCATGTGTTTGAGAAGAAATACAATGCCAACAGACTCTGCTTTGACTTTGCAGATGCTGACAAAGAAGTAACAGCATTCATCCTGTTCCGTCAACACCAACAAGCCAGCATCCTCGCACAGAAACCCGGGATTCCCAATCCGGAGGTGTCAAAGATTATCGGAGAACAATGGAGGCGCCTGTCAGCCGAGTCCAAGGAGGAATGGAATTTGCTTGCAGAAGTGGGTGACAAAGGGAGGCCCGAGGGCGACCCCATCATGAATCGTTCGCTCGAACAAAGGGGTCTTTGTGGACTAACCGGCCTTGCCTTTTTGATTAGGAAGAGAAAGCCCGCCATCAACAGCAATACCCAGGCTACCGTTATCAGCCTCGTCGCAACGGTCGAAGCAGCAATCAATCCTCGGTGTCTGGTCCATCGTCTGCAGAACCGCAAGAGCCTTGTCCCAAGTGTGGAGGGAAGCCGATGAACTATTACAGCAATCCCACTCCTGCTCCCATATACACTCCGCCAGCATCAGCGTCTTCCCAGCCGCCGCCGCCAACACCGCAGCACAACACTGCCATGGGAGTTGCAGTTCAGGTTCCGGCCAAACGTGGCTACGTCGTCAGCGCCGCTCCCAGTCAGCGAATGCACGGCCAACCCGCAATGTCTCCGGAGCATGTCATGCAGCAACACAAGGCATTCGTCGAGACGTGTCCCTTCCAGCGAGTCGATCCTCGACTGATCTACGCCGTGCCGCCGCCGCAGGCTCTTCCCACGCCGCCGTCATCGGACTCGCACGCACAGGATGCAAAGAGGCGGAGATTCAATATGAGCGGTGGATATGTGCCAGCTCGCGAGGCGTATCCTGAGGGAGCATACGCCTATGCGCATTCACCTATTGCTGCCAGTGCATATGCTCGTCCCGAGGTGCTGCATCCAATCCATCATGCTGCTCAGTATCCCATGCAGGCAATTCCAATCACAAAACCGGCCATGATGTCGCCTCCCCGTCCCGTATACCCTCATCCGCCACAGTTGCAACCCATCCGACCTCCTCAATCCCACCACCGGGCCAGATCGTCAGTGGTGGCCCTTCCACCCATCGAGACCGTGGTGCCCCAGACTCCAGTCAAAGCATCTTCAGTGCAGTCGCAGAGTTCCGGTGTCGAGGCTATGATCATGTCTATCCCTGTATTGAACAAAATCAAGGTGCTTGCCCAGATTTCTCCGCCGCTGCAACCTCCTGGCCCAACGTCTCCCAAGCCTGATGTTCGCGGAGCCATTATCGCCGTCGAGGGTATGGATGCAAAAACCGTCGACAACATGACCAACTCCCTGGCCGAGCAACTCGAGCGTGAAGGCAAGTTTGCAGTCCGCATCTTCGGCGGACCAGATCCATACAATTTGATTCGAGAGGCGCGAAGACGAAATAGTGGTCGTGACGGCAATGGTGTCCGCCCGTTGACCACGGAAGCATACTTGAGCATGTTGAGCCAGTGGCACAAGGTCAACCAAGAGATGGTCGAATTTATTACCACGAGGCCAGGATCGGAGGCACCACAACAGAGTTCCAAACCGTCTAGCTCTGTGAACAGCAGCGGCAGCAGCAGCCCCCAACGGCGTGACTCGCAATTGATGGAGGGCGTGGAGGAATCCGAGACAGCCACGGCGGAGACTCTAGCCAGCTTAAAGACAATCTGTCATTCTGGAGGAATCAGTCCAAAGACCATCACCAAAGCAGCCGAACTGTCCATTATGTCGCCTCCGCCAGGCAAACAGCGCAGCCAAAGCACTCCCGGAGTGTCCATGCTACACAACGACAACAACAGTAATTTCTCAATGGTTCCTCCTCGTCCTCTACCCTTGGCCTTTCCACGACCTCTGAATTCGAAACGCATTCCACCGCCGCCGCCGACACCGCCACCGCCGCCAGCACCTCCGTTTACTGGTTCTGGTTCAGGGGTATCGGGACAATCGTCTCAGCAGCAGCAGCAGTCAGCGTCATCAACTACAATCCCAGACCCTGTACAGGTCCACCGTCCCTGGCGGATGGCACCTCCACCACCAAGCAGTCTGGAGGAACAACAGACATCATCTCAAGGTGCTGCTACCAACATCAATTCCAATCCAAACGCTATTCCCATCGCCCTGGTCCCTCACTACCAACTCACAACCGTCGACGCCTCATCCATCTCGATGCCAATTAGTGACGGCTTCTCCCCACCTGCGCACTGGCAATGGTTCGCCACACTATGGCGCGGCAGTGTCGGTCCGGACATCACGGTCGTGATTAAAGGTGTAGACGAGGATTTGGAAGCTGCAAATACTGGTCCTGCTCAGCCAGTTCCGACCACTGCAAACACGAATACAAATACAAACACAAACACAAGTACAAATACACCTCCTCCTCCAGCAACGGCAGTAAGTACAAGTACACACCACGGTCACGGTCACGCTCCTCCACAACCACCTACACCCGCCTCGACCTCGATCAATGGCAACGGCGGCTTCGGGTCCGGGTTCGGCTTTGGTCACCATGGTCATCACGGTAGTATCAGCATCGCTCACCACAACGCTTTAGGTCATAATCCCAGCCCAGGTCCTCCTGCTACTACTAGTGGTCCTAATGGACGCGACGCCAGAACTCCATCCGTTGTCGCAACAACCGTCGAAGCAGCAGCAGCAACACCAACGACAGCGGCGACGACCACAAATCCAGGACAGCAATCACAGCCACCACATCAGCCACAGTCACATCATGTTCCTACCCACGCCCCTTCGGGTGTCGAAATCCGTCTCCACGACTGTCGCGCCGTGATCGTCAAGACTGGAATTGTCGGAGGCGAGGCCGGCGCCAGCGGCCATACCACTACTTTAGCATCGACATCGGCATCAGCATACCACGCCAAAGAACTGGAAAATTGGGAAAAAGCAAAACGCCGCGTCGGGTTTGAAGTCGACGAGTTTCTGAGGAGATGAGTGAAAAAATAAACCTCCTCCAACAAAGAGAGGAGAAGCGGGCGGCAAGGGTGGGTGGGTTGATTGATCGTGACGCATCAGCCCTCATATCATCTCCTTTATACATCTCATAGATAGATCAATGATAAGATACCTATTTGTTTACCTTACACTAACATACCATGATCATGGAAATTGAAAATGCACATGAAACTGAAAATTGAATCTGTGAAACCAAACCATCTGCAAAATAGTTTGGCTACAGTTCAGTACAGCACACTGCCGTACAGTACTAGTACCACTTTTGGTAACAAGCCCTTCTATCTGCCTGTGAAAATCCATCCCAGCAGATCATCACAGCAGTCAAACTCAAACCTAAGAAAGCAATAACAATCAATCCAATCCAACCCAGTCCATTATCTTAGATTTCGTCACGGCATGTCTCATGTTTGAAATCATGATGCTTACGTTCCAAGCCATATATATATATAGCCACACATCGCCTCGCCTCGTCTCACCTCGTCTAGGTCTACTGTACCTTTCCTTTTTGTATCTTCCTTCAACGCTTGCTTTGTGCCCCCTGCTGCCCACGCTCAAGGCCTTCAGCTTGTCATTAGCATTCATGAATCATAATGGTGGTGAAGATGAAGACGATGACGACGAAGTCGCCACCGTCCCAAGGTTGAAGTGGTTCCACTTTTCGATCAATAAGTCGTAAGAATCATCGGCGGCAGCACCAGAACCGTGACCAGAACCAAATTGTTGCCGTTGCCCAGTGTTCACATGAATGCGTTCTGTACCACTGGTACCATCAATTGCCCGCCCTGAAAGAACATCAACACCACCACCACCACCACCACCACCACCACCACCAGCACTTCTCCTAGGAGGAGTAAAAGCGCTGGCTTCCCAGAGATCATTGGCTTCCTTAAACATGTTTTTGATATCGTTGGACGCCATGAGCCTGCGGCGGCGCAGATCAAGCTGTAGAATGCGAAGCATGCCCTCAGCCAGAGTGGATCGACGGGACAGACAGTGAAAGGCGACAGCCAACTTCGTAAAGGCGGACCGATGTTCGGCAGGGTCTAGATCGTTCATGATGGCCACGATGGCGGCGTGGATAGGGTGCAAGAAGCTGATGGGGATATGATCCACCCCCCAATCCATGCAATTGCGATGGACAAGTCCTGCAATCTCCAGAATCGCCGTCATATGCTGCATTCGGATCACTGGTGTGAGCATTGCCAACGTCGACTCATCTTCGTCATCGATAGGGAGCGTGAAGTTCAGCTCGGACAACACAACAACGGCCCAATGGTACTGCGCGCTTTGGATCCCTAAGTTAGCAAAGGTTTCCCAACACCACATAAGACTTACTGTAGGCTATAAATATGAGGTGATCTCGTCCCATCAACCTGAAGGCAGTCCATTAGATTGTCATGCCAATACACCAACTCACGATGCAAATCTTCGAGAAGATCACGAGACACGGCCGGGGCAGGCTTCTCCTTCGGGAAAAAGACATTTCGGCTGATCTTGTAGAAGATCTCGGCCAATTTGCCCAGGTAATGCAGGTGGCACTCTGAATGCGCAGGCGAATATGAATGCTGGCGAGGATATGCCACCCATCGTTCACGTGACTGGCCCTTGCAGGGGGGCGGATTGTCACGCAACGGGGGCGGCATCAGTGGCAGGCTACGCCTGGAGAATGTCGTCCGCATGGCCACTATAAAGGTGGTCCAACTGGTGGAGACTACACTTCGTTCAACCTCCAGAGCTTTGTCTTTGCCCGCCCGTGCCTGAAACTTCGCCAAGCGGCCAGGCTTGTCCAGCTGTTGTAGATGATGCAAGGCGTCATGCATGACAGATAAGGACATCGTTTCCATCCCCAAATTGTCCAAGCTTTACAGAAACGATAAGTGAACGTCCGACCTAGACATGCAAAATATGATATATGCAAAAAAGATGGTTCACTCACTACGCCCATTTGAGAAGCCGATATTGTATGGACGGGACGGACCTATGGGTCCCAGCTGCTTCAGCTAACCGCCGGGCTTCGGTATAAAACAGGTCTCGTAAAGGTTTCTCGGACGATTTGCTGTTCATTTCCACTGGATAGTCGTAGTCAAACTGGGTTAGCCGTTAGGATGGGTCTTGTGTCCGGCAAGGCTTATGGAAACTAACACATGCGTCTGAGAGTATCATATTGACCAAGTAAGGGGTACATATCGTGTCGTCGGATATCTTGGACTGCATGGCTGCGATCAACCTCTCGCGGTCGACGAACGGGTAGCACCAGTGGCGCCACGTAAACCATAATGAGATGAGGTCGGATACCAACTGATCGTCGTCGGTTACAGTTGTCCAGGGTATGGCCGGTACCGAAATGAGTGGGCTGTCAAAATCGCGAGGGACAATCGATCGATGAGGGCGATGCACGGATCGTGACCGTTGCCGCGTAGAAGAAGTCCTACTTCGCGTCTCCGACTCCTCTCCGCCGGAAGTTTCCCGCGAAAAATTTGTAGCAATGAAGTCGACAATCTCTTCTTGCGTTGCTTTGCTTCGGATTAATGCGATGAGTTTGTCCACCTCGGACATATCGCCATTGCGGATGGCCTCCAAGAGCTGAGGTGTAAGGTGATGACCAGACTCCAACTCTTCTACCTTCCGCTTCCATGCTATCTTCCTCCGGCCGTCTTCTCCCTGATCTCGAACACATTCGGTCTGCTTGAGGACACAAGCAGAGCAAGGGGTATTGTCATCGCACTAATGGTTCTGTCAGCGCCGTCCATCCCGGTCGAAAAAGCCCTAACACATTTAGCACAGTGCGATTGAGAGCAAGCCTTAAGGTGTGCACGTTCTCTGGCCATGCTTGAGAAGGGTGTGTGTGTGTACCTGCGATGTTTGCTCCAGATATGCCTGCGCTACACAAAGACATACCTTGGATCGACGCTTTCTACACGCTTTGCAGGCTGTCGTAATGTTGCGCCGTTGTCTTGTACTGACCAAGGCCGGTGGGGTCGGCTTCGGAGATATCTGGGCTGGAGCATGAGGGACGGCGGGTGCCAGCGGCCTCGGGGTGTTCTGAGACATGACTGAACGGAAGAAACAGGTCGTGCATCGACTTGGGACAGGCGTGGCAGGCCAGAGTGGGAGAGCAGCCGCAGGTAGCTTGCTTTCGAAGTTCACGCTGCTTTGACATTCCAACCACAAGGTATGGCCATGGTCGCAGGGAAAGCTCTAGCACAGTAGTATGGCTTTGTAACACTCTGCTTGCTCTGCGAAAACTTAAATCGAGCGATGTTGGTCCTCATGCAGCACGTAACGGGAGATATAGCCGCCAGAACCCGGCTGAGATGTTGTTCCGGGGGATGGAAAAAACTTCCGGGCATAGATCAAGTGGCGGTTCGAGTTGAGATTGGGACGAACAGAGACACTTGAAGCAAGAGCCGTTTTTGCCTTGCGGGTTCAAGTTGTGCTGGTGTGCTCTGCCGGGGAAACCACGAAGAACAGGCCCAGGGCAATAATACCCGGCCTCGGTTTGAGGTTTTGCTGTGGACACTTGATACACTCTTGCACCGGAAGAATGACACGGTAAACGCTGTTTTCGGAGGGCAAGTAGTGATGAGATATGGTAAGTAATCAGATCTGCTGCTCACCAGAGGTTTTGCTGCTCCACTTGGCCAACTGCCACGCCAGGCTAGCATAGTCGCGAAGGAGATATACTTCCACAACAGTCTACTCGCCAGGCTAATTTGGGGCGTTGGCCTCTTTATGGGTCCAACAGACAAGAACTAGCTGGTCAACGTTGCTTACCGTGGGTTGTTCTGACCATCATTGACGGACTGGTCAAGGATTCAACACCGCTGAAAACCACTCAAAACCTGCTGCCATACCCTGGCGTCAAAGTCCAGGATGGTGCTCTCGGGTTGCCAGCGTGAGCTTGAGGCCGCAAGAGCCACTTCAACTCGACAGCCAGAAGAAAACCGCAACAGCATGGACACAGTCTCTTGAATCCGTCTCGCAGCCAGATTAACATCGACAGTAAGGTAACGAATGGCTCGTTCTGCGGATGCAAGGGACATTTAGCGAGTTGGTCGTTCCATTTGAGCCTGCAATGCGATGCGATGGACAAAGACAAGCATGCGCCATCTGTGCAGCGGCGGATTTATTCTCCGCACGTTCTTAAAGTCCCATTCGTCGAGCTAAAGGAGAGAGATTCCGGTTGCATGATGAACTCGGGCCCGGCGATACAGAACTTGAAGTGTGGAAGAGCCGATTTATCATGGCCTGTTATGAAGACGGTTCTGCCTTGACAGCCGCGCAGCCGCCGGCCTGAGGTTGAAAGTCTGCGAGTCGAAATCACGCTACTAATGTTTTCAGTCAGACCGCTGACGGACAAACTGACCGGGCTGAATTTGGCACATTCGGTGACCGGAGATTTTACCAGGCCGTATGTCAGACCTGAGAATTATGTGGACCGAAGCTCTCCGGCCTGTCCATGAAAGGGATTCGGATACAGTACCTAAGCTACCAGGTAATTACCCAGGTAGAGTGAAACTGATGTTTGTTCTTATTGTAGACTGCAGCGTGTTTAAGATCCTTCCGCCTCGAGAATTTGCACTGCAAATCACGTCCGTTGGAAAAGCTACAATGTACTTCTATCCAATGCTGTCTTGTCTGCGGTCAAGGTAAGCCACTGTTTTCGTCGGCGACACATTTTCCAGGTAGATTTCGGTATAAACCAGCTCCGCCGAGCTCTGTGTTCTCGCTGGCTCCCAGAGGCCGGAATGCTACTACCTCGTTTCTTTAGGTCTTGCGCATCGTGCCAGTGGGACGACCTCTCTTGCAAACTCGATCACTACTCGACCGAAGAGTAGAAGCCGTGGTAGAAAGCAAACCAAACGCAATTATTGACAGCCGCTACCTTTGACCTTGCTCGCAGTAATTCAGACGCATTCTGCCAGGGAAAGATATGCCAACGGAGATGGTTGAGGTCATCTCTGCGGAGTTTGTAGGCTTGTCCACTGTAGCCTTACATGACTCGTACTATCGTTGTCGCTGGCTGAACCGTCTTTTGAATCAGATAGGCGACACTAGGCGGGTTCGAAGACGCCTGTGGGTCTCCTCGATTTGAAAGCACATTCGCTGATAATGATGTCGACGAAAGCCGCCATTCTCTGAGTATGGAGGGGGTTTATGCCACCGGGTGGTTGAACAGGTAGCTAACGCTCTCGCCGTTATGTGTCCTTCGGATCGCTTCTGCCAAGACAGGAGCGATATCAATGAATTCGAGCCTGCAGCCCTTTTGGCCCTCCTCGACTTTCAGAGCCTCGATCTTCTCTTCTGAAACCGGAACTGTATTTGTAATGACTAGCCTGGAGAGAGACGAGCCCTTCAGGATTTCGACGGCTTTGCCAGACAAGATTCCATGGGTGACCAGAGCAACAACGTCCTTTGCCCCATGTTTGATAAGAGTGTCGGCGGCCTTAGCCAAGGTGCCGCAAGTATCGGCCATATCGTCCACGAGAATGGCCACCTTGCCTTCGACTGTTCCAACCAGCGTCATGCGGCTCACCTCGTTCGGCCGGGATCGCTCCTTGTGAATCAGCGCAAACGGAAGATCGAGTTTGTCGGCGATGGATGTGGCTCGCTTGGCCCCGCCAGCATCGGGACTGACAATGACGCATTCTTGTCTGGGTCCATTGACTTCGGAATTCGTCTCGGTTGAATGCATGAGATTTTCCCGCACCCATTTCACAGAGTTGGGCTCTGCATAGAGGTTGTCCACAGGAACATTGAAAAAGCCTTGGATTTGAGATGCGTGAAGATCCATCGTTATAATGTGGTTGCATCCTGCAGTCTGTAGCATGTTGGCCATCAACTTGGCCGTGATGGGCGCCCTAGACTTGTCTTTCTTGTCCTGTCGCGCATATGGGAAGTTGGGGAGAATGGCAGTCACCCGTCGAGCCGAGGCGGTTTTGCAAGCGTTGCAAATGATGAGGAGTTCCATGAGCCCATCGTTGATGTCGTTCGGTCGCGTCGACTGTAAAATGAATACTATACAAGAACTCTGTGTCAGTTTGCGCTCGAGGGATACCGAACACTGAAGGGCGGGGGAATATTGGGTTGGGCAAAAGTTGTCGCGGAACGCGATGCATATGCGTACCATCTTCATCTCTGACAGATTCACCGATTGTGACACTCGTTTCTTGATTGGAATACTGCAAGACCATAATCTTGGTGAGCTCAATCCCGAGCCTACATGGCGCCCAACAGACGATCAGTCAGTCTTGCGTGTCTCAAACCATCTCGGAAAGAAATCCACATACCTGGCGGCCACCGCCTTGGCCAATTCGGGATGACTGTTGCCAGTCAAGAGCTTGATGGAGTTTGACGCCATGCCTGCGTAGTCAAGTGTGCCTGCGCCTGCGCTCACCGAAGATGTACTGGCATGTTGACAAGGAGAAGAACTCGGAGTAGACAGGCGAGAAAAGTCGTTGCGCTCCGGAAGTGTCATATGTCTAATAGTAGTAGTGCCAGTGGTGGTAATAGTGGAAACCCAAAAATTGAGCGGGATGAAGGGACCGCCGTCCGCCAGCCCCAGGAGCAAAATTCTGGTTGGCTGATTGCTGCATAAGGCCCAAATCGGCGACTTATCACTGGCTGCCACTGGGCCACACGGCCAGCAATCGCCTCGGATAGCAAAGTTTGAAGTCTTGATTGCGGAATAGAGAGCTAGAACATCGCAAAGATGCAAGACCGATATCACGAACAGCTTCAGAAAAAATAGATTAGGAAAGAAAAGTAATTGATTCGATTCTTTTCAGTATGGGGGAGTTTCTATTCTCTGCCACCTTTGTGGGCGCACATGATGCATTGTAGTATCTGTGACTACCATCGATCGAATGGCGCGGTGACACAGCACACAACTCGAAGCCCCTCCGCCACTCCGAGTGCCTTGGACAACCAGGTGTGCGTTTCTAGCCCAAAGCCATTCTTCAGCCCCCAACATCATGTCCGGTAATCTGTGCGACACCTGAGAGTGCCTGGCAAGCTTTTCGTCCGTTGTGACTTTTTGACAATTGACAAAGACCCAAGCTTAAGCTTACTTCCTCAGAGAAGAAGCACGTCTCTTCCTCAGCTCGGTTCTCTTCTCACGCTCCTCGTGCACACGCTTGGCCAACAATTGAGCATACTCGTTAGCAGCATCCTTGGCAGCCTCCGCGCGTCTTCTCTTGAGTGCGATTCGGTGTCTCTTGTGTTGCATTCGTTGAGGAGTGACGAGTCTCTGGATCTTGGGGGCCTTGGTGTATGGCTTGGCGCCCTCCTTCTTGGGGACGACTTCACGGCGGATGACGAACTTGCTGTAGAAGGAAAGAAGTATTAGTAACGCTAAAAAAAAGATGGACGAAAATGTGTATAGCCGTACCGAACATCATCTTGCTTGCTCAGACCGAAGAATCTTCGGATCTTGGTGGCACGCTTGGGACCGAGGCGCTTGGGGTTGACGACATCGGTGAGGCCTGGGATTTCGCCCTCGCCTTGCTTGACGATGGACAGAGCAAGGACAGACAGGTCCTGGCCGACGATGCAGCCACGGACGGACTTGCGCTTGCGCTCGCCATCACGTCGGGGTCGGTAGCAGGAGTGGCCTTCGGAAAGGAGGAGCTTGACACGGGTAGGGAGCATCTGTAATGAATCAAGTCTCAGCGAAACATGTCCTTCTCTCGCTGGCGCTTTCAGGAGCAGGGGATTGTACGTACGACACCCTGCTTCATGGGAAAGCCTTGCTTGTCATTACCGCCGGTGATGCGGAAAATCTGGTACAGCCGTCAGCATCAACTTGTCCCATTTCTCTTGGTCTTGGTGGACAAATTCGTACGTAGCCCTTCCACTCATCACCGAGACTGTCTCCGGGAACTTCGTTGCCCATACGCTTCTCCATGAAGACGCGCAGCTTGCGCTCATCGTCAATCTCGAAGAGCTTTTGCGACCCATTGGCCGGGTAGGAGATGTTCAACTTCATCTTGTCGGCTGGCTGATCACGGCTGTCAAGACTGGCGGAAAGCCCTGACAGTTATCAGCAGTTGAGGATGTCGGGTTGGCGAGATTGAACGGTTGGTGCTGTTGTGGTATCGAAAGCGCAGTCAACACGGATTCATTTTTCGAGGTGCGTTCAGTGTGCCAAGAGTTCTACGCACTAGTCTCAATTCGTCGTTGGGGGATACCATTGTACAACATTGTACGGTGGAGCACGTGCCTAGAACAGCGTCTCACCCGGTTTTATTCCGGCCTATGAAATCTACCCCCGTGCCAGTGGTAGGCCATCCTCTGCTCACCACCATTTTTGGCGCCTCACCTCTCCGACTGCAGGGGCGGTCAACAATTGCACGCGATAGCAGTGCGAGATATATGTTCATTTGTACACAACTAGTAGTTCTATCTTGCAGCTCCGTTGGCATGGCTGTTTCCAGCCTTTTCCAGTGCCAGATACCTTTTCTCGGCTTCCTCGATCGTCCTAATGTTTGCGCCCAGCTTGTTCATCGTCTCAAACCACTCATCCTCCTCTTCGCTGTCGAAGACAATGCCGCCTCCGGCCTGCAAGTATGCCACACCGTCCTTGACGACCATTGTCCGCAATGCAATACAAGTGTCCATTGCGCCTTCGTCCTCGACCCGTGAGCCGTCCGCAGACACCCTTGAAAAACCAAAATATCCCACTGCCCCAGCATAGACTCCACGCTTTTCTCCCTCGAGCTCGGCGATGAGTTCCATGGCCTTCACTTTCGGCGCCCCTGAAACCGTCCCCGCCGGGAATATGCTTCGAAAGGCGGTAAACCTGTTTTCGCCCTCCCTCAAGACACCAGAGACCTGACTAACCAGATGTTGGACATGGCTGAATCTCTCCACCACCATAAGCCTGTCGACCCGAGTGGACAAAGGATCGCAAACACGGTTGATGTCATTCCTCGCCAAATCGACCAACATGACATGTTCCGCCCGGTCTTTGATGCTGTTGCGCAATTCATCCGCCAGTCTGTCGTCTTCCTCCGGGTCTCGTCCTCGCTTCACTGTGCCTGCAATAGGATGCGTGATAATCCGCCCAGCTTCTTCCTTGACCAAGAGCTCAGGTGACGCTCCAACGATGCTGAAATCCTCGCAGTCGATGTAGAAAAGATAAGGTGACGGATTAACCGTCCGTAAATGTCGGTAGATGTTAAATGGATGCAGTGTAGTGGGGCGTGATATTCGGTGCGACGGAACCGCTTGAATAATATCCCCCACGTTCACATGTTGCTTCAGCTTCCGGACATGGGCCTCATAACCTTCCTTCCCTATGTTTGATTTTGAGGGCTGGTTCAGCGCGATCGGCGGTTGATGTGGGAGTGGGATGTGTTCGGCTTGCAACGTCGCGATCACCTTCTGCAGCGTATTGCTCGCTTTATCGTATGCTGCTGCAATGTCCGCAGAGGACTGTGACTCCGGCACTCGAAGGTACGTGATGACTTTGCAGACATTGAAAAAATGGTCGAACGCGACAATGGTGTCGTACAGCATGAAGAAACTCTCCGGCAGCTTCAAAGTATCTTTCATCGGCCGAGCCGTTTTGGGCTCGAAGTACCGAACACAATCATACCCCACGTAGCCGATCACGCCTCCTGTCATCGGCGGCAGCCGTAGTGAAGGGACACTGGCAACCCTATATTGTGACAACTCTTTCTCCAGTCGAGGAAGGGGATCTTCTTCAGGGCCATGGCCGGGACCGGATTTGAGGACTTTCAGAGGATTGGCTCCGACAAAACTGTACCGCCCGATCGTGCCTGTAGTTGCTGCGCTCTCGTATAAAAAGGACAGTTTCGAACCCGCGGATACTTTGAGATATGCGACAGTAGGTGTGAATAAATCGGCGGGGATCTGAGCGCACAAGGGCACCAGATTCGGAGGATATTGAGAGGATCTGGATTTTGCAAGGATGGAGGTTACCTCCTCAAGGGAGGGTTGGATTTGCGCCTACACCATGTCAGCGCTTGGAGTCGCAGGTTGTTGAATGGACAAACACTACCATTGGAATGAAAAAAGACCAGCAACCATCAGACCAGCACAAATTGACTGGCTAGCTCAGCACATGCCGAGACTCCTGGGACGCTGCTCAGATTGCCACAACCAGGCACTATGCGATGGTAGCACTGGCTGGAGGAGTAGATCTGTAGTAATACCAGTAGCGATATGACTGGAGATTGAGTCACCGCCTGAGTCCTCAAGGAGAGTTGTGAGGCTGCTGCCCTCGTTCAATATTATTTAAAGCAGCGCGGTTCAGGTTCAACTCCGCTTCTAGCGGCTCCAGTGCTACCAACACAGATGCACGTGTCGATCCCAGACAATATCCTTGAAGTGTCTTCGATTGTTTACTGGTGAGGCTTTTATTTCAGAGGGTCCATCCTACAACGAAGTCCTGTGGAAGGGACTTATCAATCTTGCGGCCTGAGGTAACCGTATGTTTCTTTAGTTGTTCATCGGAGTCATGTCCAATGGCGGCGGGAAAGAGGCCACACTGACACGTGACCAGCTCACCAGCCACCGGTCCTACCAGCCACTCAGGCTGCACATGTGCATTTTGGCGGTCTTGAACCTCGAATGCGTTCAGCCTGCAGTGTCGGCCGCTGGTTCAACCAGAAGCTAATGTACACATTTACACCTTGCGTCGACAGCCGCCAACAGTCGCAATAGAGTGTAACCCTATATGACCGCTGTCGCATAATTTCTGCAACAAGAATATCCAGCTATTCTCTTCAATATGTCGCTCGGACAACATCAGCTCGAGGCTGATACCGGGTCGCCCATGCGGCCCGGGTCGTCCTGGACCGCCAACTCATTCTTTGCCGACTCCGCTATCAGCGTGAGGACGAGAACTCCGGGGCCACTCGAGAAGGAGACGAACCCCTTCGACACGTACGCAGCGACCGAACAGCCTGGCCTTGCAGACCGTCTCGAAGGACTCGTTGCTGAGATATGGGCCTCCGAACAGGACTGCGCCATCCGCGGAAACAAGAGGAGGAGGCTTGAAAGAGCCATGGACGAGATTGAGGCCGCTCTGGAGGACGAAGAGTCATATTTGGAGCCCAATCGAAGCGATCCTGGTACAACCGATCCTGAAACAGCCGAACCTGAACAATCGCCGACAACTCCCGCGATGCCCACCGCCAGTGATGAAGAGCTTGAGCGAATTCGAACTAACTTGGCGTCCACAGTGGAGGCGATGCGTTTAAGGCAACAAGAGCAACGACATTTGCACCAGTTGGCGATCGAAAAGCTCGAGGCGGTGGCGCAGCGATGTTTACAGCAAGAGAGGGCCTTGCGCGAATTTTCGGAGGAGATCGCATACCTGAGGGAACAAAATCGGCATCTGGACCAGGAACTTGAGACGGCCACTAATCGACTCAACCAAAGTCAATTGGAATCTGCCCGGAAAGACCTAGCAATCAATGCGATGTCGAGTGCGGTCGCCGGTTTGGAAGGCTGGATTAACAATTCTTCAACGCCAAATCGCACACCACGAAGAATTGTGACAAGGGGCCGGGGAAGATTTCGTGGTCGATACTATGCCGAGGAACAAATGGATGTACCGGCATGGTCTGGCGGTTCGGATGCGAGGTTGCACGATGGCGTCACGGCCTGGGTTCGCGGATTCAGAGATGTCGAGGAAGAACTGAAATCTTCGCAAGGCAACTTGAAGGCTCGTCTAGAGGAGGGAAAAATCCGTCTGGATGACGGAGGGGATGATTGGGGCGAGTTCGAGAGTGCCTCTGGAGTATGATTGCCTCTGTAGTCTCAATCAGAGCCGGTGTTGTACATTTTCTTTTTCCGTTTCGAACATTCGCTTCTTCTGCCCTTGTGGGCATGGCAGACCTTCTGATGCGAGCTCTGATGGATGGACTGACCGCGACTGCTGAAGGACAGATACCAGTGAATCTGGTAAAACATAGACAGAGCGGTGCAATAGGTAAATGATGTATGCCAGTGGGTGCTGGCCTGTACACATTCTTCAGCGTTGGAAGTTGATGACAGCAATCTGTTCTTGTTAGCTCACGACTCTCTGATCCTCCATAAATCCTCCATAGGCCGCTAATATTTGACTTACCTGAGCCCCAAGGCCAAATGCAAGCTTTTTACTTTCCTCATCCCATGCCAGAGTGTGATCGGCAATAGCCTGTGACGATTCTCCATTTACCCCAGACATGCCACCGACGCTCAACGCATCATCCTCCTTCAACTTCGAGCCTCTCCAGGACTCCTGCTCACCTTTCCATGTCGCCATGGGGCTATGACCATGCTCGGCATTCCAGATGCGTACTGTGTCATAACTGGCGCCTGCCAGACAAAAGCCGTCTGGAGAATATGAAAGTGTCATTACAGGCGAAGCGTGGCCGATGATGAGCTTGCAGATGGAGGTAATCGTATTGCTGTCGTCACATCGCCAAATCTTGATGGTCCCGTCCATTGAGGACGTGGCGAATTCTGGCTTCGCAGGTGATTCTATTGCGTCGGGCGCATGCGGGCGTAACTCAAGTCCTGTGATGGGAGCACCATGCGCCTCTCTTTTCATCAGGTTGTGAGCGGGTAGCCAGAGACTGGCGGTATCACCAGACGCCGCAACCACGGTTCCATCCGTTGGCCCACGCCAGGCACATCTGACAAAAGTCCATTGATCATTCTCATTTGAGTCGGATGTCCATTTGTTCTCGACGCTCAGGTCGGAGAAGGCTCGGCAATGGTAGACGGCGTTTCCCCCCGCAACACAGACAACACCATTCATGCCGAATGATGCACAATCCATGTCCATCAGGATCTCAGGGACAGATATCGACAATGGTCCGGCAATGTTTGGCGATCGTGACAAATCCCAGAGCAATATAGTGGATCCGGCGCTGCGAGCAGAGTCAGCTGCATCCGAAGAGTATGGCGCGATACCGAGCAAGCGCAGGCCTCGACTGTGCCAGCGCAGAGACGTAATTGCCTTCTGCGAAGCTGGAACAGCCTCCATAAGGTTCAGTTCTTGACCATCAAACAAGAGTATCTCTCCGGCGGGGTCTGAATATGTTGCAACGGCAAGAACATCTCCAATAGGGTCCCAAGCCAGCGCACTGACTAGCTTCGCCTCGGTACAGTCCACCAGTTCTTGGAACCGAAGATGGTCAACGGCGTCGGAACCTTGGTTTATTGACTTCCAGACAGTACAGAAATCGTCTCCCATAGAGGCTAAGCAATCGTTGTCGCCCGGTCTCCATGCACTCCGCGTAATAGTTTTGGCTTCTTCACGTTCGGTTGTAGAGGGAATCTGAAGAAGGGTGGTGGATCCCGAAAGGTCTGTTACCTTGGCGGGCGCAACTTGAACACCAATGCTTGGCCCCGTGGTGGAAGGATGACTTGGGGGTAAAGCTTCGATGTGAGATTCGTGGTTCGCTTGTTCGGCGTTTAGTGATTCGTCGTCCACATCCATACGGTCGTCCGTTCTTGTTCCATTCACAAGATGCGTATTCTCGTCAAGGCCCGTCTCGGTTGCAGAAGGTGATCTGGCATCCGCGCGGGGAGGGTGGCCGTTAACCATATCAACATCCATCGCAGAGGCGTTTCCCGATCTCGTTGCCGATGCGGATGGTTTGCGTGCAGCACTACCATTGCGTTCACCTTTGCGACTCCTCTTTGGTCCTGAATGGGTCGCTGTTTCGTGCGGACCAACTGACTGAGCATCGCGAACCTTGCTGTGGAGGGGAGCATTAGGACCGGCAGGGGAACTTGCAGATGCAAGAGTCTCTTCAGGCAATTCTGGCGGAGGTTTCACACTCTCAGGGCCAAAGAAAAACATAGACGGGTTGAGTTGCTTTGAAGGACGGCCATTCTAAGATCAGGTTAGCACGCGGACACCATTGTTTCACTGGTAATTAGGGACACTGTACTTCATCAATAGTCAGTGATAGATGATGATAACGCAGGCCTTTTTGAACAAGAGAAACAAGGGCGTGACCTTTGATGTGTTTGGCGAAAGGGAGACTCTCTGCGTCGACCCTCCAGTCACGTTGGAGCTTGACGGCGGCTTCGGCGTATCCTGTACAGCACCAGTTTAGTGGAGAGAAACTAGTGGAGCTCCTGCGCGGCCTACCGGACTCTTGGAGATATCTGCAAAACCTGGTCAGCGCCGTAGACAACAGAAAACCACCAGCAAGCACAGTTCATGGCGGCGCGTACCTCCAGATAAGATAATTAAGCTGATCCGAAGTCAGCGGGGGTGGCTTTGCGCTGAAGGTCGAGGGATTGTCGGCCTCCATGCCGACATTCCGCTCACGATGGGAGACGAGGCGCCGGCGGCGTTTTCAATCGGTCACAGAGTGATTGAAGACGGGTAGAAGATCGCACAGCGACAGAGCACGTGTAACTCAATAAAGCTGTAACGTTGAGTCCAAGGCAGGCTCCCTATGGCCACCAGATCGCGTGAGGTCTTTTGGTCGATCGATCAATTTGTCTGGAAGAAGGAAAAGCTGGACGGGGTGGTGTATGGAGAACGTGAGCCCCGGGAGGGTACAAGCTACAGATCAACACAAGCCTCCAGGGCGCGGCCCATTGAGCGCAAGGCGGGAGTCGAAGGAATCAACCGGACGTAGCGTAGTTGGACGACAGACCTGATCACAGCCGGCTAATGAAGATGTACTCTCGACTTGTATCTCGTTGGTGGTTGAAACGCGGACGAAGGATGAGTTTGCGATGGATGTGTGTTTGACATGCCGTTGGTCACGGGCAGAAAAAGAAGCCAGACCGACGTTGGGCGCAACGGGAGTGCAAAGCCACAGCTGCAGGCGAAGGGCAGCGGCAGACCAGCCGGATGGGGCATTTTGCTAGCACAATATTGTTGTTTTGGGCGGCCGATCGCCTCCACTATGACCACTGCACTGCTTGTGTTGCAGCGCCTAAACGTGACCGGAGACCGCTTTTTAGGCTCCTGCAAGTAAGGCTAAGGAGCCCGAGTCGGGCTCTGACCATTATCTGGGGCGGGGAGCTACAGTAGGTACTACTGTACTACTACAGTACAATGTTTTGCCTGTGAGTGCAGAACAAAGGTTCCACGGTGCAGACCAGATCTGAAGAACTTCAAGTGCGCCCGTTCTCGAAGCCAGGCCTCCTTGCGGCAGACCCTTGCAACAAGCAGACGGTCGAATCGATTGCCCAGCTGAAACTTGCTGAGGCACATGAACCGAGCCCAAGAGACTCATCATTGGATGACTTCCAATAGGTGGCTTTGGTACGAGATTCGGATCGTCTTTCCTTTAGGCAGGCTTTTTGCTGGGTGCGAAGAGACCCTCAGGCTGCCATCCGGTCTCCGCTGCAGTAGTGCTTCTGGAACACCTCCAAGTCTGGCACCGTGCCAGTACTGTAGTGACTGGCAGCGCATCACGCTTCTCCTGCAGTGTGTTGTTTCCTCCCTCGCGCGCCTCTGCCATTTCCCTCCTCCAGGATGCGAATTTGAATTTTCTTTCTCAATGGCACCGAGAATCAATCTCCCTCCCGTCACCCGCATCCTCCTAGGGGTCCTCGTGGCCCTGACCCTGCTGTACAATATTGCGCGATGGAGAGTCTCACAACCTGATTCCAACGCGGCAACGCCCAGTCCTACGACCACGAGACCTATTATCCCCTATCTCGCTCTCGTCCCCTCGCAATGTCTGTGGTATCCTTGGACATTCCTTAGCGCAACCTTTGCGGAACAAAATATCTTGACATTGTTGGTCAACGGAGTGAATGTTTTCTTTGGAGGGAAATACCTTGAAAGAGCCTGGGGCTCCCAGGGTTTCATTTATGTCATTCTAATTGCAACGGCGATACCGAACCTCTTGGTAGTCCCGACATATCTGGTTTGGGCGACTATAACGGGCAACCCGGCGAGAGCTTCGACACCCATCAATGGCGGCGTTGCGATACAGGCGGCCTTCCTCGTGGCTTTCAAGCAGTTGGTCCCCGAGCATACTGTGAGCATATACAAAGGCATGATTAAGATGCGGGTCAAGCATTTCCCGGCAGTGTTCCTCGCCGTCAACACGCTCTCTGGGCTCCTTCTGGGAACCGATACAGCTCTGTTTCTAGCCTGGTATGGGCTCATCACGACGTGGACCTATCTTCGATTTTTCAAACGCCAGCCCGACCTTTCAGGCACCACTACAGACGGGTCAGAATTGAAAGGAGACGCCAGCGAGACCTTTGCCTTCGCCACTTTCTTTCCTGACTTGATGCAGCCGCCAATCGCGGCACTGTCCAATCAGATCTTCGACCTGCTGTGCAAGCTCAAAATATGTACTCCATTCTCCGACGAAGCGATCGCTACGGGCAACGAACAGGCTGCGGCTCGCGGCGAAGGTGGTCTGCCGAGCTTTCACAAGCAAGGACGAGGAGCAAGGGGGTTGAGTAAACGAGAGGAAGCAGAACGACGGCGAGCTCTGGCCCTCAAAGCACTAGATGAGAGGCTCAATGCCGCCAGCAATCGTCCACCAACGCAACCACCCCCAGCAAGTGCGCCTAATCTACCAAAAGGACAAGAAATGCTGGGCCAGACAGATTATCGACCTGACGAATGAGCTTCTGTGTGTTAGTGGTTTGTTCACGAGCAGAACTTTGACGCAAGACCATGCGGGCTCTGACTTGCGGTTAGCGGTTTCATTGGTTGTTTTGTAGATGTAACTCATTCGCTTAAATGATCATGAATCTCGATTGAATTCCATCTGGAAGCTGCTTGTACGACTGAGCTACTACTACGAATCTGTTGTTGATTTGTTTTCGTGGTCTGCAAGGCTTAGGCTGCTTGCTGCTGGTGGAGAGCTTTATGTTACTACTGGTGGTAGTATAGAGGCTATAGAGGTGCCTAGTAGTCGGGATGACCGAATCGGCGACAAGTCATTGGCAGCGTTGCGCTTCTCGCCAATCAATTTCGCACGAGCAGCCACCAGAATCGAGGTACCGTTTTTGCCGTCACCACTGCTGCCCTGCCTTGTTCTTGCATATCCTGCGAATTGTTCTCGATAGTCCCGACGCCGCGGAACCTATTGCGGCAGGTGCTGCAACGGTGCTCTCCTACTCGTCGAGACAGGGCCTTTTGCCCTCTCCGCAGTGGCTTAAAATCTTTCCTGGCTCATGTACCGCACGCGATCCATGAGAAGCTACTGCGTCCGGAAAGAAACGTGGGCATCGCCAGCCCACAGAAGCTCAGGTAGGCGAAGAAGTTGAAAAGCGCCATGATTTCCCTTGCATCCTCACGTCTTGCGCTGCTCCGTGCGTACATCCTCCTCTGCCAGTGTCACTTTTGAAACATGACGTTCATGAAGCACGTTGGCCTGGCCGCTGCTCTGCTGAGCTCAGCAGCTGTGCAAGCCTCCCTCTACGGCGAGAGCAATGTCAACCACACTTGCGTACTAGGTGAGTACAAAGTTCTATCCTCGGTCTATTACAGACCCCATCGCCAGAGAGCAGCAGCTAACCGTGTACAGAGCCTTCCATTCTCTCCTGCTCGTCGCAGGCGAACCCAGCCAATGTGGACAGCTGCTGTACGGAAACCTACGGTGGTCTCGTGCTTTCGACCCAGTTCTGGCAGACATGGACGGGCCTTGAGTCCAAAGGTCAGAAACTGCCACCCAACCGGTGGACTTTGCACGGTCTGTGGCCCGACTTCTGCAATGGATCGTACACGCAGTACTGCGATTTGTCGCGCCAATACGACCCTGTGCCGTCGCCGAACACCACCAACGGTCTGCCCAATGGCACCGTCGTTCCGCCATATGATGGACCCAACGTTGGCACCTTCCTGGAAGCCTTCGGACGATATGATCTGCTCAAGTGGATGAACACGTATTGGGTCAATCAGGGCGCTCCCAACACGGACTTTTGGGCCCATGAGTTCTCCAAACATGCGACCTGCTTCTCGACGTTTGACCTCCCTTGCTACGGGCCCGAATACGTTAAACATCAGGAAGTCGTGGAATTCTTCGAGACCGCGATCAAGTACTACAACCGTCTGCCCACTTGGGAGTGGTTGAATGAGGCCAAGATCGTGCCTTCGAACTCCACCACGTACACGTTGTCCGATCTACAGGCCGCGCTGACCAAGAAGTACGGCGCGACACCTTACATCGGCTGCTCTGGCCCCCGTTACAACACCACCGAGGCCGGGAAGGATAGCTCGGACAATGGGCGTACGGTGATCAGCGAAGTGTGGTATTACAGCCACGTAAGTCGTGCCTCCAAACCTCCTGTTTTGCATGCCGAACCGACGAGGCTAACAACATCTGTCTTTCCCAGGTTATTGGACGTCCGCAAGACGGAATCTCCATCCCCGTCAATGCGACGGGCTCGAACACCAGCTGCGCAAAGGCCAAAGGTGCCCTGCACTACTACGAGATGACCCCGGAGTCGGTGCAAGGCCATTAGAAAAACACCATCTAGCTTCGTGACGTCGATTACAAAAGTACATACATGCTCCGAAACCTGAGGAGTGGAATTGAGACAAAAGATTAAATCTAATGCTAGTGAGATAGATGCATCTGTCGGAGGACTACTCAAAGTCGTGCGTGTGGGATACAGTACAGAGGTACTTACCTAACTACCACAATAATAAATATACGTACCTAGGTAGGTACTTTACATACCTACCTTATCTTGTACCGACAACATTGCACAGTGGTAGAGGTAAGGATTATTAATAATCAGCTGCTGGGTCTTCGTTGTAAAAAGTGTCTTGTTGAACCGTTCATCACACCGCTACAGAGGTATTCACTTCATATACCATCGGTTTTATTCCAAATATCTAGCGTACATATCTACCTACGTTGTCACAAACACTCCATTGCAACATCTACATTGTCGATCCATTTTCCCGGAGTCGCCGCTGACACGCCGGCCTCTTCAAGTTGGGAGACCGAGAGCTGCGTCACCAGCCACTGCCACGACCGGATCTCGACGCTGCGCCACGTCTCACTTTCCTTTCCGCCAGCGGCCTGAGAGGAAAAGCCTCCCAACAAGCCCGGACCGTGTGGGCAGGGAGACCCGTGGAACCCAATTGAACCCATCAATACTAGTACTGCGGCGTGCTAGTTACCCTACTAGCAGCAGTACTGCCCAGTGCTAGACTGCGGCATCAGCAGTTCACCGTCAAATCCACCTTACGTTGCACTCCCGGCCCATCCATTTCCCCCCAAGGCTGCCACAGACCAACACTCCATCGACCGATTCGAACCATCGTCGAACTGGCCTTCTTCACCTCACCGTTGCTCTATTCCTCTTTCCCAACAGTGCGTACAGTGACCGACCGCCACGGACGCAGCTACTCGGTCGCCGTAACGCCTAGCCGCTCGTTCGACTTCCCGCCCTCTCGTCGTCATACCATCGTCGGAGCCTCACGCGAACCCGAGCCAGACAGTGCCCAGCATCATCCTCGCAGCCAACGATATTCGGCTGATATCAATATCTACAGACGATCCAGCCTCGAGACTGCGCCCATCTAATTGACAGGAGGGAGTATGTCGAAAGTCGTAAGAAGTGTCAAGAATGTCACCAAAGGATACAGCAGTGTGCAGATCAAGGTGCGCAATGGTAAGTGAAATGCTTAATCGCTCCCGCATACTGGGAAACACCGCTGACAAGGCGATTTCAGCGACATCCAATGACCCATGGGGCCCTACGGGGACAGATATGGCGGAGATTGCAGCTCTGACCTTCAACAAGTAAGTTGTAACAAGTCCGCGCTGCAGCGAGGGTTATCGTATGGCCAACCATGCTGACAATGGCCGTCGCATCAGCCCAAGTGACTTCTACGAGATTATGGATATGCTCGATAAGCGATTGAACGACAAAGGCAAGAATTGGCGACATGTTCTGAAGTCATTGAAGGTCTTGGATTACTGCTTGCACGAAGGCTCGGAATTGGTGGTCACTTGGGCGCGCAAGAACATTTACATCATCAAAACGTTGAGAGAGTTTCAATATGTGGATGAAGACGGCAGAGATGTTGGACAGAATGGTAAGAATCTCCCAGCCATTGCAACTCGGTACCCGTGCTGATTTTCCACAGTTCGTACCACGGCAAAGGAGTTGACGTCTCTTATTTTGGATGAGGATCGGCTTAGGAGTGAACGATCTGATCGCAAGCTATGGAAAGCCCGTGTTAGTGGCCTCGACGAATATGCCCCTCAGGCCATAGCCGGCCCTTCCCAGCGCCCACGACGACAAACCAGAAGTGGAGCGGATGACGATGACCCTGAGTTACGGCGAGCTCTTGAACTTAGTAAAATGGAAGCGGACCAAGAGGCGCGAGACAGGAGTCGACATACCGCCAGCGAGAATGATGAACAAGACCCTGAGTTGAGGCGAGCGATACAGCTAAGCAAGGAGGAGGCCGACCTCCGCGCGCGCCAACTCGAGGACCAAAATGCTGCTTCTCTCTTCGACGACACTCCTGTGCCGGCCCAAAGTCAACCGACAGGATTCAACCAGGGTTATCAGCAGCAGCCAGCTGTTGATTGGTTTGGAAACCCCCTTCAACAACAGCCACAAAGTACTGGCTTTTTGAGCAATCAATATGCGCAGCCGCAGCAAACAGGTTTTCAGCCTGGTTACACTGGTGCTTTTCAATCCTCCCAACCGACCGGCTACGATCAATTTGGCCAACAACCTTTCTTACAACAACAGAACACCCTGCAACCACAGCAAACAGCATTTCCGACCAACAATCCATACGGTATGCAAACTGGAACAGATCTTTTCGGAGCACAGTCACCCCAGCAAGCGGGTCTGCAGCCGGGGACGAACAATCCCTTTTCCGCTTCTTCACCACAGCCGCTGGACGCGATGAAGCCGCTGCCTACAGGCTCCAACAATCCTTTCGCCCAGAGAACGCAGCAAGCCTCTCCTTCGCCATTTGCCCGAGCGACGAGTCAGCCGGCTTTAGGAACATTGTTTGAATCGCAGCCGACTTCCCAATTCAGCCAACCCACGCAACCAAACCCTATTCTAAACTATTCCTCGCCGCAGCCATCTTTCCAGCAGCAGCAGCAAGCTCAGAAGCCGGTCAATCCACAGCATGCCAAGCTCAATGCACTGTTGGCTTCAGGCGAGGGCCAGGATACTTTCGGCAATACGGGCGATCTGCGTATTCCTGCCCAACATACCGCACCTGGAACCTTCGTTAACTCGGCGGGACAAGGTCTGGATCGTCTTCGTGCGGCTCAGACAGGGACGAACCCCTTCTTTTCGGCACAGGCTACAGGTTTTGCCCAGAACCAGCCTGGGTTTGGTCAACAAGCTCCTGCACAGACTGGACCTGCGGGCGGATTTGGCGGTTTCACTCAGCAAAACAATAATCCTTTTGGACAGAGGCCCGGGGCACAGCAAAGTGGAAGCTTGATTGACTTGTAGGATGAGTCGGACAATGAGAAGGTATAAGAGGTGCCTCTCTTGGGAGGTGGCATAGCCAGTCATTATCAGCTCGAACCAGATAATCATATGAAATCGGTACGACATCTGCAATCTTTCGCTCCCGGCAGGGATTGGCAGTAGATTACAAACAAAAGAGGAATGTTTCCTTCCGGCCTCACCATGCTGCTCTCACCTGTACGCTATTGGGAAGGATTAACATATGGTTGGCAGATGATTCCCTTTACTACCTCCCTTACCTATTAGTAGGTTCCTTAAATAGCAGTACGGGTACCTACCTAGGTGGTAGGATTGTGGATAACTTGAACTGTAAGCCCAAGTTAAAGGGTTCGACGGATGCTACGCGCATTCCCGAGCGGAAGTAACGGCAAGTAAGCAGACAAGGAAGTGCCAGGAATGCTATACTTATATGCCAGCGGAAGGTTCAAGGGAAGAACCTAGTAGTATTTTAACTTCGGGCAAGATGCCTCAGGATAAGGTAAAGTCTAATGACAGGCGCGGCTGTGTTCTCATCAAAACATCTTCCTCCTTGTTTTTGGCGGGTTTATGGCCGCTGCCAGTGTACCATTGCAGTGTATCTCCTCCTTAACTGGTATTCCTTCCTTCACAACTTGTATGAGGAAGACATATTGCAATCCGCGCCTTCCTCACGGCCTCTGGGTGCCAGATACAGCATCGAAGCCGCCGTCCTGCTACACCCGACATGCTGTTGAGCATTGATATGGAAATGCTCGCAGACGTTTCTCCTCTGCCCTACCTTGACATGTCGTGGTGGCCTTCTTCGCCTCCTTCGCGGTTCGGGTATCCAAACTCCAGTGTCAAGCTTCCTTTGTTGGCCAAAGCAGCTATTTGCAACCTCATGGGTGTCCAAGGCGCTGAGTTAAATAACGTTCGCCGTGACCAGCCAGGCCGCTCGAGCGTGGCTTGAGGCCGGGCACGCTGCTCGATCGAAGTCGTATAGCGTCCCAAGACGCGAAATACACGGCGTTTGAAACGGTCACGAGACTGAGGTAGGAGCCATGAAGAGCACAAGTACAGTATACAATGCATCGTTTCTGCCAAAGAGATACAGTCGGGGGCTTTGGGACAAGCAACTTGCCTTGGTGGAAACGACAACCATAACTGCAACGATTGGATGGCCGAAAGACAACAGTCCTACTGCTGGCGCAGCTGCAACCGCGTCACTCACCTTTTGCTCACCTTCTCAAAGAGTTGGACGTTGTCTGGTACCAGGACAACGACTCCGCACTTCTGTCCAGGCCAAAGGTGGGCGGCTATTAGCATGGGCGGCAGACTGGCCCATCATTTCACTGCCACTCCGACCGCTGCAGGTAATGAGTGTACGCCGAATGAATGTGCTCCTTCCAGTCATGCTGGCCTTGTGGTACGTGTTGTCAGGCGCAGTAAACATTTGGCAGATGGATTCGCATACATTGAATCACTCTGTGCAGGTGCCCTGTGGGAAGAAATCGGCAACGCTGAACCAGTTGATCTTGACGAACAGCTGGCGAACCAGGCTGAGTACTGAGGAGGCTGTGCCGCCGCTAGCTAAGAAGGCCAGCGTCTGGCGAATTAGTCACCGTGAAACATGACAAACGCAGTCGAGGTAAGATCCATGGCAGGGCTTTGCGAGTGCACCATTCAATGCATGTGTGAGCAAGTACAGACTTTCACCGTTTGTTTTCCACTGGTAGCACAAGCTCCTCACGAGCCGGTGTTTTGCTGCGTCTCAGACTAAACTGGTTGTGGTGCCTTCCAAGGTCTTTAGGGCGAGCGGCTGTTGGGCCTTACGGTTAGGGACGCTGTTTAAGCGAGTGAGGTCGCACCGCAGAGCCGCCGAGAATCATTGAGGCCAGAACTTCTACAACATACTAGCCACACAACGAGCACAGTTCCTAAAATTTGAAGACCACTTGGGAGCGATGATTGGACCTATATTTTGAGCCCGAACCGTGGGGAGGGAAGAAAGAGACCCCTCGTGGCTCGGGCGCAAGATGCCCGACTCGACATGTTACAGTACAAGGCTGTGGACTGTGGCGTGGCCATGACCCTATGGCCATGTACAGCCTCCTTTCGTTTCAGCGCCTGAGAAATGCTGGCAGGATGCCTGCGCAGGCCGTGCGACCCTATATGAGTTGAATACTGCCCATTTTGTCCTATCAGTCCATCCGAGCCTTTTGGCTATCTTGTGAGGAAACTACGCTCAAACACTTTTTTACCCCTGTTTGGCGAAGCAAATCGAACTGTCCCCAGGCTTCTTCCCTTCCTTATGCCAAAATTCTCGAAGAGTTGCAGTCCCAGCAATGCTGATAGGCTCCAACGGAAGCCTAATAATAATGCTGCGAAGCGAAAACGTGCGCCGCCTGCCCAGGAGTGGGAACGCATCCGGCCGTTATTCCAGCACTATTATGAGGTGGAGGAAAAGCCATTACCAAAAGTCCGCGAAATACTCTCGAAATATCACGACTTTGACGCTGAGTCAGTGTTGCGTAAGACTGGGACCATGTAACCCGTGCTGACAAGTCTCATATGGTACAGAGAGCATTCTTTTAAGAGGATGCGGGAACAATGGAACATGGGAAAGAACTTCTCCGATGCACAGCTAGAAGTGGCAGCCGAAGAAGCCAAGCGCCTGTCGGACTTAGGCCACGAACCTTCAGAGGAGGTGGAAGTCAACGGGCGAAAGATCCCATGGGATCGCGTCAGGCGCAGGTTTCGACGAGAAAAGAAGGAAGAGTGGCACAAATACGATTGTGCATTTCTGCGGCGGTCGTTCGATGGCAAAGCTCCCGTGCAGCGGGTAATGTTCCTGGACGGTTCAATTGAAAGTGACGTGGAGCATATTCTGATGCAAATCAGCAACTACTACCCCGAATGCCTCATACCAGGACGCGGGGCTGCCGCCTCAGGGACACACGGCCTGATCATTTCAAAATCGGGTATTGATGGCGTGAAGGCCACTCTCAACGAAGGTTTAACGTTGCTCGAATACGGTCGGCCCGGCATCGGATACGCCATGATAGAGCAGGCTTGTGACCGATTCAGAGATGTTCTTCGTGAGGCAGAGGTCGACCTTCTGCCAACCCTGCTTAGCATACTTTGCGGAGCACGATGGCGCAATTACAATAAACTCTATGTTTACATGGTTGGATACTACTGGTCGATGTCGCAGGAGGTCCTGGGGATGAAGCATCCAGTAACGACAATCCTGGGTATATGGAGCAAAGCACACCATGTACGGGACGCCTCCGAACCACTATACCGAAAGATTCTTAACATTATTGACAAGGTGCATCCCACAAATCTCGCGCCCGGTGTGGTGTATGGTCTGGAGACCGAGTACCTTACCGACCTTAGCCAACGCGGAGACGTGTGGCTCGCACGGAACCTTGCCGACGCGAAATGGCGTCAACGGCAGGAGTCGCTGGGAGCCACGCACCCGTATACCATCATGATGCTACAGATGCGGTCCATGCTGATCGTTCAGGAGCGAAAAAGGCTGGTCACCGAGGCGGAACAGATGCTGCTCAAGATCTTGAGGCTAGGTGAGGAACAGTTCCGGGCCGAAGGCAAGAGTTGGTATTATGTCTACGCCTTGCAAATCGGCTACAGGTACTACCGGGATGGGAGATATGCCGAGGCGGAAGCATGCTTCAAGCGGTCGGCCCTGTGGGTGGCGACCATGTTGTCCAAAGCTGGCAGCTTCCATCTCCAGATCGACAGGCAGCTAAAGTCGTTGCTGAGATTGAAGGAGATGGGTCTGTTTAGCCCACTTCCGCCTGGCTGGAACCGAATCCTCGATGAAGACGGGGAAGGAGATGAGATGGAAGATCTCCAAGAAGAGTGAATCCCTCACCGTTTGGATGGTTGAGACGCTGGATACTAATGTATGATGTCTGGAACCATTCTTGTCCGCCTCGGCATATCACACTGAAGGGCTTCATGACGAGGCTGCGATAACTCAGGGGCGCTCTGCGTCCTTGTTGGTAGATAGATTGCTCTTTTTAGAACAGTGACATGATATTTGAACTGACCTGACCTGGCCTGCAATGAACTGATTTGACGCTACTGGCTTGTCGATCCTAAGGACATGCATGACTTGTCGTTTTACTGTCGGTAAAAGTCTGGTGATCCTTCCTCCCAATGGTAGACGACTTGTGTCAGTTGGATGACTGCATATCTATCTCTCTACATACTTCCCTTCTACTTTGAAAGCAGGTGAATCTTTTCAGTGGTACAGAACAAGTTGGAGTCTCCACGGCTGATCAAGATCACAGAACAAGATACAAAGCAGGAATCTTGCTGTTCAGAATTCTGATCGTTTAACGCATGTCATGCTACGCAGATGGAAAGTAGTGATTTGAACGATCATTTCAATGGTCGGATTGCAAAGACGCACGTAGTGCCGGTAGACGGAAGTGGCAGTGGTAGAAAACTGGGAATACACTTCGAGTCCTTGCAAAGGGTGTATGATATCGTCTCCAGGGGCAGAACAGTCCGCTCATTTCATTGACTGCCAGGCAGCGCAATGAGGAACACTGGCAGTCAATGAATTTACTGCCAGGCAGGCAGGCAGTGCAGTGCAGTGCAGTGTAGCGAGCGAATGCAGTGGTTTCAACACATGATGTGAAGAATGCCATAGCATAGCATAGCAGCAGTAACTGCAGCAATAGTCCTATATATTTGACTCGGTGTCCCTCTTCTCTTTTCTATACTTACCATGAAAGAACATTGGACCGACCCCGCCCCCTGTCATTACCAATTGTTTGCCCCTTATATGTTGGTACTCGGCCGGAAACCCTGTAGTAAGTAACGAGTCGTAAGGTCGGAGTTCCTCTGAGTAAATACTGCTGCGCCCAAGGAGTTTCGGAGCAGCAGGATGAGTGAGGTCTTGACATATTCGTGCGGACTCCATCCGTATCCGTGAGACGTACACCTCTTGCAGTATCCCAAGGAGCGTAGCAGATACAGCTCCTATGTCGACAGACATAACGGCTGTTCTTCCGACTTCCAATTCGGGACTCGTCACTCCAAAGCGCGTCCAGACAACAGACCAGTCCTGATCTTGTTCCGGCGTAACCAATGCCCCTTTCGCACTTCGCAGGCTAACCGTGAACTTGAACACAGCCTCACCTCACCTTGCCTCACCTCATGTCACTTGGTTCTGCGACCGACAACTGCGACCTTACCTCTTCCACTCATCTTTCCAATCCCACAGAGTAGGAACTGCGCTTCATCTCCTGAGGTCGTCTTGCGGTTTCGTGAATTAGACAACAGCAACTTGCTCTTTTCAACCCGGTAGAGCTATCTGATCGTTCTTCGACTCTCTCGGCGACTCAATTCTCCTCAGAGCAAAGCGCGGCAAGGTACACTTGCTGAAGACCTCGCTGGTCCACACTCGTCGACGACTGGAGCTGACCTTACCTGATACCTTCTACCTCACAGATCGAAAGAAGCAACATATCTCCTCTGATCACCTCGTTGTCGCACAGTCTCCGTAAGGTTGACTGTCGTCTCCTTATCATCGCGGTATCCTCAACGCAACAGCGGCAAGACACCCTTCTGTTCACCTCGCTTTTTGAACAGAAGCAACACTCTTCTTCTGGTCACCTCGCCCTTCCACGGTCTCACACAAGTTCAACAAACGTTACTTGTCTGCCCTGCGCAGTCACGATTAACAACCACTCGTCAACCTTGACCGAAGTGCAACACCGCCGATCTCGAAGACAAAGTGACTTCGAATACAACGAACACGTCAAGAAGCTCGCTTCACGACCCTTGCCGTCACTGTTCAGATCCATTCACACCCGATGAAAACAACAAGATGTCGGACAATTCAGACGAGATCCGCGAGCAGCGCTCCCGCCTCATCGCGATAGTGAGCAGAATAAACACCTTCCCAGACAACGTCAAAGAGGTGTTCACCGACGAAGTCTGCGACTTGATCCTCTGGCTAGCCCTACACGGGCTGCAAGCTCGTGAAATGGCATGGGTTGTGAAGCTCAAAGTCCCTCGCCCGGTCGGAGACAAGGCAAGCGAACGAATCACTGAGGCTCAGCATGTCTTGAATCTGGAGCGTACGATCAACCACTACATCAAGGATTTGCTCTTCCAAGGAGACGGTGACGAAGGCGAAGGTGATGGCGAAAGTGGAGATGCTGACACGACCATGGACGTGGAGCAGCGTGACGCGGATAAAGAGGCAGATGATCTCGTGTCCAGGTTGATCGGCCGTGACGAAGCCTTGAACTGGAGCCCGTATTATCTTGAGAAGGCCATCGACTATATAGTTACCGAGAACGGCGGCATCGATCCCATTGTCCAGAGCAGAAAACTGGCGGAGGAGGGCCTGGCTCTAGCCAGGTGGAGAGCGAGGCATCCGGGCCAGGATCCCCGGCCTGGTATGCGGTATGACAAGGACTACCAGGCGGCTCGGAGGGCCTTTGGGAGGGAGGAGCCGAGGCGACAGGCCCTCGAAGCCACTGGCTACCGCGAGGACGGTAGTCGGGCGGCGGAGAGGGTGCTGATGAAGCTCTGGCTGTTGAAGATGCGGCAGGAGGGCGGGTTTTGCGGCCGGAATTTGTGAGCATGACGATGGCGATGGAAGACGACACGGTGGTATCGAAATACTTGATGGTTGTTCGAACTGGTGCGGCCTCCCGTTTTATCGCTTCTCACCATGCTGCATGTTATCGTCGTTGTCTTTGGTTGTTATATCGTCCGCTGCTTGCATTATGTGTTGGTTCCTTGACTCTGCCGCCGCCACTGTCTCCATCACTTGCACCACTATTCTCCGACCCCACGACCTTATTTGCATCGTTTGCGATAGAATCCTGGTCGCCGCCTGTTCTATCGCTTGTCTTGTTGTTCCGTGACCATTATTCTTCTCGTGCCTTTTGCCCTCCGGTCGACGTCATAATCATCAGTTCCGATCGAACCTCAGTCGCTGCTGGTCATCTCGTCCTTATGGCCTATCGTGTCACTGCCATTTTTATTGTCTTTGACGTGTCGATGATTCTGTGAACCTTCATGTCGCCATTGTCATCATTGACCATAAGGGCAGTGCTGGCATTATCGAGATCAACTTCGTTAGGCTTGTTGTTCCTGTCATCCCTACCGCTGGATTGCTTTGGTTGTCCCAGTTGAAGTCGTAGACGCGGTATCCATAGAGCTTGACACCATCTCTTAGGTGTAATATTTTGTGTGCTATAGGCCTATCAAATTACGACCTACAAGGTATATTTATGCCGTATCGTTATAGTTGTATACAAAGTAGTTGTGGTGTCGCGTGTACCAGAACGAAGTTGCATTTGTCTTTCTGCTTGGCGGATGCTAGAGGTTACGTCCTATGACGCCTATTGGTTCTCGTGGAAGTCTGGCCACATGCCCTTTCTAGAACACCTCTAATATAACCAGTACCTATGCATCCAATATTGCTAAACATGTATATTTGTGGCTGTCCTTGCACCGTGTCGCCCTACACTTGATCAAGACTAGAGACCGGCTTGAAAGGAAATACATACTCCTGGATTGACGTGCAGGGTGTTCTGAATGCCATATAAAATCACAAAAGACCATGTCCTCACCGCGTCCCAGAGCATCTGAGTCTCTGGCTACCTCGTCTACTAGTACAGTTCGGCAGCATGAAGCAGCGCCTGAGGCATCCTCTGCTGCGACACCGACACCAACACCGGGCGACGAGGATGAAAATGGCCAAGAAGGAAATGGAGGTGGTGACCTGCCTATGAGCATGACCGCCAGTGTTATCTTGACAAATCTACCCAAGGACGCTGGACAGGCACTCAAAGAAGTTGATGAGATCGACAACCATAAAGGTATGGACTGGTAAAGGGCTGCAGAGCGACAACCTGAGGCATTCGTGCATACACCCTTGCCGTACCCCGACTGTTTCACGTGTTTGGTCAGTCAGTACTTTCTGGTAACTTGCTTGCTCGAAAAGCCGTCTCAAAAGGGTGGAGTGCCCCTGGCTCTGTCCTTGGAGAGGATCAGGTTACCTTACATGAGCAGATTCGTTGAACCCGTTTGGTATGGATTGCTGACTGTGTCTACTGTAGTTTCGGTACGCTTTCAGCCCATCGGGTCTGCTCCCATCCTCAAACAACGGGTGTTCAAAATCAACGCATCATCCAGATTCAGTGTTGTCCTCAACTTCCTGCGAAAGAAATTAGGAATCAAGGAAGGGGACGGCCTCTTTCTATACGTCAACAGCGTCTTCGCGCCAGGTCTGGATGAAGGGGTGGGGAATCTTTTCAGGGTACAGTCTGATTAATGCATTGAAAGTACCTATGGAGTTTGCTAACCTGTTGTTCGATTTGCTTTTTAGTGTTTTAAAACGGACGATCAACTGATCGTTAGCTATTCTACCACGCCAGCTTTTGGTTGAACCATCCCAAACCACGGTCCAGGGTCTGGTCCCACATATCATACATGAACACGAACCCAACAACAACAAGCATCGCCGCTCGCTGCCAACCCTACGTCTTGCTTGACCGGATGGCAGCCCTGAATGCTTCTGTTATCTTTGCGTCTCCCTTGTACACATGCTGGGGACCAGGGTAACTTCGGTCGGTTACTTCATCCCTGTACTGCTTGATAGCAGCAACGCCATCGTCCCATATTGAACCGTACTTCTTGACGAACTTGGGCATAAACGAGTCTGGTGGTCGGACTCCGAGCATGTCGATTTGTACCAGAACCTGGCCACTAGTCGGGTTTCCTGCACCAATCCCAATGGTAGGTATCCCAAGAGCATTAGTCACCTCTCCGGCAATATCAGGAGGCACGCATTCCAGGACGACGGCAAACGCCCCAGCCTCCTCCACTGCTCTGGCATCCTTGAGCAGAGACATCGCTTTGTCAAGCGTATTCCCCTGCACACGAAATCCACCAAGAGCATGCTGCCGTTGCGGGGTCAGGCCAATATGGGCACATACTGGGATACCTGCGGTTGTGATCTTTTTGATTGCGGGTCCCATCTCAGCCCCGCCCTCGAGCTTGACACTCTGCACTCGACCTTCCTTGACCATCCGGATTGCACTGGCGAGAGCCTGTTCAGGGCTGATCTCGTAGGAGCCCATTGGTAGATCTCCAATGGTGAAAGACCGTGTGACTGCGCGGCTGACTGCTCGAGCGGACATGATCATCTCCTCGAGCGTGACCTCAGACGTGTCGGCCATGCCCAGAGACACCATTGCCAGGGAATCTCCGACCAGGATTATGTCCATCCCGGCCTCTTGTGCCATCAATGCCGAAGGAAAATTATGTGCCGTCAACATGGTTATGGGTGTTTTCTCCGCGTACATCTTTTGCAGGGTTTGAATTGTGACGGGCTTTTGGCCGCGAGCCAGAAGCGAGGGCGCCGAAGGGGCATGCGAGCTGAAACGTAGTTGCTGCCATGGTTGTCTCTTTTGCACAACCTGAACGGCACAGGTCGTCCGAGTCAGGCATGTTTGGCTTCGAATGATAGTCCGCGTGAATAGCGATGCTCCATTGGTGTAGCTGATCGCGGACATTGTTGCTTCAGCCTGGTACAAAGATTGTTTGGGTAAAAGAAGGCAGACGATACGGGATCGACTGAAATGACACGTAACTTCGAGTCATCTTGACAGAAAGTGGCAGTGGTAGAGTTGTTATATTCGTTGTTGTCGTGCTGGATTCTTTAAGCGTATATCTGAGAAAGGGTGTTTTTGGAGATGACGGGCGCAGTTGAGCCTCGGTGCTGACGGTTGCGGCTAGCACGGTTTAAGCCTAGACATTATTTGCCGAACATCAGACATCCAGACATCCAGGCACTGGCCCAGGCACTGTAGTGAGTGTCAGGCATTTCAAAGAGCATCATGGTGCTTTATTGGGTACATTGTATACAAATAGCTTTACCATGGTTGTAGTTGTGTAAGATACCCCAGAATGTTCTCACCATCGCTGTCCAGTACTACCGTATGCTATCGATCCCATACAGTATGCTGGCCACCTGACCACTTGCTGGGTACAACTAGTGACTGGAACTCCTTATCGGTTGGCTGCTCCAGTTGCCTAATAGGCTATCGCATGCCCAACATTGCGCCACTCCGGGGTCCTCAGTGCCTGTCCGGGACGCCCAAAGTCGCCAGTAGTGATCCCATGGCAGTAGTGCTCCCGCTGCAGCCCGACACCAACCAACGGCGCTGCCAGTGCCCCACGCTTCCCAATATGAAGAATGGCACATTCCCTTCTCCATCCATGATCGTCTTCAACTTGCAGCCTCACTCTCACTCCCGTCCTCTGCACTAGGTTCAATCTCTACGGTAATCTGGACACACTCCTACATCGCCGACACTGCCCTTCACTCGCGAACCTTCATACCCTAAGAACTTCCCTCAGTATCAATAACCACTCACGGAACATCGAAGCAAAGCCGAGCTCTCTAACCGCCCGTACGACCCCGACCGTTCTCGGCGAAGTCATCTGTTTCCGACACCGCTTCCTCAGCGCCACCGGTTTCCAACACCTGTCTGCTCTTGAGGAAGAGGCAGCCTAGCCCTCTCCGCCGCACATCTCGAGAGAGAGACGACGCCCTCAGCCTGTGAAAAGGGCTCTCCCCGATACGCACTTTAGGATAGGATATCAGCCAGCAACCCCCCGTTCGGTGAGGCACGATGAGCAGCCCAAAGCGGAGGATAGAGACGGACGTGATGAAGCTCATGATGAGCGACTATGAGGTGACTCTGGTCAACGACAACATGCAAGAGTTTTATGTCATCTTCAAAGGGCCTTCAGAAAGTAAGAGCAGTCTATACCCGCTACAAATGGCTCCCATATGAGTGCTATGAAAGACGAAAGTGACTAACGCTGGGCTCTTTGTTAGCACCCTTTGCCGACGGCAAATGGAAAGTCCACGTCGAGTTACCCGACCAATATCCCTACAAGTCGCCTTCCATTGGATTTGTGAACAAGATCTTCCACCCGAACATCGATGAAGGGTCAGTAAACTGCTTGTGGAATGGACCATTGGAGATTCTGTCGTATTGACCAGTGCTTACAGGTCGGGCTCTGTGTGCTTGGATGTCATCAACCAGACCTGGTCACCAATGTTCGACATGATCAACATATTCGAAGTCTTCCTGCCCCAGCTTCTCAGATATCCTAACCCGACCGACCCATTGAACGGAGAAGCAGCAGCGTTGTTGATGAGAGAGCCGAGAAGCTACGATGCCAGGGTCAAAGGTGAGTACCTAAGGGTTGGATGTCTTCGTAGGCAGAGGCATTGACTCTCATCCAGAATACATCACGCAGTATGCGACCAACATCCACGACGACGCCGACGAAGATGAAGGTGAAACAGATGGCGAGTTGAGCGAAGTTGAAGACTTCAACAGCGATGGCGAAGACGAGCCCGCCGGTACAATGGAGGACGTATGATCCTACTGCTGGGATTCTACTGATTGGAGCGTTTGGCGCTTGGTACTGAGGGACAGCAGGCACATGGGTCGGGGTTCCAAGGGTCTGTCTGATTTGCTATAGCTGATGTAGTTCGTGAGAAATGAGACACTTCTCCCATCATACGTATTTGTGATTTGTCCGCCTGTCAGTCCGCAAAGTCAGAGCCTCCGTGACAGTTCCGGTGGAGCACAATTGCGCCCTAGCATGAAGTATACCTGCAAGCGCCCATAGTATGGAGGACGGGAAAAGTGGTGGTGGTGGGTGATCACGAGGATGCCATAGTAGTTGACGTGACTAAGGTACCAGGTACTGTATACCTCTCAATAATTGGGAGTCAGTTATAGTGCCAGTGGTGCCCCGGAGTGCATCATCATCACCTCCAGCCACAGGACCTCCATCACTTCTGGTCCGTCCGCACGGGGCCGAGTTGGAACTGGCCGTCGTTTTAGCACGTTACACATCACCCGTTGCAGGCATCTCTCAATCCCGTAACATAAGGAGTCGTGGTATCACCGGACCTTCGCATCACTGCATCAGTGAGGGTTCGACTTGTGCATATTAACTGGCCCTCAGTCATCTCATCGCTCTGACTGCAGCATACTTACTCGACATCCGCCGGCACAGGACAGTCATGGCCCAGTCCCTCGACGCCTTACCGGCAGAGGTTCTCCTGCGCGTATTTGCCTTCTTAGAGGTGTCGGATCTGTTGCAAGTGAGTCGGACATGTCATGCGCTTCGTGACATCGCCTGCGATCCCTTACTACACCTTGAGCGACTCCATCATGCCTCCTATACCTTGTCCATCGCCCTGGCGCGACGACCCTCGAAGGCCTCGATCAGTCCGCCCAATTCCTGGATTTGGTTGAGCAAGACCAATGTCCTCTCTCGACAGATAAGCAAAAGCCTCATTCGAATACGGCTCAGCCACAGTCTCGAACATAGGCCGAGTGCGCGAGACCTGGTCGAACGAGCAATTCTGCCTTCCTCATGCTCCGGTTATTGGTCGCCCGTGTCTCCTGCTCTGATCCAGTCGCACCGAGCTGTCCAAAGACGGAAATTGATGGATGGCCTTGGCCGCAAACTGGAACGAAGACCTAGCATGAACAGCCTGGTGTCTCTCAACATCCTACCAGAAGAATGCGTTCGTCGGAGTGTGTCCCCGGCCATCGTGGCTACGCGGCGCAAAGTCATACGAGAGAGTCTCAAGGACAGTCTACGGGCCTGGGTGGAGTCTCGGGCAATACAGGCACAGAAAAGAAAGGCGGACGAGGTCGAGGCTGCCGAGAAGACCACGGTAAAGACCTTGGTACGGAGGTTTGCTGCCAGGAACGTGAAACTTGCCCAAGAGACGGCAGAGAATATTGATCCTGTAAGTTTGGAGAAAAGGCGGGCGCAAGCTAAATGGGGCAGAGAGGTAGAGATTGCGAAACAGCACGAAAAGAGACGGGCGGCAGCTACAGGCGCCTCTGCCCACCCTACTCGAGCCCATGTTCTTGGGCTGCGGAAGTTTTGGGAGGGAGTTATACGGGCAGCCGCCGGTTGACTCTTTGGTGGAGGCTGGATCATTTTCTTCATATGTTCCATTGCCTGTGGGCCAGATAGTGTGCAGGACGAAGTAGCAATCAGTTCGTACACGAGTTCTTCGCCGATCGTTTCTCGATTGTATTTCCGGCCAGCTTATGGCAGCGTCTAGAAGCAATTGTCATGTCTGGGGCATACTGCGCTGCCTTACCCACGGCGCTGGCTATCTGGATGATGTCAACAGCAACAACGAACCTTTCTTCACTCTCCCAGCACCATGGTTGATCTGGATTGAAACGCACACAATAGATTTTTCTTTTGTGAGATGAATTCCTCAGTTGTAGGTAAGCGAGACCATGTTCATTGTCAACAGCCCAGCGTTTGAGAGCTGATAAAATGACGTCTAGAAGGGAAGACCATCTTCTGCGCGGGCTGAGTTTCGAGGAATTTCTCAGGCGAAGCATCACCAACAGCCCGCCTGTAGAGACTGCACTTGACCGCCAGCAATCAAGATACACTCAGAGTCCATCCGTCGAAGATAGGCTGCAGTCAAGCCTGGTAGTGACACCCGCCTCCTCAGCCTCGCCAGAGACCCCGTCGCCGTTTGGTTGTCCCGCCAACAGTGGCGTGTGGAGGCCTGCAACTTCACTTGCAGGGCCTCCACCCCTTGACGTCTCGCAGACCCCGATTCCCAAGTATCCATCACGACTATATACTCAGCAGTTCATCTTTGGCCAGAGCAGCCAGCCGCATGCAGAGTTCAACGCCGGAGTAAAACCCACGCAGTTCTTCGATTTCACCTTTAACTGCGACATGGTACGGGAGCAACAATCGGCCCGCAATCCGCTTGCGCCCTCCATGGCGAACTCGTTGCCGCCCCCGAGTCCGCAACAGAAGGACAAGGACAAGACTGCGCTCGAACCGCGACGCCCACAATTGACAGACTTGAAGAACACAGCGCCGATTCAACCGGAGTTTGGCAAGCCGACGACCCTCGGGGCGTCGCCTCAACCCTTTGCCAAAGCACAACCGCTTGTCAGACCTGGCACTGGCGCCAACGTGTCTGCGCCCAGACAACCCAGTGGGAATCAAAAGGACAAATACTCGAATCTGTTCGTCTCTTCGAAGAATCCAGCGCAACGGCCCGAACTTCACAAACCGCACGCAGTCGCGAACCCCTTACAAGCGTTTCGAAATATCAAGACCAATGATAACCAACCCCCAAAACCGGCATCGTCTCGCTCGGCAGTCCAGGATGACGACCTCTTTGAGATTCCCAAGCCAGCCAACTTTCCTAGTTGGCAGCCAAAACCTTTCGTTCCTCCGAGCTTTTCCTCCTCGACGTCAACGAATCCGTTTTTCAAACCCCAGAATGTCGTGGATCTCACAGTCGAGAGGGGCACGGCCGCACCGGATAGTCGATTCCCTATGGAAGAACCATACTCGAGTGCGGATCCGTACATTTACATGGACTCAGCGAAGGCGAACGAGAATATCAAAGCTCTGTTAGAAGGCGCATTTGAGGATGAAGAGGACAAACCAAAGACGAGGAGTCGAAAGAAGCAGCTAGACACGAAACTGGATGAGTTGGCCGACAAGATGAAATCCATGACAGTCGAAGGGAATGGGGCCGCAGACGCAGCCGATGCAGAAGAAGAGGACGAGGAAGACGACGGCACTGTTGTCGGGCTCAAAGTCAAGCTCCTTCAGCACCAGATCGAGGGCGTCAACTGGATGCGCGACAAAGAGACCGGGACCAAGAAGACAAGAGGAGTGTTGCCGAAAGGCGGCATCCTTGCAGATGACATGGGACTGGGTAAGACGATACAGTCGATTGCACTTATTCTCACCAACCCCAAGCCTAGTGCTGAGGAATTGGAAAAGAGTAAACGCAAACTTGCCGATGGTGTTGGCAAGGGAACTCTTGTGGTGGCTCCATTGGCGTTGATCAAGCAGTGGGAGGGCGAAATCAAAGACCGAGTGGAGAAAGAACATGCTCTCAAGGTCTGTGTGCACCATGGACCTCAGCGAGCGAAGAGCTACAAGGAGCTTCAGAAATACGACGTGGTCATCACGACCTACCAGACATTGTCATCAGAGCACGCAGGATCCGAGGGATCATTGAAAGTCGGCTGCTTTGGTGTCCATTGGTACAGAATCATACTGGACGAGGCCCATTCGATCAAGAACCGCAACGCCAAAGCCACGAAAGCAGCCTGCGCTTTGAACGCCGAATATCGCTGGTGTCTGACTGGGACCCCAATGCAGAATAACCTGGATGAGTTACAAAGTCTGATCCACTTTCTCCGTATCAAGCCTTATGATGACTTGAATCTATGGCGGGAGCAGATTACCAAACCTTGGAACAACGGTAAAGCAGGCCTTGCTCTTCGGCGGTTGCAAGTTTACCTCAAAGCGTTCATGAAGCGACGAACGAAAGATGTCCTCAAACAGCAAGGTCCGTCAAAAGACGGAAAGGCGGGGACTGGAGGCAAGTCTCCTGGGTTTAAGATTGTTGCACGGACAGTGGAGAAAGTCGAGGCCGAGTTTACTGAACCGGAGCGCGAGTTCTACAAGCGTCTTGAATCCAGAACGGATAAAAGTCTAGAGATGATGATGGCAGGTAACAAGATGAGCTACGCGTCTGCATTGGTGTTACTGATGCGCCTTCGACAAGCTTGCAATCATCCCAAGCTGACTGGCAGCGACTTGAGTAAAGAAAACGATGCGTTGAGCGGCAGCCAGACACCGAGTCGAAGAAAGGCGAGCGTCGAAGATGATATGGATAGCATTGCCAACATGCTCGGCGGGCTTAGTGTGGAAACCAAGCTGTGCGACGTCTGCCAGATCGAGCTCAGTCCGAGAGACGCCTCTGAAGGAGCCATTCGCTGTCCAGAATGTGAGGCTGACCTTCAAGACCAAAAAGAAAGATTTAAGGAGAAGAAAAAGGCGAAGAGAGAGAAGAGAATCAAGCAAGAACGCAAGGCGGTTCAAGCTCAGCGCAAAGCCGCACGGCGAATCGTTGAGGATAGTGACGACGAAGAGAACGACAATGAAGATCAACCAGCCGACGATTCCTCTATCTCCGGGGATGATGCCCAAGATGACGACGAAGATGACTATTCCTCAGACGAGTCTGGCAGCGAAGAACCGACGGTCATGCAGTCTACCAAGATTCGACATTTGATTTCACTCCTGAAGGCGGGCTCACATCAACACAAGTACATTGTCTTTTCGTTCTTTACTTCCATGCTGGACCTGATCGAGCCTTTCCTGAAGGAACACCGCATCCGCTTCGCCCGATACGATGGCAAGATGCGAAATGATGCCCGTGAGGCGAGTCTGAATTCCTTACGCACCGACCCTTCCACGCGGGTTCTGCTCTGCTCGCTTCGCGCCGGCAGTCTCGGGCTCAACCTCACGGCCGCGAGTCGGGTCGTCATTCTTGAGCCATTCTGGAACCCGTTTGTTGAAGAACAGGCCATTGACCGGGTTCATCGACTGAATCAGACTCAGGACGTTAAAGTCTACAAGCTCACGATCAAAGATACCGTTGAAGAACGGATTCTGGAGCTCCAAGACAAGAAGCGCGAACTGGCCAACGCAACGATTGAAGGCAAGAAGGGGGCCATGAAGTTGACTCTCCAGGACATGTTGAAGTTGTTTGGTCGCGATGCTGAACGTGAGCATCCTGTTGAGACGAATCAGCCGGCGATAGGTCCGGGTCCCAATCGAGGACGAGCGGGACTTCTTGATGCTCGGACTGGGAGGACTAACAGTCCATCTACTGATACTGGATTGCATACTACTACCTCTTGGGTTGCTGGCGGGAGTCGTGGCTCGAGTACCATTGGTAACAACAGCACTGCCAGTGCGGGTGATAGCAGGCGTGAGAGAATGCGGCTCAGCGGTGACAACAAGAATAAAAATCCACGCAAGGAGCATGAGATTTATGGTCGACGATGGTGATGATGGTGATGACTATGGCTGGGGTGCAGTGACTGACTTACGACAACTCAACTTGAATGATGACTTGAAACCATGGATACCTGGTAGGTATGATCTGGCCTCCAATGGTATGGTGTGGTGCACATCCGATGGGGTGTTTTGCGGCGTTTGCATTTGATTCTGGAGTATGTGAGACCTTGGACAAGATGGTCTGCTCTGTTAGATTATGATACACGGGGTCGGTTTGGTTCGGCTTGGGACGGGATGTTTTGTTGTACTACCGTATCCAGGATGTCTTTCGACTTGAAATCCTCGAACGTCCTACCTTATGCTAAGGATAAGATACTGTCGACCTTGAAAGGGTTTGATGCAGTGCTGGTGCGGTAGATGCGTAATTTGAATGTTCTTGACTACGACTAAATACTTCTTACGCCGCGTTGATCAGACACTGCATGTCTACCTGATTTCCTGCGAGCCCCTTGCATAGCTGCTCATAGGCCAGAGAGGCGCTTCAGTTGCTGTACTGTGCCGTTTGAGCTGGCTGTGGCAGACAGTGGTTATCTGTCTCTCGAGCATCAAGTCAGTCAGCCAGCGTCACTGCCGTTCACCTTGTTGACCCCCTGCCGCCTGTGCACCCGTGGACCTATATTTTCCTGCCAGTGAGACATTCTATCCTCAGGCTCTTGACAACTGTACCACTCTTACCTAAAGTACCTACCAGTACCGGCACCGAATAAGGTACCTACGCACCACAATTGGAGGTCCTGCCCAGGTCGACTGGGGTTTTTGTTGAGGTTCCTGTATATCCTAGCACTGGCAGCCAGGAGCAGTACTTCGGCGGACGGCATACTAGGAATATTTCCAATACTCACATGCTCGTTACGCGCTCCTCTTCGCGGCACAGTGCCTGCAATTTCCCCTCCGATGCCATCCTGCGGGAATTGGGTGCCTGGCGCGGCGGGTTACGAACGCCGCTTCAGTGCCCAGGCTGGCAAGAATGATAAAAAGGAGAGATGGAAGAAAAAGAGAGTAACCTTAGGTACGTATAACTTGAACGACCGGCGTCTTTGCAATAATAACAACACTGGCATGATAACCTCTTTCAAGTTCCTGGACACTAGTACGAGGCATCGGACTCGTTTACCTACCCGTACCTGACCTGAACCTAGCGACCGGCAGTGAGACAAAACCACTGCAGGAGATGCATCCAATGCATCACATGCAACAAGCTTCATACCTAGGTAGGTATGCAGGACCAGGACCCGTGGTTGGGTGGTCAGGTCAGGGTGGTACGCCACGGTCTGTCAGAATCAGGCTTGAACCCACCAACCTACCTAGGAAAAACGTGGCAGCCACAAAAACGCAAGTTCTGGGGGTGGGAACGAAAGACGAGGAGACCAGCAAGGGGCACGACTGTACGTACCACTCACTCACTGCGCACCTTAGGTACAGATGGCTTGCTTCTGGAACGGGCCCAACCTACGGCGCACTTGCATTGAAGGGACACCGCAGGTTGCTGGGAAGAGTACTGATTCTACAGTACAATCGATCCGTTTATTTAAGATATTGTTCCCACCAAATGCCCTGTCACAATAGCACAGTCGCTACCTGCATCTTGATAATCAACAACAGAGAATCAACCATCATGCCAGGAGCCCGAAGATGGAGAAAGAGCTTGAGCAGTCTGAGGACAGCCAATCTTCGGCCCTAGAATTTCAAGCCTTTGCTGGAGCGTCGGATCCAGTTGGCTTCGTGACTAGGTAGATGGAGGCACCTGTTTTATCTGCTGGTCACATTGCCACTGACGAAAACAGGTTGCCGACAGACGATCCCACTGCAGTCGGGATATCTCTATGAACATGCTAGTAGGCTTGAACTTGGAAAGTTTAACAGTTGCTGACGCACTTATAAATCGAGCCATGGGCAGCCCGATCCGGCAGGTTGGATGGTGGGAGATTTTCCACACCGACGGTTGGGACAGTGGGGAGCCCAAAGGAAAGACTGACACTGAAACCCACGCTATGGAGAAACCAACATCCTTAGGCCGGGGAGGATGCGCTGCACGCAGCCTTAGGGACAAACACTGGCAGCACAGAGAGTGGAGGGAGAAGGCCCCAGAAGGAGAAATTCCAAATCTGAAACGAGGTCGTCTAAACTTGGTGCCGGCAGCACCGCAGAGCTAAACTGACCAAGGCATCGGCAGACCGCTTAGGAGGTCAACGGCGTCACGACCGGAGTGTGGTACTGGCTCTACCGACGTCTGCAGGGCCCGAGACACATTAGCAGTACCAAGCTTGGTACCGACAGAAGAATCACCCTGTTCCAATCTCACAGTCAGCTGGATTCCGAGTCGGACATGGCAGGCCTCCTAAACCATAAGTGCCTTACGAGCTCGGGATGCAAGACTTAAGGGAACCCCAGAAACGTGAATGCTTGGAACTTCCCATGACTGGCTGGTTCCATGCTCAACTTGCGCACCTTTTGATGCAGGAGACGAGCAGCAGTGCCATCCACGGAAGCCGGTGGAGTCGGTGGCTGGGAAGAGGAAATCTTACGGGCTCGAAGATTGCACTCTGTCGACACCATCTGGCGCCAGGACCAGGCACTTGTCCAACACCAGGACGAAACAAGACTTGGTGTCCATCTTGCCATGTGCTCGCCACGTCGTCTTGACACCTGCAGTAGTAGTAGGTGGGCGGGCGTGGTGACGGGGGCGTTGAAGTTAAACCTTCCTTGGGGGACCTTTGAACGGGCTACGACTAGTAAGGGAGCCATCAGCGCCGGGCTCGTCAAATTGTTCGAGAAAAAACCACGGCGTGTCACCGAAGACGCCGGTTCGGGGTCAGCTCAAAACAGATGTGACAGCCTGAGTGATGCCATCTCATCCGTCTCTGGCACAGTTGGACAACGAGACGATGGACGCTGGCGGGTCTGCACTGACACTTGGACCAAGTCATGCTGCTGATTCCGCTGATTCTGGCCCTTTGATGAAAACTGTGCGTCGTGTCTGGTCTCGATCTGCCGACTATTGAGAGCAGAAAAAGAATAGTAGAATAATGCCAATGCCATAGAACAGCTCGTATTGCTTACTACTATTGTCTTGTATCCGAAGAAAATATCCACGGTCGGTGTCCACTCCAAGCAGTGTCACACACACCTCGCTTCGTGCTTGGTCTTTATCTGTTCCTTGTAATAGCCGTCCACTTCTTCGAGATCCGAACCCTCGATCACTCCTCATTACTACCTGGTACTGAATGACCGCCTGCCTGCAGTGCCTATCACCTCGACTACTACCCAGCAATTAGCGAGTGGCTTGTCCAGGTCCGGCTCTGTCCATCCATCCATTCATTAATTAATTATTCGCCCTCCACCGGCGTGTTCATCCTGCTGGCGATGTCCCCTTAGCATCATCTCCGCTGCAACTGGAACCCACGTCGACCCAGAACCACCCTCTCACCCCCCTGCCAGGGCGAACCTGACAAGGTCTCCGCCCTACGGAACTAACAGACCAGGCTCCCGGCTCCAGGTTGCAGCTACTTCATTCTTGTATTAGACCGCGACCGTGTCCTTGGAGTATCCTCCTTGTCCGTTATACCTTTCAGCATCCTCCTTTCCGGCCTCAACTCACAACCACGGGCTGCTCAAGTAAACGTGCGAGTCCCCAGATTCGTCCATCGTGGACCAGAAAACCCTCGCTCCGTGCTGTTGCCGTTTCGGACGACTATCCCGTTTCATAATATCGAGTCTTAGCTGGATTACATCCCCTTCTCGCCTCTTCAACCACCGCCACCGCCCGCAGAGACTGCTGCGTCGGTCTTTTCCGCTCACATTGACTTTGTTTTGGGACTGCTCGGAATCGTCCAACACCCAACTTCAGCCAAAGAGCTCATTGCAACACCCTCGGATCAAAGTTCTTTGCTCTTTTTCTCCTTCACCCTCGGCTTAAGCCCCCAAGCGGGCGATAACGACGACCACTACTCACCACCCTCACTGCAGCCATCAGAAGCGCACCAATCGCCAGCGTCGGGCCGTACATAGTACCTGCATTCATCTTGTTTGAGCCTTGCCTCTTGCCTGTCATGTGGTGAGAGACACTCGAGCATTGGTCAACCTCGCTTTCGCATAAAAGTTGGTTGACTGATTGTATTTCCACCTTCAACACCCCCTGAGCCTTGCGCCGTAGCCCTCCGGCAACCTTTAATCACCGCACCATCGAACTCTGTTTTACTACTGGCAGCGATTGAAAACCGACTCGAGTTGGGCTGGCACCACATGTACTTGTCGGTCATCCGATCTGAATAGACGTGGATTTCGGGACTTCCTGGTTCCCAGCAGCCTTGCGAGATGGGGAATTCCCAGGCCAAGCCCGTTGTCCTGACGGACGAAGGTAGGATGGTCGACTTGCATGCTGTAATTTTCTGCTCACCATCTCCACAGTCAATCTGAATCATTTTCGTCTCCTCAGAGTCGTTGGCAAGGGTGCCTTTGGCAAAGTTCGTATAGTCGAGCGCAAAGACTCGGGCCTGACATTTGCTCTCAAATACATCCGCAAAGATGAAGGTACGTTCGAGCCAATTTAGGGCTGTCGAATGCTACTTGCTGACTATCACAGTTGTGCGCTCCGAAAGCGTGCGCAATATCATCCGCGAGCGGCGGATGCTTGAACATCTTAACCATCCATTTCTTTGCAATCTCCGCTACAGCTTTCAAGATGTCGAGTATCTGTATCTAGTCGTGGATTTGATGAACGGCGGTGACTTACGTTTCCACATTCAGCGCAAAGCCTTCACCGAAGATGCCGTCCGGTTCTGGATGGCCGAATTGGCTTGCGCACTCCGATATATCCACAGCCAGGGCATTGTTCACCGCGATCTCAAACCAGACAACGTTCTGCTGGATTCCGAAGGCCACGTGCACCTGGCAGATTTCAATGTTGCATCGGACTTCAAACCCGGCAAACCGCTGACCAGTAAGTCGGGAACCCTAGCATACCTGGCCCCAGAAGTATTTCGAGGCCATGGGTACTACAGCGAGGTGGATTGGTGGTCGTTGGGCGTGACCATGTACGAGTGCATCTACGGGAAACGACCATTCGAAGGCAAGAGTCACGAGCAACTGGCCGAAAACATCTGTGCCGCCAACCCGCGGTACTATGTGACGAAGCCGCCGGTATCGATGAATTGCCTGCACGCAATGACCTCGCTTATGGAACGAGATCGTCGGAAACGGATAGGAGCGGCGGGGTTCGACACCTTTACCAATCACCCCTTTTTCCAGTGCATCGACTTTGAGGCGTTGGAACGGAAACAAATCCCTCCGATATTCGTCCCCTCAAGTGAGAAGACCAATTTTGACGCCACTTATGACCTGGAAGAATTGCTGCTGGAGGAAGCACCCTTGGAAGCCCGGGCGAGAAAACAAAAGCCACGCGCGGAATTACGAAATGATGCGACCAGCAAAGAAATTCGAGAAGACGAACTGCATCGGATGATCGAGACCATGTTTGAACCGTTTGATTACACTCTGGCGACTTATGATGTGTATGTTTTGGTTTTCTTTTCCCCGTGGTCGAGTATAGTGCTAACGGGTTGATAGGAATGCTGCCGCCGCCGTGGCTGGCACAGTGCCAGAGGAGCATGTTCGTCTCGACACCCACCAGACCGAGTCACAATCGGTCCATACTTCTCCAGACGGCTCACCACCGCTATTACCTAACGACACAGCTGCAGCTGTAGCTGCGAAACCTGACAACGACGAACAGTTTACGTCACTTGACGAAATGAGGTCGGCTCTACCTCAGTCACAGGCACAGCAGACGCAGCCGCAACCCGCAGCTTCATCTTCCAAGTCCTTCAGTCGACCTTTACCGCCGCAGAGACCTATGGCAGCGACGCGACAGCCAAGTAAAGGGGGAGGTGTACAGATGGTGCTGGGTGAGGCGGGGAGCTGGTCGAATCTGGCGGACCAGACTCCTCCGGTGCCAGCAGGTGCGGAGGATCCGAATGCAAGGTACGACAAGGGCGGCGGCGGGAGCATGTTGGGCTTCCTGAGCAGAAAGAAGGGTCGCGACCGGAGTCCAAAGCCCAGAGAGCCTGGCGTTTTGGGTAAATATGGAGCCAGACATATCATCAACTGAACGACGACGAACATGAGGAGTTGAGATAACGACTTTCAGCACCTGCCGGAATCCTCGCCAAGCTCAGCCACCGACTTTTGCATCGGAATGCTGCAGATCTAGAAGGGCGACCAGCCACTCGGACACTCCCTTTATCAGGGCAGATCTCCCTTGATGTGTTGGGGCATATAGAAAACCGGGTACCATTTTCAGCCATTTCCTCGGGACTTAAAGGAGGATTTGCCTTCACTGGCACGACGGGTTATGGAGGAAGCGAGAGGGAGAACGAATGCTGCATCTTCGCAGACGTCTTATGATCTTGCAAAGAAGGTGTAAGAGCACTGGTCGGAGAATTCATATCATGATAGCGAGCATGGGGAACATGGACATGGACATTGATCCAAGGGAGAGTTTGTTGCTGCGGTTGTGGATGTGGATCGAAGTCTATGTACTTACTGTATTTGTGCGATAGTAGTAGCCACCTTGTAATAACATGACATATCAGATGCTCTTCAGGTCGCCATCAGCACAATAATAACACAAACATGGTCCAAAACGGTGCTGCTTGCGTACCGGCAGCAAATTGGCTGTGGGGATGTGTTATGTTGTTGTCGGGTTGCTGAGTCGATGTTGTGTTGTGGTTGCCCGGCAAAATCAAAAGGGCCGGGTCGAGGAGAGGCTGACATAAGCAGGATGGCCAATCACAACCCACAATGCTCGCACCAACCAGATCGATGCTAGCGGGTGCAATACACAACCAACAACTGACTAAACAATTGATCTTTGGCTCCTCCGCCAACCTCACGCTGACTGCACTACTACTACTACAGCCTTGGACCTCTGACCGAGTGACTGACTGCACCTCACCTCTCCTCCCTCACTTTTGGTGTCGTCTGCCCATCTGCAAAAGCTGCTGCTGCTCGTGCCTTGTTGCTCTCCTTATTCTTTATGTTTGCTCGCCTCTTAGCAATGTGCACCTTTTAGTTTGGTTGTCCCTCGGACAGACAGTTGCAGCAGCAGCACGCGTCGCGTTTGTGTTGGTGGCCGGGATCTCAGTACCAGCACCAGCCCAACACTAGTACCCCTCCGCTACCAGCACAATCACACACACACGACCTGCATTTCACACTCTTCCACACACATATCATAGTCCAGAACTCGCCACGCTATATCCTTATGAATGGCAGCTGCCGTATCTGTACCGCCGTCGCCTCATGATCCTCTGGCAAAGATGGCCAATCCGTCCCGTCGAATTCCTCTAGCGAGCCTTGCCAACGGGCCCAACTCACCACGTCCACTCACCAACAGTGGCTCGAAACGCCCGCGAAGCCTCGCCAATGTCTCCCAACAGGAAAATGAACCGCCTCAAAAGCGGTTGGCCGTCGAGAAGAATAATGCGCGAGACCTCCAACATCCTCCCGTCACGCCTCAGAGGCAGCCACAACCGACCATGGCTGAGGGCCGCGTCTTTGAGCGAGGGAATGGCGAGTCCGGGTCGACTGCTTTTCAGCGCAAGTTGGTGGCTGCTCGGGACAAAACTGCTGGGTTGCGGGTGACCAAGAACGTGGACGTGTCGAATAAGGACGAGACCATCCGGACCTGGCAGAAACACTACCGCAAACTGTTCCCGACCTTTAGCTTTTATTTTGACGGTGTGTCGGAGGAGGCTCGTTCTCGCTTCCTCCGCCAGATTACGTCCCTCGGAGCTGTATGTTTTGTTTTCGTTGTTGCTGGTGCGCCACTGACTCGATTGTAGAAAGAAGAAAAGTTCTTCTCAAAGGCCGTCACCCATATTGTCACGACCCGTCAGATTCCTACGGATTCGACGAGACACACGAACGACGCCGAAGATCATTCTCCTGTGGAAGATCATCCGCAGACGATCAACCCTTCGCTTCTCGAAAAGAATCCCCGAGGGCATTTGTCGGTCAATGTGAGACGCGATGGGGTTAACCATATGGATATTCTTGTTCGGGGAAAGGAAATGGGAATGAAGATCTGGGCGGCAGAAAAGCTGCAGAGGGTGTTGGCGTCGATCCTGGACGATTCTCCCGGTCACGGCCACCATGCTCGCGGATCAACACATACAAGTCGACATCAGCACGAAGACCTCGGTCAAGTCCTGAGGAACGAAAAGTTGGGCACAACGTCGGAACGCGAACAACCATTCCTGTCGCTGGTGTCGTTCAAGGGGCCGTTTATCTATGTTCATGATATGGACGAAAAATACCGGCCTACCATGGTGAGGGAGTACCCCAAAGTGGCACGACGGTCAGATGGAGAGTGGCCACAGTTTCGGTCTGCTAGTGTTGGCAAGTGTCCTTTCATCGAGGATCCTGCCATGAAGAAGGAGATTGAACAGGAACGTAAACGAGCCAACGCGGCCGCTATCCAACAGCAGCAGCAGCAGCAGCGGGAAAGAGAAAGAGAGCAGCAAGCTTCTCGCACGCGTTCTCATGCGTCCGTGCAGGCTACCAAGCCTGAACCAGCGCGTCGTGCAAGTCCACGAAAGGTGTTGGGGGTGATTCGGAACAACACGGCTATGGAGATAGACGTCGAAAGGAATGAAAAGAAACCACAACCTACTGGAACCGAAAGGCAATCGTCATTCCCTCCTATGCCTGAACGACCTACCTTTGAGTTTGTTCGACCTGCGCAGTTACAAATGACCCGGGAGCCTGCAGCGTCGGGAATTCAGAGGTCGAATCTCACTTCTGCCATTCAGTCTCAAATGATTTCCTCTACCGCTGCAACGGGCGTCAAAGCCGGAACGAGTAAGGAGGTACATAATCAGTTGAAGCGACAAGTCTTGGAACGCACGCATACAGGAAGTCTCTCTGTCGGGTCAATCCCCTCGTCTCACCGGATGAACGACCTTGCAGGAGCTTTGAAGACTGTTCGTGCTCCTGCTCCCCAACGGGCCGCCAAGAGCAGGGCCCAAGAAAAGCTTGGAGGAATCCAAGAAGAAGACGGAGACTCACATGCCGATGACCTTGCTGCGGAACGCGCCACACAGGCGGCGGCTCGGAGAAAGAAAGCTGTCAAGAGAGATCCCAAACCAGGATATTGCGAGAATTGTCGTGATAAATATGATGATTTTGAAGAGGTAAGCAGCGTGCAGACCCTAGGAGTGCAACGGAGACTAACCGCAACGCAGCATATTGTTTCACGCAAGCACCGAAAATTTGCCATGACCCAGTCGAATTGGACGGAACTTGACGCCCTACTTGCCCAGCTGCAAGCTTGATGAATTGACGAACGAAGCGAAGTCATTCCTTGTGTGGGAGGAAATGAGTGGATTAGCGGATTGCCACTCGCACTCGAATAGAGGACTCGGAAATCGTTTTGCTAAGCGACTCGACAGCACGTTGCCGTTGCCATTGCCATTGCCATTGCCATTATTCAGTTACTACTGTTCTTGGTCCAGGAGCATTGGGATCTCTGTTGTTTATTTTTTGCATTTTAGCCAATCCAACAAGGGAGGAACTCTGCATTCATTTTATTTTTTTGATTCTTGAAAGTCGCGCCGTCAATCAGTATTGCATCATCAATTACATTAAGCATCGCATCAGCATCAAGGCGTGGAAAAAGAAGAATTGTCATCACTACAACTTTTGTTTCTACAAAAAGTGACGCTACGCTGAGGCAAGGTCATGAAGCCGAGGAGATGGGATGGATGGTGGATCGATGTATTCCTTCCTTCCTTCCCGATGGCCTGCGCCGATACACGATTTTTATTATACAACAACTACTACGGCCGTTTATTACACGTTGCAGAAGCCAGCAGAGGAGATGTTTGAATTGCAATTGGCAGAGGAGAGACCGAGTGAGACGGAGACTGGGGTGATGATGGAGGTTACCGTGAGCGTGTCAGACCTCGAGAGAACTTGAAGTGAAGGAAGCGAATCGGAGGAAGTTTTGTGTTGTGGATTACCTTACTGAGCAAACCAAACAAACGAGAGGAGAAGAGAAGAGAATCAGGAAGAAGATGTGTAGCTACTAGGTACAGTTCCTAGTAATTGTTTGCAAGCATCTTTTTCCGATTCTTTTTTTTGGATCGTTCATTTGAACCATTTCCTGTTAACTTAAACTTTGTTGGGGTCCAACTTGATCCTCGACCGCGACTGCCAGTGCGGTGTGCGGAAAGTTGAAGACCAACCACGTCCATATGGGCCCATGATGGGGCATTGGCAATGTCGTGTCTCTTGGGAGCCATTGCCTCTCTCCAAGTTGACCATTCCATTTCCTGTCAACTTGAATCCCAACTTGAGTCGCAACCTCGACCGCCAGTGGCGTGTGCAGAAACCTGAAGACCAATATCTATATAGGCCTGTGATGGGGGTGACGTCGAGTCTGCTGAGAGCTATTGTCCCCTCTTGTCCTTTGAAATCCTGTCGAGTCGGCACAACTTTGCAGCAAGAGGAAGAACTTTACCCATCCATCAAGACTTCATGGCGTGCTGTTGCTGTATTTCATGGAAAAAAAAAGCATTTCCAATTTCCCCACTGCGTGACATGAAACAAGTAGGTTCTCCCTTTCAATTCTCCTTTCTCCTCGTTGAAGGACGATTTCTCACCCGTCATGAACCAGGTAGGGTTCATATCCCTTCAAGTTTCGTCTTGAGGGTTTTGGTTTGTCGTCATGAACCTGGTTGGTTATTCCATTCAATTCTCTCTCCTTGTTGAGGGATGATTTCTCAATCGCCGTGAACCAGGAGTTATCCCTCCAACCCTCGTCTTGGGGAGTTTGTTTCTCATTCGTCATCAACCACGACTTCCTTCAATTCTCCTTTGGGAAGTTTTGTCGTTTCTCCTGGTCGGGAGATCATTTGCCAGTGCTGCTGTTGTCTCATCTTCACCGCGCCCGTTTCAACGACTCTTTCAGCGCCTTGGCCTCCTCGAGTCTCCGCATAGCAGTCATCAATCCCGGTGAACCGGGAGTGAGTCTCCGAGTTACGCCCGAGCCAGAACCAGATCCCGACCCCGACCGCGAAGGCGAAGCCGAACCAGCCCTCGACCTACTGGATTCCAAAGCCATTTCCGTTTTGAGTCTTTTCACAACCCTCTTCTTAACGAACTTCTTCCAAATCAATTTTGGATTCCCCCTCACCGTCTCCCCTGCCTTTTTCCAATCTTGAGCCGTTTTGATCGTGGATGTTTCCCCCTTGTACCATTCCGGAACGGCTTCATGTCTCGGCGGCGGTGATCGGTCCGTCCAATGGGTTCGTGTGGGGTCGGGTTCGCCGACTGAAAAGAAGAAATCAGGGCGAGGGGGTAATAAGTGGCCGGTGGTAAGGGAGGTGTGGTGTTCGATATATGCGATTCGTTCGTAGGAGGTTGATAATTCTTTGATTCCGGAGGATGTAGTTGTGGAAATTGGGCCCTGGGCGAGGGTACGGCGAATAAAGGTCCGGCGGGCGGTGTTGAGGTATTTTGCTGGTTCGGCGGTACTGGGATTCTCGTCCCAAGGTGGTCGGGTAGGAGAACCGGGAGTGTCTGTGGTGTTGGTAGAGGTTGTGGGAGTGGGAGTGTCAGGTTCATCACGGAGAGATGAATATAGTGATTCTTCACGGACTGCGTGTCTGAGTGTTGGGATTGTTTCTGGGATGGTGTCTGGGTCGATTCCGGTGGCGGTTTCGGTGATGGTTGCCCATTTCATGCGCTGCGAAAGTTGGGATCGGACTCGGTGCCGGGATAGCTGGGTGGATGTGGGTTTGGAGTCAGTGGTGGTGCTACCTGTATCGGCGGTTATATTGGTGGTGATTCTGCCAGTGTGTCTGGGAGTTTGTTTGTGTTTGTGTATGCCCCTGCCGGCGAGGCCCAGAGTTCGTGCTTTCAAATCGACAGTGTCGCTTTTGCGAAGAAGGTGGAGGTTGAGTTGGCGAGACATTTTTGTCTTCGTCTTCTGTTTGACTGAGATGGGCGTGTTTCTTTCTCTTTGCTTGTCTTCTTTTTGAGTGAGGTGGGCTTGCTTTTGTTTCCTCTTGTCTTGCTTGACTTCTTCGTTCTTGTCTTGTCTCTCAGATGCTATGAACTCTTGATCTGGATCGAGAAGCAGTCAAAAAGCCAAAGTACCAGCTTTCTTTCCTCTGTTTCCTTTTCTTTTCACTTTCTTGTTGATGAGATGATCAAGATCAAGATCTTGCAAGCACCAGGCTTGGATTTTACGAGACTTGTCTTTCTTTCTTTCTTGCTTTCTTTCTTGTTGATAATGTGATCGATCCCAAGACCTTTCCAACTGAGCTTGCCGTTGCAAAGGAATCAAGATACTTCTTGTCTGAGTAACAAAGTGACTTCGAGGTGTTGGAACAAGAGGAGGATGATCATCCAAAGGCATTCGACTAAACTGAAAGAGCCCAAGAGAGAAGACGAGAGGGAATGACAAAAAAGCTGTAGAAGACTGATGATTGAAGAGTGAAAGACAATCAGATTTCTCCCAGCCGCCTTATATTCAATCCAGACCAGGCAGCGCTGCGCTATTGTAACCCGGTATACCTGTGTTCAAAGTTGTATAGTCCAGATCACATGTCTGGTCATTATCATTCGCTTGTCTTCAATACATACACACGTACCTGTCTGTATTCACATGTCGGCTGCGCCAAGCTTGGCTATTAGTATTGTTGAATATGAATACCTAAGTACTATGAACAGTTGTGAATAGCAAACGCGTTCTAACACAGGGACAATAATAGCAAAATATTAGCAGCACAATAATGCAGATAAGGGACTTGGAGTCTCGAGAAACCCACCGTCGACTCTTTCCTTCCTTCCTTCTCATCACAATCTCACTGTTCACACTCACACTTCTCAAACTTTCATCTTCTCTTGCACACTCCTACCTTTTCATCTCTCACCCAACTTACACCTTCACCTCTTACACGAAGACTAACTTCAACAAAAGTAAAGTCATCCAGATCAGATCAGAATTAACAGATCAATCCGCATTCTCATCATCGTCATCGAATACTACCACCACATCCTCACGCCCTGAGAAGTACACTTCCACTTCCCCAAAGAGAAGCCGTCCAGAACAGATCAGAATCATCAGGTTCGATCCGCAGTTTCATTCTCATCATTCTCATCAAATTCTCTCATCACAACACAACTTACCTTACAATGCCTGCCATCAGACGTTCCGGACCGGGCTTCGGCTTCGGATTCATATTCCACCTCCCGTCCATTGCGACCGTCGCCAATTCCATCTCAACGCGAATCAAAAGGTACGCGACGACTTTCACCGAGAAGATGCCTGCGCCATGGGCCAGATCAAAAACGAAAGCCAAAGAGCAGGCAACAAAAACAACAACAACAACATCATCATCATCATCACCACCACCACAAGAACGGGACCACTACACCACATATCCATCAATCCAAGACTTCTTCGACACGAAGCGACAACACCTACTGATCGCCGCAGGCCCGGACAGCTGGTTCGCCGGCCGCATCGTCCCAGGCTCACATGGAAAACTGGTACATCCGGCGCCGCCGAACGTGCCACGACCCCTGTGGACGGAGGCGGAGCGCATGGAGAGGAAAGAAAAGCTCAAACGGAAATGCAAGGGCAGAAAGCTCGATCCGCAGTATTGTCTGCGCAGATACCAGCTGGAGACGATGTGGAAGGCACCAAAGCCTGTCGGGGAGGAATTGCTCGCCGAGAGAGATAGGGCAATGAAGAGGATACTGGACCAGGGAACCCTGAGGTCGTATGGGTTGTACGTTCACGGCACCAGGGAGGGAGCCAGCGGCCGGCGAAGGAGAGAAGGGGGACGGCGGCGGCACCAGCCCGATGGGCATATTTCGAATACTGGTACGAAAAAGAGAGCTAGGGAGGAGGTTAAGGAGGCTAGGCAGAAGAGGGCCAGAATCGAAGATGAGGAGGATAGGGAGACAAAGAAGAGGCCCAGAGGGGATGATGAGGAAGACACGAAGGAGACCAAAAAGAGGGTGAGGGTGGAGGATGATGGCGCCAATAACAAGAAGAGGGCCAGGGAGGAGGACGATGAGGATACGGAGGATGAACGACGGCCAACCAAGAGGTTGAAGATGTAGAAGTTGTCAGAGACAAGGCTGAATGATGTACTGCTGGCAGTACGGAGTGCGCTATGCCTAAAATGAAATGTCACGTGGTACTCCTGCAACCTATCAGGTTGGCCATGTGTAAATTGTGGGGCGGTCCCCTTTTCGCAAGGCTGAGGAATGGCAGTCAGAATAGGGGGTACACCATCTTTCCTTCGGTATATGAATATTTGCTAGCACGGCGCTCTCTATGACTAGCAGCAATGGAGCCACTTGGTGTAGGAGGGCAACAAACACACAAGACTAATTATAGTACCGTACTAGCCAGGAGGACACTGCGACAAAGTACAGGTGCGGGAAAAGTGCACAGCGGGTTCCCCGTGACAATTTTGTTCAGCAAGATAATATTTTTGCTAAGACCCATGTATCTGCTTTTGTGCATCTCTGTCACCATGTTCATCACCATTTCCCACCATCCATTTGTGAGCAAAATACCATACATTTAGATGTTTTGTTATGTTTCCCCTCCCCGCCGTTTCCACCTATCTCCCCGGTTTCACCAACACATATGCACGTAGCATCGTCCTTGTTGCCACATGCCCATCTGCAAAATTCCTCCTACCCATGACCTGTGGCGTGTATGCCAGCCGTACTGTGGCACTCTTTGCCACCAGTTGATCCGGGTTCTTGGGCGCTTGTGGATCCTTTGACTCCATCGTATTCTTGTCGAATGGCTGTCCGTGCTGCGGAAATTCAAAGCGGTATTCATCTGGCCCAGAGAACATGTAGAACGCCAATTTGTGTGCTTCCCGCATAAGACTCAGCATATCCTCCCAATCTCTTGCCGTCTTTTGGTGCATCATGGGAGTGATGTCCTCCCAAAGTTTGTTGCCCCTTGTTTTGGCAAGGTGTGCGAGAAATCCTTCAAAGCGTGGATTCCGCCTGAGGGCTGCCATTTGCTGACCCACCGTGGTGAGCAGCTGATGTTTGACTTGTGTAGGAGTCGCTGCAGGCAGAGTTAGCAGGCATTACTAATATGAGTAAAAGTAGGTACGTACATTGGTAGATTTGGCTGCGGCAGGAGTCAATAGTCCGGTCGATGTTTCTGTCAAAGCCAGAGAAGCAGTCCGGCTTCAGCACGAATCTCATGATCCACTGGAGTATCAGTTTTGTTACCAAAAAGTATCGGGTCATTGGCGTAGACATGAATTGGTAGGCAGTGTTTCTGGTTGCTGCATTGAGAAGGACATCTTTGAGCCTCTGTGGCATGGCATTGTCCTTTGCCGTGCTGGGCACATTGACATGTGCAACAGCGTATGCCTCTGCCATAGTCCAGACCTTGGCAAATTGTCTCTGGACTTCTGCGAATTCCGGCGCACCCGATGTTGTGGCTTTTGTTGCCGGGCTCACCTTCGACTGTTCTTGTCGACGTGGTTCGCCGCTATGACCTCCACCCGTGGGTGTGGTCTGATATCCCATCGGGATTTGTTGTACCTGCTGCCCCACCATCGGCGGGTTGAACACAGGCGGAGGTGGGTTGCCTCCATAGCGCACAGGAGTAACACAATGCTGCCTTGGGGTGGAAAGAGCTGCGCTCTGTGTTCTGATGGTGGCCATTTGTTGAAGGTTTGTAGCCTTCAGCTGGTTGATTTCAGCCTCCATCTGCAGCAATGTCTGCCGCAGATAGGCTATTTCCGAGGTACTTCTGTGGCCTTCTGCCACTGTCATTGGCATACCAGCCCTGTTTTGCACCAGAGCGGCCAACTCTTGCTGTTTTCTGGCGTAGGACTGCTCCGTATGGAGCAGTTTCTCCTGTGCCGCATTCGACACAGGGGTGGTGGCAGAGGCCTTATTTGGCATACCACCACCGACGCCGCTGCCGTATGGATACGACATATTGATCTGGAAGAACAGAGGGTATCAGCAGTGCTTAGATGAAGATGGTAGAGCGCAGGCTGTAGGGTCAAATAGGATGGAGACTGTATGAGTGCGGGCCTCTTGTGCAGTCACGTTCTGATTTCAACTTTCTGCAAAGGCGCTCCCTTTCTGAAGACCGGTTTTCGTGCGACAAGAATGGGAGAATCGTTCCAAAGGTGGCTGGGTCTAGGAAGATGAGTGCTCACCAAGAATTAAAATAATTCTGTGCTGAAGAGAGGTCAGTAAAGGTTCATGTACTAGCAGCAACAATCTGCGCCAAGCTAAAATGGACGACGTCGACGAAGGCGCAGGTAAACCGAGGCTTCAATAGTAACACGCTGCACTTGTTCGAGAGGACTCTTGAGGTTAATTCCCTTCGGAGATGATCAGAATCCAAGGTCCCGAAACCAGACTTTTTGTGTGTGCCGAGATCCTGGGCTGTCGCAGAGCAACAGTGGTCTCACCGATCTGTTCCTGGAAGGTAAAGATCCTGAGAAGTTGATATCAGCTGCACGAATCCAAGGTCCAAAATAGGTTGCAGAGAGAATTGATCTCCACTGAATAGCGTGAAGATGATTGACCGTGAGACTGAAGGTGAAGCCAAACCCTGAGTGTTCGAGTTGCAAGAGAAATTCAAAGGTTGAACAAAGCAGAGTGTTTGGTGTTTCAAGTTGGTAAGGAAGGTTGTCGAATGAGACTCAACTCTTTCGACAACAAGGACAGAAAGGTTTAAAGCTCAACCCAAAGTCATCCCCATCAGTGCTTGTGGAGAGGAAGAAAGAATGAAGAGTTTGAAGGGAGGAAAGGCAGGTTTAAGTACCCTTGATGGGACCTCCTGTGCAGTGAATTCCTCGACATCTTGTCACTTCACCAGGTCAGAGGCAAGTGACTGATGGGAGGGTGAAACACTGTGGTCTATCAGGCTCCATGCGGGAACATGTGATCTGCATGCGGTAACATGTCCAAATCACCACAGGCCGGTGTTGTGGTAAGGGTTTCATATCAGGAGCATGTCAGGCCTGGGTGGAACGTCTGAGCTGGCTGGAAGTGAACTTGTGCATGGCCAGTGACACTGCAAAGGTGCTGTCCAGGCATCATGCGGCGATTGTTTGTTCGGTCCAAGCTTCCTTGTTGCCTGTTGAGGATTCAGGCCATGAAGGTAGGTTCCGATCCAACTGAATTGACTGAAATTGTCCTCTTGAACAGGGCTTGCCTTTTGGATATTGCAGTCTTCCTCCTCTTGTCGACGTCGTCCAGAAAGGGCAGAAGGGTCCGAGGAATGAGGAGGACGTACCAGAAGCACATATTTAGCCCCCCACAGAGGGAGGCAATATGATATTTCTTTTTATATATCATAGCCTTTGCCAGGCGTCAGCTGTCTTGTGTCAAGTTGATGTATGTGCAGCAGATCTTACCAAGAGAGGCAGCAAGTGCCTATCTCTGTGTCTCAAAGGACACTTTGCTCCGCACCACAAGGGCGATGCATCCTCAAAGGTGCATTCAGATGCACCGCCCTTGCTCTCAGGCTGCAAAGGATAAGAAACCTCTTGAAGAGGTGTAAGGGAACCAAGAATGCAGTGCCTGATGGCGAGCAGGTATGAGGAAAAGAAGAGAGAAAGAGAGAAGAGGAGAAAGAAGGTGGAAGGGGTTTTTGAGCTCGACTCGTGGGCTCTAACCCGTTGCAGCCGTCAACGCAAGCAAGCACCAGCCGCAGAGCAATTGCGGCTCATTCATGCGGCTGATGTCTAGGGAGGGACGCAAGAGACGCTGCAAACGCTCATGGCCGTTCTCCTTTCCTGTCAGGACACTATGACAGCAATAGTCCTCCCCTGTCCTTCCTGAAAGCGTTCCGTCACCCCTCTCATGCCCTTTCCTGGCCGGGGCCAACAGACCGGGCACGAACAACCATCAATCATCGATCACAGCAGACGAACACCCTGTTGGTCTGAAGCAATGCACGCCTGAGCACCCAAGAAGAAACAAAAATGCACTGATCATGGCCAGAAGGACGGACAAATATTGCCCCACGAGCCGTGCAACAGGCCACAATCCTGATCGAACGATCCTGCTCCTCATCTGCCATCCGCTCCGGATTTCACTTGCTCAAACTATGCTCAGAGATGCCGATGATCTTTTGTGGGAGATATGGCTTTAGAACGTTCCTCTGGATGTTGGATCATCAGGCAGTGATCCCTCAAGCACGATCCAGGCAGTTTTGAAGAGACAGACATGGGCAACATCCAATAGCCAGCCGCAAGATGAAAATGACCGCCACGGGGATGTCTTAACGGTGTTGTTCCCGAAGATGATGGAGAGGATACAATATCGAGAGTCGTTCCAGGGTTTCCCGGCTGGAGCGTCAACAAACCTCTGTTGATGATTCAGGACGCTGATGTAAACCTTCATGGCCGACCGTTCTCACACCCATCACACTGCTATTTCAGCAAGAGAAAGATAAAGGATTCGACGGTCTGACGAGTCTCGAGCCGGGCCATAAATTCCACCGTGGCAGCCATGCGGCAAAACCATATGAAGAGAATACATATTGGCAAAACCAAGATGATTGAACAAAGGCGGCAGTGTCAATATAACTAGGCGATTGTGGAAGAGGAAATGTTGCATAACAACTGATTGACAGATACCAGAAGGGCCAAACACCACAATTCCAGAGCTCGATTGAGGCGGGTTCTCGAGGATCTCGTAGCTGGCCTACCGAAGTGTGGCCACCCAGTGGTAGTGCACAATCACCATTCTTGAGACACGCCAATCGAACTCACCACACCCCGGAGGCCGGCTACGCCCTGGCCCAAGAAGCCTGGGCTCGAATCGAGTACGTGCAAGAGGGCGGCACAGTCATGGTTCCGCTTAACGTATCCGGGACCTGCTCCGTGAATTTACGTGAGGGATCCATGTGAGTCAAACACGTGGGCGGGTCAGCTCAGAGGACAGTCACAGCCTTGCCATGAGGTCGTCCAATACCCAGACACTGCGACCGACTCACGAGGCCCCAAAAAACGCCGAACGCGGTACAAGCACTGACACTCACATTTGGTCAGGGCATCAATGGCTCTGGTTCAGTTCTCCAATCCAGGTGAAGCGGGAACGGGGAATACAAGGAGACGCCAAAAGTCGAAGATCAGACCGTATGCGTCAGGATAGGTTTCGCGTGTCCAGAGCATAGGCGCGCCAGATTGGTCAACGAAGACTAGTCATTTGCGAGGCTTTTGTCAGACCAGGCTGTGGTAGCTCCACAATTGTTGTTAAAGAGACAAGCCACTGCTGGGAGGTCAGGCGAGCAGGGAAGACAACGCTGCCTCTTGCCACACCTGTTAATTGGGTCGACACCGATAAAATTCCCGCGATGCCGTTGGCGGGGTGTGGTCAAGTTCTGCGAGACTGGCTCGACAAATTTCTCCCTCGGAAAAGCCAGCGAAACTGTATCAAATCCGACACAGGAACCGGTTTCTTTCATGGCGTGAAGGCACTCTGGAGCAGTCAATCAATATCAGAAGCGCGGCACCATTACTTCCTGGAGAGGGGACTGCGTGTCGAGACCGATGGTTTACGGTCTATGCATGTAGACCATGACAGCTTGACTGAGGATTCGACAGCGTCCCCTGATCGTCACGCTGGGTCGACATGAAGGTCCGATTGGCTTCGAGGACGTTCTTAACGGATCGGTTTCTTCAACAGGTGACGCTGGAGCCAGATACGGGGCGCGGACGGCGGGATTGTAGCGGAGAATACGTTCTGTACGCAAGTCATTGACAACAGGCAGGAACAGTGTCTACAAACTCTCACGTAGCGGCCGACGGCCACACGAAAACGTGTCAGGATAAGATACGAGGAACCACATCAATTTCAAAGTTTCGCTGGCTTAGACTCATAACACTTTTGTGATCTGCAACACTCTGGACTTAAGCGCAAGTCATCAATTCTGGTGAAGCACATCAAAGAACAAAGACCTACCAGCGCCCTGGCGATGAAGCCGAAGTAGGGCGGGATGAGCCATTTCCCATCTCAATGATCAGATCGTGCCTGTACGCCCTTTCGTGAAGATCACAAGTCAGCATGTCGAGACGATATCTATTTCAAGGTCAACCTTAAAAGTTTTTGTGGCTCCAGCCACCTCGAAACCGTCAAGCTCATCCTCCCGTCCTTCAACGAGCGCAGACTGTGGACTAGCATTACTCCGCCCTTAGATGCCGTTGATACATGTTGTCGACCTCCCGGTATTCTGCCCTGGGCACCGTCCGAGATCGGTTGTTGCGCTTTATCACAGAGCCTTGGTCCTCGCAAACAAACTGCTGTAGACGGCGTCAACAACGGGCTGTGCACTGATCTGCCTACCGCCAAAGTATCGGCCGTTAAGGCCCTTGATGGCATTCTCGCCCCCTGAGACGCGTTCGAATTTGAGATAGATGTCGCCTTGTGTGTTGGGGTCGACGGAGATGTGTACAACATGGCCGTATTTTTCTTCGCATTCGGCACGGACGTCGTCTTCGAGTTCTTTGACCCAGTTCTCGCCTTCTTCCCTGTTTATAGCATGTCAGAAGAGTCATCGCAAGAGAGGGAAGAAGTTAGGACTTACTCAGCAGGATCAAACATATTTCGCAGGAGAACACATCTGCTCGCCTGACTGACATTGACAGGAAGAGGCTTGCTTTCTTTCTTGGGTAAGACGGCTGCTCGTTTTGTTTCGGCTTCATGGGCGGGTTCATCAGTCCTAGCGAGTTTCCGCATCAATGCATCTCTGCTATAATTGTTGAAGTTCACGCCGGCCACGTCCGTATCGTCTAATGCACTCGCATTTCCAGCACCCTTGTCATTGTCACGCCCACCTGCACGGTCGAATGCACCCCCGGAGCCGCCGGCGTGAGCACCACGACCACCAAGGCCGGAAAATGCAGAACCCTGGGATCCACCGGAGTGGTTTTGTCCTTGGAAGCGTTGCAACAGGTTTGCGGTAGACTCGGGAGTGAACTTGTCGTTTCCAAGGCCGACTCGGATCGGGCGCCCTGCGAGGTCAAAACCATTCATTTTCTCAAGAGCCTCACGAGCTTGATTGGGATCGCGGAACCTGTGACAGCATCAGTAAGTAATATTCGTCGAGCGTGGTACAGAATACTTACTGCACAAATCCATAACCTCGGCTCCGTCCAGTCTCGTCCTTCTGTAGTTGAACAAACTCGAGCTCACCGAAAGGCTCGAAGACATTCTGCAAATCTTGCTCGGTAATGCTGAAGTGGATGTTCCCAACATAGAGTCGGTGAAAAGGGACCGAGTTGTGGTGACTCGTGCTTGCCTCCGGGTTGCGGGCTTGTCGGTTTTTCTCTGCTTCAGTGAGTTGCGCAATGATGGGAATTCCGAGAAGCTTCTGTCCGGTCATCTGGATCGCAAGTGGTACAGACTCTTCATTTTTGAACTCAACATATCCAACCCTAGACACCATTAGCACTGCATGTAGGCGAGGAAGATGGGTGAACTAACCCTTTAGACCGTCCACTGACGCGGTCTTTGACAATTTGGGCCTCTTTCACGGGGCCTGCTTTCTCAAAGAATTGAATCAACTCCTTGGTCCGAAGACGAGCAGCAAGTTGTTGGACGAAGACTGTTCTCCTGTCACGTTCATCTTCAGTGAGCTGTGGTTCTGGAGTTTTGCTCTTGACTCGTTTTCTGGGACTTCCCGAGCGGCGTCGGTCACCTCGCTCACGCCGGTCCTCATCATCCCGCTTCGACCGACCTCCAGGCCGGTAATAAAAGCGATCGTTGTCAGGAGATCTAGTTCTTCGACGGCGATAGTCATCATCACGTCTCGAACGTCTTCTGTCATCATCCCGGCTACGACTCCTCCTCCTGCTACTTCTGTGACTTCCGTTAGCACTGCCGTGGTCGCTCCGTGGACTTCTTATGCTGTCGTCCTCCAAGTCTCGACGATGTTCACGACTCCGGTCACGTCGTTTACGATCCCGATCGCGGTCACGGGAGCCATCTCGATCTGTATCTCGATCGCGCCGCTCAGCACGCTCACTGCGGTGGCGGTCATCGTCCGGCTTCGGAGAATTCTTCACTTCCTCGGCGGCGGTAGAATCGAGGAGCGCCTCCACATCGAGACCTGACATTTTGAGCAGTGGTTGGTGGGCTGCTCGGTAATCAGCGTTGTAGAGGGTGGGTTCACTTGGAAGTGGTCAGAGTTGGTACAGGGAGCAAGGTCGAGCGCAGGCAAACCCTTGCAGTAAGTTGTGCGGTAAGAGCCTCAATACGTGGGCTTATCCTTTTCCAGACGCGTAATCAAAATCCGGAGATGTCTTCCTTGTCTGGAAGTCTGCTTAAGGACTCTTAAAATTCGTCACGGCTGATAGAAGACGGTTGAAGAAAAAGCAGCAAGCTGGCGCAGTGATGGCTGGGTACTAACGCGAACAGGATTAGTCAGAGTGATGAATGAATTCACGTGAATGTCGCCTCGCTTGGCGGCAGGATTACATAATTGCGACAGACCACATCAGCTGGTGCGCATCACATTTCTACTTCTCCTAGCTCTGATTTGTATCTTCTGAAGCCAGTATGAAGGGAGGGATGATCTCAATATCCTATCACTCAAAGCTCCAATAATGCCTGCGCTGGTCCGATCACATCCGTTATCCTATGTTGGAAGGGATCTCGTCAAGACGCAACTTAGTTCCACGGCAGAATGACCTTTCCTCCAACCCCTCGGAACGGGATAACCTCTGCTAGACTTCAGTCGCTTACCGCCCCGAGTAGGCTGTTCGTCCTCGACTGTGTAGGGGGAAACCACAATGCTACATGCCCTTCGGGGCCGGACTGTTGACAGCGGTAAATCCTGAACTGTAAGTGCGACCAAGACCGGTGTCCCCGACCACAGCTCCGTCCTCTCCCTCAGGCTCGATCACATCCGTCTTGTTGTGCTTTGGTGCGATATGTCGTTTGGTGGCGCGGTAGCCAGACTGTGTGCGGCCGCCATTCGAGCGCAGCACACTCTCGTCGCCTATGTCATCTGAACGATCATCCTGAGAGTTGGCAATATTGGCAGTTTCGCAGTACTTGCAGATGAACACTTCGCCAACAGAAGCGATGTTGTCGAGGCCAGAGCATCTCATATGGACCACCCCGAACATGCACCATGACGAACTGCAGCGGATCATCCAATCGCCATCTGGTGGCTCCCCACAGAAGCAGCGCAGCGCAGTGTGGTCGCCCGTGTCAAAAACCACTGACTTGGCGTTTGCACCGCTTGCCGGCGACTTGATGTTTCCAAACTGGTTGGAGGCTCTGCGATACTCGAGGCCCTGCTTCTTGTATCTGTTGCGGAAAGGTGAGATGTCTCGTCGCTTGTGGATGATCAGCCCTGTCGATTCTGGATCTGTTTTCTCGAGAGTCCTCATGTGCTCTTCTTTTCTGGAATCCTTCTCCTTGACATCTTGTAAGATGCGTTCAATCTCGTATTGCTTTTGTCGTCGCAACAGAATGCCTCTTCTGGTGTTTGAACCTGTTCCCGGACTCAAGGGCGCCTCTTGAGGAAAGTACATCCACTTGAGTTCCTTGGTTTCGAGGGTGGGATGCAGTCTCTCCGCTGATTCGTGCACAGCTTCATTGTCATACGCACCATCGACAACCTGCGGGAACAACCGTTGCGCCATCTTGTTTGCGAACATGCGTTTCAGTTCTTCTTCGAGACAACTGAAACAGTAATGCACCGTTCTTAGCTGCCCTGTGGTCAAGGCGGTGTTTGGATTCCAAGCTTCATTCGTTACGATACCCAAGAGGGCTCCGAAGGGGATGAGGTTCAGTTCATATTGACAGGCAGGAGAGGAGCAAGAGTAGATGGTCTCGGGATCACTATGTTCGCGCACGGTGAAGCGGTGCCGATCTATAACGTTAGTCAACGCTGCAGGGATATTCAATACTCAGATGCTTACCAAAGACAAACTGAAGCGGCTGATCCTCAAGATCAAGTCCGACCGCCGAAATTCGTTTGTTGTTGACTAGGGAATTCCAGTCGAACACCGCTGGTCTTCGTTGGAATTGCCGGTCCGACGAGGCTGTTTGCTCAAGCTGTGTGTTGGGACTTTCTACTTCTGGCGAAGTTTGATCTGCAGAATCGCCCTTGTCAAAAGGCAGATGGGTGCTGGGGACAACAACGCCGTCCAGTTTTTGGTGCAGTGTTGGGTTGGCAGAAAGAATGTAACTGGAAATGTCTTGCTCTGTCATGAACGAGTCCTCGTCAACCGACCCGGCGAAACTGGAAAGGCAAGCATCATGACAGAAGTACACGAAATCCCTCGCCACAATCTGCTGAAGAGGAGGCTCCGACATTGGGACTGGAGTGGTCGATTACCGTCACAGCAGCGTTGTCTGCAATGTTGCCCTCTGGAGGGTAGTATCTTGTTCAGAATGCAGTCAAGGCAGAATAATGGGACACAGGCAAACAAGTGGCCGTCGCGTATGGCGTGTTGGCATTCACTTCCGCGCAGGGCAGTTCATTGGTGCAGTGCATCACTTATTTACTTGGACACCTGGAAATCGTCTACAGATATTGGCGGCACGCAGGGATCAGGTGACCATATTGCAACGACTCCCGCCCTATGGACAAGATCTCCCTTCAAGAGAATCAAGATATTCAGCTGTATTCGCCGTTTCTTGGGGCGTATTGCAGCTTGAGGCTTCGCCTTCTCTACTGTTGGTCGAGAGCCGTCCGCTACAGTCTTAAGGACGGCACACTCCTCAATGAGTCTGCGGTGAACAGACTGACGCTTCAAACACCTTATCCTGCCTTGTATTGGTATGCACTGTCAGTCCATGCGCCACCGTTCCCATATTAGTGTTATGTACCACCAGTCTTCGAGGCTGCGCCGTTGACATTATTCTCTCCACCGTGCCTCAGGACGTGTTTCGCGGCTAATCAATCTCTCTACTCGATCTGCTGAACCTTCCCACCTTCGAGTTGTTGAAGGACCACTTTTGATCAGTATGGAAAATTGACCAACTTTGGTCCACGTATTTTATTGTCATTAGATCTTAAAGGCTCTTAACTCGATATTGGACCTTGCCTCCCTGCGGGCTCAATGGTGACAGTGAAACTGTATGGCGATATCTGGATTATTTGTAGGCTTAAAGCGATTGGCCATTCATTTTGAACATTAAATGAAGGATGTACTACTACTACCGTTGTCCATGTTGATGCGCAACAGTATCAAGCATGTAACCAATGTCCAAAACATCGACATGATGGTTTCTTGCGTATAGGACCCTTTTTGATTCAGTCCTGATCAGCCGCAAAGAAATTTTGCCCGGTAGGATATCTGTTCCATGTTAAACGCACGCCGCCTTGCCAATCATGCTCAAAATGAAGAGGAACAGCACCAACATCAGCAGTATGAACTAAGCCGATTATCATCCCGGGGGTCGGTTCCCGCAGAGAGAACCTCACGCCTGCCGGATACCAATGTACCAAAGAAAAGAACGGCAGCCGTTCGGTCGACGATTTGGAAGAGCCTGCCGGTCCCTAGTCTAGCGATCTTTGATGATATCCCGCTCTCACATGCACGAGATCATCTCGCCAACGAACGTGTCTTTCTTGCATATATCAGGACCTCGGCTACAATTGCGAATCTCGCCGTATAGTCATTCTCCAGCTTTACCGGCTAAAGCACAACCCGCCACCTCATGGCAAGCTGAGCGATTATGCGATGGGCCTTCCAGTGGCGGCTGCGTCGCTGGTCATCGCTATCATCGTCGCAATCGTCGGGGCTTGGAGATTTTTCGTCTGCCAGAATGTTATGGCAAAGAGCCGGATCGTTGGAAGTGGGGCGGTGGTGGTTGTGCTTACTGCTCTTACCGCCTCGGTAAGTCTGCCTAGTACAATATTCAATTGCATCTACTGATGAACAAATCAGCTGCTCGGAACTTATTTTGTTCTAGCAATCATCGTTGATCCTGAGATCTAGGAGTCATCAATTGGGGTAGCAGACGGCTGCGAGAAGATGGGTAGATCGTCATTCTCCTAGCCGAATATTTGGAAACCCGAAGATGGAGACCTGACGCGCAGGACATTCAATGAAGGGCATTCAGCAATGATACAAGAGGGTTACGACTAGAAATGGTAGCACTGCCCATTGTACACAGTACAAACACGAATCAAAAGCCGGGACTTGAGGCTTCGTCGTGCAAGGCTGTGGTGACAAGGCTGTAAATGGCTGAAGCATTTTGATTGGTCGAGATGCAAATGGTAGCCCAGTTGGGACTAGTGGAAATAAATCTTGGCGAAGCACAATCAATTTCCACCTGCTTTTGGAGGCAGCGCAGTTACAATCTCCTTCCACGACCCAACATCGACAACTCCCTCTCGTCAACTCTAATTCCCTTCCTGAGGTATGTCTGAACCCGGGCCCTCTTCAGCTAGCCTAAGATGAGCAATCTTACTGTTGTCCTGGTCTGTGACGTTTCCAGGACAGAATTCGCAGTTTTGGATACGCTCATCTTTTGCGACACGAGCTGAAGAACCCTTGACTGGGCACTCTTCGTGCTCGAGGCTACTGGAGACTAACCATACCATGTGACTGCAGACACCTCAAGTCCTCGTCTTCACGACTTGAGAATCTCAACACCACAACACCGCCAACATGGTCCGAACTTCCGTCCTGAACGATGCTCTCAAGAGCATCAACAACGCCGAAAAGGCTGGCAAGCGCCAAGTCATGATCCGACCGAGCTCCAAGGTCATCATCAAGTTCTTGTCTGTCATGCAGAAGCACGGTACGTCCATATTCGCGCAGTTTCGCACCGTCGCAGGAAGAGGGGGAATTCCAGGTTGCACCATAGGGTCGGGCTGATAACTAGGCGGTGGTTCAATGACTTCTCAACAACCCCTGCCCTTTAAGTGCCCGAGAGATTAAGCTTCTTTCGCGGTCGATCTTACACATTTGCTTTCCTTTCCCCATGTTTGTACATGTTTATTCGGCCGCGACATTTCTGCGACATATCCCCATGTCCCCGACCACTTTACTGACGGACTTGTCTCTAGGCTACATTGGCGAATTCGAGGAAGTCGATGACCACCGCAGCGGCAAAGTGGTTATTCAACTCAACGGTCGCTTGAACAAGACCGGTGTTATCTCTCCTCGCTACAACGTCCAACTCCGCGACCTCGAGAAGTGGGTTGTCAAGCTGTTGCCATCTCGTCAATTCGGCTACATTGTTCTCACCACCAGCGCTGGTATCATGGACCACGAGGAGGCCAGAAGAAAGCATGTCTCCGGAAAGATCATTGGTTTCTTCTACTAGATACTTGAACTGAGGCATACCACGATGGCACGAGCAAGGGCGAAAAAATACCCCAAAAGTTTGACTTGAAAACGGCCTTCATTGGAGCCACTGTCACGAATGATCCAAATAGCGCAACTACCCAATGAATGGCAAATACAAGAGTTGTGCAGAATCGTCGTCGCCGAACGCATTGCAGTGTAGGCAGTCTGGACTGTAAATCTCTCCTCCGGCGCTCCAATAGCTGTCTGAATGCCCCAGGATTTATATTGCAGAAATGTCGTAGTACCAGTAGTACTGTGCATTACCGCACGGCCCACATACTAGTACGCTGCGCCTGCCGCCTCCCACTGCAAGTCACGCTCAAACCCAAATGCCAAGACTCATGCCCTATAGCCATTTTCAGAAGTGCGGGCATAGAACTTCTCATCCAGCTACAAGTTCAACCTCGCTCTCCGATCACCTTACCATCCTTCAAGACAAACACCGCAACAATGGTACGCATGCGCTCGCAAATCGCTAGACTCGAGTGAAGGACAACTTACTGACGATAATATTAGGCGCCCGCAGCATCCTCCGGCGGCAAGAAACAAAAGAAGAAGTGGTCGAAGGGAAAGGGTACGTTTCCATCTCTTGCATCAGTTTAGGTGTACAAGATCAAGTGGCTGACTTGCGATTGCATCGATACAGTCAAGGACAAGGCCAACCACGCCGTTGTTCTGGACAAGGCCACTTCCGACAAGCTCAACAAGGACGTCCAATCGTACCGCCTCATCACCGTGGCCGTTCTGGTCGACAGATTGAAGATCAATGGCTCGTTAGCACGAAAGGCCCTTGCCGACCTTGAGGATCGCGGCGTCATCCGCAAGGTTGTCCACCACCACAGTGGCAGCATCTACACGAGAGCGGCAGCCGAGAGCGATTAAATGACCATGCCTTCGACCGGCCGGGGTGTCTCTCAAAACTCGAACGATCTTCTTGCCTGCTGAATTCAAATCAACTCTCTGGCGACGAACCACGGTCTGGCTACCTTCGCGGAGCAGGAATGGATGGGAATGGCTTTGGGCGCGCAGAAGATCCCCCCAAAATGGACATGAGCAGAAACAACCGATGGAAGCAGCCATCAGCACGACAATGTTGAAGCTCTTCGCTTATCACAGCAAGTCCGCTTCAGATACGCTTCTAGATATGTGACTCAGCGTACGAACTCCAATGAGAATGTCTGAGCTCTCGGCCACAAATGGACATCACGTCTCTGCCATTGTTTTTTCTATCCTGAAAATGTTTCTCATGCGTTATGCAACGAGGCTCCTCCCATGATTGTTTTATTGTACTGGTTTGCCGGGTGTTTTGTTGTCTGCCTTCTTCATGTTCTTCCTCTGCGGCCTCCCTTTCTGAGCAGCCTCGCAAAGCTTGGGTGGTTCTCCCGTGTACTCGGACACGTTGACTACCTTTCCGACCTCGAAGTATTTCGGATGGTTCTTGTAGAATTCTTCCCACTTTCTTACTTCCTGCAAGACGCGCTTCTTTGCATCCCTCCGCTCTTTCTCTGCCCGCGTCTTCCTTGCTCCGCTTGTAATCTCCTCTTCTGGATCATCGATGGGTATATAGATCTCCTCGGCTCCCCTAAGATCACCAGTTCGATCCTCCAGAAAACAACCTGTGACAAACGCTCTACTGGCATCCCTGCCAGCAAACACTTCGTAACTTCCACCAGGACCGTAAGTGTGCCTTCCTGCACTAACGTCGAAGATTGTTCCATTGATTGCAAGATATATCGGCTTTTGTGGGTCGGTGCCATTGAACTCTGCCAACTGTTCAGGCGTTAAAAGTAATGGACCCTTCCACCAACGAACAACTTGCGCAGGGTGGGAGAACCAGGGATTGTAGTTCCAAAACAACGAGGACCCAGACGTCAGGTAGTATGATAAGGCGCATGAGACAGCGAATAGAGTAATGATAATCCGCAAGACGTCGAGAAGGGATATTGCGCGGTCAGTGCCTTCCTCGATCTCGCCAGCTTGGGACTTTTGAGTCCTGTTGGTGTCCGGCGATGGCTCAATCTTGGGTCCTCGGCGCCGTACAGAAGACGACTCCATCTTGCAGGCTGGGAAACAGGTCGAAGCGGTTCCGCAGGACGCAGATGTCTTTGTTGAGCTGATGGTGTCTGTCTCGGAGAGCGGCGGTCATGCTCCAAACAGCGCATGGGTTACTGGTCTGCGTGCTAACAGACCACTCGATTGGCACATGTGGGGGATGCGCCAACGCGCCAGTTGCCGCAGGCTGGGAATGATTCCATACTGGATTCGGAGAGTGCCAGCTTCAAGTGCGCAACCAGCCACGCGGATTCATATCTACCAGCTCCAGCGCATCCTCTCGTACCCGTGCACACTCTCTCCTCACCGCTACCCTACTGATATCTATATCTCCGTCAGCGACATTTTTGGTCAGTGCGTTGAGTGCGTCAGGATCTCGAGGCCGCGCCAGTTGAGAGCGGCAAGGATACCTCGGTACCACTGGGCAAAAGCCAGCAGACAAGCCGATTCCTGACTCCGCCTCAGGCAAGGCCTTGCGCCTTACAATTGCATTGCCTCGTATTTGGAAGTCCTTCCAGTCCCCTTGATGCCCGTCACGGCCTTCCCGGCCTAGTGACACGGGCATAGACATTATGTCCTACAAATACACTGTGACGGAGCGCAGGCGGAGAACCACAAACGCCGGTGGTTACGGGTATTCAGGTAGCAGGTCAACGCTTGGATACTGGGTACCGCTAGTACTCACCGTGACTGCTGCAACGGTCGGCTTGGCAGCATGGATTTGGAGTGAGCGCCGCGATGACGAGGAGGACTCAAGTGACGAAGAACAATACCCGGGAGGTGTTCCGCCGCCTGACTATGCGAGCATGAGCGGAGCGGTGCCTCCTGGTCCAGCAGCACCTGGTGGCTTTCAAGGTCCTATGATGCCTGGACCTCAGCAGCCTGGAGGGTTTGTGGCTCCAGCACCCGGGGAATTCCAGGGCCCGCCAGGTGCACCGCCCGGCTTCCCGGGCAACGAGACACAGTACACTACCGCTCGTTCGACTGCAGTGGAACAGCAAGAAGGTTCTGGCTTGGTTGCCAGAATGTCCAGTGCACTTGGCTTTGGCCGATCGACGACGCCTGTTCAGGATCCTTCTCAGGGTCAAGGCCAGTCATACGACTGGGCGAATAACCCAATCTCGTCCGGAGTTGCAGCAGCGGGGGCGATGTTCGGTGCCGCCATCAGCTCGTTGAGCGGAGGAGGCCCTGAGGCCTATGAAGACCACGAGCGGTGGAGTGAAGAAGCAGAACAGCGAGACAACGAAAGAGAGAGAAAGCAAGGCATACGGCGCCGCGGTACGGCGGAGGAGTTCTTTTCCGGAGAAGTTGACATTCCGAAATATGCATCTATCGCAAGACAAAAGAGGAAGAATGTTGCCGTTGTCGTGTCTTCGGTCGGTCCAGCGCTTGATGATGAGTCCGACGATGCTGATCACGCCGTAAGTATTCCCCAGTTACCAATATGATGATGTCGGCTGACCAAATATCGAAAACAGTCTATGCTCGCACATCTTGCGGAATATATTGACCCGGACACGACAAGAGTCTTCGTTCTCATTTATGCTCCCAACCTCAAGGACCACCCGCTCTGTCCAATCGCTGCAAGGAGAGCGTCACAGTCCATAACATCGTCATTTTCAAATATCAGCCAGACAGACGCTCAAACACCGGCTCACACCCCAGGGGAATTTCCCTCCAGGACCGACGAGGCCATTCTGGCACATGTTGATCCCATGCCGATCGACGAACCACCCTCCCTTTACAAAACTCTCTACAGCCAAGCGCTAGAGATTGTAGACCAGGAGACTTTAATCTTACCTTACACCACCCCTCATGGCCACAAACACATCTTACGAAGTCTTGCTCCTGAGACAGTCTACATCCAGGAATCCCTCTGCGGACGAGATGGAGAAATTGTGGCAGATCTTTCCGGCTGGGTTCGGCAGACAGTTGTTGTGATCGGTGATGAAGGTGGTCATGGTGGATTGGTCGACACCGACGATGAATCGGTTGCCCAAAAACCACAGACATGGTGGCAAAAGGAGGAGCGGACCGGTCTTGGAAAACGCGTCGCAGTGGTGGAGAGCCTCAAGGTTGGGGAGGACTGGCAAAGACGTGTGGACGGGAAGGACTAGTCCGTCGTCCGTGATTAATAATGCCCATTTCGATTGTTTCTTGCACAGCTGTATTCAAAGCCGTGACGCCCAAAATAGAATCCCGCATTTCCACTAATTATCGAGGGCTGCTATTCGTTTTGATTTGAGTATTGCTGAAGCGGCTTCCTGACACGCTTTATCCTTATAGGAAAGAAATGTAGTTCGGAGCAAAGGCCAATCAAGCCATCAGATCCAAGACTCCGTATCTCCCTCAATCAGGCCATCTCAACCCCGTTGCAACACAGTTCCGATTATGGTACTCATCTGTCCATTGTACAACGGGATGTACGATGTATACTATAGCTAGTAATCAAAGAAGCCAACATCGTGCGGTAATGGTCTTCAAGTGGATGGAATGACCCACCTGGGCTTGCGGCCCTTCGCACGAGTGTCGTCCGCTGACAAATGCAGAATTTGGGTACTTTGGGATTTAATATCAAGTGCACGGAGACGGGAGGGACATCCTTCTCGGCTTCCTCTCAAGGGCTACTGTCACTCGTTCTTCGAAATATCCTGGCCTACGAGGAGGCGTCACCATGGCTTCAGACCAGCAAAGGGACAAAATACAGGCATGGCTTGAGGCAGTAAGTGACACGCATATCTCATGATGCCAACATCTAGTTCGCTATAAGCATCAATACGACTAACCCATCGGTCGGTCTTGCAGTTTCATCGAGGCAGTGCCAGTCTCGATGCAGAGTCCTGGTGTCGTGAATTCATGACCGAAGATATCGAACTCCAGTACGCCAACAATCCGGTTTTGAAAGGGGCCGAAGTGCGAGCCATGTTTGAACAAGTCTTTCCGCAACTGGACTTGATGGAGCACGAGATTTTATACTTCGACTTCGTCGCACCGCGCATATACCAGGCAACGCGCATCCGGTACCGTGTGAAAGGAGACCTCCCCTCTCAAGATATCAGTATCCCGGGGTTTGGAGCATTCTACATGCGTGAGGGCCATGACGGTTCTTTTAAGTGCTATCGGGCAGAAGTGTACCTTGATCCGAGCCCTGTGTTTGCAAGGATGGCTGAGAAGAGTGCTGAGCAGCCTTGACCTGTATGGACCAGGGGCGGAGGGAGATATGTGGTTTAGAATTCTCCAGGTGGAGCTGACAGAAAGGAGATGACGCGCGATTTTGTCTCTGTGCAAACGGGCAAGATATCAGGAGTTAGATATAAGACATCATGGACTGAAAACTGTGGACGTGAGCGCGAAGAAGATGGTGACCCTCGTATTAAAATATACAATATGTACAGTAGTAGATGGCTCTCGAGGCTCCGAGTCTCATGTGAAGAAATCTGTACATGTAAGCAACCCCCACGCGCGAGTCATGCAAGGCCAGCGAAAAGGGGGGCAACTGTGAATCAAGCGGAGAGACGCAGGCACGTGAGGCCGGGGCGGACTGCGGCCAACGCCAAGCATTTGGGACCTTATCGAGACATCGACCGAAGCGTGTTGCGACTGCGCATCGGTTTACGCTCAAACATTTGCATATTTCCATCTTACTTGCGCTATGTTTTCTATAATGTCATAGTCGCACTCTTGACAGACTCTGATATACCCAGAGCGAGTTCGGATCCACCGAGAAACCTCCTGCAACGGTGCCTGACTGCGTCTACTGCCCCTCATGATGCGCGTCTGGCCACAAGCGTCGCAGACTGGCCGAGCACCTTCCCCAGAGGTTTACACGGCTTCGGAGTAGGAATTTGACATACTTGGAAGACCGGCAACTGGGAATAGCGCGGGGCACTTCTGTCCATGATGGCTGCGGTTGTGGCTAAGCCGAGTGGCACGGCCACCAAGATGAAGAAGCCGCCGACGCCTACGGTACATACAAATGGGAATGGCGGCAAGGCAGCACCGTCGTCCTCGCCGGCGAGCGCAAGGAAAAGCCTACCAGGCCAGACCCCGACCACCGCGTCGTCCACAAATAACAGCACAACGGCTAATGGCATGGCCCGACCGACGCGACGTCCCCAACGGCCATCTACGCGGAACAACACAGCGGACAACGCAACTCTCGACAAGCGGGCGGCCAAGAGAATCCCGGAGCCATATGGTTCGTCTGTCGTAGACTCAAAATGCTTTGGAGCACCGCTAACACCACAATTTATAGTGCCCAAGGAATCCTACATCCTGCGGAAATTCAAAGGATGTCCGCCGTCTCTAATCGTCCATCTGCACTCTACCCACTTTCGCTTCGATCAGCAAGACGGAAGCTTCAGTTATCATTCCGAGATGCGCGTCTTCATTGAGCACCTTGCAAAAGGCACCATCCCGCATGACATGGTGGAAGAGTTTCGGAAGTCAGATGTGAAATACTACGACGGATGGCTGATCGTCCGGGTTGTTGATCACAAATCGATCTCCAAGGACTCCCTCGCCTCGGAGACTGGCGGCGACGACGAGAAACCATTTTCAATACACAACTACAACCAATACATCACTCCGTCACCGTATGTACCGTATCCAGCTAAAGAACAATCAGCGTCCAGATCACCGCCTCTCAAACAGGAACGAAGGGAATCTTTATCGAGCGATGCCAGGGATGGAATCCACTCCGATGACACTGTCGATGCTGCACCGAAGTCGTCGAAGCCCCAGCCGAAAATCTACCATGTCGCCCTCCGACCGACGATTATGTCTCGTCATATGGACCTCGTGCTCGATGCCATGGCGCCTGATCCTAAGTCGGTTAACCGGAAGCAATCACAAGCCAATGCTGCGAATCGGCCAACTGGGTCTGCGGCGCCCCAAACTCCCATCTCCGGTGTGCCGCAGACACCGTCGTCCGACAAGGGACCTCCACTGAAGAAGCAAAAGTTGAGGATAGACCCGAAAGATCTCTTGGAATATGAAGCACGAATAGTCAATGCTACGGCGCCGCCGTTATACTTGAACGCAGTGGACAGCCTCGAGGAAGCTGAAACTCTGATCGACATGCTGAAAGATCCTCTATGCAATGAGCGGCCCCCTTCACCGAAGAGCCGTAAGAGGACCGTCGCCGAACTTGCTGCCGAGGATGCACATGCGAAGGAACAGGAACGATTCATGCTCGTTATGGATGAACGGACCGCTGGCGGCACTGGAGCAGCGAACTCAGGCGCCGTGGATGGCCAGGCTGCGGCGGCACTCTTCCAGCCACGCTTCGAAAAGTTTAATGCACTTGATAATATCAAGAGGGAAATTGCGGAACGAAAGCAGCGCGAGAAGGACCGACAAATGCAAGAAGATGAGACCCGGCGGGGCCAACAAGAGCGGCTACAGGAAGAGGAGAGGAAACGAATAATGATCCAACGCGCACAAGAAGCCAGAGCCTTGCGCGCGCGCGAAATGCAGGCCGCAATGGCGGCTCAACAACAGCAGCAGGGCCTAGCCGCGCAAAGGTCCTCTCAGCAAGTCAATGGGATCCCTCCGAATATGCAAAGCCAGATGATGGCCGCCCAGCAACGTGGCTCCCCAATCATCCGGCAAGGTACCCCTCTTGCGGCTTCATCGCCTGTCGTCACGAGCGCTGCTCAAGGCGGGCATCCTATGGCTGTGTCAGGCTCGCAGCAAGGACGTGGGTCACCCCAGCGACCAGGGTCTGCTGTACAACATGGCCACCCCAGCGCGCCAATGGCCAGAGCCCCTAGTGGGCAAGGACCTAGCCGACACGGCACGCCTCAGATGCCCCAGGGTACGCCGAGGAACGCAACTCCCATCCTGCGGCAGGGAACTCCCGCACAGCAAATCACTCAAGCTAGTCCACATGGCAGCACTGTGGCCCCGACGCCCCAAATGGTGGCTGCCGGCATGATGCAGGGAATGCAAGGTCAATCCGCGAATGGCATTCAACGGCCGCTGAATCCCCAGCAAGTTGCCGAGATGCAAAGGCGTCATGCCTTGCAACAACAAGCGGCACAGCAGGCGGCTATGCAACAACACATGGCCAACGGAACGCCCCAGATGTCGCAGGCTCAACTCTCGCACATGCAAGCACAGCAACAAGCTCAAGCCGATCGACAGGCCGCCATACAGCGGCAGCAAGCTCAACAGCAGCAGCAGGCCATGCAGCAGGGCACGCCGCAAAGTCAGCATATGTCACCTAACCCTCAAAAAGCCTACAATCAGTCTGTGGCCGAGCACGTCAAAGCTCAAATCCAAAACCTTCAACAATCGCAGCACAGCTCACCCGCTCCCACCCACATCACCCCTCAGCAGCAAGCTTCGCAGTTAGCACAGGCTCAACAGCAGCAAAGGATGCTAGCCGCCCAAGCCCAACAAGCTCAACTCATGGGCGGCGGTACACCACAGCAGCAACAGCGTTTGCAACAAAATCCTGCAGTGCAACAATTCTACCAATCTACTCTTGCAGCCTACACTCAACGGTTCTTGGGACAGGCCGCAGCAAAGTATGGCGGCAACACGAACATGCTGCAACCTAACGAGATCCAGCAAGTTCAGACACAAGCCAAAACGGCGGCTATGGCAACTTTGCGCCGACGCCAGGTGGAATTGAACAACATGTCTATTCAGCAAGCACAAATGCGCCAGCAACAAATTGCTCAGCAACAAGCCCAGCAGCAACAGCAACAACAGCAGCAGCAGCAGCAGCAGCAGCAGGGCGGCGGAATGCCCAATGGAATGATGGGTATGAATTCCAATATGGCGGCAGCTCTTCAGCAGCAACAGGCACACCAGATGCAGCAAATGCACATGCAGCAGGCCCAGCAAGTGATGGCTGCGCAGCAACAACAGCAGCAGCAACAACAGCAGCAGCAAGGCATGCAGTATCAGCAAAGGTAGTGCCATGATTCTGCGTCAGTTGTGGACGTGTCCGAGGGAGGTGGGGGGAACCGACATGTCCTTATTGGCATAGCAATATTTTGTGCACTGGCAGGCTTCCTGTTTCTCTCGTTTTGCGAACCGGAAAGTTGACGCCGTACAATAACCAGCATCCTGCAGTCCATTCTTATCCTCGTTGACTCGTACTGGCCGGTCCGGACCAACCATGCACCACCTACAGCCTGCTTAGGTTCCGGGATCGAACTTTGATTTCGGGGCTCTTGTAAGGACAGCCCTTACATCGGGGAGGAATGGGCCAAGCCAAATGGATATCGGAAGCTACTGATTTAAGTCGGCGAGCATTGCAAAGTCATGGAGTCTGGGGGAGGCTGGGGATGAGCATCAAACCGATTACGGAGAGTTCAGGTTTGCGGCTACGAAATCTAATGAAATGCATGGGAAAGCGACATGACTGGGGTTGCATTTATTGACGACTCGAAGGAGTCTGCGCCACAACGTTCGTCGCGGCCGATGCGCTTCACAGACCAGGGAATCGGAGCGCGAAGATGTAATGCAAATGGGATCGAATGCAGCGCACCCTCCCAATGGGGCGGGCACAGCATATGGCTATTCTTAGGTACCCTTGATCTTGCCTTTGCGTTGATATGGCACCTGGCTTTGAGAGTGAACTGCAAGTTTGCATGGCTCTGCATTTTCATCCTCGGGACGTGCGAAACCGGGTTCCTATACCCGTCTACCTAGGTACTACTAGTAGTATGCTGACGTTCATCACTCAGCTATATGACAAAATGGGCACCCTACGTGCCAAGCATTGTAAAGACGTCGAGGACTGTCTTTCGGTCTCGACTAGCGTCGTACACTATCGTACAACCCCTAGAAAGTATATAGTCTAACGAGGCCCTAGGCCCCGTTAAAATAGAACAAGTTCTCCGTAAAATTATATTTAGTAGCGGCGACGAGATAGTTCTCTATCTTAAACTAGAGTTTATAAGAACTTCTATACTCTCTTAAGAAGAAGAGAAGCGTAGTCGATCGTCGAGAAGATCGATATTCTCCTACGCGAAATCGATTAAAGATAGATAAAGCCGCCTTAATATCTAGCGAAACTAACCGATAAGGAAAATTTCTAGCTCGAAGTCTATCTTTTACGTCTAACGAATCTCTTCTAATTTCGTAACGAAGACTTTCGAGAGTCGTACTCTCTAAACGATAAAAGACGATAAAAATTTCTTATTAAGAAAGATAAATTATAGTAGTAAGTAGTAATTTTCTTCTTTAAAAATTTTAGTCTCGCTACTCTTAGATATCTTTAGCTACGAATAATAGCTAATAATATATATAAGATATAGTAGTAACGACTATCTTAACGTTCTCGATTACGTTCTATCGATCTAGATATTATAAACGACGATATCGCCGAAGGGCTTAATATATCGAGAGATAAAGAAATATTATTATTAGAATAAATCCTTTATTAGAATCTTATCTAAACTATACTAGTAGAGACTAGATAGTTATCTAGATCTATCTAGATCTATCTATACTATCGTAGACGATAGGAAATAATAGATCGATAGAAGAAAGATATATAGTAAGGCCTCTTAAGAGATTAGAGTACTATTTAGCTAGGGACGGTCTCGAATATCGAGAGCTAGTTATAAAGCGCCTTCGCTAGACGAGATAGAAGCTTCTATAAAGAATATATTCTTCTTAAGATTACTTATCTTTCTTCTATCGTATATTATCTTCTACTTATTTCTTACTTATATTTCGTAAACTACGCTTAAAAGCTCTTCTATACTAAATATTATATAAATACTCTCTTAACTCTAGTAATAGTAGTATTAGAAATCGATATCTCTATAAAAGGAGCTAATCTATAGAAAATATATAGACTTCTAGAAGAGAATTATCTTAGAAATCTAGAAAGGACTATAGCGGTTTTCGCTAACTACCTACGATATTATAGAATTCTCGAAATCTTCGCTTCGATATCTACGGACGGCCTATTAAGGATTACTCTCTTATCTATAGACTAAACGAATATATCTAGACTCTTATCTAGTTAATAGTATTTATTATTAGATCTATTCTAAGATATTAGCGGAATAGAACTCGAAAAGCCCCTAAGATATAAGAGTTATTAAAATAACGACGCGACGCGAATCTAGCTAATCTATATCGAGAGATAGTTAGATATAAAGAAAGTCGTTAATAAACGTTCTCTAACGGGCCGCGAACGTATTACTCTAGTAACTTTCTATTTTAAAGATAACGCCTTAGTATAGTAGAATCTTATATACTAAGATATAAAATATAGTCTTAGAATTAATCTACTTCTAACTAACTAGAAGATATAAAAGAAAGTATTCTAGATAGCGTTCGGCGACGTTAGAACGTAGAAGTAACGTTAAGACGAGTTCGACTCTCTTAAATAAATAAGAATAGTATAAGAATTTCGATAGAAGATCGAAACTCTTAGGCTATATCTTAACTCTCGTTCTAGCGACGTCGAATATCTACTCGTTTTTAAATAAGGGCTTAGAACGACTATTCGAAATCGAATAGAACTTCTTCTAGATACTATACTTCTCTAAAACTATAGAGACTACGCTCTTTTCGCGAATAAAAGTAAACGAAAGATATAAGCTAATACGTATCGAATAGTCTCTCTTCGAGAGCGCTCGAGAAGATTTTTCTCGAGAAAGTCTTCTTAATTCTCTCGAACCGCTTAACTAGATTAAAAGAACGCTAATAGAGATATCGAGATAATCCTTAACGATCTTCGACTAGAATTCTTCTCGTCTACTAAAACTAAAACTTATATAGTTATAGAAACGGATATAGATTCTTAAGTAGCTTTCGTTAAAAGTATTAAGACGATAGTCTCTACTTCGGTTATAAAGAAGCTAGCTATTAAAAGAAAGATTATTCTAATCCGAAGAAGTCTATAAGACGAGGCTATCGAGGAAAAGAAAAGAGTCGCTAGATAGTAGAGTATCTAGCGACGATAAAGAAGTCGTAGACTCTTCGAAGACTATCGATATAAGCCTATTAGACTTTAACCTCTCTTTTAATAATCTAATAGACGTTACTATTAATACGACTAAAGTCTTCGATTATAACTTAGACTATATCTAGGAATATAATATCGCTAGTAGATTACTAGAGTAGTATAGTAACTCTTATTCCGTTACGATTCTTCTTAATACTAGCTCTAATATCTTCTACGTCTTAAAAAGAGTTACTAAATAGCTAAATAAGAACTATAAAATTATCTAGAGTATATCTCTTTAAGTATATCTTACTAATAGCGAGATAACTCTCTCTAATTAGACTATTATAATAAGTCTAACTATCGATAACTTTTAAGCTTAAACGATACTCTATATCTTAGATTAGGACGCGTACGACGTTATTCTTAGACTTAACTAGCTAAGAAAGTATAGCGCTTTCTAGGATTTTAGTTACTTACGTATAATAATATATAATAGGACTAGGAAATTAACTTCGATACCTCTTCGATTCTTTCGAACTATTAACTATAAAGATATCGAAGAGGTCGGATTAAATCTACTTAGCTTTCGAAAAACTTAGAAGACGATTTCTAAACTATCTATACTCGACTAGACTTCTATCTTATATCTTATATAAGAATAGAGTCCTAGTAATAAAGTAATCTCTTTAATATCTAGAACTAAGAATAGATATTTTAGACGTATCCTTAAAAGATTTAAAATAGTATTTCGAGAAGAATTATCTACTAAGTTTCTAACGAAGCGGAATATTAAGTATAAAATCGATATAAACGATACTAAGTCTATTAACTTACTCTACTACTCTTTATCGAAAGAATATCGAGATAAATAAGATAGGTAAATTTATATCTTACTAGAATAAGGTCTAATTCGACTCTTAGAGAGTCTATAGAGCTTCTCTATACTCTTTATACCTAAATCTAAAGATAAATAGCGTATATATATTAACTATTATCTTCTTAATAATATTACTATTAAGAATATCTACTCTTTATCTCGAATTTAGAACTATCTTAATACTATCGAAGCCGCTCGCTAGCTCTCGAAGGCCGATCTTACCTAAGAATATTACTAGATCTAGATAGAAAAGATATCTATCGAAAAAACCGCCTTTAATACGCGATTAAGTAAATATAAGTTCTTAGCTATATCGTTCGAACTTATTAACGCTTCTTTAACGTTTTAAAGAATTATAAACGACGCTCTACGAGAATTTATTAGTAAGTTTATAATTATCTACTTAGACGATATCGTTATCTACTTATAGACTAAAGAAGATTACGAATACTATCTTAAACTAGTATTTCGAGTATTATATAACTATAAACTATATACGAAGTCGTTAAAGTATATTATTAGTATCTAATAGCTTAAATTCTACGAGTATATAGTAGATAACGGGAAGTATCGACCTACGTCTATAAAGATATAGACTATCCTCGAATAGCCTTAGTCTCGAAACGTATATAAAGTACGCTAGTTTTTAGATTTAGCTTTATACTATAGAAGATTTATTAAAGACTTTATAAAAATTACTATATCTCTATCTAACTTATTAATTAAAGCGGATATCGAACTCCGAAAAAGGAAGTTCCGACCTATTCGATATAATACGAGATACGAGTACGTCTTCTAAATACTTAAGAAGACTCTCGCTACTAAGCTAGTTTTATAATAAGTCGACGAATCGAAGCCTTTCTACGTAGAAATAGACTATTCTAAGTAGACTTTAGATTATATTCTTCTATAAGAAGGACCTAATAGAAAGTAGTATCTAGTCGCCTATAACGGGCGGAAACTTAATAGAGCTAAGTTAAACTACTCTATATACGAAAAGAAACTTCTCGCTATTAAGTACGCTCTTCGAACCTAGATTATATATCTCTAGAATAGATATAAAACGATTATCGTAACCGATTATAAGAGTCTAAAGTACCTAAATACTACTCGAATACCTTCGAA